CAAAACACACCACCACCAAGAACGCACGTCCCCTTTGAGGCAAGTTTCGGCAACCCTGGCTTTCGCATTGAATTCCTGCTTCTGCTCTCTTATCAACGATGCGGCCTATCCTGCTTGTTGAAGTGCTTCTTGCGGTCGGGCGGGATGTCAGCGGATGGAGCACGATTCACGATGCGCTCAGCGGGGACTGGATGTTCGAGGCGCTGTGGAGCGCTGCCGTGCGATGCGATGCGCTCAAGATAGATCGGATTGTCCCGAGTTACCTCGCCTCCTCGCGTCGACCCTTCTCCTCTCCTTCCCTCTTTCGCCTGCTACTCCTATATCTCCAACCCGCCAAGCAACATTCCCCACATCTCCGTCCCCTTCTCCAGCTTCTTGACTCCCTCCCCCATTCCCGCGCCTGCCAGCTGCTTGGTCGAGGGAACGAAGACGAATCCATTGGCCCCGCTCATAGAGTGCATGCCAGAGGAACGCTGTTTGCCCGTCGAAGTAGCAGTCAAGACCGGGAGCGAGAGCGAAGATCCAGACTCGGCGGCGGAGGGGAGAAGTGCGCTTCCTCCTCGTTGCTCGCTCGCCGCGGCGATGTGTACGCGATGGAACTCCGGTCTCGACCCATCGCAGGCGAACTCGTGAGCTAGTCGTACGCGCACCATGGGAAGGGACCAGGGGTTCGGCACTTGCTGGCCCTTTCCCTCCTCTTGCACTCCTTGGGCTTCGTGCTCGCGCGGCACCAGTCCCGCCATCTTCCTCAGCGCCGGCAGGACAAAGACGTAGAAGCAGACAAGGGCGCTTGCCGGGTTGCCGGGGAGGGCGAAGATGACCTTCTTCCTCCTTCCTTCTCCCCCTGCAATGGTGGCGAATGTGGTCGGTTTGCCGGGCTTCATGCTCACACGCCCAAAGTGCACTTGTGCCCTGCCCTGTTCGCCCTCCCCTTGTGCGAGTAGACCCTCGCTCCGCTCCAGTAGCGGCTTGATCCAGTCCGACTCCCCCATGCTTGTCCCGCCCGTTGTGATCAGGACGTCTGCTTCGGCCAAGCCGCGGCGCATGGCTTCGAGAAGTGCGCTGGGTGGGTCGTCGCGCACGATGCCTAGGTCGAGGGTCGGGTAGCCTAGCGCGTTGAGCGATGTGAGGAGGGAGGGACGATTGGTGTCGTACGAGGAGTGGGACCAGCCGCTCGCGTTTGCGCTGGAGCTTCCTTCCATCTTTGAACTCTGAGCATGAATGTCTCGAAGCTCCTCGCCCGTGGAGAGGACGGCGACTCTTGGCTTTTTCCAGACTTTGACCTTTTGCAGCCCGAGGAAGGCAAGCGTCCCCACCTCCCCGCCTAGAGAGGTGATGGGTGTGTTCGCGCGCAACACAACCTGGTCCTGCTTTACGTCGGATCCTGCTGCTCGGACATTCTCCCCCTTGTCGACCTGGGCCAGCACCTGCACTCGAGATTCCTCGACTCTGCCGTCCTCCAGCTCGTGGGTGGAAATGAGCGTCGTGTCCTCGACCATTACCACCGAGTCCGTGCCCGCTGGAAGTGCCTGACCAGTATTGACGCGGCATACCTGCGAGCCGTGTGCAAGTTGTTTGGTTCGACCTGGAATGACAACTTCGTATTCCTCTTCCCCCGTTTCGCCGGCTCGAACGGCATAACCATCCACGTTGCTCGTCGCAGCAGGCGGTAGATCACTGGGTGCCCTCACGTCCTCCGCGATGATATGACCCACCAGCTCGGGGTTGACGGGCAGCTCTACCACTGCGCTCGCTTCAGGCGCTTGCGTAGCGATCAGCCGCAGTGCGTCGTCCAGCTCGATGATCGGATATGGGGACTGGCGGGCACGCAAGGCAAGGGAGTGCGGCGAGGAGGCGTCGTGCGGGGTGAGGAAACGAGAGGCTGCAGCGTCCCGTTGGGCTTGCGTGGTGCGAGGACGAGGAGGATGATGTCCCCCGCCTCCGTGGTGGTGATGATGGTGGTGCGATCGTGCCCCGCCCGTGTCCGTCTCTGTCCCGTGTGCATGTGCGTGTGCGTGTGCGTGCCTATCGTGCTGTCCACCCTGCAATTGGCGATGAGTCTCCTTTCCACTACCCTTACCCGTGCAGAGCTCCAAGGCGTGGAGCAGGACGCCGTTTTCCAGCAATACCTCGAGGCATTCACTTACGGCCTTCTTGGAGCCGGGAAGCGTGACGATCAGCGAGCCTGAGCCCGAGCCCGAGCCGCCCTTGCCACCACGAGTGCGTATCCCGCTGATGGAGCGCGAGAGGGCAGCAAGGGGTGTCTTGCTGAGGGAGTGGGCCGTGAGGGCATGCGTGAGGGCTGGGGTCGGGCGGGTGATGAGAGGTTGGATGGCCTGCGAGAGGGGAGGAAATCAGCCATCATGCTATGCTCCCGCTGCTACATCTCAAGATGGCCTGCTCACCTCGGGCGTGGTATCCCTCACCCCAAATCCAGTCCCACCCGTCGTCACGACCAAATCTACCCCCATCTCATCGATCCACTCCTCGACCTTCCCCCTGATCTCGCCCTCATCATCAGGAACAATCGCATGGACGCTGCATCGAAAGCTATCGCTGGGATGAGATTCAAGTGTGCGCCGAATGTGCGGGCCAGACGTATCTGTCGAAGGGCCAGAAGAAGCGGATGTATCCGATACGGTTAGGACCGCGAAGGAGTAGAGGGGCGGCATGAAGGTGTGTGATGAAGAGGCGTAGGGAGGAAGGAGGGGAAGAGGGAAACGCCAATCGCGGATTGATTGATTTTGGCGCCGCCCGCCGCCGAGTGGATGGATGCACGGGCCGCCACGTCAGGCCGGCCCAGGCACCAGGGCACGGCCCATTGTTCCGGCCTAATCAGCTGGGCGGGCGGCGGGTCGAAAATCAGGTCCAGCGGGCGTGTTATTTTGGAGCGTGTCTCTCTTCTCACCATCGTGTCCTCCTCATCGTCACGCGCTCGTAACTACGACGAATGGTGGCTGTGGCTGCCCGAGCGGCGGGCCTGAACGCCAACACAGGCGCAGCAGGATCATCAAGAGCAAAATGGTCAGCTTCACGATCGACGTCACGCTCGCTGATGACCGCCCTGGTCCTGTTGGCTGCGACAGCGATAGCGACCGCATTTCACCTCACGCGCAATACCCGCCTACCGTCTCGCCATCCCTTGCCCTACTATCTCCCTCCTCACCATGAGCAGCACATCCGTACCGTGCCGCTCAATCGCACTCTGGGCTTCGAGAAGATCTACGTCCTCTCCCTCCCTCATCGGGATGATCGACACGACGAGTTCTCTCTGCTTTCCTCGGCGTACGGCTTCGACGTAGAACGAGTAGACGGCGTTAGACCGGATGGGATGTGGGCAGAAGGTCAGCCGGTATTTGATGAGGATGTGACGAGGACGGAGCAGGCTTGTTGGAGGGCGCATGTGAGGATATGGAGGAAGATGGTCGAAGAGGGCGTGGAGAGCGCGATGATGTGCGTGCGCTCGCGAGGGCAGCAAGTGAGATGTGTGCGGCTAGATGCTGACCATTTTCGCCCCTTCTCTCCTCCTCGAAAGACTCGAGGACGACGCAGACTTTGATATCCACATCCGCTCCTCCCTCGAGCGACTGCAGCGGCCGCTTCATACGCTCCTCTCCTCGCTCCATCCCTCAACGCAACACATCCCCGTCCCCTCCTCACCCTCCCCCTTCATCCACACCCACTGGGACATGCTCTACCTCGGCGCCTGCATGGAGTACCCCTTCTCGCGCTCCCAAGTAGACCCCGCCCAGCCCCTCGCAAAACGCGCCGGCTCCGCTCTCATTGGGGAACGGGCCCCGTATGTGGTATACCACGACCCAACAGTCGCAGACCAGTCGGACAGCAAGATGCCCGAGACGCTCAACTTCTACGGCGCCCTCGGTCTCGAGCTACCGCGATCCGTTCATCCGTCGGAGGAGCAGCCGCACGACCCAGAATACGACCTGCCAGGGCGGGCATCCCACCTTCCTCCCTCCGAGCGGGTGCGCGTGCTGGGCAAGACGCACAGCCCCTGGTGCCTGACCAGCTATACACTCACCCGTCGCGGGGCGTTGCGACTGCTCTACCTTGCTACGCGACACGTAGAGGACGCGGTGGATTGGCAGACGATCCGCGCGAGTAGGGAGGGGTGGATCGACTCGTATACCGTTTACCCGCCTTTATTCGATCAGTTCAAGATGGTGAACAGCAGTTGGAACTCGGATATCAATGCGGAGCATGGGAAGAACGTCGAGCGGAGAGGCCGTAGGTGGAGCCCAGGGAGGGGTAGGGCGAGACATATCAGACGGAGTGCTAGGAGGGAGCAAGGGGGTCGACATGCGGGTGAGAATGATGTTGATAGTGGGGTGGGGGCGAAGGGGGAGGGTATGCATTGACATGACGAGAGCGGGACGACACAAGACGGGACGAAGGGTATGGGGGCCAGGACAGCGAGGATATGACGTGATGTGACGGGACGTGATGTAGCATAGCATAGCGTAGCATAGCGTAGCATAGCGACCCTATCGGCGTGGCGCACGTTGCACGACAGGTCACAACGCAACGTACGCTTGAGATAAGCTCAGTCTCGTCGCACGATAAAGTATGACATGACGCAATGAGCAGCCCCCGAGCAGAAATGGCAGCAACGCTTTGCTGACTCGAGAGGCGCCAGCCAAGCGCAGAGGGCTAGACCCGGCCTGCTTGCGAACAAGAAGAGATGTTCCGCATCAAGGTCCCGAGAAGGGGCTGAGGGACCAGACCCCACCCTCCTTCTTCGATTAGTACGCTTCCAGTCGGACGACACTGCACAGACAGACGTCCCTAGCCCTACCGTGTGTGAATGGGTATGAGGACGAGAGTTTCCGCTGCGAGCTCGACACCGAGTCTCACCTCTTCTTCCTACCTTCAATCCAATGGGGCGACCAGAGCCGATGGTAATGACCCCAGACTAGTGTTTCCGAATGGGCCACTAACCTCTGAGTCGCAAGATTGACCTCGCGGAGCAAAGAGTGTTGCGGTGCCGATTCTTTATTGGCTAAGCGTTGTGCATCAGCAAGAGAGGGCTGAGAGCGAGAAAGTTGGCCGGTTACGCCTCGAGGTGAGACGAGAGAGGGCCGCGTGAAGAGCGAGCCGCGTGTAGAGGGAGGGGAGGAAGCACGGAACACGGAGCAGCAGCCCCGATTAGCGGCTCTAGGTAACGTGCGGATAGGCCACCACGAGCAATCGGGTGCCACTGAGGCAACGCCTGGACCAAAGCTCTGCATTTGCATCGAGTGGACGTGCTGCGTCGCGCCACAACGTGACTCAACCGTTTCTACGCGTATCATTTCCCCAAGTCCTATGTCCTTGCCTCGTCTCGCCTCGTCTCGCGTATCTCTGTCGCTGTCCGTCCTGCTTGCTTGGCTGCTTGCTTGCTTGATCGCCTTCGATTCCGAATGCGAAAGCCTTCATGCGCTCCACCTCCTTTGTTCACCCCCAGTGTGTTCAGCAGTCGCTCGCGGTACGCGTCCCTCGCTTTCATCTAGCTTCGACCTCGAGCGAAACAGATCCCGGCTTGCTCCCTTTTTCGCCTAACCGACTGCCCCACTTTGCTCGCGGGGAGCTTCGATCCGTCAACCGAATCCTCCTTCGCTCCGTCGCTCGCGGTCAGCTCCATGGAAGCGGCTGATGCACGTCAGACAGAAAGGGTGGCTGCTTGGGGGTGCGCGAGGAGCAAGAAAGGGTCACTTTCTGGATCGCGGCGGGCGGGAGGAGCGGAGAGCGGGGAGCATTCAGTCAGTCGCTGAGTCGGGCTCTGCTTTGCTTTGCTGCACCATCGGAACCAAATCTTCTTCGACGCGAAGCGATGCCGGCGCGAATCGATTCAACTTTTTGGCTCCGATTGGCGATTCGCGAGCCAAAGAGCGGCGGCCTCGGACAGAGAGACGGGGACGCGCGGGTGCGCGAGCGAGACAAACGCGCTGTCGTGCCAGGCGGCGCCCGGTGCAACTGGGTGGGTGTGGGTCCCTTGTCTTGCTTCTTGCTTCGCCACTGTACCATGAAAGCTTGCACCGATCGTCGTCGCTCCTCGTCCCCAGTCTTTGCTTAGCACATCCTGTATCGCACCACAAGACCGCTTTCAATAGAGGTAACGACTCAATCCAACCTCGCAATGGCCCGACACCACGACGTCTCATTCAGTTGACACGCCAGACGTTGCCGTACCAAACGTTGCGCAGCCTAATGATCTGGTCTGGATCCTTCCCTCGAACGGAGGTGAAAGTAGGGATGCTCTCTCGCGACAGCAGAGTAGATGAACATCAGACGTGCCCCTCATTTTGAATCCTCACAGGCAGCGCAAAGGTAGGCGGGCAGGCGGCAGCGGGGGGACCGGATTCAGAATTCGAAGCCATCATCCGTAATTGCGTGCGAGGCAGCATGGAAAGATACATAAGGCAGCTCTTTGATGACCATCGGTCCACCACTTTCTTCACGCTCTCCTCTACCCCTCTCCCCGCCCCTCAACATGCGCTCCTACCTCTCTCTCCTCCTCGTCGCTCTCAGCCTCAGCGCCGTATCGGCTGCTCCTGCCCACCCTCACCCTCACCCTCACCCTCATCCTCAACCTCAACCCAACCCTTACCCGCAGCCAAGCCGACCTCCCGCGTCACCCGCAACCGTCTACGAGACCACCTCCGGCTCCATTGCTACGACCCTGACCACCCAGTCCGGCTCCACGCCCTACGTCATTGTCCAGACGACCCCCTCGCAGTCTGCACCGCCCGCTGTCCAGACGCTCACCACCACGGAGGAGGGTAGCGTCCCCACGACTTACACGACGCAGACTGGCACGGGCTCCACGCCCATCGTCGTCGTCAAGACCACACAGGTTCCCAAGACCACAACCGAAGAGGGCAACACGCCCACGACCTACCTCACTACGAGCAACTCGGTTCCTTACGTGGTTGTCAAGACCACACCCGTCCCTAAGACCACGACTGAGGAGGGCAACACGCCCACGACTTACCTCACGACGAGCAACTCGAGCCCTGTAGTTGTTGTCAAGACCACACCCGTCCCTAAGACCACGACTGAGGAGGGCAACACGCCCACGACTTACCTCACGACGAGCAACTCGAGCCCTGTAGTTGTTGTCAAGACCACACCCGTCCCTAAGACCACGACCGAGGAAGGCAAGACGCCCACGACCTACCTCACGACGAGCAACTCGAGCCCTGTCGTCGTTGTCAAGACCACACCCGTCCCCAAGGAGACCCCTACAACTACGGAGGAGGGCAGCACGCCCGCTACCTACACCACGACGAGCAACAGCCAGCCGCTTATCGTGGTCAAGACGACTCCCGTGCCCAAGTCGACCCCCACGACCACGGAAGAGGGCAGCACACCCGCTACCTACACTACGACGAGCAACAGCCAGCCTCTGATTGTAGTCAAGACGACTCCTGTTCCCAAATCGACCCCTACGACGACGGAGGAGGGCAGCACGCCCGCTACTTACACCACGACGAGCAACAGCCAGCCGCTCATCGTAGTGAAGACGACGCCTGTGCCCAAGTCGACCCCTACAACTACGGAGGAGGGCAGCACGCCGGCTACCTACACTACGACGAGCAACAGCCAGCCGCTCATCGTAGTGAAGACGACGCCTGTGCCCAAGGAGACGCCAACGACGACTGAGGAAGGCAAGACCCCCACTACCTACCTCACCACCAGCGGCACAAAGCCCCTCATCGTCGTCAAGACCACCCCAGTCCCTAAGGAGACGCCCACCACGACCGAGGAGGGCAGCACTCCCGCCATTTACACCACAACGAGCGGCACCAACCCCCTCATTGTCGTCAAGACAACGCCGGTTCCCAAGTCGACGCCCACCACGACCGAGGAAGGCAGCACGCCTGCAACTTACACGACCACGAGCGGCACTCAACCCCTCATCGTCGTCGAGACTACGCCTGCGCCCTCTCCCTCCTCGTGCAGCACCTACGCCTCGACGACGCTCACCTCGACGATCTCTTCGCTCTCTTCGGCCGTCACCCGCACCTCAAGCAACACGGCCGCCTGCACCGCCACGGTCGAGGTCGACAAGCCGTGCGAGGACCCCTCCGGCTGGAACTGGGCGCACTACCCCAACTCGCGCACCAACGACGAAGCTCACCTCCCTCCTCAGGACGTCAAGAGCCAGCAGCCCGACGACCAGGGCGTCACTCCGGAGATTGGCTTCTACGTCGGTGGTAGTGCGACGCGCCAGCACATGTTCTACCAGTCGAACAAGAGCCTCAGTGAACAGGGAGACGTCCTGAACCACCACACGTACCTCAGGGCACCCACATCTGGCAGGTACACATTCAAGCTCGAGAGGGGCGACGCTGAGGCTTACCTCTGGGCTGGATCTAGCGCCTACTCTGGCTGGTCGAGCGCCAACAACCAGACTGGTTCCTCCTACTCGAGGTTCACGGGATTCTCCAACGGCACGTACACCGCGCAGCTCAACGCCGGCGACTACTACCCGCTCCGTGTCGTACAGGTCAACGAGCGCAACGGTGGCCCCGGAGAGTTCAGGTTCAGTGCCACCCTCCCCAACGGCAGTCCCGTACCGGACGACGACTTCAGGCAGTACAACTGTCGCTACCAGTACGAGAGCAACAAGGGCCAGCCCTACCCCGCCTTTGGCAGCGAGTCGTAAAGGGCGCGATACGGCATGGCGTGCGACCGTGCGCGCCAAGTCTCCAATATCAAGTCAAGGGAGCCCCTCTCTGCCTGTTGCTTATCCCTCGTCCAGCCCATCCATCCCCTGTTGGTCTTCCCTTCGTCAAGGTCCGGCCCTCCAACCCCAACCTCTCCGTCCGTTCTCGCCTGTTGTCAACATACACGCTCCCATACATCGCCTCTGTCTTCTCTCTCTGTCTCTTTGTCAGCCTCGTGCACGCTCATTTGCTCGCTCGCTCGCTCACTTGGACTCCTTCGCCAATCCATTTGTCTTCCCCCCAATCGCGTTGCACAAGGCCCCCTCGATTCTCACAGGCGAGTCGAAAGTGCGAGTCAAAGCCCTTGAGATCAAACTCTGAAGCATGGAATATCGAGATCACGACTGACTAAAGGAACAACTATCGTGACATCGTGACGTGTATACATGATGGATAGAGTGGAGCGAGAAGATGGCCTTGGGTCCCTTGTAGTGTCTTGTCTTGTCGTGTCGTGTCGTGTCGTGTATTGTTGTGTGGTTTCGTGTCGTCTCGCTGTATCGATCTAGACGAAGCATCCCCTGCCCCTGCCCCCGTCCCCATCCACAGCTCATCTCCCCTCCCCCCAACCAGGCTGGTGCTGCGTCTGCAGATTATACCCAAAGCCTCCGTCGGTCAACCCTCCTCCTTGCACCTGCTGCTGCTGGTGCTCCCCAGCCCCGCCACCAGGACCGGCCGGGAACGACACGCCCGTACTCGGGTCATACGACGTAAAAGCGCCAGTCAGATCCGTATCCATGCCTGCGTACTGCTGCTGCTGAGGCTGAGGCTGATGCTGGTACGGGTGCGAATTCATGTATCTCGCCGCCGTCGTCGCCGTCGCTGGATGGGCAAAAGGACCGTACGGACTCTGTTGATGCTGATGTGGTAGCCCATGTTGCCCATGGGCGTGCGCGTGGGCGTGCGCATGGGCATGTTGATGCTGCTGATGATTCACATAAGACGAGCCGGGCGACTGCTGGGACAGCTGAGCAGCCATACTGTTCGGCGACCCAAACTCACTCCCAACGCCACCAGCGCTGCCGGCGTAGATCATCCCCGCGTGCCCAGAAGCGCGTCGCGCCGGTGTAGGCGAGTGAGCAAGGACGGCTCCATTCGAAGGGACGCGGGGGGTCGTCATTCTCGGTGGAGCACCTCCGCCTCCTCCTCCCGCCCCGGCCGTGAGGCCATCCATACCCATCTCCTCCCCCCCAGCCACGCCCACGCCCATCGTCTCTCCCAAGGGAAGCCCATGCTGAACCTGCCCTCCTCCAACCAGATTACCATGCACGGCTCCCTGCACCTGCGCGTGCGCCTGAGCCTTCTTCTTGACCCTCTTGGCATATCGCAGCCCGCAGGCATTACAGAGCGTTTTAGGCCCCAAGGGCCCTTTACGCCACTCGGGCGAGTCCGTCCGCCCACAGTCTGTACAGACTCGGTCTTCCTCCAGAGCAGCACCGGCGGCACTGCTCCCCCCCGTTGAAGTGGAGGCGGGAAGGGATGGGGAGGCGCCGCTGCTAGACATCGCGCCCGTACCCATGGCCGTGGTCGCGCCACCGGTGGAGTTGGAAGGCGTCCCCAACGAATGAGATTGAGCCGAGCCGGTCTCATGGCTTTTCCTCCTCGCCGAACCGCCGCCAGCAGCCGCAGCCGCAGTAGTTGAATGCTTACGGCGCACGATCTGCCCAGCCTCACTGAGGCTGTCCCTTCCCGTGGCTGAACCTTCGCTGGTCGTCGGCACTCGATCATGGCTTCCAGAGACGGCCGTGACGCTATCTGCGCTCTGCACCTTGGAGGCTGCGCCGCCGCTGCCGCTCGACTTAGACTTGCCCTGAAGTACCGAAGGGCCAGGACGGGACGCGCTACTACTCCCCGTGGGCGTGTTGCTCGATCGACGATCTTGCGCTTGCGCGAAAGGGCCTTTGCTCCCAGCCTCTCCTTCCCCCGAGTCCTGTCCCGCCGCCGCACCCTGAGCCTCAGCGATGTTCAGGTCCTCCAACTGTCTCCTCAGCTTCTCATTTTCGAGCTTGAGCTCCAGGAAGGAGTCGAGGACGGTCACGCCCTTGGAGGGGTAGACGCGACAGGAGCAGAAGAAGCATTGTGCTTCGCTTCGTCGGGCGAGGGGAAGGGGGTACTTCTTTGGGCGCGGAGGGCTCGAGGATGAGGTGGTGGCGACGGGACCAGAGCTAGTTGAAGCGGGCTTGTAGATGGCGGAGCCGTCGTTTGAAGCTTCTTCCAGCTTGGCGTTGGCGTTGGCGGTAGCACTGCCGGTGGATCTTGACTTGGTCGTCAGGCTGGAGTCGTTGCTGTTGCTGTTGCTATTACTGGTACTCCCCTCGTCCTCCTCTTCGCGAGCCCCTGCCACTTCGTCGCGCGATGGGTCCACATCGACTGGCACATGATAGACATGACCACTCATCTCAAACGTCACCCAATCGGCATCCGGGTCCACCTCGCCCACACTCGCCGGGTGAGGTTTACCGCTACGCGCCCCCGCCCCGTACTCGTCGCTCGGTGTGGTAGACGAGTCCGCCGAGCTAGACATTGCTGCGGAGGGGGAGCGAGCTTGACGCTGCCCACCCGCACCGGCGCCGGCACCCGCAGCACCGCCCGCCGCTCCATTCTCCTTTGCAAGCCTCACCTTTGCCCTCGCAGCAATCGTTGCAGGGTTCCTCCTGAACCGGTAGTAGAGCAACATGTCCTCTCCCGTCTCCAGAGAGCGTGCCAACTGTCTCTGCAAGGCAGGCGCGTCCTGCGGATGAATGAAAGAGAAGAGGCTCTCCCCCTTGAGAGAATCGGCCTTCCAGCCCGTAATGCCGTGCACACTGTTCGTCGCGTGGACGATGCGCGCTTCCTGGTCCGGTGAAAGGACAAAGGAGAAGTCCAGCAGCTCATCGACGACACGATGCGCCCAGCCTTTGCGGCGGGTAAACTCGTGCGCGGCTTGAGCGCCAGAGGAGGCCGAGGGAGAGCCGTCTTGCCCTGCGCGGAGGAGCGTCGTCGTCGTCGTTGTCGGGGCTAGGCTGGAAGAGGGATGCGCTTGTGCGTGTGCATGCGCGTTTGCACTTGCGGCGGCGTGGCTGTTAGTGTTATTGCCGATGCCGACCTGCTGAGAAGAGACGTAGGTGGGTGCGCTAGAGCTCTGTCCTGCGCTACTGTCCCCGGCATAGATGGGACCACTACCCTTGGCTGCCTGGGAGCGTGGCTGCTGGCGTTGACGCTGCTGCTGGTGGTGTTGTTGATGATGAGCGAGTCCCGGAGCAATCGATGCGGGCATGGCAGACAAGTTGCCAGCACCATCGATGCTTCGACTGTTCTCTGCGCTTGCTCGCTGCAACGTCTCTGCAGCCATGGCTTCGAGGTCGCGAGAGTTGACGACGTGGTTGTTGCCGCCTGCCGATGTAGAGAAAGGTGGAAGAGGCGCTGCTGGTGCTGCCCTTCCCCACGCATTGCTCAGGCTGCGCATGCCGTCGTCGTCGCCGTCGTTTATCGCGCTACTCTCAGGCTGCTGATGATACATCGCCGCACCATGTCCCGGCGGTCTCCCTCTGCCAGCCTGATGCGACGAATCGACACCGGAGAAGGTCATCCTGCGCCTCTTTGTCGAAGCAGTCGATGTGTTTCCACCACTGTCCGAGCTCTCTTGACCCGGGGTCAACGATTCGCCTCTCGCCGCCGCTGCCAGTTGCTGATTGAGCGCCGTCCTGCTCGCTGATGCGCCGTCCCAGGATGCTCTGCCTTGCTGGTATCCGCCACCAATGGAGCGACCAGCATCGTAGGCCAAGCAGGACGAGGCAAAGGAGTTGTTGGAATTGCTGAAGCGCATAGAGGGAGCTGCCATACTCAAGTCACCACCAAAGCCGGCATTGTGATCGTGGTTGTTGGGGTCCTGACTCCAATCGAATCCATGCACAGAGCCACTCGCACCGCTGCTGTTCGGTCTAAGTGGGTTGATGAGCCCATTGGCCTGCAATGCAGCGACAGCCGCAGCAGTCGAAGCATCCGCAGCCGCCGTCGCAATGGGGTCGCTCTTGTTGTTGTTTGCTTGCGGATCGACGTTTTGATCGAAAGTCATCATCGAGGAAGGGGGAGCACCTGCCCCTGCAGCCGTGTAATTGTGTAGAAGAGCGTCAAAGTCTGCGTTGGACATGGTGCGCGGCAAAAAGGAGGAGGCGGGGTCAGGGGCGACGGACGACGACAGTGAGTCATCGCCGCCAGCTATCGGCGGCTGGAGATGAATCGCTTGGTCCATATCAGCTGGACCCTCGACTTGCACTTGATCCCAGATCCAGCCTGACCCGGGAGCTGAGCTCGTGCCTGTGCCCGTGCCCGTTCCTCCCGGACCATCCATTGAGGCGGCGAGGCGGCAAAGAGAGTAGCGGGCCGCGTAGGGCGAAGGGGGGAAGGAGAGACGGCAACGACGCCCTCTGCAGTGCGGTGCTCAGGAGGAAGGGAGAATGCCGAGCTCCCACTAGCAAGCGGCAGGTGGGTTGGCAGAAGAAGAAGAAGGAAGAAGAAGGAGCGACGCCGAAGTAGCGGTAGTAGTAGTAGTCGGTGCTCTAATGTAGCGCCCAGCGCCGTAGTAGTGAGGGCAAAGGAATTGGACGAGCCTGGGCCGGTAGGTAGGAAGACGAGGAGAAGGAGGAGCAGGAGCAGGAGGAGCAAGAGGGTGGGGGCCACTGCTCCCTCGGTTTGCTTCTACTTCGAGGGCAACAAGGGTAATACAGGGCAGAAGAGAGCAGGGTCGCAGGTCCGTCTTGTGCCTCGTGTGTGTGTGCGTGAGAGTGTGGCCGGAATGATTTTGAAGAGGAAGAGAGATCAGGCCAGACGAGACAAAGTCTTTCTCACGATTCCAACGGGGGTGGTAGCTCGACCCGACGGAAAAGAGCCTACGGTGAATGGACCGATTTGTCGAGCAGAGGAGGGGGGGAAAGAATCGCAGCGAACGGGCGATGATGGTGATGAAGAGGTATAGGGAAAAGAGGGAGAGACGAGGGACGGGACACGGCATGGCAAGGCAAGGCAAGGCAAGGCCTGCCTCACTCGCTCACTCGCTCGCTCGCGTCTCTCGCACGACGGTTGAGCCTCGCTGCTGCTGCCGCTGCTGCCAGACTGCGACGAGCAGAACTCAGGGCGAGCGGGCCAGTCAGCCAGCCAGCCAGTGACGGGCCACAGGCGCAGGGCTCTCTAACCAACCAAGTCAAGTCAAGTCAAGCACGCCAACCCTCAGCTCTCAGCTAGCTCTTCCCGCTCCGCTCCGCCCCTTCCTCCCTCTCGTGCAGCGGGTCAACCAAACAGAACGGCTGAGCTCAGACGAGACGAGACGAGACGCTAAGGACCCTGGAGAATGGTGGTCAGCCACGCGGATGGATGGATTGACTTTGGTTAGGGTCAGAACACCGAGCTTACTGAGCAGGCACGGCAGACGGCACGGCAGACGGTAAAGTGGTACACTCACGCGTTGCGGGTTGTGGGTAGCGGGGAGCGGCCTGTTGGGAAGGGGTGTTGCGAGCAAGCAATCACGCAATCAAGCAATCAAGCAAGATGAGACGAGCTGCACGACACGACACGATAAGGGTCCGGACATGAAATGGACCTGAGCTGGGTATGCGACGAATCTATTTCTATGCACTCGCACTCGCGCTGCGGCCCGCGATGAATCCTCTCACGGTATTGCGCAGTCCCAGGGTACCTCTTTTGCTCCCTTGCCCTTGGCCATGCCCCCGCCTCCTACTGGCAAGGTATAGAGCGCTGAGGAAGATGGCCAATATGAGGAGCGGGGAGGAGGAGGAGATGTGACCGTAGCCCTGTGGGAATTGTGTCGCCCCTTGCCCTCCTGTTGCTCTTGCTGTTGCTGTTGCTCCCGACATCCGCCCGCCAGCCGCAGCTCGTAGGCGACGATGACGTTCCGTCGCTTCACGCCACTTGCGCTCCCCGTCGTCCTCCTTCTCCTGGCCCGCATCCCCATCACGCTCACCATCCCTACCCCGCGCCCCCTCTCGATCAGCAGCACCTCCCCTCCCAGCGGGTAGCACCAACCCGCCGACGACGCGAATCGGGCTGACCACGACCCGCAAGAAGCGCGCCACCTCCCACCTAAGCTGTCGATTCCACGCGAGGACCCTCAGCACAAAGAGGTAGCTCAACGTCCTAAACAGATCGCGCCATCGTCGTCGAACAGTCATCTGTCGCTGTCGTCCGGCCGTCCCATCTACGGCGTACGCGCGGCCGCCTTTCCCTCTCGTCGTCGGCTTGCGAGGCGCAGCACCACCCGCAGTGGAGAGAGAGGTGGTGGAGGCGAGGCCCGCAAGATTTGCACTACTAGGCGCAGCGCTGGGAACGATGTAAGCCGGATATCCCCAGAAAGGGTTGGAGGAATTGTACGGAGAGACTGCGCCTGGGATGCGAGAGTACTTGCGCGATCGGTGCAGGGAGATGGAGCTGTGTGCTTGTGGCGAGGATGGCGAGGATGATGGGCCATGAACATCATCCTGCTCGTCCCCGTCCCCTTCATCGTCGTGTAATCCCATCTGGTCGCTGTGGCCGTGCTTCTCTCGCTGCTCCTCCACAGCAGACCCATCCGCGCTCGTTGCTCTTCCTCTACCCCTCCTGCTCCATCTCCTCAAGAATCCCAACCTCCCACCACCACCAACACCAGCAGTCGGAGCACCCTGTCTCGTCTCTCCCGCCTTGCCACTCTTGGCACTATCACTCCCACTACCACTATCCGTGTCCTCCTCCAAGTCCTCCGAGTCGGCGTAAGGTAGCCGCGCCTGCGCCTGCGCTTGCATCTGCGTCTGATGGGCAGAGAGGTCCTCGTCGAGATCAAGGTGGAAGTCCCGAAAGCTGCGGGTGCGACGAAATGTCGAGGGTGCAGTGGAATTTGAGGTTGAGGTCGAGGTTGACGCCGCCGTGTGAGAGTCAGGATGATCCCGATCCCGATCCCGAGCGCGGACGGTTGATGCTTCGCTCGCACCACTTGCAGCGCTCGCATTGCTCGCACCACTGTCCACCCGTGAGCGTGATTGCCCTCCCCCTCTCCCCCACGCGGCATGACGGTGTGATCCATCATGACTGGCTACGCCTCGTGTCATGCCCAACTCCCTCAACTTGCGAGCAGCATTGGCCGTCATCTGTAACCCGTAGGCGCTCGTCTCCCCTCCTGCTGCGTTTCCTCCTCCTCCTGCCTTGTGATTGGGCGTGTTAGCCCCTGATCGCCTGCTAGGCGTGAAAGCCTCGTAGCTGATACTCCTCGGCGTGAAGTACGCATCTGCCATGCTCTCCCACGAAGCAGTGCGAGAGAGGGTTGCCCCTCCTCCTTTACGAGCCGCGACTGGGGAGCCAGGTGCCGAACCTCTCGGGCTGGTCGGGGCGCTCCCGCCCCTCAGTTTGGCAGGCCTGCCCAATCGTCGCATCACTTCGTTGGTCCCCTCGTTGATCTGTACCTCCCACCCTCCACCGAAGGAACGGGGTACCTTTTCCCTCTTGAAGTGGCCCGCCTCCCCCTTCCCGCCCTCCCTCTCCTCGCTACCACATAGCTCCTCTGTACTCGGAAAGAAGATCTTGGCCAACGCCTGAGCTGGGAGGATGCGTTTGGCTAGACCCCACATGCCCGCGTGCACCCAGCCGTAGTTGAGGACAAGGACTGCTCCTACCATCGATGGGTAGTGGTTTTTGAGTAGGTCGAGGAGGAAAGGGAGGAGCTCCATTTCTAGGTTGGCCATGGAGGAGTGACGAAGGTCGATGGATATAATCGTTTGGAGGGGGCCGTGAGACTTCGCGAGGAGGGAGGGAGGGTCCCCCTTGTCGTCGCCATTATCGTTGTCTTCATCGCCGCCGCCGCCGCCGTCGTCGCCGTGATGCCTCTCTGCCCACTCCTCGCGCTGTTGGGCTATCCGTCGCCTAACAATCTCCATGCAGGCAACAATGTACTCCTTGCACTCATCCAGCGTTCTCTCCTCCGTCCTCTCCAAACTCTGTAGCGATATTACCCCAGCAGGTCGACCGTACGCGTCCGTGAATCGATGGTCGCCCATCCAGAACAAAGGGGGTCGCCCACCAGGTGGAGAGGTGTAGAGCGGGTGCAAAGAGGAGAGAGAGAGTTGATCCAGGTCAGTGCGAAGCCGCCAGGTCAGGGTGGCAGAGAGGAGGGAGAGGCAGGTTTGGTGAGAGAAACGGGAGCGTCGAAGGAAGCGGAAGATGGTTGCTGCCGCGCGAGGAGAGGGGAGCGGAGAAGCAAAGAATATACGGGAGGAGTTGCTCAGTCAGCCCACTCGATAGCATACACGCAGGGATGCTATGATGCGACCCGATGCGATGCGATACCGATGCGACTCACCTCGATCCTCCAAGAAGGTGCGCACACGATCCTCGATATCGTCCTCATCTCCCCCTCCCTCTCCTCCGCTATGCTCCTCGACCAATTCGGGCAAAAGCTCATCAATGGCTCTCTGCTGAACCTCATCCACATCAGCTCGATGCTCGACGTACTGCCGGACCAAGTCTCGCTGTTTCTGGAGGATGGCCTCAGCAGCCGACGCTCTATTGCGACCGGGCATGACCGCTGACTTCTTTCTCCTCCTAGGTCGCGGTGTTGGGTTTTGGTGTGGGTATATGCTATGATGAGGTGTGGTAGAATGGAAAGGAGAAGGCGGTGAGTGGGTGTATTCATGCAGGCCAGGTTAGACTAGGCCAGGGCAAGCCGGCTCGCGCCAACCACTTTCGGTCCGCCCTCGAGGTGCAGACGCCGAAGCCGGACCCACGAGGGCGTGAGGCGCGAGGTGTGAGGCGTGAGCTCGAGAGAGTTGAGCCACGGAGCAACCGACTCGCAAAGGCCAAGGCGGAGGCGGATGCGGGCTGGCTCGAGTAGGCAGCGCAGGGTTGACTTGTAACTGGCAACTGGCAATTGGCAATTGGCAACCATCACGCGACGATGACCAGAGTATCCAGCGAGGAGGTACGTCCCTACTCAGCAGCATATACGCAGTTCCAGATAACCAATTACAGCATGCTGACCTAGATCCACGCCATCCCACCACTCTGCAGTTCCTCACCGGCTTGGACCAACTATTCACCCAAGCCACATCGAGCGGGTCAGTCTACCTATCATCAAAGCGCGCTTCTCATCCCAATGACGCGCGCGTCCCAGATGACGACGGGGATGTAGACATGGCCACCACCGTATCATCCGCAGGTCCCTCCTCCTCCTCCTCGTACTCCCTCATCTTCCGCGCCACCAACGGCAAATCCACCTCACGCACCAAACTCTCCGTCCTTATCCCCTCTTCCTCCCTCGCCGCCTTCCAAGAGAAACTCCAACCCTTGCTGCGCAACCACCTCTCCTCCTCCCTCCGTAAACGCGATAAAGCAAAGGAGCGTCGAGTGGACAAGGATCTTTCCTTGCGCAGGAAGAAGGATGAGGAGCTTGGTGGATGGAAAGGGGTGGGCAAGTTGGGGAGTAAGAGGGGGAAGGGGCATAGGAAGAGACAGAGGGCAATGAAGAGGGCTATGAAGTTGAAGGGGGAGGAGGGGAGGGAGAGGAAGAGACGGGAAGCTACGGCGGCGGCGGGTGGTGGAGGCGGTGAGGGTGAAGCGACACCGTCACAGCCGGGACAAGCGACGCCCACGGCCACGTCCGCATCCCAGGCGGCAGCAACAGCAGCAGCAGCTACGCCTGTGGCAGGAGCAGGGGGAGGTGGAGGCGCAGGGGCAGGTAACAAGAAGAAGAAGAAGGGAAAGAAGTGAGAATATGGGTCGCAGACAAGGACAGAATCGTACAGCGCACCACAGCACAGCAAAGCACAGCAAAGCAAGCTAAATGACTCCACGTCACACAGCCTTCGCCTGGCTACAAAATGCATCATGACATGGTGTCCCACCCTCCCCTCCTACAATGACTTATCCCCAAGGATTCTCCTCTTCGAGGTTCAACCCGGTCCGCGTCCCCGTCCCCGTTGCCGCGCCACGCTCCTTGCCTGCGCCGTCGACCTCACCGCTCACGAGGGAAGAGGAACGCTCCCTCTCCCTCTCGCGCACCGAAGCCCCGTAGGACGTCTCGAGTGGGCGAAGCGGCCCGGAAGAAGAGAAGACTGATCCTGACCCTGACGCTGCTGAGCGAGGAGGAAAAGGAGAAGGATCCCCCCACCCTTCCCCTCCTGATATCGATGTCGATGTAGACCATCCCTCATTGCCCGCCCCACTACCTCCTCCTCTACCGCTGAATGCCTCCTGTCTGTTCGTACCGCCCCCGCCTCCGCCAAAGCGTCGTGCAAGCTCCCTTGCTTCCTCCGCGGACAGACCGTACGAGGTGGCCGTCGCGCCTACACCTAGTCGCTCTGCCTCCCTTCCCTGATCCTGATTCTGCTCTCCCCCCTTACCAAGCGGGAAGGGGCGCTGTGCCTCCTCCCCTTGCTCCTCGTCGTCATCATCAAAATCACTCGCAAAGGAGAGGTTGACTCCACCTTCCCCCCCTCCTATCGACGTGGCTGGAGGTGGTGGGAGGGGTGTGCTCGCCGAAGAGGACGAGGAGGAGGCATAACTGAAAGGAGCCCTCCCCGTTCCCGGCCCTGTACCGAGCAGAGGTGAGTCCCGCCCAGTAGCAGAGCCGGTCCCGCTAAACCCTTCGCCGCCCGTGCCGAGAGGAGGGGTAGCCATCCCTCTCCCGCTCATACGGGAGCCCATAGCAGTCGTCGGTCGACTGGACGTGGACGTGGACGTGGATGGGGTCGAGGAGCCCGAGGCGACAGGGCCTGGGATCGTGGCCGCACTATTCCGTCGACTAGAGCTAGCTGAGCCACTCGAAAGGTAGAGTGGGCGCGTCCCGCTCCCGCTACCGCCTTGTGCTTGTGCGCTCATCAGTGGCGCGGGGACAGGTGCCGACGGCGGGACTTGAGGCGTGGTAGGCGTTGATGGGCGAGTAGATGAGGCAGAGGCGGAACCTGATGTAGTAGAGGTAGAGGTAGAAGAGGACTTAGAGGAGCGCGACCCGCCAAAGAAGCTCGAGAGGCTAGCCTTGAATCCGCTCCCGGGCGCGCTCTTCGTCGCAGTTGCTGCTGCTGATGACGGTGCTGGCTTGCTTTGCGTGCTCTGCTGGCTCTGCGCAGACGCGGCCGAAGGCGTCGAAGGCGTCGTGGGCGTGCTTGGCGTGGTACTAGCCGATCCCTCCGCCTCCACCCCAGGGAGAGGGGTAGGGATAGGCTTGGGCACCAACCCCGTCTTCTCGAGACTGAGCGCGGGGAGGGAGCTCTGTAGCTCCTTGACCTCAATTCCCGTTTCCCGTAACGAGGCTACCAGTGCGGCCGTATCTATGTGGGTGGAGAGGTGTGCGGGCTGTTCCGATTCTGGGGTGAGGGGAGGAGGGGGGGAGGATTTAGAAGAGGATCGGGAAGGCGATGCGGTGCGCTCGTCACCAGAAGCGGAGGCGGAGTCGTGCTTGGTGGATGAGGCGACGTGCTCCTCCCGTGGGGGTAGATCGTCCTCGTCCTCGTCGTACTCGTAGTCATTGCTGCTGCCCTGCGCAGGAGTAGCAGCAGCAGAAGCAGACCCTGACGGCGGCGCAGCACCGACCTGCTCGCTCTTTTCTCCCCGCTTAAACATCCTCCCCAACCCCCCACCCTGCCTCGCCCTAATCTCCCTCTCCTCCCTCTCCATCCCCTCTGCCACCACCTGCCTATCAGGCACCTTACTCAAATCCTCCGGCTCATCGAACCAATCCTGTGTAACCCTAAACCCAACCTCACTCAACACCAAAGGCATAAAAGCCCTATACATCAAATGACCCGGTACGTGTTGCGTGACATCCACATTCTCCACATCGGCCACCCGCTCCACGGGGTGCAGGCCAGCAATACTGCGCAACCCGCCGGATGTGGCACGAAAGAGGTATCCGAGGATCCAGTCAGTACGGGAGAAACCGTTGACGAAACGACCGGGAACGACGGAGCGGGCTGAGCGCCACACGGCGTCGCTAGCCGTTACGGGGGCGCCGAAGAGGTACACATTTTGTACTACGCCGTATGCCTTCTTTTTCGCAAGCTCGCACAGGCAGTAGAAAATCGCCCGCGCCCCCAAGGAGAAGCCCACAAGCGTGATAGGCCGCACGCCCAGCTGACGTTGGGAGAGTACATCGGCGAGGATCTTGCCTGCCGCTTGGGCGCGGGTGCAGGCGTTGCTCCATGGATTGTCGATTAGGTAACCTAGCTTGGTGAGCCATAAAGGCCAGGCTAGGGCGCCGAGCAATCCACCGGCAATGGTGGTCATGAGGACTTGCTGTACGCCCATGATGACCGTCTCGTTCCAGAGGAGGAACATGGCATTTCCCATCTCTTGCATCATTTCTGGCTCCCACAGGACGGAGAATACATCCCCCATTATCGAGTCGATGACGCTAAAGGGCAGCCGGACGTCGTCTTGTGGGCCAGAGGTGAAGCCGGGAACGGTGACGATGCAGTTTATGCGCTTGTTGTTGTGGATCGGCTTGAAGAGGAAGGTGCGGACACTCTGCGTGCGTCGAGCCATACCACGACCACCGAGGGCGGCGCCCGCTGAGGCGCCCGTTGTGGTAATAAGGGCCGCTCCGCCAATACTGCCGAGGAAGGTCGATGTCCCGCCTATCCCCACTCCACCAAGCAGGGCTGCCAGGCCTGATCCGACTAGTGGGGCTGCTAGACCCGCAGAGAGGCCGATGACCAGACCCCCACCTACGGTGGCTAGGCCGACCATTGCCCACTTGCGGTTGCGTGCTTCCTTCTCACGGCGGGCAATTGCCTTCTTGTCCTTCAAGCGCTCCACCCCCTCTTCGATCTCGAGGGCGTCCGTCACCCTCTTCTCGAACTTGGTCACGTCCATCCACGTCAATCCGAGTCGCTCGGCCACGCGTTCCAGGAGGACGCGAGAGCGAGAGTCGTAGACGGAGTCTGCTGTGAGGACGAGGAAGAGGTCGCAGAGGACCGTCCAGCGCAGGTCGAGGGTGATGTGCGTGTCCGCCGTGGAGATGGATGTTGTGACGCCGGGCAGAGCGTTTGGTGGTGGTTGAACCTGTTGTGGGGAGGAGGTGAGGCCAAAGTGCGTGGTCCCGCCCCCTTCTGGCTTGGAAGCATTGGCTGCCGTCACGTTTGCTTCGTCGGCGGCTAGTTGGGCAGCTGTGTTGGGGTCGGCACGGGCGGGGCCTGCGAGGGGAGGAGTTGATGCTGATGGGCTAGCGGCGGGTGGCTGGAACTTGGGAGATCCCGGGGTGGGAGTCGCTGCACCTTCCGCTAGAGTGGTGATGTCGCCCTCATCGTCGTCATGCGCTGGGCTAGAATCGGAATGAAGGGTGTCTGTGCCCTGCTTGACGGGTGATGAGGGCGCGCCCAAGTCTCCATCGTCCTCCTCTGCTGGTCCCGCATTCCCTTCTCGGTGTGACGGCACAGGCGCATGCTTCGACTGAGGTGATTGCAATGCGCCACCAATATCGCCATCGCCGTCGTCGTCTTCGTCATCCCCACCATCACCAATCCCTCCCTTGTCGTGGTGGAGTTTGTCTCCCTCCGCCTGATCCACCTCGACATCGCCCTCCCCCTCCGGCTCCTTATCTTCAACACTCCCTCGTGCCCGCTCCTCCTCCTCCTCCCTCTCCTCCTTAGCCACAGGATCAAAATCGGGATTCTCCACCTTGGAAGTAGTAACAAGACTAGGCGCCAAATCCGTCGGCAACACACCATGTTCCCCCAACTGCCCAATCATCTTCTGCTCAGAGGCATCGATGTCCATGTGTTGAAACAGTCTAGCCTCGACGCGAAGTTGCCACTCCTCTGCACTCTTGATCGCCGAAGCCAGATCCTTTCCCGAACCGGGGATACGACGCAATTGATGTACGAGGTGCTTGGCCTCCAGAGAGCATAACCCCACATAGGCGATCTTTTGAGATTCGGAGAGGAGAGCCTTTGTGGTCATCATTTGGCTTAGAGGGGTGGCGTTTGTTTCATTTTGGTGGTAGGAGTAACCGACGGATGATTCCACTGGCTGACCAGGAGTAGGAGCAGCATTGGGACCTTCTGTGGGACCTCCGGCGCCAAAGAGGTATTCGGTGGCAGCGTGCAGCTCGTCACCTTCGACGTCCTCGTCGAGGCGGAGCTGCGTATAGCCTTTGCCCTGCTCGTCCTCATCCGATTCTGCATCGCTGTCGTCGTCGTCGTGCTTCGACGAGATAGGCTTGCTGCGCCAGTCGTAGCCGCGGGCGTCGTCTACATTCAAGCTGCGGCCCGTTGCGTTCGTCGTTGTGGCCGCACTCGATGATGTTGTTGAGGCGTGGGAGAATGCGGCGGCGGCGGCGGCCCCTCCTCTTCGCCCCTTGTTTGAGGACTGCCTCTTGTGTCGGGTGCGTCTGCGCGTTGAAGATGTTGTTGACGAAGAAGACTCGTTGCCCTCGTCGCCGCCGTCGTCGTCATCATCCGATGATGATCCATATCCGTACCCGGTTGGAGGGCCTTCATACCCATACGGCGCCTCATCTTTTGCCGAGGACGAGGAGACGACGGGCATGGCCTGCCACTCGTCATCATCGTCGACGACGGGCATTGTGAGCGGGGCGGATGGCGTGGACTGCGCAGGAACAACAAAGGACGTCGTCGATGGTGGGAAAAGCAATGTGTTGAGTTGAACCTGAACCTGACAGGCACCCGCTCTCGACTGGCGGCACTCTCGCTCTCGCTCCACCCCGCATCAGCTTGTCTTCCAGGTCCACACGTCCAGGTCCAGGTCCGAGCCGCTCTCGCTTTCCTTTCCCGCCTGCCTCTGTCCGTCCGTCCGCGCAGGGCGCAGATCTCGAGTCGACTTTCAAGGCCAACCGGCCAATCAGCCATTCAAAGCCACCTCAACGTCGCAACGCAACGCAACGCAACGCAATGAGCTCTCCATGAATGATCACAAGGCTCCAACGACCATGCATCTTCATGGTATCAAAGCGCAACAACATCGCCTCTACGTCAAGCGGCAATCTCCTTCTCGACGCACTGGATAGTGTGGAGTGGCAACCCCCTGCCCCGAGCAACAGCACAGCCGCGGCGTCGGCGGTGAGGTCAAGCTCAACAACGGCCTCACACTCTACAGGTGTCAGGGCAAGATCGTTTGCCTCTTCGCCCTCTGCCGCTATAACAAAGAAGAGCAAGAGCAAACGCATTGACCCTTCACCGCCTGCCCGAAGCGATGAGAACGACGATGATGCAGCAGGCCCTGCAGGATCATTCATTGCCCAGCTCATCTCCTCCAAACGCGCTGAAGAGCCAGACTGGTCTTCCTACAGCCTCGCCCGACTGAGGGAAGAAGTCAAGAGATGGGGTTATCGCTCTAGCACATCAGACAGGGAAGAGCTGCATGAGAAGGCTCACTCTATCTGGTTGGCCCTAAAGCCTGACACGCTAGCGCCGGCAAGGTCAAGGGCCTCACCCCCTCGTGCTCCACCACCACCAGAGTCTCTCTCTCGTACGGGTACGGGCAAGTCCCCTCTCCTCTCCCCCACCCTTCAAACCCACCTACTCACCTCAATCCACTCCGACTCCCAACTCCACCGCCGAATCCTACTCATGGAGCCCGTCCCCTTCGAGGAGGTCTGGTCCATAGCGCAGCGTCATGGTCTCGTGGACCTCTTGCACGAGCACGAGAAGAAGCGCGGTTGGGCGAACAAGTTGAAGGAAGAGGTGAAAGTCTGGTTGGATCAGAGGGGCGTTGTTTGGTATCAGGGGGAATTGTCGGGGTGGAGAAGGGATAGGCGTTAGATCGTGATGGGAGGGGGGATCGAAGGGGGGGTGGATGGGACAGCAGAGAGAAGAAGATTTGTTCTTTCTTTGTTGATACACGAGACGAGAAGCAAGAGAGGGGGAAAAAAACACAAAAAGTTAGAAGTCCAACGCAAATCGTAGAGCCGCATTTCAATCAATCAATCAATCCACATCATCGCTCCCCGCTCCCCCTACACCGCTAAGCGCACTCCTCGGACTCCCCGGCATTGCAGCTGTGCCCTTTGCGTTTGCGCCGTAGAACTTCTGCCTCAAAGCAGCCAGTCGCTCCTCGGTCGCACTACTCGCCCTCCGCTCCGGGCTCCCAGCACCACCACCACTGCCTGCCGCTTCGCTGAGATGCGAAGGTACACGCCCGTGACCCAGGCCGGACTGAGAGGTGCGTGTAGAGTTACGCGCCGAAGGTGGGGGGCTGACGGCGGCACCGGCACTAGGGGGCGCGGCCGGGGAGGTGGGAGTCGGGATAGGACTCGTCGTCGCCCCTCCCCCTTCCTCGGCATCGCCCCGCTCCTCATCCTCGGCCTTGTGATTGGCCAATGCCCGCTTGATGTATCGCTGGAAGATAGGCCCCGTGCTCTGCAGGCTGCGCTCGATGTGCGGCTGTTTAGCTGGGAAGCGTTTTTGGAAGTCGTACAAGTCCTTGATGGCTTGGCGGGACTGCTCCTTTTGAGAAATGCGCTCAAAGATGTCCTTCAGCTGAGCATTCGCCGCCGAGTCTGCATCGGAGGAGCCAGTCGTCGAGGAGGATGCGAGGTGCGGAGAGGAGCTACTTGACGAGTTCGTTGCGACTTGGCCGTGGCCATGGCCATGGCCATTGCCGTTGAGACCCGTTGTGGGGGTGGAGGAGGAAGGCGCAGGCTGCTCATCATCGGACTCTCCCTCCCCCTCTCCCTCCTCACCCTCTCCTTCTCCACTCTGATTGATCATCCTCACCAAAATCCTATAAATCTCCGCCCCCTCGGGCTCCTCCAGCTTGTCCAAATGACTCAACACGTCCTCCCCCAACGCCGTAACAAAGTGGCTCAGCACGACCTTGACCGTGCGCAAGGGCAGATCGGCCAGCTTGACCTCATCCCTCGCGCGAGCCTTCCACTCCGCCGCGGGGATGCGCTGCAAGAAGGCCTCGAGGACGACGAGAAGCTCCGCAGGCTCTACGGTGCCCTCCTGTAGGCTGGTGGGGAGACGTCGCCCCACTTTCCAGAGACACTTGATGATCAGCTCTGCGAACCTGAAGCGAGTCTCTAGCGTCGCTCCGCTCAAGTCGCGCAAGTCCTCCGTCGCATCGCCCAACATCGTGAAGCTGGTGTCGTAGAGCACGTTGAGGTTGCACGAGCCGAAGCATCGGATGACCACCTTGTTCAAGTACGTGGCGTAGGTGCGTGCCTCTTCGTCGTGCTTGGCTTGGAGGGACGTGTCGATCAGTCGCTGGAGCAGCTGGGTCATCAAGGCACCGAGGCTCTTCTTCTCGATGAAGGACGCGACGGTATGTCCCTGCCTGGAGCGCATCTTCGAGTCAAAGAGGGTCGACGCCACCTGAATGAGGTACTTCCTCAACCTGGCATTGGCTCCCTCGTTGGTCGCGTTTTTGCCGAATGCCCTGCTGAACTGTTTGGCAAGCACTGAGGCGAGCTGGTCAGCAGAGGGGGCAAAGGGGGCAGCATCGGCCTGCATCTCGTGGTGGATCGCCTTGAGTGCCTGCGTGGATCGCGTGGGCTCAGAAGAGAGGATTTCGCTGATCGCTTGCTCGATGTCTGGCTCTCCCGCTTCGTCTTCTTCGATGCGTGTGGCCTCGGCTTCTTCCTGCACCGTGTCCTTGCCCGGGAGCTCGTCGGGCGCTTCCTCAGCCGCAGCGTCTACCGTCGAAGGCTCGCGCACGGCGGCAGCCAGCTTGGAGGAGGCACTTGTTGAGGGCAGTCGACTCTTCGTTCCAGGCGCAGGGATGCCAGACGCGATCCGAGTCGTCGTCGTCGTCGGGCGCGGGATCGCTCGGGGTGATGACACGCCCACCCCCGCTGCTGCCGTCCCTCCCCCCGCAGCAGGCTTGCTCACCGTCGTCCTCTTGAGTCTCTCCTCCAACAAGCTCATCTCCTTATCCGGCATCTTCCCCACCAGCCCCCAAACCTCGTCCCCAACGATCTTATAGCACTCCCCCAACGCCAGCAGCGCGGCCGTCCTCACATTCGTATCTCTATCAGAGATGCTCTTCGCGATCACAGGCAACGTCTTTGCCGGCGTGCAGACTTGTAGCCCGTTCTTCGAAAAGAGGTATCCCAGCTCCCCAAGGCACTCTGCTCGCGTTCGCGCATTCTTGGAGGGTAGACCCGACTCGAGGTATTGTGTCATGAGCTTGCTTGGCGGGTAGATGAAGGTCAACTTCCTGAACGTGTCGCGTATCCGATCGCGGAAGGCAACTTTGGCGTCGCCGAACTTTGCGGTCAAGCAGGGGAGGATGGAGGCTGCCTCGTAGTCGCTCATGTGGTATTGTTCTGTTCGGAGTAGGTCGACGAGGTGGCCGAGGACATCGAAGCATTTCAGGGAGATGCTCGTGTTGTTGTCCGTCAGCCTTATCGCGATGTACTTGAGTATAAGGTCAGAGTTGGCCACCACGCGGGCTACGGCTTCCTGCTGAGGGATGCCGTACTCCTCCTCGGCGAAGGTGGGCGAAGAGACAAAGTCCGAGAGCAGTGCCAATGCGGAGAGGTAGTCTCGCTCGGCGTTGTGGTCGCGCGAGAACATGGAGTCAAGGAGGGAGCCGCCGAGATGATTCTCGCATTGCGAGCGCAGCGCATCGACAAGTTCCGGGCGGGCAGCGCCCTCTGCGTTGATCCATCCGCCGCGACCCTCCCTCTTCTCTCGCCCGACCTTGTGCTTGGTGTCCGAAGTGAGGAGTGGAGCCGACCCCGACCCTGCAGAAGATGAGAATGAAGAGGCCGCGGCCGCTCCGCCCGACGAGGCCATGACTGCCTTCTTGGCCACGCCGAGTCGCGATGAGAAGCCGGGCTTGGCTGCCGCAGAACCTGCGGGAGCTACGATGCGAGAGCCTGGGGCCTGGAGCGTGCGAGTAGCCGCCGAGGGCGGGCGAACACCGGCGATACGGGACGTGCCGGCGCTGGTCCGAGGCGATGCTGCAGGCGAGGGCGACGCGGAGCGCATGGCAGGTGAAGCCGGTCGAGCGGCAGAGGCTAACGATCTCACAGCGGGCGTCTTTGCCGCAGCTGGTCGCGTTGCTGGCGCTGCCCCCGGAGCTGGAGCCGCAGCAGCAACCGCTGGCGCTTTCAACGCATTAGCGGCCTGTCTGGCCTGATCGATCAAAGGCTGCACCGTATTCTTACTCGCGGCCTTCATCCCATCACTCTGCGCCATGACGAACTTGTACCCAGCCCTCTGAATGATGTACGGCAACGTAGCAAGCGCGGCCTTCTTTACTGCTGCGAGCTTATCGTCCAAGCAGTGCACGGCGTGGATGGCTAGCGGGGCGAGGTCGCACGACTTGTCCGGCGGGTGAGCCTCGAAGCGCGCTGCGAGCCAGGCGAAGAGGTCTTGCTTGAGCTGAGGGTTCGCCCCCTTCCCGTCTAGGACCGAAGCAAAGCCACCGATCATCGAGGGAACCCCAGCCGCATCCGCTATCGCGGTCAGGGTCGTCGCCGCAGCTTGGCGAAGCGGCGCTTTGGCGTCTGCGAGGCATTGCGCGACGGGAGGGACAAAGTTGCGCGCCTGAGGCTCAAAGCCCTTACCCAGCCCTGTGGCCAGGCGAGTGGCGATGTCCAAAGCCAGCTGCTTGCACATGATATTGCTGTCCGAGTAGCGCAGCTTGATCACTGGGGCTAGATCGCTCAGTGTGCCCTTGAGGCGGGTGTTGGCCTGCAGGATCGACTGGATCTCTTCGAGGGACTCCTTGCGCACCTTCCAATTGGCGTCGCCCATGTTCGTCAAAGCGGACGAGGGGATCAGACGATCAATATCCACGCGAGGGACGAGGGCGTCCAGTGCATCCTCCTCAGCTGCGGCGGCCGCCGCCGCATCTGCTGCACTTGCTGCTCCTCCTGCACCGCCTGCGCCTTCAGGCTTCTTGAGTTCAGCGCCGAATCGAGTGGGAGCTGGAGGTGGGTTAGAGGCGGCCTTCTCTATCTCGGCCTCGATTGTGGCCTTGAGCTGTGGGTTCAGGTCGCTGAGGAAGGAATTGAGCGTAGCCCCCAAGAAGCGGGCCAGCGTGCCCATGACCGTCGTTGCGTTATTTCTCACGGCGGCATTGGCTGACTTGAGGCAGGTGAGGAGATGGGCCACGAGCGACTTGACGTCCACGCCCGCAATGCCGAACTCGAGCAACGCCGCATCCACCCAGAGGAGCGAGTCTGCCACAGCCTTGGGCGCCTTGAGTGCAGCGAGGGGCACCAGGGCCTGCTTGAGCACGAAGCCAAAGGACGTCCGTTCGCTGTACGTCGTCAACGTCTCGCCAGCGGGAACCTTGAGCTTGATATCGCCCAATTTGTCGCACAGTGGCTGTACGCTCAATGCGACGCTCGCCCGCCCAAAGGTGGGGCACTGCTCTGCTAGTAGACGGAACACCTTGAACACCTCTGCGAACACCTGGAAGTTCGACTCTTTCCATCCGGGCTTCTTGCCTAAGGCGCGCACGATCAGTTCGGACTCGAGAGCCTCTGCCTCTCGATCGAGCCAAGAGTGGAAGGCCTGGATGCCAGCGAGACGCTCCTTCCAATTGGAGTTGGCCAGCTGGCCGGAGATTTCCGAGGGGATGAGGTCGGCAGCGCGAGACTCGGCGTCGTCTGGCGTGAAGCGGAATTTGACTGGCTCATTGACCGAGGGTGCGCCTGCGGCGGAGGCGCTCGCTGCGGCGGCGCGAGGAGGAGCTGCTCGTGCTGCTGGTGCTGCGGCTGCGGCTGGCTTGGCAATTGACGGACCGGGCTTGGCTGCAAGACGTGACGGCGGGCCGCGAGGCGGGGCAGCCATTGACGTGGGCTTGGCGGCAGGCGGGGCATTCTCCTTGTCTGCGCTAGATCGAGCCACTACGCGGGGCTGCGGCTTAGGGGCGGCAGCTGCAGCTGGTGGCGCCGCTGATCTCGCAGCTGGTGGCGCTGCTCCGCCCATTCTCACTTTCACCGTAGCCTTAGCGAACTCCTCCTGCACCTTGCCCTTCTTGATGTCGTCCAGCTGATCTAAGTAAGGATTCATCGGCCTCTCCCCGATCAACTTCATGAGCGTGCCTAGGCCCTGCGTCCCCGCGTCTCTTACATCCCCTGACCCGTCGGAGCATGCGGCGAGCAACGCGTCTGCGACTGGCTTGATGTCTCCCTTTGCTGGTGGCGTCTTGGTGGTTCGCAGGCAGCGGACAAGGAAGCGGATCGACTCGGTCTTGACATTTGGGTTCTTGTGCTTCGTGGCTGTAAGGATGTCCTCCAGCACCTCGCTCAGCGTGACCGTCTGGAAGATGGCGTCGAGGGTGGAGGCTAGAACGTCTACGGTACTCTGCTTCTTCTCCTTGAGCTTTTCGAGCAGTGGCGGTACCGTGCGATCCCTGTACTTCCCAAATCCGCCACGCATCCCCTTTGCCGCTGCCTCGAGACACTGGCAGGCAGTGAGCCATACATGGACGGTAGCGTCCTTCTTAACTCGTTCTACGCAGGCATCGACGAAGAAGTCGAATGCGTTGGTGGGCTGCAGCTTGACATTGGACGTCAGTACGGTTTTGGCTGCTTCGAAGGCCTCTTTTCGTTCAGACCACTTGGCGGACTTGACTTGCTCGTCAAAGCTAGAGGGCCACGCCTTTGCTTTGAGCGGGTCGACAGCCTCTGCCATCTCGTAGGCGTCAAAGTCTGCTGCGCCGTCTGCCGCGCCGCCATCATCCATGCCGCTTTGCGCTGATGACCCTCCTCCTTGTGCTGCTCCTTGCGGTGCCGCTGCAGCCGCAGCTGCCGCCTCTGCTGCGGCTTTTTGCGAAAAGAGGTGTCGAGTAGGTGTTGGCTTGCCTTGCCCCTGCTCGTCAATCTGTTGGAATTGCGCGCGCAGCTCCTTTGCCTGGATATCCTTGAGCGAGTCGATGGTTGGCTCCAATGCGGCGCCCAGGTATCGATGCAGCTCCACGGCCAACTGTGCCCCTTCAGCCCTGACTGTCTTGTCCGAATGTGCAAAGACATCGGGCAGTCGCTTGAGAATTGGCTTGGGTACGACTTGCTTTGGTCCAAAATCGCGAACAAGAGCCGTGAGGGCGGCTACGCAGCCGGACACGACTTTGGGTTGCTTGGCAGATAAGCCGCCGAGGACATCATCTACGAGGCCGCTGCATCCCATTACATCCTCTGCCTCGGCGTAGAGTGAGACGAGTTCGATGGCCGCCTTCTTTGTTCCACCTCGCGTTGAGCCAAGGCACTTTTCGACGACGGCAGGCAATACGGTCTCGCGGGTGCTGAGCGTGCGAAGGAGCATGCATACATGTAAGGCGTCAGTCAGCTGTATTGCCTCTTCGAGGCCTGCATTGGTGCCACGCGCAACTCACCCGCCCGCAGCTTTCCCTCCATATCTGACAAAGTCGCAAACAGCTGTCACTGCCTTTTCCTGTGCTACGACGTTTGAATCGACGACCATTGCCTTGACGAGGTCAGGATTACGGACGTATGGCTTGAAGATGGGATCGGTATCGTAGGCCGAGGTGGAGAATGACTTGGAGAGCTCCTCGTAGGCTGATACTCTTGCTTTCCATGCCTGCGAGGGCGAGTCGCGGGGGGAGAAAATGAAGAGGAAATGAGTGAGTAGGGGAAATGGACTGATCTGGCTAATCGTAGGCTGGTCTTGCTGCGCCCACGCACCTTGTGCTTCAATCGATCCTCGATGGGCAGTCGCGAGAAGTCCTCCTCTGCAGGAGCCCCAGATGGGCCCGCTGCGCCAAAGTCGTCCATGTCACAGGTGGGGTATCGATGTGGTGAGGAGGAGGAGGAGGAGGAGGATGTCGGTGTTCGGTGTTGGTTGGAAGGAAACAAAGTCGAGATCCGGTCTGTCTCGTCTCGTCTGGGTTCACGCGGATGCTGCGCCGCTCTCATCACTGGTGTTGCTTTCCCTTTGCTCTGTCCGCGCGCCACGCCTCTCTCTCCGCTCTCGTCTCTCTCTCTCCGCCTCTCCACCCCGTCCAAAACAACAAAGACGCGCGGAGCGAAGGCAGAGAGAGATGGAGACCGACTGCGATGGCGAGGATGGCGAGCAAGGGAGAGAGATGGTCACGATGAGCATTGCGATGATCGTGTGTACTCGACGATGAATCTACAGAGCATCGCAGTACTCAAGTGAACCTCATCTGGCTGGCTGCCCTGATGCTACCTCCCGTGTCCTCAGCCTGCCTATCGATGCGCAGAGGGGACGCCTCAAGGTGGGGAGTGATGCATCCATCTCCGTCGCCTTGATCGCCTCGTGTTGCACCCTCAATCGATGCTCGACACGTCGTCGTCGTCGTCGATGGTGACCCTCTCGCTCGCCCGCGATACGAGCATGCGTCTATCTTGGGGTCGCGCCGCGCCACGCCACGTTGTCGCACTGCGCCAAGCCGCACGGGTGCAGCGGAGAGACGAGGCACGAGGTTGAGCCACTCCCGTCTTGGCTGCCGTCTTGCCTTCGTTGGGTTGGGTCAATTTCGCAGCCTCTCTCTCATCCTCCCATCTCTGCGCTGCGAATCGGCATACAATTGCATTCGACTCACCATGGCCCGCTAATCACCCTTTTCTTGACACCACGATCATCATTCTGCCGCAATGAAGTAGTGAGTAGTAGCTCGATCTCTCCCGCGCCTCCGATCCCACCACCCTCCTCGTCACCCGCTCATTCCCATCTCCTCTTCCCCTCCTCATCTCGACGCATTGATCCTCGCAGCGGCCAATGGCTCGACGACCATGCGGTTCCCGAATGGCGAAGCGCCTACCTCAACTACAAGGGTCTGAAAAAGGTCATCAAGAGAACGAAGGCTCACCATCGTAGACGTCTCGAGCTCCTAGCCCAGGAGTACGGAGCACAAGACGCGCCGCCCACCTCGTCCTCGTCCTCGTTCAAATCCAAGTCCTCGCCCGAATCCCTCACTTCCCTCCGCAGCCGCGTCCGCTCCGCCCAACAGGGTACGGGATCCTATGGCTCCACATCCCGCTCGGCAGACTTGGCCGCTTACCCTCGCCCACCCCGCGAGGCAGCGGTGGATCCCATCACCCTCGAAGGGACGGGGTTGCGACTCACTCCTTCGATCCTGGCGAAACTCAGGGAGAGCGGCGAGAAGTCGAGACACCACAGTAGTGTTATGAGGGAGTCGGTTCAGAATCATGGGATTCACACGGATGTTGAGCAGGCCACGAGTGGACCAGCATATACCGCCGTGCGCGCACCACCTCCCCCGACGACTGCGCAGTCGAGTGGTACGGGCCACTCTCACTCTAAGAAGAAGCAGCAGCATCGTCGCAAGTCTACGGCGTTGAGCAACGGCGGTGGTGGCGGCTCCGGGGAGGACCTAGAATCGTACCTCTCCACCCTCTTCCCCGCTCCTGAACGTCTCTTCTTCCTCTGCCTCGACTCGGAGTTGCAGCGCATCACCGACTTTTACGAGAAGGAGCTCAGCGATGCGCAGACGCGTTTCTTGGCCTTGGCGCAACAATTGAGCGAGCTGGCCGAGCATCGAAAGCTGTACAAGGAGGCGGCAGATGCTCAGGCTGAGCAATTTGATTGGAGGGGGGTGTTGACCTTGAAGAGGAGGGAGAAGGAGCAGAATCGAGAGCAGAAAAGGGGTGGTGGAGCGCATAGTCATCATCCTCCTCCGAGCAATCGTCGCCAAGGAAGCTCGCAGGAGACGGCCATTGATCCTTCCGTGTCGCCCAGCGATGTCGAGCCCACATCGACAGACGTCGATTCGGACCAAGGCACAAAGCGGCGCTCTCTCGTGTTAGAGCGCATGCAGCAGCTCGCCGCGGCAGAGGAGCGCGACTCGCAGCGAGGCGCAGCCATCACTGGCCAGACGCACGACCCAGAGCGCTACAAAGCCGCCCGACACAAGCTCAAGGACGCCATCGCCGAATTCCACCGCGGCCTCGAACTACTGCGCACCTACGCCAATGTGCTGAACAAGACGGGCATGGGAAAGATACTCAAGAAGTTCGATAAAGCCCTCGAGGTAGAGACGGCACAGAAATACTGGCAGGAACGCGTCGAGCCCTCGGTCCTTGTCAAATCACAGCGCATCGATGACCTGCTGCGCAGCACCGAGGACGCCTTCGCTGGCTTCTTCGAGCACGGCGACCGAAAGCGCGCCTTAGACCGTCTACGAAGCCAGGGGCAGGTGGCGAGCGCCCTTCGCACGCACCACGGCGCAGCAGGTCGGACGGGACTCTTCCTGGGCATCGCCTTGTGCGCCATCGTCGGCGGGCTGGTCGAGGCCATGAAGCCCGAAACGCAGGAGCGTATACCGGCTTACGAGGCCCTCCTGCGCGTCTATGGTGCTCTGTTCATCCCGGTCCTCTTCGCCCTCCTCTGGGGTGTCAATCTGGCCGTATTCGCCCACGCGCGCGTATCCACCATCTTCATCTTCGAATGGAACCCGCGTACAGCACTGGACTACCATCAGTACCCTGAGCTACCGGCTTTCTTGCTTTTGCTGCTCAGCGTGGCATTCTGGGTCAGCTTCGTCAACCCTTTTCCCGAGTCCATCGCACCAACGACTTGGCCCCTCGTGTGGATCGTGGTTATGCTGGTTCTCCTCTCCTTGCCCGTGCCCGTCTTTCACCTACATTCCCGACTCTGGTTCATCAGGGCAATCGCTCGCGTCTTTACGGCCGGGGCTTTACCCGTCGTCTTTGCGGATTTCATCTTGGGAGACTTGCTCAACAGTATCGCATGGCCTATCTCGACGCTCTGGTTCATCGGTTGCGAATATCAGCGTGACTGGTAAGTATGCGCGCAGCGATCCCCCCCGCTCCCGGCAGCTCTATATGATCTGACCTCCTTTCCCCCGCCTCCACGCCAGGCATTCCCCGCAATGCTCACCAAACGACACGTACTGGACGGCCTTCCTCTCCTCCCTCCCCGCCCTTCTCCGTCTCGGCCAATGCCTGCGCCGTTGGTCGGACAGCCGTCTCGCTGCTCGCGTCCACCTGCTCAACGCGACAAAGTACAGCACCACGGTCTACTTTTATTTCTTTTACATCCACTGGCGCAAAGCCGGTTCAGAGCGGGATGGCTCCTTTGCCCTCTGGGTGGTCTTCGCCTGCCTCTACTCTGCGACTACCTGCTTCTGGGACCTCTTCCTCGACTGGGGACTATTGCACGTTCGCGCAAAGTACCCGCTGTTACGCAACGAGCTACTCTATGAGGATCATTGGCCGCTCTACTACTGGGCTCTCCTGAGCAACATTGTCCTGCGGTGCAGCTGGATCATCTACTTTCTCCCCGGTCCCGCGTCATTGCTCACTCGCACTTTCCTCATCGCCCTACTAGAGATGCTCCGCAGGTGGCAATGGGCCTTCCTCCGCATTGCAAACGAGCATAGCCAAAACGTGAGCGATTTCCGTGCACTGCGCGATACGCCCCTGCCTTACACCGTACCCAAGGGGTCCGACGATGATGGCGAGGAAGGAGAGAGGAAAGGAAGCGCCAGTGCAGCTTTGCGCATGCGGACGTGGCGCCGCAAGATCAAGGGGAAGCCAGAAGCGCCCGCCGTCGTTAAGCGCCCGCAGCTCACCACCGAGGGCATGTCAGGGGATGGGCGCACCTCCAACCTATCGGCGGCTATCGCCTCCACCACATCCTCCGCTGCGGCGATCGGGATTTCTCGCCCGCCTTCGATGCTGGACCGCTTCCAAGCCTTCCTCGTCCCCGATCGTGGAGGTTGGGCGGCTAAAGGACATAGACTGGATGAGGAGGCAATCGTTACCGGTAGCATGGGGAGGGACTATGCGCCCAGGCCGCAGGAGGCGGACGCTGATTCTGATGATGAGAGTGATGCGGATGGAGATGGAGATGGGGAGACGGGGACGGATAGGGAGACGGATGATGGAGACGAGGGGAGTGGGAGTGGGAATGGGGGTGGGGCAAGAGGAGGGAGGGGTAGGCCGACTACTAGTGGTGAGGTCGGTAGAGAGGAGAGGCGCAGAGGTGGAGGTGCTGGAGGGAGGCCAAAGACGGCTAACATCTGAGGGTGGGCCCCGCGAATTGAGAGGCCCCTTCTTCGTGGTGAGTGTTACCAAATCAATATCCAACCTTCAATCTCTTTCGCTCTCGCTACAGCGACGGCGTTATTGCCCGAAGAGCTCGCATTCGTGGCGCACATGGTGGCACGCGATGGCGAAGCATTGAGCAATGAGCAACAGCCGACGAAGCACCCTACTAGTAGAGCGAGAGCGAGGGAGACGATAGAAGCTGGGAGTGTGGCGCGGGTGGTCAAAATCGCCCAGCGCGACCTTGGCTCCACGACGTGCCTCAGTACTTGACGCAGTTGAAGCTATTGGTGCGTGACAGGTAGAGCAGGGGAGGGGCGAGAGAAGACGGTCGAATGAGCAAAGCGAGCACCACCACTCCGATGGTCCCTGCTAATGCCGATACTCACGTGCTGCCAGCCGTAGCGCTGGCGCAGATCTGATCCTTGGCCTCTTTGCAGCCCGACTTGCAGTCCGAGTCCTACAGGCGAGATAGGTGGGAGCGTCAGCCATGGTCTCAAAGCGCTGTCAAGTAGAGCAAAGGGGCGAAGACTGACGGTGCAAGCGTACATGGTGACCGTCTGCAGGAGTGTGTCGTCCTTCTTGAATGAAGGACAGTTACCAAACGTCGAAGTCTTCGAGCCTCGGTCAGTGAGCGTGGTGGGAGACCCGCCGCAATTGCCTTGGCGGTAGCAGTAGCCAAGCTGCGTAGCGTCTGCCTTCATCACCAGGAAGGCCACAGCAGAGAGCAGAGCGATTTGGTAGGCGAAGCTGAGCTTCAAGGTCATGGTGACTGGCAGTGGAGCGTACGGTACGGCGATATGTTGAGAGGAAGGGAGGCAAAAGAGAGCGACCACGAGTTGCTGCCTATTCGCCAGCGGCGTCGGGAGGCTAATGGTTCTCCCTCTCCCACCATGAGCCTCACCCTGGACCCAGCCTGGGAGGATCGCTCGGGCGCTTCACACTGCAAGACAAACGTCCTGATGCTCTGCAAGGCTCACTACTGGCCTCGACCCGGATCGAATACGGCTAAGCTGGTTGCGGGCCGAAATCAGGGGCGACAAAGAGATTGTGGGGCAATTCGCAGGGCAGAAGGGCAGATATGTCGCAGTACGCATCACAAATAGCGCGCAGGGTAGCGAGCATGATCAGAGCATCGCATGGTCGCGCTCGCGTGCGGTAGAAGGGAATCGCATTCGTCGTGACAATGGTTGACGTTGCGCAGTCGAGATGAAGTGGACACTCGAGAGAGGTGGGCAAAGAGTGAGAGACAGGGAGGAAACGCCTGCTGTCTGATGCAGACAGGTCGAAGGTCATCTGCGGCTGGAGCCATCCTTCAGTACTTGACGCAGTTGAAGCTGTGCAAGGAAGACGGGACCAGAGGGGAGAGCAGGGACAGCCGAGTGAGCAGAGCCCGCGTCACTACCACGGTGATCACACTGAGACTCACGTCCCGCCTGTGCTAGTGCTGGCGCACATCTGCTTTTTCGCTTCCTTGCACCCCGTTTGGCACTTGGCGTCCTACAATAACGAACGGGACAGCCGGTCACGGGTCGTAGGTCAATGATAGTGTCAATCCGATTAGTAGGCCTTCAAGCAAAGGCGAGAGGCTGTGGATCGTCCTTCGGTGACTCACAGTGCAAGCGTACATGGTCACCGCCCGGAGGAGGGTGTCATCTCGCTTATATGAGGGGCAATGGCCATACGTGGGCGTCTTATCGCCAACATCGGTCAGAGTTGTGGGCGTTCCATCGCAGTCTGGCTGACGATAGCAGTAGCCGAGCTGCGTAGCGTCTGCTACCATGACCAGGATTCCCACAGCGGAGGCGAAGGCGACTTGCTTGGCGAGGCTGAGCTTCATTGCTAGTGGGGATGGGGAGATGCGGGGTTGCCAGGGGATGGGAGAGACGAGAGCGCTTTGTGTGAGCGAGGGAGGGTATCGGCTTGTCCTCGCCATCCCCGTCACACACCCTTGACCCAGCAAGACGGAGTTGCTCGCGCCCTCTTTGGAGCGAGCAAGATGCTCCGGTAGCCTACAAGGCTCGCCCGTGACGTCCCTCCGGATCGAGCGCGGCTGAGAATCCTTGCGGGCCGTCACTGGTCGCAAGTAGGAGCTCACGGAGCAGCTCAAGGAGCAACCGGGAAGACCTTCCGCAGCAGGCGTGACGAGCAAGCGTAGAAGCGTCGCTGCTTACTGTATCAGCCATCCCGCTCCGTTTGTCCTGGGCTTGTAGCTGCGCTGTTTTCGAGGGCAACAAGGATTCGCCGTCGGCGCTTTGAGATCAACCTCGACTCTGAAGTCGTGTTTGAGAGCCACTCTCACTCGCAAAGCTATCGTCTCTCTGCCTCATCATCAACGACCCCCAGCATGACCATTATCAAGTCTCTTCTAGCCATCGTTGCTGCGACGCTTGCCGCGAGCTTACTCCTTGCAACCTACGCAGGGGCTCAGGGGAATCGAATTGTTCTTGGTGAGCCGTAGTGGGTCGCAGCTCAAGCTGCGCATCTTACCGCGTGCTGAGATCGTGCTCTCTCCTTCTTTATGTCACCTTCTTCTAGCTCAGTGCTGGACCAAGGCGTACATACGTCCCACTCACGCCCCGTTCCAGGCGCATCTGACGCAGGAGTGCTCCTATCCCGAACCCGCTCAGCAATTGTCAGGGCGTCCGCAACGATGCTACGGCCAATACGGTGCAAAACATTCGCCTTACAGCATGCCAGACCGCCTATATGCCGCTCGCTCGAGGTCAGCTCTGCACCCAGGACTATTGCGCAGGGGGGTGTACTACCGTGGTCAGCTCGACCAAATGTTACAGTGCGGGAAGTGATCCGTGGCTGTCGTACTGCCCCCAGGATTAGGGGATGAGGCCCCGGCGAGGCATGAGCGGCTGAGCTGCTAGTGTTTTGCTCATTTGCTCACACAGCAACGCTGCTAGAGCCTTCCCATTTTTGTGGAGCTCGAGTCCGTTCCTCGCTCCCTGTAGCTGTCATAATCCAATCTTGATTGACTCACTTTCTTGACGCCAGCGACGCGACTAGCAGCGCGAGCCACGGGATGCGGCATTGAAGCGCTTGAGCCCTTCATGCATCGCCCGAGTGAGGGCTTGTCTTTGTCGCTGGTAACGGCATCGCAGAACCCGCAGGCAAGGCTTTTGCTCAGCGAAGATTCAGATCCAGATACGACCCCCCATCTCTTCAGCCAGCACGTCAGGACAAAAGCGGCGCTCTGTTGCAAAGGGTAGCATTGAGAAAGAGCGAGAAAAGAAGATTGGATGAAGACGAAAACGAGTTGAGGAGCGACGGGCTAAAGGTGTTGGAAGAGAAACAAGTGAAGCGGGGGGACCCCGATTCGCGTTCGCGAGAAAACCTGGATGGGTCGGCCAGGTCTGAGGACCGGAACATCGGGGTTGGCGGCGAGAAGGGCGACAGCAACACCTTCTTCTAGACCCTCTGGTACGGCACCGCGATGCCTTAGCAGGCTTCGAGTACCAAAGATCTAGCGGAGAGCCGGCAATCTTCTTAAGCCTCGTTGCCGAAGTCCTTGAACCGCGGAGCATTCTCCCTGGGGTCGCAGCCGTATTGCACGAAGCCGCTCCCATCGTTTCCGTCAATGATGGTTCCGTTTGGGCTGATTGCGTTCAAGCTCAAGGTTGACTGGCCGTTCTTGTTGAAGAAGAGGAGGCGGACAGGGTAGTATTGTCCCTCGTTTAGGTCGACGGTATAGTTGCCACTCCCATTCTCTCCGTTGGACCGGTAGACATTTGCGTCGCGATTGTTGTCATTGTACCCGGTGTAGGCTCCGTCACCTACCCAGAGGCGGAGCTCGTCGTCCTCGTTGCCCAATTGGAAAGTGTAGGTGCCGCTCTCTTGGGCGTGAAGGTACGTCTTGATGTTGAGAGCGAATGAGGAGGTGTCCGCCTCCTTTCCGTAGATGGAGTTGTCATCGGTCTCCGTCCTCAAGGTGACCTTGTTGGTCACGCCCGTCACGTCGGGCTCCTCTGTCTGGAAGTCGGATGAGGCGTCGTAATCCGGGTCGTCGGCACTGGTGTAGTCCTTGGTGTAGAGTGCCCAGATGTAGCCCGCGGGGTCGGTGCAGGGTGTCTCTACGACGACGATCCCTGAGCTTGTGGTTGTGGCCGTCGTGGTTCCATTGTAAGGAACCGTCGATGTCGCAGTCGGCACCGACGAGGGCCCACTGGAGGACGGCGACATGCTTGAGTCAGGGGGAGGCATGTCCACGATGACGCTGGGCATGTCTGGTGGCCCCGCGGTTCGAGTCGTCGCAACGGACCCAGTCTCTGTGATGTAGGCGGTCGTGACGGGCGACGTCATTGGGCTTGGGCTTGGGTGAGGGTGAGGGTGCGGGTGAGGATGAGGATGGGGATGGTTGGCAGGGGCGCCAGCAGCTTGGGAGATGACAATGGCTGCGAGGGCAGTGAAAGTGAGGGTGTTGAGCTTGAACATGTTGGACCTGGGAGAGGGGTGCGGGAAATGCTGGAGAGGTGCTTGATGGAAAGCTGATTGAGCGGCTGGACGCGCCCCTTTTGTACCACTTTGGGTCCACCAAGATGTCTTCCGCGGCCGTGACTGCTTTCGCCGTGTGGATCGTGTAGCGCTGTAGCGAGGATGGCGCCTGAGTCCCCCGTCCTGCGCTGTCGTAGGCATACCTTTCTCGATGGTTCAGAGTTGACTCGAAGCAGCTAAGATTTTCGGAACCTGCTCATCGCGTTCATCGACCGTCTGGCGTTGCCGAAAGACCTGCAAGCTCAAATGCCGCGGCTGCCGCTGGTTGTGCTAGCAGTCGAGAAGGTGCTCCAGAGGGATGAGAGACCCAGAACAAAGTGATACTTAGCTCGCAAAAGGCATCATGTCTGGTGGTGCCATATGTCGACCTTGTGTGTGCCGGTGCCGGTGCCAATGCTGCGATGCGCGGATGTCGACGCGTTCTGATCCGGGGTCTGCGGATGGTGATGAAGTTGGTGCCGAGAGCCGCTCAAGGTCACAGAAGACCCTGATATCGTCACAGCGGCTGCTTCCCGATGTCCGTGTCTCAGAGAATGCTCCGCATCGAACGGATTTTTTTTCCGAGAAGCCCAGTCGGCAGCCAGCCAGACGGCCGACCGCTCCCAATGCGCCTTTTCTGGTTGGCGGAAGGAGCGCAACATCGGCGCCTTCGATCCGAGGACCCGTGGACAGCAAGTTCAGACGACGTCAAAAGTGCTCGCCGAGACGCCTCTGGAGGGCCACGGGGCGTGCGATGTCGTACGCAGCGCATGATGAGTTCCCGGGGACATAGCAAAACTGGGTCGCACGGACCATGCAGGGTCAAGCCAAAAGTTGCGCAAGTCGATGGAGGCGAGGCATGGGGAGGGTGCGGTGCTAGTCTAGCTGCATGGCAGGGCCCGCCAATTGCAACTCGTATGTCAAGACTGCGACGCGCGCAAGTGGTGCACGCTTGAATGGGCCGGGCGTCGTGACGAGCCAGACGCGTTCCGAAGTTCTACGACGACAAATGGATTGCTCAAAGAAATTAGGTGAGCACGATGCTCAGAGAAGACAAAGGCCGAGTAGCGTTTGAGAAAGTGAGCAGGGGAAGAGAGAGAAGTTGACCAAGAGAGGGAGGAGGAGCGAGATGGTTGCGCAGACCACCGCTCCCGAGTTGCGCGGGGCCGGGGGCAGGCATGCGCGTCCTGAGTCCGTTGAGTCAGCCGCAAAAAGGCGAGCTTAGGACTCATTCCCGAATTCGGCGAAGGGCTCGCCCTCGTTGTTCTCGTACTCGTAGCGACAGTTGTACTGGACAAAGTCCTCGTCCGGCACTTTGTTTCCATTGGAGTCAGTGACCTCGAAATCGAAGCCGGAAGGGCCGCCGTCGAACTCGTTTGACTGGAAGATGCGAAGCGGGTAGTAGTTACCAGCCGTAAGGTTGATGGCGACGGTCGCATTGTGGTAGCCCTGAGAGTTGTAGTACGAGCCCGTTCTGTTGTTCGAGCCAGTAAAGCCCGAGTAGGCGTTCGCGCCTGACCAGAAATAAGCTTCGGCATCACCCTTGCTGAGCCTAAAGTTGTACCTGCCGTCTGCGGGGACCTTAAAGTAGGTGTGCTGGTTGGTGACGTCACCTGCCGCTCGGAACTCCTTGTCCGACTGATAGTAAGAGTAATTACCGCCGCCGTCGTCGTAGAAGCCAACCTCGGGCGTAACACCAGAGTCGGTGGGCTGCACCTTCTTGACGTCCTCTGGCTTGACCTTGGGGTCGCCGTCAGTACGATTGTTGGGATAGTAGGCCCAATTCCACCCTTGAGGGTCCTTGCACGGCACGTCAACCTCGACGATGGCAGTGCAGGAGGCCTGGTCGGTCGACGTGGTTGAACTGGTGGAAGTCAAGCTCGACTTCGTTTCTGTCGTCGTGGCTGTAGCATACGAGGTGCATCCGCTCGAAACCGAGTCGCTCTGAGGGGGGTCGCTCGGCGTTGGGACACTGCTCGGAGAAGGTTGGGTCGGGGGAGTCGTCTTGATGATAACCTCCGGAGGGCCTGTGCCCGACGTGGTCAGATACGTCGTGGGGACGGTACCGGACTCAGTCAGTGTCCTGGTCGGTTGAGAGGGTGGAGAGGAGGGTTGAGGGTGCGGATGAGGGTGAGGGTGAGGGTGAGGGTGAGGGTGAGGGTGGTTGGCAGGGGCGGCGCCAGCCTGCGAGACGAGGACAGCAGCTACAGCCGCAAGAGTGATGGTGGAGAGGCGGAACATGTTGGGAAAGGCGAGAGAGCGTGTTGAGGGAGGGGGAGAGGGGGAGAGAGAAGCTTGATGGGAAATGGACCGAGTAGCCAGGAGATAAAGCCGTCTTATACCTTTTCGTGAGCTCGAAGACGACACTGGGATCGTGTGCGAGCTTCGAGCCCCTCCCGGACGAGCTCGTGGCCTTGGTGCCCAACATTGTCTCGATGCGTCGAGCTTTGGTCATCATTCCGACGCTGGCTCGGCCCCTTTCAGTCGCATTGTAGCATGTTCTCTGAACATCGCATCGCGCACGCTGCCTAGCCGTCGAGACCGCCTCTTTTGCGGCCACGACCCTACGTTGCCCTCCATCCTCAACCTCTCGGTGGCCCACCGAAAGGAGTTGCCTCACACCCCATAGCGAACAGCGGACTTCGCAAGTCGGGTCTTCCAACGTTGCCATGTCTCGGGCCAAGTTCGGCATGGCAAGTTGCTGAGTATGGGGAGCAGCCTGCTGTGCGGCGGAGAAGGCGCTCATGGCGAAGCGCTGTTCTGGTCAGCGCAGAGGCCACGATTCTCCGCTTCGGTTCGTTCACCCAGAACAACGAAAACCGATGCAACCGAGGCCAATCAGTGCTTGCTTGTGCGACGTGCGAGGAGAATACCACGCTTCTATCGTCTGGATCTTGCGGATTCGATGTGTTCCGAAGACGAAGCGAGGGCAAGATGAGTGTTCGACGCGAGACCCTGGCACGGGGAGCAAGTCGCGGCGACTTGACAATGTTGACTGAGCCAAGGTCATACGCGGCAGCGCGCTAGGCTATCAGATGTGTGGACAGTACCTCGTGTGCAACCAGCAGATCCAGGCCTGACCCCAGCTAGACCCGTAGTCATGCTCGCTTCGTCCTGGCTTACCCTAATCCCAAGAGACGGTCCGCGTTTGGATTTAGAGGGATGCGACCGTTGGGCCAGAAGTTGCCTCATACCCGCGTCTGTGGTAGGCGAGGCAGGCAAGGCCTCGCGGACTCGCAGTCCACGTGGTGTGGGGGCGCGGTGAGCGTGCCGCGACGCAGGGAGGAGAGATGAGGCAAACAAAGTGCAGGGTAAAGGGACCAGGAAGACGTCGAGGACGAGGACGCTCCCTCGCTCCTCCTCAATGGTACCACGCCTATCGCCAGACGTATCAATCGATCCTGACTCGCCAGGACCGTCGTCTCATGAAGCCCCCTTCGATGCCCATCGTACTTTTGCTCTGTCCAAGAGCCACGAGTCGTGCGAGCATCAAATGCGCTATGTTCCGTCTGGGCATTACGCGCTACTGCGTACATGACCAACGCTCCCTTGCTCTACGCAATGGCGTACCTTCGGCGACTTCGCCGAATTCCGCTCATAGGGCAAGGCGGCGCAACGTTGCTCATCGTCGCGCCATGGCCAGGTGATGTCGTGAGGACGCATGAGATTCGCGAGGTTACTATGAATACCTCAACCCAAACCCGTGTCCATCTGACCGCCAGGAGGGCAAAGACGGCGAGTCGGGCACCAAAACGCCAAAAGGTCCTGTAATCGCTCACTCGGCCTGCCTTGAAGGAAGGCGCAAGTACAGGGATCGCAGGTGTGGCACGACGACGTTTCGCGCATGATTCCGTGCCATATCGATCGACGACGACGACGACGTGGGAACGGTCCGCATCTGTTTGTCCCTCTTTGATAATCCACATCCGCCTGACGAGCAGCAAGATGGGGCCCGGCTTCCATGCGGCGGGCAAGGGGTGAGGGTAGGATGAGGCGAGCAGAAGAAAGGAGAAAGCTCGGACGGACGCTTCCTTCTTTGTGAGATGTCGAGATAGAAGCGAGGGCAAGGCTTGCGGAGGGCAGCAACCAACGCGCGATCTCTCTCTGGAAGGGGACGTCGGAGGGAAGGATTGAGGCCGTGAGCATTACATATCTAGGAGTACCGGCGACTAGTGTCAAAGTTGTCAGAATGACTGATAGTCTCAATTGCTCATGCCGCTTGAGCGTGTTCTCGTTCGTGGCGATGTGATGATGATGAGAGGGCTAGCTAGGGTGACGCTAGCGCAATGCGAGTGAGGCGAGGCACGCAGGATGGCAGCCATACTATATCGCTGAGCGAGAACAGCGCATCTTGACTACCATTGCCTTCCACAGTTAATTCACTTGTTTTCGGTCTCTTCCCTCTTCAAGACGACCCCGTCTCGCTGGAGATCATCCTTGTCAGTGGTAGGTGGTAGTCTCGAGTAGTCAGGAAGAAAATCGCCGTGTCGTGTCCCTCTCTCTGCCTTGCTTTGCGTGCGGGCCCCCGGAGATGAGAACGCGGGTGGGGCGAGCATCGCGTGCATGCGTCGCGCCTGAGGGTCCAGCCAGTCCAGGCTCAAATCTGGGCCCAATCTTGCGCTGCCTTTCACACGAAGGGGGGGCTTAATCTCTTTCCGCATCCGCTGCGTCATGGCGGGCCGCCCCAACGGCAAAGTGGCGCCCAATCAATCCTCTTCTTCTTGCTATTCCCTCACCCTCACCCTACTCTCGTACGATGGCAGCAGCAGCACCGCCATCCCCCTCACCAAGCCCAGCGCCATCCCCACCCCCGACTCCCCTCGCCTCATTCCTCACCCTCACATGGCGCAACAAGCTCCACTTCCTCTTTGCGGCCTTCCTCGCCCTCTTCGTGTGGAGCGTCACGCCCATCTCCTGGCTCTACCTAGGCTACGACATAGCTTTACGAGGGGATAAACCGCGCCATTGGTTCTCGAGTGTGGTATTCTACTACTCGCTATGCGAGGTGCCCTTCTCCATCTACTTGCTCTCCCTCCGACGAGAGGCACAGAAGCTCCTCCCTCCCCCTCAGGTCAGCGTTGAGGCACTCGAGGAGCTACTGCATCGCTGTCTCGGGGATCATTCCCACCCGTCGGAGCGGGACAAGTCAGCTGAGCATCAGGAGGAGCAACGTAACCTCTTTCGCTCTCGAGCGCGCAGGTGGTTTCACCACAAGCCCCTCGAGGAAATTTATGCCGATAATGCGCGAGAGTGGTTGGGGTGGGCCTTTGGTGGGCGTGAGCTTGACGAGTTGCGTGCTGATACGAGCAAGAAGGGACAGGAGAATATGGCATTGATCGAGAAGGGGTTGGGCATGTTGGAGGTACAGCTAGGCCACAAGTTCACGCCAGGGTACAACCCAAAGGCGAGGGCGATGCGGTTGACCCTCGACCCAGTCAAGACGCTGCAACGCCCCTTTGGGTACTACGTCGTTTGCAACTCCATCTCCGAAGCCAGTGAGTAGGCGTTGAGACGGTACTGTGCAATAGTAGCTCTGACCCCCTGCCTGCCCCCTTCACAGCAATCGCCTGGCTACGCTTCGTCCACGGCTTCCGCAAGGAGCAACATGGCCTTTGCGACTTCCTTGTCCTCCCTCCCTCCTCGCCCAAGCCGCAGCGCGACGATCCTAGCCTGACCGCGAATGGTCACCCAGCGAACGCAAGCATCGCTGCGCGTACACGCTCGACGTCACACACCTCCTTCGGGACGCAGCCCATCCTTTTCCTCCACGGCCTTGGCATCGGCCTGGGACAGTATGCGGTCCTGCTCCGTCGCCTCGTCAAGCACCGAGGCGGGGTAGCTATCCTCCTTCAACCGAACATCAGCGTCTCCATCTTCAGCCGGCGATACTTCCTCCATGCACCCAACAAAGACGAGCACGTAGCAGCGGTACGCGCCTGCCTCGCCGCGCACCACTTTGAGAAGAGCACGATCCTCTCCCACTCCAACGGGACAATGGTGCACGGCTGGGTTGCGCGAGATGCGCCCGAGCTGGCACACAGGCACGTACTGGTGGATCCGGTCTGCTTCCGCCTGTGGGAGGGGGCGACGAGCTTTGCCTTCCTCGCCAAGCGATGGGGTACGGGCATCGAGATCCTCTTGGGCTACTTTGTGGCTCGAGAAGTGGGTGTGGCATACAGTATTGCACGCCGCTTCCTCTGGTGGGACATGCTGCTTTGGGCGGATGACCTGCAGACGATGGCGAGCGATAGATTGCAGGTCGTGCTCGGCGGCAACGATGTGCTGATCGACGTGCCTGCCGTGTTGGACTACTTGTCGTCTGCCGGGGTGCCAGATGAGAGTGTGACGGTCATTCCGGGGGCGCAACATGGGCAGGCTCTATTCATGCCGAGCGAGGGGATGAAGGTCGTGTGTAGGCATCTGCAGTTGGAGTGGTAGGCGCGCGGGGGCTGTCCAGGCTTGATACCAATTTTCCGAGGATTACACCTCGTCATTATTTTGTGTTTGTAGATCTTCCTTTAATCTGATGCTCAGCTCAGTATATCTTCATCCTCGTCGGCGAGCCAGCCACTCCACCTCTGCAACCACTCGTCAGCAAGGCGGCTCGTCTTGTTCTCGTCGCTTGCCTTCCTACCTCTACCTGCAGTCAAAGGGCAGAGAGGGAAGAGCATGATAGGCAGCTTGCGACTGGCCAGCTCCTCGTATGGATCCAATTCTGCTACACTGCGCTGGGATTTGCGCGCCTTTCTCGGTGAGCCATTGACGCGACGCCTCTTCCTCGCTGCCTCCTCCCCGACTTGCTCGTCTCCTTTCTCCTCATCGCTCATTTCACCAGGGCCGAGCCTCGATCGCTTGCTCGGCGTGTAAAGGTGCCTCTGTTGATGACGGGGCGTGCTCTTGACCGAGCTCGTTGGTGTGGCTGCTGCGCTGACGGGACGATGACTACGAGGCGTAGAGGGACTAGGCTGCTGAGATGCTGGAGCTGCATTGGTGGAGGGTCGCTGCTTCTCTTGCCTCGCACTGGGAGACGTAGAAGAGGAGGAGGGCCGGCTGCTCCCTGGCAACTTCCGCCTGGTAGGCGTCGTGGGACTCTTGTGCTGCTGCGAGGGGGATGAGGACATACCAAAAGCTGCTCCGCTCATGACAGCTTTTGCCCTCTCTTGCAAGCTCATCTGCGAGGATGATGAAGAGGGGGACGATGCAGATGATGAAGTTCTGCCTCGCTGGACGTGCCCTACGAGGGGAATGGGCGCATCGAGGTTTGGGGCTCGACGGATCCTCCCGCCTCGACCAGCGCTGGCAGGGGTGCTATGGCTACTACCTGGCACATCGCGCGAGTGGTAGCGTGAAGGTGTTGATGGCCCCGAGGATGAGGAGGAAGAGCCAGTCGGTACACTAATCGCTGTCGTAAGGATATCCAGCGCAGCATTGAATGCCGTGGGCGACAAGCCCGACGCAGCTTGGAAGTGAGAGACTGGATACGTCGGCGTGCGAAGACTGAGCCGGCACCATTTGAAGTTAGCTCGCAACTTCCTTCAGCCCTTTGTCTTCTCAGCATTCATGTCTCACCTTCTCGCGGCAAGCGCAGCAACAACATTGATCTTTCCCACTCCAACGGCATTGGCGAGTGTTTGTGCATTTCCTCTCGAAGCCCAGAGGTCCACAGCGGCTAGGTAGGCCTCGGATCGTTCGAGGAGGTCGGCATATGGTTGGCAGAGTGGACGAAGTAGAGGGCGAGCGGACATGTTTCTGGTGGAGAGGAGGAAAGAACAGGAAACGACGCACGGACAGACGGACAGACAGAAGGCTCGATTCCAAGTCGCGAGTTGCTTGGCCCATGCGCGAGCGAGCACGAGGGCGGCAAGAGGCGCACGACGGAACGGGCCAAACTGCAAGGCAGCGTCTACGATGGCCTCAATGGATGGTCATTGCAGAAGGAGACACGCCAGCCGCCGCAATCAGACGAGAATCTCTACAACGTCCTGCTGCTCCTCTACATCCTGCTGCTCCCCTCTCACATCGCTACGCACCGTCCAGATGGCGTCCTTGGGCGGCAGTGCTGGCGGCAACCTGTTATCCTGCATCGCAGCGAACCCGCCGCTGCCGCCGCTGCCGAGCCCCCCGTGCTCGTGCTCGTACTCGTATTCGTCCTGCAAAAGACCGGGGCTGAGCGGTGTATCCACCAGAGGGGGACGAGGGCTCTCCAGCTCCTCGCGATACCCGTCACGTAGAGCGGGAGGGGGAGGAAGAAGCCCGACCGCTTCATTCAGAGTGAGGCGACGCAGCGACGCTTCGCGCGCTGTCAGATCTGCTTCTTCTTCTTCTTCCTCCCCCTTCACCTGCCCATCTTCACCCGCCTCTGCATGATCATCATTCTCCCCACCCTCAGACCTGTGCACACTGCTCCCAAAGCTTTTCGTCTTGAAGCTCGCACTAGTAGGCGCAGCGGTCGTCCCTGCCGAAGAAGAGTTCTGAGGTGAAGGTAATCCTGTAGCGAGGTGATGATGATACCCGTTCGCAGCTTCCTGCAGATGAGAGCGTCGAGAGGAAGAGCTGGAAGAGTCGGAGACTACCGTGCTTCTCACTCCGCCGCGTGCCCCCACTCCTAGACGCGCAACGGCGCTCCGCACAGACGCGGCAGCGGGCGCGTTGCGCACCACCTCAGGGCTGGGGATCGAGTCGAAAGCAGCAGCCGCGTCTGGCTGCAGGTCCAGTCCGAATGTGGGGCGCTTGTTGTACGTAGGGAGGGAGTAGACGGACGCGGATGAGGCTACTGGCGGCGAGGAGGCCTGGTCGTACGGACTTGGACTGGGACTGGCAGCAGGGCGAAGTGGCCTCTGCGGCCCAGCCTCGTGGGGCGGCGAGCTCCCAAACTCTCCCGTCTGCACTTGCACTCCTCGCGCATTGTCCGATGTGCTTGGCCTCCTTCTCTCCTGCCAAGCTAACTCGCTCACCGCTGCGGCGGAGGGCGGGCCAATCGGGCTGCGTTGGATGCCTGCAGTCCTGCTGCTAGCCATAGTGCTTGAGGCAGTCGACGGGCGACGATAAACGCCATTGCTTGCGGAGAGGGCCCCGCCGCCGCCGTCTTGCGGGTGGCGATGCGCACTCATAGCGCTGGGCGGCCGAATGAAAGCCATTTCATCTTCGTCCCTGTCCCCGCCGTGGGAGATGGCCGACCCTACGACGCTCACGGGCCTCGAGATGTTGTGTGGAAGAATCCTTCGCTCCGTCCCCGATGCCGATGTGGAAGGGCGAAGAATCGACGACAGGCGACGTCGCGCATCCTGAGCCATCGAGCTGCTCCCCCTTCGAGGCGGTAGCTTGACAGCGGGGCTCGCAGTGCTTGCGGCACTTCCCCTTCGCACGCGCGGGAGATGGTCCATCGACGCTGCTGCGAAAGTGCCTGGCTGTTGATGCTGTAGCGGTGACCAGCCTGCGCCTGCGGCGATGCGTGCGGGCGAGTCCCACGGATTGCTCCACTGCATGCCGCTTCCTCCCGCAGTCACCGACGCCCTGCTTCCCGGGCGCAGGAGATGCTCAGCCCCATCGCCGGGCCCGTATTGCAACACAGGCCCTTGCAGAGACCCACTCCTCCTGCGCGCCTCCTCGTGGCTTATATGCTCAATCACGCTCACCCCACCGGCACTGCCCGTTCTGCTCCTCCTTCGCCCGCTGCGCATACTGCTGTTGCTCCCGCCGCTTAGCATCCGGCGAAGGGTACCTGGATCGCGTTGCCCTTCTTGCGAGATGAGAGAGGGGCGGCGAGGGTCGGAGCTCGCGTCTTGCGAGTAAGCTTGGCCCACGGTGGAGGAGCCTCGCCGACCGATGCTGGGAGGGGATGTGGCGCTTGCCATCATTTTCGCTAGGGCTCGAGAGCTAGATGGGGGTGGATGAGCGCGACGGTATGGTCCCGTTGCAGAAGGAGAGGGAGACATAGTTGCCGACTGTGAGTCGCGTCGGAGGCTCAGTAGTCCAGCAGACGCTCCAACGCCGGATGCAGCTTCAGATGGTCTTCGCGACCCAGCCGGTGACATGGCGAAGCTGCTGATGTCGGAGGACGACCCTAGCCCGCCATGTAGGGAGAGGGACCCTGCACTACCTTTCCTCGACGATGACCCGGGCAGAACCGCGGCCACCAGCTCCCTCTTCCCGGGCGTGTCCGGCGCGAGCGCCATCGGGCTGCTCTGTGGGGATGGCGTCACCTTGCCTCGATTCTTCTTGCCCTTCAACAACTTCTTGATTCCTCCAACGAGGCTAGGTGAGGAGGAAGAGGCAGGGATCGTCGCAGGGAGGGGCGGCGTCTTGAGGAGCTCGGCGTCGCTGCTGGTGCTGTAGCTGGGCAAGGGTTCGCGCGACTTTCTGGCCTTGAGCAGCGTACCCATATCCACCCGCTTCGAACGAGGCGACTTGGACAGTCCGACGAGACCGCTCTTTTCCATCATGTTAGCCCATTCGGCCTTGCGTCGCCTCTCCTCTTCTGAGCCACTCGGGCTGGCACCGCCGCCGCTGTACCTCTCGACCTCCATGACGCGATACGGATGCGAGTCGTGCCATCGTCCGTCGTCGTCGTGATGATCGCCTTCGTAAGGATCAGCCCAAGAGTCGGCCAACGTCGGTGGGATAGCGTTCGATCGTGGTAGACTGGCAGGAGTCGCCGTCACATCTGCATCCTCTTCGCCCTGCACCACGAATTGCCCCTCTTCTCCCTCCTCTCGCCTGTAGTCAAGCCAACTCTCCTCCTCTCGATCCATCGTAGGCGTCTGCGGAAACATCGTACGCGACATTGTCGGAGGCTGCAAGGAGCTTTCAGTCGCCTTCTTTCCTTCCTCATCGTCCTCGGTACCCTCTGCCTCGCTATCGAATGAATCGCGCTGTAGCATCATTCCGTCCAACATAAAGCCAGCTTGCTGCACTTCAGGTGGCGCTGGCTCGCTCATGGGTGATGTTCCAAATGCTACCGTTTCTGTGATAGTGGGAGAGTCTTGAGTATGAGCTGCCGTTGTTGTCGCACGCCATTGCGTTGGCATAGAGGCGACTGTAGCCACGTCTGCGCTTCGCCTCGTCGGTGGGGCTATCTTGGGCGCCCTGCGTGGTCTCTCAAATGAGTCGGACGAGATCGTCGTCGGATAAGTCAAAGATGTGCCTGCGTCACTGAACCCGGACGAGTCAAGGCGTCGCGAGCTAGACTTGCGCGAGCTGCTCGAAGCCATTGATAGGCGGGAGTTGTGAGGGTCCAGGGAGGAAGGGGAGAGGGTAGCACCCATTGCTGCGCCGGTCGAGAAGGAAGGAGGCGGCGGCGGCGGCGGCGGCGAGGATACGATGACGCTCCCTCTCAGCTCTTCGAGGGGCGATGTCGGGGAAAGTACGACGTTGGTGGGAGCAACTGCTGCGAATACGTCTCCTCCTCCACCGCTCGAAGACGTCCAAGTGGATGATGGCCGGCTTCCGCTTTGTGAAAGATATGGGCTAGACTCTTGCAAGAAGGCAGCCTCGTTTTTGTCCCACAACCCAGCATCTATGCTATCATCTGCCTCGGTGCCATCCTCCTGCCCACTGGATGATGCCTGTTGCGTCGTGCTGCTGCTGAAGCGCGACATAAGGCTGCGCTTGTTGGGCATTGCGGCTTTGCTTCGTCGACGAGATGATGACGACGAGGCTGAGGCCGAGTCTGATGAAAAAGGGAAAGATGGACGACGAGAAGAGGATGAGCTTGCAGACGCAGCCGCTGCCGCTGATAATGACGACGAAGATGAAGCCATCATCGCGGGCGGCGAGTGTTGATGAATAGGGGCTGGATATATGCCGCCTCGCTCATTCAAGTCATCGTGCCTCTGATGATCTCAGAGCGGGGGCGGTTCTACGAAGTGGTAATCAATTGCAAGGATGAAAAGAGGGTGTGTAGTGCACGAATCTCATCCATCCATCGACAGAGGAACTGGCCGCATCGACCCTCGACACACTCGGGTATCGGCGGCCCACGATGGACGACCGCTTGCTGAGCCGTGCCAACCTGCCCGTCCGCACGCTCACACACTTCGGCAGGAGAGAAGAGGGGCGGCCAATGATGCAGCGGCGGGTGTGCGTGCTGTGTGCGGGTGGATTTGGGTCTGAGAATACCCGACTCCAAAGACGGGCGCAGACACTGTGACAGGCGCCAGGGAGGGCGGGGTTTAGCAGCCTGACGACGCTAGTCTCGTCTCTCTCAAGTTAGCACTTAGCAGCAGCAACTTGGGCTCCACTAGGCTATGGGGTGGAAGGAGAAGCAAAGCAAGCCTCGATGCACCTGCCTGCGCACGCGCCCACAAGAACATGTCTTCCGCTCGCAGCCAGCCAAGGGTGAGAGAAAGCTACTTCCAAAGGAGAACAGAAGGCGAGAAACTGGATGGTCCTGCAGAGCAAACAAGCATTCGCACATTGGTCAAGCCAAAAGGAGGGAGATTCAGCTTGTTTCGTTCCTGCTTGGATGTGATGACGACGATGACGGGAGCTTAGCTTTGTGCAGGCGCAGGTTCTCTCGACCTCGAGAGCTTGGACGAGAAGAGGAGAAGAGGAGCGCAGGCTCGTACGAGATGAGATGATCAATGCAGCCAGCGCGCCAATTTAGAAAGGAGCAATATGGGCGGACCTGCCTGCCACCTTGCACCTCGAGCTCCCACCTCCCTTGACGCCGTCATTCATCCCTCTTGGACGCTGTGCATGCTTCTCACGTCTATGTCACGCCTGGCCAACATCATCCCTGCCCTTCCAGCCGACAGGCACGATGCAAAGCAGTGTCAATAGGAGAGTAGAGTGGGGAAGAGGAGGGAGCAACGAATAGCCATGCAAGTAGGCAGGCAGTCAGGCAGGCAGGTAGGGCCGATCGATTTCGATTTGGTTTAGAGTCAGCAAGGGATGGGGGGATCGGGCACGCCAATGCTGACGATGATATGTGATGACGCCGTGGGGCAGAAGAAGAAAGATCGACATTGCGCTATTGCCTCTGGAGGAGGAATTCGATAACTCAGAGCCGATGAAGGAAGGGGTCTCGCCAATCGTGAACGGCGTCAGGCATGTCAGTCAGGTACCCAGGCGAGGTGACGGGGTGCGACAGAGACAGAGACAGAGACAGGCTTCATGATGCGAGGAGCGAGGAGCACACGCATTTCTCGTCTACGGTGACTTGATTGACGCTCGGCTTAGACCATCGTCGTGTCACGTCGCGGCCGACTAGGACCGATCTGGAATGATGAGACGTGGCATCGGTGAGTTGCAAATGGTTGCTGGGCTTGCTTAGCGATTGCTTTGCTTCGTGTGCGTGTGCGTGCGCGTGTGCGTGTGCGTGCGCGTGTGCATACGTGCGTGGTGTACAAAGAGGCCATAGGTCTTGCTCTCTCGCGCGACTGTAGACCGAACGCACCCTCCTCATCATCATCATCGTGAGTCTCCCTTGTCGTGCCCTTAATCACCAGTCACTCCACCACGGCGAACCAGCGCCAGTCTATGCATCGAAACCTCGTTGCTCGTCCTCTTGCTGTTCCTGTGATCTCGGCCCGCTTAGTGGACCTTTACACCCCTCAGCTCAATGTCCTGCTGCCTGGGCAGTGCCTCCCCAGCCGACTCCCTCGTCTCCCCACCAGCGCTGCTCTTGCTGCCTCCTTTGCCCGCTACCACGGCGAGGAAGGTATTCCAAGCCAGGGAGACGACGTTTACGAATAGGAGTCGCTGTTGTACGGGTACGAAGCCCATGTTGATTGTTTGTACTGGAATCCAGAGAGCCCATGAAGCCTTGAGAGTGCTCCCTGTGGGTGGGTGTGAGCGAGGAGAAGAAGCAGAGGCGAGAGATCAGCATCGTCCTCGATCCGTTGAGTCGCGCCCACACGCACAGTAGTTGTCATCAATCTTCTTCTGCACGTCCTTGAACGACCCGCCGCCCAGCAACGTGGTAGCCGTAAAGAATACACCCAACATAGTCGGCGCGGCAAGCGTCTGATCTGCCACTACCTTGCTCGCCACATTGATCACGCTCCCTGGCACTCCCGGCGCGAATCGCTCCAACGTCTTGAACCATACGCTGGTTACGGGTGCGAAGATGACTCCACCGTAGAAACCTAGCCTGAGCGTGCGGACCAAGTCGTATTGTGAGGTGAAGGGCTTACGCTTCTCGACTGCTGCTTGGGCGATGAAGTCTCCCGTGCCGAAGAGGAAGGCAGCTGTACCGCATTGGCGGGGAAGGGTGGCCGACGAGGCTTGGAGGAGTCGGTTGATGAAGGACATCGGTGCAGCAGCGGGGTGGAGCAAGGGGGTCCTGGGGAAGATGAGGAGGTGCGAGCGAGCGAGATGACGGAGGAGTTGCGCTTGCGTCTGTTGCGACTTGCGTGCGAACCGATCAATATGTCCCTGACTGAGTAATCTAGCGGTGGATAGGGTGCAAAAGGAGCGTTATGAGAGCCCCTTTGAATTCATTCCTCGACCTCGACGTCATTCCTGCGCCCTCCTCCCGCTCCCGCTCCCGTCCACACGCGCCGCCCAGTCCGCGTTGGCGCCACGAGTCGAGATGGGGGACGGACCACGGGCCACACGACGGAGCGGCGGAGCGGCGGCTTTCTTCTCAACTTTGCTTCCACTTCAACCAGTCGCAGGCAGCAGGCTGTGTCGACAATGGCTGACCATCTCGACGATAACGCAACGGCATCGACGTCGTCCTCGTCCCAGTTTGAGACTTTGCCGCCACGCTCAGAGTACCGCTTCGAGCTTGAAGCAGGGGAACGCTTATCCATCCGCCTCGTGCCCGAATCGGGCGATGCAGAGATCTTTGGTGCTTCGCTACTTGCGGGTGATAATCGATGGTACACCTTTGGTGAGGAGGCAAAGGGGTGTGTATGCTCGTGGAACGGATGTCAAATTGAGCTGGGTGAGCAGCAGCAGCGATGCAACTATGACGCTACCAATGCCTTGGGGTAACTCACACCTCCTCCACGCCGCGCGCAGCTCCCCCACCATCTGCCGCCTACTTGTCTCTCGAGCCCTCACCCACCTTTTCCTCTTACGCCAACCTTCATCTCCACCTCGAGAAAGCAAGACTACGCGCTCGTCAACAGCTGCGGGACGATGCGCATCTAATTGGGGACCTGCGAGCCACATCTGACGCCCAAGTAGACGAAGGAGCAGAGCAAGACGTCGACCTCTACCGGCCAGAAGGCCAAGGACCACGCATCTTGCTTCTGGGGCCGCAGTCATCGGGCAAGTCGAGTCTGGCGCGCTTGCTCTGCAATTATGCGCTCAAGAGTCCCGCGACTACGGCTACGGGCCAGGAGGAGAATGGAGACCAAGGCGCTAACGGAGCCAGTCAACCTACGGGCTGGTGGCCTATCCTCGTCAATCTCGATCCTGGTACAGGCTCTCTTCCCTTGCCCTGCAACATCTCAGCCTCTCCTCTCTCCCCTCTCCCGCAAGCAGCCCTCGGCTCATCAACACCAGCCCTGCCCTTTGGCCTCACCACGCCTGTGTCCGGTGCTCTCCCCCCGACAGCCCATTCCGTCTCCTCTTCATCGCCCATCTCCCTCTGGCTCGGTCGCGAACACTACCGCGACGACTCGGCCACATCCACGGGCGGGGACGAGCATGGACGCGCCATTCTTACCAAGCTGGCATCGCGGCTTGAAGCACGAATGTGCAGGGATCCGCGAGCCAGGACGAGCGGCTTCGTCGTGGATACGGCGGGTACGTCGAGCGCAGATGCAAAGACAAAGTACGCCCTCATTAAGGACATCGTGCGCTTGTTTCACATCGACCTCGTCCTCGTGCTGGGCCAGGAAAAGGTCACAATCGACCTCACCCGCATCTTTGCCAACCAAGCAGAGGGGTTCACCAATCCACGAGTGACAGTGCTCAAGCTGCCCAAGTCGGGTGGGGTGGCAGAGATTGACGAAGAGGCCAAAGCGCGGCTGAGGGCCAATCAGGTGCGCACCTACTTCTATGGCGGGAGTGGGACGAATGGCGCCACCAAGAAGAAGGCGGGTAAAGACGCGGGCGTCGATGAGGGCGAGGCGGCTAGCAAAAGCAAAGCCGCGGATGGAGATCGTGGGACCGACTCTCTGGCTGGCCTCCCGGCGTTGAATCCTTACAGTCAGACCATCCCGCTCGACCTTCTCGAGGTGTATCGCGTAGGCCAAGAGAGCATGGCCCCATCCTCCGCTCTCCCCATTGGAGCCTCACGCGCCCTCTCGGCCTCTACGCTCACCCAGCTCGACCCACTCAACTCAGCAGCAGACCAAGCCTCGCTCCTCAACGCAGTCCTCGCCCTTGTGGACCCGCCTGGCACGCAAGGGGGTGGAGGCAAGGGTCAGAAGGACAGCGAGGTTTGGATGGGCGAGTTGGGCGAAGAAGAGGGGAAACGAAGATTAGGCACGCAGACTGTCCGCGGGTTTGTACACGTTCAGAGCATCGATGTCGCCAAGAAGAGGATGACCGTGCTCAGCCCTACGCAGGGGAGGTTGCCCACAAAGACGGCGTTGTTGGGGACATTGGATTGGCAGGATGCGTGAGCGGTGCGTGCGTGGACGAGAGGACAAGCAGGCGATGGTTGATCGGAGGCAATGTCTATGCTAGATGTCAGATTAGAAGAGGAGAGGTGCAAAGGAGCGAGAGAAGGCGCGGCTGTACAATGCGCTCCCCTTTGCTTGCAAGTCATTACGAATCCGCCATCTCGATGCAATCCAGTCTATCTACCCCTTCGTCGTTCTACGCAGCCGCGCCCACTGCTTTCCCTTGAGCCCTTTTAGCCTCCTCAGCCTCCTGCGCCAAAAAGCGCTGTCCTAATGCGCCACCGGGATGGTTCTTAGCAAATTCTCTCTCCCCCAGCCCGAGAGCCTTCGCACAGCTGAGCACCAACGAATCGCCCATCGCGAGTGCCGTGGTCGTACTACTGGACGGGGCAGGCAAGCAAGGGTCCGCCTCATCCGTTCCCTCCCCAGAGTAAGACCAAGGGGCAGCATTACATGCCGAGCAGGCTGGTTGAGCCTTGGCATCATTCGAGGCAGTGGCTGTTCTGCAGTCCAGCCACGCTCCGCCGCTCCGCTGTGCTGCTTGACCTAGCGGACTGTCCCGCTTCGCAGTCAATGCGATGATGCGTACCCGCCGACGTTCTACGTGCGGGAGAAGGGTGGCCACCTCCTTTGATGAGCCGGAGTGGGAGAGGGCGAGGAGCAGGTCCTGTGGAGGACGAGGGATCTGGCTTGATGATGATGCTGAGGAAGAAGGCAAACAGCTGCTACTACTCGCTTCACTCCCGTTGAGTAAGCCGAGATCGCCGTGCAAGGCCTCCGTAGGGTCGAGCCAGGTGGCGGGCATGCCCAGGCTCAAGCTTGTGCTGGCGAGCTTCCGAGCAATTATGCCCGACTTGCCTACGCCGGTCCATACGAGCTTGCCTCCCCCGCGCAGGGTATCTGTCACCAGCTGTTGGGCGTGCGAGAAGGAGTGGGATGTCTCTTCCTCTTCGCGCAACCGGCGAGCAGCGGAGAGGAGGGAGGCGGCTTGGTGCTCGAGGAGAGAGCGGGCATGCGAGAGGGGAGAGTCGATGGAGGCGTTGCGTGGCTGCGGGTCGAATGGCGCGGCTGACTCCTGCTTGGCGGAGGGAGTGGCTACTGCCTCCTCGTGTATGCTCATGGATGTAGCCGAGGAGCACAGGCTGGGCAGGGAGGCCGTGGAGGACTGGTGTGTCCGTCGCGCATCATCGTCTTGTGCAGAGTCACCTGCGTCGCTCGAAGCGGCAGAGGATGAGGAGAAGCTCGTGTGGGCGCTGGTGCTCGGCTCAGCGGGCGCCATCAGGGTGGCGGACGATGTGTCGTGCCGCTGTCCGCCTTGATGCTCGGTCGCAAGCTCCTCAGCTGCCGTGCAGAGGTTGGTGACACTCGCCCTGCTTGATGGTGGGCTGCTCCTGGCGCCCGTGTCCTCCTCTTCCTCCTCGTCGCTGTACAAGATAGCAAAGTCATCCGCCTCGCCGTCGCTAGCAGCGGATGATGAGCTGCTACCCCGCGCCATCTCAGCACTGGCCACTGAGCCGTACCGGTCCTCCCGCTGCTGCTGGTCCTCAAGCCGTGAGGTAGATGCGAATGCAGATGTGTCCTCCACGTCGTAATGTGTCGAGGCCATGATGGGTGATGCCTTGCGACGCTGTTAGTGGCGATGGATAAAGAGAGGAGGGTACCCCGAGCTTAACTAGGATGAGATGATGAGATGAAGAGAAATGGGGTCGAGCAGAAAAGCTCCCGCGCTGACGTCAAGTGAGCTGGAATAAAGCTCACAGGGAGGCAAAAGTCCAAGGCGCGAAGGAGCAATGCTGAGCACGATCACCTCAGCGGCTCTCACCTCACTTCAGTCAGGCTAAGATTCCTCCGCGTCCCCTCTTCGCAGCTAAGCACACGGTCGCTGCTGCACTTTTCCGCCCGCCTATCCGCGCCAGTCCGGCCTTTGAGGCGCGGCCACAGGCGAGGCGGCGACAGGAAGATCTCGGCGCCCGCCCGCTTCGATTCATGCGGACAGACGGACGGATGGCGCCGAAGATCGAAAAGGCCTGGCTGGCTGGCTTATCTCCACTTGACCGATGGGTGGAGTGCAGAGGGCAACCGTTCTGGTACAGGGTCGATATTGAGACAACGACGTCGCCACCACCAAGCAAGCCGAGTAGGTCAAACGAGCAACAGTGGGGTAATCTTACCCATTCCTCAATACAATGTCACCGCAAGTCAAAGCAGATCAGGAGGTCCCGGGAGCCCCGCAAGCCGGCGCCTTTGTTCTTTTCGAACTGAGCCGTTGCCCCTGCGACGTTAGCTAAGAGGCTGTGCCAGTCGATCTCCACATAGATATCGCTAGGGTCCAGCCCATACAAGCCTCTTGCATGCCGACGAGACAAGGACGTGCACGACCAAGATCCGAGCTCCGGGTGCGATCATAGTTGACATTACAATGCGATGCGGTACCATCCTCGACAGGAATGAACAATCAAAGTCGCGCAACAACAGTATCGCCACCCTCTTCCTCCTTCTCCTCTAGCAGCGCCACACCTTGCCTCCATTCGTACCAAGGCTCTGTACCAGGGACGTAGCGCGCCTTGAGCCAGCGAAAGACGATCTCCTGCAACGCGAGCGCGAGGTGCTGTGTGTATACAGACCAGAAGAGATTGAAGGTGGGCGGGAGGACGATATCAAGCTGGTTCTCGTGCGTCGACGAAGGCGAAGAGTCGCTCGCGAGCCGTCTTGCCCAGCGCTCGTGCCTGTAACGAGCCCAGCGTGCGGCTTTGAGCTGCCAGCAAGGCGCTGAGTCTGCCTTCGTATCCATGCCCTCTGCAGCGGAGGCAAAGACCTCCTCGTAGAGCCGCGTATCGCTCACTCCCCATCTTCGACCCACTCTCGATCCCATGAGCAATGCCAACTGCGGGGTACGGTAGAGCAAGAGATCGGAGAAGAAGGCAGGGGAGAGCAGGAAGATGTCCAACATCTTTCCGGTCGTGTTGTCCGTGCAAGGGAGATCCTCCGTACTACCATCCGGGTAGAGCAGGCGGACGGGCACGGTACAGCGTCGAACGAGAGCGACGAATCGTCTCTTGCCCTCTTCATCGCTCGACGTAGGGCTCGGCCAGAAGAGGGCCCCGTTGCCTTCATTGCCTGGAGACCCTTGCTGCCCCTCTCGCTCTAGCTGCGTAGCATTGAGCGAAGGAGGCCAGCCGATACCATCAAAGGCTTTTCCCCTCAACGTCCTGCTGCTCCCCTTTTCACCGTCGCCATTCCCTCGTCTAGCAGAGACGACACTCGGCTCCGGCTTGTTGTACACGTCCAGTCGCGGCCGACCGTAGTGCAATTTGGCGGCTTGCCAGGCTATGCGCGCGAAGGTTAGGACGAGATCGAGTGGCTGGCGGGCAAGGCGGGAGAGTAGATGTGAGGCCGTGAGGGGTCGAGGTGCTTTGCTGGACCGGCCATCGTCGTGCGGGTATGAATTGAGAGTGGCGAGGATCTTCTTGCGAAGGATGAGGGGTGGCTGCGCTGCTAGTTGTGCTGGTGCTTGCTCTGAAAGGTGGTCGTCAACCTCTGCTTCTTCCTTCGTCATCTGTGTACCAGCGAGATCAGGCTCCATAAGTAATAATCGCACATCCAACGTGGGAAGCCCTTCCTGCCCTGCTCGCCACAGGTCCTTTAGAAAGAGGCGGTAGTAGCCTCCTCGGTCGTTGAAGGGGCTGACGTGAAAAGACCGCGGGAAGGTCCATTGATGCTCGTAATCGCTGCGGCGATGCTGGACGCGATATGAAATACCGTCGCCGCGGGCGAGAGGTTCGATATGAGGCTTGCCAAGAATCTCATCACCCTCGCGGTCCTCTCCCTCATCGGCGGGCAACACGTAGAGATGTCGCTCGCCGAATGTATTGTGTACCTCAAGCAGGCAGAGCCAAAACTGACCGCGCCTTCCGTGCTCCTTGCGGTAGATGTAGTACACAGTCAATGGATTGATGCCGTGAAACCCAAAGTAGCTGGGCATGCTGATCGCCCAGACCTCGTAGGCATCTGCGTCCAGGGTCTGTCCCGCTGCAAGCCAATGTCGTTGCCTGAGCTCCAGCTCCAGTTTTGCTAACCAGCTCGTCTCCTCGTTTGATCCCAAATAGTCGATTGCTTCCAGCGCTGTCATTGCCCATCTGTTGCTCTTAGATCCGGCATTCCACCTGAATAATCTGCCCTGTGCTCCTACATTGCATTCCCCGGCCTCGAGCGCGCCCAACTGGACGGCAAGGTAGAGGGTTGGGTATCTGAATGTATGTTTCGACGCTAGAGGTAGCATGCGGGCGTGATGGATATAGGACGGGACGAGCCATGCTGAGGGAGGAGGAAGCGAGGACGATGAAGTGACGGGTGTACGGAGGGGCTGTTTCCTATCGTGTGGACGAGAGCTACTGCGCCGATAGAGTAGGAGAGTAAGGGCTAGACAGAGGGATGAGACGAATGCGTCCAGTAATGGCCAGCCATCCCAATGATCAGCTATTGATGTGATCATGGCTGCGTCAATGGCTGCGTCAATGCTACCACTTTGCCATCGCGTTGGTCCTGAGAAAAAGCAAGTGCGGAAACAAGGTTGAGTTACAAAGGTCCAGTCGAGCTCCGCGGTCGAGTGGACTGGTCTCGTTGGATGGCTCGAGCGTCAGCCGGCGGCACGGCACAAGGAACCCAAGGCTCCAACTTGGCCCGCTTCTCCACACTACCTATCACCATGATCGACAAGTCTAGCAATCTCACCCTCTACGATCACCTCAGCTCGAGCTTCTGCGTCCAAGTGCGCATCGCTTTGCGCGAAAAGGGAATGTAAGTCGGCCTTTGTGAGCTAGCATATACACACCAGCTGGCCCCCTGCTCGAGCTCACCCACTCACTTGCTTGCACCACCAACTCTCCTCCGACAGCCCATTCAACTCCATCATCCCTTCTGGCCTAGGCACAGGACAGGATCGCGACCCATCCTGGTCCTCTGCCAATGTTCGCACGCAAGTCCCCACTCTCCTCGACGATGGTGGGGCCACTCAGGTCTTTGACTCTACGATCATCATCGAGTACCTGGAGGACAAGTTCGGTCGCTCCCTCCTCCCTGAGACGCCTGCTGAGCGCGCAAAGGCGAGGCAGATAGAGGATGTCGTGCAGACGACGTACGAAGCCATTAATTGGGGATGGGCGGAGGTTGTCTGGGGGAAGAGAGGGAGTGAGGAGTTGCAGCAGAAGATCAAGAGAGAGGCGAGACGGCAGGTCAAGGTAGTGCACGAATGGCTCACTGAGCAGTTGGGATCGCAACCCTACTTCAATGGCAACACCTTTGGCTGGGCAGACGTCGCCGTAGCTCCCATGGTACATCGCGGCGTCATCTACGGCGACGGTATGGAGCCCGCTACGAACTCCCCGCTCGCACAGTGGCATGCCCGTATCATGGAACGATCAGCTGTCAAGCAGACGCTCGACGAGATGGAAAAGGGGGCGAAAGCTATGGGCGATAGCTACACTACGGTGTTCGCGCCAGGCAGGGGGAACAAGAGGGAGTATGGAAGTCATCGCTTGGAGTTCATGCTCAAGGCTGGAGGGATGAGTGTGGTTGAAGAGGGACTCAAGGAGGGGACGATCCGCTTCGGCTGGCCAGAGGGAAAGAGTGGTGACGATGTGTGATTGCCACAGGCGACTACAATGGATATCAGTTCGAAGACAAAACAGGCCAAAATCACCTCCTGCCCCGCGCTCATGCCATCTCCTCGTCAGCGGGCAGCTTGAATGGGTCCTCCCCGCCCCCAAAGAAGCTCCCCAAGAAGGGCAACTTGGACACGACGCCGATCATGTAGGCAAACCAGCGGAGCGCCTTGACCTCGAGAACATTACGAGGGTAGAAGAGGCCGGGTGCGAACGAAGGAATGTCCTGCGCCTTCTCCACGTAGCCGCGATATTCCTCTTCCCAACGAGTGAAGGCTTTAGTGGGGTCGTCGCCGACGTCCTTACGGTTGAGATGCCAGGCGAGTAGGTAGGCGCCACTGACGGCGAGGCTGAACGGGCAGAAACAGGGAGATTGAGTCGACGTCAGCTCTTATCTTGGTCGTCACGCCCACGCCCACGCCCCGTCTCGCTTTCGCACTCACGTCGTTCCCATTCCCCCCAAGGGGCTAGGAGCCCAAGCCGCATCTCCCAAGAGGACGACGCGCCCCTTGTGCCACTTGTCCATCCTGATCTGCACCGTCGGGTGCAAGTAGAAGTCGCTTGTCTCGTCCATCGCCTTGAGCAAACGGGGCGCCTCCCATCCTGCGCCAGTGAATATCTCCTTGAGCTTCTCCTTGTACACTTTTGGGTCCCTCTGCTCCTCGAACGCCTTGACCGCCTCAGGGTCTTGTGTCATTACACAGAGGCTCACGCGTACCGTCTTACCGCTCCCGTCCGGCCTGATGAAGAGGGAACGTCGCTTCGTCGTGATGTAGATTCGCCAGATGTCCGTATCGTGCTCCTCGCGCGGGATGGTGTAGTAGGACATGTATAGGTGGAAATGGCGGACGTTGATGTTAGACGAGGAGGCGAGGCACATTTGGCGCACTTGAGAGCCTTGGCCATCAGCGCCTACGAGGATGGATCCGTGCAGGACCTCACCGCTCTTGAGGGTCAAAGTGACCGAGTCGTCGTTCTCCTCGATCGAGGCAATCTTTGCTCCGAATCGGAAGCTGATGAGATTAGGGTACTTGGCCAGGCATTCTTGATAGAAGACATCTGCCAGGTCCCCGCGCAGGATCTCAATATCACTGGTAGGACTCGTGTTCTTCTTCCCCTCCTTCTGTTCACTGACACCGAAGAAGGCCCACGACTTGCGGTTCTCGTCCTCGACGCTCATGCCCTTCTCTGTCGTCGTCTTTGCGCGGATCGCCGCTTCGAGGCCCAGGCGTGCAACGACTTCTTGTCCGGGACCACGAAGGTCAATGTTCTGGCCTTTGGTCTCGAGACCGGGGCATCGTTCGATGACGATACTGGGTTTTCCTGCTTTGGCCAATTGTAGGGCGAGGGGCAGGCCGGCTATGCCTGCGCCTATGATGAGCGCGGGGAGGGGAGTGGACATGGTTCAAGGTCGTGGTGAGGAGCAACAGAGGAGGAGGAGGAGGAAGAGCGAGGGAACGCAACGAAGCTCAGACAACGCAACGTTGATTCATCAATTAGGTAGAGACTCCAAGAGGCTCCATGCCGTCTGTTTCGGGGAAGAAGCTCAGCTAGTCATTCAGTTTCTAGCACAGCAGCCAAGCATCACTAAACTCACGCACCCGGATGGTTTGCTCATCACTCAGTTCCTCGCTCGGGCCACGTCGATCGCGGCAGCGCAATCCCGTCCATCCAACGTCACGCTTCCTCATCGGACCAGCCGTTTGCCCAAGGCAAGGTAGGGATCGGTATTGCAGAGCAAAAGGAAATGGCGTCGGTCTATTTGACATCACAAGAAAGCGAGAGTTAAGGCCAAAGCGACGCATCACTCGAAAGATTGAAGATGACGCTGCGCAGATTCTTTCGCATCGAGTGCAAGCGGTCGATGCTCTGTCCGTCTTCCAGGTTAAACCACCGATCATGCGTCAAAGCCTCGGCCAGCGTCTCCTTGGGTTCGCCGCCTTTGGCCGAGTCCAGACGATGGATGTCCGAGTTGGACGATGTGCGCCCACTCTCCACTGTCGTCTTCTCCACCTTGTATTGGCTGATCAGCGAAGGGACTACAGTGTAGGACTTGAGCAGACCAGCCCAGACGGCCTCGCTCAGCGTCACGTCGACTGCGTCCAGCCTCATGTTGGCGTGGTAAAGCGCACGAGCAGCGCCGCGCTTCGTCATGGCGTAGGAGCCCGTGCAGACGGGGAAAGCCGATCGAGCTATGAGGCGTTGTCGTTCAGCGACAGGCGAGTCCCACGAGGGAAGCACACCGCCAAAGTTGGCTACGACTGACTTGAAGCTGTTAGACCAGGCGTCGGCGTGCGAAACGCTCGTATCGTTGTAGATGACGCCGGGGAGGTGAGCAAAGTCAATCCCGGGGGGGTTGGTGTGGCTCCCAACGCCGAGAGGCCGCTCTGTGCAAGCACCGAGGAAGAGGAGATCCCAGTCCTAGCGCGGGGACGAGATTCGAAGTCAGCATCGTCAAAAGAGAGCTGTATGTGCTGCCTCAGGCCGGCTCACCTTTGCTGACCATGGATCGGCCTCACTGGGCGTGCGTACCCGGCCATCCTTGTTCTCCGATGTCAAGAGCGTCGCAAACGGCATGACAAGGCGCTCAAGGGCCGTCCTCCAGTCCACCTCCCAATCAACATCGTCTGCGAACGGTGCAAGACGTCGATGTGAGCATCAGCTATACACTCTCACCTCATTCTTACCGCGCGCGAACTCACCCTCTACGATCAGCACACTCTCCTCCTCGCCCTCCAGGATCTTCCTCCACAGATCCGCATGCCCGCGATAGCACCCAGCCTCGCCTACGGTCTTGCCCGTCCCATGCGGCGGGAGAGCCGACTCCTGCAGCTCATCTCCAGGTACAGGGTGGTGGAACTCGACCTTCATACCCGATGCTTTTGCCATGAGCGTGAGCATGTCCTTCTTGTCTGGACGGCGTGCGAGATTGAGGGCGTAGATTTTGCCAAAGCCCCACGTTGAGTTGGTGACTGAGCGTGGGCTGTGCACCGTAGCATCGGTGTAGTGGTGGGGCAGGGTGACAGGGTGTGGGGACGGGATCGTCGGAGAGGAGACGTGGGATGTGACGCCGTCGAGAAGGCTAATTGCTGCGGGTGGACAATATGTGTTAGCGGGACGCAGTTCGATATGGTGTCGCCTCGTCTCGCCTCACTTACCAGTCCAGAAGCCCACTACGCCGAGCACCAGCGTAGCCAGGATCTTTGGCAGCTTCGTCGCCTTTCTCCTTCGCGGCATCGATCCTTCAGCACCCGCATCTGACACCTTCTCATAGTCGATGGGAGAGCGAGCAGGAGCAGATCCACCTAAAAGCGCCTCCGAAGAGGAGTCGCTGTCGGCGCCGTTGGGGCCATTGCCATAGGAAGTCAGTCGTCGAAGCATCTTAGGAGCGCCCATTGTTGTTGAGGATGGGATGAGAATGCAGCGAAGCCATTTTCGTATTCTGCCATCTTTGTATCATCAGAGCCCTCGCGCATCTGGTCGCCCTCGCCCCGACGTAGCAAGCAAGCAAGCATTGACAATGATTCGACATCTGTCGACTCGATGGTCGTTGGTCGGTCATGTCCAGGCCGAGGCCAAGGGGGTGGCTGTCCACTCCTGTCCGTCTGCTTGCCCGCCTGCCGCTGCTGCATCTTCGTGTTGGTTGGCCTCATTTCATCCTCCGACGCACGCGGGTCGAGGCGACGACGGCCGCGATGGTGTGGCGTCGATTGGCGTGCATCACCGTGTCTTCTCTTCCGGATTTTGCCCGCTTCATACAAGACCCTCCCTCAAAACTGCCAAGCGGCTAGCGGCAATGGCCATGGCGCACGACGAAGTGCTTGCCGGCTACTCGTATGCTGTCCTGCAATATAAGGTCGAGAGATGCAAAGGTCACCTGATTCGGCGGTAGTGCTCCTTCATTCGCATTCGCAAGATCACCAATCACTCCACGATGTCCCTCTTTTCGCGATCTGGCAATGGTGGCAGCAGGGGCGGTGGAAGCGGCCTGGCTTCATACCGTCTCGTAGGCGGTGCTGAACGCCTTGACGAGAAGTTCGCCTCAAAGAAGAGGAAGTCGATGTCGTTGAAGAGGATCCTGTCGCTCCTTGTGGGAGGGCTTTTCGCCCTGTGGACCCTGTCCACCATACTCGGAGGCCACGGCGAGATAGATCGCGGGCATGATGTCGAGGCCGTGCCAAATACCGTCCACTTTGTAATTCTGGGCGACAAGGACCACTTCAAGGTCAATATCGTCAACTGGCTGGCAGTCTGGTCAGCCCACCACTGGATGCAGCCCGATGCCATTTGTGAGTGGCCCGCCCAGAGACAGGCGACTACGCCAACTCCCGCTGACCACTCCCGCTGTACGCCAGACGTGCACACCAACTACGACCCCTCGGTCATCTCAGCGGCTCGCACAAACCCCTCGGACGCCTACACGCGCAGCCTATTCCGCATTCCCAGCGTCCGATTCAATCACGTTGTGGCCCCGCACGCAACCTCAAATGGAACCGCCTTTACGGGAGGGTGGGCCCATTCATCCGACTTTATCCGCACGGAGGTCATGGCAGAGCACGGTGGTGTCTACCTGGACAGCGACAGCTTCCTGCTGAGGGATCTGGAGCCGTTGCGCACGAGCGGATACAAGATGATCGTCGGGAGGCAAAGATGGGGAGCTGTGAACCTGGCAGCAATGCTCAGCGTGCCGTCGAGCACATTGATGAAGACGTATCACAAGCTGATGGACAAGGTGCGTGATACAGGGAAGGCAATCTCACTTCAGCTGTCGCTGACTCGCTTCCTTCTTCCTACTGCTGGCGCACGCAGACGTACAATGGCTCGTGGGGAGGCCACTCCTTTGAGCTCCTCACGCGTCTTGTCGAGATCTTTCAGCACAAGCCACGCGAAGTTCTACTCCTCCCGCAAGAGGCTCTGTTCCCCTTGAGCTGGGACGCATCGGATCTGCCTGCCCTGTACCAGCCAGTGTACAACGGGCCCATCCCTCACATACGGTATGAGACGGACCTGGGGAAGGCAGAGGAGGCATTCTCGTGGGGAGACTTCCATGATGAGGTCAAGTCGCCCGTCATCGTGAGTTCAGCGAGATGCCCTCGCCATTGCACAACAACTCACACGCCCCAAATTGTCTTCGTGCCCACAGGACTGGGCGAAGTCGTACAACGTGCATGGCTGGCTTTCTGGCCTCTTTGATACCAGGTACATCTCCGTAGCCACTCGTCGCGAGTGGTTCGGGTCAGAGACCGGGGACATCAATCTCGACTATTTGATCAGGAGGGAGAGCAACTTTGCCAACGCGGTGTGGCCGGCTCTGAGGGCAGCGATTCTGCAAGGCGTCGTCGAAGTGAGCCAGGAGCAAAAGCTGGCAGCCATAACGGACGCGCAGCTTTGGCCCATCTTGTCGTGAGCGCGCACATACCAGCTTTCGTCAATCGCAGAACACATTCGCAGCACCAAGTTTTGGTTAGTGAGCGCGGATCAGGGAGTGCTTATCAGCGAGATGGATATGCAAGATGAATTGTGCGACTATAAGATGCGGATGCGTGACAGATGCGATATACGAAAGTGAATTGCGATGCCTACTTGCGCGCCCCCTTCCACTTCTTGAATGCGTTCAAAATGGGCTCCTCGACGCAGACCGTCGACACGTACGCACACACGATGGCCATGAGGAGCACACCATAGCCCGTAATGATGTCGTTGGGCCAGTGTGTGATGTGGGAAAGCGTAAAGTGCCAGAGGTACGCCGAATAGGAGCACTTGGCCACGAATTTAAAGATGGCCGCCTCAGTGAACCAGTTTCCCTCGATGGATGTGAGGATGACCGCGGCGGTGACAATGGCCATGAGGGGGTTGAAGAGCACGACATTGTGGCCCAGCACGGCGTCCCTTTTGTCCGTGCCATTGATGAAGGTGTCGTTGAACCAAGCAACGCTCGCGACCATGAAGATGGCGAGGAAGCCGCCGAGCCGACCCTGCTTGTAGAGCCACGTAGGCCAGGGGAAAGTCCTGATGAAAGCGCCAAAGCAGATCTTCCAAATGTTGCCCGCAACGCCACGACGCCAATTGAGGTTGAGCAAGGGAAAGCCGAGGTAGGTCTCTCCATCAAAGGGGAAGCGGACGCTCTCGGAAACCGTCAAAAGCGTTGAGACCGAAAGCATGACGGCGGTGGCGGTAGCCCAGAAGCTCCACTTTCCCCTCGCTGAGCGCGGGACAAAGGGCATAGCAAAACACATGAGCAGATAGCTGACCTCCTGGAAGCTTAGACTCCACACCTGATGGTAAGGAGACTGCTCGAGAGAATAGTCCTCCGACCAAAAGATGGCTCGAATCGCTGCACGCGTAAGGAAAGGTCCTGTCCATTCGCCTGAAGAGTGCGTGTACATGTAGTAAGATGTGGTTCCAATCATGAAGAGTTGCGCCGGCATGAGACGAGCCGCGCGAGCGAGCTGAAACTCGGGTATCCATGAGTACGCTGCCTTGAAGCGTTGCCAGGCGGTATGGCGTGGCGTGGCTGGCGAGAGGCTTGCCTGAGCTTTGAGGTGAAGCTTCTCTAGGGTACCGACCAGCAGAAAGCCGGCAAAGATGAAGAAGGCGCCGAGTCCAGCTTGTCCCCATGCCTCATGACCACCAGGGAGGTGAGCTTGGAAGACGAGGCACGTAGCCATGCCACGAAAGCCGTCGAGGGCTACGGAGTGGGATACCTTTGGTGGTCTGCATTCGCTGCCTTGAAGCCATCGCGAGAGGAGACCACGAGGTGGGCGATGGGCCGAATGAAGGGGCAGATCGATATCCTTGAGCGCCATTGTCGCCGCTGCCTTCTCATCTGCGAAGGTCATGTCGACCATGCTGGACTCGGCAGAGTTGTTGGACGCGGCGGTTTGCTCGAGGAGCTGGTAGTCACCTTGCTGGTTTGAGTTGAGGTACATGATTGTGAGAGAGAGTGGTGGTGAGGAGGCAAGCAATTGCTCGTCAAAGGTTGCCTGATCACAAATCGCCACAACCACGTCCGGCCAGAGACAAACGTCGTTGCTCGTCTCGTCGACGCCGCTCACCTCGAAGAGATCCGACGTCGATTCCAAGCCGGAGGGTAAGCATTGTCCCGCTGCCGGCGCCAAGGGCTGCCTGCCCCTTGTGCGCAGGAATGATTGTCACATTAAGGGGCAAAGACCCAAGACTGAGCGATAGGCGGAGCTCGGCATCGATTTGTGTGTGTGCGTGTGTGTGTGTGTGCGTGTGTGTGTGTTGGATTGGATGGATCGACTGACGAGGCGTTATTTGCCCGGCCGCTTGCGGATTGCTAGCGGATTCACCGATTCAGGGCGCCGCCAATTTTGGATTTTGGCATGGCCGTTCGTCCGTCATGCAGACCTGTCGTGCAGGCCCGTCGTGCAGGCAGGCCCTGCATGCAAGCGCCTTGCGTTCCACGGGGCGCGTCGAGCGGGACCTGAAGTCCTCGAGCGGGGTTTGGATGAGCCACCAACGCCTCCATCCATCGCACCTTCCTTTTTGCCGTCAGATCGTGGACCCCGAGCTCCACGACGACGAGCATAGAGGATTCAACGCAACTATTGGGAGATGGATCAGGCGGTCAAGAGATGCTGTCGCCCACGCGGGCCAGAGAAGACTGGGCCCGTGGGTGGAGCCAAGCATGGAGCGTCGGTTGGCCGTCCATCTTGATAACTTTTGCAAGTCGTGCTGCTTCTCCTCGTCATCACCATCACCATCATCTCGCGTTCCCTCGCCCATCGCCATGACTTCTCCTCGCAGCGACGCCATGACGCCGTTCCTCCTCGCCCTCCTCGCCGTACAGAATTGCGCCATGGGCTTCCTTCTCAATGCCCGGCCGCGCACCCAAGATGCCTTCTCTCCCTCATCGGTCATCTTCGTCTCTGAGCTCCTCAAGCTTGCAGTCTCGGCCCTGCTCGTCGTCCTAGTCTCCAGACCTAAGGACACCGAAACGGATCTCAAGCGATCGTCTCACTCGCAGTATATCTGGCGACGATGCACTCAATCAGGCTTCTGGCTCATGGCCGTGGTGGCCGCCATGTTCGTTGTTCAGGGCAACCTCAAGCTCTTCTCTGCGCCGCTCCTCACACCGACCACTTTCCAGGTCTTGCAGGAGTCGAAGCTCATCTTTGTCATTATAGCCTCAATCGTAGTGCTGAGAACCAAGGTGACGGGCGCACAATGGCTCGCCGTATTCACCATGCTCGCAGCTATCATTCTGATGCAGAGCAGGCCCGTAGACGCTACACCTCAAGCGCAGGCCATCTCGTCGCACCCACTCCTCGACCGTCGCATTGGTACGATTGGCATGCTCCTCGTCGGTACAATCGGCGCCTTTGCCAGCGTGCTCATTGAGCGAGCCATGCGCACCACAGACATGTGGGTCGTCAACACGCAGCTCTCCTTCTTCAGCTTGCTCCCAGCAGCTGCACCACTCGTGGCGAGTGGTCGATTTGACTTCCTGCGCGGCTTCAACTTGCTTGCCTGGGCCACCGTACTCAATCTCGCATTTGGAGGCATCCTCGTAGCCCTCGTCATCAAGAGGTGCGGCAACATCGCCAAGACGTTCACGACGCCGCTCGCCATCGTGCTTTCCTACCTGATCAGCGTCACCTTCATGGCCACGCCGTGGAGCTGGCCCATTGCAGGCGCATCGGTCATGGCCGTGTGCTCGATTCTACTCTACAATTTGTTCAAGCCGGAGGCACCGCGTAGCATCCCTGAGAACGACGCCTCCGAGGAAAAGGGTTTGCTCCTCGTCTCGCCGACAGAATCTGCCGATGAGAGCATGACTCTTTGCACGGGCGAAGACTCAGACGTGTCCAGGGACTGGAAGTAGACTCTACATTATTACAATGATACCATGATTCTCTTACCGTTGCCCGGCTGTGATGTAGTGTCGTATGCGTGAGAAGACCAACACCTGATCCACGTGGCGAGGCGCGTAGTCCCCCTCCAAGGCGACGAGCCGCGCCGCCGTCTCCACATCTTCGCACCTTGCAACTTCAACACTCCAGCCATGGCTCAAGCTCAAGAAGAGGACAAGCTACAGCGGTCAAATATCGGGTCCCGTGGTCGCATGCTGGCGTTCATCTCAATCGCTTTCATAGCAATCTCCGCGCTGATCGGTCAGCTCCTGCTCGCCGAAGGGGACACCAGCATAGGCGAACGACTCTTGGAATGGGTGTCGCTGTTTCAGTCGTCGCCATGGGAGGACATCGACTCTGACGCGCAGACATTGCCATTGGACCTGTCAGGTAGCACACCCTCTGCGCTACCACTCAACAGCACTCTGGGCTTCTCCAAGATCTACGTACGACACGCGAGCCCATATGACAATCGTCGCGACGAGTTGGCGATGATGTCGGCCGTCTCTAACCTCTCCGTGGCATACAGCGATAAGCCTCTGTGGAACGCAGGTACGAACGTCTCACTGGCCGGTTTGCCCTGGCACGATTCATTGCTGTCGAAAGAGGAGTGAGTGCCGCAAAAGACAGTCCTGAGGCCCAGCCGCTGACCTCGACCCCCAATGCATTCACGGTAGGCTGGCCGAGTATCGGAGCCATGCTACAGTCTGGCGCCGAATCCTCGATGAGCAGACACCAAGCGCGCTCATCCTGTCAGATACTGTTGACTGGGACATCAATGTTCATGCCCAGCTTCAGCGATTGCAGACACCTTTGGCCACCCTCATCAGCGCTTACGAGCAGCAGCAAAGTAGCAACGCGCACGGTGACCCGCGAAAGCCCTCCCGCCAGGATCCGCTCCTCAGCAACGCCTGGGACATCCTCTTCCTCGGATGCGAAGAAGAGCTGCCGCTTCCGATGGCAGTCGACTTGGCCCCATTCGCACGCTACGATGACGAATCAGTGGCGCCCTCGAGCACGAGCAGCCCGACCTTCGTCGAGCTCTTGGCACACTACGGGATGTCGCTGGAATGGGCAATGGCAATACCGGGCGGAGCGTACGAAGTTGTCCCGGGAAGGCGGAGAGGCCCGCCAAGGCAGCGATTGGTAGCCGTGGCTCAATCACCTCGATGCTCAACAGCCTATGCCATCTCGCGACGAGGGGCTGCTAAGCTGCTTCATACCATCAGCCGGGGTCTTGAGAAACCCGTGCACGACATGGTCGCAGATCTAACTCAAAGTCGGCAGCTCCGGGCCTTTGTGACGCTCCCGCCCCTCATGGGAGAATGGGTGCAGGATACGAGTGAAGACAACGTGCGGCGTGATCCGTCTTTGGGAAGAGCGGATAACGTACGAGACAGCGTGCGCCAGCATCTGAAGCGGCTGATTTGGGAGATGTAAGGCAGTGAGGGCGGCAGGACAGTCAGGGTGACCGCATGCTTGGCCGTAAGCCACTCGTCATGAGAGTATTACTATGCATTCACAAGACTTTCCCGCGGTGATCTGTCATTCCATTGTGGTCGCCGAATTCGTCGTCGTCGTCGTCGTCGATTGAATTAGCAGGCGTGTTGTGTTGCCCTTGGCTGCTTGAGCCGATCTACCGGCGTCCCATTTCCGACCGCAAGTTGCCCAGATTGACCCGCCCTGATCGACGCCACCTCCGCTTGCAGGCGCGCGTCGTGCTCAATCGCGAAGTCCTTCCTTTCCTTCCTACCATATTCGACCCCGTTGCGGCGTCGCTGCACCCTGAGGCGCCAAAGCAGATTGCCTCAGGCTCAGGCTCTGACAGTTGACAATCGGAAGCTGCCTGAGCTAATACGCAGACCCGATAACGCTCCTGCCCAATTTGGAACAGCGCCGGCGCGGCCTCCGAGGAGTGCGTCGTCAACGCCCGCAATAAGGCAGGATCCTCGAACGCACGCGTCTCTCGCTGCTGCACACATCATCGATCCAAGCCACTTCAGGCCGGACATCCAATTGAAGTCAGCCCGGCAGCTTCTTTCGAAGCTCTCTTGAATACCGTCGTCGTCCCGTCGCTCAAGGAATGACGACAGTCGGAGCGTGATGGGGAGCAGTTTCTCGACTCGACGAGGGCCATAGATTGCGACCATGGATTGGAAGATCTCACTTCGATGAGAGCCCGCAGGTAGATACTCACGGTGATGCAGAGAAGTCTGGGCCATGCCATGCCTTGCCCAAGAACGCATCGTTCCCGGCGCAGGACGACATCTTGACCGCCGCCGATATGGGAATGTTGACGCACGAGGAGCAGCGCAGGGCGAAGAGCAGAGCACAGAGAAGAGGCAATGCGAACAGGCAGCAGCGCTAACATATAAGACGGCCAGATCTCGCAAACAATCGTCTCCTCATCAAGACCAAGCCCCCTCCCTCCATCCTCAAGAACTCCTCCCTCGTCCTCAAGAAGACTTCCCCTTTCCCTCCATCCTCCTACATCCCCACACTCTTTTGACAACATGATCGTCGGCCCCAAGTTCCTCAGTGTCCTCTCTCTGGCTCTCATTGCCCTCTTCCTCAGCGCCGGCAGCGCTCAGGCTAGCACCCTTGCCACCAAGCGCCACGCCTTCTGCCGCGTTGACGTGAGTACGCGGAGCGAGCTCCAAGATCACGCTGGACGGTTTGCTGACCACCTCCATCTCGTATCGTCACTTACAGGCCGCCTGCTGGTCTGACCACTACTGTGGCAGCGACTCCAAGTGCGCTCCCAAGCTCCACGACGGCGAAGAGTGCTCTCTCGACAAGGCGTGCTGGTCGGGCAAGTGTGACTCGGAGACGGGCGCCTGCATCGCTCCCATCGCCGAGCGCGCCACCCCCGTCGCCGCTGAGCCCGTTGTCAAGCGCTCCGTCGTCGAGAACAAGCCCATTCAGAAGCGCGCTACCAAGCAGCAGAAGAAGGATGCTGCTGAGGCCAAGCGTGAGCTCGCCGCCGCCAGGGCCTTGCTCGCAAAGGCCCACCGCAGGGCTAAGGCCGCCTCTGTCAAGTCCGAAAACCTCCACAAGGCCGCTGCCGCCGCTGAGAAGAAGGAGTCGAAGCTGAGGGCCGCCTACCGCAAGGCCTCCGGCGCCAGGAAGGCTTACCTCAAGATGAGGCTGCAGAGCGCCATCAAGGCCTCCAAGGCTGCTCATCACAGGGCTAGCCTTGCGGGAGCCGCCGCCGCCAAGGCTACCAAGAAGGAGGCCAAGGTCGTAGCTACTACCTGGGCCGCCAAGCGCAAGTCCGACACTGCGACTGCCGTCGCCGAGGGCAAGCCCGCGCCTGTGTACGCCCTCCGCGGCAACGGTTCTCCCTGCCTCTCCGGCAGCGAGTGCTCCTCCGGATTCTGCAACAAGAGCGCCAAGTGCGCCAACGCCCCCACTGGCACTGGCGGCGACGTCAGCCCCAAGCCCTCGCAGCGTGCGCTCTAAGCATGCGGCATTGGGTGTCATCTTCATCGTTGTCAATCTCTCAATCTCATTACTTCATCTTCGCTTTCGCACGTCACCCTACCCACTGTCTTTACTAGCTCGCGTCTTTACCACACACTCTTCTTTCTTTCTTCTGTCAAGAGGTTGAGCAGTCGCTCAGCGCTTCGACTTGAATAGATCACTTGCTTTGCAGCGCTTTCACACCGCATTGTCACGCCATCGTCGCCGTTATCACGTTGGACCCACTAGACATCGTCGTCAGCACCACGGTCATGCTCGTCAACGCTTTCAAATTCAGCACCATCGTAGCTTTGCGCGTAAGGTTGACACCTCAGCGACAAGGTTGATACGCCCATGTTTGATTGTAGTGCCAGAGCTTGAGGTTGTGAGCAACCGAACTTTTGGTCACGCCCGTTGAAGCTACGGCTCCATTGTTGGTCGCAGTGACTCCGACGTGACGGCAACGCGACCCTCTGCACTCCGCTGCTCCCTTGGTCCTGTTTCGTTTTTGGCCGCGGCCGTGGCGCGGACGACGCAGCAACGCAGCGCCCCGTGTTGATCCACCTTCTTTCCTGCGCCACCCACTCAGACGAGCTCGGGCGCTAATCAACACGGCAAAAGTGCTTCGGCTCATCGGAATCAACACTTTTTTTTGACTAGGCGACAAGACAGGGTCTTGCGTCGTGAGGTGTGCGGCTTTTGGACTCCGCAATGCAAGCCACACCCATGACGACGACTCAAAATCACGAAGGCTGCGCCCAAAATGCCTCGGGGCGCGCCTCGTCCGTGGGGATCCGTACCCGTGGTAGTCACCGCCTCCTTCAATTGCATCAGAGGATAGATACGTCCACGCACCTCCTTGCGTTCCTTGGCGGCGGTGGCGGGCAACCGCGGCCTAATACGAAGAGCAAGGGGAGTCTGATGAGTGAACTGTAGACCACGGAGCCTTTCATATTGCCGCTGGTTGGGATGTTACTCTTCTACTCATTCCCTCTTTCCAGATCATGTCCTCTCGGAGTCGCCAGCCATCCTTTACTTTTCGTCTCTTCAATCTTCGTCATCGCGCAACCACTGAGCAGCAGGGCAAGACAGCAAGGACAATGGGTCACCTCGAGCAATTGCCTCTCTCCAACGGCAAGGCGCAATATGGTCGCTCAAATACTTTGGGAGCCATTGGCCGACGTGGTCGCCTCGTCTTGTGCCTCATCCTAGCATTCGCCGCTCTTTGCTGGCTCTCTTCGACTGTCACAATCGACGTCGATGAGACTGCAGCGCCCCTCCTCGACAAGGTCGTACCTTCTGCATCTCAGCGTGAGAAGCTCTGGTCAGACGCAATGGCTCAAGTCAGGCCAGCACTGGGACGAGTCAGACCGAGCTCAGCACTGCCGGCCCCGTCGAATGCGCCTGCCCGTCCGCTCGTATCGACGCCAAAGGGTGAGGTCGCCCATGCAGCTGCCGTAGCTGCCGCCGCTGCCCCCGTCCACAAGACCAAGCCCATCGACAAGCCCTCTCTCCGCATTGCCATCCTCGAAAACTGGGCCTGCCACGACGAGGTGACGGCGAGCTTCATGCAGGCTCTCTCACGTACCAAGCACAACGTCATCTCGTACCTGCGTGACATCCGTTTCGAGGCCGAGAAGATCTACGAGAGCTTTGATTGGTGAGCGTGTGCGAGGCGCCATTGCGATATAGACTCTGAGCTGACTTGATCAATCCTTTCTCCACGCCGCACGATGCCAGGAAATACCCTCCCTTTATCATCGACAATGCCGTCTTCGGCAAAGGCCTTCCGCCGCAAGCCGTCATCTCAGTCTCGTGCAAGAATGACGTCGGACGCTTCTCTCACCAGCTCAATCTCGATGCCATGGCTGACCAGGCCACTACCATGCTCTACTGCGTCATTCACGACTGCAACGAGTGGGACGCACACGTCCCCGACTGGGAGGGAGACGAGGGCATCGACGGTCGCCCGATCATGCGTCATTGGGCCGAGCAGGACCGCGTCCGCTTCCTCACCCTGAGCCCGCATGTTACCGAGTGCGTCAAGTCAAAGACGCTGCCCTACCTGGGCATTTCCAACGACAGTGTCGTGGCTAAGACGGTACGCACCTTTGTGCCCCTCTTTGACATTGCTGAGCTTTCTACGGAGGACAGGCAAAAGGCTCTTGACCTCTCGCACGACTCCATCTGGCTCGCTGTGCAAGGCAAGCTCGACCCTGGACGTCGTTCTTACACCGACCTCTTCTCGGCCCTCATTTCACGCATCCAGGGCGAGAAGACGGCTTTCATGTCCAAGGTCAAGCTGCTTGTGCTCGGCGCCTCGCCACCCGACAAGAAGGGCAAGGCATTGTCGTGGCCTGCACCCCTTCGTGGCAAGATCACTGTTGGCGAGTCGCTTCCGTACCCTCAATTCTACGACGCTCTCCGCCACGTCGGTGCCCTTCTCCCTTCCTTCTCCAAGCGCTCATACCTCGAGTCCAAGGCTTCGTCAACCGTAGCCGCCTCTCTCATCTCGGGTGCGCCTATGGTGGCGGACCAAGCCATCCTGGACAAGTACTCTTACCTCACGCGAGAGTGTGTCTGGTTCAGAGAAGAGGCAGAGACGGAGCTCGAGGCTGCCCTACGCGGTATGAGCGAGGTGTCGAGCGCTCAGGCCATTACGCAGAAGAAGGCTTGCCTGAAGAGGTTGAAGGACAGGATCGTCGCACAGAATGCCGTCGATCTTGAGAGGTGGATCGAGGAGGACCTGCGCGAGAGCGGGCTGCTTTAGACGCATACTATAGTTGAGGCTTCGGACATTCATTCATTCTTTCGTCATCGTACCCTATCACGCTCATTTTTGGTGCTCGTCATTGCAATAGAATTCATCATCATCATCAACATCACCGAGCTCATGAGAGAGAGACAAGAGCGGCAGTGCTGAGGGCGAGCGAGGACACCGTAGCCAACATGGCAGGCCGTGTCTCTGCTACGGCCGACACGGTGTGGAGCGACGACTTGCCCGAGGATGAGCCGTCGCCTCCGTAGAACCGGAGAGAGGCAATGTCCCAGTAAGCCTGCGCAAAGGCTTGTGGTGAGTTTTTAACGAGGTCTACGCAGGTAGCAGCCTGTGATGTACATCCAGAGTCGGCGTACTGAGTGGCGAGCAAGGGGTGTAGATTGTCAGCTCAGTGGGCGTACGAGGCAATGTTCACTGGCAGAGCTGCGCACCGTGGTGTTTGTCCACTTTCCGCAGAGGCTCTGCGTAAGAACCAGCATGTGCGGCTCGACAAAGGCGCTGTCTTCGCATTCTTGAATTGGGAAGCTGGCAGATGGCGTGCCCCACTGATCAGGATCGACCTTCTTCGCCGTCGAGCGCGCACTCTTGGGCTCCTTCCCTCTCGGCCAATACCAAGTGCGCACTCCCTTGCCACCCGCACCAAAGTTTCGTTCCATGGCGATTGTCATCCCCGCCGATGCACCGGCTGCGGAGGCTGACGGCTGCAGGTTGACGCGACACCCGTCCGTGTTGTCTTCCGTAGATGAGCAGCTGTCTAGCTCGAGCTTGCCCGTCTGGGTGGCATTACGCAGATGGCAGGTGGAGCGAGTGTGGATGATGGAGGCTCCGCGAGGAAACAAGCCGTTGACGTTCTCGTACATGTCAATCTCCTCAAATGAGGCACTCTTGGGGCGTGCCCACCACGAGGGCCAGGTGGCACAGCCTGTCGGGAAGTGGGCGACCTCCAAGCTGCGGGCGAGATAAGAAGTGTGAGCTGTGCTGGGATCTGAGCCGCCATTCTCGGCACTCACACGATGACACCATCGCCATAGAGTTCCTTAGATTCCAATCGCACCGTAGGCCTGAGTCCACCAGGGTACTTGTTCTTGGCGTCAGTCCTGATGGAGGTCACTCCAGTCTTCTTGTTCACCGTCACGAGACCCATGGCACGCGCGTTGGCTTCCGTTGTCCAGTTACTCGCACTTGCAGCAACCTGCGTGCCATCAGAGAAATTGAAGAGGTCGAGGAAAGCCTCGCCTGACGCCTTGGTGGTCAGGGACCATGAGGCTGCGTTGGCTGGCGGCAGGAGGGCGAGAGCGCTTAGCAACGCGAGAAAACGGAGATTCAGCATGTCGGTGGGAGGGATGGAGGAGCGACCGATCCTGTGAGTCTGAAGTTCCCCTTCTCTTTATTCATATCGATTTGAGCAAATGGTGGCAACGCGTCCTCACACTACGTCACGAACGAAGGGAAACTCTATGCTCCCGCTTTAAGCTCTTTCTTCGCACATAGAGTTGCTCTCGACGTCGTCGATGCAGGGCCTGACGTCTCCGAGGCAGCCCAACTTTGCCGAAGGGGTTCCACGAGGCAAAATTGGGTTCGCGCCGCATCAGGGTCGATCAGGTCCGGGAGGCGGGGATTGGTTCGAGAGGAAAGAAGGTAAGTTGGATCTGGCCATGGTGTCAGACGCCGCAGCCTTTCTTGAGCCCAGGCGTGGGAGCCTCGGCGATCACGACGTCAGAAGCTTCGTTCGGCTGAATAGCATTCGATTGCCGGTGTGTGGATCCCCAGTGCCTCTTTGTTCTTCCACGGCAAGCTCACTCAAGCCTTGCGTCTGAATGACGTCCGGACCTGTACGTCCTGCTTCTTGCGATTGGCACGGTAGAAGAAGGGGATGAAGACGAGGTCTCGGCCTTGACCTTCAGCTTCTTCGTACGCCTTGGAGTGTGGCGTGTTGGCGACTTCATTCGCTCCGGCGTAAAGATGCGTGGCAGCTTCGCCTCGAGGCGTTCGCAAATGGTAGCCTGCTTTCGGAAGGGGCAACTTGAGGACGCCATCCTCCCACACCTCCTTCACGGAGGCCATGTCAGTATCAGCGGAGATGCACAGCTCCTTGAAGTGGTTCTTGGCCCACGGATTGTCCGCGTCTTCGAGACAGTAAACGAGAGGTCCGCGCAGGAGCGTTACCGTATCTTGCATTGTATCAGGGTGGCAACGAGCCAAGCGCGGCTGCATTTCGAGGGTGAGCACGTTGTTGCCAGGCGAAAGCACGATATATCCATTGACAAGGCGATGTCGAGCAGGCTCAAAAGCATACCAAGCGCTGTTGACTGCCCAGCCGGGCACACGTAACAGTACCTTCATTGAAGTTCCAGGGTCGACAAATACCTCAATGCGCCCATGCCATGGGTATTGTGTCTTAATCACAAGCTTTGCGGCGCCATTTGGAAGCTCGATGGCGCCGTCAAAGTACTGATGGATGGCGAGAGCCGTGTGGTCGCCGCTGACCGACCAGAAGAAGCCGCCCAGTACGCCTAGGGTGCGCAGCACGTTCGGAGGGCAGCAGGCGCAGTCGAACCAGTCGAAGCGGCTACAGGCTTGCTGAGGACTGCTTGCCAGTTGATTGACGTACATGAAGCTTCTTCCATCGACAGATATGCCTGACGTGACGCTAGCATTGTAGAGAGCTCGCTCTGCCACCTCGGCGAGATGAGAGTCAAGCTTCAATGCCAGCAGTCGTTCCGCAACCATGATGACAGAAATGCCGGCGCATGTCTCGGCATAGCAGCCACCTTCGTCGTTGCTATTGGGCAGCGAGTATGGGAGCGACGAAAAGCCTTCCCATTGATCTACGCTGCCTATGCCTCCCGTGATGTACATCTTGCGCATGACCATGTCGTCCCAGAGACGAAAGACGGCGGAGTTGGGAGCTTTACGATGCTCCGCGCAGAGCCCGCTCTCCTCCGCGAGAACGAGATCGGCGACGCCTGTCAAGAGGTAGCCCGCTCGAACCGCGTGCCCCTCGATGGTCTGCTGATCCTTGATTGGCATGTGCGCTTGCATGTACCAGTACGCGCCGTAATGGGGCATGGCTCCAGGCGCGAGCTGCGGATGCTCGCCGCGCTTTGCTTGCTCTTTGACATAGTACTCTGCACCATTCTTGCCGCGCTCGGTAATGAAGAAGGTGGCGAGCTCAAGAGCAGTGCGGTCTTGCGTCCTGCGGTAAAGGCGAAGCAGAGCTAGCTCGATCTCTGGATGACCGGGGTAGCCGGGCATCTTGCCATCCTGCTCTGGCCCAAATACGCTGGCGCAATAGTGGACGAAGCGGAGAGCGATGTCGAGGAATTGGCGCGAGGCCGTGAACTGGTGATGAGCTAGGGACGCTTCGATGAGGTGGCCGCCTGCAGAAGGGCCGAAGATCAGCGTGCCATCTTATTGCGCCTCATAACGCACCCACCGTTGTAGAGCTCGTGCAAGTCTCGCAAATTGGACCACCTCTTGTCCGGCTCGTTGACGACGAAGTGAATGTTGAGATAGCCATCCGGCTGCTGAGCCTTTTCAATGAGATTGACCAGGTAGTCGATGTGACCTCTGATCTCCTCATTGGCATGCTTTTGCAGCATGTAGCACGCCCCCTCGATCCATTTTGCCACGTCCGACTCCCAAAAGAGCCAAGGCGGGCCAGGCCAATTGTACGGCTCGTCGTACAGTGGAATGCGCTTCAGATTGAAAGCATCGTAGCGGCCTGTAGTCTTCAGATGATCAAGCTGGACGGGGAGAGCAACATTGCGAGCGACCGACTGCCATTTGCCCCTGACGACGACGCGGTAGACTGCAGTCAGCTCGAAGGCGGCTAGTGGTCAAGGGCAGCACGCACCAGAATGAATCAGGGGTGATGTTGGTGTACAAGAAGCGATCGTGAGCGTACTTGAGCGACATCATGGATGGACACTGAGTTTGCAAGCGATATGAGTGAGGAAGCTACAAGGCAGAAGTCGTACGATAAGAGGCAACGCTGCCTGTCGCTGTTGCGGCAACGTATCAACGGCGGCTCCAAATGGGAGGCATACCGGCACGAGAGCAGGCGATTCAGGGTGAAGAGAGGTAGACAGAGATACTCAGTGGGAGCCAGGCGGCATCCTCTTTCTTTGGAGCCTTCAGCCAAGGATGGTGGCACGCAACGTGGGGCGCCGTCGAGGTCGTCTCAATGAAGGCGACCGCTGCTTGACGAACGATGATGCCTGACATTCATCTGGCTGCGACGGCAAAGCTGTTCGATATAAACGACCTGCGTACAGATTCGTAAGCTGCGCCTGCGCCATTACCAGCTCGCGGATGGCGAGCAGGAGGAGTAAGTGGGAGTAGCGCGTGGGCGTAGTTGCGAGCGTCTGTCGTTGTGCCGCGGCCCAGTTGACGCGGCCGACATTTTTGTCCCTCGAGCTCGCGGGCAGGCAAAGGTTGGTGACTTCTTTCATCCTCACTTGGCATCACGGTGCGACATGAAGACGTCGTACCAGTTTGCCAACCTGCTGGGCTCCGTCTATACGGCGGGCAACGTCGTCTTCACTCCTGATGGCGAGACGGTCTTGAGCCCTGTGGGCAATCGCCTCTCCATCTTCCACCTCGGCCGCAACACGTCGACGACGTTGCCCTTCGAGACGCGCAAGCCCATTGCCAGGGTCGCATTGAGCCCAACAGATCCCGATCTAGTCCTGGTAGCAGACGTAGATGGTAGAAGCTTGCTCGCAGACATTCGTCGTCGCAGCGTCATCGCATCCATTCACTTCAAGCGACCGTTGCGAGCCGCCAAGTTCAGCAACGATGGCAAATACATTGCCATCTCACATGGACCTCAAGTCCAGGTATGGAAGGTACCCTCGACGATTGGAAGGCAGTTCAACCCATTCGAGCTCCATCGAACGTACACCGGCCATTTCGATGATGTCTTGTCCATCGAGTGGTCGAGAGATTCCAAGTGAGTACTCGCAAACAGGGCTGCCGCTCTCCTCTCCCTCTTCCTGCATCTCGCACATGCACTCCCCAAGATGCTTCAAAAACACAAAAAAACTGATTTAATGAGGCGGCCGACTGGCCGAGAAATGTCGCAAACGTCTGAGGGATAATGCGTGCGGTAGAGAGGGAGAGGGACGAGCAAGCAGGCGTACGACGAATCCTCTTGGCCTGCGCGCTGACCCAACCTGTCCGCTCTGCCGCAGCTTCTTCCTGACGACATCCAAGGATCACACCTGCCGCCTCTATTCTCGTGACCCCATCGTCCTACCACCCGACGCCTCGCGCGAGGGCTCCGGCCCATCGACGATGAAGTTCCGACCCAAGACATTCTCTGGCCATCGCGCCCCCGTCATCTCAGCCTTTTGGTCGCAGGACGAGCGCGAGATCTACACCGTAGCTCGCGATGGAGCTTGCTTTACCTGGCGAGGCAAAGACTTGAGCTCGGCGGGCATTGACGGCGGCGACGTCGATTCGGAGGACGAAGGTGGCGACAATGCAGAGTCGGCCGCAGCAGCTCTGGCCTCGTCGGCCATGGCAGCCGGCAACCTCACGCACGAGGCAGCCCGCATCGCCACGACCCGTTGGGGTCTTCTCAAGCGCAACTACTTCTCGCGCCCAGACACCCGCGTCACATGCGCCGCCTTCCATCCTTCCTCGTCTATCCTTGTCGCCGGCTTCTCGGATGGCGTCTTTGGCCTGTGGACGATGCCCTCCTTCGACTCGATTCACACTCTATCCATCTCAAGCACCGACATCTCGTCGGTCGCGCTCAACGCAACAGGCGAGTGGCTCGCATTTGGCGCTGGCGGCTTGGGCCAGCTCCTCGTATGGGAGTGGCAGTCAGAGAGCTACATTCTCAAGCAGCAGGGCCACTACTTTGACATGAACGCAATCGCCTACACGGCAGACGGCAGCGTGGCTGCGACGGGTGGTGACGACGGCAAGGTCAAGCTGTGGAATGTCGAATCTGGCTTCTGCATTGCTACCTTTTCCGAACACTCGGCGCCAGTGACGGCACTCGAGTTCTCCAAGGGCGGGGCTGGCGTCCTCTTTTCGGCTTCACTCGACGGTACCGTACGGGCATGGGATCTGCTACGCTACCGCAACTTCCGCACCTTCACCTCTCCCTCACCTTGCCAATTCGGCTCTCTCGCCGTCGAGCCCAACGGAGAAGTCGTCTGCGCTGGTGGGACGGCAGACTCCTTCGACGTCTTCCTATGGAACGTGCAGACGGGCAAGCTGCTGGATGTGCTGTCGGGCCATGAAGGTCCAGTGGCGTCGATGATGTTCTCACCCAATGGGTCGGGTATGCTTGCGACGACGTCGTGGGATCGCACATTCAGGGTGTGGGAGATCTTTAGAAGGACGGCTACTGTCGAGCCTGTGTCGCTCAATGCAGAGGGCTTGGCGATTGCGTTCCGACCTGATGGGCTGGAGGTATGCGTGGCAACATTGGATGGACAGCTGGGCTTCTTCGATGCGCGGACAGCAAAGCAGACGGTGAGCATTGGCGACGACGTGGGATGAGGCGCACGGGACCACGAGACTGACACTTGGATCTTCTCGCGCTCTCGACAGGCGGTCATCGAATGCCGCAGAGATATAGCAGGCGGACGCTCCGTAGACGACAAGATTTCACGCAATGCCAATGCGGGTGGCGCAGCTTTCACCACGCTCAGCTACACGGCCGACGGAGGCGCCCTCTTGGCCGGTGGCAATGCCAACTTCATCTGCTTGTACTCGATCGCAGAGCGCGTCCTCCTCAACCGCTGGCAGCTGTCGCTCGATCTCAGCCTCGACGGGACACAAGATCGCCTCGACTCTCGCAAGTTGACCGAAGCAGGGGCCGCCGATCTCTTGGATGTCGTTGCCAACGAGGATGAGCTGAGCGTGCAGGAGCGCATAGATCGATCGCTACCTGGCGCTCAGTCTGGTGACATGGCTAAGCGCACTACCCGACGCAAAGCTCGCACCAAGGCCATTCGCTTCGATCCTACTGGCCGCTCCTTTGCAGCGGCGACTACCCTCGGTCTGCTCGTCTACAGCCTCGACGCGCCTGGTCTGCTCGCGGAGGAGACATTCGATCCCATGGATCTCGAGATCGACCTCACGCCCTCCGCGGTACGAGGAGCATTGGCGAAGGGCGACTGCCTCCTCGCCCTCGTCGGTGCGCTGAGACTCAATGAGGTGCCCTTGATGAGACAAGTCTTCGATGCCATTCCCATTGAGGAAGTACCGCTCATCCTAGCGCGCCTGCCAAATGCGGACAAGTATGTGCCGTCGCTACTCCGCCTCGTTGCCATGCAGTTGCGACCGGTAGCGACGACATCAGCAGACGCTGCAGCGGGTGGAAAGCAGAATGGCACCCCAATCTTGCGCTCGACATCCGGCTCGCCGCACCTCGAGTTCAATTTGTCCTTCCTCTCTCACCTGCTCAGCATCCACGGCCGCCTCATTCAACGCAATGCCAATCGTGGTGAGTTTGCGACGGCGAGCAGGGCGGTAGGGGCTGCGCTCAACGAGCTACGCAAGAGCGTGAGGCGCATGGCGGACGACGGGGTGCACGGCGCTATGTGGATGTGGGATGGTTTAGGTAGAGCGGAAAAGAAGGCGAAGCAGGCGGCGGAGGAGCAAGGAGCTGGACAGGATGGCGTCGACGATATCGAGATGGCTTTGTAGAGCATGGACGCGCGCGTTGCGCGTCGTCCACCTGTCGGACAATCTATTCTCACGCTCGACGGTGCGCACGACGCACGCAAGACGCGGCCTGCGCCCTCCCTCCACCTTGGATCACTCATGTCCGGTGCCTGATTTGCCCCGTCCATCCGTGATTGAGCGTGCGTTCCTCTCGTGAGTCTTGGCTTGATAGCAAAGCCATCTCCTCACCTCGCTTCCTTCTTCTTCTTCTTCTCCGTCACCGCAATCATGTCCAACATTTCGTCCTCGCCGTCACCGTCGTCGCGGCCGACGTCGCGGCCGACGTCGCTCTACTCACTTCAGACGGCAGCACACGCAGACGGCCATCATGGTGCCGCCAACGGCAACGAAGTCGATGTCCTCTGCTTAGGCAGCGGTTGGACAGCTGCCTTCCTTTTGCCCCGCCTCTGGTCTTCCAACGTATCATTTGCCTACACTAATCGCACAGGCGTGAAACCAGAATGGCTGGCCCTCCCAGGGAAGCAGCCTATCAAATTCACGATGCCAGGAACGGGCGACTCGCGCATACAGTGGCGAAGAGCATTCAAGAACTTCCCGACCGCCCGCCTCGTCGTCGTCGTTGTGCCTCTCAAGGATCAAGTCGTCGCAAATGAGCTCGTGACAGCATACCAAGCTCACTGCGTAGAGAAAAAGGGGATGGGTGCTCCTCCATCCAAGTGGCTTATCCTTGGCAGCACCAGCGCCTACGGATCTGGCGAGCACAGCAGCGCTTCGCCCATTTCCAAGTCTACGCCTCGGTCCGCCGCCGAATCGGCCGTGCTAGCTTTGGTCAAGAGGGATGCAGCCGTCCTGCACCTCGCAGGCCTCTACGGCGGATCCACCCGCCACCCACTCAACTGGCTGTCCAAGGTTGCAGACGACAAGGACAAGCTAGCGTCCAAGGGAAGCCTGCACCTTGTACACGGCAGAGACGTAGCAGAGGCCATTCTCGGAGTGTGGGAGCGCCTTCTTGATGATGAATCGACGCTGTGGGGGCGACATTGGATCGTCACTGATGGGCGCGTCTACGACTGGTGGCAGTTGGCTACCCAGCTACCGAGTCAGGAGCGATCGCGTTATGTCGCATGGGTACGAGAGCTACAGAAGGAGCATGGCGTAACAAGTCTGCCTCGCAAGTGCGGCGAAGATCTGCCGCGCAATCTTGAACGAGTGCTTGACAGCGACAGCTTCTGGGCAGCCATTGGCAAGAAGCCCAGCGTTGGACCGGCCAACGAGGTCGACCTGCCCATCTCTCCAATTACGGGTCTTGCCGTCACCACCGACGCGGCGAGAGCTGACACTGACAAGTCAAGCGCACCCTCGCCGCCGCTCTCTGGCAAGTCTCGACCATATACACCCTCGATCCCCAAGGCACGCCTGCAAGACCTCATCGGCTGCCTCCAGCACGAGATTCAGCGCGAGTCGACTTGCCCCCTGCCGCCCATCTTTGAAGGACGACGCATAGCCATGGGCCTGCCTCGCGAACGTTTCCTCCAACTGCGCAAGGCCTGGCTCGACTATGTGACTGCAAGCGCCAACGAGAGCAATGCATCTTGGCAAGGCCACTGGAAAGAGTTTCTGAGCTACGAGCACTATTTCTACCCAGACGAGAGGTTGACGGGCAAGTACGTCCCTGGTGTCACGCTCGATGGCCAACACTTTGTGCGAGTGGCTCCGACCGAGGAGACGAGGGCGCAGAGGAGGGTGGAGCCGCTAGTCTTCCTGCACGGGTGGCCGGGGTCATGCTTGGAGGGTCTCTTTGTCGCTCGAGCACTTGCCAACCCAGGACCCGATGTCCCCCTTAGCAAGCCCGCCTTCGAAGTCATTGTTCCCTCACACCCTGGCTACCTCTTCAGCGGGTCGCCTCTCGTCAATGAAGAAGACGACTCCGCCTCGTTCTCGGGTCCAGACGGCGACATCCTCGTCAAGGATGTGGCCGCGCTCATCAACGACATCATGCTCGATCTCGGTTTCGATCGCTATTCGGTGACTGCAGGTGACTGGGGCTCGTTCACCGCTCGTCGCCTTGCCCTCGACCACCCGGCTCACGTCAAGGCGGTGCATCTCAACTTCATCCCTGCTCCTCCTCCGACGCTTGCCCCAGCCCTGGTACCGCAGAGGCTCGTAGACGCCGTGGCTTCTCGTATACCCGGGGTGAGCACCATTGTCAACTTGCCCCGCTTGCTGGGCCAGGCACACTTCATCGACCATGCCAAGGATGGCGAAGAATCGACGCTCTCCCTCGGCGAACGTCTCCAGCGTCTCCTTGGCCTACCCTCTCCTCTGTCCCACCGCGACGCCACTCGCGCGCAGAAGGGCCTCGACTTTCTCACCTCTGGCTCAGCCTATGCCCAGTTCCACGGGACCCGCCCGTCTACGCTGGGCAACATCACGCACTCGTCGCCCTCTGCCATCTTGTCGTGGATCGGCGAGAAGTTCGAGACGTGGACGGACAGGACACCCGACGACTCGTTGATCCTCGAGAGCCTGACCTTCTACTTCCTGACGGAGACGATGTCCCGCTCCATCTACTCGTACAGGAATCGCCCTCCAGGAGGACCAGTGCCGCAATCTGGGTTGAAGGAGAACTATCTGAGCTTGCCAGTGGGCTTCTCAGATGCGCCATTCGAGCTGGTCCCTCCGCCCTTGGAGTGGGCCAAGGCGACTGCCAACATCGTTTGGCACAGGAGGCACGAGAATGGTGGTCACTTCTTGTCGATGGAGAAGCCCAACGACTACGCGGCTGATGTGAGGGACTTTCATGAGCAGTTGCAGACAGGGCTCAAGTGAGGTCGCGGGCTGTAAGGTGCTTCTCTTCGATTATTCTCTTATGTGCTAGATTTCAGTCCATACCGTATCAAGACTGCATGTATTACGTAATCGCCTGACATTTTTGGGAGCGGAAGGGAGAGGCGGCAAGAGAGGCGGAGGCCAAAAGCTCTTGGTTGCTCCTCGCAGCATTTCCTGTTCTGCCCCGTCCCATCATCTCGATACCCTGACCGACGATGCTCGCTCGTCATCTACTGAGAGCGAGAGGAGGAAGCGGACGAAGTGTGAGGCTCAGCGTATGCATGACGTCGCCTAGCGGTGCGGTATCGACGCTCAAGGGCAAGGAGAAGGAGTCGACGCCATCTTGTGGACGATGGTACTCAGCTCACCCGGCACAGCAGCAGCCAGAGGCATCGACATCAGCCAACAAGCTGCCGCATACACTAGCATCGATGATCGAAGACGTTACCAAGGATGCAAGGCTTACTGCCGCAGACGAATTCGAGGTGAGGGCGGGCGTGTGGGATCCAAGGGGCCTCGTCATCACCCACGACTGACCTCCCTTGCTTGCTTCCTGTCAGCGCCTTGGCCTCTCAGCTGGTCTCGCTCGCCAGGTGACATCGACGTACCCACTCATCACTCATCCAACTGACCCTCAGCGCGAGCTCATTCCAGCCGTCCTTTCACCCAACGACGTTCTGCTGCGAGCGCATACAGGCTCAGGCAAGTCCTTTGGCTTGCTTCTCGCATTGATGGCAAAGCCGCGCATCGTATTCCGCAGCAACAAGGATCAAGAGGCTCCGGATAGCAGAGGACGATCAGCAGCCTCGAACAATGGCATTGCCAGCCTCGTCATCGTGCCATCCAACGAGCTCGCGGAACAGTACCTCGAGTGGGTACGCCAACTCGTACCAAAGAACATCGGCCTAGACGCCATTATTCAGACACTCGTGCGAGGAGACGGACAAGACGAAGATCAGCGCATGCAACGCCTTGTCAAGCAGCCTCCGCACATCCTCGTCGCCACCCCCACACGAGCAATGCAGGTCCTCCAAGGCTCGGCAGGTAGCACGACTACAGCAGGCGCCTCCATCCTTGGCATCCCAACGCTCCGCACTCTCGTCTTCGACGAAGTCGATGCTCTCCTTGACCTTCCCGGCCGCTTTCCAAGCGACAAAGCTGTATGGCGAAACATGGTCCATCCTCCTGTGGGCCTTCAGCTCCTCAATGAGATCATGAAAATCAGAGGCACTCACTCTGGTGGCAGCCCCATGTCTTACCAAGGACTCGAGGACAAACCCAGCTGGTCCAAACGAGACTACTACGGCAAGCAGGCAAAGCTCAAGCGATCTCCCAACTATTCCTGGTTGGCTCCACCCCGACAAGTGGACGCAGCGCGCGGAGAGTGGCCACTCCAGCTTGTAGCATGCTCAGCAAGCGCCAACGCCGTTCTGCGCCACTTCTTGGGCGCAAAGACTGGTTGGGCGAGAGTAGGCGTACGAGCCCCGCCCGAGCAAGGGGCAGCTGCTGCGGTGCGATTTGGCGCGAGGCGTGGAGTGCAAGGCGAGTCAAGGCCAGTCACAGGCAGGTGGATCGACTTGACAGGCTTGACACCGCGGCGACATTCCCGGCAGACGGAGCAGTGGGGTTCGTATAGCCAGGGTCAGCAAGAGCGCCTCGCAGCCAATACATCCCTTGCTGGCGTCATGCCGCAGGAGCTAATTCACCACTGCTTGGTACTGGATGAAGCGGCCGGCGAGGGAGGAGCGTTGCCGCTCCGCAATTTGCCGATATCGCGGCTGCGTCGCCTGGCGGCCAAGGAGCAGAAGGAAGAGCGCCGCGTGGAGCATCGTGCTCAGCGAGAAGGTGCTGCTGGAACGCGCGCTTCGGAGACAGGCGACGCATCATCGTCTATTGTCCGCATCGTTCAGCCCACAGCTCCTGCTATTCATGAAGTCGACCCAGCGCTTCTCGAGGCTCTTGCCCTTGTTTATGCTCAGCTGGGCGTACAGCGCGGTATCGCCTTCATCCCGCCACAGTGGTCGCTGCGCACTGTCCTCTCCACCCTGTCCAATGCGTACGGTGTCGAAGCTGTGACAGTAGACGAGCTGCGGCGCGATGAGCACGAGGATGGAGGGGCACCCCGCTTGGCCATTCTTCAAGCTACCTCTGCGCGCGGTCTCGACCTGCCGGGCGTGTCGCACGTCTTCTTGGTCGGCGCAGAAGCGGTGGGCGATACGGTGCGCTACGTCCACCTGGCGGGGAGGGCTGCACGTCTGTCTGCAACGAGGGAAAAAGGATCGACGGAGAGACCGGTAGGAACAGTGGTGAGCTTAGTGAGAGGATTGGGAGCCGGAGACGTCAAGGAGAACAGAGACAGAGCAGCTGCAAGAAGTGAGAGTACAGCTGGCGAAGGGGAGCTGCAATCGTGGAGCGAGAAGGGTGCTCCACTCATGGCCAGCTCCGAGAGGAAGATGTGGAGCATGTACCAGCGCTTGGGCATCCGTTGCTCGAGGCTGAAGATGGGAGAGTGGGCTGAGATGGAGAGTGAACAGGGTGAGGACGGCGAGGCTGAGGACCAGGAGGACGAAGTCGCAGCAAATCTAGTGTAATTCAGCATACCTTCTCGTCAATCGTCACCATCACCACTGCGGACCTATGCTCTCCTGTACAGTAGCCTCGATCCCGACGCGGAGCTACTGTCTATTCAAGGTTACCGGCGGCGACGGCGCGCCAGAATAACGGCAAGCTCAGCGCTAGACTAGCCTGCCCAAATTGACCCGGGCCACACGTCAATCAGACTGTGGCTGCGCAGGCAGTCGATTGTGACAAGCTCAGTGGGGCGCATCTGCTGTTTCGTTTGCTTCCACTGTCAAATCCAGTGACCGTCCTTGGCACGCTTCTTCAATCATTCTCCCATCCCAGCGTCAGCCATATCCATTGCCCCTGGCCGGCTGATCTTCCAGTCTTTCAGAGGCCTCGGCGTCGATTCCACGCGTTGCGCCACTCTCGAGGAAGCGCCCCGGGATTTCCTGGGCGGGGGCCCTGAGCGCGTGGGCTTTTGGGACGGACGACGTTGACTTTTGACACAGTCGCAGCTTCGTAAGAAAGTGAACCGAGCGCAAGCAGCAAGGGATGGTCCTTCGTTGAGAGATACAGGACAGGCTGGAACAGGAGGTCAAGAGGAAGAGAAGACGACCCGAAATAAAGACGAGGCTCTGGACTACAGTAACTCAAACTTCCCTTCAGATCTCACTTCAAGCTCGCAGCAGCGAGCTGAGCTTGTTTCTCCGCTCCTCCTCCTCCTCCTCCCCGAACTTATTCCTATCTGTCACTTCTCTCATCGATCGCAAAGCTCATCACGATATCCATCACCTAGCAGGCCAGGTCTCGTCTCTCCCTCTCTACTCTCGCGACCATGGGCAATCAATCCTCTCGCCCGGGCGGCGGAGCACATCATCAGCAATATCCTCCTCATAGAGGATCCTCATCAAGCAGCTCCACTGCACCGGTCCTCGTCGCTGAAGCTCTCCCTCCGCTCCCACCACACTTGACCGTCAATGCCGTCTTGGGAGGTGTAGACCGCAAGCAGCATATGATCCTGCGAGCAGCACCAGCTGGCTTGCTGGGCGGCGCTATTGGCGGCAAGTTCGTTGTGCGGGACCTCAAGGCAGACGCTGCCGCAAGGGGAACAAAGTCGGACAAGGCGCCGCCCCTTCTCAAGAGCGAGGTAAGCATGGGCGAGTGCCCGAATGTAGTAGACTGTTTTGCTGATTGATTTCTCTCGCTCGCAGATCAAGTCTTCTCGCAAACGCAACACCACTACAATCTCGTCGGGCTCGTCTGGTGGCGAGCTTCTGACCGTCTATGGCACCCACGAGTGCCTAGCCCTGCGCCGAGGTTGCGTAGTGACTCCGCAGGGGATCCGAGGCGATGATGGCGATGAGGAGGACGAGGAAGTTGCCGTACCGTCGAGCTTACCGCAAAGCAACAGTAGCGTAAGCTTGGGAGCAAGCAGCAACGGCAGCGGGGCAAGTACGGCCGATGTCGCCTTTGTTGCACGAGCTCTCGACGCAAGCTTTTTCCACTGGATCGTCGAGGTACATCGTGTCGCCTCGACGGCCTCTCGCAAAGGTCGACCAGGCACTGGTCTGGCACCTCCCTCGGCGACTTCATCCGCTCCCCCCTCACGCCAAAGCATTGCATCTCTCTACGTCTGCGAGAACCCTGCTTTGGGGAGCATCGACTTCTATCTTCGCGACCCAGTCAACTCTGGAGGGAGCAGCGGCATGAGCACCCCGCCCTCCTCTAGCGCAGCCGTGGCCGCCTTCCATGCCGACGATACCCAAACAGCGCACCACCTAGTGGCACGCGCAGCTGCTTCGCCTGGAGGGCACGTCCTCTTGCACGACTCTCGCTACGCCGTAGGCTCGTCGCCGTCGTCAAGCAGCAGCAGCTACGCCATCGTGGTGGCGCCCGGTATGGACTGGGTCGTCGTCTCCACCATTGCCCTGCTACTGCTCAGCAGAAAGCGAGACCACGATGCCGGCCTGGCCACACGAGAGGGAGCCTGGAAGGAGCTGAGCGACCTGCCTGCAGCAGCTGCTCTGCTTAGCGGTCGCAGGGGCAGCGCAAGCAGTAGTGGAGGAGCCAGCAGCGCCAGCTACGGTGGCCTGAGCAGCAGTACAGGCTCTCCAGACCGATACGGCGGCACACGCGCCGGTGGACAGCAGCGCTACTTCCATGAGCTGTCGATGGGCGACAACATCGACGATGGGCAGCGCAGCACGCGTACGGCGGCCACCAGCGTGAGCTCGACGAGCAGCCTGGTCAACAATGCCAGCCACACGGGCAAATCGACGACTGCATCGTCGCCTTCGCGCGAGCAGCCGGCGATGGTACTGCCAGCTGGCAGACACGCCATGATGAGCCAACGTAGTGCACCCACAATGCGCCCGGAGCGCATCATTGAGGAAGAAGGCAGCCCACGGCAGCAGGCGCATGGCCACGGATGGCCGTAAGACGCTCACACGCGTAGACATTTCACGAATAATAACGTACAAGGCGAGAGAGAGATGGGTATCTTAATCATTTCGTTTCGGACCAGCAGAAGCTAATCAATCAATGTCGCGCTTGCACCACGATGTTCATGCGTTGAGCTTCTCGAGTTGATGTTGTGCGCGAGCTGGTTCAGACGTTGCTGCGGCGCCCTCTTGTGGCGTCGTGGGAGCAGCGAGACCCCGCAATTGAGCTTCCTGAGCTGCTGCCGCTGTCCCAGCGGTCTCTTTATCCTCTGTCGGCTGTGCAGTGGAGTGCTTATCCCTCTCCTCCCTTTCCATCCTCTCCATTTCCTCCTTCAACTCATCCTCATCAATTTCTCCTTCGGTCATGACCGCTCCGCCTACGCGCATGGCCTCTTCGACATCTCTCTGATCTGCCATGCTCTGCTGCAACCTCGTCATGACATCTTCTGCCCTTTCAGCTCCTCCACTCTGCTTGTGCAAACCGCGAAGTGCCTCTCCTGCCAAGTCGTAGGCGGCGACGAGAGCTACATCATCGTGTGCTTGTTCGATGCGCAAAAGGACGGATTCCAGTTGAGATAGGCTGTCTAGTCGGCGTGCGAGGAGATCGTTGAGGGCGCGACGACTTGAGAGGAGGTGTCGGATACGTGGTGAGGATGAGGCATTAGCTGAGGAGGGCTGAGAGGCAATGATCGACTTGATCTCCTTCGTACGCTGATCGACGCGAGCCTCGATGTCTTGTACTTGGGCTGCGAGGCGCGTCTGCGTCTCTCTCACGGCGAAGGTGGATTGCTCCTCTTCTGTAATGGGCTTGACTTGGGTTGCCCCATCAGGGGCAATTTTGACAACGTCGCCTTGTACGATTGCGACACGCTTGTCCCTTGCGAGGTGTTTGAGCAACACATCAAAGTCGACGTCGGCCGTCAGGTGAGGCAATGCTTGTCTCACATGAGAGCGGAACGAGGCGAGAGAGAAGAGTGGGCATGACAAGAGGGAAGCGGGCATCGGTTGAGACAAGACGAGGGATGCTGCCTTTTCGACGTTGGGTAACGAGACCCACTTTGCTGATACGCGCGGCCAGTCGTCGTCCTCATCGTAGTGTGCGCTGCCAGCAATGTCATCGTCGTCTGACGAGCTGAGACCGGCCATGCGTAGGGCGTACCAAAAGGGGCGAGCGACGACAAAGGACAAGACTTGGCGTGGAGTAGGGATGAGGGAGGAAGAAGAGGATGAACGTGATGGCTGGGACCCTTTGCGTATCTGCTTGGTGGCAGCGAGGTAATCCTCGAGGGCCACGAGCTCGCCTGCCTTGATCATGGCAGCGACTGCCGTTGGAATGGCCGTCGGTCTAGCCACGTCGTTGAGAGTGAGGGCGTCCGCCAGGGATGGCTCTACAGTGAGGATGAGGCGCGAATTGGATGGCGTGCTCTGTACCCCTTGCCATGCCCAATCGTGAAGCGTCGTCGACCACCATTTCACATTTGCGTGATAGGCAGAGGGATTCCTTGAGCGCAACGATGAGAGGGAAGAGTAAAGTGAAGCAATGGGAGAAGAGGACGAGGATGGATCGCGCAGGTCAGGATGGGATGCTATGTAGTCTGATGCTGAGCTCGCAGGCTTAGCCATGGCGAGGATACTGTGTTGAGTGTTGACTAGGATAGTCAGACCCGCTTAGTGGTTGTGAGAGACTCACGACGGAAAGGCGGACTGAGCGAGCGGACGGCGCGAGAGAGTGAATGAATGTATGCTGCATGTGTGGTTGCCCACCATTCATTCATCCATCCATTCCCTTTGCAGGCCGCCATAATGGACGACGATGCCCTTCGCGCCATGCTACCAATGGGATTCGGCAAGAAGTCAAAGGTAGCAGGACCCTCTCGACCAGCCCGAGAAAGGAGCCCCTCACCAGCACCTTCACCATCACCAGCCACAGCTCAGCAGCATGCTCAGCATCATGACGCCGGCGATGATGGTCTGACGGCAGAGGAGAGGGCAGCACAGGCTCAAACAGTAGAGAGCGCCGACGACGATGACAGCGATGGATCCGTCGATCTCGGTCCAGAGCCAGCCACTACGTCAGCGTCAGCATCTTCCTCGTCTTCGTCGTCATCGCTCCCCATGGCGTCGCACGTCGTCCTGTCTTCCCACACTAAACCACTCTCAGCACTCAGCATCGACTCATCAGGTGCACGTCTGGTCACTGGCGGCTACGACTACGACGTAAGGCTATGGGACTTTGGCGGAATGACGTCATCCTTTGAGCCGTTTAAGCGCCTCGACGAGCCCTTTGGCTCCTATTGGCTTCACGATGTGGCATGGAGCCCACGCAACGACGCCTTCTTGGCAGCAAGCGGCACCAGCCAAGCACGTCTATACGATCGAGAGGGCAATCATACAGGCACATGCGCAAAGGGAGACCCGTACCTGCGCGATATGAAGCAGACAAAGGGACACGTAGCACACGTATCTTCATGCTCTTGGATCGACGATGAGACCTTTGTAACGGCAAGTGCGGATTCAACGATTAGGATATGGAATATAGAGACCTGCAGACTGGGACAGAAGACGGTCATCAATGTGCGATCCAAGGATAGAGGAGGGAGAACCAACGTCACGGCACACGCCATTAGCAATACGAACCAAGGCAGACGTACCCTCGCAGCCGCCTGCGCAGATGGGGCCATTCACATCTGGACGATGGCGACCTCATCGTCGGCTTCTTCATATTCCAAGCCTAATGCTACCGTCTTGCAAGCCCACAAGCCTGGCACCGAGACAAGCAGAATAGTCTTCTCGCGCGATGGTCGCACCTTGGCGACACGCGGTGGGCCAGGCGATGATACGGTCAAGCTGTGGGATCTACGAAACTTCAAGGAGCCCATCGCACAGCGCTCAGGATTGCCAAACGACTATGCACAGACGGACATCATCTTTTCGCCAGACGAAGCGACGCTGCTGACTGGTGTGGCCGGGAGGGGTATCGAGGTCCTCTCACGAAAAGACCTGTCCACGGTGCAGACGATCGACGTTCCAGCAAGCGGCAGCTCCAAGCCGTCGGTCGTCCGCCTCGCATGGCATCCACGCATCAACCAGATCTTCGCCACCCTTTCAACGGGCGCATGCCTCGTCTACTACTCGCCACAGTCGTCCATTCGAGGAGCACTCTTGGCCCTGCCCAAGACGAGTCGCACTCGCGCACGCTCACCATCCGACATCATGGACGTCGGACCCATTATCACACCGGGCTCCTCATCAGCTACTGAGCGAGGGCAAGGCATCTCTCAAGCTGCAAAGCGTCGTCGCATGGACCGAGCGGCTGCCTCGGACCCTCGAGCACCACAGCGTCCCATCGAGGGCGTGGGCAAAGGTGGACGAATCGGCACGGCAGTCAACCCAAATCGGGCGCAAGCAGAGGATGTGGCGATGCTGCGAGAAGACCCACGTGAAGCTTTGCTCAAGTACGCCGGCGGAGAAAAGAAGTTCACGGCAGCATGGCAGACGAATCAGCCAAAGACTTTGTACGAGGAGGAGCGCAAGGAGGGCGACGATGAAGGAGGCGATGGCGAGAGATGAGGATAGATTGATTGTGTGATAAGGGGCGTTCGCTCATCTAGCTGAAATCAAATGTGAGGAAGCTGCCCGCAAACTGATTGAGGACCCCAGCTCCACCACCGCCTGCGTTGGCATTCGAAGGGCTACTCGGACGGGTAACACCTGTGCCAACACCAAAACCCTTGTTCATCATCGTCGTCGAGGACGAGCGAGTGCGAGGCTCACGGCCATCCGGGCCGGCGACGGCGGCGGCGGTGGCGTCATTACCAATGCTGCCTTCCTCTACTGGAGCGCTGCGTGTGCGAGAGGCATCGGCGCCGCCCTCCGCTGGCTGCTTGGCTGGTGCTGCATCGGCTTCAGCGCTGCCGTCCGTGTTCGCTGGTGCTCCACCTTGCCCTCCCCCGAGCACCCCGTGCTCTGCCTCGTGCTGCAGCAAATCAATGCCGCCATTGAGACCGTCAAGTGGACCCCCGAGACCCGCCGGCACAAGCTGATTCCACCAGACATTGTCGAGGAGCAGACTGCCTGCGTCGGGCTGGCCGCCAGCACCGCCGTTGCTGCCAGAATGAGAGGGAGCTGGCGCTCCCGCACCAGCCGGCTGGCTGGTCATCGACGGCATTCCGCCTGAAAATCCTCCGCTACTGGAACCAAGAGTTGGAGTGCCCGCGTTGGCTCCTTGCCCGCCAGACATGAAGGACATTGGGTTGAAGGCGTTTGAAGAGGGGAATGGGGCGGCACTGAATCCGGGGTATGGAAAGGCGCTGCCACTCGCACCGCCGATGCCGATCCCACCATGCTGTTGAGCCGCAGCCGCAAAAGCCTGGGCCATGGCTGAGTCGCTAATCGAGTTGTGCCGCGTCGTCCCAGTAGGCATGGGAGCCAGGCTTGGATCGCCGCCGGGCCCGGGCCCGCCATTGCCGCCCAGAGTTGGGTCTTGCGGCAGACCAAAGGCAGCTGCTACCGAAGGGCCATCCTCGCCAGCACCACCTCCAGGCGTCGGGCTGCCTGCGCGGCTAGGGTAGCCATTCGTAGCCGACCCACCGCCACCCGCAGCACGAGCTGCCATGTCCGCCTTGGCCTGAGCGAGCGTCGCTCTGAGGAAATGCCCATATAGCGCTGGCGTGTGCAGGGGGCTTGCCGCCACCTCTTCAAGCATGTCGGCGCCCTCCTCGACGAGGCGCAGGATCTCCTCGGTATTGGCGTAGCGGGAGAATGTCGGACGGGTGAGCTTGAGCATGAAGACGAGGGAGAAGGCGATGATGAGGATCTGCGTGTCGGAGGCGTAGCGTAGGATGGGGCGCATGCCGTCGCGAGCAGCAAAGAAAATGCCTGGGGGCGCGGGTCAAGTCGCAAGTCAGCTTCGAACTTGCTGCGTGAAAGCTGCACGTGCTCTCTTCTCTCTTACCTTTCGCGGAGTCGTAACAGCGTATGAACTGCACGCCTCGGTCGTCAATTTGATTACCGAATTGTAGGCCGAATGAGTGCAGTGTCAATGCTGCGTAGTGATAGCGCAGAGGGGCTTGCTGGATGAGGTAGTATAGCGTTCGAATCGTATGGTCGCCGTCGTCTGGCGGGGGCGTTTCGCGGTTAGCCAGAGAGAAGAGCTGACGCAGCTCAATCTCGCGAGGGCTGAGCGTGCCGTCGTTGGCTGGAATGGGAGGCTGACGGTTGCGGCAGTCACCGATGACGAGGCCACGCATCGTCCAGAAGTGACGCCACTCCTCGAGTTGCTCAGAGAAGATGCCTGGGCGCGAGAGGCGAGGAGCGATCAGCATGCTCGCTCGGTCCAGAGATCCTCCGCAAGAGCTACTCACGAATCATGCTTGAGAAGTCGAGGTCCTGATTCAAGCCGGTCACCGAAGTGACTGAAGAGTAGAGCAGGTCAGTCTGTCGCGATGTCAAGCGCTGCAGGCCCACAATGGCGCTCAAAGCCATGTCTGCGGGTTGTGCAGTCGGCCCGAGCGCCCACGCTCGGGTATTGCGCAAGATGAAGTCTTCGCGGATGACGCTCGGCTTGCCCATCTGACTGCTGAGCGAGCGGTCAACGACGAAGCAGAAGATCCATGTGCGTTCGCGGTTGCGTATCTCCCTGTGCGTGGGGGGTGCGTGGGCGATGAGAGAGGAGTCAGAGCTGTCACCTGGCATAACGCTGCGCGCTTACTCACTTTTCCCTCTCGATCATGGCCGGATCGTCGAGGTTGCCCTGTCCAGGCAAGGTAGCGATGCTCTTGCGATGCAGGTTCAAGTCGGTAGCCACTCGGAATGCGATGCCGGCAAAAATCCAGCTCTTGTCCTCCTCGAAGCGGCGCGCTGGCTGGCCCCACATCGTCAGCAGCAAGAAGGCTTGCACGATTTCCACCGACTTGAAACCGCGCTCCAAGCAATTGAAGGCCTCTTTCGTCGCCTGCCTCAGGCATTGGGCGTGCAAGTCAGGCCGCCTGGCGTAGTAGCGTGAGGCGATGGCCAAAATCACCGTGAACAAGAAGGGCGACCGCCCGCACACGAACTGCGGCGTATGCCACTCGGGGTCGAGGAGGATGATATGCTGAGCGCAGTTGTGGAAGAAGATGCTGAAGAGATCGAGTACCTCGGTGTCGCTCACGACGCCCGAAGTGAGGAGCTCGGGAGGGAGCTCGCGGTCGATGATGACTTTGCGGAGGGGCAACATGGACATGGGTCCTGGGCGGAAGTAGGTCTTAGATGCAACGCCGAGGGCGGGTGCGTTGCGTGGGCGAGTCGTAGCAGCACCAGAGCCGTCTTTGGCGCCGCGCTCGGCCGGGCCAGCAGACTTGGAAGCCTGCCGACTCGAAGGCGCCGCCGCCGCCTCTGACGCATCCCTGCCAGTCTCTTCTCCGTCGTTCTCTACGCCGCTACTCTTGGCGCGCCTTGCCGATCCGAGCTGATTGCCCAAGCTGGCCTCGGCGAGCAGGCCTAGAGGGTTGAGGCTGTCTGGAGGGAGCGAATGCAGGCGTGGACTCGTCGTGCGCACGCCTCGTCCTCCGGCTCCGCCGCCGCTACTGCCAACAGCTCCTATTCTGGTAGACTGCTGCTGACGAGGCGCAGGTGGTGAGATTGGCGCGCCAGCTGTTGCCGCCGAGGCGACGGATGCGTAGCGGGCAGAGACTGGTTGATGAGGAGGCGCGAATGACGACGGCGCTGTGAGTTGGCTTGGCGCGATGCTCGTTGGTCGGGCTCCGTCGTGGTGGCGGTGCGAGTCGCTCGCTTTGCTCCTTGCCTCTGGAGATGAGGGACGAGTGAGCATTCCGCTGGCATGACCCAGCTGACTGGCATGCGTTGGATCGCGAATCGTCTTGAGGACGCTCTCGAGCGTCTGCTCCATCTTTTCCAGACTGCGGGCGAGGTCTTGGTTCGACTGCTTGGACTTTCCTTTTGTCTTTGTCGGAAAGCCGCTGCTGAGGCTTTCGTTTTCTTGCGTGTGGCCGCTGCTGCTGGCGCTGGCCTTGTTACTTGCAACAAGTGCGGCTTGAGCTGCCTTTTCGGCCTTTGCTTGCGCCGCTGCTGCCGCGTTGGCTGCGGCTTTCTTGCCTCGATTGCTCTCCTCGAAGATGCACTGATATCCCGAATGCCGGCAGCGATCGCATGGAGGTCCATTTTCACCGCCTGTGCAGCGCATCTTGAGCTTTCTACAGTGTGTGCACGCCTTGGATCCTCGCGGCGGCTTGGGCTTCTTGTGGGCCGATGCGGCGTCGGCGACGGTCGTAGCAGCGTGCGGTGTTGCACTAGCTCGCCCATCGCTCTCTCTTTTGCGCTTGCGAGAGGAAGGGCTCATGGCAGACGAGTCGCCGTCGTCGTCCTCATCATCGTCATCATCGTCGTCGTCATCGTCTTCGTCTTCCCCGTCTTCATCCTCATCCTCATCGCCCTCTCCGCCCTCATACTTGACGGCTGAGCTGGTAGATGCGCGTTGGCCCCCAGGGGCTGGACTCCATGCTCCTGCGCCCACGGAGCTCTGTCGGCTCATGCTGCTGGGTATTGTAGGGTACGAGTAGGGCAGAGAAGGTGCATACAGGGGCGCGGGCGTCGCATAAGGTGAGACGTGAGGGGACTGGCCATTGGGCGGCGTGCGGATGCCCGAATGAGGATGAGAGAAGGCTGGGAGGGCAGATGGCCCACCGGAGGCTGGGGACGCGGCCGAGTGTGCGCCGCCACCGCCGCCGCCGCCGCCGCCGTTGTGGTTGTTGTGGTTGTTGCCGCGCTGGTACATGAGGGCGAGGACGAGATCGAGGGCGAATGAGGATGACGAAGTGGATGACGTGCGTGCACCGCAATGGGATCAACGCTCTTTGCCCTCACGTCGCGACACGGCAACGACGCGACAACGACGAGCTGTGATCGTGTGTCGCCGGGATGGCACGCCGTGATGATAGTGGCACGCGACAGGACAGGATTTCGTGGTGTGGTGATGAGGAATGGTTCGAAAGCAGCAAAGTCGCGGTCCGAGCGAAGAGCCGGCCGGCCGGGCGGGCGGAGACAGACAGGAGCGGGCCGGAAGCAGAGAGGCAGGCACCAACGGCGAGAAACGCCGCCTTTACGAGGAGCTCAACTATGCCTATCACTGGATCATTGCCAGCGTTTTTGATCAATTAAACGCAGAGTGTTCGACGTACGCGCCGTTTGTTACCGCCACAACTCTCCAACTACATCGACTCTCGCAACGCTACTTCTGCTCGGGCGTCTGGGGATGAGGGCGTGTCAACTGATCAGCTTCGTGCGGTGCGACACTGTCGCGGGCACTCACAACCCAAACCGTGTACGACTGGATCTTGAGCTCCTCGCCAGGCGCAAACACCATCCAAGCACCGCATGTCGCACTTCCTTCGCTCCCGTCGTCCTTGCCATACGTTACTCTCCCTCTCAGCATCAGCTGTTCGTCGCCCTTGACAAAGACGTCGTCTATCTGGTGGTTGCGCGAGATGATGGGCGGCTGCCACGCCTTCACTCGCCAAGCGTGAACGTCTTTACGAGTGTCGACGGCCTTCATGGGCCCGACTGGGGAGAGGTAGGGGGAAAGCGGTGAGATCAGGTGAAGTGAAGAGCTGGCGAAAACGCACTCTGGAAATGAAGCCCTGGCCCATCGATGAACTGCTGCGAGTATTCTTCATGGGCAGAAGGTTCGTCGGACAGGCGGAAGAAGTTCTCGAGAAAGGCCTTGACCTTGGGCGATACCGCGGAGTCTGTTTGGACTATGGTCATGGCGAGGGCGTGGAGGCGTTTGTAGCAGTGTTGAACGACTTGCGCACCGCACCCTGGATGGCTTGACAAGCGCCCTCGCAGTCGCGTGGCAAGTGCCCCAACCTCTTCTCGCTACGTTCCAGACGCGACGCCTTGTGTGGACAAGCGAATATAGGCGTGCATCGTCGGATGGGTTGCACCCTATTGGGAGTGTGCTGCGGTCGAGCGGTGAGGAAGACGAGATGTGCTCCAGCCACAGCGCGCGTCCCCCTGCTCTCCACCCCTTGGTCGACTCATATCAGCCAAAGAACGCATGAGAACGCTTAATCAGTCTCTCAGGGCCCCAGGTTTAGCTCGGGCGGCGTCACTCCACGCAACGCGAGCGAGGACGATGCGCACGCAAGCTTGACAACCATCACCGGCATCATCCCAAAATCACCTAGCTATGAGGCGGGTCGGGCCGTCTCTGGTCTAAATGAAGGCGCGCTCAGGTGAGTGAACGGGGTTCGATTGAATGATGGCCTCTAGCTGCTCATCGTGGTGTCCGACGTGGCCTCTGATCGTGGCGTGCCTACGTCGAACGTGCTCACTTGAGAGCTCCTCCGTCATCTCCTTCCCCTCCTTTCTCGCCGCTGCCCTCGCGTTCTGCCAGCCCTGTGAGCATGAGTGGACACCCCTCAACGGGCAGATGCTCGCTTGCTCCTCACTGTCGGCGTCTTTCTCGCGAAAGTGCCTCCAAGCCCAATCCACAAGAGATTCGCCGCCCCTCCTCCCTTCCTGCGTCCCTGCCGCAAATGCCTCGACCGTGCAGAGAGGGAAGAGGCCAGTAGGGAGAGAAGGTGAGCCGTGGTCAGAGTATCCTCTTTCATGGGTACGTACTGACAGCACTCGGTTCGCCCACTTGGGCAGACGTCGTTCTTCCCGCGCTGCGTGCGAGGTGCCGGCCTCATCCCCCCTTTCCCCATGGGCCTCTTCAACAAGCCGCCGCCAGACGTGCTGCCCTCTGCTCTCGCCTGTCCGGTCCCCCCTCCATCGCGCCCACTGCCACCTGCCTTGCCCTCCTCGCCGCTTGCCCCACTCTTGAGCCTCGCCCGGACATGGAGCGTCTTGTCAAAGCTGCGTGCATTCTCGTGGTAATGCAGCTGCTTCTTGGAGACCATCTCCATCTCGTCCGCCTCCCCATCCTCCTGGAACCCAGGCGCAGCTCGGTGGCAACCGGTGTAAAAGGCAGGGCGCAAGTACTCCATCCGCTTCAATGCCTGCGCACGGCGCGCTGACATGTGATTGAGCACGCGCCGCATCTCACCAGCCTCCATCATGTCCCTGTACCTCCCCTTGCATGGCTCCCCATCCTCAGTGACGAAACCAAGGAACTGGGGCAGAGGGTAGTGCTCGTACACCCCTTGCTTGAAGCCATTGTCGTACGAGGCGATGTCGTGAGTGGCGCTGCTTTGCCAAAGGAGGAAGTCTACGGTCGAAGCGGTGCAGGGGGATGACGATCGAGCATGATCAGCGATGAGCGAGCGAGTCGTAGCCGTCACGTCTGACTCAGCCGTGCTGTCCTTGTCGACGCACATCCCATCCTCACCCAAGACGATAACCACCTCTGCCTGCCTCTCCCCCTGCATCCTGGTCTGGGCATCCGCGAAGACACGGTGCCTTCTCACCCCGTCACGCCCGATCTCCATCCCAGCCAAAGCTTTTTCGACTCTCCACATGACTTGCAGCACGAACTCGTAGTCCGGCTGCCTCCCGATTAACCTCAGGACATCCTTGATGAGATCGAGGATCTGGTCAGTGAAGTCCGTCATCCTTTCCTGGCTGGGATGGTCGCTGAAGCGCCACAAGGCAAGCCAGAGGGGAAGCTGAGCCAGCTCGTCCGAGGATGAAGCGGCGCCGGTGTCGGAGGTGCCGAGTGAAGGAGGGAGCGAAGCGACAGGTCCGGCTGTGGATGGCGAGGGCGACGCCGCTGCCTGTCTTAACACTGCAGGCACCGCTGCTGGAGCAGGCAGTGGGAGTGAGCCAACGGCCAGCGCAGGGATCGAGGTCGGGGTCGGGGCCGGGGCCGGGGCCGGGGCCTGTACGTGCGCGTGACGTGCTGGGAGCGAGAAGGAAGGGGAAGAGTTGCGAGCCGCGGGCATCGATGACGAGGCTGTTGCTGATGAAGATGTGGCGGCGCGGGCTCCACTCTGCCTTTGGTCGCGCTCCCTCTCCAGCGTAGCCCCGATGTCGGCGGGTAAGGCGCAGGCCGCTCGCACGCAGGACTCTGCACAGAAGAGCTCCACCACCCTACTGGCTTGACTTGGCCTCAGCGTGCCCCACTTCTGCTCGAAGCGGTCAAACGCCTAGGCCGCTATCTATTGATGAGGACGTGGACAATGTCTTCTCCAGAGGCGATGACGCATGACGCGGGCGACGACGTCGGCGAAGAGGAGGCGGAGCGGGGAGTGGGCGAGAGATGCGCAGGCGCAGGCGCGGGCTGGGCGACCTCGGCTGATTCGGCGTGCTCCGAGGAGGAGAGGCAGCGGTCGTTGTATCTTTTGGGGTGAGTGGTGAGGAAGGGGAGGAGTTGTAGTGATGAGTAGAGAAGGAAGCCTCGCTAGTCGCTCGCTCATCGAGCTGAGCTCGACGAAGCGACACAGCCCGTCTGGAGAGCGTCTACTCTTGAGCTCGCATCTCCGGGGACAGGGCAAAGCCGTCAGGCACGGGCCATCGCGATATGGCTGCCCTCGCGACACCGTCTCGCCCTGACAAGGCACCCGCGAGCTGACCCCTCATCTCATTCCGCGCAACGCAAGCATCACCGAGCAGCGAGTCCCACTAGCCACCCATGAGCCACGACGGGAGCCTTGCTTGCAAACTTCTCGAGGCTGCAGCGTTACCATGGCCAGCCGGAGTAGCGAGAAGTGAGCCGGCCAAACGCTCTGTCTGCCGGCCCTGGCATATTGCAACAGAGGAGATGTCACAGAAGCCTCGAGAGCCGCGCTGCAGCATGCTTAGCCCTTCATTATCACCTTCGAGTGGCGCCCGGAGACCTCGTACAAGCAGTTGCAGCATCGAACAGATTACACCGCGACCATCGTCCACTTCAAGCCCTGTCTAGTGATCTCGCCCTATGCATTGACAAAACTTCTCAAATACAATTCTCCTGCGTCTCTCACGTTCGGGGGCTCACAGCAAACCAAGTAGGCGCAAAAGGCGCGCGCGCTGCGCGCTACGCGACGCGCTGCGCCATCTGAGGACCACGTGCAGGCAGGCCGATCAAGTCATAGCAAAAACAAAGCCCATAAATCGCTCAAGCAGCCTCAAATCGCGTTCTCTTCTGTCATAGCGCCAATCGGAAGCCTTGTTTGCCTGGCCCTCGCATCACTGTGACTTGCCATCGCTCGGCTTTTTGAGCTGATACTGAATCAATGCCGAGCATGCTGTTTCTGCTGTCTATCCGTCAGGCCTATTTCGCGGCGTCGCGCAGCCCGTCGATGAAAGACGCGCGCCGCGTTCAGTGTGTGTCTGTGGCCACTGTGTTCTCCCTCAAGGGACAAATATGGCGCAGCGGTGCACGGCTTCAATCGGGCTGCTACTTGTCTTCAGGATGCTCGTATCACAATGGTCACGATTTCTCCCTATGCAGTCCGTCACGCTGCGCATGGGACTGTTAGCATGCAGCGCGGTTCGATCCGAGCAACAGTAGCTTCAGAGAGGTCATGCGAGCTGATGATGACAAGCAACTTGTGCGGACAGGCTGCGTGCGAGAGTGAGGCGAGGATGCTCCAGTTGATGGGCAGAACCGTGCTTAGGCTTATCCTGCGCTGCCAGCTGAGCAACACAAGTGTCGCGATGCTCTGTCATCGCTGCGGCGTCGAAGAAGGCCCTGCGCTGATGCAATAGAGCGACATCAAGCCTTGCTCAGCTGCTTTTCTCTCATTTTTGAATTTGGTGTATGGTTCGCGGCGAATCACCATCGCAAGTGGCTGCTGACGAGCTGACCTTGCAGCTGCCGTTGCCCAGCCCTCGCGTTGCAGCTGCGGAATGTGGACGTTGAGTGCATTTGGTGCAGTCAACCGCTCAGGAAGTCTTGCGGCGTGGCATGTTGGACGGGCGAGACGTGATGGCTGCGTATATGCTACGCGGCTGCGCGGCGGTTGTGGAACAGCTGAAGGTGGTTGCAACTTCCTCCGAGGGCGATACGCAGCGCAGCGAGTTCTGCTGCGGCTGCGGCCGCGGCCTGACGCGTCTGAGCTGTACTCGCTTGCAGTGTCCCCGCGTCACGCTGCAGCGCCCAATGCACTGTCGGGTGATGCCGCGACAGTAGATGGCAAGTCACCTCACTCACGCACAGGCACTTGGACTGGTTCGTTGGAGACAGAAGCAGGCCATCTCACGCATTCGTGAGCGGCGAAGGGGCGCACAGCAGCAGGCCTCAGTATTGTGGCCGCCTCGGGTCGGCTTAGTCCCGCTTGACCTGTGGAAGGAGAACGGGTCCGCAGCTCAGGCGCATGCGCCGCAGTTGAGGGCAGAGAAGCCATCAGATTCTCGTCCCGGCTTCTCGCCCCTCTGCTTTCGATCGAATCTGATGGCTTCTCTACCCTCGCCTTTCGAGCGGCCCTTTGGCCTGGCCACGCCGCGCTCGCTGCCTGCCATCACGACGCCTTTACTTGCGCTTGCGTACTGCTTTACAACGCTCTACACGCCCAAGCGAGTGCCCAACTCTTCCTTCGCTCTCCTGCTTTGCGGCAAGGTGCACGACAAAGATTGGGTCGCAAAGGCGTCTGGACCTCGTCCCCGGAGACTGAGTGATGTGACGCCGACACACTCATGGTTCCCCAATCTTTCGCTCTTTGAGCACCAGATCAAGTGCGCGGCACTTGCCCCTCAAGGGCGCTGGAGTAAGCGCGACGGTGCGCTGCGAGAAAGAAGCAGCTCATGTCGACATACAGTCGTGAGGGGCGATCATGAAGGGCTTGCCGCAGGTGGGCGCCAGTGCAGCTTTCAGCTTGTCGGATCTGCAGAAGCCAAACATCATCCACGTAAGGCTCAGGCAGTCTCTCAAGGCTACATCTGGGCGGCTGCGGGCGTAAGATCCAGTCACGCAGTCACACTGGGGATTTCGAACTAGCATTGATTGCAAGAGGCAAAGAGCAGCTGCGTGACACGGTCAGACGACACAAGGATACGAACGGAATCTGGACAATGGAAAGCACAGCGCAAAGGTGGTTCGAGTCGAGCAGCGAATGGATGCGCGCTCAGGCTTCTGCACCCCACTCCTGGTAAGCGGGTCCTTTGTCCTCCGGAGCGCAAGCGTTCTGTCTGAAGTATTCTATTTCCACCGGCTTCCCATCGGGACCGAACGGACGGAAAGTGAGGGAGGCGGGGCCACCCCTGTTCATGACCATGAAGCGAATCGCATAGTACTTGTCCTTCTCGAGATCCGCGGTGAAGCTGCCCTTGCCGTTTGTGTTGCCGTCTCTGTGAACTTCGATGTCGCGATTCCCGTCGTTGTAGCCCTTGTAGGCGCCCTCATTTACCCACACACGCACCTCATCGTCCACGTCCTCGACATTGAAAGTGTACTTGCCAGTCGCAGAAGGTTTGATGTAGCCTCGCAGTTGCACGGCGTATCCGTTCGTCTTCAACGGGGTTGAGCCGTAAATGATGCCTTTGCCCGGGCCAGAATCTGGCTGGGCGAACGATACGCGCTCGGTCGTGCCAGTAGCGTCGGGCTTCAACTTTGCGAAGCTGTCCGACGGATCGTACTGAGGATGCGTTTTGTCGCTGTACGGCTTGTCATAGTACGCCCATTGCCAGCCTTGCACGTCTTTGCAGTGTGGATTCTCGACTACAACAGTGGGTCCACTAGGACCTTGAGTCGTGCTCGTGCGAGGAGTATCGCCGTTGTACGTCTTCGTGATGGTCGGGTAAGGGGTTTGGATGACCACGGTCGACTTGTCAGGTGATTCAGGAGGTGCGGTTGTGATTCTTCCGGCAGTAGGGGCTGGACGTGTCACCGTCGGCCATGGCTCGACCACGACGACCGTAGGCTTCTCCGGAGGCCCTTCGGTCAACGTAGTACGAGCTGGCCCACCCCTCGTGGTAGTTGGGTACGGCTCTTGAACGATGACCGTCTTGTCGTCGGGGTTCTCAGGAGGCGCGGTAGTGATCCTTCCTGCCGTAGGCGCCGGTTTGGTCACCGTCGGCCATGGCGTCACCACTGTGACGGTGTCTCCAGTTGTCTGTGTCGTAGCAGAAGGCCCTCCCTTTGTGATCGTTTTGAAGGGCTCCTGAACGATGACCGTCTTATCGTCGGGCCTATCAGGAGGTGCGGTTGTGATTCGTCCTGCAGTCGGGCCGGGTTTCGTGATCGTGGGCCATGGCGTCTGCACCACAATCGTCCTATCAGACTCTGGGCCTTGGGTCAGAGTCGTGGGGGTAGGGCCGCCCTGCGTCTTAGTCAAAGTCTTGAACGGCTCAACTACTACCACAGTTTCCTTCCCGGGAGGTCCTTCGGTCGTCGTCGTCTTTGCAGGTCCATTCTTCGTGATCGTCGGCCAGGGCGTCTGGACAACGACGGTGCGATCGGATTCTGGGCCTTGGGTAAGAGTAGTGGCGGTCGGGCCGCCTTGTGTCTTGGTCAGCGTCTTGTAAGGCTCCACGACTACGACGGTCTCCTTTCCAGGAGCTCCCTCGGTGGTGGTCGTCTTTGCAGGCCCATTCTTGGTGACCGTCGGCCATTTGGTCTGCACCACAACGGTGGGAGACTCCGACGGTCCTTCAGTCAGCGTGGTAGCTGTCGGCCCTCCTCTCGTTTTGGTGACCGTCTTGTAAGGCTCGATCACCACGACTGTGGGCTTTTCGGGAGTGCCTTCGGTGAGAGTTGTAGGCACAGGGCCCTGCCCGGTGACGGTGACAGTCGAGGGAGAGACGGGCGTCTTCTCCGGGCCTTTGGCCGGATTTTCGACGACGACAGTCACAGTCGCGGGCCCACCCTGCGTATATGTCCTTGCAGTGCTGCCGGTACCCTCCTTGGTCACAGAGATGGTCGAGACTTTGATCTGCTCGACGACGGTAGGATGAGCTGGGTCACCCAGCGTGTACGTGCTCGACTCGCTGCCGTAGGTAGTGCTGTAAACGGTCGAGATTGGGGCCACTGGAGTGGGGTCCGGCACCGTAGAAGTTGGCCCAGGCCCTGGCTTCGGGTGAGGATGGGGATGCGGGTGTGGGTGAGGGTGCGGGTGCGGGTGCGGGTGCGGGTGTGGATGAGGATGGTTGCCACGCTTCTGAGCGTGAGGTGCTGCTGAGACACTGCTGAGGCTGAGTGCCAGAACGACAAAGGCGTAAAGGGCGCGCATCGTAAGGAGGGGATGATGTGCGGGATGAGGGAACGATGAACAGGTCGTGGTCGTTGCCCCTTTATCTCTTTCCAGAGACCCCAATCCTCACATTGAGTCAAGCCATCGTCGTCATGCGTTCTACTCAATGCGTCGAAGCGTCGTCATGCCGTCACGCTGTCACGCTGTCACGCCGTCATGCCGTCTCTCCGTTTCTCCCTTCAACTTCGATGCTCCCACGATGCGCCCGCGATGATCGAAGTGGGAGTGGCGAAGTAGAGCACACACTTGCTTTTCTCTCATGGCTTCTCCCGAGGCTGTGTCTCTTTGACTGGCCAAGGGCAGCAAGCTGCGCAGTATTGATGGCGTCACTAAGGAGGACATGGAGGTGCCAAATCGATTGGGTGGGTGTTTCTTCTGCGCGTCTTGTGCCGGCGGCGCCAGTATTTGCCATCGCAAATAGCCGAACAATCAGTGGCATCTCACACCGCAATCAATGGCAGCTGATACCGCAATCTCGCGTCACATCTTGTCCGACAATGTCTGGTACACGTCGAAGTGCACCACTCCTCTGGTACGCGTCGCAGTGCACCGCCCTACTTGCTCGACAGGCCCCAAGGCTGGAATAGAAGCCATCAACAATAGAAAGACGGTGCATCAAATGCGGCGAACAATGTCGAAGTCGTTCCCATGACAGCCTTGAGTTGATTTCTCTCGCTTCGCACAGTCCTCATCTGACATGTCAAAGAGCAACGCAGATCAGACACAGGCGCAAATGTCGAGTGGAGAGAAGCTTTCAGTTTATTGCCATTTGTCCTTGACACAAGTGTTCCCGCCTCGCGCCACGCTCATCACGCTCGCCGCTTGCCTCCGCCATCACACCTTTACCGCCCCTTTTGCGCTCGCCGCCGCCTGCTCCACAACGCTCTCGACGCCCAATTGAGTGCCCAACTCCTCTTGCCTCGCGCTCCGCATCGCCAACACATCGTCCAGGGTACCGCGCCCGTCCCGCCTCTCGAACACCTCTTCATCAATCGTCGATCGAGCTAGTAGATGCCACACTCGCACCTCCTTGACTTGGCCAAATCGCAGGCATCGCCCGCGAGCTTGCTCCATCGTCGAGCGATACGTCGCCGCATCGTCGCTGATCAGCGAAGAAAGGAAAATGACGTGGTTCGCAATCGTGAGGTTGGACCCAGCAGCGCTCTCGTCGGCAACATCCAGCAAGAGTACACGTGGGGCAGTGCCGCGTTGGTAGTCGTCCAATACTTGCGATCGCTGCTTGGCGTTGCCCTTGACCCGAGTGAACTTGATCCGGTACGATGTCAAAGCCTGCGCCGTCTTCTCCAAGAGACCCTCGAACTGCACGAATAGAATGATCCTGTCCTCCGCTGGAATCAACCTCTCGTTGCGCAACAGCCCGGCTAGTTGGCTCATCTTCTCGCCGAAAGCGGACACTTTAGTATTCTCTACACCCAAAGACGTAGCCGCGATGATCGACGTCGGCTTGGCATCGGCGTTGCAGCCGGATTCGGGGCACTTGCCCTTCCATGCCTCCCTCTGCCCGCATTCGAGGCAGAAGAGATGGCCGCACACAGAGGAGAGCGCGAGGTTGGCGAAAGTAAGCTGAGACTTGCACCCAGGGCAGTCGCCGCAAACGGCGTGACCCTGGCTCATCTGGATGGATCGGATGTTCTCAAAGTAGCGCAGAGAACGTTGACGGGCGGCCGTCTCGTTGCGGAGTTGGACGAGATGGTGTACGAGAGCTCGCGCATGAGTCTCTTGAAGCCAGGCTAATCTCGCTCGCTCCTCGTCGTTGCTGCCGCCGCGTTTGGACAATTGCGCCTCGAGGTCCTTGATCGCTTTCACCGACGCCTCCTTCTCCTCGGCACGTAGCGCAGTGTCGTCGAGACCATCGCTGTCTTCGCCCTCCTCGTCTTCACTATCATCGCGCTTGCGACCCTTGGCCTTCGCACCGCCCCTCTTTGCTGCCGCCGCTCGCTGTTTGCGTACCTCGTCCACAGCAGCAGCAGCAGCCCGCCTCTTCAGAGCCTCCTTCAGCTCTTTGGCGCCGTACTGCTTGCGACCCACGCTCGCCGTCAGGCTCGCTTCCAGGCAATTGGCCGCTTCGAGTATCTCGGCGACAGCTTGCTTGCTTTCACGGTCGCCGTACTTGGCGCTGATGGCATTCTTTGCAAAGGAGACGAGCGCTTGTTTGGCATCATCACGGTAGCCATAGTGTAGAGCCATGAGGAAATGCTGCTCCTTGGCCGCCGCTAGCTTCTCGGCGAGCTCTTCCTTGCACAATGCTAGCTGCTTTGCGCGCTCTTCGATGATGAGGTCGCATGCTTCAATGGCGTTTTGCGCTCGCTCGCGCTGGCTAAGCACGAAATGGGCAGCCTGGCGCGACAGCGCCTCCTCAGGACTGGAACTTTCGCCGAGCGTGGTGCGTAGGCGGTGATCACGGTCGTTCTCGCTGGCGAGCACCTTGGCGCGAGCTGGCCCTCGGAACAAGCTGCGAGCGTGGCGCAGGTCGAGCGCTTCGATGGTGTGCTGAAGCTCGAGGTAGCAAGCTCGCTCTGCAGCTGGCATCCGGATTGGCTTGAGCACCTCGATTGACGCAATTTCGTCAATCTCGGCGACATTCTGTCTGACGAAGCGGTCCAAGAATGACTGTCCGATACGCTGCCTGCGGTGATGCCAAGCTGGCGAGTGCACCTCGACGAAGCTCCTGAATCGCTCGACATTTGAGCGTGCCTTGTTACGCGAGGTCCTACTCCTCGAAGAGCTATCCGCATAGTCGGCATCATCCTCCACACCCAAATGCACATTGAGGAACGCCGCCATCGAGCGAATGTCGGCAAAGTCGCCCGTCTTCGGCGTACCCGAAAGCACCCAGGTCGAGCTCGCGGTGAGCGAACGTACGGCTGAAAAGACGCGACCAGCTTCGGCGGCAATGTAGTGAAACTCGTCGATGATGACGCGACGCCACGAGAACGATTCGAGCGGTGGCGAAGTCATGTCCGTCCATCGCTTCAGGCCAGTCTTGATGCCCCAGACGTCCGAGACTTTTTCACGCTTGATCTGCTCCCAAGCATCCTCCACGCCACCGTCCTCCTCATCATCGCCGCCCTCCAAGGCCTTTTCCCGCGCGTACTGCTTGCCCACGACACGTTTCTTGGCCTTGTAAGTGGTGAGATGAGCGGGGTCGAATCCCTTGCGTTCCTTGATGCTCTGCCACAGCGTGCGGCCGCGGTCGTCGAGTTGCAGCTCCTTGACTCGCTCCGGCAGACACGAGATGCTCTTGGCCAACGCAGAGTCAAAAAAGCGACCCTCGCGTTGCGGGATAGGATTAGCAGCTGCGAATGCGGCCAGCGAGTCAAAGTACGAGTCCGACTTATAGACTGACACGCTCATGATGACAATGTCTACGCGCTGTAGTCGCTCGATTGTCGTCTTGTTGAGATCGGCCTTGCTGAAGATGACGTGGACGGAGAGCTTGCTGCCTACAAATTTGCGCACTTCATTCTCCCATTGCTTGCAGAGTTGTGGAGGCACAATGACCAGCGTCGCCTTGGTAGGTATGAGGCTAGGATTTGCGGGCGGAGGCGAGGCGCCTTGCTCCCGCTGCTTAGCGATCAGTGCGAGCGAGATAGCTGTCTTGCCGTAGCCAACTGCGTCCGCAATCACTCCGCCTCGCACCACACGCGACTGCCGAGCCATCCCCTCTGCACACCACTCGAGCGCGGGCAAGCTCGCCTCGCTGACTTCCTCCTCTGTGAATGGCTCTACGTCGCCCTCTTGCGCCAGCATCCAATTAAGAGAGCGCTTCTGCTCCTTGCGCAGCGAGAGCTTGAAGTGTTGCGGATCCTCAGCCTCGGGGTCGTGACGATTCGAGCGCAGCTCGTACTTGGGCAGATTGAAGGGGGTTAGCGTCGGATCAACCCGAGTGAGGCGCCACGACGGCGTCGGCTGTTGGGCATCGCCGCGCTGCGGCAGGCGTGAGAGAGCTCGGTGCATAAGCGTCGCGGGGTTGACAGCAAGACGTAGCCTACCGCATCCGTCGTCGTCAGTGCGCAGGTGAAGTAGGAATGGGAATGGCCTGTTCTTCATCGCTTGCTCGTAAGGCCCAGCCTCGCGCTCATTCTCGATGGGGATAGGCAGCGTATTGCCCTTCTTGAGCCATTGAATGGAAGGCGGAGCTGGTGCACATTCGATGCAGCAGCTGGCCGTATACGTACGCTTTGCCTGCATCCAATTCGCCCAAGAACGCACCTCGGGCACCCTCTCGATGAGCCACGACAGCTTCTCGAAAGTCTGCCTGCCTTGGTGCTCCAAATCGACCTCCACCCACCTTCCGCGGGCTCGAGGCCAAACATTGCCGCTGTCGTCGTTGCTGCGGTCGCTGAGCGAAGTCGTGCAGGCAAGCACCGTCTGCGCTTCGGAGCAGCCTGCCTTTTCGAGATTGAGATGGAGCTGCGATGATGGGATCGCAATTGTGGCGCTCTTCTCTTCGTGGTATGGCCCCATGATCAGGCCCGCGCACGGGACCCACTGCCCGCACAAAGTCGTCTCGACCGTCTGCGTCTTCTCCTTGTGCTCTCCTCGCTGGCGTTGGTACGACGCAGAGAGCTTCTCAAACTCATCTGGCGTGAGCTCGACCTCGTCTTCGACGGTGGGATCGCGCGGCGCAAGTGGTGGCTTCCATCCAGACTTGAAGCTGGCAAGTACAGGGCGATCCTTGGGGTAGTTGAGCATGCCGAGCTTTGAGGAGAACACGTAGGCGTCGTCGGATGAAGAGCCGTATCGAGCAGCATCGATAAAAAGGTAAAGTGGGCGCTCGCCCCCTTTGCGCTTGTGAAGCGAGGCGTTGGCTTGCCCGCACTCCGGCAGCAGCTCGTATTCTCCACACAGAGTGGTCTCAGCTTGCGATGCGCTGTCACCCACCTTCTCAATTGTCATCTTGGAGTAGCGCTTGGTGCCAGCGTACTCTCCACGAATGCCCATTGATGCCTGCCACGAGTCTATCTGTTCGCCATGGCACACGACGTTCATTGTAGCGCGATTGCGTGTCGGCAAGTTGAGCTCCCACTTCTGCCCGAGTTCAAGAAGTGTTGCTCTACGCCCCCCCTGGATATCGATACGCTGACGAGCTACGGGTTGTAGGAGGAGCTTGCGCAGCACGCTGCCCTCGGGCTCCCTCTTGTCTGGCTCGACAAAGATCTGCCAGAATGGCTCCACGGGGTCCAGGACAAGCTCCATGCGTGATGAAGAGAGCGAGAAGAACTCTGCCGTCCAGATGCGACCGCGTATGAGGTGGGAGAAGCGGAACTCTGCGTGATTCAGCACCTTCTCCACGCGCTCCTGCCAGCGCTTTCCCTCTGAGCCGAGACCAGTAGCCCCTGCAGCTGCTCGTGAGATCCCGCTCGCCCTCATTGCCAAACGCATGGGCAGAGCCTTCTTGAGCACATCCTCAAAGTCACGAGGCAACGTACGGTGTGCGGCGGCCTCATCCATGGCAAAGCTGTGCAACGGCCGCGATTTGCACGTCCCGCATACCGTCTGGTCGCAGTGACGGCAGCGCCAAATGTCCACCTTGCACTCGTTGGATCCCTCGCAGATGCACAGCTGGCTCGATGACGCCGCTTGCTGGAGAAGCTTGCTAAAGTCGATAGCCTCCATCGAGACTAGATCGTAGTCCTCCTCGACAAGCGACCCAATCACATCGACCTCTTTACGACGGCGCGGCGCGTCGATGTCGTGGAGCAAACGCGCAGACGTCTTAGGGTCGAGACCTTGCCTCTCAGCTTCGAGGTCGGGGCGAGCAAGTACGAGCGCCGCGAGGATGCACACGCCCACTACCGTCGAGCTCATGGCGTTGCCTGCGAGGTTCTGAAGCTGATCATCGCTCTCGCGCGTGAGGAGCAGCTCATTGATGGGCAAGCCTTGCAATGACAGGGCCTCCAATCCAGTGACGGGTCCGCCGCGGCTGGTGAGAAAGGGCATACCCGACGGCGTGAGACAGCCCGTGATACCCGGTTGAGGAGCGACGATGTTGCGGTCGACGTTCTGACTGAGCTCCCACACTCGACTCTTGAAGTGCGGATCTTCTCCGCGCTTGGCGTCCCGCAATACGGTGATGTCCATGAGGTCAAGTACTCGTTCCGGCTGAGGTCGAGCGAACTCGTTCCATGCTCCGTGCGACATTGCGCAGGAGCCTCCCTCCTCCCATGCAGTGAATGGTCGAGCCTGACCGAGCTTCTCAAATCCGCGCGCCTCTTCGTGTCGACCTTGGCACTTGGACCAGTCGATGGTGCTTCTGCTCTTGCCGGCCTCCTCGTGACCCATTTTGGCACGCGTAGCTTGAATGCGCTGGTCCGTCGTGGGCAGCATGAAGGCCTCGATGGGCGACGACGCGGGACGTTGCAAAGACGAGACGAGATTGTGCCAGTTGGCAGGGTAGTCGCCCTTCTTGTTCCTGCTCGCGAAAAAGTAGCCTCGCTGTCGCGTCTGCGGGATGTAGTAGTTCTTGGTGTCGAAGCGAGTGGAAAAGGACGAGTCGTAGTCGGCCTCTTCAAAGAACTTGCCCACTCCCTCCCACGGTGCCGACTTGACATTTTCGAGAATCACGATAGCTGGCTGGTTGCGCTTGACCCAGTCGAGCATGCCGAAAAAGGTGCGACCAGACTCGCCCCCCTCATTGATGGCCTTTTTTGCATTGTTCAAACCAGAATAGTCGACGCAGCTTGTCCCGGCAACAAGTACGTCGATGTCGCCCGGCACTTCGACCAGGGCTCCGTATGCTGTATGAGCGCGAGGCTTGCCAAGTTCAGTGACGTCGCGGAAGAGAAGAGGGGGCGAGAAGTTACGCTCTATGTAGGCCTGCTTGAATGGCTCGAGCTCGCAGGAAAAGACGTGCTCAATGGCCATCTTGATGCCCCATTTTGCCTCGACGGCACGTGAGATGAGGTTGAGAGCAAGCAGAGGAGACTCGGTACCGCTGCACATTGTAGCGACTCTTAGAGCACGTCCTTTGCCGGCCAGCGTCTGGGCCAGGGGCTTGAGGAGAGCCTCTGGCATGCGATCGACGATGTCGGCGTAGATTTCGCTGAGGTCGGACATGGGAGGCCAGAGATGATCCTTTGCCTTTTGCTCGGCCTCTTTTGCGAGAGCGGCTGCCTGCGCTTCGGTAGGGCAGTGTGGGATATGCTTGGTGGACCGTCCTCGGCGAAAGTCTGGCGCCCACTTCTGACCGGAGACACCGAGCTTCCCGCCTCGTGCTGAGCCGCTTACCCGCCCCTTCTTAACTTTGCTGCTCGACGCTTTGCCAAATGCATCATCGTCTTCGTCGCTGTCTGCTAGAAAGTCGGAGTCTCTTTGCTTCTCATTTGCCCGACGGGAGGACGTGGATTGGAAGAAGGGGTGGGTGCGCGAGGTGGATGCGGCGCTGAAAGCGACGCCCGGCTTGGTGAAGAAACTCGCCAGCGATGATTGCTTCAGGGTATTGCTGTGCTTTGGTGTATTGGATAGATCAATGGTGACCTGTGGGAAGCCGATAGGCGATGGCTTGGGGTCGAGGAGGGGCATCTCTGCCTCGTTGGAAGGCGTCTCGAGGGCATCGGTGTCCTCAGGCTGACAGCTGCCACTGCCGCTACGGGCGAGAGAAGGGGTTTCGTCGTCTTGATCGCTGTGATCTACTGCGTCGTCGTCGTCATCATCCTCATCATCGCTGCTGCTGGATCCCTCGGCAAAGTCGCTGTCGTCGTCGGCATCGTCGCTCACACGACGTCGTTTCGTCTGCGATTTGCCAAGGCCGCCAAGATCATCTTCAGAACCTTCGTCGTCAGAGATGACCAGTGGCCTGCGAGCAGTAGCCGCAGCCCTTTGCGGTCGCGGTCGCCCAGGGGAAGAAGACATTGTGTTGGACACAGGAGGAAGGGCAACGCTCGAGTGCGGGGAGAAAGTCTCAGTCGTGCGGGCGCCATTCCACTTTCGAGCAGCGCGTCGCGTGAGGGCATGCGTGTGCAGGCAAGGGCGGAAGTGGATGCTCCCAAACCACGTGGGTGGAGCCCTTCGCACGAAAAGATTCGAGAGCGACGAGCGACGAGCGAAAGGACTCGATGCGCTTATACCTTTTGTTACCTCTGCTTCGTCTGCTCCTTGTCGCAATGGCAGACGCAATGGACGTCGACGGGAGCTCGTCTCTCGCAGACAAGATAACCATTGTGAGTTCGTGGAGACAATGGTGTTGCAGCCGTAGCCTTCATCTGACTCGCCCTGACTCGCCCTGACTCGCACACAGCTCCCCGGTTACGCATCGGACTTCTCGGCGGCCACATTTTCCCTCAAGGAGGAGGACCACACGCTGGGCAACGCCCTTCGGTGGATGCTGATGAAGGAGTGAGTATCAGCGCCAAGTCATTGTTGCGCCCAATGACTAGAAAATAGCAGTATAGATTGGCCGACCGAGCCCCGCAAAGGCTCCAGTAGGACATGAAGAGACAGCATAAACACAAACAGGAATTCTTCGTTTCTGAGGGCATCAGCGTGGTCAGCGTGGCATTCAGGCTGCAGTGCAGCGCCAGCTGACTCTGTGCAACCTTGCATCTCCTCCCTCGCTGTAGTCCGGACGTCGAATTCTGCGGATACAGCAACCCGCACCCCTCGGAGGCTAAGATCCATCTGCGTATCCAAATGTACGGTGAGCATCGCAGCGCAGCGAATCGTAAATTTGGAGGTTGGCACACGGTGATGACACGCACTAAGGGATAAATGCGGCAGAGTTGGGCCCATGAGGCCTTTCTCATTGATGACTCGCACTTTAACACAATTGTTCCTACTGAGATGGCGCGAGGCAGGAGGCAAGAGACTATCCACGAGAGACAAACAGTGTCGCTCACTCTACCACACCTGGATCCCGCTCAGATGCACAATCCGTCTTCCCAGCCCTTCGTAGAGCCCTGACCAACCTTTCGGACCTCTTCTCGACGATCGACGGCCATTACCAAGAGGCAATGGAGGCCGGTGCCTACGAGAGGTTTGAGGAGAAGAAGCTCGATCCGGAGTGGCTCAAGGCGTTCAAGGAGGAGGGAGAGAGGAAGAAGGCAGCAAAGGAGAAGCAGTGATTGGCGCGGAGCGAGGGAGAGGGAAAGAGGAGCATCATCGTAGCATCTGTACCATCATCGTGTATTTTACATATCCATTCCCCATCGTCGATGTCACCTACGCGTGTGTGTGTGTGTGTGTGTGTGTGTGTGTGTGTGTGTGTGTGTGTGTGTGTGTGTGTGTTGTTTACGTAAGCTGCTGCCTTGCCGCTGCTCTTGAATGGCGTTGCTGCCTGCCTGTCGAGATCGGACTGAGGATTTTGGTGGAAAGCAACTCTCACAAAAGTCGTGATGAAGCCGTCGCGATGGTGGGCTGCTGCAGCGCAAGGGACATCAGCTTCAGCGTCTTCATCAATACCGCAACCGGCGACACTTCGTGGACGACTGGCGCAAGGAAGACCTGATGAGAGAATAGAGGAGTCGGTGTCTGCGACAATTCAGGCGACGGTGCGGTCAGTGCGCGTCCATTCCAAAGTGTCGTTCCTCAACCTCTCGGACGGTTCACTGGCAGGAGACTCGACGATCCAAGCTGTCCTTCGCAATTCCGTCACACTCAAAGAAGCAGAAGGCAAAATCTTGTCGCCAGGAGCCGCAGTCCGGCTCACAGGCAAGCTGCAAGCTAGCAGAGGCAAAGGGCAACAACTCGACTTCGTCATCAACTCAGGCAGCGTGGTAGCAGGTTGCGATGCTGCGCGGCATCCCTTCTTGTCAACGAGCTTCGAGCCGTCGACCTCTTTGGCCCGAAAGAATGCCCATCTTCGCACTCAGATTCCCTCTTTCGCTGCCACGCTGCGCCTTCGTGCCAGACTCGAAGCAGCAATGGCCTCCTACCTCGATGGCAAGGGCTACACGCAAGTACGGCCGCCGATTATGACCAGCAGCGACTGTGAAGGAGGAGGAGAGGTATTTCAAGTCGTCGAGCCAAAGTCAAAGAAGGACAAGGACATGGCATCAGCCGGCACCGCCGCTACGCCCACGTACCTGACCGTCTCCTCACAGCTTCACCTTGAAGCACTCATGCTCGGTCTAGGCAGAGTCTATACATTCACTCCAGCATTCAGAGCAGAGGATAGCGCCACAAATCGTCACCTGCGTGAGTTTTGGATGTGCGAAGTTGAGATGCCAACAATGTCAGACTCTGCCGCCTCCGAGCTCCAAGAGGTCATCGTCATCGCAGAGGAATCCATCAAGGCTGGAGCTCGGGCTGCCTTGGGAATCGCGAGCGGCAACGAAGAGGCACAAGTTGCTCGACAAGATGCCCAGTATCTGTACGCAGGGGTAGAGGGCAAGAGACTAGACGATCTAGAGCGCTACATCGATCAGCCATGGGCGCGCATGACTTACGGCGACGCCATCGAGACGCTCCAACGCCACCACGTCGGCAACAACGGCTCCTCGACACCACCACCGGCCTGGGGACATGACCTCTCCTCAGAGCAAGAGCGCTTCTTGGCGGAGCAAGTTGCTCAAGGACCCGTCTTCGTCACAGACTACCCCGCTCACCTCAAGCCCTTCTATATGCGAGAGGGCGAGGATGCAGAGGGACGCAGAATAGCCAGGTGTTTCGATCTCCTCGTTCCGGGGCTCGGCGAGCTAGTGGGAGGAAGTCTGAGAGAGGATAATATCGCTGTGCTCAAGCGCAAGCAGCAGGAAGCAAAGGGCAATCGAGATGATCGAGCAGAGGCTCTGTCCTCATCATCGGCCCTCAATGCATGGTACGTCGACTCGCTACGATCCTCCGGCATGCCGCCACACGGCGGTTTCGGTATCGGCATGGAGCGACTCGTCGCCTGGCTTGCAAATCGAGAGAGCGTACGAGACGTCAGCGCGTTTCCTCGCGTTGGCAGGTCTTCAGCGGCGGCCATCTCTGAGGCAGGGGCCAGGTGGCAGTATTGAAAAGGAGCAGAGAGAGAGAGAGAGAACAGCTTTTGATTTTCGAGAGAGAAGGGGAAGAGATAAAGAGGGCGCACTTGCACGTTTTGTGGTGGTTGGAGGGGGTTGGTGGACGAGCGAGAGGGTATTGAGGCAAGGCGGAGATGCGAAATAAAAGGGAAAATTCAATGGGCTGAGAGTCGATCACCTATTCTTGATCGTGTTGATGTTCTTCGTCCCCAACACTGTTATGCGCCCTCGCCATCCAATCGCCGCCTACTTGACTTCATCACCTTCTTTAGGCCATGGTAGCGTCCCCGCCCTCGGCGTGAGGTGCAGCAGCCCCACCCGTGGCAGCGGCGCCACCAGAAGAGTTGCGCAGTCCCTCGAAGTCACGCCAGTTGCGGTTGAACTCAATGTCCAGGGCGCGACCGCCGTAGACGTAGTTGGAGAACTTGGCAATGGCCGTCTCTGCCTCCTCCACGGTGGCGAACTGAACAACACCGACACCCTTGGAGCGACCGCCCTCGAAGAGGATCTCGGCCTCGTCGACCTTGCCCGTGGTTTGGAAGAGCTCAACGAGATCCTCGTTGGAAGTAGACCAGGGGAGCTGCGCGGGCGGGTGGGTAATAGAGGATGTCAGCTTTAGCCTCATCTTGACTCATGCGCTGCACACTCACGTTCTTGACGAAGATCTGCATCGAGGGGTCAGCAGGCGGGAGCTGCTGTTGCTGGTAGCCGCCAGCGCCGCCGTGAGGGCCACCACCCATACCACCACCGTAGCCGCCTCGACCACCGAATCCACCGCCGAAGCCACCGCGGGGACCACCGAAGCCACCACGAGGGGGGCCGTAGCCTCCACCAAAGCCACCACGGCCGCCGAAGCCACCACCGTATCCTCCTCCGCCGAAGCCTCCAGCGAAGCGGTCCTGTGGAAGCGAGAGGGGAAGGAGACAGATGAGCACAACGGAGCAAGCTGAGCCACGACCTGCTCGCCACTTGACATTCGCACTCACCTCGCGAACCTCGATCTGACGTCCGTTCCAGTCGAAGCCATTGTACATCTGGATGGCGTTTTGAGCGTCCTCGGGCGTAGCAAAGACGACGATGCCGGATCCCTTGGGCCTTCCGTCGGGGCCCATGTTGATGTCAGCACGGACGATGTTGCCAGCAGTGCGGAAGAGATCCTTGAGCTCTTGCCAGCCAGCCTGGAAGGGGAGGTTGCCAATGTAGAGCTGGGCGCCGGGGGGAGCCATTGAAGGGGGAGGGGGGCCGTTGAAGCCACCGCCGTACCCTCCGCCGTACCCGCCACCATAACCCCCGCCGTATCCTCCTCCGTATCCACCACCGTAGCCGCCACGACCACCGAAACCGCCGCCGAAGCCACCACGAGGGGGACCGCCGAAGCCACCGCGGCCGCCAAAGCCACCACGGCCCATGGATGCGGGGACACCGTAGCGAGCCTCCTGCTCACGGTCCTGCAGAAGGCAACAGGGGACGATGAAGGAAAGTGAGCTGGTGCGCAGCAGGTGAGCGAGCGTCATATGCGCTGCGATGACTCACCTCGCGAATGAAGACGGGTCGTCCGAGCAGAGGAGTGTCGCTGAGCTCCTTGATGGCGCGCTGTGCCTCTTCAGGTCGCTCGTATTCGACGATACTGTGAATGAGGAAGGGTCATGGTATATGCGGGTGAGTGATTGGTCCTCTTTGGCATCCACCTCATTATTGCGACCTACTCACCCGCAACCCTTGGACATGCCGTTGGGGAGAGAAAGGACCTCCGAGAAGACGACGTTGCCAGCTGCCATCCAAAGCGACCCATGCAACGCACAACGCAATCCGTCAGCCAACCAGCCCAAGCACCTCTGACGACTACGATGATGAAAGCCTCCGCGACCCACGACCCACGACCCACGACCCGCGACGATACCAAGCCAAGCCACACGACGTCGCAAATGCCTGGCCAATCCAAGCCCCACACGTCGCCCAACCGATTGCCAGCGATATAGACATCTCTGTCTCGAGTATATGCACCCCAGGTGGATGGTGGACGAGTGTGGGGGTTCTTCGAAAGGCGTAGTTGTGGTGGTGATGGCGGTGGGCCTCGAATGATGGAAAGAAGGGAAGGAAAAAGGGAAATGGCGACCAACCCCACTAGCTAACTACTACGCACCCTCCCTCATGAAGTCCTTGAGAATGTTCCACTTGACGTCGTAGCTGAGGTTGCCGACGTAGACTCGGCACTCCTTCTTGCTCCTCGAAGCAGCCTCCTGAGCGGGCGTCTGCTGCTGCGAGTCGGTCGCCCCGTTGGCGGGCGAAGCCATGGTAGCCTCCATGGCGTTGTTTCCAATCTCCTCGGCCATTGTGTTCACTGATGGGTGGTAATTGACGATGTCGATATGATAATAGTTGGTGGACAAGACGTCCAAGTGGCCCGCTGGAGGATGCCTCTGTTCCCTCACCTTCGCGGCCGCCGCCGCCGCCACGCACACGAGGCTCTTGCTTCCGATCCGATGTCACTCCACTCGCATCACTCTCCCGCTCAAGACGCTCGACCCACACTACGCTAGCTAACGACGGCATGTAATTTGTTGCGCTTTCATGATCATCTGCCCACGTCTCCATTCGACTCTGAGTACAGGGTAGCGATTCGATCATTGCGCGAAAGCACGTCAGCCAAGCTCTTCTCTGTCAACGCAAGAACAGCGCCATCGGTGACCCAAGGATATACAGCTGCACGCCTTGACATACACATGCCCCCCGTCACTTCACTTGGCCACTCGCTCGCCCTTCTCACCTTTGGCCGCCTTCTTGTCCTCGTCGCTCGCATGTTCTTCGTTGTAAGTCCTCTTCTCTCCTCGATGCTCTTGCCCGCTCTGCCCGAGGCCCAGCTTGCCCTTGCGACCAATCTTGTGCGGTAAGAGCTCCGAGTCGTCGATGTGGCCGGACCACTCTGCGAGCGAGGAGCCAAGGAGACGACGGTCAGCACCCATTCAGTCATGCCGTCTTGCGCCCGCACTTACTCGGAACGCCGTCGTCAAACTCGACAATGGCCTCCGAGTAGAAGATGTGTCCCTTGGAAGCAAACGAAGCCGGGATCTGACCGTCCTTGAAGTTGAACGTCGACGGATAAGCCATGACCATATTACGCCCCTCGTCGAGCAGGGGTGAGTGACAGTGGCTGCACGCAATCTTGCATGGCACATCATGCCCGTCCTCCTTGCGATGAGTGGAGAAGAAGTTGAGATTCGTAGGGTCAGTCTGGTGAGAGAGGCGGACCGACGTTTTGTGGAAGACGGCGGCGTATTGGAAGGGGGCGCCTGCGACGGGGGATCACTGTAAGTACGAGAGCCGCATTAAGCTGGCTTGCACCTCGTTTCGCTCACCGTGCAACACCTGGCACTGGTTGCAGTGGCAGTGCTTGGCCGTGATGGGATCGCCTGTGCGAGCAAGGTTTGACTGTCAGCTTCCACCCATACCGTTGACCGCATCCTCGTCATGCTCACCGTGGAATTCGAATTTGACTCTTCCACACCAGCACGAGCTCTTGTACTTTGCCTCAAAGTCGTCGCTGTGCCAGTAGTAAGGCGGTTTCAAAATGTAACCCTCCTCGCTGCCTCCCTTCTGCGATGGAATGGCGCCCTTCCAGCCCGTCTTGGGCGGCTCGACGTGGCCTTTACTTCCCATATCGCCTTGGCAAGAATGAGGTCTAGGCTGAGAGTGCTGCTCTTGCTGCTGCTGATACTGCTGAATAGGCTGTGCTGCGTAGCGTGGGCACGTCGGCGTCGTTAGAAGGCGAGCAGTGGCGCGGACTGGTGACAGGAGACGCGAGGGCGAGGTGGTGGTCAAGAAGGAGGAACGAGAAATGATGCGCTGCAACATGGCGGTTTGAAGGGAGTTCGGAGATGGCAATGCTGCATCGTCCCGCATCTTCAATGATACTGCCTCCCCTGTAACGCTTGCATAAAGCTTGTGGAGTCGCTCGCTCGTTGTGTCAGCCAAAGTCAACCCGGTCAGTGTCGTGTGATGCGCCTCTGACGCTCCCTCATCAGGCAGACAGGCTGGATGCGGCTTATTTTGAGCTCACGCACGAGCTCTTTCCTCCTCAAGCTCTCGTTGCACTGTCAATCGCCGACGAAATGCGTCAGGTGCTGCTAGGCTTCGAGTCGAATGAAGGTCTCAGAGTTGAGGGCGGCGTGCTCTGGTGGACCCTGGATCGCCGCTGCTGACAAGAGACGGAGGAAAAAGCAGCAGCGGAAGCGGTCGCGTGGTCGAGGGACAGTGTCAGGCGGGCTCTACTGTCATGCGGTGCAGCGAGGCCGGCTGTCGATCTCCTCCTCGTGCCAACGACTTCATCGATAGCCAGCTCAGAGCTTGGCAACTTTTCGCGTCTTTCTCGATACAAACCTGACCGTATCACTGCAATGACGAGACTCGTTCAGGCAACGGGCTCACACGATCAACTCGCTCAAGGCCCGGCTCAACAGCGGGCAGACTCCAGCTAGTCCTCAGCAGTCGATGTACAAATCTTCTCCGGCACAATCATGGTCTGGCTTGCCATGCCCTGCCTTAATGCTCTCCTCCGTCGCGAGTCCACTATGTCATTCGACGATTCGCGTATGTTACTGTTGGATTGGATGCCGCTGCGATTCTCCTTCGCATGAGTGAAGAGTGGAGGAAATATCTTACGGCGATGTGCTCTCCATCTCGTGTGTGTATGCCTCGAAGAGAGACCACAGCCTGCTAGACACCTCGCCAAGTGCATGGGCAATCGTCAATGCGAGGGGACGCCCCTCCTCTGCGTCGTACCACCGCCCAACTCTTCGCACGCTTGTCCGCCAGCTTAGTCGAGCTTCTCGACCTCAGCCTCACCACCTGCCGCCGCTGCGTCACCTTCCTTCTTCTCTCCAGCCTCGTCAAAGTTGGTGGGAACATCGGGGACCTCGTCATCTCCACCAGCACCGGCACCAGCGGCACCACCCTGGCTGGCCATGTGAGCTGCGTTCATCGCCTGATAGGACTCTGCGAGCTTGCGGAGGGAGGCGAGCGAGTCGGGACCAAGCTGAGAGAGGATGCCGGGAACAAGCTCGGTAAGCTCCTTGTCGACACCATTGCCGTAGACGGCGTAGGTGTTGGAAGAGCCAGCTCCGTGGACTGTCAACGAGACGCGGGACAAGGATCGATTAGGGTGTCGGCGCTCCATCTTTGCTATGAGTCGTGACACCTCATTGCGCTGACTTACCCTTGGGCTGCTTGAAGTGGAGCACGTTGCCGTCCTCCTTGAACATGTTGACCTCGTCGATGCCGCTGACGGGCTGGACGTTGAGCTTCTTGAGGGCAGCCTGGAGCTTCTTGTCCTCGCCGGCAGCGCCCTTGGGCTTAGCTGCGACTTTGCGACGGGGAGTACCCTTACCACCTGCGATGCAAAGAGAAGGGAGAAGGTCGTATCAGAGTCGCAATCACAGAATTGAGGCAGCATATATGCCTCGAAGCTGGTTCGCACGCACCGGTACGGTTGGCGGCGCTGGCCGCTTGCAACCTGGCGAGCTTAGCTTCGTCGATGGGCATGATGGGTGGGTAGGCGAGGGAGGAGGGAGAGCGGGAGGAAATGAAGAAGTCGTTGACTTGCGGCTAACTTGGTGATGGTAGGAGGGTGGTGATGCTCGTCGTCGTCACTCGTCGTAGCCGCTTCCTCTCATCTCCTCTCCTTGGTGCCGGCGGGGGTGCCCAGCGCTTGGCTTCTTCCACTCTCCCTCGTCCTGCAAGCAGCCCTCTGCGCGCTCTCTGCCCGACGAGACGAGCCACGCGAGCGACTCGACTCGACGGGAGGCACTGGCCGAGGGCGGACTCGAATTAATTTCAACGAGGCACAGGTGGTCAAGTGTAGGGCAGCAGCTTTGATTGCCCTCACACCACCAGCCATCAGTGCCACAACGACGACTGGTGACTTGATCTCGGCATGGCGTCGCTTACCATGGCAGAGCAGCTGGCCAAGCTCAGATCGCTCACGGCATCAAAGCTTGACAATCAAAAGGCACCCGCTCAGCTCCTCGTGGCCATCGAAGAGTCCCTCGACGAGTCGCAGCCTACAACGAGCACCAAGAAGGAGCGCTCGCCTGCAGAGTATTTCCTCGCCCTCGACTCTATGCTCCACCGTGGCAACAATTCAACAAAGCTACTCCCATCCATCTTCTACATCCTCGCCATCGTCACTCCTCACGTCTCTGCAGCTATTCTGCGCGCCAGGCTACCGTCGCTCCTGCCGCCGCTGTACTCGGTACTCTCCAATCCTCACTCTAACGAGGCCGAACAGCAGGCTGCACTATTACGCTCCTCTATTGCGGTTCTCGAAGCACTCATCGCCATCGTCGGCGAGGATAGGCAGCTGCTCCAGACGCAACAAGAGCTGCGAGCTTCCTGGGATGCCTCTCTGGCTCTCTGCGCTGACAGCAGACCCAAGGTCCGGAGGAGAGCTCAGGACTTCATTGGCTCTGCTCTCTCATCGCAACAGCACCCTTACGCCGCCCGCACGGCGACGTGGTGCTCCACCACGCTATCGTCAGTCTCAGATTCGGCCAGCGTCACGTCCAAGAAGGGCAAGGCAACGGCAGCAGCGGCGGCAGCGGCCACGTACGATGTTAAGAAGGGTCGAGCGACAGGTGCCCAAGAGGCAGCAAAGCAGAGGCAGGAAAATGTGGCAGGAGGCGCAAGCGTGGGCATCTGGGTCTGCGGCTTCCTCAAGGCCATCGTCACCAGGTTGCCAGACAAGGCCATCCCCCAACTCTGCGAAGAGCTTTTGCGATTGCCCGGCCTCCACAACCCTTTCCTCACTGTAGCAGCCTTCGAAGTCTTTGAAGCCCTTTATCGACCAGCAAAGTCGTCGACGCAGATTGCTGCTGACAACCTTCCGGGCTCGAGTGGCGCCATGGCCGCCGTCGCTGCCGCTCAGACCCCAGCAAAGAAATCGGCACCATCTTCGCTACTTCGCACACTCGAAGCCCTGCGCTCCTCTGCGCTTCAGCCGGCATCGAATGACGTCCAGCTCCTACCACCTTACCTGCGAGCGTTAGAGGGAGCCATCGTCGCCTACTCGCGCTACGATGAGGGAGAGCCCGCCTGGGCCCTCGTCCCACAACTCTGGAACGATGTCATGGAGCTCAGCCTCAGCGCCCGCTCCGATGCCAGCCGATCATCAATCACCGTACGAAGCGCAGGTGCAGACTTCCTCGCGTCCCTTGTCCGCTACGCCGTACCCGACGAGGCCATCAAGACGGCGCTCAAGACCAAGTCATCGCCCTTACACTCCCTCGTCACCTCGCTCGACGATGCCCTGGGCCGACATGCGCTTCGGTTCACCCACTCGCGCGGCGAGATTCTTGGTGTGCTCACTGCTCTGGTAACACGGCTGCGCTTGCGCGTTGGAGTTAACTCGAGTCCAGCTGCTACTCAGCTCCTCATTCCCCTCATCACTACCGTCGCCGCGCTGCGACAGACTCCCAAGTTTGAGCACAGGGATCGAGCAGATGCAGTGTTGGGAGCTGCGACCGAGGTCTGCGGGCCAGAGGCCATCCTCACAGCCTTGCCTCTCAACCTTCTTGCCGGCAATGGCCAAGGCCGAGCATGGCTTCTGCCCCTGATGAAGGGTCGTATCACCAACACGTCGCTGGGCCACTTCGTCCGTGACCTCGTGCCCCTCTCGGAGAAGCTCTTCAATGCCCGCACGCAAGCACAGCAGGACGCATCGCGAGGCGTTGAGGCAAAGATGTACGAGGCTCTCGTCGAGCAGCTATGGTCCCTGTTCCCGGGGTACTGCGATCTACCCACCGATTTGGTTACCGCCTTGAGCCAGCCATTCGCTGAACTCCTCGCCAACGTACTCGCCACTCAACAAGCCTTGCGCCCGAGCATCTTGCGCGGTCTCACGCTCCTCGTCGACCGTAATGAGGCTCTCAGCCGTAGCGGCGCTTCAGACGAGTCGCTCCGTCTGACATTCGGCCTCACCGCCGCCGATGGCAAAGCAGCCCTCACTCATTTGATCGGCCTTGCCCCTGCCTTTCTCTCCGTCTTTTCTCATCTCCTTGCCCAGTCGCCGTCGTCCTCGCGCGGCTACATCACCGAGGCCATCGGTGCATTTCTCCGCATCCTGCCGGCCAGCGAGGTGTCCGCAACATACGGCAAGGTCGCTGGCCAGCTGAAGACGGCTCTCACCGAGCTGGTGCCGCAGAGGGACCGCGAAGTCGGCCCGCATGCAGTCCCGCCTCTTGCACACAGCATGCTCGACCTCCTCATCACTCTCGTGCCGTTCCTTCCAGCCGCAGAGGCACTCGCCCTCTTCAAGGCGGCTACGTCGGACGATTTGTTGCAGAATGACGACGCTGGCGTACAAAAGAAGACGTACCGCGTGCTGGCACGACTGCTCGAGGGAAGCAAAGGAGCCGCCTTGGCCACCTCCGCAAACGTCACTTCTCTCCTCACTACGCTGCGCGAAGTCACAGTGGCCGTCGCACCTGGAGCTAAGCGTGATCGTCTGCACCTACTGAGCGGCATCGTCCCTCGCATCCCGCTCGGTGACCTTCATCTATTGCCCTCGATCATCCCAGAGGCGGTCCTGGCTACAAAGGAAGCCAACCAAGCGTCTCGCACTCTGGCGTATGAGCTGCTCGTCCAAATGGGCGAGAAGATGCAGCAAGAAGGTGGAAAAATCAAACGCGGCTTGCTTCTCGAGAACGACGATAAGGAGGACGAGCAAAATGCGATGGACACGACGGACGTGGTCGATGCAAGCCTTACCGAGTACCTCACAATGGTTAGCGCCGGTCTAGCAGGCAACTCGCCGCACATGATCTCCGCAACAATCACATCCCTCTCGCGCTTGGTATACGAGTTCAAGGAGCAGCTACCCCGCTCGACCCTCGAGGAAGTTGTCAGCACGATGAGCGTCTTCCTCACCTCGTCGCCCAATCGCGAAATCATCAAGAGTGTCCTTGGCTTCGTCAAGGTTTCCATCGTCTCGCTCGAGTACGACGTGGTTGACGCGGCGCTTCCGGAGTGGGTGCCAGGGATGCTCGAATGGAAACAACACCCTGCCCATCGCGTCGTATTTAAGGGCAAGGTGAGGCACATCTTTGAGAGATTGTTGAGGCGCTTTGGTTACGAGCGAATCGAGTCGCTTTGCGATGAGGAGAATCGCAAGTTGGTAGTCAACATCAAGAAGAGGAAGGAGAGGGCGAAGAGGAAGAAGGCGAGCGGTGGTTCAGCTGGTCATGCCGGAGAGGACGAAGAGGACGACGTTGCGGCCGGTGCAGGTGCTCCAGGAGCAAAGGCACCTCGTCGCGATTTGGGCGTCGATGCCTTCGAGGAGGCGCTTTATGGCAGCGATAGTGATGTCTCATCGGATGACAGCGGAGAGGAGGACATCGAGCAAGGAGGCGCAGCTGGCGGTCTGGCCGCACTGGCACGCAAAGCAGCGGGAGCACGTCAGGGCAAGGGTCAGAAGCCCGAACAGCAGCAGCAGCAGCAGCAGCGTCGCCGTCGTCGCGACCGTGACGATGATGAGGCGTACCTCCTCGAGGACGATGATGCCCCTATGGATCTGCTGGATCGCTCAGCCGGTGCCGTGGTGCATCGCAAGCCTGCAGGCAAGGATGCCAAGGACGGTGGCAAGCGTCGCGCCCCCGGTACGGAAGCTCGTCGCTTCGACCTGGACGAGTCAACCGGTCGCATGCTCATTAATGATCCTGAAGACGAAGGCAGTGCAGGTCCGGCGGGCAATGGTGCTTCAGCCGACCTGTTTGGCCCCTCTGGCGCGTATGTCGAGCGCGAGACGGGCACGGATGGCTTCACTCACTCAGGCCGCGGTGGGGCCGTCAAGTTCAACAAGAACAACAAGCGTGTCCGTGCCGAGGAGAGGGAGGCGGACTTGGAGGCCGAGGAAGCCATTGCTGCCGCCGAGGCTGCTAGGGCGGATGTGAGTGGTACGTCATCCGCTGCGGCGAAGCGACCGAAGAAGGCTCAGCCCGAGCGCATCGGCGCTTCGTTTGCTGCAAAGAAGAAAGGAGCAAAGGGAGATGTCAAGAAGGCGGGTGGGCCAGATCCGTATGCCTACGTCCCCTTGAGTGCTGTAGGAGGCAAGAAGGGCTCGAAGCAGGAAAGGAATGTGCAGATTACGGGCAAGAAGCGGAGGTGACGCTGTTGACGTGCCATTGAATCCAGGATTTTTTTTTTTGATGACCAAGGAGCAACGCGACCTTGGCTGCCTGCTTGGCTGCTTAGTACTCAGCGAAGGAGTAGGAGGCATCACTTGGAGTGACGAGGCGGAGACAAGGGTCTCGCGAGAAGCCTTGCTGCGCAGCTCATTCGTCGCGGAGCTATGCTGAGCGCACTGAGCAGGACCCCTTGTGAGACTGTCGGTCATCGAATATTGACGTTTGTCCTTGTTCTCCCTAAGCTTGCGCACTCGATGGCCATGACTGCTACCTGGATGCCAAGCAGTCACTCTATCCGTCTCCACTTGTCGACGTTGACTGGACGCGCCTTGTGTCGGCCAATTTACATCTCAGATCCGCAACCACACCTACACTTGGTCGTCGTCGCCATCATCCGCTGCGCCACCCTTTAAAGGGTTCCGTTGCCGCTGCCCTCATGGACAGGCCATCAGCAGCCGGCCTGGTAGCGACGGCAATTGCAACAGCGCAGCGCAGCCATCCAACACCCCCAGTTGCCGTCCCTGATGGATCCGGTACAGGTCGCTCCTTGCCACCTTACCTCCTCATCATCGCCTCATTATGCAGCCTCTTTGCCACTCTTCTCTCCCTGACCTCCATCTACTCTCATCTCAAGAACTATCGCAAGCCACATCTACAACGCTTCGTCGTCCGCCTCATCCTCATTGTGCCCATCTACTCGACGTCATCGGCCATCGGCCTCTTCTCCCTCCCAGCGGCCTTCCTCATCGATCTCATTCGCGACCTGTATGAAGCATTCGCCATTTACTGCTTTTTTGAGCTTTTGGTCGCCTACTTGGGTGGAGAGAGGAGTGTGCTGGTTCTCATGATTGGGAGGAGGCCCATTCAGCATCCTTGGCCTTTTCGCATCTTCTTAAGGGAGATGGATATGAGTGACCCTTATACATTCTTGGCCATCAAGAGGGGCATCTTGCAATACGTACAGATCAAACCCATTTTGGCCGCATCTACAGTCATTCTCAAGACTTTTGGGAGATACGAGGAGGGAGAGCTTTCTGCCGGCAACGGCTACACCTATGTCTCGACAGTCTACAGTGAGCGAGGAAGGCGCAAACGAGAGCTGCATACACTCAAGCTAATTACTGTCTCACGCTCACGAATGTCCTGATACGTACAGACATTTCAATCTTCCTCTCTCTCTACTGCCTCGCCATCTTTTGGCAAGCCCTCTCCCAAGAACTCGAGCCCTTCAGGCCAACGGCAAAGTTCCTCACAGTCAAAGGAGTAGTCTTCGCTACCTTCTGGCAAGGTTGGGCCATCAGCGTTCTCGTTGCTGCGGGCCTCGTCAAGCACATCGGACCAATCACAGACCCTTCGTTCCTGGGCCTAGGCCTGCAAGATTTCCTCTTGTGTCTCGAGATGCCACTCTTTGCCTTGGGCCACATGTACGCCTTCTCCCCTGCCGATTACGTCGATTCGTGGGCTACGCATCAGGCGAGGCTGCCCATTATCTACGCTCTGCGTGATAGCTTAGGTGGGCGAGATGTTCTGGAGGACTCATTGACGACGATTCGTGGCACAGGATATGGTTACCAGACATTCGAGCCCAGCCAAGGCGCTGTCCACCAAGGTCTGGCCAGGTCACGTCGCCTCCACGCCGGATTGCGATACACGGCAGGAGGTAAGGGCAAGTACTTCTTACCAACTCGCTCCGGCCCTCACACCAATGGCCCTTGGGCTGCAGAGGGCACAAGGCTCCAGGGCCCCTTAGCCGCCATGCGACGCTGGATGGAGGACAGAAGGATGCGAGAGGGTGGCTTTGCGCCAATGACAGAGGATGAGGAGGCTGGTGTGCTCCACGAGAACCCAGACGATGCAGAGCATGAAGGTGACGAGGATGAGCAGACTCGCCGTGAAAAGGCGGAAGCCGCCGCGCGTAGAATGGGCGCTGGCATTGAGAATGGTCTGCGCTTCTTTACTGCTAGTGCCGAGGGTGCACAAAGCGGTACGGGCAGCGGAGGTGTGGGTGGTGACGGTGGCGACAGCGTCTCGCTGGGCTTCCATACACCTACGTCGCAGGGTAGCGAGCAGAACCTCTATGCCAAAGCTCGCAGCCTGGAGCATGGCGACTACGCCTTCCCCACCATTGCCTGCGGGCCAGAGGAGCAGAGGAAGCGGCAGCACAGGGAGGAGGAAGAGTGGCTCCTCGGTGGCTCTACGCGCGGAAGCAAGGGTAAAGGCAGGGGAAAGAGTACGGGAACCAAGGAGAGGAGAAAGAGGGTTGAAGGATGGCTCGAGAGGGCGAGGGGATTGATGGGGGAGAGCAACGAAAGCGGAGAGGAAGCGGCAGACCGAGACGATGATATCATCGAAGTCAAGGGCAAGAAGCGCCCCTCTGCCCTCAAGAAGGACCGCGAAGAGGATGCAGAGGAGCGACAAAGAAGACCCAAGATAGCCAAAAAGTCAAACAAGAGCGACAGCAGCAGCAGCAGCAGCAGAAAGAAGAAGGAGGAGGAAGAAGGAGGCGATGACAGAAAAGGCGGCGGTGAAGGTCAAGTGGCCATCTCGTCCAAGACTCAGCACGCCAAGAGCGGTGACTCGTCCAAGGCCAATCACGCAAAGAGTGTCTGGGGAGCTTGGGGTGAGAGCTTCTCCAAGTCTAAAGGAAGCAAAATCGCGTCGGATCATGCTCAAGAGCAGTCCCGTCGACCGTCAAACGCAGCAGACGAGAGTCACGACACCAACGCAGACGAGTCACTTGCCTCGACGCAGCCTGGTGACGACGACCACATCGATGAAGAGGAAGACCACGGGGCTGTCGACCTCATCATCTCGGACCCGCGAGCAGAGGAGCGCAAGAGGGATACGGATCGACGGCGAGGCGATCCTGCGCTGCGAGCACGAGGTTACGGGTCCGGCGCAGGGGACAAGGTCTTCAGGAGAATATGGACGGGAGATGACAATGATCGAGGCGGAGCGACCGGGCCAAAGGGCAGCGCTGCTCCGAGCGACAAGGGCGCTGGAACAAATTCAAGAAGCAAGCAGGTCCAAACACCCCACGCATCTCGCACCTCTTCCTCGTCATCTGCCCAGCTCAAAGCAGCTGCGCCTCCTCCCACACACAAGGCAGGCGTGGATGCTATGGAAGGGCAGCTCTCCACTGAAATAGAAGCGCCAGGCGAGTCTTCATCGTCGTCGTCTTCGAAGGGTAGCTCCAGCGACGGAGCGAAGACAGAGCTGGAAGCCCATCCGGACAAGGCCCCAAGCCCCCACGGCAAGCACTCCAGCGCGACGACGATATCGACCCCAGCTTCGTCCGCAGCAAATGCGGCAACGGCGAGCCATGCAAGTCACATGCCCGTGTATGAACGGCATGACTGGGCGTGGCATGCTGCTGGACAAGGAGGGGGTCAGGATCAAGAAAATCCCTGGGCTTGAGAAGGGGAGCAAGTGGCAGGTGCCTCTGACGCTGCAGGGCCCTTGCGCCTGTTTGTGCTCTCGTTTGTTGTGAAATAGTACAAGAGCTCGCACTCACGCCTAACGTCCCTATCGTCATTGGCTCACAACGGTCTACGAAGTGACACAGGAGTTCGATGATTGTCAATGATTGTTAGAATGGCATGCGATGATGGGAATATTCCGATTCGCCGCTTTCGCCGCACTACTGATCCTCACTCCGAGTCAGACAGCTCAAAGGGCCTTTCCCTGTCACCCTTTCCCCTGACCTGGCTCCCACTTGGCCAGCTCCCAGCCCTGAGCTCCTGCGCCTCGGCAGCTGCGGCTGCAAGTCCTCCCATTCTCCCACCATCCGAACTCGTGCTGGCCTGTTGAGCACGATGCTGCTGACGAGATTGGATGTTCTGGCTATGCAGTGGGACCCAGCGCGAGGCGGGTGGCGAGGTGAGATGGTCTCGTTCAGCCCGGCGCGCCTGCGAGGAAAAGCTCGAGATCAATCTTGCCCTGTAGGGAGTCTCTTCGTGTTGCGGTGGGCGCTCGTCATCTTCGTCACTGTCTTGAGCGTCGTGGCTGTCGGAGATATCGACGTGGAGGTCTTCTGGCGATGCGGCTGCGATCTCTCGAGAAGGATTGCTGCCATTGGTCGTACTCTCGGCCCTCCCTCCGTTTCGAGCGCCAGGATTGCCCTGCGGTGCAGCAAGCAGAGTCCCGGTCCGACGATCAAACTGGAGTTCTCGTCTCTGCGATGACGACAAGGACGATGACGAGGATGGCCCCGTGGAGAAAGTAGACATTGGCCCCGCACCCGTCGCCGACGCCAGCGCAACTCCTCCTGATCCGGTTCCCGCTCCGGCAGCCCCACTGATACTCCCCGCACTACTCATTCTCTTCCTCCGCCTTCTCCCACCACCCATACTCGCTCCAGGTCTGCGGGGAGAAGAGCTGCTGGTGCCGCCTTTGGAGGGCGAATGAGAGGCTGCAGCGGCCAGCGCGGCTTGGAAGGCCTGGCCGTCTGTCATCTCAATGGAGGAGGAACGGGAGCGTGGATCAGGGTCGAAGGATGAAGCTTGCGCGTGAGTACGGAAATTGCTGGCTGATGAGAGAGGTCTCCACGATGAAGTGGCTGGCAGGCGTGACGTGGGCAGATAGGGTGGAGAGCCCCCCTCTGAGGCCGGCGTGACGCCTCGAGCTGACGCCACGCTTCTGCTGCCCTGGGTCGTCCTCTTTGAGCCAGAGGCCCTCTGCTTTCCTTCTCGTCGATGAGCGTTTCTAAAACTCTCGTTGTTTCCCCCGTAGCCCTCTTCCTCATCTTCTGTATCGCTTGCTGAGGGCCTTCGCCTTCGGCGACGAGAGGATTCAGCAAAGGAGCTATCGGCTCTCCCCGTAGGGAAGCTGTTGTAGGCGCTCATGTCCCACTGGATGGGGGCAGCGTCCATTGTCTCTCCGGACGAGCGACGTCGCTGCAGCTCGGGACGATGGCGCGCCTCGGTGATTCCGAAGGAAGAGGCTGTGGTGGTTTCACGTGGCGCTACGATCGTCATATGCCTCGGAGCTGCTCTGCTACTCCCTGAAGGCAAAGCGGAGGAAGCCGCAGCGGGTGAGCGCGTCGACGCGTACGTCGAAGTTGAGGGAAAGCTGCTCATGGCAGCAGAGGTCATGCCCTCAGCGTTCCTGCGTAATTCTGCAGCATTATCAGGCGAAGGCATGCTAGAGGACAAGCCGCGCGACGTCGGGGACGGACGGCTGCCGCCCGCTCCACTGTTTCTTGGCTGTCGGACTTGCTGCGGGGAGATCGACCGCGAAAGCGAGTCACGAGGCCGCTCACTTTGTGTCTGCAGGTCTCCGGTCGTCGTCGCCGCCGTGATCGCGGGCCCTGCGCCACGCCTCCTCGTCTTCCTTCTCGTCTGTATCTCCATGGAGGGGCCGGACTCAGACCATAGGTCTTCAACATCCCTCTGCGACATGGCCGAGTACCTGCGTTGTGTACGCTGAGATACCGCACTGCGAGTGACAGCTGCAGCGATCGTCGTCGTAGTAGGCGCGACACCTTGGGTCCTCCTCGGTCTCCTCTCCCTTGAATCGCTACCCACCGCCCCACCAGCACTGGTCATCGCACCCAAGGAGCTGACGGTGCTTCCCAGCCTGATTCCCCTGTCCGAGGGTCCAGCAAATCTCGAGCTGCCTGCCTCGCTCGGGGCGTGGTGCATCTGCCAAGGATCGTCGTGGTCTGCGTCGTCATCGGAGTCCCAAGCGACATCACACGCTTCGCTGATCATTCTGCTTGCCCAACGACTCGATGCCCGCTCCTCGTCGCGGATTTCCCCTAACAGATCCGCATAGATCTTGGGTAGCGGATAGTGGCATCGATTGGGAGGAGGAGAGCGAGAAGTGGAGCGTCCTCGTCTCTTGCCACGTTGCTTCGACTTCTCGCATTCAGCCTTCGCTGCATCGCTCCATGGACTCGTGCCGGTTGAGCGCAGCTTTGCCGCCCGACGGAGGAAGCCGTCGACATCTAGAATTTGGTTTCGTCGTTGCTCCAACGCGGCGGTCGAGAGTGTAGAGTAAGACATGGCGCCGCTCTCAGGGATGTCGGCATCGCCGCGCGAGGGCCTCGCTCGCGGCCAGGGGGTGAGGACCTTCCATCCTCCGATGTCGCGCTTGGGGAGAGGAATGTTGGCTGCGGCTGCCCATCGCCAGGTGTTGAGGTTGATCGGGTGTGGCCGGCCTGTGACGATGCTGGTAATGTAAGTTGCTGGAGGGGCGGATGTGAGCGCCGAGGCTGAGCTTGAGGCAGCGGCCGCACTGTTCATCTCTCTTGCCGTGGGCAGCGAGGCGTCGTCGTCTTCTTGCGATGTCCTCGTCATGTCAATGTACATTGCATCATTGCTGCCATGGTCATGGGGTTCCTGCAGAGGCGAATGTGGCTGCTGCTGCGGCGCCGACGATGACTCCTTCTTGACCACGGCCTGTGGCGGCAACTCGTCGTTGAGTTTCGCAGGGGCATGCCATTCCATCGAGACGAACATGACGTCCTCGTCTTCACTCTCTTCATCGTCGCCGTGACCATTCGCTGGGCCGGCGCGGGCGCCCATCACAGAGGATATGCTTGTGGATGCGATGACGTTGGCCTGTCCTGCAGTCGCCGATCGGTCTGCAATGGCGTGTCGGAATGTCGAAGCTGATGAGCTGCCGCTGTTGCCTTGATGTTCCAGAGGATTGACCGGCGAGTCAAACTTTGGGACTGGCGTCAGAGGGGGTAGCATGGCAGCGGTGTCTCCTGGCGTCGAGGTAGCGGTTGGCATGTCTATCGGCCTCGGAACCACTACTGCCGAGGTCTAAAAGTGATGCGGGTTCATGAGGCAGCGCGAAAAAAATGGTGTTGACGAGCACAAGGCCTGGCTGTCGTGTGATTGGATTGGTGGTAGCGAGCTCGGGTTGGCTGGTGGTAGCGAGCTCGATAAGGGCGACTTTATGCATGCGTGTGCCCCGCCGCGCCACGCTGCTGCCGTCGTTAGCGTCTTGTGAGACTTGCTGATGCTAATTTCGCTGACTAGTCTTGAACAAGCGCAGATGCTTTGAGCAGTACTGAGGCAGGCCTTGAGATGAAGTGTTGGAAAGGAAGCTAAGATGCACGGCGCGCCGGTCCGAGAAGGCGGCCAGGTGTTGGGCAAGCGAATCCAGTTGCGATGTTAAATTTTTGCCGATGGTAATGAACGTGGGTGAAGATGACAGGAGGCGAGGCAGGAGGTTGACTGCTGAGTCTTGTCAGGAGATTGGGCCCTCTCCGCCATTGATTGCTCCGTCATTGTCTTCGTCGTCTTTCGTCGCCCCTCGACTGGACCTAACTGGGACGCTCAGATCGGCAGCTCAAATCAAATGCTTCGAAGGGCGACCAGGTCGACACGGAAAGGGAGCACGAGCGACGCGACGGCGCCCACGCACGCCTAGCACAGCACACAGTGGAGGAGGACCGCAAGGTCAGCAGGCACCTTCTCACCTTGTCCTGCTGAAGGCGAGACATATCAAGGAGTAAAATGAGCAGCGTCGCGACCAGCATTGTAATGCTCTTGGTAAAGAGCCCGCTGCTTCAGCTTGTGGGTTGTCATTGCGATGCTCGATGCGAATGTTGGCTGGTCTGGGCGTCATGCCCTTGTGGCTGCGTCGGCGGGGCGGCAAGGCGGGCGAGTCGGGCAAGGCGGCAAGGCGGCAAGCTGGAGGTGACGGAGAGGCGGCGACGAGAGCGAGATTGAGCGGAGCGAGCAGCCAGAGGTCGAGCATTGTCGCGTTGGACAATGAGCCGCCCGAGAGCAATCCAATCGATTAGAGCCAAAGCATCTCTCCGTTGGTTCTTGACGAGCTCCTTTCATCTGCTGCTCCTCCTGCTGCTCCTCCTGCTACTACCTTGAGAAGCCAGTCAAGGTCTCGGCCCTGCTGCTGCTCGCAGCTTCGTTCCCCACCCGCCCACCAACGGCCGACTCGTAGTCATTGGCCACTCGCCGCCGCCGACATGTCAAGCCCTTCGGATGATCCACCTGCTCCTCCTCCACCATCAAAGACCTCAGCAGCAGCATCTTCCTCCTCCGCCTCGTCGTCGTCATCTCTGTACCATTCGTTAGGCAGGCATGGCGCTTCCTATCAATCGCCGCACTCTCAAGCTGATGGCGGCTCGACGGCGGCCCTCAGCTCAGCGTCTGCCTTTCGCTTTGGACGCGGGCCCATCGACAATGGCGGTGATGATGACGACGACGACGTGCCTCTCGGAGCTGGCCTTGGTGGGCCTTTGCCACGCCGCAACCACACTATCTCATCTGGTACCACAAGGGCAAAAGCCAAGAAGCTACCTCAGCACTTTGAGCAGCCAGTCTCCCCCGGCCAAGTACTCGACGGACCTTCGCAGGCTAATAGCGCTCCCATGTCTGCCTTTCGACGTCACAACCCGGCCAGCCCAAGTCGTAACAGCTTGAGAGAGATTGCAGGGCTGGAGGATGAACACGACGAGTGGGAGAAGGACATTCAGGATGAGGTGAGCACCCCCAACTGTCTAACACCACCAAGGACAGACTGACCACCACCACCTCCTCCTTCCCTTCTGCTCTCGCTCAGCATCACCACTCTGCCGTTGAGCTCCTGGCCAATCTCCCAGAATCATCATCCACGTCGTCGATCCGTCGACATCAATCCCTCAACCACCACATCGGCAGGTCCATGGCCAGTCGCCTCTCTGGGAGAGCCAAAGAGGTTCACACCATTGGCCCTTCCTCTCCTGCTCCATCAATCACCTCACAGCTGCAGAGTGCTTTTGATACCAACAGCCCTTCTAACTCGGCCAGGCACAGTCCTACTAAGAGCTTCTCCAATGGACCGTGGAGCGATGAGCGCGACCCTGCAGCATCCCCCTCACGCTTCGCCCGCCACTTTGCCTCAAATAACAGTCTCAACAACGCCTTTGCTGGTTCGTCGAGTCCGCCTGTCGCTCGCGGCGCTTCTCCGAACGACCAAATGCAAGGCAATCTCATGGACGTCCATGCTGCCCTGCAGAAGCTTGACCTTGGAGGGCCGATCAGTGAGGATGCGACTTCTACGTCGACAGTCTCTCCTTCCTTCAACAAGAAGCTGCCCTCGCTCATCACCAACCCTGACGTCTTAGCCGCATCCTCCACCTCGCCACACCACCGCAGCGACAGCATTGAAGGCGGCCCCATCAGCGCTGCACCAATCCTCGGGCAAAGCCGCTCGAGGCAGTCGGCGTTGTCAGGTGGGCGAGCTCTCGGTCACTCTCGAGTCCAGAGCACAGATGGCGTCCTCTACAGCAACAGGCCCGGATTCCAGGGGCCAGATGGCGGCCATATCGGTCTCGTCAGCCCGCCGCCTCCCAGCCTTGCAGGCATCTTTGGACCCCACACCGCTGCGCCCCTCTCTCACTGGGCAGCAAAAGAGCGGCTGGCGGGTGTACGTGGAGGGTCAACGCCAGCTGAACAGCAACGTCTTCAGCAACAGCAACAGTATTACCAGCAGCAGCAGCAACAACAACATAACCAAGCTCAGCAGCAAGCTCAGTGGGGAAGTGGCGGTCAGCATCAGCGCAGCGAGACTGTGCCCTCGCAGTGGGGCATGGGCCTATCGCCCGTGACGGAGAGAGACCAAGTGACAATGGCCTTGAGTCAGGCTCTGGCTGAGCAGCAACAGAGGACGGCAGTGCTCGAGGCTGCCTTGCGTGCGCGTGGAGGCATCATGACCAGCCCTCCTCCTCCTCAGCAACAGCAGACCCAATCTCCCTACACCCAGTCCTACTCAAATACGCCGCTCCCACCTCCGCCGACTCAGCAGCAGCAAGTAAACCCGCAATGGCAATCCGGCAGCCCTGCCCCTCCAGCTACCGCTGCTCCCCCCTCTTCGCAACAAGCACCGCCGGCACCACCCTCGCTCGAACACCTTGCAGGCATCGCCCACCCTTTGAACCCGATGCACTTTGAGCTCTCTCCTCCCAGTACCGCGCGCTTCCTAGTCATCAAATCCTTCACAGAAGAAGACGTGCACCGCTCCATCCGACACGGCATCTGGGCATCTACGGACAAGGGCAATCAACGTTTGAATCGCGTCTATTCCGACTGTCAACGGGACGCGGACCAGCGCGGCGAGCCGGCGACAGTCTATCTGTTCTTCTCCATCAATGGTTCTGGTCACTTTTGCGGGCTAGCTCGTATGACCAGCGCCGTAGACTTTGATGCTCACTCGGATGTGTGGGCCCAAGAGGGCAAATGGAAAGGGACGTTCAAGGTGGAGCACATCTTTGTCAAGGATGTGCCTAACAGGGAGTTGAGACATATCAAGTTGCCCAACAGTCCGGAGAGGAAGAATGTGACGCAGAGTCGAGACACGCAGGAGTTGGATCGAGAGGGAGGTGTGGAGCTGCTGAGGATCGTTCACGGGTTCCCGGCGAGAACAAGTCTTTTGGGGGCCATGGGCGTCGCGGGGGCCGGGGCCCATCGGCAAGGGCAGCAAGGGCTCGGCCTTGCTCCCCACGGTGCGTCCGCAACGACTATTGGCCCTCTTCCTCCTCCTCCGCCTCCTCCGGGGCACGCAGCCTCTGCTACTCCTGCGTACCAATTCCCCTCAGAGCGCACCGACGGATCCGAGGGTAGGTCGCTTCCCCCCGTACCGCCACCACCCTCCTTGCCTCTCCACCTCGGCTTTCCGAATGCCCCTTCCCCTCACCTGGCACCCCCGTATTTGCAGCCTCATCAGCAGAGGCTCGCAACTCCGCCTCTCGGCGGTGGGTCGCCCATGTTGCCACCGATCCACCTGGGCTTCGGTGGACAGCACACGCCCACAGGTAAGCCGACTCCTTCACATCAGCAGCAGGGCCACGGTGGTCGGCTTGCTGGATCGAGGAGCCCGATGATGGGCTGATCCTGTTGCCCTTGAGGTTGCTTAATCACAGCTCTCCGGCTACGACACTTCTCTAGTCGACCGTTGCTTCACATACGCGTTCCTCGTCCATCCTTGAGAACTTTGCGTCCTCGCTGTCATCGTCAAGTGTACAGCTGAGAGAAGCCAGAAGAGAAGGACCCTATGACCCGTCAGGCATTTTGCAGCCTTCTCAGCTCTTGTTCATATCGACTTTTTTCGTCCACTACCTTGTACCAATAGAAGCGATAGACGTGTGGTGTTACCATTTCGTGAGATCGAGCAGGAGACGGTGGTGAGGTGTTGCCCCGCGCCACGCGAGGCACAGATCGGCCCGCGGCGCTCAGGCCACGTCTCGAGGGTGCGGGCGGACCGACGTCGTTGGTTGCCTCTTTGACTTGTCCGTATCATCTTCAGACATCGCTGCGACGCACGATCAAGATGTTGAGCCCACCAACGTCAAGATCAAGAAGAGGGACAGTATCATCTTTGAAATGGTGGGGTCTCTGCCTCATCTCGGCCCTTCTATTCTTGACTCAATCTACCCAAGCGGTGAGCTCGCTTGACTCCTGCCCTCTCTTCTGTTCCTGCTCAGAGCTGACTCTGCTTCCCTTCGCCCACTCCTGGCGCTGCGACAACAGCTCTACTACTATGCGTCTGCTGGCGATGTCAAATGCTTCATTGAAGAGCTGCCAACGGACACAGTCGTCGTAGGCCACTACATGGCGGAAACGTGGCATCCTCAACAATCCAAGTTCCTCATCGAGGACGATGTTCACCTGCGCGTCGTCGTCCTCGAGAAGTCCTCTGGTCAGTCCATCGTATCCACAATGGCTCCCTCTGAGGGCAAATTTGCCTTTACTAGCCACACAGCAGGGGACCACGAGATCTGTCTTACCCCGATTCCTGCTCCGGGTCATGCCAGTCATGCTGAGGGAAGGCAGGCGCAGATTCGCGTCCATCTGGATGTGGTCATTGGCGAGAGCAAGCCGGATACGAGTCATGTTGATCGCTCACACATCACAGACTTGGCGTCAAGGGTCAATGGGCTGAATGACCGTCTCAAGGACATCAGGAAGGAGCAGCAGTACCAACGCGAGAGAGAGGCTGCCTTTAGGGATGAGAGCGAGAGGACCAATGCGAGGGCGATTGTGTATAGCGCGGTGCAGGGTGTTGTACTAGTTGCGGCTTGCGTTTGGCAACTGAGGACGCTGAGGGTGAGTGCAGCGACAGGGAGGATGATACAATCGTTGATCGCTGACGCTCCAATGTCCGTCCCTCCTCTCTCCTTGGACGCTGTCGCAGGGCTTCTTCTCGGAGAAGAAGTTCTCATGATGTCGACGGCGATGACGCTGCCGACATCATTTCTGCAATGCCATGATAATGCCGTCGTCCTCCCGCACCCCGCATCCTTGCTTTTGTATGCTACCCTCTGCGTGAAGTAGCTGCTGTTGCTCTCGTTGTTTCCCACTGTCGGAACGGCGGTCTCTGCTCGTTCTCCACGCGGCAGTCCAGCTCATCGACGAGTTGGGCGTCTGTGCGCCAATTGAGCTTCCCGCCCTGGCTCAGGGCTCTGGCTTCCACTTGCTTTCCTTGCTCCTTCCTTTCCTCCTCCCCATCATCACGCTAGCCATGTACTCGCCACCGAAACAGACGTCGCGTTCTCCACCTCCTCTCGTCCATCCTGTACCTCATCACCCACCAAGGCATATCCCTGACCCACCTGTTACACCTCAGCCTGGTTACGGTGCAGCTCAGGCAACGTCTTCGGCTGAGCAGCATCATTCTGCCGGGTCTGCTGCCAGATCCAGGGCTGCTGGTAGCGGAGGCGGCGCTGGAGGTAGTGGTAGGCTAGGTGCTGTACCTGTTCAGCAACAGCAGCAGCAGTCAGCCCCCTACGTTCGTTACTCGAGCCCGCCGATTCAGCAACAGCAGCAGCAGCCCCTTCACCAACAGCAGTACGATCAAGGTTACCCAGCAGCTAGCTTCGGCTCAGCAATGGATGGTGGCCACTACAGTTCAAGCTATGGGCAAGGAGCTGGTCCATCGTCGAATGGCTTTTACAGTGGGCCTGGAGCACCGGGAGGAGGCAGAGGACCCGGAGGACCTGGTGGAGGGCAAGGCATCCCGGGGCCCTTTGGCAACTTCTTGTCCAATGATCCCAATGTGAACATGACGGCGCAAATGGGCATGCACATGGCGTCTGTGGGAGGCGAGTATGTACAGAAGAATGTGAGTTGATCAAGCCAGTGCCGCCGTCGCAACGCCGCGACGAGGGTAACTGACTATATGCCCCCATCTCTCGCTGCCCTCACAGCTCGGAGGCTACCTTCCCACCATGTCCAATCTCAAACCCTACTACGACGTCTCGGGAAGCTATGTGGTTAGCAAGATCAGGGTCATTCTCTTCCCTTGGAGACATAGACCGTGGAGTAGGGCGCATCATCGCGCTTTCATGGCTGGAGCTAATGGAGGGGACAGTAATGGCGCAGGAGATTGGCCCGGTCAAAGTGGGGTAGGCAGTACGCAGAGTAGTGGTGGAAAGAGGGCAGGAGCATCGTTAAGAGGCTATGCGGCGCCGAGGGACGACGTTATGGCTGTGGATCATTATTTGCCAGGTGAGTGCCAGCAGGACGCCCCTCCGACCGGCCCTTCCCCTTTCCCCCCTTTGATACCCTCCCGTATGCTGATACCCTGCCTGTCTTCTCCTCTCGCCCGCAGTCATGTCCTTTGTGACTTACGTCCTCCTCATAGCCGTCACACTTGGACTCAGCCACAAATTCAGGCCCGAGATCCTAGGCTTGACAGCCTCCCGGGCTCTTGTCGTCGTAGTGTTGGAGCTCATGGTAGTCCGCCTAGGTCTCTACCTCCTCAATGTTCCTTCGGACCACTACGGCATCCTAGATCTGGCGGCTTACTCGGGCTATAAGTTCGTCCCTGCTTGCGTCACGCTGGGAACTACGGTCTTGGCCCCACTCACTGGCGGCAGCGGCTCAGCTACGAATGCAGGCAGTACATCAGGCGGAAGCGGCCTCTCGAGCCTCATTTGGTGGCTCACCTTCCTCTACACCCATGCGGCTCTCGCATTCTTCCTCCTTCGATCACTCCGTCACATCATCCTGCCAGATGCGGCCTCACTCCCCCCTGGCCTGGCGAACGCGGGGGCAGCAGGATCAGGTGTGGCGACGTTGGGGCATGCGCAGAGGGCCAGGAGGGTGCAATTGTTGTTCGTCATCGCTGTTCTACAGTTCGTGCTGGGAGCAGGCCTTTGCTTCAGAGTTGCGGGATAAGAGGCAGACAGAAGGAGGGACACGAGAGAATATGGAGAAGGGCCGGATGTGTAGAGCACACGAGACGCTTGAAGACGCATCAAATGACATTCATGCGATCACACGAGGCCGTAAAGATGCTGATTGGGTGGTATTGTATGCGAGTGAGACCAAATGAGGATGCTCAGCGTCCAAACAATTGACGACGCATCTCCTCTGCCTCCTTTCTCCCGCGCTCATCGCCATCATCTTCGACCAAACCATCAAGTACCCTTTGCTCCATCTCCTCCACGCTCAGCCTCTCGCTATCTGTCCCCTCCGGCGACTCAAGAGAAGGGGGCGGTACGCGTTGCCAAATGCTCCAGCTCTGCCTGAGCTCGGCGTGCAGGGCCATCGTCGCCTCATAGTCATCCTCGTCCTCATCGAAGCCGTCTTCGTGCAGCGCTAGCCAAGCGCGCACATGAGCCCCGAGTGCGCGAGGAAGCCAGCGCGATAGGCCTGGTGGGGTCAGGGGAAGCGATGATGAGGTGATGGTGAGAAGAGGGCCATCATGGACCTCCTCGCTGCTCGCGAGATCTTTCAAGCATCCCAGCACCAACACTCCCGAAGCTCGCAACGCGTGCCTTGCCCTCTCCCTCCTTCTCACCATCCTCTGCCTTGCCCTCTCCCTACTTGCCATCGTAGGCGCAGCCCCTTCTCCCTCAGGCAGCTCTAGCCCATTGACACTACCGAGCAGCACCTGCAGCACCACATCCACGTAGCGCGCCACATAAGGATGGCCGAGGTCTTCCAGCAGCAGGGTGAGATGATGGAACGTTGAGCTGAGCAGGTCCAGAGGGGTGTCGGAGGAGGTGCTGCCGGGCGAATCTACGTCCACGTCCAGCGCCGTAAGGCTGGCAGGGGCCATACTCCACACGCGGAGCACTCCCTCCTGAATGAGACGCATCAGCTCTTCCTTTACCTCCTGTCTTGCCTCCCCTTCCTCTCCGACGACTGCGAGGATCCGCAAGCCCTGCAGCGCCATATCCAGAAGCTCCACTCCTACTCCGCCAGCGGAGGAAAGGTAAGTCAAATCACTTCCTAGCACGTCCCGTATGTGCGGCACCAGATTGGCTGCCTGGAGGAGTCGACGGGCGTGAGACGAAGAGAGCAGGTACTTGACGATCAGTGTTGCGCCGCGCAATCGCCAGGGTGGGGAGGGGTCTTCTGCCAGTGTGAGGAGGGGCGGGAGGAGTAGAGGGTAGAGTGATGGCCAGGGCGCAGGACCATGTGATGATGAGGAGGCGTGTATCACAGTCGCTGGGGCTCGTTGATCCCTCCGCTCTTCCCAAGCAATTTGCAACCTCTGCAGCCCTTCCAGGCAGGCTTGAAGTGTCAGGTGCACAGCGACGCCCTTGCTTCTCGCCAGAACGTCGTTCCCGTTCGAGCCCTGGCTTCCCTTTTGACCTCCTTTCCAAGCCACATCCTCCTCGATCCCAGTAGTCCTGCGTCCTGCACCCGCCTTCATCTCCATCCCGACCCTCTGCCCTCGAAGTCTGCCTGTGTTCTCATCGACGGGTCCACCGCCGCCCACAGAGAGAAAGAGCGGACGAATGTAGCTTGAGAGTACGGAATGGAGGATGTCAATGGAGTGCGAGAGTGATGCAGGCGAAGTAGGGAGGAGACGTGTAAGGGTGCGGCGCGAGACGGTGCTGCTTGAGAGGGTGGACCACGGTGTGAAGGGGTCATTAAAGCGGGAGATGGTGATGAGGACGCGACCGAGCGTTTGGGTAGCTGGCGAGGTCGTTGCCGTTGGAGTGAAGGATGATGGCCCACGTGAGGTGCTGGCAGTGGCTTTCTGCTGCCTCCTACGTCCCAGTCTCACACCCATCAATCCCAACTCTCGGCCCAGCCTTCTCAGCAGCTGCGGGACCTCTTCATTGCGCCATCTTTGCCCTTGCTCTTGCTCCTCACTCGTCGACGGTGCTGCGGATTTGAGTCCATCCGGATCGTCCAAACGAACGGCGAGGGTGTGTGGCGGCTCAAGGAGGTCGCACAGATCGGAAATGCGTTGCTCCTCTTTAAGAGCTTGTTCTCTGCGGAGAGGGATGACGAGAAACGAGGTCAGCACTCATGGCGAAATGCGGTCTTGAATGAGGGGCATCGCGGCAACACACCTACCGTGTCTCTCCCTGTGTCTGCCCCTTTTCCTCCTCAATGACCTCGTCCGCCATCTGCTCAAGCAATTCCAGGTCCCAGTTCGCTCCCACACCCGTCTTGCTCATCTCTATCCCTTGCAACTCATCTGCCAGCCCCTTCAACAAGTCTTCATCAAGTCGTCCCAGTTCAACACCCAAGCGCTCTCGAGTCAAGCTCTCCCTCAGACCTCTACATCTCTCTGCCTCCATAGGTCCCTCTGGCTCATCACTGACCGCAGCTGCAAGGCACTCGTCCACATCGCGGAGTACCTTTGCCAGTGCCTGGCGCGGATCCGGGGAGCGCAGCGTTGCAACGCCGCCCTGGTGTGCCCGTTTGCACAACGCCCAGCTTGCGTGAGGCGCGAATGCCAAGCCGCGGCGATAGGCGCAGCGGAGGGCTTCTTGTGGGTTGGAGGGCGGAGACGGGCTAGGTGATGAAAGGGTGCGTGACAAGGAGCAGAGCAAGTACGCTGAGCTGGCGGAGCTGAGAGGGGGCCCGCCGATGTGGGTGAGCGTCAGGTGGTGCGCGAGGAGGAGGTCGAGTAGGATGGCAATTACCAGCTGCGAGGGCGCTGGTGCTTGATTGTCCAAGGCCTGCGGTAGTGTCGTTGCTGGTGCGCCGCCCTCGGTACTCCACCTCGTCCTCACCAACTCGGCGATATACCCGTCCTCGTCCACGTATGCGTCCAAGTAGCCCTGCTCGTCAAAGGCCTCATCTTCGGCATGCTCTGCTCGTTGTGCATTGGCTTGGCGTGTGATCTCGTCGAGATCCAGCGGAGACAAAGCGGCCTTCATCTTCTTTCCCTTGCTCTTGCTATTACGCTCCTCCTTGCCTTCATCAACGGCAGTCAGCTTTTCGCGATCTAGGACATTCGACAGGAGCTCCTTGGCCTCGCCTCCGTCGTCGCCACGCTGCTGCGAGGTGGAAGCCTCCTCGCTACTGGTCCCGGTATTGTCGACGAAGAGCGTCGGCTGCAGATCGTCGAGACCGAGGAATTCGAGGTCTGCTGTCTGCTTCTCTAGATCGACGCGCACAACGGATCCCTGCCTATGGACATGTAGAGTGGGCTTGAGAGCGGCTGGAAAGTGAAGTCTGCTCGAGGAGGACGCAGAGAGAGAGAAGCCGATGCAAGTCAGTCGTCGACTCAAGACGAGGCTTCTTTGTAGTCGGTGCGGCTCACGGCAAGTAGTAGGGCGGACATCGTAGCGCAAAGATGGTATCATCGCACGCGGCTTCGGGCTGGATGTTGGCGGGCGTATCGGCGCAGTGAGCTTCTACATAGACGTGTGTCGAGCTTTGTCCTATGCGATATGGCGGAGTGAGACCGAGAGATGGCTCATCCGAGGCCATTCTGAGGATGAGAGGGCAAGTCAGAGAGTAGGACGAAGGAAACGGAGGAAAAGCTCATCATCCTTGAGCTCTCTCTCACTCCGCCAGTCCGTCAGTCCGCCTTTGGACGCGCTGCGAGGCTTCCTTTGCTTGCTTCTCGACGCAGCATTCATTCGTGACTACAATGTCACTCGCCTTGAGAGCAGCTGCTCCACTGCGCAGTTTGACACCTTGTCGAAGGCTTCACACAACGCACTCCCTCTTCAACAGCAGCAAAGCAAGCAGCGACCCATTCTCCATCCCGCCCGCACCGCCAACAGGACAAACCGTCGACCTTGCATTCGAGCACCATGCTCCTCCCCCTTCTTCCTCCTCCACCGCAAGCACATCATGCAAATCCTTGGTAATAGCACACGGTCTCTTTGGCTCGAAACAGAATTGGCGCTCCCTCTCCCGCTCCCTCGCCTCCAAGCTTAATCTCCCAGTCTACGCAGTCGACCTCCGTAATCACGGCACGAGCCCGCATATAGACTCCGGTATGAGCTACAAGGATATGGCTGCCGATCTGCTGCGTTTCATTCGATCTCAGAACCTCTCAAAGGTGGCACTCGTCGGCCATTCCATGGGTGGGAAAGCTGTCATGGCTACTGCTCTCGATGAGTCGCTCAAGGAGGGGGAGCTGGAGAGCATGGTCAGCGTGGATATGAGCCCTGCGAGGGGGGCACTGAGTGAGCAGTTTGAGAAGTACATGGAGGCGATGATTGATATCAACAAGAAGGGCTGCAACGATCGAAAGCACGCCGATGAGATGTTGAAAGAGACGGAGAGCGTGAGTAGGCGCGTCCCACCACGACATTGGGACCTCAAGCTGAACCCTACTTCTCGCATCAGGACCCCTCGATCCGCTCCTTCCTCCTTACCAACCTGCATCGCCCCTCCAACTCGCCCGACAAGCCATGGTCTTTCCGAGTGCCGGTCGAAACGATCAAGGAGCACCTGCCGCAGATTGGCGACTTCCCTTACGATGTCGACGGAGGAAGGAAGTGGGAGGGAAGGACCCTCTTTGTCAAGGGGTCAAAGAGCAAGTACCTCAATCGTAAGAACATACCCATTGCCAACGTGAGTTAACGAATGTATCAATAGATCAAGAAGGCGAGGACAAAGACTGACCTGCTTCTCCTCGTGGGCATGAACCAGACCTACTTCCCAAACGCGCAACACGTCACTCTCGATGCGGGGCATTGGGTTCAAGCAGAGAGGCCGAGGGAATTTACAGATGTGCTGATCAGATTCTTGCAGGGAGAACAGGTGGGCGGGGGCGAGATGGCATCACTGTAATCAACAAGACGTTCGTCAGTCATGGCTCGTTGGCGTGAGGTCATGATCCGTATCGCATGAGTCAAGGCGACGTCCGTGCACACTCAAATCCGTTTCCGCCGTGGCCGTACGCATCACCTATCGAACCTGAGAAGGGTGCGAGGCAGTGAGAAGCTAAGCAACTGTCCTTCCTTCCTCTAAATCTCTCTTTTCCTCGCTGTGTCTTGGCATCTCACTCCCCCCTTGACCATGTCCGACTCCTCTATAACCCCCTCGCTCCGCCTCTACACCACCCACACCTCCTCTGCCTCACACCGGCCGTGGATTGCCCTCGCCTACAAGCAGCTCCCCTACGAGGCAGTGTATGTGAACCTGTCTGCAAAGGAACAAAATAAGCCCGACTATCTCAGCCGGATCAATCCAAACGCTCGCGTACCCGCACTTGAGGTGGTCCAGGAAGGTGGGCAAAGCCTCTGGCTAAGGAACAGCTTAACTGCTCTCCTCTACCTCGACTCAGCCTTTCTGGAGTCTCCACGTCTTCTGCCTCCTGAGACCGATTGGCCCCGCCGAGCCCTTGTCCTGGACCTTGTCGGCATCATTCAGGCGGACACCCAGCCCGTCTGCAACTCCTCCGTCGCCCGACGAGCAGCCGAATGGGCGGTAGGCAAGACGCTCGAGGAAGGGGCTGACCATGAAGCTGTCACGCAGAAGGCCATTGAGTGGCGTGTGCATGCGACTGAGAGGGCTTTGATGGCAGTAGAGAGGACGATCAGCTCCAATGAAGTCCAGAAGGCGGGCAAGTACGCGGTAGGCGATGACTTTACAATGGCGGACGTTATCCTGGCAGCGCAGTTAGACATGGCTTTGGCGTGAGTACAGAAGGGGCAGCCGCGGTGGGCCTGGCAAGCTGAATCCATGCGTACTTCTCTATTGCACAGGTGCAAGATCAATCTCTCTGCCTATCCAACCATTGAGCGCATCTGGCGTAACATACAGGCTCACCCGGCTGTGATTGCAGGCGCTGCTGAGAAGCAGGGAGATCATCCTGATTACAAGGGGGTGGAAAAGTAGAGAAAGAGAAAGATGGCCATCTGAAGTGCCGTCGCAATTCGAAAGTGTTGTATTGGCCGAGGCATCGAGGGGCAGAGCTTGCAAGTCGGAGTGACGTTCGATCATCACCGTGACGCTATCTAAGAGCGTCGATCTGTTCATCTCTGCAGCAAGATTGTATTGATCTTTGCTCTCGCTGCAATAGGCGGCGACGACAATGAGCAGCAGGAGTCGCTGAGCTCGTAGGTATGCTGCCTGAAGAATGAGCCTCGTCGATGCAAAAGCCACTATGCTGCGGGGCCCCTGCTCGAGATTGAAGGCGAAGGGAAGCAGTCGCTGCCCCGCTGCCGCGACATCCGTCCGCCGGCCGGGCTGGACCCGTCATGGACATGGAGCCGGAAAAGTCGGACGACCTGGAGAGCTTTAGAAAGGTTAGTTGGCTTCTGTTCCTGGCGCTGTTGAGTTTGCCCATCTTGACTTCGCTCTTACTACCACTCACAAAAAGTCGCCTTGATCGCCAACCTCAGATCCGAGCGTAACTCTCAGCTTCAACTACGATCCTTGAACCCCCTCCGCCACCACCACTGCCACCACCAGTATGGCCTTGCGAGCCTCCCTCCCAAGGCGCAGCGCCCTAGACAGCCTCCTGACGAAGCGACCAACCGACGTCGTCATCACCACTGCGCTGCGTACACCCATCGCTCGAATGGGCAAGGTAGGTACGCCATGTACCATGCGCCTCGTGTCACTCTCATAGTGACTCCCACTCATCTCGCATCTCTCATCCACACAGGGCTTCAAGCATATGTACCCCGAAGAGCTCCTCTCCCACGTCTACACCCACACACGCAAGCGCCTGGAGTCACGCGGCATCGACCTCGAACTCATCGAAGATGTTTGCGCAGGAACGGTTCTCGCTGAGCTTGGAGGTGCCAAATCCGGTCGCTTGGCCGCCCTACACTCCGGTCTACCCATCAGTGCCGCCTACCGTACGACGAACAGGCAATGCGCTTCAGGCTTGCAGAGTATCAGTGATATAGGCGCAGCAATCCAGACGGGCAGCATCAAGTGCGGAGTAGCCGCCGGATTCGACTCGATGAGTCGCGATTGGGAGACAAAGGCCATTCCCGTCAAACTCTCGCCGGCGATGAAGGACAGCCCAGTGCAGGAGGCTCGCGATTGTTTGATGAGCATGGGTCTGACGAGTGAGAATGTTGCGGAGCGCTACGGGGTGGGAAGGGACAGGCAGGACGCTTTTGCGGCGCAAAGTCATCAGAGAGCTGGCAAAGCGCAGAAGGATGGGAGGTTGGGAGGCGAGATCGTACCTATTGAGGTCAGATGGGTCGAAGAGGATGGAAGCGAGACAAAGAGAGTGGTCGAGCATGATGAGGGCATCAGACATGGCACTACGGTCGAGAAATTGGTGGGTCAGCGTGCGACAGGAAATCAAGCATCGACTACTTGCTCACACTTCTGCTCGCACACCGGCAGTCGACCCTCAAACCCGTATTCAAAGCCGACGGCTGCTCCACCGCAGGCAACTCCTCCCAAGTGTCAGACGGGGCAGTCGCCCTCACCCTCTGCCGTCGCGACCTCGCCGAAAGCTCAGGAATGGAGGTGCTAGGCAAGTGGGTCGGTACAAGCGTTGCCGGGGTCAGGCCAGACGAAATGGGTATTGGACCTGCCAAGAGCACGCCCAAGTTGTTGGAACGATATGGCTTGGGCGTAGGGGAGGTGGATCTTTGGGAGATCAACGAGGGTGAGCGCCGTACGTGACAAGGAGGCCCAACTGGCGCTGATCCCTCTCTCCCGCCCACGCGCCCACAGCCTTCGCCTCACAAATCCTGATGACAATCGATTCCCTCGGTCTCGACGAGTCCAAGGTCAACGTCAAAGGCGGCGCGATCAGCCTAGGTCATCCATTAGGGGCATCTGGTGGAAGACTGGTCACATCATTGTTGAGCGAGCTCAGGAGGACGGGCCAGAAGGTAGGAGTAGCCGCCTTATGCTGCGGAACGGGCTACGGGGTGTCAAGTCTGTTCGTTGCGGAGTGAGGATCGGGCGATCAGTGGGCCGAGCGAGGAAGAGCCTATTGCAAATAGGGACCAGCTTTTCATGCCCACAGCGTCACTGATCACCGGGAGCGTCACCTCCGCCGTGACAACTCGCTGCGTCGCTACGTAGCTTGCATCATGGCCTGTGCGAGTGAATGAGCCGTGAGCTGTTCCCTGCTCTTGATCACACCGTTGGGGCAAGGGTCGCGCCCACGCCGATGTGCCGACGGACTGATCCTTTCTAACTCTGTCTGCTCTTCAGATCCGCCCATGTGTGAACGTGCAGCCACCACGAGCTTATGCGAGCTCTGGGAGCGTCGCAGAGGTGGCGCAACTGCGTGACCGGGCGAGTGCGTGCGTTGCGATGGAAATACGATGAGGATGATGAGGATAATGATGGCTCGCAACATCGCCTTTTATTGATCATCCTGCTCGATGGTACAATGACGATGACTGCTTAGCCCATCCTATTGCTACCTCGCTATTGCTACCTCGAAGACCGCGGTCTTGGAATCATTATCGCTCTGTCTCTCACGGCTTGCTCTCAACGCGCGGCGAGAAGATCTGCACGCACGAACGCGGCATTCATGCGACTGGTCTGCCGCGATGCTGCACGAGGGAGGAGCGCACAGACCATGACTCGACTCCTCATCTTCCTGAGTCCGCTACCTCTGCCCTGTCACTCTCATCAGCGCACGCACACCGGCAGATTACCGCGATTAGCGGCACCAGTGGATCTTGTGCTTAGCTCGCACTCCCCCTCGCCAAGGGTTCAGGCAGATGGGAGGAGGGGATGTGAGCTAACGACGGCCGAGGTCGTAGCGGAGCATCGACGGCGGCGACGGACGCTGCACTGATTAGCCCCAGAGACTTCGCACGGGCTGGGCTGGTCGGCGGGAGGACGGCCAAGGGCAATGATTGAATCTAGCCGATCGTCCTTGCAGCGTAGCGTAGGGGATGTAGAAGTGTGATGGCAAAGCAGCGGCGTGAGAGTGGGAGGACTATCCCAGCTGGATTGCTGTTGCGCGCGACATCCACGCCCACGCCCACGCCCATACGCACGCCCAAGCTCCAAGGCGACCTCGCTGGCTCGTGCGGCTCTGCGGCTGTACATGGGAAGTTGGCCGCTATATAGCGTAGGACCCTCGTAGTGAGTCACACTTGTTTCCCTACCACGAACAACAACCAATCATCACCATGTCCACCGACAAGATCACTTTCCGTGAGTAGTATGTGCGTGAGTAGGCAAGAGGACCTCGCACTGACCAGGGTCTGCCTTCGCCTGCTCCTTGTTGACAGTCCTCAACTGGGGTGCCACCCCTTACCATGCTCCTATCTACCTTGCTCAGTCCAAGGTTTGTAGCGCCCGTTGACAAGCCTAACACCTCGTAGACCCGTTTCGCTCACCACGCTCTCATTCCCACGCTCGCAGGGCTTCTACGCAGAGCAGGGCATCAAGGTTGCCATTCTCGAGCCCAATGACCCCTCGGACGTCACTGAGATCATCGGCTCAGGCAAGGTCGACATGGGTTGCAAGGCCATGGTGAGTGGAGCGAAGGCACCATCACGGCAGTGCACCGTTCGTCCAGCAGCTGACAGTGTGACCTCTATGTTCTTCGCACGCTCAGATTCACACCCTCGCCGGCAAGGCCCGTGGCTTCCCTATCGAGTCGGTTGGCACCCTCATGGACGAGCCCTTTACTGGCCTCGTCTACATGGAGGGGTCGGGCATCACGACCGACTTCCGCTCCATCAAGGGGAAGACGATTGGCTACGTCGGCGAGTTTGGCAAGATCCAGGTGCGTGTGCAAGGCGACGAGCGCCCCGTGTATCTCCTTGGCTGACTTGGTCTACACAATCACCCGCTTTCCATTGCCCGCCGACGCAGCTTGACGAGCTGACCGCCCACTTCGGCATGCAGCCTTCGGACTACAAGGCGGTCCGTGTAGGCATGAATGTCTCCGAGTCGATCAAGCGCGGAGACATCGATGCTGGCATTGGCCTCGAGAACGTCCAAATGGTCGAGCTCGAGGAGTGGTGCAAGGCGACGAACCGCCCCACGACTGACGTCAAGATGCTCCGTATTGACGAGCTCGCTGAGCTGGGCTGCTGCTGCTTCTGCTCGATCCTCTACATTGCCAACGCTGGCTTCATTGAGGCCAACCCGGAGAAGGTCAGGAAGTTCATGGCTGCTATCAAGAAGGCCACCGATTACTTGTTCGAGAAGCCCGAGGAGGCATGGAAGGAGTACAAGGTGTACAAGAAGGTCATGGACACGCCTGTCAACGAGAAGATCTTCGAGTGAGTGTGCGCGGGGCCAAGGAGACGGACTTGCGGTTTGCTGACCATGATACGCCCCTTGTCTTGCCTTTGCACCCGCAGGAGGAGCTTCGTCTACATGAGCCCCGACTGCGCCAACGGTGAGTGCGCTAAAGCGAATGAAGTGGTGTTGCTGAGACCCAGTGCTGACCTCGTCGCCCCCCTCTATCGTAGTCCCCCGTGACTGGAACAAGGTGACCAACTACTGCAAGCGCCTTGGCATTGTCTCCAACGACTTCGAGCCCAACTTCACCAACTCGTTCCTGAGCTGGAAGCTCGATGCTCAGCCCGAGGACGGCATGGCCAAGCAGCAGGCTATTGCTGAGTACCAGAAGCAGGTCTCCCAGAAGGGCGGTATCCTCGATGGGCTCAAGCCTCAGTTGCCTACTGTGGCTGCCGCCTAATCGGAGAGCAGTTGACGGCATATTGGCTTGCTAGGAGGATGAACGGGTAGAGGAGGGAAGTCGAGAGGATCAGAGAAGTTGCACAATCGATTGAATCACAGTCCATTCAACTCCTTGTTGCCGTGATGGCGGGTGTGTCCCAAAGGTAGCGATGACGATCAGGGGTGCTTTTGCGCCTGGCACTCCTTGACGAGCTCCATGATAGCCCTGAATCTCGGCCCCTCATGTGTAGCCATTTGCTCCACCTCGTCGCTTTCGTCTTTGCCGGTCGTCGCGAGGAGACGCAGCCCAAGTGCTACGATGACCGGCCTCGGGTCACGCTGCTGCCCTTGGCCTGTGCCATCATCTTGTGCTGGACGCAGCAGCGAGTAGATTGTTGAAACGTACAGCGATTGCATGGTTGCAAATCCGGGGGTTGGGGTGCCCAGCAGCGGTGATTGCGTCAGATTGGGTGGAGCGAGAGGCGTTGAGGCTGCGCTTCCCGAGGCAGGCGAGGAGGAGGGGTCGCACTTCTTGCCCCTCGCGTCGACGTTGTCATCGCCGCCGTCTAGGAAGGCATCTGGCTGTGATGAGGTGTCGGTAGCTGAGCCAAGGGGAGATGCGAGGGAGACATAGGGCGACGATGTGACAGGCAGCGAGGCTTGGGTCTGACACGAAATGACTTGGTAAGCGGGCTAGGGACATGACAGTCTGCGTGTATGCTTTGATCAACTCACAATGGATGCAATCTTGCCCGTCTGGGTGACAAGGACGAAAGTACGGTCAAGGTACTGCTGGATGACGACGTTGGTGTCGTGCCCCTCTACGCTCCTCGCCACCTGAAATGTAGGGGTGACAACCTGTGACGCCGAAGTCGAGGGGATGGCTTGGACCCTGACAGCCGGCTGGGCTGCCTCCGCTGCTGATTGTGGCGCAGATGATGCAAGGCTGCCGCCATTACCGACTCGTTGCGGGGGCAGCGATGCTAGCATGATAGGCGACGTATCGAGCTGAGCCGAGGGCTGGTCTCGCGGATGGGGTATTGCGGGGGCGATCGAGGAAGAAAGCTTCGATGCTATGCGCACGGACAGGCCGGCGGAGCAACCCACTCCGGACCGTAGCCACGGACAATCCGGTCGTGTCGTCCATCCGCCCGCCCTGCCGCGCTTCGACTCTCTCCCATCCTCGGCCGCGGTCTCACAACGCCGCAACAAGCCACATCACGAGAGATGTGACAAATTTGGATCACCACCACCTTCACCGGCATTCACCGAGGTTTCCATTTCCATGCATGCGATAGCAAGCCACCGCCCAGCAGGCTCCGCTTCAAGTCAGCGAGGATCTTACACGTTGGTCTGGACCTCGGCGACGGCGTCATGACGACTGGTCGCCGCCACGATCACTCGCTCACACAGAGGTGTCGACGTCAGCGCCTTTGATCGCCGTGCTGTACACCAAGAAACCAAGCCAAGAGGCTTGGTATTTGCCATTGCCGTTGCCGCTGCCGCTGCCGCTGCCGTGGGCCAAGCTTTCCAATACCAATCAGAGCTCTGACAGCGGTTGAAAAAGTTTGCGGGCCTTGCAGGCGTTGATTTTAGCGGCAGCCGTGGTATCGCGATCGCCATCCATTGCTCTCGATTTTCAGGGCCTGCAGGCAACGATACTCATGACGTGTGGCGTCCATGTCCAGCACTGTTTCGCGCAGCCTCGTACAGCCTCGTCACCCTCGCGCGACATCATTAGCCAAGCAGCCCGACGATAAGCCAAGAAGGCTATGCTACCGTATGCTCGACTTGGCAGCAGCAGGCCCTCGCCGAGCAACGTCTCCTCGATGGGGCAATACGCATCGACAAATAGCCAGTTCGTCCGGTCCCGTGCGCGGGCCGTCGGCCAGTTGTTCGTAAAGCGAGCAAAAACGCTGAACGCGCTCGCGACGCTGTGGTACGCCGCACCACAATGCCTGTCGAATGCGATCATTGCCAGGCCAAATTTGTCTTCCTTCTCGTTGCTCAACACGACATCGATCGCGACGTCTGATCATTAAGCCTTTGCCGCCCGATGGGCGAATCTGGAGCGGAGACGCGGAGTGTGTGTTGTGTGCTCGCCTGCTCGATCTTCCCTTTGCTTCGAGGCAGACGCCGGCCGGCCACTGACTGACCCGCGGGCGTACGAGGGGAGGCGGCACCAGCGCAAAGCATGGCAAAAGCTTTCCATGTGATCAAATCAAGTCACTACTTCACACTGTGGCATCGCGCCTTTCGACGTCTCCCCGCCGTTTTCGCCGTCCTCGTCTGAACCAGAGCAATGGGGACGGGGCCGTGGGTGAGGAAGTCGTACGACCTGTTTTTCTCATCCGTACAGGCCCATTGCGATCTAGCTTGACTGCCGAGCTGGCGATGGACTACGAGCCTAGATTCCATCTCCGTCGTGGCCGTGAGCTCCGCCGTCTGTCAGCGCCGCATCGCTTCACGGCGTAGGTGCAGCGTCCGGAGGGATGCATTTGTGCCTCCGCGATCGCCCCAATACACAACCCGCGGCTTGAACAGATTCGTACGACGACGATGGCGAACGACTGACTTTGTTGGGCTGTTGTCCATCAGCGCGACAGCTATTTCCATGCGTGGTGTGGCGCGCCTCGCAGCAGCAAAACGTAGCAAAGCATTGCAGCATGCTGCTCGGCTGGCACCGCCACCAATGCAAAGCGGAACGAGCTCTTCGTTGTGGCAACGGCGACTACAACGCATCATCAAGCTCTCCTCACTTGTTGCGCTCAAAGCAGCTGCGAGCCGATAACCTTGTCACAGTGGCAAGAGCAATCTGTTCTTGCGGATCGAGCTAGTGTCGAGGTTGTAGCTTGTCGGCTCTATCGGCGGGAGGATCCACTCGCTAGTCTAGTTGAAGGGGAGCTTGGGGAGCATTAGCCCTGACGGCAGTCGCGGGTCGAGCGTGCGGGTAAGCTACGTGTGTGAGCGTTGTGGACCTCGATTGATGCTCTGCCCATCTGCTCTGAAGAGGCATCAGACCACTGCCAGAGGAAACCCGCCGACTTGGCGCGGCGGCCAAAAGAGGGGAGCTTTCCGTGCGGCGGCAAGAGCGACGAGGCGTGTGATGGTCGGACGAGGAGCGAGATCGAGGGCACGACGGCACTTGAAACGAAACAGAGTTGGTCAGGTGTGGCGCTGAGAACGAAAGTCCAGAACAGTCCGAAGTGGGGCGCGGCTAGAGGTCTACGAGCGGCTAGCTCCCCTCGTCTCCATTTGTCGCTCGCGCCCCCTGACTTGCGACGCTCTCTATGCTGCACCGTAGACTGAGAGGAAGAACGCCACACGCTCACCAAGATTCTCTTTGACCTTGAGGAGCAGCCTCGGGGACCCCGCATCTCCCCACTGTGTCGAGGAGACTGACCAACCAAGACGAAGCCGTGGTGCCGTTTTCGTTTGCGGGTGGTAGAGAGCCTGGCCCACCGCTCTCGACTATGGAGCCCCTGCAGGTCCGGTAATGAATCAAGGGCCAGCCGCGGCGGTGAGGGTGAGCGGCAGGGCAGCCTTGTGTTGGGCCTGGCCAATCGTGGAGGCGCTGTGCTAGGCGTCTCAGCAGTCTCAGCGTACGCGTAGAGCCAACATGGTTTTTTCCTCTTGCCCGCTCCCCCGCGCTCTTTGTCCCCGCGTATCCGGGGACGACCACTGAAGTAAAGTGATATAAGACCGCCCTACGTGTTTGCCGTCTTGACGCTTGCCCCCCTCTTCTCATCAAGCAACACTTCCTCGTCCCTCCTTCCCCTCTTGCCTTCTCCTCCCTCCCTCACCAACACCTAGCCCTCCTCGCTCCTCGCTCCTCCTCCACCCCCTTCGCACGCACGCAACCATGCCCGGAGGACCAGTCACCTTCGACAAGGGTACCGGCCCCATCACCAAGCCCGCCGGTGTGCGCCAGGCTCTGCCTGCCATCGGTGTCGCTGCATTCGCCGCCTTTGGTGGTATCCTCTTCGGTGAGTCCCTGTGCCCTTTGCTACCACGAATTTTCTCACGCAGCGTTGCTCACATCAATCGCCCATCCACTCGACAGGATACGACACCGGAACAATTTCCGGTATTCTCACCATGCAGGCGTTCCGTAACCAATACGGATCTCCTATGCCCGGAGACCCTTCCATCGCTGGCGACATGACCGCTGGCAACTACCTCTCTACGGGCGACACCTCCCTCGTCGTCTCGATTCTCTCGGCTGGTACTTTTGTTGGTGCCCTCCTCGGTGCTCCCCTCGCCGACATTCTCGGTCGTCGCTGGGGTCTCCAGGCTGCTCTCGTCATCTTCGACGTCGGTGTCATTCTCCAGATGGTCTCAACTGCTCTCCCCCTCTTCATCGTAGGCCGTGTCATCGCTGGTCTCGGTGTCGGTGTCGTCTCCACCATTGTCCCCATGTTCCAGTCCGAGACTGCCCCTCGCTGGATCCGTGGAGCCGTCGTCTCTGGTTACCAGTGGTGCATTACCATCGGTCTCCTCCTCGCCGCCATTGTCAACAACTCGACTCAGACCCGCACCGACTCTGGGTCTTACCGCATCCCCATCGGTGTCCAGTTCGCCTGGGCCATCATCCTCGCCGTCGGTCTCCTCGTCCTTCCCGAGTCGCCTCGATGGCTCGTCAAGAAGGGCAAGACCGAGCAGGCTGCCAAGGCTCTCGCCCGCCTCAACTCGACTGACGTTGACGACGCCCTGGTCCGCTCTGAGCTCGCCGACATCCAGACTGCCTACGACTTCGAGCTTGCCAACTCCAAGACGACCTACATGGCCTGCTTCGCTGGTGGTGAGCGCAAGATGTGGTTCAGGACCATGACTGGTACCCTTCTCCAGGGCTGGCAGCAACTCACCGGTATCAACTTCATCTTCTACTACGGCACCACCTTCTTCAAGTCGACTGGCGCTGGCGACCCGTACCTCTTCACCATTGCCTCCAACGTTGTCAACGTCGTCATGACCATCCCCTCGTTCTTCCTCATGGAGCGCGCTGGTCGTAGGTGGCTCCTCGTCGGCGGTGCCTTCTACATGGCCGTCTGTGAGCTCATCGTCGCTGCCCTCGGTACCCACTACGGCACCTCGAACCCCGCGGCTCAGAAGGCTCTCGTCGGCTTCGTCTGCCTCTACGTCGCTGGCTTCGCCTGCACTTGGGGCCCTGCCGCTTGGGTCGTCTGCGGTGAGATCTTCCCCACTGGTATCCGCGCCAAGGCCATGTCCCTCTGCACTGCCTCCAACTGGCTCTGGAACTTCGGTATCGGCTACGCCACCCCTTACCTCGTCGACTCTGGCCCGGGCAAGGCTGGTCTCGCCTCCAAGGTCTTCTGGGTTTGGACTGGTACCTGCTTCCTCGCTGGTGTCTTTGCCTTCTTCACCGTCTACGAGACCAAGGGTCTCTCCCTCGAGGAGGTCGACCAGCTCTACCTCCAGACCAGCCCTCTGCGCTCCAACGCTGTCAACCAGCAGCTCAAGGACGCCCGTACCGACATCGAGATCGCTGCCACCCACGGCAAGGTCCTCGACGACGAGGCCGTCATCGCCGACCGTGCCAAGCACTCGGTCACCGCCGACACCAAGGACGCTTCGTCCCTCGAGGAGAAGAGCAGCCACTAAACGCGGACAGCCTCTCCACCGTGCGCATCGGTTGAGCATCGCATCTTTCACACCCTAGTCGAACCCTCAGTACCCTTGCTGTGCTCCCCATCCCACCTCCCGCCGATCCTCACACCCCCTCCTTACTCTACCACACCTCTACGATTACGATTTCGCTCGTCTATTGTCTGTTGTCACATCATCCTATCTATTGCGAGAGCAGGCCTACGTTGTCGCTCAGCTACGCTACCCAATGTCAACCACCTTGTCACATGCACATCCAACTGATCGTGATCGAGTGAGTGCGAGCGAGATGCAGAGGCAAAATTGGTTGAATCCAGATGGCCTCTGGATGGATCGTCTTCCGTATCGACTTGTGCCCGAAGTTGTCAGTGCGAACGAAGCAAGCGGGACGCGGACTCGCAGCCTCGGCCTCGAAAGTCGGCGGAGTTCTCCACCTGTGGCCGCTTCCTTGCACCTCTCTGCTACCTCATCCTCCCTCCCCAGATTCATCATGGCCGGCAATGAGGAAGCATCGCCTTCTCGCGCTGCCAGCAACGGCTCAGCATCTCCGCAGAGAGAGTCGAGCAAGCAGTCCGCCTCGCCCCGCCCAGCGCTCGCCGAGGAGCAGTCTGTGCAGGCTGCGGGCAATGAGGAAGAAGAGGACGATGACGATGGAGAAGCTATCGAGGAGCCAGGAAGCGAAGCTACACACACAGCGAGGCAAGGCTCCAGCTCCAGCGCAGCGGAAGGATCAGGAGGCTCGCAGCCAGCCGCGTCCTTCTCACAAGGCACAGCAACAGCAATGGCCGAGGCGTCCTCCTCCTCTGCTGCGACAGACACCAAGGGATGGCAAGCAAGTGAGTCTGGTGATGCGACCACAAGTTGGAATGCATTCGTAGGTAGCATGCTGACACCCCATCTACATTGCACCAGTCTGGTCACCACCTCACAATGCCTACTACTTTTGGAATGCTCAAACGAACACAACGACTTGGACGAATCCGCTCGCTGACCATGCCGCCAACCCTGCTCCTGCACAAGCATCAGCCTCTACTTCATCAGGCCCAGGACCTAGCAACTCAGCATATCCAACACTCTCTGAGAGCGGAGAGGACTACCAAGCAGAGAACGAAAATGGCGATCCCGAGCTCGACCCGGAGCTAGCCTTCCTCGACCCGGGCCTGTACACGCGCACCGCAGCCTCGACTGGGCCCTACGTGGCTCGAGGCACATTCGATCGTCGTACTGGCCGATTCGCAGGCGGCGGGGGCGGCGACCTCTCTAGTTCAGCTGCCGCAGCCGCAGCCTCCTCATTCGCCGGCGATGACCCCGCCACGCGCCATTCCACCACCGCAAAAGCCCGGCGCCAAATGTCTGCTTACTTTGACGTCGATGAGTGGGAGCAACAGAAGGCCCAGGAGCATGAGAAGAGACAGATGGAGGCGCAGCAAGGGGGAGGGTCTAGGAAGAGGGGACCGACAAAAGCGGAGCTCCAACGCTTCAAGGAGCAAAAGAAGGAGAGAAAGAGGGCAAAGCTGGGATGGCTGAAGGAGTGATGGAGACGACAGAAGGTCAGTATCAAGCTTCTCTCAGTCACTGACCTGACCAGGAAGGTGCTCTGCAGCATACAGAGGGCTGTTACTGGTGCCGCCCGTGTCGTCGTCCATTCACGTCGTAGCCAAGCAACACTACGTGGCCGTCGCCGTTCCTGGTAACGGCAATATCAATCCGCCAGAGCTGTAAGATCTACATCTACGCAGGAGCTGAACGACTCCCACCCACCTTCATCTTTCTACCGACACTCTCAAGTCAGCCTTATTTGGTGCAACACAGCCCACACGATCTGCAATCTGCAAAAGCGCTGACGATCAGCGAAGCCAGCGACCACGACAGACGGCAATATCGAAACTCTTCATCCACTTCTCGGAGGACATCCTAGCTCTACATGTCCGAACAGACTGCAATCGTTGGCCGCGAGGAGATCATCGACATGGTCAACCACGCGTTCCGTACGGTGAGAGCGTGGTGGATAAGGCTATTATTAGCAACGGCCTTGTCTGACGCTGTCTTACCCACACTCCTGCTCCCATCTCACCAGTGTCGCTCTTCTCTACTCATGGCGAGCATCATGAGGGCAGCCTCTGAGCAGCCTTGGCCAGAAGTACCCGCGCTAGACGACGACTGGCGAGGCCTCCTCGTTGCCCACGCCTATCGGATTGCCGTACTCGACCATGACATCAAAGCTTGGGCAGGTTGCATGGAGTGGGTCATGCCAGAGCCAGGTGAGGACGAGCCCAAGGACATGGATGATCTAGAACACTTTTTCAACCTGATCCTCAGTGCCACGGAGCTGCTGGGCAGGGTCGTTGATAGCGGACGAGAGATGCTGAGCAAGCTGAGCGAGGCGAAGAGGCAGGCAGAGGAGCGGGGCGAGTGCAGAGCGACCTGGACGAGGCCTTGCGTCAACAGGTGCGGAGGGTCAGTGTGAGAAAGGCGAGGAAGCTTCACTTCTCTTCACCATTCATCCTCATGCGCCACATCCAAGCTCTAGCGTACCCCAACAAATGATCAGTGCCATCACAACGCGCAAGGTAGGCGCATGTCTCGAGTGAGCGCACAGCAGTCATCAAGGAGGATGGTGGCGTGCCGCGCTTGACCGTAGCCGTTCCGTCCCCACCCCGGGCCGTTTAAAGTGGCTACGCGCGGACATCCGCCACTCGACGGCTTCATCTCGCGCTCGCTGCTCCAGTAGCCCCTTCACTTCCGACCATACACAACATCTCGATCCGCCCAGTCTCTCCAGCTCAACCTACGTTGTTCCTATACAAAGGTCGTCCGAAGCACCCCTTGAAACACGCGGGGAGCTTAACGTAAAGGCAGGGCTCAGCTCAGCGGACAGTATGGTTCCCTTTTTCCACGCCCACAAGCCCACCAAGGAGGTAGTCGACGCGGCCGTCAATGACCTTGCACCCCTTCTTCAGGAGGCAGAGGATGCGGTGAGCACGTATCGATGTCTGAACTGGATAGGTTTTCCTGCGCCTGACACTTCATCACGCCGACCGCACCTCTCCGCTACAGGTTGACTTCGCCGAAGAGACATGGTCGCGCCCATGCGCCAGGCAGCAGCTCAGCCTTGCCCTCGAACTTCCCAGCTACGTTACGACTGGCGCGCCGTCTTGCTTCGTGATGCCGACCGCATCACCGCCCTAATGTCCGAAATCGCCTCCTGGACCGTCCTCATTCGACTGAGAAACCGCTGTGGGGACAAGGAAGACGTCAAGAGCTTGGCCGTCAAGATCGGCGATGCAACGCGCAGCCTCAATCAGCTTTGGGAGAGGACTGTCCACACGCTCGACATCGTCGAGGGGGTCAAGGAGACTCGTGGAGGCGGACAGCCAGCAGCAGCTACCTAGTCGGCTCGACGAGGATGCAGCTGGATACTGTAGATCAGCAGCCACCACAGCCTCTACGTCGCATTGTCCCTCATTTCTCATAGCCTCGCCGCCTCCTCGTCAGGCTCTTCAACAAGATTTCTACCCGACCCCACCGGCACTATGACCACGCCATCCATACCAGCAAAACCAGCTTCACCACCACACCATCGCCGTTTCACAGCCGCATACACGCACGGTGAGTATGCGACGCAGGTCGAGCATTGCGATAGGCAAGTGTGTGCGCCCCCAAGGACGACAGACAACAGTACAGATATCGCCATCAGTGAGCCTCTTCTGCCTCGAATGAGCAAAAGGAGCACCATGGGCCTTTCGATCATTTTCTTTAGTTTGCAATCTGAGGATAGGAGCGCGCGCGCGGAGGAGGGAATTGCCTCGACGCAGAGGAAGAATAGAGCTAATAGCTGATGAATCCTGCGCCTCACTCGCTTCACTCGCAGCCAATGTCCAACGTCATCTCGTCGACGGCAGGCAGCAGCGCAAGAATCGCCCTACGACTCCTCTCTCTGCTCAAACTCTCACATCAAGCATCTTGATTCGTCTTTGATTTCTCTTCTGTCCCTTCATCTCCGCAATACCATCCTCATCCCGCTCCCTCTTTTTTCATCAGTCCCTTCTACGCATAATTCTTGGCCCCACCCGCCTCGACCTTGCCCTTCCCCCATCGATTACACTTCTCTGCCATCTCAACGGCAGCCGTTCCCCAGTCCTCACCATGGTTATGAACGCCCGCTCCTTCTCCGACTCCACTACGCTGCAGTGCTTGCTCCTCCGTAAGACACGTGAGTACACCGAGGATGACGGGAGTACCAGTGTCGAGCCCCACGCGCATGAGGCCTTCGCAGCATGATTGGGCAATGTATTCAAAGTGCATCGTTGATCCTTTGATGAGGACACCGATGGAAATAACGGCGTCGAAGGCTGCGCGGCTTGCCTTGGAGCTGGATTGAGAGGAAGCATCGGCATTGCCTCCATCATCAAGGAGGGAAGTGGCTCCCATGAGATCGTCTACATTGCTGCTTGCCTGAACTTGACCTGCTGTGATGAGACGTTGCGTTCCAGCGGGAAGTTCCCAGCCTGCGTCGTGGGGCAGATCAATCGCGGTGAGCATTCTATGCACCCTCTTGACGCATCTTCTGCCCTACTACTCACTACCAGGCACACTCTCCACGACGATGTTCTCCTCCTTGACGCCGGCCTTCTTCATAGCCTGAACCGCCCCTTTGACCAGCGGAGCGATGCACTCCGTGTTCCATCGAGCGTGCACGATTCCGATTCTGAGGGACGAGGCAGTCGGAAATGAGGAGGGAGGGGCAGAGGGGCCCTTGAAGGCGTATGTGGGAGCGGACATGGTCGTATCCAAGTCGGTCAAATGGATTCGAGGGGAAAGTGAAGGAGAGGAATAGCGGTGCGAGCCTTGTGCGGTGGGCCCTGATCTGTGCGTGGGCGGCAGTCGTCTCGCCTCCGTCGATGAGGCGCTCCCGTTCCGAGAGCCGGTCCTGCTCCTCAATCGTGGAGCACCGAGACCGAGAAGCAAGGCGCTCAGGCTGAGAGAGAGGGAGAAATGTAGGGATGCTCGATTCATTGATGCTTTGACTTCGCACGACGGAATGTAATACTTTGAAACAACATGGCAAGAAGAGAAAGTAAGAGGCATGCAGTGGGGAACATTGAAGCGAGAGCCAAGATACCAGCGACCTCGACAGAGGCTTAGAGCTGCCCCTCCTCGGGCTTCTTGTCCTCGCCACTAACAGGAGCGACAGTTGCGCCAGCTGTCGCAGCCTCCGCAGGAACAGTCTCAGCCGTACTAGCGGGAGCCGCAGGCGCAGCAGAGGCGGCGGAAGCTGCCTGCTCCTTGCCGACCGCTTCGGTGGCGGGAGCGGTTGCGGGAGCTGATGCCTGGTCGACCGTAGTGACGGGCTCGGCGCTCTTCTTGACCTCCTCCTCAGCAGCCGCGGCAGGCTGAGTAGCAGAGATGGTCGCCGGAGCGGCCTCAATGCTAGTCATCTCCGTATCGCCGCTGGCGATCGCAGCGGGTGCGACTTCTTGCTGAGCCTGTTGTTGCTGCTCTTCCTGCTTCTCTGCCGCGATCTCAGCAGGCTGCTCCTGTTCCTTGACCTCCTGCGCCGTAGCCGTCTCCTGTGACTTCTCCTCTCCGCCTCCCTCCTGCAATGTCGGTGCAGGTGCTGCCTCATCCTTCTCGGCCTCTTGCGCTTGCTCCTCTTCCTCCTTCTCCACACCTTCCTCATCAATCGCCCGTCTCCTCTCCTCGACCCACTGATCGAAGCGCTTCTTCCCCTGGCTAGCCTGTGCTCTAATAGCCTTGACCCTTGACTCGCGCGCGGCCGCGCCATCCGTAGCGGAGGAAGAAGCAGCGACGTGCTGACGAGCAAAAGTGTCCTCGGTGTCGGCTACGAAGAAGAGTCGGTACGTTGACAAGCAGACCTTAATCTCCAAGCCAGGCGAGACGATATGTCGCTCCGAGGGCGACGTCGATGAAGAGCCTTCTGTCGCAACTGTCGTTGTCACAGCTCCGGCTGATGGCGATGCGGCGGCAGAAGCAGGTTGTACACCCTCCGTAGAAGCGGCGGTAGCATCTTCGCCAGCTCCGACCTTTCCGCCCAGGCTCCTCCTGAGGAAGGGCCCCCTCACCTCCCCTACTAAGCCCTCCGTAGGAGCCCAGAGGGCGTACGAGGCAACGTAGTACAGCCAGCGTTCCTCGCGCAGCTTCTCCGCATCTTCACCATCCGCCTCCGTAGCACCTACGCCGCGCAGGCTCAGGTAAGGCGGCAAGTCTGCAGAAGGGTCGTCGCGGGAGAGCATCTGGATTCCAAGCCTGGAGGTAGAGGGAGTCCATCCGACGCGGAAGAGGTGCTCCTCTTTGCCTACGAGGCACTCTGCGCTCATTCGTGTCGCAATTTGGTGGCGATACGCTGCGGCTTGAGCGTCGCGCGCTGCAGGGGCGCCAGAGCCAGCTGCTCCAGAGGGGCCGGGGTGACTGCGTCGATCTCTGTCCAGCAATGCCTGCAATTCCGCGCACTTGCTGTCGTTGATGATGGATTGGGTCGCCTTGACTAGACCACCGAGCACCTTGTCGATTGTGAAGACTACGAAGCCTTCGATGCCGAACATGAATCGGATAGACTCTTCGTACATGTTCCTGCGTGCGCAGAAGGTAGTTCGGTGGTCAGCTCTAGTGCGCCAAAGGGGATCTGGGACCGACGGGAGGGGGCTTACTCACTGGTCAATCGAATCTCCATCGAACAACTTCTCGATCAGGTCGAGTAGAACCATGTAGTACTTCGAGGGGTGGAGCTCCCATCCGCTCACTGGGGCGGAAGGCAACTGGCTCACCGCTGCCTCTCCATTGGCGTGCTCAATCCCGTCGACCGCCCCTGCGCTCGCAGCGCTACTACCAACTACACTACCGATCCCACCAAACCTGTCCTGCAAGCCGAGCTGCAACGCCAGTGGGTTTCCGCGAATGACCCCGCTCTTCTGTCCCCTTTCTTTGCGTCGCGCATTCTTCTCGTCCAACTCCTTGCCCAGCTCGGTGGAGAGGCGCTTCATCTTTGCCAGGCGCACGTACGCTAGGTGGAAGAGGCGGAGGAAGGTATAGTGAGCGCTGGAGCAGAAGAAGTTGAGGGTGTGTGCTGAAGCTGACGAGGTCGAACCGTTGGCAGCGCTGGATGTGGAGGACTGGGCTTGCTGCTGAGCATTGGCTTGGGAGTCGAAGGGAGCACGAGTGTCGGCTCGAATCCAAGTTTGCTCCATGGTAGGAACCGCTGTCTCGCTCGAGGCGTTGCCGTCCTTCATCTCGCTGTCACCATCCGCGGCACTGGTTGAAGCAGGCGCGTTCGCCGCCTGGCCCCTGAGCACGCGCATCCTCAAATCATCGTCCTTGCGCCTGCGCTCCGCATTGCCTGCGGATGAAGTCGCCTGATGGTTCTGCTCCTCATCGTCGCCTGCGCTGACAGGTTCTAACCCCATCTCGTCTTCCCAAGCCTTCGCGTCCTCTCCCATCAAGAGCGGCAAGAAGGACCGAATGAACATCTCAATGCGATCGATGTCGCTTCGCGAATACGATGGCCCGCGATCGAGATGAGAGAGGGCAAGCTTGATGACGTCGTAGATGAGGGAGCGGTCGGACATGTCAAAGGAAAGGTGCCAGGGCTCCTGTTGGGACGCGGCGAGGTTGCCCTCGATGGCTGGGCCAGTGGAGGAGGTCTTTGCGGCTCCGTTCGGGCCAACATTACGACCACTCTCCGTGCCCAGAAGCGTGCGCGGAGCGCCAAGCTCCTTCATCCATCTGCGACCGACATCCTCGCTCCTTCGCAGCTCGATCTCGCCCAACAATCCGCGAGTCGTGATTGCCTTCTTATCCGACGCCTTCCAGGACACGCCGCGATGATCAAGACTCTTCCACCAGTTGCGCTCGTCGACCACACGCCACACCTTGTTCCACTCGCGTTGCGCGCGCTTCCACTCCTCATCCTTCTGGCGCAGACGCGCAAGAACGACTGGGATGGACGTGGAAGGGGAGTCGTGCAATGCAGCGACAATCTCCGCACCCGCGTCACGCCCGTAGACTTTGCGCAGCACACGCTGGTAGATCGAGCGGGACTGTCCTCCGAGGCCCGGCTTAAGACGGAAGGTTGCGCGCTCTTGCTCGTCCATTGCTGCGATGCGTGCGGCGATGGGTTCGAGCAGGGCAATCGTTCGAAGATTGGCCTCGATGTGGTAGTCGTACTCGTGTCTCTCCTCTTCAGAGCGGTAGAGCGCATCCTCGTAGATGTTCTTCTTGTGCGGGTTGAATCCTTCACCCTCGGACGCCCAGGTAGGGTGTGAGACCCACTCGTCGTTGAGCACTTCCCAGCACATGGCGTCGCGCCCTGAGCAGGCGAGATTGACTTCTTCCTTCGGCAGGCGGCGATACGAAGCGCCGTACTGCTCGCACGTGTTAAGGTCGATACGCGGGCGTTCAAGCGCAGGCGTGTTCTCAATGACGGCCTCTTCCTCCTCGAGCCAGCCGTGCCTGCCCATCTCGTAGCCGCACAGGCTTTTGAAAGTGGCAAACAGGTCGCGATGCCCGCCGATGAAAGCCGCAGCCTTGTCCACGAGAGTGCGCACATCGATGACGTCTTGCGTGTAGAGATTGAGGAGCTTGAGGAATTCCAAGTAAGCGCCGCGGTCGTCGATGTGCTTCTTGACGCGGTCGAAGAAGGCGACCTCGTCAAGGGTGGCGAGCGGCGCGTAAGCTGGACCCAGGGGGATGCCGGCAGATACAACGTTTGAGGGGACGAGGCCCGCAGCGGCAGCCGCTGCCGCTGCTGCTGCGTCGGCGGGCACAAGACCATCAGGACCAGCATAAGCTGCGCCAAGCTGCTGAGCGGCGGTGGGTGGCAAGCCATACTGTGCCTGCTCGGGTGGAATCATTGGTGGCATACCTGGTGCGGGAGATGGCATGCGTTCCTGCTGCTGCTGGCCCTTGTGGCCATGCTTGGCCTTCTTGCTACGGCCTGTGGCGGCTGCGCCTTGCGTGGCCTTACCAGCTGCTGCATCGCCGGCGGCAGGGGCTGCTCGCTTCTTGCCTCGTTGCGTTTGGGCTCCAGATGAGGGGCCGGCCTTGCCCCCAGAGACGTCGCGGCGTGGTTGCTGTGACTGCTGCTGTTGCTGTTGCTGCTGCTGAGGTTGCGCCTGCGCGGACGTGTCAGGTAAGAACTGCTTGAACTCGTCGAGCAGGTCCTTTGCCCCCTCGAACAGAACAGTGACCTGCGCGTAGACGTCCTGTATTGCTCTCCCCTCCTTCTGATACGTCTGCAGGATCTCCAAGAATTGCTTGTACGTCTCTGGATCATTGCTGAAGCGCTGCTTGATCTTGTTAACGTAGTTGATGGCATGATTGAACTCGAGTGGCGGACGTGAGCCATCCGCTGACGGGGGAGGTCCACCACCGGGGGCGGCGCCGGCAGGCCCAGGTCCAGCCTCGGCTGCTGCTGCCGCGAGGGGCGGGCCGTGGGATGATGAGCCGGCAGCTGGGTGGGGTGGTTGATGCTGCATCTGCTGAGGGGGAGGCGGCTGGGGATGCTGAGAGAGGACACCTGCCCCTGCTGCTGCCCCGGGCGTGATCGCTGCGCCTGGTGGTGAGAGGGCGCGGCCGTGCTGGAGTGAGGCCAGGGAGCCTTGCGGCAGCTTAGGAGCTTGAGCTGGGACGGCTACGGCGGCTGCGGTCGCTGCGTTGGCTGCACTGGGAGGTGCAGCAGGGTGCGCTGGTACGCTCGGAGGACTGCCGCTGCTTCCGCTAGCTGTGGGACCAGATTGCCCACCTTCACGACCTGCTGCCGCTGCTGCTGCTGCTCCCTGCCTGACCGCGCCCGCGATCCCCTTTGCGCCGTCCTTTTGCGTCGTGGTCCCGCTGGGGGTGGTGACAGTGATCAGATTCGCTTCAGAGGGGTCCATAGAGCATTCTATGCGATAGCCGGGTGGCAGGAAAGTATTGAAACCCTGGATGAGGGATGGATGGCCCCGGAAGAGGGTCGAGACGCGCTCGATAACACCGGGCGTGTCGATGGATTGTGATTTGAACTAGCGGAGGGCAGAGAGGCAGTGTGTCAGCTTCGTCGGAATCGTACAAGACCTCTGTCTCGCCGACTCACGTCCTTCATGATGTCGAGAAAGCGATTGTAGACATCTGGATGGTCTGCGAACTGGACCTTGACCTGGTCCAGATACGAGAGTGCATCCTTGACGTTGAGGGTGGCCTAGCGTACGCGAAGGCGTGGAGAAATGTCAGTGGTCGATATTGACGTGCACGCGTAGACGTCGACTACTCACCATCTTGGGCTACCACCTCAGCGGGGTCAGCAGGAAAAGGGAAACCAGGGACGACGAGGGTGGAGACGTGCTTCGCAGCTTGGCTCAACAAGCGCGCGTCTATGCAGGACGGCGGCCGTCGTGGCGACGCAGAGAGCTGTGTCAGAGATGTTTGCGGCGTCGAGGTCGTCGCGCTGGGAAAGAAGGGAGAGGACGGAGGTCGTAGCCAGCCTATATGCGGTGGTAGGAAGGAGATGAGGATGCGTGCGGAGGCCAGGTGCTGCCTTGCGTCCCGGTGTCGTCTCGTCGAGGGCGGGAGCAGCCTCGAGGCGTGTCGTCCCTCACTCACTCGTCTCAACCCGTGTCTCGCTCCGACCCGGTGCGCGACCCGGGCTGGGACGTTGGCCTGTGCACGCTCTCGACGAGCTTCCTTGTCCTTGAGTTGCAACTTGTTGTAAGTTGCGAAGCAGAAAGAACAGGCAACGCCACTATGGCGTCGACATCGACAGCAGCAGCAGCATCAGGAGCGGTAATACCCTCACCACCACGATTCACGTCCTCCTCGTCACTCCCACCTCGTCCCCCATCCGATCCCTCCTCCCTCCTCGCCTCGCTCAAATCCCTCGGTCTCGCAACGGAGATCAGCGTATCAGACCTCGCCCTCACCTCCACAAGCGATGCAGCTACGTCGTCAGCTTCCTCCTCGTCATCCAGCTCGCTCAGTATCCTTCTATCACGCCTCTCTCTTCTCCTCACCGACCTCTCCCGCTTGATCCAACAGCAGACTAGCACCCATTCGTCCTTGCTCCTCGCCCAAGCCTCACGGGTCGAGGAGCTGCAGCGCTCCCTCCGTGACGCGAGACGCGGGGTCAATGAGGTGGAGAGCGGGTATGAGGCCAGATGTAGGCAGCCTGTGGTGGGCGCAGCGAAGAAATTGCGCCGAGATAGGAGGAGATTAGAACGCTTGAACGAAGTCATCGAGCTGGGCAGGGAGGCGGGCAAATTCGTAGGAGAGGGAAGGAGATTGGAGGCATGCTTGCGGACTCTCTTTGGAGAAGACGAAGGGGGGCAAGATAACGTAGCAACAGCTTCATCCAAATCGCTCTCCCACCCTACGCAGCAAGAGGCTCTGGGCCGGGCCTCTCTTCACCTCTCCAACATTAGCACTCTCCTCACCGCGTCACCCCACCTCAAACGGGTCAACTTCATCCACTCCTACTTGCCCTCGATCCTCAACACGACCCGCTCGCAGCTACAAGATAGAATGGAGTCATCCGTCGTCACGGCTCTTCGCGACCTGGACGGGCGATTGCTCGCCTCCAGCCTGCTTGCCGCTGATCGGCTGGGAGTAAGGAAAGAACTCATTGGAGACCTCATGGGAGACCTCTGCGATGTGGTGCGCAAGAGGGTGGGCGCCGTCTTCGATGGTGCGGGTGGTGGCGGAGGAGGCGGTGCTCCGGGTCTGCCGGGTAGATTGGAGCATCTGCTCACCGTGGAGATGGCTGCTGTGTGTAGCAAGATTTATCTGCTGCAGAGAGTTTTGGGGCTGATGCGGGTGGGTGAAAGCGAGGGGGACGGTGACGGGCAGGTAGCAAAAGAGCCAGCAGCCACGCCTGCGCAACCGCGCACCCTATTGGACGAATCGCTGCTCCTCCTCGGGGATGCGCCCACTCTTCTCTTCTGGCGGACCTTGGCTTCCAGCCTTGCCTCGCACACGGGTAGAGGTACAGCTCGCTCAACACCGGCCAGCATCAGAGAGATCCGCGGCTTTGTCGACACTTTCTTCGAGCGAACGAGCGTGTGGACAGGTCTGCAAGAGACTGGCGGGCCAGAGAGGACGCTCTTGCTGCGCAGCCTCGGCGGTCTGGTAGGGGAGGACGTTGGGAGGTAGGCGCGTACATTGGACGGCATGCTCTCTAATAGAATTTTTTATTACACCCTCATCTCATGGTCATACTTCGTGCTCGGTGACAGTCGCTCCTTCCTCGGTGACGACCAGGAACTCCTTTCGGCACTGAATCCCCTCCTTCTCAAACTCGCCCACGATGCTCTTGGCAATCTCCTCCTCATTCTCCGTCGCCAAGGCCAGAATTGTCGGCCCTGCTCCTGAAAGGCAAATGCCCAGCAGGCCAGGGTGGGAAGTTGGGGTGACAGAGTCGAGGAGCTTGGGAAGGGCAGGGATGAGGTGGGCGCGGTAAGGTTGGTGGACGCGGTCCTGCATTGCTTGGTAGATAAGGTGCGAGTCGGGGGGCGAGCGAGAGAGGGCCGTGGTGAGAACTGCGAGACGTTGGAGGTTGAAGACCTGGAGCGCGTGCAGAGGGCGTCAGTCAATACATGGCCACTCTTCTCAGCCTATCGTGCCTCCCGCTACTCACGAGGTCCTCCTTGGAGTACTTGTCCGGCAATGCGCTCCTTGCCTTTGCAGTGGGTACCTCGAATTGGGGAATGATGGTGATGACGCGGATCTCCTTTGCCCACCCAAAGCGAATGTAATGGCCGATGCCCTTTGGCGGAGCTGGTGGGTCCCGTCCCCACTGCTCACCCGCATCAGCCGGATATTCTGGTAGAACCTCACTCAGGGGAACAGCTTTGCGTTGTGAGTCTTCGTCGCTAAGGTCGAGGAGGTACGAGCCAACAAAGCCGCCGATCAAAGCTGCAGTCACGTTATCCGGGTGTCTCTCGATCATCAATGCATGGTCCAACAGGCGCTCCTTACTGAGCTTGAGCTGGCCCAGAGCATCTCCGAGGAGGATACCGGCGATGACTGCTGCACCGGACGAACCCAGCCCGCGGCCAAAAGGCACCTCGTTGTGAACCTTGATGACCACACCAGTGGGGAATTGGTGAATACCAGCACAGCGCAGCACATAGAGGGCGCAACGTGTTGTGAGGTTCTTATACGGGTCGAGCGGGGCTTCTGCTGCTCCCTCGCCGGTGTAGGAGAGGGTGGGAGCCGTCGAGGAGGATGAAGGGTCGATTGTGACGTCGAGGGTCAGGTAGAGGGAGAGGGAGAGACCTACGACATCGAACCCAGGGCCGATGTTGGAGGATGTGCAGGGAACGCGCACAGTGAAGTGGCGGCGAGCGGGTGTGGAGCTAGCCATGCTGGGTGCGGGGCAAGATCGATGGGATGACTCGGGGCGATAAGATGTTGAAGCCCAGATCTTCTCGCGAGTCAATCGTGGGTTGCCTTGGCTCGCACCCTCTTTGGCGCCGCCTCATTTCTTTGCCTCTCAGTCCGCCGTCCAACCGTCCCGCCGCCGACCAACAAGCCGAGGCCACGCGAGCAGGGCGAGATGCAGCTGATCGACTCGTCGCCGCCTTCCGCTGCCCCTCGACTCGCACGACGGCATCATCACAATCTTGTTTTCACCACCACCAACCATGGCTACGTCAATACCAGATATTGACCTGCCTCCCTCATTTCCTCTCGCTCATTCAGCGCAGAGGGCTTCGAGCTCGCGAGAGACGGCAGGATTGAGCTCAGGATCACAGGCAAAACCGCCAGCTTTTACTGTCTCTGGCCCAACAAACGCCACTCGGCCTGGCAACGCGGCATCCCCATCGTCAGGCTCCAGCTCCAGCTCGAGCTCCGGCAAAGTGCAGGCATTGCGGGATGTCTTGGGTACCGGCAATGGTAGCAGCGGAGCATCCCTAGCCGCACCGACAAGTGCCACCCCCGCTGCTCCATCTCCAGCCTCGTCCAGCTTGATGCCCCCACCATCCACCTCCCGCCAAACAGCTCCTCCTGGCGTGGGAGGGGCACCGACTGCCATTGCCAGTGCTTCTTCATCCTCTTCGAGCAGCTTGATGCCTGCTCCTGCCGCCACCTCGAAGCGCAAAAAGGTCACTCTGACCCCCGGCCATTCTCCGCTCGACTGGGCACGCCTCAAGTCCAGCATTCAACCCCCCTTCCCCTTTCGCAAGATCCCCCTCTCCGAAGTCAAGCAGCACAAGGATCGCAATTCTCCCGGTGGGGTCTGGACCGTGCTCAATGGCAAGGTCTATGATATGGCGCCCTACTTGGCTTTCCACCCTGGTGGGGAGGATGAGCTCATGCGTGTCGCAGGGAGAGATGGGACGAGGCTGTTTATGCTCACGCATAGTTGGGTCAACGTTGACGCCATTGTTGATGCGTGTTGTATCGGGATCGCCGTCAAAGATGATTGAGGGAGAGCATGGGACAGAAATGGGGCCGATTCTGACGACGGAAGAAAACACTGTAGCTGCCATTGTCCACGACATTGTATACCAGGCGCGTCACGCCTTCATAATAGACTTGCAAAGATTCTCTATCACATTACCACTCTACGCTGCGCCAGCCTCCTTCATTCTCTGCTCTACCCTCTCCTCGCCAGGGATACTCTCCATGGCCCCCTTGATCTCAACAGCCATGGCGGCTGCAACTCCTGCTCTCCTCAAACACTTCTCCACCACTTCCCTCTCAGCGGGCAGACCCTTGCCGCCCAGCATGGCGACGCTTGAGACCAGGTAGCCAGCAAATGTGTCCCCGGCACCCGTCGTGTCGCGTACCTGCTTGGGCTTGTGCGGTGGTTGGCTGATGAGGATGCGATCTCCACCTGAATTGATGGAGGCAAGGACACCACGAGCGCCCAGAGTCATGACGATCCAGGGGAGCTGGCGCATGGACTCGATGCTCGAGAGGCGACGCATCGTCTCCTCTGGCTCCTCCTTGTCGCCTCCCGCCTCGCCCTCGCTGAGTGCAGCAATGAGGTCAGCAGCTTCTCCTTGGTTGACGATGAGCACATCCAGCTCGTCCCACTTCCAGCTGCGGAGCTCGTCGCGGGTTGGAAGCGGCGAGGGGTTCCAGACAGTCACGCAGCCCTGCCACTCCTTGCGGGCGTGGCTCTGAAAGGAGGCCGTGGTGCTGAGGGGGACCTCATTCTGCAGTACGAGGTGGGTAGGTGGGCGTGGCAGCTGTGATGAGACGGAATCGGGCGTTACATCTGAGGAGGAAGGGAAGTTGGCACCCTTGAGGAGAACGCTGAGCATGCGAATCGACGGCGTGAGCTCATGCGCCATACTCTCATCCGTAGCTAACGGCACGCTCACTCACATGGAATTCTCCCCATCTCCCTCGCCGATCTGAATAAAAGCCCTGCCCGTCTTTTCGCCCTCGAGTACACCGGCCAGATCCGTCTTGACGCCGCGCTTCTTGAGCTCATCCAAGGGCCAAGTTGCGTCACTCCCAACGTTACCGGCGAACCACGTCTCCACGCCTGACAATCCGAGAGCTGCTGACACGTTTGCTCCCTTACCACCAGGGCGGGAGGTGAGGTCGAGGGAGGAGATTGTCTGCGCGAGAATGAGGGAAGCAGAGTGAGCGAGGTGACCAAAGGGACGGCAAGGGAAGATGCTCGCTGCACTCACCTCACCAGGTCGGACGATGTGCGGGACAGCGAAGGTCTCGTCGATGTTGATGCTGCTTGGCACCAGGACTAGAGGCGCTGATGAGGAGGACATACTGGCTGCTATTGATCTTCGACTTGACTGAGGAGGTGAAAAGGGAACAAGCAGCCGCTGCTGGACCTCGGCCTCCACGGCGATTTTTTGAGCTCGACCCTGACTTGCTCCCGTCCGTTGCCCGGTGACGTTGGGCTCCCGCTCGCGCTCCCACTCCCGTCTCGAAGCCAGCTCGCCCGTCGATTTGCAGCAAACGGTTGAGCATGTCAGAGGTAGCACTAGAGAGTAAAGTCGACCTTTGCCTCAAATTGGCACATCGATATCAGCAAGCGCATCCGTCATTCTGACTCCCTTCACTTCAGCGTCACTGCAGCCTCAGCCGCGTCCGCAACCACCGAAGCCGTAGCTCATTGACCTCGTTCTACCACCTCACGGCTACCACTTGTGGTACTGATCACAACATCTTCGGTGAATGCTTTTTGACTGAGAAGGGAAAGAAAGAAAGAGCCATCTCACGGGCGAGAAGGAGAGGGCTGAGAGGGATGTTGATTGAATATGGCCAAAAGAGAGGCAGGGTTGAATACCGCTCACTCCGAGTCGTCGCTCGCCGATGACAGTCGGTAGTTCGGCTGCGGACGGCCTCCGCGACAAGCAGAAAGCGGTCGCAAAGCAGTATTCGTATGAGCAGTCGGGCCTGCGGTGGCAGAACGAGCGAGGGAGGCGGCGCATCCAGAGGGGCCTGCGGCGGCGGGGCGAGCGGAGGAGGCGACCGAGTGAGAGGGGCCTGCGGCCACCTTTCTCTTCTTCGCCTGAGGGGGGGAGAGGGTGTCCTCGGGGCAACCATTGCTGACCCAAGCCATGGATTCCTTCTTTGCGCGCGTGTCGCCCGAGGAACCAGAGTATACCTTCTTGGTCTTGCCGTTTGTTTTGTCCGTGGCACTGCCGGACAGGGCGAAACCATGTCCCTCGAGATGCGCAAAGAGGCCCACGATGGACACCGTCTCGCTGCACACCGGACAAGCTGGCTTCTTCTCCCTGATCTCAAACAGATGAGATGCTAGGTGTGCCGAGCCCTGCTGAGCTGCGTACGTCTTGGTATTGCCCTCTAGGAGGCAATATGGGCATGCGTTCTGCCCATAGACCTCCTTGCTTTTTCGTGTCGTCGAACTGCGCCCATTGCGCCTTCTCGTCATCTCTTTGGAGGGAGCGCGACCGTCCTCTTCCATCGTGGCGGCGGCGGCAGGGGGAGCAGAAGATGCGGGATTCAGAAGCGACTGCACCCAGTCGATCCATTCATCGCGTCGCTGCCTCTGAGCTTGTCCAGACGGAGTCGGCAATTTCGGCCAGTCATGCTCGATGGCCGGGCTTCGCTGTTGCCCGTAGTGGAGGCCGTGTGATGAGAGAAGGTGTTGAAGGAGGTCTGCGATGTGCAGCTCGTCGGCGCAGATCGGGCACGACACCCACTCGTCTCGCCTACCGTACAGGTGTCGCTCAGCGATGTGCTGAGCGTGGCTCATGAGTGGGCCGTCGAACAGCTCGCCGCGGACATGCAGTGGGAGGCCCACATCGTGAAGTCAGAAAGGACAGGCTTTGTCCTCCCAAGCAGGCGACTCCGACGAGGCATCGAGCAGGCGAGAGAGATGCTCGGCGTTGTGACTCGCAATCATGCTGAAGCCAAGGTTCCACTTCTGATGCGTGCGACAAAACGCCGGCGTGTCCTTGTTGAAGACGAAGTGGCCATGCCCAACCTCAGCGTGCCAGATCAGCTCCTCGCTGATGCGAGAGCTGCCTCGTACTTGTGCTGCTGCACCCGCGTCGAGCTCGTAAGCGCAGGGCTGGCCACTATGAAGATTGAATGGGCACGCCACTGCACCGGCCAGCTTACGTCGATGGGCCTTGACGTGGGCTTCGGTCTCGAGTCCGTTGGCGCTGAACACAGAAGTGCCCGAACCAGTTGAGCAATACTGGTGTGAGCCTTCGCGAGGGCAACGCGCGTATTGGCGGTGCAAGGATATTCCGCTACTACTTGGTTGCTACCAGTCACACTTCCGCGAGTTGGAGGCTATGGCTGAAATGTGTGGGGAGAACACAATCCACCGTGATGGGAACGGCGGGGAGTCAATTGTTGAGGTGCGACTGCCAAGAGGAGGCGGCAGAAGAGCAGTAGTCAGCATGGAGAAGGACCAACGCGTGCGCGATTGCCCGTGACTCACTGCTTGTTGGTCCATCCCTATCACGCTTGAGATCGAGGTCCTTGTGGGTCGCAGTTGCTTTGATTGACTCTCTGGACGAGCAGCTTTGTCGCGATGTAGGCTTGAAACTCGTTCTTTGTCTGCTTGGCTACTTCGCCGACTGTAGTACGTCTGTAGCTTGCAAGCATCCGGTAAAGCTCGACGATGGCTGTGCGGGCTTGATGGAGTGGGCTGGATGCCTCGACCGACTCGAGCTGACGGCATCGGTCCAGCATCCAGTAGGACGTTGTCTCTCAGAGTATGCGGTTCTCGATGATGTCGGTGCTTGAGTTACCGTCGAGGACGCTGGAGCTGCTGAGCACTGCCTCAGACTACGGCGAAGCGTGCGAGGAAGCAACCTGCCTTTGTTCTTGAAGCTGGGAATCCAACACCCCCCCTGCGAAGACATGGCCGAGAACATAACCGACATCCAAGGCAAGCGTTTGCGAAGGCTGAGGACGAATAGCCACGGCTGGGTTGGTGCCAGCAGGCGAGTTGCTGACCTATCACCTCCTACTACCACTTCGGCCTTTGAAGACGATCACATTGGATGTCGGCTATGTTCTCGGCCACGTCGACAAAGATGAGGAGCCTTGAGCTCGTCACTGATCGGCGGCGAAGCCCAGGATCGGGGTAGCCACCAGAATTTGAGGCCCTTGCGATGCTGGCATGATTGTAAAACTTAAAGAGGTGGTGAGGAACGTAAGAAGAGTTTGAAGAGGGAGAGTCCCGATCGAGGTCGTCAGTTGGAGGTGATGGAGTGAAAGTGGTGAGGAGAGAAAGAGGAGCGGGCGGTGAGAGCTCGAATGCGATCTCGCGGGGCGATGCCAGCTTGCAAGCCAATCCCGCCTCGCGCGAAGCCGCTTCGTCCTCGTCGTTGCCTCAGCGTCTACGACTCGATCTCCAACCGGGACATCGAGGACCGGCGTGAGGGCAACAGCGTGCCTGGGCAAGACACAACCGCCGTCCCTGAAGACGGTCTCTAGCCTGACCGATGCGTGACCTTCAGCCATGAACCCTCATACTCTCAGATCCAGACCGTACCGGCCGCTTGACTTCCGCAGCAGCTCCCACTGCAGGCGGCGATCTTGACGAGCCGCCACTCGCACTGCGAAGCGTCTCTCATCGCCGGACACCACAAACCTTCCGAGCTGCCTCTGATCGGGTGAGTGTCGACTTCGATGCCTTCACTCTTGACGGCAGAAAGCACGGGCCTGTATGTTGTTTAGCTCCATCCCAGGCTGGCTGTTGTCGGTCAGCGCGCGCCGAGCTCTTGATACTGAGGCAGGCAGTCAGCGATCTGCGTACCCTTCGCTGTGCGACTCCGCCCTCCGCCCTCGAGCAGAGATGGCAGCGACGGTTGTGACGGCTGCACTGCGACAATCTTGACGCTTGACGAGGAGTCTGTAGGTGATTGATTACCTTGTGGCAGATGGGGCACCGTTGAAGACCACGCTTCCGAGCGAGCGTGGTCACGGTCGGCGAGCATGGTCACGGTCGGCGAGCATGGTCACGCTTGACAAGCGTCCATCGCCCAGTCAGATCTCGCACCCTCGGATGGCCATCTCGAGCGGGCCGCGACAGTTGGCTGGCATCTTCCGAAGTTGCTCTTTGGTATGATCATCATTCATCATCGTGCCTTGCTATGGCAGCGGCCGACAGTGCAACCGCCGCTGGTTGGGCTCTGAGATGAAATGCGCCGCTTCGTTCGTCTGGGCGAGGTGACATCATCAAGCTGCGTGCGTCAGTTCTTCCAAATTCGCCGCTTGAGCTGGCCGTCGCGCTCCGTCGACTTGCAAAACGCTGCTCTGGCGTCTTCTCCGAGACTTCTGCCTATGGCTGCTGGGCGGAGATCGAGAGAAAGTGGACCCTCAATCGTTGGCCGCGTGCGTGGCCCGGAAGCCTTGATGGCGCGGGCGCTGTGCCTGTGAGGGCGGGCCAGCCACAAAGCAAAGCCAGCAGCGCGGCGAGCGGGCAGAACTTCGTCGCAGCATTCAGCCTCGCTCCCTCTTCTTCACCAACACCTTTCCTCCGTATCTTTCACGACCTCTTCACTTTTGCTAAGGTGAGCACGAGTGGCAGAACATCCCATGATGATGATTATGACGAACTGGTGGTAGACCAGGGAACAGCAGGCGCTGACCGAGACGCTCCCTCACCCTCCTTCTGCGCGCCTCCACGTCCCCTCCTCGCCTTCCTACCATGCTGCGATCGCCGCCCACCGCCTATGCTGCACAGATGTCGTCTCTCAAGCCCACCAACATTGACGAGCTCTCCGTCGCGACCATCCGATGCCTCGCGGCTGACGTTGTCGCCAAGGCCAACTCGGGCCACCCCGGCATGCCCATGGGTGAGTATCCCGAGTCCCCCTTCTACGGTCCTCTGCGGCTGCACAAGACTTTCAAGACCTCAGAGTAGAGAAACAGGAGCTGACTCGAGCTCTATCAACAGGCATGGCACCCATCTCGCAGGTCCTCTTCTCCAAGTGAGTCCGCACTGACCCGCCCCGCGTCACCAGCGCGAGTCTGACCCAACACCTCCTTCCCCGATCGCTCCTCAAGGCTCTTCCGTACCTCCGGAGCTGGCAAGACCCCTTGGATCAACAGGGACCGCTTCGTGTTGAGCAATGGCCACGGCTGTGCCCTGCAGTACATCGTGAGTTGCAGATTTTGAGGATGCTGTGGAGGAGAAGGAGGTGCTCGCTACCAGTTGCCGCAGTCGCGTCAGTGACTGACTCTCGCCCCCCTTCCGCCGCAGATTGCCCACCTCCTGGGCTACGAGCTGTCCATGGAAGACCTCAAGGAATTCCGTCAGCTCGACTCCAAGACCCCTGGTCACCCCGAAGCCGGACATGACACCCCCATGGTCGAGTGCACAACTGGCCCCCTTGGACAGGGCATCAGCAACGCCGTAGGTCTTGCCATTGCTCAGGCCAACGCTGCAGCTACGTTCAACAAGGAGGGTCTTGAGCTCTTCAACAACTTCACTTACTGCTTCCTCGGCGATGGCTGCTTGATGGAGGGCATCTCGAGCGAGGCATGCTCGCTCGCCGGTCACTTGAAGGTGAGATGCTCCGCAGCCGCCTTATGCCTCGTTCAACGGCTGACCTTCAACCCTCTCTTGCCTCCTTTAGCTTGGCAACCTTATCTGCGTGTACGACGACAACCACATCTCCATTGACGGCGACACTGCTTGCTCCTTCACCGAGGACGTCGAGCAGCGCTACCTCGCATACGACTGGCACGTGCTCCACGTCAACGACGGTGACCGTGACCTTGCCGGCATGGCCAAGGCTCTTGAGGAGGCCAAGAAGGTCACCGACAAGCCCACCATCATCCGTCTCAAGACCACCATCGGCTACGGCTCCAAGATCCAGGGCGGTGCCGGCACCCACGGCGCTCCCCTCAAGGCCGACGACATCGAGCAGCTCAAGGAGAAGTTCGGCTTCGACCCCTCCAAGAAGTTCCACATTCCCCAGGAGGTCTACGACTTCTGGCACCAGATCCAGGAGCGTGGCGCCGGCTACCAGAAGGAGTGGGACCAGATGTTCGAGCAGTACAAGTCTAAGTACCCCGCCGAGCACGCTGAGCTTTCGCGCCGAATGGCGGGCAAGCTTCCCAACGGATGGGAGAAGGCTCTCCCTACGTACTCGCCCTCCGACTCGGCCGTCGCTACCCGCAAGCTCTCCGAGACGCTCCTGTCCAAGGTCTCTGCTGCCGTGCCTGAGCTCCTCGGTGGCTCTGCCGACTTGACCGGCTCTAACCTTACCCGCTGGTCTGACGCCACCGACTTCCAGCACCCCTCGTCGCAATTGGGCAACTACAGCGGTCGCTACATCCGCTACGGTGTCCGTGAGCACGCTATGGGCGCCATCATGAACGGTCTCCACGCCTACGGCTTGCACATCCCCACCTCGGGCACTTTCCTCAACTTCGTCTCTTACGCCGTCGGAGCCGTCCGTCTCTCTGCCCTCTCCAACTTCCGCGCCATCTGGGTCGCTACCCACGACTCGATTGGTCTCGGTGAGGACGGACCCACTCATCAGCCCATCGAGACGGCCATGGCCCTCCGTGCCATCCCCAACCTCAACTTCATGCGCCCTGCTGACGGTAACGAGGTTTCGGCCATGTACAAGGTCGCCATCGAGTCGGCCAAGACCCCCTCGGTCATTGCCCTCTCGCGCCAGAACCTGCCCCAGCTCGAAGGCTCTACCATCGAGAAGGCAGAGAAGGGTGGTTACGTCCTCAAGGAGGTTGAGAATGCCGACGTCACCCTCGTCGCCACTGGTTCCGAGGTCGCCATCGCCCGCGACGCCGCCGCTGAGCTCGAGAAGAAGGGCATCAAGGCCCGCCTCGTATCAATGCCCTGCTTCCGCGTCTTCGACATCCAGCCCATGGAGTACCGCCGCTCCGTGCTGCCCAGCGGCCAGCCCATCATCTCACTCGAGGCTTACACCACCCTCGGCTGGCACAAGTACTCGCACGTCCAGCACGGCATCAACCGATTCGGTGCTTCTGCCCCTGCTCCTCAGGTCTACGAGAAGCTCCAGATCGCTCCCAAGCCCTTCGCTGAGAAGGCCGAGAAGGTCATTGCCTACTACAAGAAGGAGAAGATCCCCCTTGTTTCGCCCATTGAGCTCACCGCTGCTTTCGAGTAAACGTGGCGCAGCGTAGAGCGGTGCAAGCAATAGACCGTCGTCGTTTGCGAGGTCGGCCGGCATCGATTGAGTTTCGCATGGTTGCTCTTCCTCTCTTTGACTCTCATTACTACTAGTCTCTCTGATCCGTGAAATACAGAAGCGTGCTATCAATCCATTGCCACCGGCTGGCCGGCTGACTGGTCCCGTCCGAAGAGAGGCCGGGGGATGAGATGCAGATGAAGTTGCCCCAGCGGTGATGAGTCCAGCAGCTGACTCGATCCATTTGTACCTTCGCATGCTGAATGGCGCTCGGACGACGTTGGCGCACTCGACGACGTCCCAGTCCACGCTCAGCGCGGCGCCGAGTCCCATCGCGCCTTGCTTCGAGGGCTACCCTCATGACCCCAATCAGTAGCAAGCCTGACCCCTTCTGGTGGCAATCTCAAATGAGACTTCCTACTCCACACCTGCCCGAGTGCTCAAGCGGTCGCAAAGAGCGTTGGCGGAGCTTGATGGCCACCTTCAGTCTACCGCGACCGTAGCCGCCGTCGAGGGCCGCCCTCCACAGGAACATGCGCGCCTTTGAAGGCGGACTGAGCGCAAGTCTGCTTGTTGCAACTTCTCGTCCGCCTTCTCACACCGAATCCCCCAGCAAGCTGCGATGCAACCACTATTGAACCCCACATCCGCAGCGCCAAAGCGAAAGCACCCCTCCTACTCAGGCGTCGCTCCATCCTTCGCTCCAGAGTCAGCAGCTGGACCTTCCTCCTCATCAGCAGGGAAGCGCACCCGCTTCGCCGACCAGGAAAGCGACGAAGCGCATGCTCAGGGCTCCCTCCCCGGCGTGGATATCGATCTTCTTGAACAAGATGCAAAACGCAATCAGCAAGGGCGCAAAGGTAGAATTGTAACGGATGGCTATGACAGCGAGGGGGAGAGCGAAGATGAGGAAGAGGAGCAGGACAAGGATCAAGAGGATGGAGATGGTGGCCTTGAACCAGATGGAGCAGACGAAGAGGAGGAAGACATGTTTGGTGATGGAAACGCCGGGGACGTAGACGTCGCAAAAGCAAGAGCGAAAGGCAAGGAGCAAGACAAGAAGAAGAAGGGCGGGAAAGAGGGATATCTTGAGCTGGGCGATATTGAAGGGCAAGAATTTGATGCCCAGCGCGATCAGACGGGAGACGTGCTAAGCGATGAGAGCGATAGAGATGAGGAACGTGACCCTGAGCTGGAGCTAGAGGGCGAGGACGAGGACGACGATGAAGACGACGGAGAAGGTGGCGACGCCAAGGGCAAAGGCAAAGCGAAAGCAGGCAAAAAGGGAAAGAGCGCCGACCCTTTCGACGACATGGTGAGCTGATCCAACCGCTTACATGCTGCTCCCACCCGTCTACTGACATCTCGCGTCACTCCTCTTCGCCTCGCCGCTTAGGGACACAAACTCTCCTCTTTCAATATGAAAAGCGAAATGCAGTCGGGTCGATTCGACTCAGAGGGCAACTATCAAGCGAACGCCCGAGACCCGCACGCAGAGCACGATGCTTGGCTAGCCGGCAACTATTCGCGCAAGTCGATCAAAGCCGCTCGTGAGGCCAAAGAGAAGCGCGAGCAAGAGGCGAGGATTCAGGAGAGGGAAGAGAAGCGAGAAGTGCAAGAGGAGGATGGGCGATGGGGCATGGTCCGGGAGATGGTGGAGATGATGAAAGAGGAGGAGACGGTCTTGGAAACGCTGCAAAGGCTTGGAAAAGAGGCAATGGGGCCAAGAGCGGAGGCGGCTAAAGCAGCCAAGCTGGCAGCAAAGGAGAAGCGAAAAGCAGGGAAGCTAGTTGAGAACGGGAATGGAGAGGCGGCTTGCTCCTCATCTACAGGCAAAGGCAAGGAATCCGCCTCAGCCAAGCACCCTTCCATCACCCGCATCGAGCGCTTCACCGCTCTCGCATCACGGCTTTCGGGCCTGACCGCAGGGCTGACGGACATCTACGACGAGGAGTATCGCTCCCTGCTCCGTCAGGTGCGACGAGCGGGCGTAGTCCCCCAGGATTGGGATCCGGCCGCAGCAGCGACCAAGGCAACGGAGCAACAAGGCAATGGCGCTCCTGACATTGGAGATGAGGAGCAGTGGGAGTACAAATGGGCCACAGCAGAAGACACGAGCTCGGCACCAGCTCAGACTTTCGGCCCCTTCAAGGCGCAAGACCTCGACGCGTGGAGAGGAGCGGGGTACTTCGGTGCTGAAGCAGGGGGTACGGAGAGGATATTGCTGAGAAGAAAACGAGACGGTGGCGGGGAAGAGAGCTGGAGGAGCTGGAGGGAGTGCTTTTCCGCGTAGAGCTGCGTGGGCGACAGCGACGGGAGATCAGATGGGAGAGGAAGATACGACTGCACGATTCGGATTCCCAGTAATACGACGCAGCGCTGAAAGCATCATCCTGCTGACCTGCCTCTGAGCACATCACCGCCATCGTCCATCGGCTGATCGCTTGTACGGTAGCAGCGCTTGAAGCGCAGCCGCAGGCAGGGATCGAGAGAACGAACGTGTATTGAGACGAAGACCTGCGAGGCCCTCATCGACGAGGATGATGCGGTGATGCTATGAAGGACAGGAGAAGAAGTTGCTACATGGGGTGGACGGCATCCAAAAGAGAGGGAAAGGAAGAGGCCAAGGAAGAAGTAACACCGAAAAGGAGAGAAAGTGGGAGAGACACGGCATGTGGTGCGATGCTGCACAGAAGAGATGCGAAGCAGGGGTGCTAGACTTGGTATGAGTGATGACAAGGAGGCGAGGGCCAGACGGAAAGCGATGGTGCGGGTGAAGCTTGAGGGCTACACTTGCCAGGCACGTCTACTCGGACAGTTCCTCCCTCGTCTGCTCAACGATGATGCCTCTAAGTCCACTTCGATCCTGCGCGGTACCCTGTTGACGACGTCCCGACTGAGCCGTAGGCGGGACAACGGGCATGCGGGGGAGACGGACGTTGCTCATTGCCTGACCTGCAGCGCTGAAGGGGTGATGACGTCCCTGCTGCTGCGTCTGAGCGCTGACGGGCGAAGGGAGGACAGCGTCGTTTTCACTGCCGCAGTAGCTGAGTGTGGGGGCAGGCTGCTGTTGCTGGAAGGAAGGGCGCGACCCTGCCGATATGCGACCCTCCTCTCCAGGCTGCAAGTCAATAGCAGCGACGAATGGTGCTGGTAGCACGGGCGCATTGCCATCGAAGTCAACGGGCCCGTCATGCTCGTGATCGTGTGACAGCGTTGTGGACACGCCGTGCGCGAGACTGGAGTCAACGCCAACATTGTTGTTAGGGCTGGGCTGCTTCTCCAAGTCACCGCTGCTGGCCGCCGAGTCCTGGAACGAGCGAATGTCTAGCGAGTCGTCGTGATGCGCAGAGTTGTAGAAGGCTGGGGCCTTTTTGCGATGCGGGCTGCTGGGGCCGCCCACGGTGGTAGCGCACGAAGCCTTGGGGACGATACCGCGTGCTGCTCCTGGTGCACCAGGTGCCGTGGGGCTGGCGATGCGAGAAGCTCGGGAGTTGTTGTTGCCGGCATTGCGGTGCATAAAGTTGGACAGCTTCTCTGTGAAGGAGGTGCTGCCGTTTGAGCCGGTACCGCCTGATCCCCACTGGACATTGTTGTTCTCTCCGTGGCGCTGCTGGCGGCCCTGGCTGTCCACGCGGGAGGTAGCCTCTTGCGCCAGTTGCACGTACAGCCTCGTGCTGGCCAGTACGGCGACGAAGCTCGAAGGGACGGCAAAGTACAGCGACATGAAGGGACTGAGCTGCAGGATGGTGATGACGGCGGGAACGAGGTTGGCAGCCAAGGTTGCAAGGAAGTAGAGGAGACCCTGCTGTACGAGCAAGGCGCCAATGCGAGTGCGGCCATTGGTTGACATGCGGAAGACGCCCGCTACGGTGAGGACAAGGACAAGGGCGTCATAGACGATGGTCATGATGTACTTGACAAAGTAGCGCATCTCGACCTTGATGGGTGCGCAGGCGCCCTGGGAGCGGGATGCGAGTAGGATCGAAGTCAGCTTCGTGATGTCTGCTCCCTCATCCTTGCTCGCGACTCACGTTCTGCCAAGCACCCCCACCATTGGGCACCCACATAAGGTGGATGTCCGCCACCCCCGCAAACCATACGGCAGAAAGGGCAAAAGTGAAGAAGCCGACCGTCCAGCCAACGATGCGCTTAGCCTTCTCGTCCTGCCAGACGCAGACGGTGCGCACGGCGAGGAGAGATGAGGAGCAGAGGGCGATGAGGCTCATGAAGAACTCGAGCGCGCGGACCATGGCGTTGCAGTTGTAGGGGCCGACGCCCATGGCGCCGAGGATGCAGAGGACGGCGTAGACCCACCACGAGATCTTGGCGCCAAAGTAGGCCTGCGATGGGTAGGAAGAGAGACAGGTTCAGTGTTCTGACAGTGAATGGCACGCATCTTGGCAGGGGTGCAGTGCTCACGAGGAGGGGCAGACGACGTCGGCGGGAGGCCTTGAGGAGGTTGTAGTCAAACTTGAGCAGATAGATCTGATCATAGAAGATGATGCCGATGCAAAAGAAGAGGACGGGCATCTGGGCAGCCCCGAGGCGGGCCACCAGCTTAGGGTCTTGCCAATTGACCATGGTGGTGGTGTTGCCTGAGAGAGGGAGAGGAGGGGGAGGGAAAAGAGGGGACGCCGGGTGGTGGTAGTGAGGAGAAGGGGGTCAAGAAGATTGAGGCATCGACCGCGAAACAGGAGCTCTGAGCAGCCTCGTCTGCTTTATACACCCAGTCGTTCGTCTCATGTCGCTGTGGCGGCTTAGGCGTGTCCAAGCAGACGCCGCTAGCATAGGCGAGGGGAAGCCAACGAGCACCGGCATCTGACGAAGCCATTCACTCATTCACCCATTCACCCACGCTCGAAGCTGGAACCATGTATTGCTCTCTGCTTTGCTTGCCTGCTGCTTGCGAGTCGTCGAATGGTCGCGGTGAGAGAGTGGAGCGTGCGAACTGGCTCGCCAGTCGAAACAAAAGCACGGGGTGCAGCGGGCCTGCGCGTTGCACCCGATCACATCCAAGACCCAATGAAGACAGGCCAGTCGAGAGCCAAAATCGGAGTGGCCGTGAATGGCGCGTCGACCAAGCAATTCACGCGTGGGCAGCAGCAGCAGCAGCAGCAGCAGCCTTCTCATCACTCCTTCTTGATGAGGATGCTCTCTTCTCACCTGTCGCTCACCATTCACCGTGACTCCGGCGCACGGCAGTACCAGCGTCCCTTGCAAGCTACCTACCCTACGCGCAGTCGCGCATACCAAATTCAGCCAGCCGACTTGCCTGCCTCTCGCTCCCACTCTCCGTCTGAATCGCCAGACATGTGAGCTTTATCAGCCTGGTTGCCCGTCCTGCCCGCCGCAAGATTTTATCGAGATCCCACGCACGCTCCCGAACCAGTTTCTGCTCCCACCATCCTGTTCCCCTTGCAGAATGTGTGGTACGCGAGCTCCACCGAGGTCGGACGAAGAAGAGCAAGGCTTCGAGAGAACCGCGCCGTGCTGCGTCCTCCTTCGGCGGAGACGGCTGAGAGCTCGGTCTGCAACCAAGTTGGATCTCACAGCGGACGCGAGGAGGGCTGTGAGAAGCGGAGCAGCCGAACTACCGACGAACCAACAACGATGGTCGCCGGCGGCGTCTGACTGATCAATCGAGCGACCCACTATTCCTAGATGAAACGTACCGCACTTCTTGCCTGGCACTCGCTCTCCTCTCACGCTACATCTGCTTCCCGATGATCCCGTGAATAGTCACCCACCTCGTCTCGCCGCTCTTTAAGCTTCAGATCCTCCCTGCATCCTACAGCTGCTTGATAATGGACGACCCATTCGACCCATTCACCGTTCCGGGGTGATGTGGCTATGACAACGGAACAGAAGGAGAGAAGCACCAGATACCGGAGACGCCGGTCGCATTACGCTCGCAAATCTTTGAGCAAAGTGTGGCAGAGGTTCCTTCACGCTGGGTACACGCAAAAGGCGGTGCACCGTGCAAGGTGGTCCCGAGAACCGGATGATGGCGCCCTTGCCGTGTCTCGAGGTCCCAGCCATGCCAGGATCCCGGCTGAGATCTCGAGGTCCCTGACTGACATTTGGTCAGCACCGAGGCTTTCGAAGCATCCAGTGGAGTGTTGTCAAGGTGTCTTCGCTGCCATTTGCAGAAACGTGGGCGCAGTGGAAAGGGGGCGGACCGTAGGCATAGCTCGGCCGCGATCTCGGTCTGACTGGCACCACCTGCGTCCACCTTATCTGCGCGTCGGCCATACGCATAATGAACTACATTGATACCAGATGACTGTTTGTTCCCGTTCGAAATCCTCATCGCCCTCACTCTCGTCCCTCCTGCTCAACCCTCCCCATCGTCCCGCAGTCTTCGCGCCGCTAGAGCTTACTCGTCAATCCCTTGACTCCCTCTCCCTCGTACGCAATGCTAAACACGCTCCTGAACAGCGGATACTCCTCCACCTTGCCCCTCGCCTTCAAGAACTCGTGCACCTCTCTAGCCGTCTCGGTACCCTGCAGCTTCTGCCCATTCAACAACTCCTTCTCTAGAACCTCGAAGCTCTTCCCCGTCTTGACAAAGGCCTCTGCACATTTCCTGTTGCGCCCACCGAAGCAAGTGGTGATAAGGTCTGCGATACCAGCCGAAGTCTCGGTGAACGTCTCCGGCTTGACGCCTTGAAAGAACTCCTCAGAGAAGCGCTTCATCTCCATCAAACCGATGCGCATGACGGCCGCTTTAGCGTTGGAGCCCCAGCCCAAGCCATCTGTGAAGCCTGCCGCAATGGCGACGACGTTCTTCAGGGCGCCACAGAGGGACACGCCCGCTACGTCTTCGACCATGCCAACCTTGAATTGGGGTGTGTCAAAGACTTTATGGAAGAGCTCGGCGGTCGCTAGGTCGTTTGGCCTGTAGCCGATGGTTGTCTCGCTGAACTTGTCTTCTGCGACCTGCGCGTGAGCGTTCGAGACTGAGAGGTCAGTCTACGACTAGCATCGTGGACCTCGCCGTTCTCGCTGCTCGTACGCACCTCGTTGGCAATGTTGGCTCCACTGAGCGCAGCGCATCTACATCCCAGAATCTCCTCGATGACGTCTGCGAAGATGCGAATATTGCCATTTTTGACCTCTACGCCCTTGATCATCGAGATGGCTCGCGCATCCTTTGCGATGTGGCCGCGAAGCTCTTTGCAGGTTGCCTCGATGAACTGCGACGAGGGGCGGGCGAGGACGCAGTATCAGCGAGGTGTAGCAAGCATTGTTGAAGGCTGTCGTGCGCCCCGCTCACCTGATGAGGAAGGACAAAGATGAGCAGATCGGCTCCCTCTGCTGCCTCTACCGCTGAAGGTGTAGCTACGACGTTCTCTGGCAGCTTGACGCCGGGCAAGTACTTGACATTCTCGTGCTCCTCATTGATGATCTCGGACAGCTTGCGGCCTTTGATCTGCGATTGAGCAGCGCAGAGATCGGGCAAAGTGAGATCGAGGTAGCAACAGCACCTCCCCATGCGGCCACGGCGTGCAAACTCACCTCCTCCTCATGGACGTACATCTTGACCTCCGTCTCGAAGAGGTTCCCGAACTTGGAGACATTGCCGCCTGCGAGCCGCCGAGAGTCAGACGTCAGCGATGCTTCCCACCACCATTGCCTATCCCTCGTCTCGTCTCCTCTCTCGCTGTCTCACCTGCAATCCTGGCGATGGCGCTGCCCCAGTTGCCGCTCCCAATGATCGCCAAGCGATGCTTCTTGTCGCCTGCCATTGGCTTCCAGGCTTTGTAGCCGGTCACGCGGGAGAGACTACTCGGGGAGTGTGAGGAGGTGGAGAAGGGCCGGAAGACCGGTAACAGCGATGAAGCTACGTCTCGTCGCAGTGAGCGTCGGGCGAAGCCGTGGATGCTCCAACCGCTAAAGGATGCGGACGAGGACGCGAACCACCTTGTATGCACGACTGGCGGCGACGACAAAGTCCTCGCGCTAGTGCTGAGCAGCAGCTGCGACGAAGATCGCGCTGCGAGTGCTGTCGGAGTCGTCTTGACGATGGCGTCTGGCCGATTCGAAAGGGTGAAAAGGTAGTGATGGCCCGTGAGTTGAGTGTTGGGATGAACGTTGAGCTTCGAGCTCCACAGGCCGCCTGAAAGTGTGGGGCCGACCTCAGAGCGGAGAGAAGGCGGAAGCAGCCGTCGACGGTGCGTCCTCGATTTGGCTCAATCTGGCCGGCGAGCAGGTGAGGTGAGAGGTTGGGAGATTTTAGCGATGGTGGTGCCGATGGAAAAGGGGGATAGCAAAGACGATCAGTGCGAGTAGACGGACAAGGGTCGTCTGGACGGGCAGTCTGCATTTAGTGACGATTCGGTACTCCGGGAGCCAAATGCTCCAGGATTCGGTCCGGCCTGGCAGACACAGAGGAGGACGACGCAACTGCCTGCCCGCGAGCTGCGAGGCGCTCTATCTGACCCGGAGCCCGGCTCAAGCAGGGTCCACCGCTTTGCCGTGAATGCTCTACGGTACAGATCCGCCGTCGAGATTGCGTACGATTGATCCGAGCATCAGCAAATGAGGAGATGACATCAAACGAAAAGAGGGTTATGTTGCAATGACGCAATGACACAGAAGAAGACGAGAAGCTCGGAGTGAGCTCGAAGAGAGACGAGAGAAGAAGTACAATGACGCGAAAGAGAGCTTTTTGGTCGTTGTCCCTGTGGGAAGCTACGCCGGCTGCGGGGAAGAGGAGGCTAGCGACGAAACCAGCCGTCGCACCATACATTTCCCCCGTTCACGTGTGGTATCAGAGGTAAGGCAACGCCGCCTCCATCTCGCTCCCCATGCTACTACGGTTAGACGGCTTGCGCGTGAGCTGCTGCACGCCCAGTCCTCCTGCCGTGGGAGCCGTGGGGGCCGCAGGGCTGCTTGTCTGCTGCTCCTCACCCGCACTAGCCTTTCCCCTCGCACCCGGATACAACAAAGGCGGAAGCCTCGGCGCCTGAGACCCACTTCCCGACCTCTCCCTCGCCTGCTGAGGGCTCATCATCATAGCCGCACCAGGCGGAGCTGCTTGAGAGTCCAGCTGAGCACGGCGGTCCTGCTCTTCGCGCTCGAGCTCTGCCATCCTTGCGGCCATTATGGGGTCGTTGTAGATGCGAGACATGTGCGAGTAGGGGTCGTGGATGGAGGTTGAGATCGGGTATGAGGAGGGTGGAGCCGTTGAGGCGGGTTGACGGGGCGGTGATTGGGAGGTGGAAGGCTGACGTTCTGGCGAGGTAAAGGGGTCCTCTGCTCGTTCTCGCTCACGGAAGGGTGCTGGCTGGCGGGGAACGAGGTTGCGGCCGAGCACTTGCCCAGGGGCGAGAGAGGGAGAGCCATGCGCCGAGTCGTACGACCTGTTGTTCATCGCGGCGTATGTCCCCACGCCAGCCCCAATACCACCCACCGGCGTGCCCGCTCCGGATGCGGGCGGTGGTGGAGGAAAGAGCATAGAGTCAGGCACCACCTTAGCCACGGGCGGTCGCGGCGGGCGTCCTTCGACACTGCTTGACCCAGAAGAGACTTCGCGTTGCCGACCGCGCTGCTGTGAAGGCTCATCCCAACTCTGATGGTGATGCGACGATGCGGGCCCAGGAGGAGGGAAGAGAGCCTCGTCCGGAACCACCGAGTAGATGTTGCGAGATGACAAGGAAGGCTTCGAGACGTGGTGTCCTTGCGAGCCAGCATCGGTGCCCGAGGCGGCGTAGGCGTAGGTTGGGTCCATGTTTGCGCCCGAGGCTTTGCGGACGTGATGGACTGCGAAAGAGCTACCGGCGCCAGCCGCAGCAGCACCAGCCGCAGCGCCGCCTCCATGGTGCCCATCGTCGGAGGGCCCCTCACCACCATTGCCATTGCGTTTCTCATCGTCTACTACCTCCCACTTCCAGGGCATAACCTCCGCAGCAGGCCAGCCAGAGCGACCGTTCGATCCACCGCCATTGGCTGTTTTGCGGCGTCGCCAGAAGATGAAGAGGCCCGCAACGATTGCCGCCGCGAGGAGGCAGCCGACTACTGCGCCCGCGATTGCGCCACCATTTGAGGAGGAAGAGGAAGATGATGAGTCGTCGGCGGCATTTTTGGAGGAAGAGCTGCTATTGCTGGATGTAGGCGTTGCGGCAACGGCGCCAGATTTGGTGGAGTTGTGGTGGGATCCAGTGCGCGACGATGACGCGGAGGAAGACGACGCCGTAGCTGACGAGGAAGCGGCGACGGCGCTACCAATCGACTTTGCGGCCACCAATCCTGGGCTAGCTGTGACGTTTGCGTTCGCGGTGCACTTCGTCGGCCTGGACCCAACTGTGTACTGTTCTCCCACGCCTCCTGTGCCGGACTTGCCATCATCCAACGCAACAATGACAAAGTCGGTCCCGCTGGGCAGCACGACGGGGAAGTTCCAGCTGGTATCGCGAATTCCCGCCGCATACTGCAGTGGAACCATTCGCTCAGCGAGGACGACGAATTGCACTGGTGGAGTGATGCCGCTGTTTGAGGAGTCGACCTGCCACTGAATTTCCCACGATCCACACTCCTGAGGAATCGCCTTCTCTGATCGGGGGAACCAGACGAAGTCCAGATCCGAAGCAGGGGCTGAGCATGAGGAGCTGGACGTTGCAATTCTGGAGAAGGAGGACGTGCCTGCGACCGCTCCTGTGGCGTCGGATACGGCGACGATGACGTTGAGTGAGTCGGGGTAGTTGGGGACATTCCACTGCCATTGCGAGGAGGAAGATGAGGCTGTGGGGATCGTTACGGATACGGGGAGTTGGTTGACGGGGGCCACGGTGATCGTCCAGGGCGCCTGTCCTTTGGACGCATCCCACGTGACGGTCATGGGGGAGCATGATTTGATGTCATCAGAAAGGGTCACGGCGAGAGGAGAAGGGGCGGCGCGTGACTCGAGGGAGCCACCGGCGGCGGCCGCGGCGGCTGCCATACCGGCGCTGTGAAGGCGGCGACCACCGTGGCGTGTCAGGCCGCTCATCGATGCGAGAAAAGCTGTGACGAGGCGGGATAGCTTGAGGAAGAGAAAGAAGGGAGGCCGAAGGTGAAGTCGATGGGAGCGTTCGTCGGATCGGTAGCGCCCAACGCGTTGCGGTGAGGAGCAATTTGGATAAAGAGCGTGGGATAGCGCAACTAGGCGCTTGCAAGGCTAAACAGGGGTAGGTATAGAACGAGGGGGTAAAGAGGGAGGGAGGGGTTCAGCAAAAGCTGATGTTAGGAGGGAGATGGTTATGTAGGGGTATTGAGTAGCGTGGGTCGAGGAGAGAGATGGGGGCTAAAATGGAAAGGTAGTAGCTCCGTAGCAGGTAGCAGCAAGCAGCAAGCAGGCAGGGCGTCAGGCGGGCGGGGCAGCGCGACGCAGTGCAACTCAATTCATTGACTTGACTTCAGGGCGGAGAGAGACGGGGGGGCAGAGGGCGGGCGAGCGAGGAGTCAAGGCAAGCAAGCAGACGCAAGACGCACCCCGTTGAGCAAGCGAGGGCTTCCACAAGCCTCTCATCGAACAGCGAGCAGTCAGCGCCCAAGAGGGTCAAGGCTCAATCGAGCCGCCTCAAGCTCTCCAACGCGTGGCGCTTGCACCACATTGAGCTAGCCTGGCTAGGGGGGGAGGGTGCTACGAGAAAGCTTAACTTGGTGCTTGTTTGGTGACCAAGGGGCGAGAGTGACAGATCGACATTCGCGACACGGCGCGAGGTGTGACCATGCCATCACACCCAGCCTTCTCCCTCGTCCGGAGCTGCTACACCAGCTGTCGTCTCGTCAAGCTCGTCGACTCGTCCTTCCTTTGTTCTCGCGCACATTTGACAAGTCGCCGATCTACCGAGCGAGAGAGCCTGTCGTGATCCGAATCTTCATCGTTGAAGAGAGTCGTGGCTCACACTTTAGCTCAAGTACTTAAGATCACGATGTCTGTGACCCACTCTTGTGCTCTCATGGCGAGCTCACATCGCGAATATCATGGTCATCCGGTGGAGAGCAGCGGTTAGCTGTACTCGACTTGCCCAGCAATGGCGGGTAGCAGCAAGTGACAACGCTTTCACCCACTCTCTTCGTCTAATTCGACACGATACGAGTCGATGCCTTCAGTCCCCGCTCCTCTCTTCCTCTATTCCGCGGCTTCATTTTCCTCATCGCCACGCTGGACCGTTTATCGCTCGCCTCACCTCGACAGCCCTCGATATGCGACGCGATGTGATGCCACTCTGTAAATGGAATATGCTGACGTCCGTGGGTGGCTTCTCGTATGCGGGCCAGGCAGTAGGGGGTGGGTCGGTGGACGCCCGGCGTTCTTGATCTTTTGGCGGCGATGGGCGGCAGCGGTCAGCCAAACACGGCAAAGCGAGGGCGAGGAAGAGTCGTCGAGCCCGGACTGGCTGGCGTGCGGATGCAGGCGGCGAGCGTGAGCTGGGCCCTGTCAAGAGCGTGACTGCTTTGATGCCGGGCAAGAGCCCTACACCGCCGCGCCCCCTCTGAGAGCTGCAAGTTGCGAGCGAGGCAAGGCAGCAGGCGGCGAGGGAGCGAGGGAGGTGAGCGGGCGCCCTTGCCTCCTTTTGCCAAACCCGAATCAATCGTCGATCGAACAACGAGCACGATCATTACCACCACTACCCAACCAACGCAACCATCACCACCAAAACCAACGAGACAGCTGGCATCACGAACTGCTCGTGTTCGAGCTTCCCCTTTATCTTCACCAACACTGCTATTTGAAGCGTCTTGAGCCAGCAAAAGGCTCGCCACCCCTCGACTTTCGCTGTCCAAGTCGCACCCGCACATCATCATCGATACCCCATCACCTGCTAGACTTCATCGCAACCGGTTCCCCTATCCTCGAATCATAGCGCAGAGCAAATCATGCTCGCCTCCTCTCTCTTCTCTTCCCCCTCTTCCTCTTCGTCGTCATCGTCAAGAGCCACGACCTCAAAAGCAGCGCAGCAACTCCAGCATTCCTCAACGACCCGTCCATCATCACATCGCCGTCGCCCGGCCAGACGGACGATGATGAGCAGCGTCACCTCTCTCGCAGCATGCGCGGTACTCGCCGTCGCGACGCTGGCCTCGACCGGCGCAGCGCAGGCGCAGAATGTTACTGGTCTGACGGGGACGTGGGCGAGTGGGAGCGGCAAGGTCTTGACTGGGCTGGTGAGTGCTGCGGGCCACCTCTCCCTGCGTTGTACCATGATCATACAGCTGACGTGCTCGTTGTTCTCTCGTTGCCGCCGTCAGGACTTCTTCAACCCAATTGAGAAGAATTTCACCATTCCCACATCAGGCGGTATTTCTTACTCCTTCATCGAGGATCTGCCTACTGGTGGTCATTTCGAGACGAGTCAATTCCGCTTCACATCTAATCGTGAGCAACGAACGTCGGTCGTCCTTCCACTCAGCAATTCACTCACACCTCTCTCTGTTCTGTCTTACCTTTACTTACCTTGCTCCCTTGCCATTAGCCTCGTCAAATCGCTGCTTCACGGCCGCTCTGACATGGCAACACGGCACCTTCACCAACAACGCCAACGGGTCTCTCTCCCTCACCCCTTACGCTCCCGACGGCTACGTGCAAGTCATGGACCCTTGCGCTGCGCAGAGTACCCAGATTTACTCGTACAACCAGTGCGTACAGTTTGCGGTGCCGATGCCTAGCCGCACCTTTGTTCCTCCCCGTCGTAGCTCGCTCGCTGACCCACTACATATCCCTCCGTCCCTTCCTCGCAGATTTGAGCTCATCCCGCAGTGGTTCAATTACCTCGAGTCGTCGACGGGCTACGCCAACATCGCCGGATCAGCGTATGCGATGAAGATGTTTGAGGACGATGGTACGGGCACTGCAGGGACGCCAAAAGCGATCATGTATTTGATCAACAGGCCGCCGACTATGCTGCCTACCGTACAGCTGCATGAGGAGGTGCTCAACTCGGTGGGAGCGTACGATTGAGCACGACCCGATTGGACACGATGCTGCGTGTTCTTTCAGGTAAAAGCGTCACCGGCTGGCCGACTCAAATGATCTCTCCTCTATTCGACTATCTTCAAAGCATGGACTCTCGACTTTCACGTTATGATACATGGGCTCGCTGGCAGTCTCGCAGCCACTCGGAGACCGGTGGCCTGCTGGCAGCTGCTTGTCCTACACCCACCCGCACGACCTCTATGATCCTCAAACATCCACTTTCTCCAATTGAAGGCGCTTGCAGCAGGGCAGTGCTACGGCAAGCTCGCGCATCGATCCAGACAGAAGGGCGGGAGGGCGAGGAGCGACACCCCTCAATTTGGTTTGCTGATCAACCGCTGCGGCTAGCCTGTCGGTGCTCACGGCTAACTTCAGCCAAGTCTGTGTCCATTGCGCATCAATTTCGCCCTCGTCTTCGAACAGCTGGCTCCACCTGCGACCCTCTCGCCGCCGCACAACAGAACATTGCCTCCCATCAATCGCCAATAGCCTTCGGTACCCGCCCACCCTAGCCACTCTTTATGCTCTCCCTCCATCTCCTTGTCTCCATTCCCCCTTCACCCTCGTCCATCGTCTCGCTGACCTGCAGTGCAACCAGCCTTCGCAAGACGTCAGCGGGTAGCGAAGGTGATGGGCACGCACATCCACGTCGCACACCTACGCTCACTCAACGCACGCGGTCTCGGTCTGGCGCTCTGTTGCCATTCTTGTCGCTATACACAGCCCACTGTTCTTCTCTCCTTCTCGCACGATCGACTCGACTCAACATGTCAAATACAACGAGAATACAGCCAGCCAGGTGTTGTGATTGTGATTGCGAGGCGCGCTTCGAAGTGTGGCTTGAAGGTTGCGCCCGCCTTGGCCGCACCTCGTGGCGAGTCAAGGAGCGGCCTTGAGCGGACGAATCGAGTCTGGCGCTCTGCCGGCAGTCCGTCGGCGTAGAGAGGCGCGTGAAGCGGAGAGCCGGTGCGGAGAGGGCGGTTGTTGCATGAATGTGGTGCTGCTGCAATGAGAGCCGCCCATCAAAGATCAAGAAGCTCTCGTTACTGCCTCGTCGTCTTGTCTTTCGACCCATCAGAGGATATCTCAGGCCAAGCTGACATTGTTAGACATGGCCCTCCGTCATCTCTTGACTACAGCGTCACGCTCATCGTCGAGCGTCGCCTCATCAGCAGCTCGTAGGTCCACCAGCGCACGCTCCACTCTCGCCATCTCAGCAGCAGCAGCATCACGCAGCATGTCTACCTCGTCATCCCGCTACGAGCCCTCGTCGCTTTCCAGCGTCAAGAACGTCGCTTCAACCTCCTCTTTCCCATCCCCTACTCCTCTCCGTCTGCAACCACCCAATGCAGAGGAAGAGGCGGCAGACATCCAACGCGCAGTCGATGAGGTCCAGAAGTTCTTCGACTCGCCGCGTTTCGCAGGCATCAAGCGCCCTTACACTGCCGCCTCGGTGGTAGCCAAGCGCGGATCCATGCCCGCTACCCCACCGCAGTCCTCTCTCATGGCAGACAAGCTTTGGTCCCTCCTGCGTCATCGCTTCAGCAAGGGCGAGCCAGTCCACACAATGGGCGCAATCGACCCGGTACAACAGTCCCAGATGGCCTACAACCAGGAAGTCACCTACGTATCCGGTTGGGCTTGCTCGTCTGTCCTCACCACTTGCAACAATGAGACAGGCCCCGATCTTGCCGACTACCCCTACAACACTGTTCCCAACCAGGTTCAGCGCCTTTTCAAGGCTCAGCTCCACCACGACAGGAAGCATTGGGACAACAGGGCAAAGATGAGCAAGAGCCAGAAGGAGAGCACCCCTTGGGTCGACTATCTGAGGCCAATCATCGCTGATGCGGACACGGGGCACGGAGGTCTGACTACCGTCATGAAGCTGGCAAAGCTCTTTGCTGAGAATGGAGCTGCGGGCATTCATTTGGAGGACCAGTTGCACGGAGGCAAAAAGGTGCGTAGTGCAGTGCGGCGTGGAGCAGATCAATTTGTTCGGCATACAGGCAGAGCTGACTCTTTCAGTACTCTACTGCTCGCCCGCAGTGCGGTCACCAAGCAGGCAAGGTCCTTGTGCCCACATCTGAGCACGTCAACCGCCTCAACGCTACCCGCCTCGCATGGGACATCCTCGGCTCCTCGAACCTCGTCATCGCCCGCACGGACTCTGAGTCAGGCAAGCTCATCTCGTCGAACATCGACGTGCGTGACCACGAATTCATCCGTGGTGCGTACGACCTGCCAGAGGGGACCCCCTCTCTGGCTGAGGCGCTGGCCAAGGCAGAGGCGGAGGGCAAGGTGGGCGGTGAGGTCGACAAGGTGGAGAAGGAATGGATGGACGGCTGCAAGCTCATGACCTTTAACGAGGCCGTCGCCGAGAAGCACGGCAAGGACTCATCCAAGGTGGCAGAGTACATGAAGCAAGTTGAGGGCGGCGTTTCCACCACCTCTGCTCGCAGCATCGCCTCATCCATCTTTGGCCCAGAGGGAGTGCCCCGATGGGACGCAGAAGCACCTCGCACAAAGGAGGGTTACTTCCACTTCACTGGAGGAATCAACGCTGCCATCAAACGCGTCAAGTGCTTCGCCCCTTATGCAGACATGCTCTGGCTCGAGACCAAGACGCCCAATCTCAAGGAGGCCCAATCCTTTGCAGGCGAGATCCACAAGGACTGCCCAGACAAGATGCTGGTGTATAACTTGAGCCCCTCGTTCAACTGGTCAGCGCACGGATTCAGCGACGCGGACCTCAAGAACTTCATCTGGGATATGGGCAAGACTGGATTCGTCCTTCAGCTCATCTCCCTGGCCGGTCTCCACTTGAACGGTCTCGCGGCCGCAGAGCTGAGCCGCGCATACAAGGACGAGGGAATGGCAGCGTACGTCCGACTGGTACAGAAGAGGGAGAAGGAGCTGGATGTGGATATTCTCAAGCATCAGGCTTGGAGTGGAGCAGGCTATGCGGATGGACTGGTTACGACCGTGTCCAGCGGATCAAGTGCGACCGCCGCCACGGGCAAGGATTCGACTGAGGGTCAGTTCTAGATGGGGCGAGGGAGGTGTCACTTGGATTTGATGAGAGGAGAAGAGAGAGCGTTACATGGATATGTTGACACGTCTTGAGCGTCTGCGCGACTGTGTGATCAGAGCCTTGTTGCGTCTGCGACGATTCTCTTGCTCTTCTCGCCCTGACTCGTTTTCCCCTTCTGGCGTCTGCCCAGCGCAACCCACACCGACTCTCAATGAGCCTCTGCTCTTCACAGCGAATCCTTCCCCATCCCATCCCTCTCAAGAAGTGCCCTGAGAACGTCCATCAATTCCTTTTTCCCCTGCGCAGCCTCGGCCTCCTTCTGTCGCCTCTGATGCAGAGGCAAATGATGGAAGGGCGATTCGTGCCCTGGTTGACCCTGCTCGAAAGCCTCGGCCAGGTGAGCATCGAGAAGTCGCCGCAATTGAGCTGACAAGACAGCAATGCGTGCTGGGGCACGAATGCGGACCGAGCCTTCCTCGTTGGCGGGCGGAGGGATGGGAGCGGTAGCGGGTGTTGTGGGACGGCTGTTGGCCTGACTGGCGGGGGCGCTCCCGTTGGCGCTGCCATTGGCGCTTCCATTGGCGCTGCCTGGCTTGTCGTCCTTCTGAGCTTGCTGGCCGCCGGCCGTCGATTGCTGCGGCGCATCCTCAATAGCGCCAGTCGCTCGTGGTAAAACGGAGATACCGCCCATCATAGCATGTACCTTCAATCTGCCGCAGAACAGCAGCAAGGCATAAACAGGGACCTCAGTCGCATCGCGTAGGAAGACCTTTGCATCTTTGCTGGCCACCGACGGCTTGCTAGTGTCACTCTTGCGCCATACTGCGAGGTGACTGCTGTCAATCTTCGTGCTCGAGAAGAGGACCGACGAGGGGTGGAGGAAGACACGACCACCCGTAGCGCTGCTGGTGGAAGAGGGGGACGTGCCAATGGGGTCCGAGAATAGACGGACTTGACGAGCTTCGGGGTCTTTGGCGATCGCACCGGAGGAAGATTCCTGGCGACGTAAAAGAGAGAAGGGATCGTCAGCTTCTTGGTCCTCGTCATTCTTGCTCCTCTCACGCAACTCACCTGGTACCTAGCCTCAGGCTGTGCCACTCTGACTACCTGCGGCCACAGACTAGCAGCGAGTAACGCTCTCAGCGTACTCATGTCTCCCGCATGCTCATCCAATTCATGCCCAGTCCAACTCTTGTAGTCGCGCGGCGCGAAGCCAATGTCCATCACATCTCTCAACAAATCTCCCCTCGCGTTGGCGACCTCCCTCAATCCTGCCTGACTGAGAAAGTGACCTTCAACAAATTGCTTGGCCACCTTGTTCCTAATCGCAGAATTGGTCGTTGGCTTACTGGTGAAAGCGGCATACTCCTCGTACAAGGCCGCGTCGGTGAGCAGGTCAGAGCGTGTACCGCGTGCCTCGGCCTCGCGAGCGCGCATGAGGGCGAGAGCGTCGCGCTGCTCGAAGGAGGCGGCGTAGAGTGGCTTGGTGGTGGACATGAGGGCGGCGATGGTGAGAAGAGGGGAGAGACAGTGGAGGAGAGAACCGAGGATGAGGAGCTTGGCGAGGCGCAGGTCCAGCGGGAGGGAGGCAAGGTGCCGACCAAGAGGGGAGGTGGTGAGGGTGCTCTTGGAGGCCGACAAAACCGGGCGGATCGCACCAGCCTCATGCAGGTTTGCGATGGCACTGCTGATGGAGGCGAGCGAGGGCGGGTCCACAGCCTCGCTGAGGTAGCCCCCTGGGTCCTCCTTGCCCATCGTAAGGGCGTATAGCACCACATTCTCCAGAGGGACGCGCTGCATCTCCGGCTGGCCATTTGGAGGCATAACCCTTGCCTCCATGGTGCGACTAAAGAGCTTCCAGCACTCTCCAGGTCGAGTGCGGCCTGCTCGACCTCGTCGCTGCGTCGCCGAAGCTCGGCTCGTCATCTTCTCCACCAACCTGCTCAAGCCTGCTTCGGGGTCATAAGACATCTCCTTTACTCTGCCCGTGTCCACGACGGCGGTAACGCCGTCAATCGTGATGGAGGCCTCTGCCACGTTGGTCGCAACGACGACTTTGCGCAACTGCGGGTCGCTCGTGGGACCAAAGACGCGCTGTTGCTCTTCGCTGCTCAAATTGGAATGGAGAGGCATGACCTCGACCGGCGGGTTGTTATTGAGCTGCCTAATGGCGTCGATCGCCTGCCGAATCTCCCCAACGCCGCTCATGAAAACGAGGACTGCGCCGAGCTGCACATCTTTCTCGCCTGAAGCCTTGGCCTGGCTTTCCTTACCAGTCTCTCTGTGCACGACGTGTCTCACGGCTTTGCCAATGAGCTCGTAGTCCTGCGGCGTCAGACCCGGACCTTGGCGCTCCAGCACCTCCATGGCAGTGATATCGCCCTCAGACAGACCACGGTTGAACGCATCTACTCGCAAACCCTTGAGGGGGCCGGCCTTGTCCCTGCTCGCAGAGTACGACGCCGGGCTCGAGGAAGAAGGACGGAAGCTGATGGCCTGAACCAGGTCCTCGAGGTAGAAGTCCTCTACAGGATGAGTGCGACCCTCCACGTCTATGCTGCCAATGCCGTTGTTGCCGCCAGGGATGCGCTTGGCAAAGTAGTTGATATACTTGTCCTTTTGCAGTGTGGCGCTCATGAGCACGACCTTGATGCGAGGGTTGACTTTCAGGAGGGCGGAGACTTCCAGCAGCAACAAGTCCGAGTCGAGGGATCTCTCGTGGATCTCGTCGATGAGCAGGTGAGAGACGGAAGCTAGATCCGGCTCTGAGGTGAGACGACGGAGCAGAAGACCGGTTGTGGTGAAGAGGATGCGATTGTTCGGCCCCACACGGCGCTCGCCGCGAACGGACCAACCGACCGTGTCACCTACCCGCTCACCACGCTCGTGCGCCACTCGATCTGCGATGCTCATAGCGCTGACACGGCGAGGCTGCGTGACGATGATTTTGCATGTGCTTCCCTTGCCCTGCTCGATCTCTGAATCGAGAATGAATTGCGGCAGCTGTGTCGTCTTTCCCGAGCCCGTGGAACCGGTGAGGAGCGTGAGGCGGTGGTTTGCCAACGTAGCGACAATCTCGGGGTAGTGACGTGCGATGGGTAGGCTGTTGCGCGCAGCGAGGAGCTCGCCGCCTTGTGCCGAGGACTTGAATGCCTTCGCTCGCTGCGAGAGCTTGTTGTCGACTGCAAAGTCTCGAAGAATCGGGCGCGGAGGTAGGTGACGAGGGCCGGTGGGGGCAGTCGGCTTGCGCACTGCTGCTTTGCTGGACGAGGGCGACGATGGCTGAGATGGTGAGGTCGAGCGCGAAGGCTGCGCCGTGAATCCTACCATGACCTCTTCGAATTTGATCTGCGACGAACGCAATTGAAGAAGATGTCAGCTCGGGAAGTATGGGCGGCAGTCTCGCTGCATCACCTGCGCGTCCACTCACCTTGTCCCCTCGGACAATACCCTTCCAAGAGCTCTCCAGCTCCTCCGCCATAGCAAGCACGATCCCACCCTGCCCTTCCTGCAGTTGCTGCTTCCATTCCTGAGACTCTTCAAACTTGCGCAGCAGATGCTGCGTCAATGCCAGGCGCAAGTAGGGTGGCAATGCCGTCTGACCAGGGGAGGTCACGTAGAAAGTAGGCGGAGCGGCATCACTGCTTTCAATGGGATAGCTGTCGTGCTTCCAAAGGACGCGCAGGCGGATGTCCTCCTTGCCCCACTCTTCTTCGTCAGCGCCACTCTTGCTTGTGCCGCCACGACCCTCAATTCTGGCGCGCGACGGGCCAGCGATGACGACGTCGAAGCAGTCCGAGCTGGTGAAGCCCAATGGGCGGTCATTGGGATCTAGAGGGAGCACACGGTCTGTGCCGAGAATAGACTCGATGACCGTCATTTCATCCTTTCGCCGGTCGAGTAACCCTTCGTCTCCTTGCCCGTCGTCCAGTGATAGCTCTTTGAGGGATGCGGAAGGCGATGAAGGCGATGAGGGTGCAGAGGGTTGCTCTGTCTGCTTTCCAAGACGACGCGCCAACCTCCTCATGGCAGTGACCTCCCGTTTACCCACATCCGTCTCGTTGCCAATGCTCAGCTCCTTTTCCGCTGCAGACTTGGGGTACCCTGCCCCCTTTGTCAGGCGGTCAAGGGCATACTGAAGTTTGAGACCATCCTCCTTGCCCTTTGCGACCGCAGTGGTGATGAATGACTCGCTCGTGACGCCGGCTTTGAAGCGCGAAGGTAGGTCCTCCTCAGGCACATAGAGGGTGAGATAGGTGAGGATGGCGTCCAGGTCCGACTGGGTAGCGATGGTCTGGAGGAGGTAGTTGCCCCGAGTGGCACCGTGCGATGCGATGGCTTTGCGGGCGCGGGGCAGCCAGGACAGGGCTGACGAGATGTAGCCGGGACGGAATCCCAGCGTGGTGAGCTGTTTGGTGAGCGCGGGCCCGTCGATTGGCTTGGGCGCTGGCTTTGGATTGTTTGAGCTCTCTGCCTCGTCTTGGCCCTCCAGAGTCTCTTCAGCTTCCTCGAGAAGCGCAGGCAAAGCAGCTGAGGCGCGCTTGACGACATCCTCAACCCAGTCCCTCATGCTCTTGGACATGCGTGCCTCCTTTGCATCTCTCCACCTCTTTGGCAGATTGGGCACAGGCTCCGTCTCTCTAGCCTCCTTCTTACGCTGCTCCTCTCTCTCACGCTTGGCGGCTCGTGCCTCTTTTTCTGCCTTCTGCTGTGCCTGGACGGTGAAGGGGTCTGCGGCGAAGAGGAATGTCTGTTGCTCGGCGGGGACGGACTTCTTCCATGCTTCGAGCTGTGTCCAGTAATGCTTGAACTGCTTCGGGAGCATGAGTCCCAAAGACTGAGTAGAAAAGAGGCGAAAGAGGACGTAGGTGGCACCCCAGTGTCGTGCCATCTCCTTAGACATGACCTCGCCTGCTGTGAAGCGTTGTCGACTGTCCTTGTCATCTGGAACTATTCTAATCACATCGTTAGTGGACTTGTCGCGAGGATTCTGGCGAGAGAGGGTGACTGAGCACGTCCAAGGTACTGCTGGCTTATTGTCAGTGGCGGAAGTTGCCGCGGTAGTGATGGCGCCACCATCAGCCTCGCTGTCGGACGATGCTGTTGTGTTCGCCGCGGAGCCTGCTGCAGTGGCTAGAGGCTTTGGATGGAACTCTGGCTTGTTCCAATCCTTATGCAACTTCTGCAGTCGCTCGCTGAGGAGATTCTGTGGAGTCTTGGTGCCAGGCGGGAACAAGGGTGGCGGCCGGGTGTCGTCCGGGCTGCGCATAGAAGACGACGAGGCTGAGGGCGGAGGTGGCTTGCCTCCTCCCTTGACCCAGTCGGGCAAGGGGGCCGCCTTCGAACTGGTAGCACCCGTCGACTTGATGGCGGCACTCTTCTTGCGCTGGCCCATCTCGTGTCGTAGCGCCGGGTGGGGATGTGATTCGAGTGATGGAGCGGAAGCCAAGTCGCGAAGCAAAGCCGGCGGCCAATGTCGACTTTCTTCGCGATGTCGACCTCAGTCCGCCCTCTCTCCGCTGCCTGTGCTGCGATGCGAGTCGATGAGCTCGTGGAGAGCGGAGAGCGAAACAACACTCGACTCGAGGCAAGAGGCGGCGCCCAATCAACAGAAAGTCCAGATGCGATGCGATGCGAGCGGCTCGTTGCGGGGGCCTACTCGTTGCAGCACCAACGCCGACCACGACCACGCCGACCATCACACGACGTCTCTTCCAATCCGAATCATCAATCATCTGCTACGACATGCGACTCAGGACGTGGTCCACCTAGTTCAGCTCACACCTGCATCAGACCAAGGCAGCAGCGATGCCAGCTCCGGCCGGCAAGTCGGTCTCCTTTTTGGCGAACTGCACTATCATGTCAGTACGAGTGAGCGGACGAGCGTGTATGCGACCAAGGTGGATCTGACTCTTTCGATTCTGCTTAAAATGCCAGTCCTATCGGCTTTGTCAGACCAGACAGCATCACAGGCAAGACTACTGGGACCGTCAAAGTCCATGCAGCATCAACGTCGTCCCGTCATCTAGCAACTGCTCAATGGCAATGGCAGAGCTCAAAGGTGTGCTCAGCGGCCAGGGACCCTCAGCTGCGCAGAGAGGTCCTTGGTGCCTCGCCGCAAAAGAAGCGTCAGAGGAGATGGAGCTGCTCAGATCGCGATGAGCTCGTGCAAGCTTCTCCCGGCAGCGCTGCCAACGAAGGCTTTCCAGAGAATGCTTTCAACAATGACCGGCGGTCGAGGCCGAGTGCCATTCGTAGACCCACGCCGGCAATAGCTCAGCCAGTCAAGAGGCTGTCTGCGCCTTCGTCGAAGCCTATGACAGCTACAACGCTTCCACAAAGCGAGGGCCCGCGCAAAGTCTCAGCTGTCGTCGCTGCGCCGAGAGCTGCGTACCGGCCCCTCAATCTAGGCCAAGGGGACGATCATCTCGAGGGCCCCGCTACTGCCCCGAGTCCGACGGCATCTGCCAATTCGTCTTACATCGCTGCCATGCCGGATACCACACCTCGCTTTGACAAATCTCAAGGGCTTCCCGTCATATCTGCGCGGGAGCATCAGAGGCTAAAGAATGGCGACAGCGGACGTCCACTCCGCCTGATGAGATCTGCTCCGGATCTCCTCGCCTCTGCCTCGTACAGCCCCGCCTCATCATCCTCTCCGCTCCCGCCACAATCGTGCTCTTCCCCCACTGCCTCGACCAGACCTGCTCTACCCGGCAAACATCGAAGCTGGCTCTCCAAGAAGCTCACACGACACCGCGACCCGGATCCTGATACAGACCACGAGGACCACGACCCGACTTCTCTCTCGCCACGCCAAGCCTACCTCCTCCTCACTACCTCACCTCTCAACACAGCTTGTATCTGCGTGCACTGCTCAGGGCGTATACGTGCCGGACTCAGCCCAGGTTACGTCCCGCATTGGAGCAAGGGAGCTAGGGCGAAGTGGCTGGCGGACAGGAAACAGGCCGAGATGATGGCAGCGGCGCAAGGACCGGTAGAGACCGTAGCGTTGCAGAAAAACGCACTGAGCGTGGGACCAGGAAAAGCTGCTGCTGCTGCTGCTGCTGCTGCTCATCACCAGGCTTTGAGCCTCAACAACGGACCGCAGGGCATTGTGCTGCGGAACGCTCGCTCGCCCCCTCCACCAGGGATGCAGAAGTATGATCCGCCTGAACAGCAAAGCGGGCGAGGCAAGACGGCCGTGGCTATCAAGATCGATGGGCCCGAGCCTCGCAGAGAGGCTCCGACGACAGCTGAGGAGAAGGCAGGGGTCGACGATGAGGATGATGCGGATGCTGCGGCTGACTTGAGGGACATTTTCTCTGGATCGGGTCCTGCCACGCCTGGTGGTCCGTCGCTAGGCGCAAGCGCCCCACCCTTGCAAGTCGACGAGGTCGATCAGAAGCGCGGGGAGGTACATCGGCCTGACGACGACATTGAGCGTCCAGCATCACCTCCCACAGCTGCTGCGTCTCCGGGGATCATCGACACTCTCGAAGCGCGAGCCGAGCACTGCGCTCCGACACCTTCTGACCACGTCGCCTTAGCCGACCCCTCTTCTCATCCCCTCGACTCCGATCCTTCACTCCGCTCTCAAGTTCAACGCGACCTTGCGCAGCGAATGGAGCGTCGACGTTCTGACCAGGCCATCCGACGTGGAGGGGCTCGCGGCATGCTCGCACAGCTGGAGGAGGCGGATCGGCGGGAAGAGGTTGCGAGGGAACGCAGAGGAGTAGCGAGGAGGAGGGAGAGCAGTGAGCGTGCGGAAGAGGGTGAAGATGTTAGACCAATGGGAGCGTGGACCCCGCCATTGCCTGGGGACAGGGCGACCAGTCCCTCTTTGCGGCTCTCACCGTCCAATTCTGCATCAGCCGCTAGTGGTGGGCTCGGATTGCTACGACGCTCCCCTTCGCCCAGCCCCTTGCTGGAGCGCATCAAGACTGCAGTCAAGCGTCCGTCACTCGACGGGATGCATCGCTCCTCCTCGCCGGGCATGTTGAGATCACCTTCGCCCCTCTCTGCCGGGGCTCACGCTCATGGTCACGCAGGAGGGGCAGGGGTGCCTGTCGTCCGCACTCCTTCACCCTTCCTGGCTAGAAGTCCGACCATTCCTGAAGAGTCATTTCAGCCTACGACTCGAGTGGCATCGGGATCAGGCCCAGCCCTCTCCTCTCCCCTGGCGGTCCACCCTCCCACTTGCTCCACCACAACCTCGGTACCAACAGCCGAAGAACAAGCACAGGCCGATGCCTTGCCACCACAGATACGCCCCTCAGCTTCACGGCGTATTGCGTCGTCGTCTTCCTCTTCGTCCAGCTCAGCAGCCACTGCGGCAATGGCCGCTGGTATGAGTGCCGGCGGAGCGCTAGGGCTGAGCTTGTCGCCTACGAGTTCGAGGAGCAGTGTGGGAGAGGGTGCGGGAGGGAGTGCAGTCGCACAACAGGGTAAGGATAAGAAGGCGAAGCAGGCGGTCAGCTCGCCAACTGGGAATGATGTTGCCTCTAGCCGGCAGAAGCAGCAGCAGCAGGCGGACAGCTTTCCCTGGAACGGCAAGACCATGAATGGCCCTGGGTCCACCAGTACCGCGCCCACTCAATCAAAAGACGACCTCACCAAGGTGGCTAGCCCCTCCGCTTCCTCATCCACCTTAACAGCCCTACGTCACTCCGGCTCCCTCTCGCGCTCGAGCGCAACAGGCGCCATCAGTAGCGCGACCGTCGCGAGCGGGAGCGGGAGCGCGAGTGGTAGCGTCCGCAGATCCAAGACCCTCCCACCTAGCTCAGCGAAAGCAGCTTTGTCTCTCCTACAATCGCAGGACTCCAACCTAACCGCCTCTGCCGTGCGAGGGGGCTCCTCTGGTGGCTCGAACAGCAGGCGAGGAAGTCAAGACGTCCTCCAACCCTCTGCTTCCATCACGCCTACCCGATCCCCGGCTCCGGTGACTTCACCAGCACAAGAAGCGCAAGCTTCAGCGGAGACGGACCGTAGGTTGAGGCGACGGAGCTTCCAGAGGAGGATTAGTGCGCCTTTGGCTGCAGCTAAGGGACGTTTCTTTGGTGGGTTGGGAACTGGGAGTGGGGATAGGGGCGCGTAGGGCCCTACGATGAGGGCGATCAGGCGCAGCGAAGGATGACTGGGGGAACGGATCTTTACGCTCTGCTACGGTACGCTACGGACGATGCAATGTCATTTTGATACCCATTGCGCTCGCTTGTCGTCGTGCTTGATCGGATGCCGAAGCGCCGTTTTGCTGCAAGCCACGGCATGGTCTACGGCCGGGCTCAGCATGGTAAGGTCCTCGACCTCCCATCTCAGCTTGAGGCGCCGAGGTATGACTAGCTTGAGCGTGATGATGCGACAGAATGTCAAGTGAGGTCAGAACGACGGGACGGGCGGATCTGAAGCAATGATGTAGCTCAGATTTATTTCACAATTGCTGAATGATGACGACGACGACGACAAAGAACAAAAGTCTCGAGCAGTGCAATGGGAGACACGCGCGTTTCCCTGTCTTCTCTCCAGGGGCACGCTAGCCCGTTTTGTCCTCAACTCCACCATACCTGCCAGCCAGGCCATACCGCCTCTCTGCTTCCTTACAAACAACCTTCTCGACGCAACATCTACGCGGCGCAGCTGAAGGGCTTGCCTACAGTGCCGGCATCCGTCTGCTCCTTGATGTCGATGGCAGAGGCGTAGATACCGGCGACGACGATGAACAATCCGCCCACGGCGATGAGAATGTTGAGCACGGTAAATACCATGTTCCTCATGCTGGCATTCCAGCTTCCATCTCTCAGGAAGTAGATGTAGAAGAGGGCTGGGAAGGTGTAGGAGAAGAAGCTGATGAAGGCTGCGGAAATGATACCGAGGAGCGCCGAGAAGATGGGGATGAGCTCAGCGACGAGCCATGCGATGATGGTGATGACGGCGATGATGCCGACCCAAGCGATGTTGCCCTGCTTGGTGTTGATGAGCTCGTGGCGCGTGCCCTTGTACTTCCAGTCGTAGATGAAGCGACCGGCGGTGACGGAGTTGATGGAGCCAGAGATGAAGATTACGGGGATGGCTACACCGAAGGCTACCTTTGAAAGGGTAGGGGAGAGGCCAAGGAGGGCAGGCGACTCGACTTGCTGGCCAGAGAAGCGGTAGATGAGGGATCCGGTGAGGCAGTAGATGACCATCTCCACGGAGACGAGGAGGCCGACTGACTTGGTGTACTCCCTAGGGCGCTTGAGCTCAGACATGAAGCTGAACTGGCACTGCGCGTAGGCGTAGGCAAAAGTGATGTTGGTAACGGCAAGGAAGGCAGAGGCAAAGGTGGGTGCCTCCGGGTTAACGGCGTACCACTGCACAGCATCGAGACCACCAGGGCGCTGAGAGCCTTCGACTCCCGAGCCAATGATGGTGATGATGATGGCAATGACAATCGAAGCAAAGTCGACGTAGCCAAGCCAGCCCATCTCGTTGAACGTCTTGGGGAGGGCGAGGATGAAGAGGATGATGGCTGAGATGGCCGAGAAGCCGACTTGGCAGATGGCATTGTCGCTCAGAGCGTTGAACATCAGTCGACCGGTGAGGGCGTGGGATCCCGTGGTGAAGATGAGAAGGAGCAAGAAGATGGTCGTGGTAAAGTAGCGACCAGTCTTGCGACCTCCTTCGCCGAACATGCGAACGAAGAGGAGCTCACCGGCCATTGGATAGCTCGTCATCTCGCGGTTGGCGAGCCAGGTGCGACCGATGTGGATCGAGCAGACGTAGCTGATGATGCCCATCCCGATGACAATGAGGAGAGCAGGGACGAGACCGAGAGTGGCAAAGGAAGCAGGCATTGAGAGGGATCCAAGGGCAATGGCCTCGACGATCATGACACTGGTAAGGCGGAGCCATGAGAGCTTGTGGAACTTGCCTGCCTCGCCTGCTTGGTTCATCTCGCGGTCAAACTCGACGACATCCGTCGTAGCCTTCTCGCCGTTGGGAAGGACATGCGTCTTCTCCATGTTGCCGCCCTCGGTGGGCGTGGAGCCGGAGTGGTTGGGAGAGGGGGCACGAGAGTTCTCGGCCGTCGTGACCTTGTCGTTTTCGATGGACATGGTGGGCACAGTGGGCGTGGTGGGGCGCGATAGGCGATGGAGTCAGGGGGTATTGGCTACAGCTTCGCGCCGAGTTGAGAAGGGCGAGGGTATTTAGCGACGATGGAAAATCGTGTGACCTCTACCGGGAGCAAGATTGCCGAGCGATATGTTATCTCTCAGACCTAGTAGTGATGGTGGCGGTGGTGGTGATGACGACGAAGACGACGACGACGGAGGCTGAGACAAAGAGGCTAGGGAGGGGGTTAAAGGCCCAAGGAGGAAGGAGGAACCGCAGACGCAGTCGCAGCTGTGCGAGTTGCGACGTTGAAGTGTGGGGTCGGTGGGGAAGAAGCAAATGCAATTGAAGAGAGAGAGAGAGTGAAGAATGAGCAGCGTGACCCTTGTCTCTTTGGTCTCGCACACCTCGCCCATGAGACTAGCGTCCGACTGGCGCGGGGAAGGACGCAGATACGGCGCCGTGGCTCTATCCTACGATATGCTGCCTCCTCTTCGCCAGGACGGTCGTTCCTGCTTGCTTGCCACTTTACCTCCTGGGGCGTCAGAGCGTCCACTTTCTAACGAGAGGAAAAGCTGGTGGTGGAGCAAGCGGCTCGAGCCGCACTGAGCGCGTGAGCAAATTCCAAGGAACCACAACCAAGCCAGAGGGGCAAAGTGCCGCGGCATCTGCGGCCCGCATCGTCTCGCATCAAGCTGAGATGCGAGCGGCCAGCCGCACTTCCAGCGGCACTTTCGCCGTCTTCGCCGTCTGAGCACCGGGAGAAAAAAGGTCAAACGGCGACCAAGGTTGCGGGTTTGCGGCAGCTTCTTCCTAAGCCGCTCGTGTGCCCGTGCCCGTCAGAGGCGCGGCAGAGCTGAGTGCGACAAAGTGAACCCATGCGAGGCAGGCGCGCGAGAAGAAACGGAACGACGACGACGACGACGACCGGTCTCGATGCTCCTTTGGGCTGCTCTAAGCTGCTCTAAGCTTGGACGCCTGATTGACAACGCCAAGGGCACGATGAGACGCATTGTACAGCCAGGCCTCGACGCTTCACGCACGATGAATTGCTACTTCATCTAGCCTCAATATAGACTCGAGGCATTACAAGCACCAACGCATCGGCTTCTCGACGCCACGTCAGCCACGCTCCTGCCCGGCGCCACCCGTGATCACTCGTTTGCTTGAGCTTGGCTCGAGGTTGCGGTTGAGGATGGGTGAGGGGCCGCGAAGGATGCCTCTTATGGGTACACTCGAGTGGGGAGGTGGCAGAGAGCAGCAAGCTACCGTCTCTGGGCGCTGCGCTGCGCTGTACTGCGTGCAAAAACCCACGTCGCGTTGCGTTGCGTCGCGTCGCAGCGTCCCGCAGCTTTCGGTCGGTAACATTGACGTTGGGCCTGGCCCTCGACTTGGATGTCTCGTGGCGCGAATCGTTGGTGTTGCGATCGGTCTCACACTGTCTGATCCTCACGACGGGGCATCGGTGTATGCCTGGTCCTGTCAGGCCTACCTCTACGAGCATTCGGATGAGCAATGAGGCGCGGCCACACGCAACGGCGTCGAGCCTCAGGAGTCTATCATCAGCATGCTCCGGGCCGTAACGCAAACAGTCCTATCTCGCGGACCAGCGTTGAGACGTGACATTCGAGGCAGGCAGAGCGATACCGCTGTCACTCGTGAAACCAGAGCAAGACGGTGCAAGACGGCGTCAAATTGGCTTGCGCTCCCTCCTACGCTTAAGATAACGGTGAGAAGGTCGCTGATGATCGTCACTCTCTTCCTTGTGTCTCTGACACAGCGCTTCGCGAGATTCGGCACACACGCCGAAGTCTATGAAAGAGAATTGGATTTCTCAGCATCTATCATTAACGCAGAGGAGAGAGAGGTCACTGCTCGCCCCTTCTCCCCTCTCCTCATCGAGTCAACTTGACAAAGTTACGCCCTCATCCCTTGCACATCCTTCTTCCCGGTAGACCGTGCTGCCTTGCTCGCGCATCTACGCAACGGGCTCAGGCTTCTTCCTCAGGTCATCAACGTTGATCTTACCACTCGCAATGTCCTCGAACATCGTCTTGACGACCTTCCAGCTGTCGAAGAGCGTGTACTTGATCCCCTTGTTGTCACAGTAGATCTTGAGGTCGTTGTCCTGCTTCTCCTTGACGAAGAGGATGTCGGCGTGAGCAGCAGCGCTCATGTCCGAGATACCGTCGCCGGCGAAGGTGATGAGAGGAGGGTTGGGGAGGTTGCGGTAAGGGAGGATGGACTTCGACTTGTCGTGGCCAAAGTGGTTGTCAGGGTGACGGTATACGAGCTTCCAGGTGTCTCCCTTCTTCTCCGGGTCGGTGAACTCAACCTCGTTGGCGATGATGTCAATCTTGTTGGCCTCCTCCTCTCCGATCAGGTTGGAGAAGATGGCACGGATGACGGGAACCATGCCGGATGAGACGACGACGACGGGGATGTTGTTGGCCTTGGCGTAAGCGTAGAAGTCCTTGAAGCCGGGGTCGAGCTTGACGTCACGCTTGACGAGCTCGAGCATCTCGGGGAAGGGACGCTTGACGGACTCGAGCATGGTGCGGAAGCCCTCGAGGTAGGAGACACGCTCGTTGATAATCTCTACGTTGATCTTGCGGCGCTCGGTGTAGCCTGGAAGTCGGGAGTCGGGAGTCGGGTGAGCATGGAATTGGTGCTGGTCTCATCGTAGGCGGCCGGACTCACCCATGCCGACAGTGTCGACCATGTGGTCGTTGGAGTCGAGGAGCGTGATCGTGCCATCGAAGTCAGTGATGACGATCTGCTTGCAGTCCTTGTACTTTGCCTCGTCGGGTCCAAACATGGGGTTCGACATTGTGAATAGGTGTTGAGGTGTTGGAAAGTGTTGGGGAGGAGAGGAAGAAAGGGTGCTATGCTCGGGTAGTCGTTGCGCCAACACAACGTGGCTGGTTTTTGTGTCGATCGAGCGGAGTTTGAAAAGGGGCGAGCGGGCAAGCAGGGCAGCGTCATTGGGCCCTGGCAGAGGGCAAGTCGTGGCTGAACGGCGGGAATGTCGTGTCGAGCTGGTAGCATGGAGCGGGATTGAGGGGCATTGTCTCGAATGAAGGACGTACTGATGCTGATGAGGCGTGGCGTCTTGTCAGCGATACTGGCGTGAGTGTCATGATGATTGCCCGGCGGTCTATTCGCAGCTCGAGGCGTGGGACTTTGCCCTGCCGCACGACGCACGCGCCTCCACCCGCGAAGAGAGATCGAGGGCGGTGCGAGCTGCGAAGGAGGGTCCAGCACACACACGCCTGCCAATTCCATTCAGTTCAATTCAATCTTCCTGTCTTCTTTCCTTCCCTTCTCACATCTACAAGCGCATCCAGTCCTTATCACCACACACCATCAGCATGGACGCAGCCAAAGTCAACCCGGAACGCGCCCTGGCCTCGCGCTACAACCCGGCTCACTACTTCGCCTACGTCTCGGCCGCGTACTTCTTTCTCCTGTCCCTCCCCTTGCTACTCTTCCCGCGTATCTTGCTCCTGATTTCCACCCCTCGAGGTGCTGCAGGACAGGCAGGAGACACGCCTGATCAGGGAGCCAGTGCCGGTGCCGGCGTTTCGGCTCTTGGACCAGGTGCGTGCCGTGATGGCCACTCTTCAACAGGAAACATACTGACTTACCTTCTCGACCTTCAGAATTGACGCCGATCGAGAGGCAGTTGGCCTATTCGTGGGGCATCGCACAGATCACATTGGGATTGGTGTCGCTAGTTCTTGTGCGTTGCGAGCTATCAGCCTCACAATTGACGACAGCTCGAGGCTAACCCACTTTCTCTTCCTGCTTGCGCACACGCACAGACAGGCGCCATTCCCTTGACCTCGCACCCCCTTCCCGACCAGGCCGCCTCGGGACAGCAATCTCCCTACAGACAGCCCTCGGTCCTTCTCCTCACCCTGTACTATCTCGCCATCGCCGCTCAGTCTTACCTTTCGGTAGGCAAAGCGCCCTCTGCAGCTGAGGCTGCCACACCCTCTGAGCTTGGAACTGGCAACTTCGGCTTGCTCCTCGCTCTGCCCCACGCAGGCTTGGCTGCTTGGGGATTGTTCGTCCTCATGTTCGGGGGAGACATGGCCAAGAACAAGAAGAAGGCCGGAGATGCAAGTGCAAAGGACAAGGCGACTAGCAACTTCCCCTTCAAGAACACGTATGCCGAGAATGAGAAGTCGAAGTGAGCGGCAGCAACGTCTCGTGGCGCTGACATGAGATGGGCGAGGGGAAGCAGACAAAGGGAATGGGCGGTAGCGCAGTACCAGGACGAGCAAAAGCAGAGCTAGTGTAGCCCTGCGCCGGCGCAGAACGCTTGTGCAGATGGATATCGTCGAATCGCAATTAGCAAATCTATCCAAATAGGTTGTCCAATGAGTTGAGAAGGCTTGTGCCTGATGGCGGTGGTGGCGACCGCGACTTCTCAGCTGGCGCCTTCTCCGTCGGCGAGGCACTCTCGGCACTACCAGGTGGCCGACCGACCCGTTTTGTCGGTTGCGCAGGTGCTTCGGCCGCGGGCTCGACAGCTTGAAAGTCCCTTCGCTTGTTCTTGCTTCCTTTTGGTCGGCCCACCTTCTTCTCGACGATCAATACTTCCCGACTCCCTTCGCTCGACATTGCCTCCTCCTGCCCCTGCTCCTGCTCCTCTTCCTCCGCAGCGCTCTCGCTCTCGCTGCTGTCCTCCCCACTACTGGCGGGTGCCGTGTCCTCTTGCACCCTTCTTCGCTTCCTCGCCTTACTAGTCACCCGGCCCAAAGCATCGAAGTCCAGCTGACCAGCCTCGAGCCACTCTTTGCGTCGGTAAACTGAGCGTACTACGTCTGACCAGAGGCCCAATGACGACTCATCTCGAGCACGACGATGGCTGCCGTTCCTCGCAGAAGAGCACGTGGGGCAGTGACCGGTGAGAGGAAGGATCTCCTTCTCCTTCGCTTTCCCGCCTTCCTCTTGCAGCCACCGCTTCGACAGGCAAGTCAAATGAAAGGCAGAAGCGCAGTGCGACCTCTCGAGCTGCTCCTCTTGGCCAAGCGCTACAGCGCCGTCCACGGTGCGCTCTTCTTCTGCTTCATGTATTGGCCGTGGTGTGAGGCGGTGGTAGGGCGAGGGACAGAGAGTCCAGGAGGTGTAGTCACGGATATCGATGGGATTGTCGCAGCAGGAACACTTGATCGAGTGTGCGAGCTGACGAGGTCGAGAGGAGCTGCTGATCGTGTTGGTCGGGATGACAAGATCCATAGGCGATAAGACGTGATGAGTGAGGAAGCGGCGCAGACGATGCAGGGTGAGGAAGGTGAAGTCGGCATCATCCATGGCCATCCTGGGCGGCCAGACCTCCTCCTCTCCATCCCCTTGCTCCACCGTAGGCACCACAGCCGGCACGACGGGCACTTCGTTTTCAAGCTCGTGCCACGTCACGCCCATTCCTCGCGGCGTAGCACCGATGGGGAGAGTCTCGTGCCATGTTGAGTTGGCCCCCCTCGATGGCGACAGTGGCGGCTGCTCTTTCGCTTTGCCTTTACCCTTGCCCTTCTTCGTTGATGCAGAAGATGTGGTTGTCTCAATCTGCTTCAGCCCCATGCACTCCTTCTCCACCGCACTGTACGCTACCAATGGTTTCCTCGTCCCTAGAGGACCAGTAAAGTCGCACCGGATCGCCGGGCTGAGATGGCGCGGCGGTAGGGTTCTACTTGTCTGTCTACCCTCCGAGCGTAGCTGTGAACTAGACGAGGCACCGTTCGACTCCTTTGTGGCGCGACGTGCATCTTCCTCCTCATCCAACCGCTTCCAAGCCTTCCAAGCCCATTCAGCTAAGAACGTCACCCTGAGGCCCCAGTGACAGAAGGGCTCGCTCCTCAGCAACCCGCGAAGGACTAGCACCATGTTAGTAGGGCTCTGCTTGCCCCTTTTGCCCTTTCCAGGCCAGATTGCTTTCCCTTGTCCCTCGATCTCCTTGAGATGGCGAGAGAGGTGTGGCTTCTGGAACGCCCATTCAAATTGCAATGCTGCAATCTTGCTCCCGAAGCCCCATACCAGGAGTTCCATCTCCCACGGCCGACCTGTGCGTGTCCGCTGTGCTCCAGCTGTGAGTTGGCCATTATGTTGACGGAGGCGACGACGGGGTGAGGGGGTGGAGCCGACGTAGGTTTTCGTTGAGGGTTTAGGGATGGAGGAAGAAGAGGCAGAGGTGCCTGGCTTGGCAGGTGGGTAGGATCGAAGCAGGTAGACGGCGTAGAAGGACGGTGTGGTAGGAGCGAGGAGGGAAGACATGTTCGGCACCTGGGGTAGTCTCTAGGCTATGTTGCTCCTACTTTAGTCGTCCAAGCCCTTGTTGCTCAGTCCTGTCCTCGTGGTCAGAACGAGTCGGCCTCGCAGCCACCTTGCGACCGCACGTCTGGAATGACGCCGAGAATCGCCAAGGACCAATCAATTGACGAGCTGTCTTCGACTTAAGATGCTCCCATGACCGACTGAAATGACGCGACAGCCGCGACTGAGCTGCTTGTATGCTGAGAAATGAGTGGTATCATCGAAAGCTCGAAAGCTCCTTCGCAACATCGGACTGGCGGACTGAGCCCGAGTCCCGTCTCCCGTCTCGTCTCCACACGACAGCCTGCCCTCGCACCACGTGGCTCTATTTCCACGCCTCGACGCGCTTGGTCGCGAGCCGCGACTTGAGCTTCGCCCTTGGCCCGCCGCCCGACCACAAGTCAACCGCCTTCCCCTTTCATCCTTTGCTGCCATTCACTACATTACCATCACCCGGCTGCCATCGCCATCGCCATCTACGTCTGTCTCCATCATCAAGTCCGCAGCCTAGTGTTACCGCCTTGCACAAAATTGACGCCACGCACCATCATCATCATTCTCGGCCCCCACTTCTCCCTCGTCTCGTTGCGCGGCCCCTGCTGCTGAGCGCCGCTCCTCTCCGCCTACAATGGCCCAAGGGGGAGCCTCCTCGTCCTCTTCAGGGCATGCTTCCTCGTCCTCACCACCTGTGGCGCGCAGGAATGCGACGGAATCACGCTCACTCGAAGGTGAGGCCCCGAGAGAGACTGGCAAATAGGCCCAGCATGCGAATACTGACTCCTTTGGGGCCCTTTGCTGCCCTGCCCTTTGCCCTCGCTCGCAGTGCGTGTGTGGTACACCCTTGAGTCATCTCCACATCGCATGCTGGCGTCCTCTGGCAGATCAATCGACGTCGACCTGCTGCCCGCTCTGGAGCCCCTGCGGTCGTCGGACCCAAAAGGCAAGGCGCCTGAACGACCACCGCGTTTGGCTGAGGTTACGCTAAAGACTTGCTTGAGCGCCATTTGCATCTCGAGGTGAGCATGCGCAGCAGATCGCCAATTGTGGCTTGGCAGAAGTGCTGACTCCTCGCCGCCATCTCCGACCGCTTGCCCGCAGCCCTGAGCTCATCCTCGACCGCAAGCGCGACTACATCCTGTACGCCGTCGATCCAGTCGAGACGTATCGCTCGAGCTCACGACGCTCACGCACTGCATCTGGCGGATCACAAGAGCCCGTCTTCCGTGGCAAGGGCTTCTTTGGCTGGATACTTGAGGAAGAGGGAAACGGAGACACAGTCGTGGTGGGCAAGGTCTCCGAGGTGGGGAGGAGACGATCAGCCTCGTGGTCAGAGGATGACAGCGATGAGTATGATGATACAGCGTATCTCGATGTCGAGATCAGAATGAAGGAGACGGAGGCACAGACGAGGGAACAATTCTTTGCCAGGCTTGGACAGTTTGGAACCGCCAGCGCTGCCGGTGGGAGTGGGAGTGGAAGTGGGAATGGCAGCCGTCCCACATCGTCCACCCCTACTCCTGTCGCCACGACCTCTACGACGGTAAAGCGCAAGGTCAGGCCCAGCTCCAAGCATGCGTCATCGTCATCATCTTCGCGACCTCTGCCGGTACACAGTGCCTCGTCGCCCATTCGCAAAGTCGCCACGTCCACCGTACGTGCAGCACCAGCGCCATCGTCTGGACAAGCTCAGGCATTGCATGTCCTTCAGCTACTCCAGACGCTCCAAGCTCAGCAGCAGCAGCAACAACAGCTACAACAAGCTGCTACTCCATCCGCAGCATCGCCTTCTGCTGGCGCGCTCGAGGCGCTCCTCAAGATGACGGGAGGTACTGCTGGCCTCCAGCGCACTACGTCGACTCCGAATGCCTCCTCTCCTGCAACAACGACCAACGAGGTCGCATCACCCTCCTCGCTTTTAACCACGGCCCTTGGCGAGGCGCTGAAAGCCGCCGGCATCCCCTCACCAGCGCCCCTGAAGCCTGCCGAGCCGAAGCCCGTCGCCAAGCTCTCGCGATCCAAATCCACCTCAGCAGCAGCCGCTTCCTCATCCACCTCCTCGGAGCATGTTGAATACCGCCGTTGCTACAACTGCGGAATAAGGCAGCCGCAGTCGAGCGTCTGGCGTCTCCCTGTGCTTCTTGAGGGCACGAAAGTCGACGTTCCCGAAGCCTTCTCCCACGACCCTCATCGAGGGCCCAACGGCAGCAAGTCCGATGACCAGGACCTGACGCCCAATGAGGATGGTATCGTGCTCGCGAATGGACGCAGCACCTGGCGAGCATGCAACCGTTGTGGCCTCTTCTATACAAAGTGGAAGAAGAACAGGCCTGAATCCGTCAATCGTCGTACTCGCGAGGTCCTGCCGGGCGAGGCGAGCTCGCCTGCGCCACAAGCCGCAGCCACATCGTCTCGCAAGCGTCCCTCGCCCGAAGCCGACGAGATCGGTGAGACAATTGCGAACAACAACGACAATGAGGAGGAAGAGGACGCAACGCAGGACGAGATCCTCGGCTCGTCCCCTCCTGGACCCAGCAGCAAACGTACGAAGCGCGAGTACGATCGCGAGTTGATCAAGGACAAACACGGCCAGTGGCGATCGCGACGCTCCGTGAGGGAGAATCCAGAGGGCAGGAAGTCTGGACGACCACAGGGATGCAGGTCCGGGTCTGGAAAGAAGAAGACTGATACCTCTAAGAGGACGGCCACCTCTGAGGCGGGTGATGAAGAGGAGAAGGAGACGACGAAAGGTCAATCGAGCGTGACAAAGGACGAAGAAGCCGCCTTTGACACTTTCGGCAACAAGACAGCGGCTAGCACGACGGCGACTCAGGAGGCAGTCGCAGCCTTCGCTTTAGGCACCAGCCTTCCCCCGTCATCCCACGCCCAGACCTCACCACTACGTGCAGGGCCCACGCGCACCTTTCCCTGGTCCAATGCCCCACCCAACGCCTCGACTCTCCAGCATACGCCAACGGACCTCACGCCAAACCGTCGAGCAGACCGGTACGGCATGCCCGCTGATCTTCTCATGTCCAGCCCGAATACAGCGCTCGATCGGCTTTTAAGGGAACCCTTCAATCTAGACTTTTCATCAGTCGCCGGGGTGACGCAAAGCTCGCCCATTCGACGCTCACCGCGCAAGAACCCGCATGGGACGAGAGATCAGCGCAATCCATATGCAACGACTGCGGCAGGAGGTGCAGTGGGAACACCAAGCATGGTGCTCACTACGAGCGCGACAGGTAGCCCAAGCCGAGCTGATGTGACGGGGGGCAACGACGTTTTGGACATGGACTTCTTCAGCGCCTTTACCAATTTCAAGTCTCCCTCCTCTGTCCTGTCCTCCTCAGAGCCGACAAGCAAGAAGCCCAGCCCTTCTTCGCAGTCATCCTCACAAGACGCAGACGCAACAGAGCGTCGCCGCTCCTTACGCGCAGGTGGGGCGGCAGGGGGGCCAAGCTCTGGGGCAATGACGTCGTCCCTTACATCGCCTGCTTCGCCTAGCCCTGCTTCAAACAAGAGGCTGCGTGCGGCTAATAACGCGCTGCTGCACTCTAGTTCTCCACTGAGCGCCAGAGCTCGTGGGCTTGACAACAATGACGATGACGACGATGAGGAGGAAGAAGACGTTGGTGACTCGCCTAGTCGCGCAAAGTCCCAGCGTCTCCAAGCCGGAAGCAGTAGCAGCATCAGTGCTCCCATCTGCCCTGCTAGCCCTTCATTGGGCCAGAGACGTAAGCGCGACATCACTGGGCCATCTGCGCCCGTTGCTCCGGCATCAGCCTCATCACCGGCAGGCATCCTCACCAAAGGTCCGAGCCCCGCGCCGAACAAGAGGGGGAGCTCGGTCACGCCGCGTAAACAGCCCCAAGCTGGCGCTGCCGATGGAGACAACGTTTTCGCTCTTCCAGCGAGCCGACAGCCCTCCCAATCGCCTGCGATGAGAAAGAAGATCACTTCGCAATCTCCGCGCAACACCACCAGCAGCAATCAACTCGTGGTACCCGGCAGTGCAAGTGGAGGGCGACGCAAGCCTCTTCCCGCCACAGTGGAAGATGCGCCTCCATCTTCTGCGGGGTCATCACCCGTGGACCAGGATGACGAGGAAGAGGGAGAGGATCAGTACGCCCTCAGCCCCTACGACCAAGCCTCCGTCAGCGACCTTCTCCAAATGTTCGACGATCCATACGGCATTCTGGCCGCCAATGGGATCGGCCTGCCGCTCAATCAGTCTACCAGCACGACGATGCCCAACGGAACGGTCGCGACGAATGGGGGTGGCTCGATGAGCGTCAACCAGTTCGACAGCATTCAGCTGCACGATCGTCAAGCGTTTCCGCAGCATCTGAGAGCCTTCACGGAGGAAGGGGCAAAGGGGGTCGCGGCGCTGGCTGTTGATGGGTGGCAGGCCGCAGCGAACAGCTCTCAGCAGTCTGCCGTAACGCCCAAAGAGGAGGGAGAGAAGAAGACGACACCGACGAAGAAGGATGGTGGCAAGGCAGTGCCTGCTACTCCGACTAGGAGCTCACCGCGCTTCCACACTACTCCTGGCGGCAGGCAGAGGCCAGCTCATCCACCTCGCACTCCCTCCGCTTCCGGTCAAGCAGGCTCCTCTTCATCCAAGCCCACCGCTTCGGGCCCACCACGCACTCCTCTCTCGAAGCTCTCCAACCTCAGCCCCGGCTCTCTCGCCGCTCTTTCCCGCAGCCCGGCGTTGCAGAAGGCCCTAGTCAGCCATGTCGCCTCCGGCTCCGGCTCGACACCGAGCAGTGGAGGGGGCACGCTGGATTTCAATGCCTTGTTCGGCTCAGGAGTTGGAGGGCTGGGCAGCCTGAGTCCCCTCTTCGCCACTCCGCGTGGTGCTGGCAAGGGCACAGGGATGTCAATGGGCCTCCCACCGCTCAGTCCCAGTCTGTCAAGGGTCTTGAGCCAGTATGGCGAATCTGCTTCCTCCGCGACTCAAGAGCAAGGGGAGGAGCAGAATCGAGACGGAGCACAGGGGAACGAGCTTGCTCTTGTACCGGGCAACGCAGGTGCGCAAGGGCAGCCGGAGATTACTGCTGCGGACCTGCAGCAGCTCTTTGGAGATGATCCGGCTTGGGTTGGGTGGTTGGGCGCGATGAGTGGAAATGGTGGCGATGGGCAGGGACAGGGACAGGAGCAAGGCAAGGAGGCTGCCACGACGTCTTCCTGAGTGGTCACGTAGATATGAAGTGGTGGGAGATCAGGCTGCTTGATGCTGCCCAATTGCAATCATTCACACCGATCAATCATGATTGCTAGCGATCTCATGTACGTGAGTGTGCTTTTGTGTGTGAAATGTGGGCTGATGACTGGACGCGTTGCGAGCGACTTGCCCCTCGCGTTCGCGTAGACCAGACGAGTGCTGACCGCCCGCTCGCACAGTCAGTCGACAGTCGAGTCGCGCTCGAAGTCAGAGTGATGCTTTCGCTTGCCGCCGCCGCCGCCGCTTCATCGAGTCGCATTACCAATGAGAGTGCGGTCCGGAATGCTTTCTTGTCTTCTGTCTTTCCACTTCTTTGCCTTCGTGCTCTTGTTGCCTCTCTTCCTTCTTCGACGTCTCGACATTTCCTCTCACCTGATTGAGCCAGACTGCTTCGTTTCCTACCAGCACCACTGTCTAGCACTCACTCTTGACCACTTCCTTTGCATCATCTCTTGAGTCCCATACACACCATCTCCTACACACCATCTGGAGCATGACTATCCTACCAAACCTCATTTCCACATCTTCCTCGTCTATCTCGGTCTCTCAGCCGCGACTTCCCGCATCCACCCCTTCGACATCAGCCCCGCCGACCCAGCTCCCATCCTTCTCCGCCTTTGCCCCATCAGGCGATCACGCTGATCAATCCACCTCAAGGGAGACGCACGAGACTCGCCCTTTCTTCCCACTCGACAGCTGGAGCGATCTAAGGCTCGACACGAGTAGCGGCTCTTCTTCGCAACCGCCATACGAGAGACCACGGGCACCAATTCCGGGCAAGCATCGTCATCGCCGGGTCGACTCGCTGCCCTCGACATTCATGTCGTCGTCATCTGAATACGAGGGAGAGGCCATTTGCTTTAATGCCAGCGACAGCTACTCGGGATGGCAGACGAGTGCTGAGCAGGGCGAACCTAACGCAGATATCGAAAGCCAGGAGTCCAACGATTCTCGCCCACAGCGACAAGATCAAGAAGAACGTCGACTCCCCAATCTAAGTGACTCTTCGCCTCTCTCGAGCTTCATCATCAAAGGATGTCGTCCTACAGACTCACCCAAAGGCATCCTTGGCGCACACCGCCGCAAGCCCAGCACAAAGCGGCGCGATGTCTCCCAGCCTGATCACTTCGACACCAAGACCAAGCCTGCGGTGGCTGGAGACTACTTCGCTCCCTTGCCCGGTGCGCACGTTTCACCGGTACCACCACCTCGCTCATCAAGTCGGCCACGTTTACGCAGAGACTGCTCGAAATCAATTCAAATTCATGGCAGCGAACAACAGCGATGTCGCCGACCTTTGACTCCTTACCCAGGCTTTGACTGTGGGGAGGCGCCACCTGCAGCGGAGGAGGCGAGGAGGAGAGAGATGGGGAAAGTGGCTGCGTACATCACTGCGGGACGTCAAGCTGAGAAGAGCAAGATCGATGGCGACCTAGGCGTTGAAGCCACTACAAACGGGCATTGGCCGTGGAACAGCGTGCCGCTGCAGCGTTTCTCTTCTGCCGCTGAACCGAAAGCAGCAACTTCGCAGCTGCACCTGGCCAATCTCAGTGGGGATGACACGGCGGTGGCGAGTCAGTCGCAGCATTCAGACCTGCAGCGTAAGCAGCTATGGTCCTACCCCAATCCATTTGCAGTCCCTTCAGCCTATGCAACCAACGCCGGCGCTCAATTTCGCCGCGTCTCTCCGATGCAAAGTGAGACAACGACTCTGACAGGATCGCTGCTACCCGCTCAGCAAGCCGCAGCTGCCTGCAAGCATTCGTGCGACGAAGATCCGCCCCGCCCTGACACCTGCTCACCAACGGGCAAGCGTCTTCGCGATTACTATCAGCGCCTGTTCCGCTCAATCTCGACGCAAGGCACAGCTCCCACACGCCCGCCTACCCGTTTGGCCATGCCGCGAGACGGTTCGCACGCCACGCTGCACAGCAAGTACAGCGGCGAGGAGACGATACGCGCCGGCACCACGGCACATGACGGCAGTATGGCATACCGTGGCGGCGGCTGGTTCAGCGCCTATCACGGCGTCCCCAACAAGATGTCCATCTCGCCCGACGTCACCAGTGGCTCTCACTCGTACGAGAGGGAGATGCGTCACAGAGGTGAAGCCGGAAAGCCGCCCGGGACAAGCAAGAAGGCAGGGACCGATGGCAGGCCTCCAGTCCATCGTGAGCAAAGGAGGAGACTGAGCGCGAGTGTCTGGCCAAAGAGCCTGCAGCACTCTACCGCCTCCTCTACTTCGCTGAGTGACGAGAGCGATTGGGATAGCCAGGGCGCGGCTGGTGGAGCTGGATATGTTCTCGACCGGGGCCGCGACTCGCCGCCAAGCGCATTCGGCCATCCACCTCCGGCCTACCCTCCCGGTCCAGCTGGTCATGCTGCGGATGCAACGACTGGTATCCCGTCCTACCACCTCCTGCTCCACCAACTCGTCGCTCAATGGGACGAGGCCCTCCTCTATCTGGAGTCGAACCACCTGCACAGCTTCGATTCATCCCAACAGACCCCGAAGGTCATCTCGCGTTTCCTGGTGTTCCGTCTCCCACCCATCACTCTATTCATCCTCTTGGCCAGCTTCTTCATCTACATTTGCTTCAAGTACGAGGTACCCCCAAGCCTCTACGGTCTCATGGGCAGTATTACCGTGGGACTCATGGCGTGGGCTACTTTCGCCTGTCAAAGGGGGGAGGAGAACATGGACAAAGAGCGCGAGAGTGAGGTGCAACTATTGAAGCAAAAGTGGTTGAAGGGCAAGGTGCGTGAGCGGCGCAGAAGGAGGCGAAGGGAGAGGAAGAGGATGAAGGAGGCTGAAGCGGTAGCGAAGAGGGCGGCTTTGATTGCCGAGGCAATGGCTGTTGCGGCTAGTGAGCGAAATCAGGTGTTGGGCGGATTGAACAGAGTGACCAGCAGCAGTAGAGGGGGCAAGCAACATCAGCAGCAGCGCAGTCCTCGACCTGCCCCTCATGCGACCAGGTCGAATCGGCCTCAATCCTCTCAATCAGCCCCGGCCGCGCCAGTCGAGGTAGTGCGCAAGGCCAGCACAACCCTAAGGGGCATCCTCACCTCTCCAGCGGCTACCGTTCCTCCCAAAGCAACAGCCACTTCAGCCCTACCTTCCCCAAGCGTCGGTTTTGCACTTCCCAGCGCAAGCGATAGAATAAAGCGCAGCTGTTGGGGCAGTAGGATGGCTGAAGCGGCTCGCTCGCCCGTCGTCGAGATTGGTGGGGCATCACCGCTTCAGCAACAGGATGCAACGATGGCACGCAGGCGGAGCGAGGCAGCCCGAGTGAGTCGCAATCCCTTTGCGGACATTCGGCAGGAGGACCAACGCGACAGCCATCTCGGAGAAGAGCAAGCCAAGACCACCCCAAAATCCCAGCAGGACGCGAACAGCACCACCACGAGCACGGCTGGGTACGACTCCCAAGACGCCGAGCATGCTGCTGAAGAGGAGCAGCACGAGTCGTCCATCACCTACTCAGAGCGCCGCGCCTGGATCAAACGGTGGGCTCGAGAGGCTTCTTTCGCGCCGCTTTGCGCCCCACCTGCCGATCCCTCCAACGAGCCTCTCGCTTCGTCATCACTCTTCACCACGGGACCGTACATCGACTGGGCTGAGGGAGGTGTTCTCCACCAGCAGGCCCCCACCGATGGCCAACGAAGGGCAATGCAGCCTTCCACCTCTATGGCCACTACTCTGGCGTACACAAATGCTCTCACGCCCGCCTTAGGGTCTCCAGCGATAGAGCGTGACGAGCCGAGGGAGCCTTGCCCCTCCCCCGTTGCCGTCCGTGATCGCAATCGCGCTCCTGAGCCCGCAACGGAGCCGCCTCCACCTCCCTCTCACACGACGCCGGAGACGGTCACTACCGCTCAGGGCACGATGGAGGGCACGAATGGGACTAATGGCACCTCTTCCAATGCGCAAGAAGCCTCCCGTGCCTCAGGACAGGGTGCGGAGTGGATCCGCAATGCGGTCAATGAGGCACGAGCGCTCTTGCAGCACAACAGGCTTGGCCTGCAGAATGGGGAGAACAGCTCGACTGGTGGAGTAACATCCGTCCCTCGTGAAGGCTCGACTCCGCACACCTTACCCTCCAGCCCCTCAGGGAGGCGTCCCCTTCCCTCCCTCCCTTCATTGACGCGCGATCGTCTCTTCTCTTCTCCCAAAAGCAACAGGAGCAATGCTTCCAACCCGCTTGCTCCTGGCCCTCCCAGTACGACTGCGTCGCCAGCCGGTGCGGTAAAGAGGAGGAGCAGAGCACCCAGCCGATCGACGGCTGTCGGGGGTATGGCGGCGACAGCTGCTGCTGCGGCTGTGGCGCATTCGGTGACATTGCCAGGCGGAAGAGGAGGAGGAGGAGGGTGGGCTGCGGGTCTGTGAGTGGGTGGGTGGGGGTAGACAATGGAATGAAGAAGGAGAAGGGGCAAAGACGGCGTGAATTGCACAACCTGAAACCATCTGCTGCGCTGCAGAGAGGCGAAGTGGCACTCTTTTGCTAGACTGCCGTCCGTTTGCTTTGTATTGTAGGAAGAGCATGAAATTTCCATCCATCCATAGACGCGTCAAGGAGGGTGAAGCGTGGGCTGACGTTGAGAGGGAAGGCTGAAATCGAGCTTAGGAGGAATGCGTAATGCATGCCCAGCGATTTGCCCTTGGCGACGGAATTGCGCCCCTAACATCGTCGTCCTGCCCTCGCGGCCCCGTTCCACCCGCCTGTGCTGCCATCATCTTATCCTGATTCGTCCACCACCGCGCTGCTACTAGGGTATCCCCACCTTTCCATCCCACGCGCCCATCATCACCACCTTCCATCTGATGGTTCCTTACTTCTCACCAACGACCCTCCTCCTCACTTCATCCCTTGCCTCACTTCCGATACCAGCCTCCTTCTCTGCCTTCCTATCAATCCTGCTAGCCTCATCTGCGGGAACACCGTCATTGTACGAGCCAGAGAAGGGTGCCATCCCAGGTCGTTTGCCCTTCTCTCCTGCCTCGACCCCCTTCTTACCCGCAGTACCCTGTTTCTCCCCCTTCTTTGCGCTACTCCCATCGAAGCGCTTCAGCACTGCAGCAATCATTGCTCTGAACCAAACAAAGTTGAGCGTGTTCAACACCACGTTGCCCACCGAGTAGAAGACCTTGAGTCCAAGTGGGATGGCGGGTACATGCGGGTGTTGGGGGAAATTGACGTGTTGGAACCAGGAGTAAGAGTTGTACACTCCAAATGTCAATCGCGCAACGATGTAGGACGAGAGGAGGAAAAAGGCATTTATGAGCTGGTAGGAGGAACCGGTGAGACCGCACTTGTCCATGAACCAGTGGATGTTGAGGAAGGGAGTGGAGAGTTCCCAGAGGAGGAAGCCGAAGCCGTCGTACATGAAGATTGGGTGCTGGTGTGGCGGAGACAAGAAAGGGAAGGTGGACGAAGTATCAGCACGGATTCAAGAAGGCAGCTTGGTTCTTGCGACTCTCGCGTACTCACGTAGACGAATGTGAAGGCCATCATAGCCACAGCTCCATGAGCAATGAAAGCGGGCCCGTCAAAGAGAGCCGACACGACGAGGTCCCAGATGAAATAGCCCAACGTGACAGCGTAGACGTTTCCTGCTTCCTTGGTGTACCCATACGTCCTGTTCTGAGCCAAAGGGTGACTGCTACCCTTCAATCCGCCTCCCTCCCTGACCTCGTACCATTGCGCCGCCGCCAATGGCACAATGATGACCGCATGTGCCAAGGCGACAAAGTGGACGTGCCACTGTGTCCTCGTGCGACCTGGAAGGCGCTTGTATGCAGGGTAGATGGCGGGAGTGAGGAGGATGGACCCAAAGTGCAGGAGAAGCCAGAAGGAGAGGGAGAGGAGGACCAAGGGGAAATGCGTGGCCATGTGAGGGATGCCGAGGGAGGTGAATAGGGGAAGGAGTTGCGTAGTCAGCGAGGGGGAGAGGGTGCCGAAGGGCAAGACGGGGAGGAGTGCCGACGCCATAGTGGTAGTGACGATATTGGAGTGGAGTGGAGTGGAGTGAGAGAAAGGAAGAAGAGCAACGCCTAGTCGCTTGGCCCGGATCCAGGCCTGGAGCAGCGGGCGAATGCATCGGACAACGCCGAGTGTCGCCTGCCACGCGCCAATCCGCTGGCTTGTGTTGGCTCGTGCGACGGGCTGAGACGAAGTCAAACAAGGATGAGGGGCGCGTGAGCGGGGCGGGACAACGAACATTGACAATTGACATTGGATTGACTTCGCATCCTCACCATCGGCGCTGAGCTGCCCACCATGTCTCGCTCCTTGCGATCACGGCCACTCACTCTGTACGATGCCTCTGGATCGTCAATCCCTCCTGTCCCCGAGGCGGGCGCCGGCCAGCCATCGGTACCCTCACGCTCAACCTCGAACCATCCAAGCAAGCAACACCACCGCAATGACAGTCGAGATCAGAATCAGCAATCTTCCTCATCTTCCAAGAGCAAGCTCAAGAAGGCATCGCAAGTAGGCTCAAACCTCAAGAAGCGACTCAGTACACGATATGGCGACGATGATCGTCGCTCCTCCCGCATGGCAGCAATGGGCGCAGACGTCTTGGGCCATATGCCTGCGCCGGGCAGCATAGCACAGCATCATCGCCAACAACCAATGATGATACAGGAGGAGCATCAGCAATTCTACCACCAGCATCAAGTCCAGCCATACTCAGAGCAAGACGAGGCAGATCACGAAGCAGATATTATGGAGGCAGATGAGCAGGCTGCCGCTGATCAGGCCGCTATGCCTGTGGCTCCTTCAATGGGTTCACTGGCTCCACCCGTCGCAAGGCAACGGCATTTGGAACCTCCGTCTTCGTCAGCGATGACGAAGCATAGCGGCTCATCCTTATCCTCCGCAGCAGCTTCAGGCAGTGGTGCCTCTTCCTCGTCACGCAAGCCCACGTTGGCATGGCCCAACTCCTCGCTCCGCTCCCTCCTCGACTCCACTCGCTCTCAGGGCCTACGAGACCTCATCGACCTCGATTCTCTCCGAGCTGCCCCCGAGCAGTTCGATAGTATCGACTATCTGCGCTTGCATCTCCCATCGCACGTCCCTCCAGCAACCTTCTCGAGCACCATGTCACAAGCTCGCTCCGCAGCTCAGGCAGATGTCAAGGCCCAGATCTTCGAGAACTACACCGACTTTATCGCCGTCTCGAGCCAGGTCGGGGCGCTCGAGAACGAGATCATCGAGCTCAAGAGCCTCTTGGCCGAATGGAGGCAAATGCCGCGCTTGTTGGAAAGACATGATGAGAGTGCGGGAAAGAGTAGCTCAAGCTTGCTGGCGGCAGCAGCCGCGTCCGCAGGAGGAGCAGGAGGCAAACGCACCTCGGTGCTGTCGCTACAGCAGCTCTATCGGGCCCAACTCACCGCGCTGTGGGAGGGGATCTCCAACTCGCAGAAGTTGATCCCGTACAAGCCAGGCCGACACCTCATTGCGGAAGCGCCAGATTTCTTGGAGCTAAACGCAGCAACCTATCGACCTGTACGCAATGTCGCTCTCTTCCTCCTCGACGACTGTTTGCTCATAGCAAGTCGCCGGAAAGCACGGATGAGCACAAGGGTCAAGCTTGAGGCGGAGCGTTGTTTCTCTCTAGGCGAGATAGTCGTCGTCGATCTCAAGGACTCCAAGGGCCGGAGCGGGTCCTCCAAATCATCTTCGGGAGACGTCGATGCAGCGGGATCGGGCGGGATCAAGGACTCGATCAAGATCAAGCGTGGCAAAGAGACGTTCGTCTACCGAGCAGAGAAGGCGGAGAGCAAGCGCGCATTACTCAATGCCTTCAGAACGGTAGCGGAGGATCTGGCTAGTAGGAAGAAGAGGGAGAAGGCTGGAGGTACTACGGGAGGGTACGATGACGGGCTGACGGTTCCTGGCGGTCCGGGTGGGGGCGATTCGAGACGACAATCCATCTACGCAGGTATGGCGTTCGATCACCGTGGTCCGCCCTCCTCATCAGGCATGGTGGCTTCACCGAGCAACTCCTCTTCCCTGCTCGAGCTGACAGAAGAGGATGGCGACAATGCTGCGGGTGGGGTGATGCGTCTAGCATCTGAGCGCCTCAAACACGACAGGCTCGATCCTACGCGCTGGCTCAACGAATGGTCCGACTCCCTTGCCGTCGATATTGCTCTGCGACGTTGGGCCGAAGCTACGGAGAAGGTCGGCAAGGGCAAAGCGATGCTTTCCACGTATGCTTCTTCCTCCAGCAGCACCGGCGGGGGATCAGGAGGCATCGACGCAACAATGCACGCCGTCTTGTCTGCCCGGCTGGCTACGCACACCTCTGCCCTCGTCTCCTCCCTTCTCGGCGTCCTCCGCTCCCCATCCACGCTCCGCAAGTCCACCCTAATCAGCACTGCGGCCCACCTGACCTCTTTGGGCTACTCAAGCATCGCCCGTCAGGTCTTCCTCTCCACACGCGATGAAAGTCTCCGCCGACGCAAGCGAGCAATCAAGTTCGAGGGGGATACGGAGCTGTACGTCTCCGAGTTGGGCATGGTCGTTTTCGGTACGGTCCGCAACACGAGCGAATGGTTCATGTCCGCTTGGAAGGAGGCAGGGCTTGCATCCGGATTTGTGCGCTGGGCATTGGGACAGGTCCATGGCTTTGCGGTGACGTTCAGGAGGCAGGTGTATGGTGGAGGCAACACAGCTGATGCTGATGGCGTTGGGTCGACGAAGGGAGGGAGACGAGGAGATGACAGTGTTGCTGAGAGGGCCAGGAGGGTGGCGATGGAAAGTGCGCAGCAGTTGAAGGACGTCGGATTGGACTTCACTTTCGTGCTCGAGGAGTTGCTGAAGAGTGAGGAGGAACACAACAGGGAGGCAGAGCAAGCCGTGGCTGCAGCACAAGGGAGTGCTTTGCCCATGCCCAAGGCCAGCAGTAGCAGTAAGACGGCCTCGTCTTCGTCGAGGAGCGGTCGTAGCGAAACGCCTACCAGCGAGCGCAGTGCCACCCCAAGCACGACCGCCTCTACAAGCCCATCAAGACGCAAGCAGTCTGGCGGATCAAGCGTACTGAATCGCATTGCCGATCTCGAAACGATGGCGGGCCTCGCCAATTCTGGCTCCAACTCGAGCACCAACTCGGGTACTGCTCCTCTCTCCTTCTCCAAATCCTCCCCCTCAAACGTCGCACCTCGCCCACCGATGCGACAAGTCTCCAGCTCATCAGTCGCCTCTTCCGACGCAGGAGGGCAAGGAGAAATGAGCACAGCCCCCTCCTCGCCCGCGACGCCCATATCCGCAGGCTTGCCTGGCAGACGAGGCAGGTCAGGAAGTGCGAGCAGTTCAGGCTCCGCCGGAGGAGGAGGTGGTGGTGGTGGTGGTGGCTCGTCTGGTAGCCCAACCACACCGCGAGGAACGACATTACCTCGGGGTGCACCTCCGGTTCCTCCTCTTCCACGGAACGTCGCTTCTGCCTCTTCACCAGCAGCTGCGGGGTCAGGTTCAACCGTCGTGATACCTTCATTGACGCTCACCCTCGCGGATGAGGCGAGTGGGATCTCTAGACGGATCAGCAGCGCCGGTCTGCCAGATGGGATGAGGAGCGCGCAGGAGATGAGAAAACGAGCGGCGATGAGGGGAAACGAGGGGAGATGAGCGATTAACGGGTGAGAATCCGTCAATCAGCCCTTCAACAATGCCACACCTTGCTCCTGCCTGTCGTCTGAATTGAAAAATCGCTTCGATTTCGAGCTCGTCATACAATACGTTCCCCTACTCTACTCCAATCAAATCCAACACCTCAGTCCACTCCCCTGTCCACCCACCTCACTCACTCCCGAAATCCTACACCTCTGCCCCTTAAACTCAGGCAAATACTTCGCCCCCGTAAGCGGGTCCTCCTGTACACTCCCCCCACCGGGAAGCCCACCAATCCCTCCCCCAGGAATAAGCCTATGGCTCCCCGCACAGATGACAAAGTGTCTGTCATGCGGATCATACCCCGGTACAGGCACCGTATCGCGCGGCGCACGCTCCGCAGCAGTGAGTACGCTTTGTGCCACTTGTTCCACCTTGGGGCTAGGTCCGAGCTCGAGAAGACGACGTGCAAAGCCGGCAGCCATGGCCATATTGCCAGCCTTGCGCGCTTCGTTCATTGCGGCTCGGAGGGCCAGTTGGCGATGAGCTGGTTGCATGCCAGCGTGAGTGAAGAGGGCGGCCAATTCCAAGTGTCGAGCAATGTTCTCTGGCTCAGAGGCGACGAGGGAGCGTCGTGAGAGCTCGATGGCTATGCCGAGGAGGTATTCGCGGCAGAGTACGATGAGGTCTAAGATCTCTTGTCCTTCTTCTGCGGTTGTGCCCACGGTGAGGACGAGCGAGAGGAGGATGGATCGGAAGAGGGGTTCAGCTTCGGGCAGCTTGTTCGTGTTGATCAACTTGTATGCCTCCTGCAGCGGGCCAGCCGTGATGCTGTGGATTGTCCTCGCGTGCACAGGCAGGCTCTTTGCCAGCTGCGCACTCGCCGACTCCTCTGCCTCGTCGCTGGCATTGCGGCGCAGGTGCACCTCGAGAGCGGGAAGGTTAGCCGCCCCAGCGCCAGGCAGGTAGGCTCGTGCTCCCTGGTAGCAGGCGAGGAAGTGGGGCTTGAGCGGAGTAAAGTCGACGATGCCCGCTTGGCGCGCGAGGAGAGTCATGGCCGTGTCGAAGGACCCGGCGGCAGCGTGGTCCGCTGCGATGGGGGAGTTGCGCAACCAGTGCTCGGCCTCTGAAGATCCAGGATCCAAAGATCCCTCCAGCGCCGTGAGGTCGGAGAGGGGTGCGACTACTGGTGCATCGCCGCCAATGGTCTCTGCAAGAGCTGCGTCGTCCTCTTCCAGATCCCAAGCACCTTCATCCGCCGCGGCCGCTGCAATGGTGCCGCTAGTAGCAGCGCCATACCCATCCAAGGCGACCTCGTCTTCCGCGTCTTCTGCGTCGACAAAGTCGTCTCCTTCCAGCCACCCATCCACGTCGTGCTCCCCTTGCTGTCCAACGGCATTGTCCTTGAAGATGGTCCCACCCTCCTCCACGTCAGCCACCAAGGCCTTGTCGAAGTAGGACTCTGTGGTGCCAGTCGTCGGCCAATTGTACTGCGCTGACCCTGCATTGACGACTGTAGGCGGGTGAAGCTTGCTGCTGCTAGACGAGCTGGCAGCCTCTTGGACACCTTGAAGACCTTTCTCCCCAACACCCGCTTGAGCCGCAATCTTGCTAGCCCCCGCCTCATCGCCGGCCTTCTTCGCTGCCACATAAGCCAGCGCATCCAGCCCTACCTCACTCAAAATCCTGCCCCTAGCCGCCTCGTCCCCGAGATACAATGCATTGTGGAATCGGCTCATAGCGTCTCCGCGCTTCTCGGCGATGGTGGCCATCTTCTTGAGCTTCTCCATATTGCCCGTAATCAGATAGAGGAAGGAGAGTCGCTCGAAGTTCTTCGTCTTCTGATAGCAGCGTTCTACGATCTTGTGGTTACCTTGGCGAAGGGCCGCAGGAGCGAGGCGTTCCCAGACCTCACGGGCGCCGATGGCTTCAGCGGTCTCGAGGGCGACAGAGAGGTTCCCGCACTCGATTGCAAGGTCGAAGCGGGTAGACTTGTCCTGGACGAAGTGCAGGGCGATCTCTGGGTAGCCCTGCGCAGGAGGAAGGGGAGATGTATGTTAGCTCTGCCTGACGGTGATCAGAGGATGGGGACTTGCTGGACGCTGCGCTACGCACCTTCTTCTGCAGATACGCAATAATCGCCTGCCCGACCAAATTGGAGTTCTTAATAATCCTCATCACCTCCTCATGCTTGCCCTGCACCAGCGCAAGCTTGAAGCGGTACTCCGTCGGGTCAATAGCCACATTGCGGGGCTTAGCACTCCTGTCCAAGCATGAGACCGTCTTCCCTTTCACACGCGTGAGGTAGACTGGCTGGTCGAGCGTCTTGATGATGCCTGAGTCACCATTGGGAAGAGCGTACTTGATGTGGTTGAGAGTGCTGTAGAGGAGGACACCAGCCTCGTCCCAGCAGGCAGACTTGATGCGGATCGTCTCATGAATCATTGCTGGCTTGCTGAGCAGCTTGTCCGTCAAGGTGATCGTGTGCTTGGAGAGGAGGGCAACGTGCGCCGCGTCTGGGCTCCAGACGACGTACTTGACAGTGGGGGAAGTTACCTCGGTGAGGACTTTCTGCTGCTGGATGTCAAAGAGAGAGACGCCCGTGGAGGTAGAGAGGAGGAGCGAGGCGGTGCCACCGAAGAAGATATCGTTGACCACCGTAGGGCAGGGCATCGTCTTTGTCACATTGTTGTTGAGGTCGCGGATCTCGATTGTCTGCGCCGTCTTGTCCAAAGTAGCGAGACGGTTGCGAGCAACAAAGATGGCGTTGCTGGCTGTTCCGCGCTTGCCTACACTACCAGACTCGGCCAGATCGGAGGGCACCGCTCCCTCACGGGGCAGAGGGGCGAGGTCGTACACGCCCTGCTCGGCATTGATCGACGTGACGATAACCGATCGCTCGGCGGGGTTGAAGCTGAGGCTGCGAGGCTGGACGTATTGGTTGCCGAGCTTCTTGACGCTGAGCAGGGCGTGATCCGCTCCTGTCGAATAGTCGAGCTGGCGGACCTGCTTGTCACGCACGTAGAAGAGGACATCGTTGTGCAGCGAGTGGGCTGGGCGTTCACGATCGAGCTTGAAGACGATGAGACCATTGTCATGGCCGGCGGCGAAGAGGTTCAGCTGGGGGTGCGCAGTGAGAACCCAGAATCGGTCATTCTCCCTGCGGAAGGTGGCTACGGCGGTGCGCTTGCCCATGTCCCTGAGGGAGAGCAGCGAGGACAAAGGTTAGCAGTTCGTCAGGCCGGTTGGGCTGCGTTCGACCTCTCGCACTCACCAAACACGAATTGTCTTATCCTCTCCATCGGACACAATCAACTCATGCCTCGGATGGAACAGGGCCGACGAAACATTGTTGAAGTGTCCTCTGCACGTGTCAACTTCCCAAGCCCTGGTGTCGCTCATCCTCCAAAGCTTGACCTGCCTGTCATCGCCCGCCGACACGATGAGGGGCAGAGTTGGGTGGAAGGAGGCCCAGTTAACTCCGCGGTCGTGGCCCTCCAGGACATACTTCACCATTGCGTCTGTGTTGCCAAAGAGATCTGCCTGGCCCGAGTTGGCGCGAGCGATTTGCTCCTCGATGGACATGGGCTGCGCAGAGGTCGACTTCTTCTTGAGGCCGGAAATATCCCATACGCGGACCGTCTGGTCCATGGAAGCAGAGACGATGAGATCTCTACGCAAGGGAGTGGGAGGACGGTGGTGAGCAGGCTGCTACAGGTATGCTAGCGCGCCGCTCGCTCTCTGGAGCGCACTCACTCCTTGGGATGGAACTGAGCGGACATGACGTAGTGGTTGTGCCCCGACAGAATGGCGATGCATGTTCTGCTCTGCCAGTTCCAGATGCGGATCGTCTGATCATCCGAGGCAGAGAGAATCCAAGGCTGCTCGTGATGGAAGTAGACGGTACGGACATAGTCGAGATGGCCGTTAAGGGTGTAGTTGCAACGGCGCGTCTTGTGATTCCAGACCTGCAGGCGAGAAAAAGGCAAGACAGTGATCAGTTGACTTGTCCAGTGAGCAGGCCAAGCACGCCCGGCTCCTGCTCCTCACCTTGATCTTGTAGTCATCACCTCCAGAGACGAGGAGAGGCTGCGAGTGATGGAACGCGATGCCCCTCACCGGCCCATCATGCTCCTCAAGACGATCGTAGATGGTGCCCGTCTGGTAGTTCCAGAGCTGAATCGAGCCATTGTGAAGCGATGCGGCAAGGAGCGGCAATTTGGGATGGAATGCAATGCCCTTGACTCGGTTCGACTTGCTCTCGAACTGGACGCGGGGGAGGGAAGGGGTGTTGTTAGCAAGGGGCAAGGATGTATGCTGTCGTTGAGCCACGGGCGGCACTCACCTTGGTGAGCATCTGCATGCTGGGCAGACTTGGCGTTGAAGTTCGCTCAATGCCACCAAGTGTTCGCAGTCGCAAATGGGTAGGAAGGACTGGTAGTGAGTGAGATGCGAAGCTGTCCGTTGAGCGTTGATGTCTGTATGCTCGTTGCTTCGTGGCCTGAGCGTGGCCAGCCTGCCTCCAGCTGGAGACTCGTGGCACGTGAAGTCGGAACGGGGCAATGAGGCGTTGAGGCGTTGAGGCGTCGAGGAGCGGGAAGGGAAAGCGCGGAGACAAGGGCAACAAAGCAAAGCAACACTTGGACTTTGGCGCTTCACCAATCAATCCAACTCAATCAACGAGGCGGCGATGCCAAGCTAGTCGCGGATCGTTCCATGGCCGAGTCCTCCCAGCAAGGCTCCACGCCGCCTACTCTCAACCTCTCCACATCGATCGCCAAGCATACCTCCCCTAGCCATCCAGCTTCGCTCCTCGTCTCGCACCTGGTGTCGGCAGCCATCAATCACCTCCTCTTCGCGCGAGGTCAGGTAGCGTTTCCTGTATCGACGCTTGTCAAGAGACCTGCACCGGCGAGAAAAGATAGGAAAAGAGACGCCTTGCTCAATTCGTTGCCCAAGGTCGCAGAATGCGTATCCGCGGCGCTGAATGTTCCTCGCGAGGGCGGGGGCGAAGATGACGGCTTGCTACCGCTGCTCGTCGTCTTTGGCCCCTCACCACTCTCGCCGCTCGAGGCATTTGCCATCACTTTCCGACAGCCGGATCACAAAGGTGAAGATCCCGGCCGTTCCAGCGACGAACCTGTCCCACCCACGCCGTCTCTCCGCAAGATTCTCTCCACCCTGGAGCAGCGTCTCGTCCGCTTCCTTATCGCTACGGAAGAGTTGCAAGAAGCATTGGCGCATACATTGAGACCGACGAAGATGCACATCTTTGCGCTCAAGAGGGAAGGATGGACAGCCGAGGGTTGGAAGATCAGGAGAGGTTTCAGGGTTCAGATGGGGAGAGTGTGGGGTGAGGCGAAGGTCGAGGATGAGAGAAAGGGAGCAGGAGAGGGAATGGGCGATAAAACGAAGGCTGACAGGAATGGCAGTGAGGATGGGACGCTGCAGCCGAGCGTACCGGCGTCGACGCAGCCCGAAGCTGGCCCCTCCGGTCGACCTGCATCAACGTCGACACCAGCACAAGTAGAGGAAGACGTCGGCGTACTGAGCGAAGCCCTCTCCCCTCTTAAGAAACGAAGACGCCCTCCATTGATCGCTCGCACGTCCTCAAGCTACAGCGCCAATGGCCCTGGCCCCACATCTGGGATGAGGCATCCTGCTGTGCAGTCCCCTACGCCGTTCTCTCCGGTAGTCAAGACGCCCAAAGTCAAGACGATCAAACTTACAGAGACGCCAAAGGCGAGCGCAGGCGACCAGCTTCTGTGGTCCCCTCAGCCGGCTGCTGCGCTTCGCAGGCTTGCGCTTACTAAGGTGGGCGGGACGAATAGCAGGGCGTTGACGATGGGGTCGGATGAGGCGGCGACGGCACCATCTTCGTTGGGAGCGGCAGCATCAGCATCAGCATCAGCATCAGCATCAGCATTGTCACAGTCGGCCTCAGCGCCTCTCACCAACGGCGATCTCAGTAGCGGCCCAATCACCGACTCTCGCCCACCGGGCTCGCGGCTTCTCCCACCTGGCAAGGACCCAAAAAAGAGCCTGCTCGCCCGAAGTCGCATCGTTTCGAGGGGAGGAGCGAAGGGCAACCTCGCGAATGAGGCAGGAGGCCAATCGTCACCATCGGCTACCACTCGCAGGTCGAAGCCAAAAGGTCCGAAAGGCGCTGCCTTCATAATCGACTGTAGTGGAGGAACGACGACTTCGAGTTCGAGCGATGCTGCTCCTCCTTCTCGCCCTCGTTTAGGTTTTGAATCTCTAGGAGAGAGGGGAGAAGCGCTGCCTGGCTGGCAGTGGTATCAGTGCGAAGTCGCTGTGCCATGTTATTTAGGGTCCTGAGTGGGGCGCGGGCGGAGGGGACAGTGGCTCAACGTAGATTCACTGTATCATATTCGCTATCTATTCAAGACGCATATTCGCATGGACTTCATTGCTGCTTCGTTCTCGAGTGTCCTGGTCAATCGAACAAGCGATGATGCCCTTTGTAGTTAGGAGCTCCTCACCATCACTCACCCTCACCATGCTCTCAAGCGCGGCTCCGAAGCGCCAGGCGGACAGGCAGGCAGTCGAAGCAGTCGGTCGCGCGAGCGGGAGCGGGAGTGGCAGGGCAAAGTCGGGCGGAGGCGAGCGAGCGGTCTGAGGGAGAAGAAGTCAAGTCAAGTCAAGTCAGCCCGCGCCAACCCGCTCATCCAGCATTCGATTGGTCACTTCAACACCTCATCATTATCGTCCTTTAAGGGAGCTGCGTAGCATATAAGCAGGCTACGACAGCGCAATCCGCCCACCATGACCTCCCCTTTACCCCCATCCTCCTTCGCCCGTCATCTCCCCCTCGCCCGCCTCTCGACCCACGACCCTCGAATAGTTCAAGTCCTCACATCCCCACCCTCGCATCTTACACAGGGTGATTTTGGTCTCAAGGCTCCCCTTAGAGCCGCAGTCGCTCCTGGACGCAAGGTCGGGGAGGTGAGGTATGTCCAGGTCAGGGAACAGGATAGGGCAGCAAGTGTCGGTGCTGGTGTTGGGAAAGCGGGGGCGAGAAGTGGCGGTGGGCCAAGTTGGAGAGAGCGGGAGCATGAAGTGCTCTTGTTGAAGCGATGGCAAGAGGCCGGAGTGGCCGTCCGACCACAAGGGTACGAAGGGAGCAGCTTCTACGGAGGTGATGATGGATTGGGGAGTGGTCTCGAGGGCAACGGTGGTCCCAATCCGTACGAACGTCGTGCTCGTGAGCTGCGAGCAAGTCGGGTCAGCGCGGCTACTGGCAACCCCTCGACGTCATCGAGTGGCAATGCAGCGGCTCAACCACCTATTCCCGTATCGCGATTCGATCGCTCCTCCCGCCGGGCTCTTCCCACCGACACCACCGGCACTGCGAAGCTCAGCGCAAAGCGAGCAGAAGACGAAGTCAGCGCACTCCTGAGCTCTGCGTCGCTGCGCTACTCATCATCCGCCTCGCGTCTACCAAACTATGCGCTACTCCCAGAGAAGGACTTCCAACGCTTGCTCGACATCGTCAGGGAGCACAGAGGCGAGTTCCTCGGAGGGCTCTACGCTGCCTTGGGGGAAAAGGCCAGGAGGACCAAGCTCCAAGCCGCTTGCGAAGCGTACGATGCACAAAGTGAGCCGCAAGGCAGCAGACCGACGCTGGATGACTTCCCTCTCGAGGCCGAGGTCGCAGAGCTCAGGCAGCAACAAGCCCATCACTCCTCCGAGGGTGGTGAAGGGGATGCAGAACGTCTCCTAGTGGACATGTTCGATCTCGCCCGCTCTCGCGTAGCATCAGTAGAAGCATCTGCCTATTTGCGCTCCTTCCTTTCCTCGCGCGGCCTATCCGACTTGGACGCGACCAGCACACAGCTGCCCGATGTAGATGTGCGCATCAATGGACGAGGAGCAGAACAGCTCGACACCGACGGCAATGCTTCACGTAGCACGCGCTCGCATCCACTTGGAGGTCTGCAATACTCGCAACCAGACAGGATCTTCAGCGCCACCCTCTCCCCCGCCTTGCCCGGCCGTGTCATCGGGACCAAGAGCAATCGCGGCCTCTACGGTAATCGCGCTGGAGGTTCAGCACGAGACGGTGCCCTTCTCGTCGCCTCTGGCTCTCGAGTTTTTGAGGCACGAAAGACGTACAGCAAGGGGAGCTCCATTTACGATTCTACGGGCTTCTCACCGCGACAAGGAACGGGGCTTTGGAGACTGTTCGATGCCAAGATGGTCGCGGAAAATCCCTCTGCGAGCAATCTGGTGGAGCGACGCGTGTCGGACAAGAAGGCTGCATGGGACCGTGAGCGCGGCTGGTCCCTTGCTGAGCTCGGTCTCGGGTATGTGAGGGCGAGCGCGAGGGATGTCTTGGGTAGTGAGGGGAAGAAAAATCAGTACGCAGCGAATTTCAGTGGGAATGAGACACAAGAGGAGGGAGAGAAGGCTCGCGCTGCCTCTGCTTGGAATCGCCTGCCTGGTAGCCCGGCTTGGGTTGGGGACAGGAGCTTCTCGGAGCATGAGGATGCGCAGAGGGCGAAGATGAGGAGCAGCTTTGGTTCGCGTGGGCTAGGTGGCGCCAGTGGGACTGCGGGATCCGGCCTCTTTGGTCGTGGTCGCTATTCCTCGCCGAACGGCCAGAACAGCAATGCGGGACCGAACGACCAGTTGAGCGGGCAGTTGGCGGCGCATGCCGGTAAGGGCAGTAACAGGATCAATGTCTCGAGGAGGAGGGCGCAGGATGCTCAGGGAGAGGACAAGTCGAGCGCGGATGACGATGTCTCGACTCTGCTTGGTCTGGGTGGGAGCAACAAGCGCTCGTGAAAGGCAGAGGGTGGTCGACAGATGTCGAGAATAGAAATGAAGAAAATCGTCATCTCACTTCGTGTGTTCGCCGACCCTCTACTGCTCGAAGAGGCATTCTGATGCATTGAGATAACTGGAAACAACAGAAAAGACGATGCGATGCGACACGATGCGATGCCCAATTGTTTGGGCCGCTCTCTCTCCTCACTCCTGTAAACTGCGCTACGCCCTCGGGGGCGGCCAGTCCCCGCCATTCGTGAGCAGCCAGCTCTCATAGCTGATATCACCAATAGCTCCCGCAGTCCCCAGATCATGCCCCGGAGAATGGCCGTTGCCCGCTTTCGGTCTCGGACCTGCTTCGCCACTGATGCCCTGTCGACCACTCGCAGCTGCTCCACCCACTCCTCCCACTCCCGCCGTGGCCGACTGCGTGATCGCATCCGCCGGCCACGTAGCCCTATCCATCACCTCCCCATAAGCGCGCAACGCCCCCCTCACATAGCACGCCGTGGCCGCGGGGGTGAGGTATCGATCCCTCAACGAGTCCCTCGCATTATCCGCAATCTCCCTCGCCGTCAGCTGGCTAGATCGTGACGAGAAGATGCCCTTAGCCGTGGCGGCTCCTAGCCATCCTCTGTAATTGCTGCTCTGCTTCCCCTTCCCGGTCAGCGCCTTGGGATCGCTATCCAGCTCCCAGAGGGCGCGCACCGTCTCCTCTAGACCGTCCCACCCTTCACCCTGTAGCTCGATCCAGTTGCGCTTCTTACTCTTGGGATCATCGATCAACGCAGCGTGGAAATGTTGTGCCCAGTCCAACTTGTGCGCAATTGTGACTGAATGGCACGTCCAGAGGAACTTCCCCCTCCCGCTGTACGAGTTGCCCTCTGCGTGCAGCAGGTACTTGCGACGACAATGCTCCTCGATAGGAACGAGGGGCTTTACCTCCGGATCGTTCTGGTTGAGACCATCTGGCCGGTCAAAGGTGGTAGCAAATACGTCTGCCCATGCATCGGGATGATCCACGGGCAAGTGACTCGCATTGCGCGTGCGAGCCATCATGTCTCTGCGAACTGGGTAGATGTTGGGGAAGCCCCGCCAAAAGGCCCTGTCGTCCTTCTTCTCCCATGGGTAGCTTTCCTCTTCTTTGCGCTGCAGCGTATCCACCACCTCGGCATGCCCCGGCAGTTGTGCCTCTGGCCAGCCCAGAAAGCCAAAGTCCGGGGCAAGCCATTGTCCCGCTGTATCGTGGACAAGACGATGTTTCGCTAAGACCCAGAGGGGACCACGCTTCAGTCCTGGATCGGGGCCAATGACATCTCTGTCTCCTGTGGTGACGAGGAGGTCTACCGAGGGCAAAGGTCCGTCCACAGAAGGACTGCTTTGAATTGCCTGGTTGAACAAGCCAAGCATGGCCCGTTGACGGTGCCTACCGCCAAACTCGAGGCCCTCGTGATGGGAGCGTAGCCAAAGGCGGTTGCCGTGGAGGACAAGGCGTGACCAGCCCCACCTATCTTGCTTGCGCGAGGCGGCTTCGAGCGAGTCGATCTGCGATTGGCGGATGAGGTTGTGCGACTTCCAGTGGCGGCGTAGCTCGTCCAGCTGAGGGTAGAGGAGCGGGAATTCGCGCCGACATGTGGACTGCGGCAATGTGAGGTCCTGCTGTACCAATCGAGGTAGCGGGGTCTCGCCATTGTTATTCGGGCGTGGCCGTGAGGAGGGAGATAAGGGGGAGGAGGAAGGAGTTGTGAGGGAAAAGATGATACAGAGGAAGAGGAAGATGCTGCACAAGGCTGGAGGCAGGCGAAGGAGAGTGCGAGAGAGGGGCGTTGAGATTTGGCTGCGTGACCGTGAGTGGCCGTTACTATTGTGGCTCTCGCCTTGCCCATCGTCGTCCTTGGATACAGGAGTATATTGATGCTGCGCCATCTTGCCACGACGCAACGTCCCTCGAGCGGGATGAGGCTGAGGCTGAGGCGGCTACAAGCTTACCGACGACAAGATCCTAGGTGTTCGGGTGACTGAATGCTTTGCTCTTCGATGCGAAATGATCGACAGGTCGTCAAAATGGTCGTGGGATGAGGAGAGGTACGTGTTGCTGTAGAACTGGGGGGGCGATTGGATCAAGTACGCAACAAGATTAAAAGAGCAGGAGCACAAAGTGAGTCCGAGGGTCCAGCTCTGGGGCCTCGTGAGACATTGCTGCTGCGACCCTGTACCCTTTCCGCGGGCGATGAAATCTACCTCTGGTCTATTCTGAGCCTATGGCTGCAGCGGCGGCTTTGTCTCCTGTGCTGTATCTCGCTCATCCGCCCCGCCGCCGCTCGCCGCCCTCGCGCACGGTCATTTCGCGGCCAGACTCACTGACGTCGTCTCACAGGCAAAAGAAAGCAGCAAAAAAAGAGGAGAAAGCAGCCGAGGTGTTGACTGAGCGACGCACGCCCTTCGTGCACGTCGGACCTGCCTATCCGCGCTTATGATCGTGACTTCTTCGTCAAGGTGGTTAGGTGAAATGATGAACACGTTTTGATAAGGGAGAAGAGACGACGAGTGAATAAACAAAGAGATAGAAACAGCGGGGCGTCGAACGCATGCGAGCGCGAGCAGAGGTAGGGACCGGCTACCAAGACGAGACTTCCTCAAACCTGCGCCCCGTCTCATTTGTCTATTATCGCGACTGTACGAATCTTTGCTCACCGAGATGAATTATCGGAAAGGCGAACCAGCCTGCATCATCGCCAATCTGACGCCACCTTCTGCTGGCGAGGATGAAGAAGCAGAAGCAGAAGAAGGCGACGTCGTCGTCGTCGTAGGCGAGGAAGCTTTCGCCTTCTTGTTGCGCTGCTTCTTGTTCCTGTTCGCGGTTGGAACTTCCTTTCCAGCCTCTTCATCTTGGCATGATCCAATTGCGTCCTGCAACTTCGCTGGTCCTGCCTGCGCTGCCTTGCCTGCATCCGAGTTGTTGCATTGCTTCGACTTGACCGCCTGCTCCTGATACCGGTCCAAACCAAGCACAGGGAATTTCGATTCCACATCAGCGTCCGTGATTACTACCGCCGGAGGGGAGAGGACTCTTCTGTTTGATTTCATTCCCAACTCTTCTCGCTGATGGCCTGCCCTGTCACGCCCTGCGCCACACTGCGCGCCTCGACGGAGGGCTATCGATGACGAGGATGCGGACGTGGATGCTGCTTCTCCTGCCGACGCAAAAGAGAACGATCCCAGCTCCATCGCAAGCACCACGGGCGGAGGCGGTGTTGGTGATATGGCACTCATAGGAGCAGCTGCAGGACTGCTCGCAGCGCGGGGGCGAGGCCGACCCGCAGAGGGTGGCGTGTTCTGGATCTTCGGTTGGTCACCGTTCGATGAGGAAGGCAAGCCTGCGGGTTGCTGCGAACTCGAGGCTTGTGGCTGAATTTGAGGCTTGGACGGCTCAAGCGATGCAGCTGGTTTCGTCCCAGGCGCTTTACCTTTCGAATGTGAGCTGAACAGCTTGGTAGGTGGCTCACATGTCCTACGAACGTTCGTCACAAAGCTTTGCTGCTCCCTTCCCGTAGATGCTGCTGCTGCCGTCCCCGTCCCCGCCGCCGCTGCAGCAGCAGCAGCTCGAGCGGCAGCTGCGGCCCTAGTCACGCGGGGAGATCCTGGCGTGACTTGAGCTGAAGAGTAGGAAACGCCGGTTCGAGCACGCCTGGCTGCCTTCGAAGAGCGGCCTGCCTTGTGAGTCAAAGCCGTTCTCGTAGGGCTGAAGAGGCGTCGTGGCGAGCCATCGTATCCTACCACCGTCGTGGCAGGAGCCTGGTTCTCTACCTCTGGCCCCACGCGCAACTGATCTCTCTTCTTGCCCCCGCTGCCACTTTCACATCCTTGCACATTGCCTAGCACCGCCCTCCTCTCTGAGCAAGGGCTTCCTTTCGCGTCGACCGTACTCGTAGCGAGGAATGGAGAAGGAGGCGCATGCTCACCCCAATTCGGCTGCTGTTGCTGGTAGAAGCGGAGGATTGATTGCAAGCCGCTGCTGCTGGTCTGGCTAGCTTTGCGTTCGAGACGGGCCTCGTCGGGAGAATGCTCTTCTTCCAGCTTCACCCGCTCGTCCCAGCCGCTCTCATCTCTGCTTCGCACGGAACTCCTAGGATTGGTGTCAGTAGGCTCTTCGCCGTCTGCCAAGCTCTCTCTTGGATTGCCAAAGACAAGGCTCGACTCCTGGAGGGGAGTTATGTTCAGTTGCCAGCGAGGCACTGGCTCGGTAGCCTCAGGAGACCTCGTTGCCTTCGAGGGGCGTTGTGGTGGGAGCTGCGGTCCTGACGAGGGTCGTACTTGGTGCGCACGAGCTGCAGAAGCAAGTGAGAGATCGGAGGGAAGGGTATCGCTGCCAGTCTCCTTTCGCTTGCGGGTAGATGGAGCTGAAGGGTCAGGCGATGCCTTCGGCGAGGAAAATGGCAGAGAGAGGTCTGTGGAGAAGGTCTTGCTACTGTTTGCTTCCTCCCCAGCATTGACGCCTGATCTGCTCCTGGCTCTGCTGCCAGACACGTCTCGTACAGACGACGCCATTGAGGGACCCGCGGGCATTTCTCCCTCACTAGCTTCCATCATCGTCTCGAGCAAGCTCGTTAGGTCCTCATCTGCGCTCGAGCTGGTAGCGGAGACGGCCGTGCTGCAATAGCTGAGGACCGAGTGCTGGTCGAGGGAAAGGGAGAGGCTTGACGGCTTGCGCGTGGTGGAAGCGATGTAAGAGGAAGAGCCCGGGGCCGCGACGGCGGCTGCGATGCTTGAGCTGAATCGCTCAACCTGGCTGTTCGAGGGAGCGAACTCCTCGTCATCGCTCATGACTTGTTGTCGAGCCTGTTGACGAATACGACGGGACTTGATGCTGTGTCTCCTCTCTTCCCCTCGCCTCCATTTCTCTGGTGTCAGCACAACGCTTCTTGCTCCGCTGCTGAGGAACAAGCTAGTTTCGCTGCTTCCCGAGCCCGGCATGAGTTGCCCACCTGCCGCGTAACGGTTGGTCCTCTGCGGAGTGCGCAGATACCGGCTGGAGGAGAGAGGGGATGAAACGCTTCGCATCCCTGCTGCTGCTGAGCCACGCGCACGGCTCGAGCGGCTGGGAGTTGAGACGGGGCTGTTGCTGCGGTATTGCGAAAGGAGCCGTTTCAGGGAGGCGGTGATGGCGGCCATGTCCGATTCGCTGGCGCTGACTTCGTTCTCCCTCAACTTCTCGGCTCCTTGTTCCTTGCCACGGGAAGCACGGGTACGTGCGGCCACTCGAGTGTTCTTCGACGGTTGCGAGGCCCTCAAATACTGGGCCAGAGCAGCAATCAGCTTTCGATCTACTGTGTCGCATTGGGCTTGACGGGGCCTGAAGATGTCATTCCCGCTGGCGCTGCTATCGAGCCCGTCTGAGATCGCAGCCAGGCCTGCACTTGACTCTGCCGCCTGCTCTTCCTCTTGGTCGACGTCTTCTTGCCACTCATCCTCGGCCTCCTCCGCCTGTGTGCCGCGCTTCTTTCCCTTTCCTGACGAGGGAGTCGATTTACGGCTGGTACTCTTCCTCTTCGTCAGCTCCCCCAGAGTCTTTTGTCTCTGCTTCTCTCTTTCCTCATTCGGCGACTTCGCGGCCCTCTCCGCCAATAGCTCTGTCAAGGCCATCTCGACATCGGGGCTGTTGAAGAGAATCGAGGATCCGACCGTAGTGGCACTACGTGCGCTGGTCTTGGTACGTTGACCAGGTGTATTGGTTGCACTACTGGGACCACCAGGACTCATGGAGCGGCCAGCGGAAGACTCGGAAGAAGTGCTTCCCTTTGTTGAAGGACGAAGACGGGCACGACTGGAGTGACGTCGTGGTGGGACGGGGAGCGAGTCGGCCGCTGTTGGGCGGACAAGGATAGATGGCACGGCGCTACCATGTGCAGCAGCAGGCGTGGCATTGATCCGTCCGCGGCGGTTGCTTAGCAGCGTATTGTCAGCCGAAGGGGGAGATGCTTCGGTCACTGTCGGCAGCGGCGGGCTTTTCAATGCCGTACCGACACTGACACCTTGTGCGAGTCGCAGTGCTGGTGGGATGGATGGCAAGCTGACTGCTGGAGGAGGCAAAAAGGTTCTCTGGCTGTGGGACGATCTAAATCCGCCAGCGGTGCTGGTGCGCTGCGGTAGGCCTTTGATGCGTCTTGCAGGCGAGGAAAGCCCGTCTTCGATGCCATTGAGGGAGGGCAGGAGTAGGGGCCGCTGTGGAGTAGATGAAGTGATAGCTTGCCCTTGACCAGCAGCAGCAGCAGCAGTGCTAGCCATCTCAGTCGTGTCGTAGGCAGGCGCAGCGGAGGCTGCCCTCGGTGAGTCCCACAGAGTGGACAATCGGAAGACCTCGTCTATATGCGAAGAGACGCCGCCCACTGCTTGCTGACCGGTCGTAGCAGTGGTCGGTCTCAACGAAAGGAGCATTGGCGGCGCCTCGTGAACGGTGAGATGCTCACTTCGCCTTTCCTCTCGCGCAAGTCGATGCTCCTGTACGCTGCCTTGCTCGACTACAGCCCCGCGCTTCTTCATCCTCCGGTGACGCTTCCAGTTGGAGTACCACCCAGCCTTGCTACTGGATTCTTGCTGCTTGCCATTTGCAGCCTCGCGTCCCGCACCACGTCGAACCTCATCCCTCATGTCTATCCAGCTCTCTCGAACGGGCGGAGAGATGAATGTGGTGCTCGAAGGGGCGGGGACCGTGACGAGAGGCTGGAGAGGAGCAGCGGAGTGGGCGGGACTCAGCATCAGCGGATCCATAGTCGAAAATGAGACAGTGCGTGATCTCCGAGCCTTCCCTAAGAGGAAGGGTCGATTCCAAACCTGCCCGCTCGCGCTCTTGAGGGAGAGCTTGCGTCTCCTTGCTTGTGGGCTGATGACTGTCTCAGAGGGCGGCAGATGGTCATTGGAGTTCGATAGCAGGGTAGTCGTGGTCGTAGCAGGCGTCGGGGCCACACTGGGTCGAGTGCGAGGACGAGGCTGAGGATCGAGCAGCATGGTCGAGAGGGGCGGAAGGGATCGCTTCGCTGGCGCATGGAAAGAAGGAGGTGGCTGGTAGTGGGAGAGAGACATCTGTGCTCTGCTTCGCTCGGGAGAGGGACCGCGCAACTTGACTTTTGCTCCGCCAGTGAGAGGGCCATGCGACAGCCGTTGCATGGCCTCTGCGTACAATCCTGGCTTCCTGACTGGCAAAGGTGGCGGTAGCCGAGAAGGCTGGCGCACTCCATCCTGCTGATGGGGCGTAGGCAAGGGCGGAGCGGGCGGCTTACTCCCCAACCTCTCCTTGAGATGCATGCTCGTCTTGTGGAAGACACGCTTGAAGCCGCTAGCACGAGTGCCCGCCCTGCTTCCACTTCTGCCGCGCTCTGAGCTTTGGATGCTCTCTATCGTCTGTTTGCTGTGGCGCGAGGTGGAGCCCGAACGGCTGCTCTTGCCAGTGGGACCGCTGGGTGCGAAGGCCTCGTTGACTGGAATGGCCAGGCCCATGTGGGCGTTGCTGGTCTCTACTCGCCTGTGCCTCGTGTTCATGGTGAGAGCGCCGAGAACCCTTCGTCCCTTTGCTGGCTGGTGGGTGGGGAAAGCCGGCGAGGTGGCCCGCGAAGGAGGAGGCAAAGGAGAGTTGGAGCGAGACTGCTCGGCAACGCCCAGAGACTTTCGCAGCCTGGCAGCGACGCCGAAGCCGTGCCCGTGAGTGCTGCCTCCCTTTGCCTTTCCCGCAGTCTTCAGGCTTTGCTCAGGACCTGGCGAGTGAGAGAAACGCGACTTGAGGTTGGAGCTGAGAGAGCGACGCTCTGTTGGTGTGTGAGGCGACTTTTTTGTGTGCGCGCACGTAGTATTGTCATTAGCCTTTTCTGCGTCTTCTTCGACCTCGGTCACCTCGTGCGCCGTAGAGAGGAGACGTTGTCGGTGCAGAATGGAAGGGCGATGGGACAGGCTGGCCGGGTGACGATCCTCGGCATGGTCCATTGAGCTACCCCACCGCCCCTCCCACGTCAGATAGCTGGGCAGTGCACCGCTTGTTCCGTCCTGGAAAGGAGGCTCACTGGTTCTCTTGGCCTGAATAGACGCAAAGCTCGCAACACTCGCCCCGCGGCTCGCATGCCCCATGGATGAGCAAGGCAATGACTTGATAGCGTCGGTGCTCCTTCGCTCCAGTGAGGCGTTCGGCGACTTGACTGCCTCATTGGACTGCAGAGAGCGGTGCGACGTAGCCCCGATGTGGATCGCGCTGCTTGAGGAGCTGCGCAGCGTCGTCGAGGTGAGGCTTTCTGCAGGGCTGGTGCGGGAGTAGCGAGGTTCGCGGTTGGCAGAATGGGAGGAAGGATGTGCGTAAAGGGTGGCGACGGAGCCGCAGGCTGTGGAGGAAGATGACTTGCAGGTGTTGCTAGCGGCCTCGCCGACGAGACTGTTTGCAAGGTCTGGTGTCGTGGGCGACCGCAGCCGATACGTGGCTACCGGGATCCGCGAATGCGATGTTTGCCCGTCTGACGAGCCCCGACTGTCCGATGAGCCTGGCGAGGACACCGACATGCGAGCGTGCTGCGGCAAGAATGAGGACGTAACTCGATCGGCGTGGAAGAGAGGCGTGTAGGCAAAGACAGCTCGATGGCGACAGCCATGGTCTTGCGCGGAGCGAGCGGCGGCGGCTGTGATTGTTTGAGTGGCACAAAGCTGTGCTCAACGAGCGATCGAAGCCGCATGGTGAACGAGGACATCGACTTGACGAATGTCAAACAAAGGTATCAACAAGTCGCGTCTGGCCGAATCTGTCGTGTCGTGGCGCAATATTGTCTGGCGTTGCTTCTTTCGACACTCGTTCTGAGGCACCATTTCAGGCTTCAGGCACGGCCCTGGTTGAGCACCTTATGGCCGGCCGTCGGTCGCTTCATGGACGGAGTTTCAGCAGCAGCTGAGGAAAGCCTCGACGCTGCGAAGAGGTTGTCGACGCTGTGGACTGCTCCTTCCTGACCTCCGCAGAATTTCATGATCGGCAACGCCGTATCGTGATCGAGGCAGCGTTGCGAGGTAGGGCGATCTGCAAGATGGCCGAGAGCTTAGCAGAAGATGGCGGGAAAGAGAGCAGCGACGGCCAGGCGATGCCAGGCGAGGCATTCAATTTCGATCACTTACGGGCTTGCGAGTCGGCGTCGCCCCGTAGTCGTTATGAAGCGAGACGAGCGAGCTGGAGAGCGCCAAGTGTCAGCAGGCAGACAAAGGAAGAGAAGCAGCCTCGAATGGAGGTTGAGAGTGGAGCGGCAGTCGAGGAGGGCAAAAGACAGTTGAGCGAGGTCCGACGTGCGGCAGGGCGGAGAGGCGGAGAGGCGGAGAGGCAGGGCGGGAAGCGGGAGTGGGCATGTGGACAGAACGCTCTCTGTCTCCGCCCGTGCGTGCCTCTTTTGGTCAGGGCCGCGCTAGAGGAGCTACCGAGGAGCGAGAGCCGCCCACGATTTTTGACTCTTGCTCTCCCAACCATCACCACAATCCAGAAGGGCAGACGCTGAGGAATATTGGCGACGATAGACAGAGGAGAACGTCAATACCACCTGCGAGAATATCGAACATTAGCGCATCGAGGTCGGCGTCACCTCGCGCCATTCGCGCGCACAGCCTTGCCGGCAGTTGCCCATCTTCATCCTCATCAACCCTCGAACGCTTGAGGATCGACGCCCTCATCATTCGAACCTTCTCCCCGATTCATTGAAGCATTACCAGCATTGCGATCGCCGTCACATTCATCATCAGCAAAGCATACGCAGCAACACTCAACCAATATGGCAACGCTCGAAGCAGTTGCGCCCGAGACCAATGCTGCGCCTGAGACCGAAGCGTCTACGTCTGCGTCAGTCTCAGCAGCGCCAGCCAAGACCATTCGACGTCAACCATCGATCACAATCGCCATTCCTCCATCTCCCATCCGCACTAATCTGCGCCTGGGCACTCCGCCTCTGCCTCCATCACCACACTTCCGGGCCAGGACGCAGATAGACGCCTCGACAGGCAATGCGACTTTCATCCTGCCCTCTGTTCCAACTCATGAACCAGAGGATCGTCTCATCTCCAACAGCCCAAGGATGTCAGAAGCGGGCAGGAGGAGCATCGAGGAGCCAATGAGCAGGCTTTCCAGTGACAGAGTCTCCATCTCGTCCATGTCAGTAGACGCTCATACAGCAGCGAGGAGCAGTTTCAGCCAGGCGAGCCGCGATGCAGACCCTGATGCAGAGGAGATGGAGACGATCGACGACGACGACGAGCAGCATGGAGCAGGCCAGGAAGAAGAGGAAGAGGAGATTCTTGAAGAACTGGCAGACGTTGCCGAGCCATCCTCGAGCGAGGACAATGGAGCCATCGTAATGTCTCGTAACGACTTTGCTGGCCTCATCCTAGCTACTCAGGCGGCTGCTCTCCTGGCGCTCCAGACGCTGCTACAAGAGATGCAGTCAACGATCAGAGAAGGATCGGAAGCCTATGCCCACCTCATCGACGTGCTCGTATCGGCAGTCACCGAGCTTTCCAGCCAAGAGACAGCAGCCTCACAACGTGAAGAAGGCTTCAAGCGGCTGAACAGCTTGCTCGACTCGCTTTCATCCGAAGCCCTCGTTGTAGGCTCCCAAGGGTCAGGCGGAGATGGAGTCAACTTGGCGACAGCATTGGGAGACCTACTGCTTTCCCTTGACAGGGTTCGCCCAGCTTCAGATCCAGCAGCAGTCGAAGCTGCGAGGCTGCAAGCTCTCCCACCCGTCAGGCAGCGCAGCTCCTCGACTATCTCCTCAAGCCCGTCACACGAGCTTCGCGACCCCTTTGCAGAAACTTCCTCGGAGCCCAACGTTTTCGCGACGTTGCACCGGCTCATCGCCTCGCTGGCCGCCAGATGCCCGCTGCCACAACGTCGATTAGGCTCAAGCCCGCTCATCTCATCGCACGACGGTGGTGTTGCCTCCTTCCCTCGTCGCTTCGGCGACGGGTACGGTTCAATGCAAGGCGCTCGCTCCTCCACTTCATCCCTTGCAACCGCCTCCTCCTACACGTCCTCCATAGTTGTCGACTCTCGGCACCTGGCAGCAACAGCAGATCCAGAAGCCTGGTCGCATGTGGGGCACATTCTCGGTCTAACACGGGATCTCGTAGCTAGTCGCAGAGCCTCTCAGTCCATGCGCGATGCTGGAGGGGCAATGAGTCCGCATCGCACCCGCAGCAGGAAAGATAGCACGTCCAGCTCCTCCAACGCGGATCCTTCGGACATGTTGGCTGCGGATGCTACACGAGTCAGGCGGTCACTCCAGCAGTCGAGGCGTGGAGGTGCAACTGCGGGGTCTCTGCAGCGTAAGCCTTCCACAGGAAGCCTGCGCACCTCTGTGAGCTCCAATGGAACGGGAACCCAATCCATGCCTCCCTCCTACTCGGAGCACGACAGGCGGCGCGAAGTAGGCGCGACGGATGCTCAGATTCGCGACTATCAAAGCCGGGGGATCCTTCCATCGTACGGGTATGACGAGAAGAACGGCAGAGAAGGCCAAGGCAGCAGTGGCGGCAAGGACAGGCTGGGGTCTTCCTCCCCTCCTCGAAGCATCCTCAAGAAGACGGGTCTCATCGGGCGCCCAGACTCCCAGCTGAGCACCAGCGAGGACGCGGCGGCTACCTCTTCTCTATCTCACTCCTCGTGCGAGGGTCTGCGCCTCCAGAAGTCTCTCGAACGGGCCTACGCAAATGCGCCGCAGCTCAACGACCAGCGAGCAAATGCCACCCCCTCACTGCATCAGAGTCGTAGTCGTGACGTGACCCTGCAAGAGCTCATCGACCGTCTAGCCGCCAGCGGAAAGAGACTGGACGACCAGCGCTGTGCCCCTCCTCTCCCTCCAGGGCAGGGCGCGAAGAGCAAGGAGAACATCGGCGCGATGCCCTCACCAAGTAGCAGGGACTCTAGACATGAGAAGGGGGCAAACTCCGGGATGAGGTCGAGCGTACTGCGCAAGCTGTCTAGCGGGGTGCACTTGGGTAGCATTCGCAGGAGTAGCAAGTCCAAGGCGAGGGAGAAGGAGAAGGAGAAGGCGAGCGTGTCTGCCGCAGCCAGCCCAGCGCTTGGCACGCTGCCGATGGCGATGGAGGCCGCTGCGCACTCCAGCGGCTGGCTCGACACTCGCTCCGGCAGCTCATCCTCAGGTAGTGGTGGTCTCCGCTCCCACGATGCCTCGGGCGCTTCAATGCGCTCGCTTAACCCACGCGAAGAAGAGGCAGAAGGAGCCGCCCTCTTCGAGCTCCTCGCAGCCAGCTCATCCAAGTCCCGCTTCGCGGATCAGGAAGCAGTCATGCGATCTTCGCATGACCGTCGCCTTGGCAGTGGGCTCGCAGTGGCGGTCGCGTCGCCTGCTAGCTTCAAAACTGCTCCTGCTACCTTGTCCTCACCCGCAGATTGGGCTGGACCAGCCGTTCCGGCGAAAAGCCCTCCAATGTCAGCGAGCTCTCAAGTGTCATCCGGGGGAGCGCAGAAGAGTGACGATATGAAGACAATTCGTGCTCCTCCCAGCTCCGCTTCCTCGGAGCGGTCCGGCCGCGAGGGAGTCTTTGCTCAGCAGCAGAAGGAGGCGATGGCTGCTACCATGGCGGCGAAGAGGGGAGAAGGAGAGGAGCAGGATTTTCAACAGGGGGCGGGCAAGGTAGAAGTGGGGTCGATGGCTCCGTCCCCCAATCAGAACGACATGGCAGCGACCACGCCGAGGCAGGATCGCGGGCAGGATCAGACGCAGGTGCAGAGCCATCAACATCAGCAACATCGCAAGGCGGTGCCGGTACTGTGAGCAGCAGCCTTCTCCGCGGGTACATCGCCGAGACGCAGGTGCAGCTAGGGATTGTTACGCTCGTTGCTATGCTGGGCGAGGGAGTTGGAGCAGCGAATTGGCAGATTCAGCCGCCATTCGACGTGGTGGTCACGCTCGACACAGCTGATGGGGAGAGGGAGCAGCAAAGTCTGCGTATGCCTTGCCAGCTCTGTCCAAACCAGAGCGGCGATCTCAGCGTCTCCATCCTCAACACGGTCAAGCTGCGCGCCGAGACTCGCACCGCTGCGCCCAGCACCCTGCCAATTCCTACCTCGCACGCGTATCTCTCCCACTCGCATCTTTCCACTACTCTACCCCCCTCATTAAACTGCAGCACCTGCCTCCAGCCTCTCCTCATCCCCCCACCATCCGCCAAGTTCATAGCTATGCCTTCCGAGCACTGGGAGGAGCTCATCGACAGCTGGATGTGCCATGGTGATCAGCGATTGAACGTCAGCGTAACGCAAGGCCGAGAGGGGCTCGAAGAGGGACGAAGGATTGCGGCGGGAGAGGGCAGAGTTGGGGATGCATGGGTGGCGTGGGACACCAGTGCCGTTCCCGACGGGGCGATCATTGACCTGCAAGAGGTGAGTAAAGGCGACAAGAGATGTGGCATGATCCGTCGTAAACGTGCCTGGCATGGAGTTATGGACACAAAGAAGGTCGACGTCGACTCGGATCGGGCTTCGGCCTGCCTCGAACCTATCGACGGCCCATAGAGATTGCTTGCAGGATAGGCTGGCGTCACCCGCTACTTTGCTGGCTCGTCTTGCGCGACAGCTTCCGCTGCTCGTGCGAGAAGCGTCAGCACGGTTGCGGGCTCTGGCTACCCTTCTCCTGCCTGGTAATCTCCAAGGGCTCAATTATGATCGGCCGATACTCGTTGTCCTACATTGACGCTGCAGGGCGAGCCTTGGCTCGCGTCTGTGGCTGGCACTTTCTCTCGATTTTCAGAAACACCGCCCCTCGCTCGAGATGGATGGTGGGGCAGGTCACTACCGGGAGCGACAATCTGACACTTCTTCATTGTTCCCAAGCAGGCCTCAACAAATTCGTCCACGCAGGGCAGAGAATACGGCAGGAATGGTCATGCCTGCTCTCATGGCCACAGTCACGACGAGGACCAGACGCACGAGCGCGACAATGGCCAGCACAAGCGCGCACGCCTGAGCGGCTCGAAGCGGTCGCGCTGTGTTTGCTCGAAGTGCGGGACCCCTGTGGGGCACATCATCCCCTACAACGGTCATAGCTCCGACGATGGCGGCCGAGTGGCAAGAGGGCTCTCGAATTGCTCCATCCGACTCGATAAGCACGCCATCTGCCTGCCCTCCTCAACCTCACAAGGAGGCAGGGCGTGGGTGGTTGACTCGCTCCTGCCCATCGTGGCGCAAATGCTGGAGAGGATGGCGGACGCAAATGCCGTTCGTCACTTCGTCCTCACAGAGGAGGCTGGGCCCGGCGAAGGAGAGGAGCACGACGAAGACGACGCAGCCGGCAGAGCAGCAGAGAGGGAAAGACAGCACGCCATCCTCTGGTTCTTTCAGCCTCGTTTGGGGCTGAGCATGGATTTGCAGAGGGAGGAGTGTGAAGAGGTGGCAAGACGATTGATTGTTCGGCCGCCTGGTCAGGAAGGTTACTCAAAGCCCTTCGGAGGCGCGGAGGAGCTAGTGATGGAGGCGTGCAAGATTCTCTACCGCCCTCTCAACAGCTCAGCGCCGGACACGACATCCTCGTCATCCTTTTCGTCCCCGAATCACTTCGAAACCCTCGTGCTGCCGCACTCCCTCTGCTTGCGGCTAATGGCCTTTCTGGAGGTGAGCACGCAGGTCTTCCTGCCTGAGGAGAGGAGGAGCTTTGGAGCTGGTGCGGGGCAGTGGAGAGTAGGTTGGCTGCCTCGGTCAGGAGGTGCAGAAGGAGGAAGAGGAAGGTGAGAGCGGACAGGATACCATAGATGCCGCGAGAGCAGGGCAGAGCACTTTTCCTGGCAGGTTTGCGGAATGCGATGCCATTGCGACTTGTCGCGTACTGTACAATGAGGCCTGCCTGCCCGACCTAATGGGTATCGTCTACTGAGATGCTACTCCACCGCGCTTTTACGGCCTCGTCTCTTCCCTCTTCTTCTCCCCCTCACCCCTCGGTATCAGCCACAGTGCCCCTAGAAGCACTTTGAGTCCCGCTGCGACAGTCAAGCCTCCTCTTAGCCCCGCATCGCTGATGAGGAGCGATTGGCTCACCCCTCCTCCCAACGCAAGAGCAGCGAGAGCCAGGATGCGCAGGTCTCTCCCCTTGACCTCTGCCGCTTTCGCCGGTGAAGAGCACAGAAAGGAGAGGCGCGGTGTGAATAGGTGCGGGTCTGATGCCAGTTGGGTGAGCGTGGCAGTGTATGCTACTGAGGTGGAGAAGATGGGCGAGGAGAGACCAGAGGAGAGGATTGATTGGAGGCCCTGCGGGGTAAGGCAAGTAAAGCATGGCTGTTAGCTTACAAGAGCATAGGTTGTCGGCCGATAAGCCGCGCCGCTTTGCGCCGCACTCACCATGCTCAGGGCGACCAGCATGATCACCGGCCCAAACCAGCGGTACGTCACCTCTTCCCCCTCTTGCTTGCTCCAAAGGATCCCAGCAGCCCCAAAGAGGAGTAGCGCTTGTACCACCGAGCTAGCTATGAGGAACCATCTTTTTCTCCCCCTCCCCTTGCCTCCTTGCCGTGCAGCCAAACTCCCGACCCACGACGCCGTGAAGAAGCTGACGAATGAGATTGCTCTCAGCCCTGTCAGTAGTCCCTCATCTGCTGGGACTGGATGATAGGGCGCATATATGAAGGAGGCGACCCCCATGCTGAACTGGACGATATTGCCCGTTTGAAAGCCGATCCATACGGATGTGCGACTGTACAGCAGTCCATCTATGAGACCGGTGAGGAGGGCGAGGAGTGTCAGAGGGAGGAGGGAGGAGGTGTGATCGAGGGTCGCATCCATTTGACGCCAGGAGGGAAATCGTTGGGGACGGGAGGTCGGGAGGGTGGATGCCGGCGAAGAAGAAGGAGCAGCTGCGAATTGCTTGTCATCGGGCAGAGGAATGTCCTCCTTGCTGGTCGGCGACGGCATGGTGACTTGTACAAAATGCCCGAGCTTGCAGCGTGTACAGTAAAGTAGGATGGTCACCTCATCGAGATGTGTAGCGATGGATGCAAGAAGAGAAGCGTTTCCGTTGTCACGCAATGAACCGGCAAACGCGGGCCAAGACGAGACATTTTTCCGGATGGTCCTTCCGCTGAGACTTGGACTGAGATTTCCCATCGCGACGCGCTCTCTATCTCCTTGTCGTGTCTTTACGATCACTTTTCCTCATTCTTGGTTGCCTCCTTCACCTCAGACGTACTCACATTATTACGCAGCAGCTTACGACACCCTCTCAACAATGCCCAGCGAACCATATCCTGATATAGCAATGCTGCCCGAAGCGCAGGAAGTAGGCAACGAAATCGCCAGGCGGGTTAACCTCTTGCTTTACAAGAAGAATGCAGAGATCGGGCACCTGGAACTTGACATCGAGGAGAACGAAGCCGAGATTGAAGGTCTTCGACAGGATGCCGAAACAAAGGACGGTAGAGCGACGGTGCGGGCGATGCTACGGAGGTTCAACGAGCTTTTCAAGACGAAGTGTAAAGATGAGTTTGAATTCCACGATTATTGACAAGTGCACTGGGATGATCAGGCACATGAGAAATGGAAGCTTCAAGACGCAATGAGGAATGCGGAGAAAAGGCATCAGAACGAGATGGCCACTATAATGGCAGGCATCGATGTGCGAGAGAGTCTGCTGCAGAAGACGCTGGAGAGGAACAAGGAGCTGGAGAGGAGGCTGCGCTTGGCGGAGAAGAAGGATGAGGGTATCCGAAAGCTTCCTGCACCAGCATCGACGACGACCAAGACGACTACCACGAAGCTGGCTTCAAGCGCACAGTCCTCTTCGGCGCAGGCTGGGGACGATGCTTCGAGGAAGCGTCCGAGGAAGACAGAATAAGAGCCGCGACCTGCCTACCAGCAGAGCGGCCTGATCATTGTCATGCACAATCACATCGTCGAGCAGGTCTGACACTCGTCAATGTATACCACTCTAGGCACTGCCTTCGAAAGCAACGCTCACAAAGACTGCTGGTGCGAGCGCAAAGCCTTCTCTCAAGCGCGAAGGCTCTCCGCGTTCCTGCATGCGCAGATCTCAACCCCGCATCGCGTCGCGCTTCAAGTCGCGTGGCGCGCTCATTTAACTTGCCTGACCCTTTACCTCTACGCCTCTCGAGATGCAGCGCAGCGCAGTGACACCGATACAAGCGACATGGCGAATCGTGTTGACATGGTCAGTCGCGGCGTCCACTCATGGAATCGTAAGCAAGTCGACAGGCGAGGATGAAGCCGCTGCGCAGCAGGTACCACTTGGGACTGGGAGAGGCAACGAACCAGCAGTAGCCAGCAAGCCAGGAGAGAGCAGAGCAGAGCCTCTGTGCGCCATCGTGATCGACAATCAATGTAAACACAGCATACTCAGCTACTTTTGGTCTGTCAAACAATTTTTACCTATCACATTCGAGAGCAGCCGCGTGAACCAGGGCAAGAGACCGCGGACTGCTTGCATCCTCATTTCGCACCAGACTAGTTCGGCTCGCGAGGGGAATGGCTGTCATTCCCGGTGCATGGGAAGAGGATGGTGGGGAGAGAGGGCCTCTGACCACTGCCGTGATGAAAGGAAAATGCCCCAGCGGCTTGCGCATGCTGTATGCGCTGTTGCTGACCTTCCGTCCTGCCCTCCCTCCTACGCCTAGCCATCATTGACCACAATCAATCTGCTCTGCATGACTTCAGGGGTCCTGCTCACTGCTGGCGAGGGCGCTTGCGCGCATCGCCAACGCCTTCAGCAGGTGCTGCTCCTGTCATCTTGTTGACGCGTACCGGCGTGTTGGGGGAGACGGTTGCGGATTGCTGTGCTGCTTCGGCGCCATGAGAAGGAGAGCAGCCCTGGAGAATCTGTTGGAAGCGTGATCCTAGCTCTCGAAGCTCTGTGATACACTTGTCGGATAGAGCGAGCTTTTCCTCGAGCCGATCATTGCTCATATACGCCTCATCAAGAATATTGTAGAGCTCATCCTCGCGCTTTTGAAATTTCTTGAGCTCTACCTTGAGGTCAGCCAGCTCCTTCTTGAGCTGCTCATTGGCGGCCTTAGCATCTACGGTGCCCGCGTCGCTCGATCTGGCGGAGATGGCTTGCTGCGTCTCGACTATTTGATCATGCTGTGTGGGAGCGCCTGCTGCGGCTACTGACGTCGGCTGCTTCATCGCTTCGAGCTGGCCTTTGAGCTTGCTGATCTCGCCCTGGAGGTCCGAGCAGTCGGCGTCCTTGTCCGACAGTAGCTGAGTGAGATTCTCGATCGCTTTGACAGCTGCCCTGTTCGCCTCGACCAGCGCACTGATTGGATTGTCGTGGTCCGTCATGGTGCAATCCTGGAAGACCCCTATTTTCCTCGAGTGATGATGATCAAGAGCCAGGACCTGCATACAAGAGACAGGCGCAGCTGTGTCAGTGAGCGGCCTGCTGCTTGGTCGAGATATCTCGCCTCCAGCATCAGGCTCACCAGCGCTTGTCTGACTTCTCTCTCAGCCGAAACCTCTGCCTGACCTTGATAGCAGGCCCGTCCGTGGTGTCTCAAGGGGTCAGAATAGGGGACGAAAGATGGGTCGAGTGGTGGCAAGCAAGGAAACTTGTGAGCGCGCCAAAGGCGGCAGTACATTGGAGGAGGCGGTGGGCAAGCTCGTGCACATTCCTTGCCGCCTACATCCGCCTCCCGCTCTTTGCGATTCAACGAAGGGGCTGCGCAACTCGGCGGACGACCTGACTTCCGTACCGTACCACCACATCATCTTAAGTCTAACTGTGCCGAGCAAAAGCTTTGCGTCTTCCGCGCCTGTTTGAAGAGCACGCAGCATCACGCCGCAAGGAGTCAGAAGGATCAGCGGCGGGAAAGCAACGTAGTGGAGGCTGCGGTGAGTGTGGCGCTGCTCGGTGAGCCAAGACTGACACGTAAGCGCTGAATATGCTCCCTGCTGCAGAACTCTCCTCATTCTTCGTCGCCCCCGCGAGCCAGCACCAGCATGCCTTCCCCTTGCGCTGCCCACTTGGATAAGATTCGCGGCGCAGGATTCTCCGCTCTCAAAGTCACGAACGAGCTGAAGGATCAGCTGCGGGCTAAGGACGACGAAATAATGAAGCTTCGAAAGGATGTCGTTCATCTTCAAACCCAGCTCATCAAGGCAGAAGATCCTCAATCGTCGCAATCTTCGTCTTCATCGAGCTCAGTCGGCACATCGGTTGAGCAGCGCATCACTGCGCTCGAAGAGGAGAAGGAGCTCAACAAGGACCTCAAAGATCAGCTCAGCATGGCCGTGGATGACTTCGAGGGTCTTGAGTACGAGGTTGATCAGTTGAGGCAGCAACAGGAGGAGTTCGACTACAAAGTTGACGGCCTGCGCCAGACATATGACTTGCGCGTACCCGAGCTGGTGCGCAAGGTGGGTGAACTCGCCGGCAACTTGAAGAAGGCGCTTCAAAGAATCGAAAGGCTGGAAGAGCCGAGCACGCCGGATGAATTCAGTGTCAACGGCAGCAGCAGTGGGAGCAACGACAACCCGAGTCATCCGGGAAATGGCGCGAGCTCGACACCGACAACCTCAGCGCAGGACAAGGACAGCGCCGCTGAGTTGCAGGACAACCCAGCACCCTTACTCAGGGGATTGGAGACGACTGCACCACCGAAAGAGACCAGCGACAATCTGAAACACTCGCTCGATGAGACAAAGGATGGGAAGAATGCGCAAACGACGGGATCAGGGACGTTGGAGCCCGCGAACAAACGTCGGAAGGAGGGAGGTTGAAAGCGCCTACCTGGGTTTGGGCGTCTCAAAGGAGGCGAAGGAGGTTCGATGGGCGCTGAGTGAGACCAGTGGATTCAATAACAGCTGCGCTCTCTACAGTACTTTGTGCGAGCCAGTAATGAGACGCAGGTCGAGACCGCGGCGTCTGATATCTCCTTTCACTTGTTGCCCCCGAAGCGAACCAGCCGATCAAGATCGATCATTTATACAGTAACTACGTCCTTAAGCATTCCTTCCTTACTTCCTCGTCGTCTTTTCAAAGTCGCTCCGAACTTCAACATGAGCTCTTCCACTAGCCGCGATCCTCCCACCGCCAACCGCAGCTCAGGCGCAAATACTGCACGCGTCAGACTGTCTCGTCTCCACTCTTCACAGAGCAGTCTCCCCACGCAAGGTAGCAATCAGGCCTTCGATGTCTCTTCCGGGAACAATCGCGACGTCCACAGCTTCTCCGAGGGCCCATCAACTCCCAGGGATGGCGCATCTGAAGCGCATCATCACATGAGAACCGGGCATCTAAGCGGACTATAGCATCAGCGCGAAGGTGACACGCTGTTCGATCTCACGGACTTTCGCAAGCTCAGGGTGGAGCTGAGCTCGCAGATACTCATCACAGCCCAGGTTGGTCAGCAGCTGCTGCGACTAGAGGACACAGCGGTGAGAATCCCTAGCAGGGAGGACCGGTCCGAGACGCTGCAACCCATACAATATATCAGCTGTGGGACCATCATGAGGCTTCGTAACAGACCTTGCGGCTTTTGGAGGACCGATTGAATGCTCTGGAAATGCAGAAGCAGGGGGACCCGAGCTGCGCAAGGGCTATGCGCTGAGGCTTCGATGCTGGGGAGGGAGGAGGGGGAGGAGGAGCGGGGGAGGGCAAGCTTGGGGGTGTCGTGGGGAGGGTTGACGAGTCCAAGCATCACATGACAAAGCATGTACATCTCATCAAAGGATCTTGCCACCCCAATCTTCCGTCGTAGGCAAGCTTCGGCTTGGTTGCGGACAGGAGAGGGAGTTGAGGCGCGAGGAGGTCGGCAAAGTGTAGGGTACCCCATGCTGTCATTGTTGCGCACCCTCTCCTTGCCACTCATCGTGTGTGTCAATAAGGTCGAGACGCTTGTCTGCAATGATGAGCTAGTGGACAGCATCAAACAGCATCAGCGCCTGCTTCTCTTGCGTTGCTTCGTGTGGCCGTGTCAGCTCTAAGTCGCGTGTGTGGAGCAAAAGGCGGGAAGGCGGGAGTGAATTGAGCTTGCCGCCCGAAGGTGGGTTTCGCGTCAATTCCGCCTCGGGTCAAGCATGACCGCTGTTCGACATCGATTCTTCTCCTTTCTCCTTACCACACACAGTATTGCAGGCCATCCCGTAGTTTGGAGTGGTCGAAGCACTGCCACAAAGCTGCCAAGACAGAGGCTCGAGCGCGGCAGGCATTGCAGGCTCGTAGGTGCCAGTGATACAGCTGCACGTTGCGCAGCCGCGCCCTCGTCGACGTGCTTACCCGTGCACCCCTCTCTGGTTCCTTCCCAGCAGAGACACATCTCGACTCTCTTCACATCTCCGCCATCATCGCAAGTCCAAGTCGGTCATGGACGGCAGCGTAGCAGCCAGCTCAGCTCTCGCGCGGGAGGCCAGCAAGGTGGAGAAAGCGGTAGCGGGGGCCGCAAGAGCCCACGAGAGACAGCTCAAAGAGAGGGATGAGAGCATTGCTCGGCTTCGTCAAGAGGTCATTCAGCTGAAGAACCAGCTGCAAAAAGCCACCGCACCTAAAGCTCTATCCACGAACTCCATTGAGAAGCGCCTGCGGGCACTCGAGGATAACAAGGTGTCCACTCTGGCCCTCGACACCACAAAGAAGAATTGGCAAGACGACTACGACTTCCTCTGCAGTCAGCAGCATGAGCTCTGCTCTTCAAATCAAGTGCTGTGCTCCGCAGCCATCGACCTTGTCAAGAGAGTAGGGGAGCTGGAACAGAGATTCGAAAAGAAAGACAACACGAACGCCACTGTCAGTGACTCCGGAGACTCCAGTCAGCCGGACAGCAGCTACCACTCCTCCCACCATCAGCCTACTTTTACGGGCCGGAAGGACACATCTTCGATGCTTGCCCCCACCACGAAGTCACTGAAGGCCCTACTCAGCACACCCATCCTTCCCGTCACCACCACCACAACGGCCCCAGCGAGTGGCGCCCAGGCCGGCCGATCAGCCCGAGAGAGACACGACGAAGAGACTGTGAGGCTTCTCAAGCGACAAATCGTACCCAATTCGGGCGAGAAGGAGTTGACGGCCCAGCAGGACAACCAGGCGGCGACAAAGAAGCGCCATGTGGAAGGCGGACAGCTGAGCTAGACGCAGAAGAAAGGGCCAAGCCGATTCGATCCGCTGCGTTCGAGAGCCGAGCGGGCGGTATGGAGGGAGGATGTCGGCAACACACCTGCATGCTGTCGGCCAAAAAGGGCAGCTGTAGACCAGCTGCGTCATATGTCTCTTCATCTAACCAAGTCATTCGCCTTGAGCAATTTGAGCACATCCTCCCCTGACAAGTCTGACGAATGTGATGCTGCGGTGAGGGGCAAGTCGCGGTATGGTAGTGCATCGAGAACTCTCCAGAGATGAGCTGTTTCGTCCGCGGTCCAATTCGCTTTCGTCATCGAATCCATTCGCTGCGTCGCCGCCGCAAAAGAAGAGATGGTGACCGGCCCATCACCGGTGGCAGGGAATAAGTCAGGCTAGCCAAATCCATTGTCTTCTATCAAGTAATGATGGTAAGATCCTTCGAAAGCTCTTGCCTCTGCTATTCATCGACACAGCTACTGATCGTGCTCGCCGCCGCCGCGACCGCCGCTGCCAAAGCGAGCAGGGTTTCCGGCTTGTCAAAGTGGGCGGAAGTGGATCGTGATTGGGGGCGACTTTGGCTTCATGGAATACGACACACTGCAAGTCGCTTTTTCCCCTTTCTTCCTCCTCGACCATCAACAAGCTTCAGCAACCTCACCCGGCAAAATCCCTGCGTTACGGCAGCTTGGCCCCTTTTGCCTTGCTGGCACACAATCACTCGCCTTGACAGCAGCGGAGCGTCATCGAGAGAGATCAAAGCTGCGCAGCACGCGGTCACCGCCCCCTTCAAATCGTTCGTCATTCCTCACTAGCCACCATGAGCCTGGGCACCAAGAATGAACAATGGACTCGTTGGCTCGACTCCTATCTGCCCAATAACATCACCACTCTCCCGCTCGAGGCCATCCCCTTCGCCCCTCACCCTTTCTGCAACGATGTCCCGCTCATGATCCACGTCTGGGACTTCCCCGGCCCTGGTGACTGCAAGCCCGACGAGGAGACGGCTGCACGCGACATAGACGACTGGCGTATGGTTCCTCGCCCCTTCTGGCCTGACCACTCCAAGCTCTCTGATTTTTCCAATTTTGGAGCCGCTCTCCTGCTTGCGAGGATGAAGAGGGGCTTCGATCAGGGCGAAGGGGAGGGCGAATGGCACGAGAGGCTGGAGAAGGCTGTGGGACTTGGGATGAAGGAGGCACTGAGGGAGTACTTTCCCAACATTCCTGGCTACCTTGTTCACTGGCCGAACCAGGGCATTCTCATCGACTGGATCATAGGCGTGGCGCGCAACAACCACCTGGGTGCACTCATCCTCACCCGTCTGGCTCAGCGCGACTTCCTCCATCCCAGCGTCAAAGCCTACCTTCTGTCCACGGACCTCAAGCCCCTTCTGCCTCCCGCTGAGCCCATCATCACAGCCACAGCAGAATATGAGCGCACGAAGGGTCGCAGAGCCAAGCAGCGCATCCTCGCTGTCCTTCAAAAACGACTGCAAGACCTGAAAGCGGCTCTGCGCGGGCAAGGAGATCTGGCTTTACCCCTGCTCACGGCAAGCTGGACCAAGCCGGATCTCATGGAGGTGTTCATGTCCATGATGAGGTACGATACGGTGGACGAGAAAGGGCCACGAATTCACGAGCTCTTAATGACCGAGGCTCTTCTGAACACGTATAAAGATGAGGGTGATGGCAATGACGGCGGAAAGAGTAGGAGGGGCACTTTCACGACGATGCGAGTGGTGCCCAGGGCGATCTGAGCAGAGAGCGCAATAGCGAGAAGGTGGGGCGACATCGTCATCAGTTGGAGGAACCCAGATGGCCCACGAGCAGCTGACCTCAGTCGCCGAGGAGCTCGACAATCTCATAGCTCAGCTGCACAGCCGCATCGCACAGTGCTTTGAACAAGGTTGTAGGTAGCCAAGCGACACGACTCGACGCGTCATGTCAGTCCAGTCAGGCCCTCAATCCTCCATCCAATTCAGCCTCGCTCTCCAGAAAAGCAAACGCATCACAGCGTGTCTTGCAGCTCTCAAGATTGTCCTGGGTGCCGTCTCTTCTCTCACACTCCTCGACCCAAATGTTCATGGCGAAGATGCGGGCAACGGCGAACTAGCTGCCTCCTTCGCGGAAGCATTGCGCCTGTCCCAGGTCTCGCAAGATCATTTTTTGTTTGACGTCCTCGCTTGACCGCTGAGACCAAGCTGCAAGCAGCTGCGAACAGTAGCGTCCGAGACCCTTGCTTCGCCGCCGAGACGAGCCCACGCTTGGTTCGAAGAGTTGCCGATAGCGGATCACAACGCTATCTAACCTTCTCTTTTCCCCTCTTCTCACATCCATCGATCCCTGCCAAGCAACCATGGCCACCATCGGAGAACCTCGGCTGCCTCCGACAAGGGGTGAGCGACCCCTCACTGACCTCTTACGCGGCTTCCCCGAGGACTTGACAGACCTCGCCCGCGAAGTTGACGATCTCGTGGCGCGGCTACGTTCCCGTAAGCTCCGCGCCCTCCTCTTTCCGATCTGGATGAGGCCTGAAGAGCTAAGGAACCATACTGACTTCAAGCGTGAGATGTTTGTAGAGTACTACCAGAGGGCCGATATGATCTATTATGATCTGGCCCTCAAAGAATGGTCGGATGATCTGCCAGAGACAATGCGGTATTACAGTACACTGCCTTGACTAGGTCACGCGAACAGCCTCCTGCCATCTTCAAGGATCGAGTCACGGCGCTGATCAGCTTCATATGGCACTCGCGCGCTAGCTTTCAAGACATGAAGGAGCACTTGGAACGCATTGCAGCATACGAGTCTCCAAAGAATGGTGAGTGCAGCGAATGCCTTGTAGACGTGATCGACAGCATGAGCTGATCAAGTTTTTCTCCGACGCAGGACTGCCTCTTCAATTCTGGAGGACATGGAGGAGACTGAGACAAGGAAGGCGAGCTACGGTGCAAAGTGTTCCCGCCGCATGGTTTCTGTCACACGACCTCTGTCCCTGAAGTGCAATCACATTGCTGGATCTGAGGATTGAGCAATTGGTAGAGATCTCTAGAGACCGGGAGGCGGGCATCCTCGCCCTTCACTGCCGTTCGCCCGGACAAGTGAAGGCTTGGCAGACAATGTCAATGGAAAGCTTAACGGCATGGTTGTGGGCTCGATTGGAATTGAGATTGTAGCGTGACAAAGTTGGTACATGCAGAGCCGCTTCCTTGTCTCGACATCTCTCGAGCGTACGTCGTCACCAGCATCGTCACAATGACAGCATTGACTCGCCTTCCGTGGCGCCATCGTATTCCTCTCGCGAGTGTGCACGCTGAGCTCTACCCGCGCCTCGACGGACTGGCGTGCCTACGCGCCTCTGCTTGCCTTTCCGTCCTTCCACAACATCCATCATTGCCATCCTCAGCCCACTCAGGTCTATGCCGCAATGCCAGTCGCAATCTGCACAACCTCCCTGGAGCACACTCTGCGCGCCTGTCCAAGGCTGTTGACTCACCTCGCCAGGACCATCGACAGCCTGGTAGCAGATCTCGGCGCGCGTGCAAGACATTATCCTCCTCAGCTCAATGCTGCTCAGAGAGAGCGCTACACCGAGGCCAAGCGCAAGTACGACATCTACATCACCATCCGGGCTAGAAGCTTGGAGAACTACAACACCGGCATCGATCGCACACCCGCCCCTCTTCGCCAGAGGTATTACGAATACATCGATCCTTGGGGACCGCCATGGCTCAGAATCAACAACGAGTGGTTGGCGGCGCAAGGGGCCGAACCAATCGTTGCAATACGTCAAGCGATGCTTCAGCTTGCTGAAGAACTGATTCAGCTGAGGCATGAGCTGGAACGAGTCTTGACCGGGGAAGCGCTTGATCGTGAGTGGCGAGCAGCGGCTCAGGGTGGTACCGCATGCGCGAGGCGCTGAATTTTCTCTCCTTCCCGACGTCTCGATGCAGCCGACCCCTCCTTTTCAGCCTTCATAAAAAAAAAGCTGGCGCGCAGATTCTTACCCTTCGTGAGCCGTGTGCCCGTCGTGCCCTCCTTAGCATCTCGTCAAGCATTGCCGCCAGCGTCTTAGACGCCTAACAATCGCCGGCGCCCGGGCGCCCAACCTCAGTCTGATCAGCCGTCTAGATCTGCCGTACGTCTTGTTTTGCACCTGCTTCTGATAGTCTCAATCTCATCACATCCACGCCTGGTGCCCACTGGTGGGCTGTCTACTGTACCAACATCAGCCTCTCATTGCTCTTTGATGTCGATCCTGATTTCTTTCGCCACACACCTGATCTTTTTCCTCCTACTTTGTCCACTGAGTGTGCGCGACTCTTGATGGTGAAGTTGATGGCAGCAGAAGGAAGGAAGCATAATGGCAGTGGCTTGAGCAGCTACTGAGTCTGTTCCGTCAAACCAATCAGCCGCTGCTGCTTCCCGCTCGCGCTTCGACGTGACGGGCCGCCCTTGCTCCTCTCGTGCCGAAGAATGTCTTCCCTCACCATCTCATCAACCTTCCCTTCCCTCCTCCCCAACTCTCACCTCACGATGCCCTTCGCAAACCTTCAAGAGGCCTACAAGCAATGCCCGCAGCAGATCGTCGACCTCTCTCGCGACCTAGATGCTCTCATTTTTAAGATACGCACTCCTAATGCGCGAGCACAGCAGTACTTGGCCATCCTCCGCCTCGAGTCTTTGGAGCGCGGGCTGGAGGATCTCCGAGCAAACTGCCTCAGTTTTTACGACAGGATGCTCAATGCTGCCCAGACCTGCGATCCTGGGGAGCAGTGGAGTGATGATGATCGACAGTTTCCTCTGCCTGGCGATAAATGGCCTGACGACTGGTTAGAACCCGACTTCGAGGTGTCGAGGGCTGGCATGGAGCCTCTTATGGCTGGTCTATGGAATGTGAAGTACGTGGCGGAGAGGGTCGTCTGGTATGAGGAGGATATGGCCAGCAGGTACCAGCATCTGGTAGCTCGTCGTTGCTGAGCAGCCAGTCAACGCCGGCTGCGAGTCGCGCTTCGGTCGAAGTCGCAAGAGAGGCCGGGCAACTCGATTTAGCGGACTCCACTACGCCTCTCTTCCTCATCACTCCCAACATCTTAGCCACATCCTTGTCGCGGTCTCAGCATATCTCTGGCTCGATGCACGCTCAAAGTAATCCACTCCCACACGCACAACTATCAAGAACTCCTTTTCCTGCACCATCCCCCCAGTCATGAAGCGCCTAATCGAGGAGTCCTTCTTCCTCAACCCCCTCGAGCAACGCATGAAGCTCGCCTTCGCTCGCTTCGACCTCGAGACCCGCCTCGAGAAGGCCAATCAGCTGAACATGCAATGCAGTTTCATCGCGACTCCACGTCTGGCGTACAGCCTCGTACAGCCTTGGCAGCTGGGCCCTTTTCCACTTCCAACACAAGTCCAAGCCATAGCACAAGTTTGCTCACCCCCGTCCATCGGTAAACCCTCTTGCGGCCCACCTCGGAGCTCAGTACATTCCTCGTGCACCCTCAAGGCACATCACAGCAATTCAAGGGACGTCACCGTGCTCAGTCTTTTCGTTGGTCAGCACTCGCGACCGTCATTCAAGCATCGATCCCCCCAGGGCATCGCCTACAACCATTCCACACTTTCTCAGCCTGCGTAGCGCAAGTCCTCTCGTCAGTACTTTTCAAGGAAGGACAGATTTAGCTGCGCCTCTAAGGGAGTCATGCTGACCCTCCTGTATCCTGCCTATAGGATCTGTCTCTATTCGTGAAGAGCCCGCGCTTTCTTCACCGCACAAGTCCCAATGATCGGCGCTTCGCTTTTTCGGGCTCATGGATTCTACGCCCCAGCTGTCTCTTGTCGGTACCGTTCCTTCATTCGATCAATACCAATCATATCGCCTGCAGTGCTGCCATCTTCGTCTGGCGTTAGTCAACGGTGCCAGCTCGCTGCAAGGCGTGGCGGAACCGCCCCTCCTCTCTCGTTGCTGGTGAGCGGCGTATGCGATGCGCAGGGGACAACTTGCTTTTCGTTGCCACGGACACGAGCGCCTCGGGACTCCATCAGTGCGTTGCAAAGCTCATCCTTTGGAGAGCGCAACCAACATTTTGGCTTCTCCCCGGACTTGCCGCCGAGCCTGCGCAGATCTTCCCGCTCCACTTTCGTTGACTATGTTGAAAGCTACCCAGCGCATTCGGCAGAATCGAGTGTGGGAGCTGTGACGCCTACGGCTGCATCATTCGATGATCTTACGCGGATCGAGCGCACCGCCCTTCCGCAGCTTCGTTGCTGAGGTCAACGCCTACACTTACGGTTCTTGAGATCCTTGCATCCTGATCGACCGCTAAAGGAGGTCTACCGGTCTCGGCTCGGACACGATGGGCGCCCGAGGGCCGATGAGGCCAGACCGAGAGCTGCAGTCGTACCATATGGCTGCACCACTGCTGTGATTCAGTCTTGCAGCTGCGTACAGTACTTGAGCATTACTCTTCTCAAGCTCTTCTACCTCCCTGTCCGACCACCTCCCGTCTTGGCCAGTCATGCTCTTTCGCACTGTAGCGCAAGCACCTCTCATCCTCGCCGTCATCCTGGTGTTGACGCTGGCTCGCCCCATATCCGATGGCAGGCCATCGCCAAAGGGGCTGGGCAGGTGGCCAGACTTGGTGACAACCGATAGCAGGGACAACGATGCTTTACCTCACAGTGAGTACCGCGAGGAGCGGGTTCTGCTGATTGGATGTTGACAAGGTACATTTTCTTGCCCAACACAGTAGAGGTCGTAACAGTTGGAAATAAAAGCGTGAATACGGTCAAGGTTGCGACCAATCACTTGAGCGTTTTTGCAGAGCCATCGGTCCTCATCGGTCCAGATATCCTCGGTGGTGAGCCATGTACCGGTTCTCTTCGTCCTGCCCGCTCAGGACACCACCTCACCTCTCGCGCGCAGAGCCCAGCCTCAGACCTCGCTTCAAATTGGGCAAGCTTCTCAACAAGCTCGCCGCCATAACGAGTTGCATTGGCTGCGTGGCGGGAGAAGTAGCCCCAGGTTCTCGGACTGGGAGCGCGGCGTCCGCAGTCGGCAAAATTATTACCCCCAGCAGGCGTGACGAGTGTTCAGATGCGTGCCAGGTGATGATTCATGGGGACTGAGCAGGACTTAATGCGGATGTCGGGGAGAGATGAAGAACTCAAGCAGCTGCTCTGCTAGCGCAGCGAGACGAAGGTCTCGTTGGCGCGATGTTACGTGCTGTTCCATAGACCACTGTACAACGACACACCCGGCAGTGCCATAGACATGCCACGCCTCACGCTGTCACCAATAGAAGGAGTTTCAGGTGAGCACGGCGAGAGTCAAAAATATTGCCGAGCTTCGCGAGACTCGGCGACGCCTGGGCTGGTTCGCCGAAGGGTCGAGGGTACTGGTAGGTGGGCGAATCATGGTCGAGAAGGGATGATCTGTGCGCCAAACTTGAGCTCGCGTTCCAGGCGAAAGGGAGCTCAAATAGCCCGACCCGCTGGTGCTGCGGGCCATGCCGGTCGTCCGCCATCCTCAAGCTCCACGATGTTCGCGAAGGTCAAATGCTCAGCGACGGTGAATGGTACCAACCATGAGCGCAGGCAGGTTGCACGTTGCCAAAACCTCGAAGGTAGCTTATCTCTCGCTCTCCCACCACCATTGCCGTCATCATGAATCTGGCGCCTCTCCAACCTCCGCAGATGAATTGGTGGGCTGTGCTCAACCTCCCTCGCTCATTAAGCTCGCTGACACCATTTCGGTGAGTGGAATCAGGCTGATTGGATCTTGTGGGCGATTAACTTCCCGCCTTTTGTGGGCCAAAGTCGCGCTCTACCGCCGGCGCCGTTGCTGCCGCTGTTCTTGCCATCCACTGTCGGGATCTCATTAATCCCTACGGCTCAGTCCCCCTAACCGCCGTGCCGCCGCTAGCCCTCGGCCCTATCGAGGTGGAGGTCAATGTCATTGGCAGGGTCAGTCAAGGCTCGTATCTGACCCTCGCTCGTAGCGCAACACGTTGACTCGTCGCCATTACCACGCCGTCTTGCATCACAGCTGCTACCCCGCACCAGCGGCCGATCTCCACGCAGCCATCGAGATGCTCGACAAGCAGTGACCGCCCGGCGTGGCGATTGGCCCAAATGCGAAGGCCGCCACTCGCCGCCGGCTAGATGAGGTGATTGTTCGTACAGTGCATCCGTTTCTCCGCAATCTGTGGGATGGTGGGTCGCGGTAGGAACGTTGTCTCTTTGCTCCCTGATATCTCCCGGGCACAACGTCAGCTAATGAGGTCTGTGCACAGCCTCCCTGTATCGAGATGTGAAGTGAGGAGCTGAGCTGGCCAAAAGGTATAAGAAGGTGGGTGAGCTGACTACCGAGACCTCAGTCTTGTGCTCCCCATTCCAAATTGCCCCATTTCGCCTACTCCTGTAACCGACCTGTACCACCGCTACGCCCAAGCCTTCAACTGCAGTGCTAGAAAGCCTTACACCAAAGACTAGCTGTAGCTACCAACCATGATCTCAACCGCCTTCCCCACCATGCGTCTTTTCACCCTCATCGCCATCCTGTTTGTCCTCTTGGCCAACCTCACCCACGCCGCTCCTACGACGGCCATGGATACCGTCGACATCAACGCTGCTCGCGGTATGGCTCGCGACCTTGAGCCTCGCGTCATCTCCAACCACAGTGAGTGCTGCAGCAGCTTGCGAGGCTTCAAGACGTTCATGCGCTCACTGTTGACGACACTTATGCCCAGCCTTTGATCTCGAGGAGGCCAAGGCCGCCGTCATTGCTCACGCTAAAATGCGCCTTGGCGCCGACCGCTTCTCTGGTGCGTCGATTCTTTGCTGCCTGATGACGAGGCTTGCAGCTGACACGATGCTGTCCTCCCCGTAGGCAACATCTCTGCCGAAGAAGCCGACGTCCGCCGCAAGAAATGGCATGCCAAGGCCCTTGCCTCTTGCATGGGCGAGGCCTCTGAGCAGCCTATGCTTGTCGAGAGGGAGAAGATGTCGAGCCTTGATGGAGACGATGGTGAGAAGAATCTGCTGATCAGACTTGCCGAGCACCTCTGATGTCCCCCACCCCACCGTAGTCGACCCTCGTGACATGGAGGAGATTCACAAGCGCAGGAGCTTCTGGCATCACCTCCTTCGCTGCGCTGACTGCGGGTGAGTACGCGGCTCTTTCATCATTTCTGGGCGGCCGAGATTGACCTTTTGCCCGCTCCTCCCTCAAGATCCTGCGTCGTGGTAGCCGCCCTCCAGGATCCTGGCTGCTCAGCTGACTGCCGTGAATGCATCGGCAAATGATCCTGCTGGCTGTCAGGATAGCTGTACGATACCACGTAAGGTGTAGAGGGGAGGAGGGAGGTCAAGAGAAGTCGCAACCGCGCACGCGCCGGCACGCCGCGTGGCTCTCCCCTCTAGACCGACCTGATCCGGCTCATGCTTTTGACTTGATATGTTGTTGTCTCAATTCGATCTTTCTGTCACCGTCATCAGCTCACGTTCTCGTGACGAGCGCTTCCCTTGCATCACGCCCTGCCATAGCGAGTCGAAGAGATGGCGCCACGAGGCATGTGGGGCGATGAGAACACGCGCAACGAGCTGTGGTTGGCCGTTGGAGAGCCCATTGCTGGGCGCTCGCGAATGCATTGGGCTTGGCCTCGGTATCGTAGATCTGATAGCCCTCCGAGTAGGTAACTTTACCAAATCGCTACATGCACCTCTTACCTGCTGGCACGTACACAGACTATGGGCACGAAGTTTCTTGCTCAGCTCCGGTCTCGTGCTGATGAACCACGTTGTGGTAGTGACGACGTAGCCAAGGGGGCGTGTCGATGGCTGAGTCGGGCAGCAGGGTCAGTCTCGACCTCAGCGACTGGATCCTTGACGATGTCATGGACGCTGCTCGCTCTCATTGCTAGGACAAGCCCATCATCGCTCCTCTTGTTCAGGGCCAGGTCAAACTCGAAGGACGGCGTTGACCTGGCGGACTGTGCTTGTCCCGTCTCCTCGCTCATCCTGGCGCGGCGAGTCATCCTCTCGTACGTGTCGAGCTCCGGGACCATATCGTGCCGCTATGGCGGCGTCGGCCATAGCTATGACTCAATGACCGTGTCTGTGTGACCCAGTAACGAGAGATGGGCTGGCGTGACCTCTCTGGGCGTATCTCCTCCTCGCTCGTCGCTCTTCGCTTCCTCCCACTTTGCACGTTTGCTGTGACGTCCAGATCGCGCTGTTGAGATCGAGATCGACCTCTCGGGCAGTGACGCAATATCTGTTTCGCCAGATATGGGGCCGGATTGTTTGCTTGGGGGAGGGCAACGTTCCCTGGGATGATCTTGTCGAGCACGTCAGCTCGCCGGCCGTGGTATAAAACGGCGGCCAATGGTGATGACCCCTCTCCGTTCGCTTCTTCCGGTCAGACCACCCAAGGCAATCTTTGAGCACCCTCAACTGCTACTACTTCCCTTTGCGACATCATGTCCCTCACCACTTCGTATATGCGCTTCTTCGCGCTCATGACCATCGCTACGCTCTTCGTCTTTGGCATCATGTCCAAGGCCACGCCCCTGCCTGGCGTCCCTGTGGACTCCATGAATATCTTTGATGCCAATGTCATCCGTGACCTCGAATTCGGTGCTAATCACAGCGAAGGTGAGTAAGCGATGCCGTTGGTCCCACCCGCGACGTAGATTCGACGAAGTCCTTTGGCTCAACGCCCACATCGTCTCTCTTCCTCCAAACGCGGCCGCCTACTCTGCGCGGCTTTGACGCGGGCCGCAGCCATCCCTACTCGCAACACCGGTCCCAAGGAGGTCCATATGATGCCACGTAGCTTCTTCAGCCGCGTCAAAAGCTGCTATCGGTGCTCATTTGGCACTTTGATCGGGAAGGACAACACCCCAGCGTACAAGCCTGCTTGTGATGAATGCAGCGGCGGTGAGGCGTTGGCCACCGAAATTGCCACCACCCGTGACCTCAATGACATCGACGACACACATGTCATGCGACGAAGTTGGTTCAGCCACCTCAAGGCATGCTCTCGGTGCGCGTACCGTATCATGTGTGCTGCCCCCTACCACCCACTTTTGGCAACTGACGCCGTCACTTCCTTCCTTCCATCCTCCCTCTCGCTAGGTGGGGCGAAGTCTGGGGGCATGCTGACGAGCAGAAATATAAGGATGCTTGCACCAAGTGCCACCCTCCACCATCCGATGATGGGTCATGAGGTCGAAGAGATGGAGGACAAGGCGAGCAATGACGTGAAGTCGAGTTGCGCGACGCTGAGCGTCGTGCTGACGCGCAGTGCGCTTAGCTCAATTCCTTACCTCGTCTTGAATCTCGATTTGCTCCAGACGTCTTCATACGCTCTCTGTTGTGTCACATCGAATCAAAGATCAGTGTCGTCATTATCGTGGTGGTGAGCTTCGCAGCACCGTCGAGATGTGGTGGTGTTGAGTTGAGGAGCAACTTTCGCCCTTTCTCCGCGCCGGCAATCGGCCTCCCGTCTGAGATCGGTCCGCCGTGCCAAGACCGGCCGACTGAAGCGCTTCACTTCGCTCAGCCATCCTCCACGTTCAGCCCACACGCCCGCCCTCGCAGCACGAGGCAAACGTCATTTCGCACCGCCTTTCTCCCCGCCGCTTCCCATCCTTTCTCCATTCATTCAATCGCTGCAACGCATCATCTTGTTTCCCCAGACAGTACATCCATCCATTCAAGTCTAGACCAGCAAAGCGATCAACAATCATGGGGTTTCTCGACAAGCTGACGAGCGGAGGCTCGTCCAATAAGCACTCGAGCTACGGTGGTGGTGGTGGCGGCGGCTATGGAGGAGGGGGCGGAGGATATCCTCAACAGTCATCCTACCCTCAGCAGTCCTCTTACCCTCAGCAGTCTTCTTACCCTCAGCACCAACAGCAGCCATACGGCGGAGGAGGAGGAGGCGGCGGCGACGATCGTCCGTTGCCAGACGGTTGGGTGAAGCAATGGGATGAGAACTAGTGAGTGTATGCAGCCCATCCCTCCTCGCAAGGACCCTACTCTGACCTCCTCTGCTCTCACTCTCAGCAAACGCAACTTCTTCGTCGACACGCGCGCCCAGCCCCCACGCTCAATCTGGGTCCACCCTCTCGATGAAGAAGGCGGTCGATCGCAGGGAGGCTACGCTCCCCCGTCAGGAGCTCCCCCACCACAGCAGCAGGGAGGTTACGGTGGTGGATACCCTCAGCAGCAGCAAATGATGGGCGGTTATCCTCAACAGGGCTACCCGATGCAGCAGCAGCCCATGATGGGTGGCGGCTACGGCGGCGGCTACCCACAACAGCAGGGAAGGATGATGGGCGGAGGAGGCATGATGGGAGGTGGACGTCGCATGGGCGGAGGCGGTATGGGCCCCATGGGCGCCGGTATGCTCGGTCTTGGAGGCGGTATGCTCGCGGGCGGTTTGATTGCCAACGAGATCAATGATGGGGAGCAGGACGCTTATCAGGATGGATACCAGGATGGTGGAGGCGGGGACGACTTCGGAGGAGATGATGGTGGTGGGGACGTAAGTAGGCGTGATGTGAGCAAAGTGAGCGGGACGAGAGAGCTGACACAACGCCATCCGCCTCCGCTTCCCAGTAAGACGTCGATCACTCAATCAAAGGACGGGAGACGACCCCTGCTTCTCGTCCTGCTTTCCCTCCTCGTATCATATGCAATCAATCACCATATATGCCGCGCACGAACTGCGTGAACTGCGTGACTTGGTCTGTCTAGCTCTCCACGTCGTCTGCACTCGCTTCTCTGTCCCGCCTCTGCGTGCTGTGCGTATCAAGATGTGTGCCATTCTTCGTCAGCGAGGCAGAGTGTATGCCCCGCAATCTCACGAGTCAGGGAAGGAGTGTACAAGGTGTAGAGATGACGAAGAGGAGGCGAGTTGGGTACGACAAGTTGAGGCGTAGTGCCACTGGACTTGACGAAGAATGAGTTGGCTGCGGTAGGAGAAGTCGGAGGGGCGGTTGCGATCGCATCCTTTTACTTCTTGGCAGCGGCAGCCTTCATGACCTGCTTGACGATCTTGGCCTCCTCAACGAGGAAAGCCCTGATGATGCGGGTCCTGAGGCATTGTCCACAACGAGATCCACCGTAAGCCCTCTGGACGGACTTCTCCCTCTTTGAGACGGTAGCGTACTCCCTGGGGCGGAGAGCCTTGACGCCGGGGAGGGCGATGTGGCAGTCACCGCACTTGGGGGCGGTAGGCAACTTCTTGATGTGAAGGTAACGGAGCTTGCCACCGGGCGTCTTGACAACACGACGACGGTTCGACTTGGTGTTGTACGGGTTGCGACGACGGAGGGTGACGCGTTGGGCCATCTGTGCGGGAGGGAGGGCAGGGGAGGTGGTGAGCGTGCTGCGACCGAGCGTCAACGCTGCTGTGCCGGCGTCATCATCATGTTCGCCGTCGTCATCATCATCGTCGTCGCAAGCTCGAGCTGCTACCCTGGCGCAGCCCTTGCCAGCTCTCGTCTGCGTTGTCCGAGCTACTACCGCAACTTCATCGTCCCATCCTCCGCCTCCTCATTGCCAATCCATTCTCCCAACTGGCCTTCCCTCCAGCAAGCAATGTCTGCCCTCACGCAGCTCTTCGCCTGCTTCTCATTGCCAGCTTTTAGCTAGCGGCGAAGGGCAGATCCCACAATACCAGCTTCGACAGCCTCGTCCTTGCTTCCCTCAACCGCTCAGCCTTCCTCCGCCAGCACGAGCAGCAGTTCGACGACGATGACGATGGCGATGATGATGAAGGTGACGACAGCGATTGCCGCATAGTTGCCTGCTTGTCGCGCATGCTCACCTTGATGATCTGTCGAAGGGGGGGAGATAGGGTGGGACTAGGAAGTTCGGAGCGAGCTTGGATTCGCACTTGGTAGTCGTTTGGCGGTGAGTGAGCCAGTCCAAGGCCCATCGACCGCCCCGTCGCTGGGCCCGCAGAAAATCGCTTCGCGCGGAGCCGAAGGGCAGAGAGGGTCAGGCAGAGGCTGGGCGAGGCAGGCAGGCGGCGGGGCGGGCCGTGGCACTAAGAGGTGAACATATTCCGTTCCGACGAGGGAAGGCGGATCGAATAGGTAGAGCAAGTACAGGTGGTCGAGCTGCGAGATGGAGTTGCAGCATCGATGGGCGCCATCGTCCATCATCCATCCTCCTCGCATCAGGGACAGGGCTAGCCGCTTTGCTGGTCAGAGATGATGCCGCAGCAGTCTGCCGGCACCTAGCTCGCCTCTCGCTGCCCTGGCCAGGCGATTTTGACGGGCTGGTCCCGCATACGTTTTCCGACCTCCTTTGATCCTCTCCCACACAAAGTGACGGAATGTCTGGCATCCTCACAGGAGTTGCAACCCTTCTCCGACGCTGCCGAGCGGCTCAGCAGTCTCATCTCGCTGTGCAAGAGTGGCGACCACGACGATCGCCTCCATCATCGTGGTTCAAGGAGGCGCACTTGATCCGTGCCCTGATCTCCCAGTCATCTCAGACACTCCTCGTGGCGTCACGGCTCACAGGGGAGGCGGTTGGAGAGGCAGGATCCGGAGCTCGACGTATTGTAGTTTGAGGGTCATCGCGAGCGACAAGAGAAAACTGCGGAGTGCTGCGTCGATGTCTAGGGGGGCGCATGGGCGGGTGCACAACGCTGGCTTCACCCATCCTCGACGGACCTCGAAGCATAGCGCTGTCCCTCGACCCCACGCTACCCCATCGCTTTCGCCGCCTCTGGCCCCTCTCTCACACCGTGAACATGACCTCGGCGCCGGCTTCTATGCGTTCGCTCTCTAGCCTTTAAGAGGCGTAGCATAGCTAGGCATTGGACGGGGCAGAGACCTGACCTCTAGGAGGCAGGCATACGTCCTGGCGTTGCGCAGAGTCAGCCGATTGAAAGGATGCTTTGCTCATGAATCACTTGTTGAGAGGTGTACAGCTGGGAGAGTAGGGTAGGAGATCCTGGGGCCATGGGCGTGAGGGCTGTTTGTATCACTAGGGGAGACCCGAACGAGTCGTGCGATGATAGGCTTACTATCAGCGTGTGACCTCTTATCGAATATGAGACGACTGTCATCCAGTCTCCTTATTGCGAAATGTGTGCTCTTTCACCTGTGGTGCTAATTACCTTGCCGACCCGACTTCTCGCCCATCTCCCGTTTCCCTCTCACTGCACCTCCTTCCCCACCTCTTCGTCGAGCACCGTAGAACTTGGGGCTCGAGTGACAGCCACACAGACACATACACACAAGGCTGACTTTGAACGCGCCGCGCCGGCGGTGGCTGAGGGGACGGCTACGGCGACGGCTACGGCGAATGCTTTCTCTGAACAGCGGGGTTCGTCAAGGCGTTGGATTGGCAATGGCGGGTCAACCAACGGCGTCGCTTCACGCGGCCGAGTCTTCCTCCCTCTCACTTCAACTTCCCTCTCGATCTCATTGCAATCGACGCTTCGTAGCGTAGCGTACCCCACGCCCGGCTTCCTCTGCCTCGTCGCTTCGCGAGGCAAGCAAGGCTTGGCGATTGATCGTCGTGGAGAGAGCTCGTCTTCTTTGGTGAGGATGGCGATCGAAGCAGCGGCGTGAGCTCTGTCGACGTCCGTCAGTTCCGCTTCGTCCGCTCTCGAGTGCGGCAGTGCGTTTCACCCGGCCTTCGCTGTGGTTGGGCGATTGAGCTGAGGGATGCGGACGTGGGTCAGGTGGAGCTGCAGGTTGCAAGTGGCTTGGCTCGGTGGTTTGGTCGCCGCTGCCTCACTGCCGGCTTGCTTCCCCACAACGAGAATGCTGGGCCAGGCGGGCTCACGATGACACGACGCACAGACACTGGTGTGGCAGCCAACTCAATCGTCATGCATCGACGGCTGGCAGTCACGGAGAGCGGCGGGAGGGAGGCACGACTCGGCCTTTGACCATCTCGTCGCACTCTCTCTGGCGAAGCCGGATTAACGAGCAGTCCTCGCCTTCCCCGCACCCACTCCACAACAGCCTACAAGTAGGCGGGCGCCCTCTCCTTCTTTGGTCCCCCCCCCCCCCGATTGCCATCCACACCTCATCGCAGAGAACATGGCTGAATACCGCGAAGTAAAGACGTATGACATCCCGGCCCGCCTCAAGGGCAAGGGAACAGGATCTCATGACCGCCCTAAGCCTCACATCGACGAGGCGACGTACAAGAGCAACTACCAGGCCTCGATCACCAAGATCGATGAGTTCTGGGGCAAGGTGAGCGCGGCGTGCGAACGTCGTGAGTTACATCGCACTGACATCGCGCCTCGCGCTCGCAGCTCGGACGTGAGACTATCGACTGGGACGTGCCCTTCAAGACGGTGCGACATGGTGGCTTCGAGAAGGGAGACGTAGCCTGGTTCCCTGAGGGACAGCTCAACGCCTCGTACAACTGTGTCGATCGTTGGGCCTTTAGGCACCCGGACAAGGTGAGCATGCGCGCGCAAGACGATGCAAAGGAGCTCAAGCTGACCCGGCGCGACCCCCTGCGACCCCGCACTCGCAGACTGCCATCATCTGGGAAGCCGATGAGCCTGGACAGGGCAAGGAGATCTCTTACAAGTGAGCTCATGACGCCGCGGCACGCATTGTATTCTCATGCTGACCGCCGCCGCCGCCGTCTCTCACGCGCAGGGAGCTCCTCGCCGAAGTCTGCCAAGTCGCCAACGCCCTGACCAACATGGGCGTCCGCAAGGGAGATGCCGTCATTGTTTACCTGCCCATGATTCCAGAGGCTGCTGTTGCCCTCCTTGCCTGCGCTCGTATCGGAGCAGTCCACTCTGTCGTCTTTGCAGGCTTCTCCGCCGACTCCCTGCGCGACCGAGCCGTCGACTGCGATGCCCGCGTCGTCATCACCACCGACGAGGGCAAGCGCGGTGGACGCACCATCGCTACCAAGTCCATCGTCGATGCAGCCCTCAAGGAGTGCCCCAAGGTCGAGCACTGCCTCGTCGTCAAGCGAACTGGCTCTGACGTCCCCATGCAAGAAGGTCGCGACAAGTGGTGGCACGACGCTGCTGCCGCCGAGCGCGCCTACTGCTCGCCTGTCCCCGTTCAGTCGGAGGACCCCTTGTTCATCCTCTACACCTCGGGCTCCACGGGAAAGCCCAAGGGTGTCGTCCACTCCACCGCCGGCTACCTGCTTGGCACGGCGCTCACTGTCAAGCACATCTTTGACGTCCACGAGAACGACCGATTCGCGTGCATGGCCGACGTGGGCTGGATCACGGGCCACTCGTACATCGTCTACGGCCCCTTGATGAACGGCGTCACCACGCTCATTTTCGAGTCCACGCCCGTCTACCCGACCGCATCCCGCTACTGGGAGGTCGTCGCGCAACACAAGCTCACCCAGTTCTACACGGCCCCCACCTCGATCCGCCTGCTGCGTCGCCTGGGCGAGGAGCACGTCAAGGGTCACGACCTCACCTCGCTGCGCGTCATCGGCACCGTCGGCGAACCCATCAACCCCGAAGCGTGGGACTGGTACAACGAGAACGTCGGGCACGGTGAATGTGCTGTGGTCGACACCTACTGGCAGACAGAGACTGGCGCGCACATGATCTCCCCCTTCCCCGGCGCGACCAAGACGAAGCCTGGCTCCGCAACGGTCCCCTTCTGGGGCGTGGAGCCCGTCCTCCTCGACCCGCAGTCGGGCAAGCTCATCGAGGGCAATGAAGTCGAGGGTGTCCTCGCCATCAAGCAGCCCTGGCCCTCTATGGCCCGCACGATCAAGGGCGACCACCAACGCTTCCTCGACGTGTACCTCAAACCCTACCCCGGGTACTACTTCACGGGCGACGGTGCAGCGAGGGACAAGGATGGGTACATCTGGATCAAGGGACGTGTCGATGATGTGTGCAACGTCTCGGGACACCGCATCGGTACGGCGGAGATTGAGAGTGCCCTCATTCAACACCCGGGCGTGTCCGAGAGCGCTGTGGTGGGCATTGCCGACGAAGTCACTGGACAGGCTATCTGCGCGTACGTGGCCCTGAAGCCGTCCTTCAGCTACGACTCACACGAGGCGCTCGTCAAGGAGCTGGTGCTGCAGGTTCGCAGGAACATCGGTCCATTTGCTGCTCCCAAGAAGATTCTCGTCGTCAAGGATCTCCCGTGAGTACTTGCAGCTGCGGACGCGTGACTTCTGAGTATAGCCGCTGACTTCTGCCCTTGATGACCTTCTTGTTCCTTCCAAACCCTCACAACACCTCCTCGATACCTCGACGCACTTCACTGGACCCTCTGTCAACCTCTCGGCCCTCTCCAAACTCTCCACGAACCTCCTCGACCGCTCCGACTCCTCTGTGAACGTCCCTGACGTCCCTGACGTCCCTGGACGCTCTACGAACCTCTCCGAACCCTCTACGGGGCTCAAAACGACCAAAAGTAAGACGAGAAGTGGTAAGATCATGAGGCGCATCCTTCGCAAGGTCGCTTCTAATGAGGCAGATCAGCTCGGAGACGTGTCATCGCTGGCAGACCCCAGTGTTGTCGACGGGATTATTGAAGTCTGGAACAAGGATCAGGCAAAGAAATAGGCTGCTTGTCCTCCCTTGTCCTCCCTTGTCCTCCCTTGTCCTCCCTTGTCCTCTCTTGTCCTTCTCGTCTCTATCTCTCCCCTGGATGCTGGTAATCGAATACTTGATCAGTAGTGTATCGCCCAAAACACGATGAAAGGGAGGCGCGACCTGGAGAGAGTGGCATGCCTGGCTCATCCGCCCGCTCCACGACGAGACCGCAGCGCAAGAAGTGCACGCGATAGATATACCGATCGCAAGCCTGAGTGCCTCGCATACTCACAGTCAGAGTCTTGACGGCATCGATGATCGTCTGATCTCGTGAGAGGTGGATGAGTGAAGCGGGGGACCGTAGGATGCTGCGAAGAGAAGGCGGTCCGCCTGGTCCGTGCGCCAGTCGAGTCCACCCATGGCCCGCCGGCCCGCCGGCCCGCTCGCCCACGTGGTGCTCTCTGCCTGCGAGATGGGATTGGCCTGCGGGCGGACGGGCCGCTCTTGTGCCAACTTCTCTTTGCCTCCGCACCACCAAAAGCAATCTCGCTTCCCTTCCCAGGCGTCCAGCCCACCATCCACCTTCTCGTTACCACAAAAGAGAGCAGCACCGAACACACACCCTGCAGGGCGACGCGGCTGGTCGAGGCACCCTCGGCTAACTCGTGCTCAGTCGCGTCGTCAACCCACATCCTCCCAACCTCGAGTTGAGCTGAGCTGCGCTCAACTTGGCATCCACTCTGGCCTTACGCCCGGCTGGCCAGGCGTCCACCTTGCCTCTCCTCCTCTTCTTCTTCTCTATCTCCTCAACGACCTTCATCTCCTCATCGCCGCTCCATCTATCCTCTGCGGTGTTGGCGCCAGTTCCCCAACGTCGGGCGCAAGTGGATACGACTTGCCTCGCGCAAGGGGGACGACTGCGCATCTATGGCCTTGTCGTCTAGCAGGCCAACATCCGCATCACACACATATCAGCATCAGTAGCTTCATCATCGCTATCATCACCTTCAGCTATACTCGTCATCATCTTCAGCTCGTCGTCGTCGCATACAACGCTACGGCTCGACCGCCCCTCCGCCCATGAGGCGCGGCAGCAAATGGCAACGTGGCCTCCGCACGACGGCTGGCAATATCAATCAACGACCCAATCATCACGTCTGGGGCTCAGGGCACGGGCTTGCAGCGACCAAGCAAGCGGGGCCAGCTGGCAGGCGAGGAGGCCAGAGCTTGCACCGTGGACGATCACTGCTTGGTCAATTTGAGCATTCGAGACTCCGGCCGAGCAAGCTCCCAGAGATGGAAGAGTAGGAGGAAGGGAACATGATACCAGCAAGCAAGCGAATATTGCAAGACGGAGTGGAGGACCAGATGAGCAGGGGAGGGGGGGGGGGGGGGGGGGGACTGCGACACCATGCCACTCCTCGCCTTCCCTGTGGACGCTACACCGGCCTCGTTCGCAGTAGCATTGAGTACTCCATCTGGTGATCTACCGAAAGAAGTGCAACGCAAGCTGAAGAGACGGGCCGAATTACAAGGCGAGCTCCTCCTCTGCCGTCTCCGATTGGCCATGAACGCGAAGGAAGGCATGGCTCCATGGAGGCGCCGTGTGGGCCAAAGCATCAGGCCAAACACGATCGCCCTGGCTTTCCCAACCATGAAGGCTCTGTTCAACGTCACCGGCCATGATGGTCGCTCTCTCGTCGCTGGCCGTGCAGGGCGGGACGATCTCGTCGGCTTCATTTTCGCCCAGGCTGCGCAATACAACAACGTTGCCCAGATGGAGCAGAGCCTGATCGGTGCTCAGCCCTCGCTCTCGGCCTACCTTCGAGCACCGCTGAGCCACGGAATGCCCGGCCTGGGGTTGATGTGGCCTGCCAACTGGCCTGGGATCGGGGAGTGGGGCATCACGCTCCGAGAGGCGAAGGACGTCGTGTGGCCCAAGCTGGCCACCATTGCCAAGCGCATTCGCGGCGTGCGCCAAGGGATGGCGGAACCGATATAGAGGGCTGCCTACGGCTGGTACGGACTGTCGCTGATTGCGACCACAATCCTTGACATTGGCGTAAATGCTGTCGTCCGCAACTCGTTCCCGCGGGACCTGGCCTCCGAGTCTTGGCTGCCAACCATCATCCGCTGGGCCGGCGAGAGGCATTCCCTGACCGTCGAGTAAGGCGTCCTCCTCCACCCCGACGAGCAGCCAGGATTGGAGGGGGGGGCCGGCAAGGACTGGCAAATGCTGGCAGACCGAGAGGAGAGGTGGTTCCGTTTCGTCGTGCGGCCTCGCCTGCGTCGCCTCGCCACGCACGCGCGCGCTCGGAGCAAGCGGTCGACGACGTACGACCACCCACTGCCAGACCAGAGCGAGTTGGCGAGGGTATTGGAGGAGTGCGTCCTGGAGCAGAACTTCCGGTGCGCGATCTGCGGGTGCCGAATGACGTTCGAGGAGCCGCGAGCTCGCGCACTCAGGCACACGACGGCCTCACCCCCCCCCCCCGTAACGCCAAGGTCTGCCCAAGACGGCTTATCGGCGGCAGCCATTCAGCACATCCGGGACGACTTCCGCTGCATCCGGCCACAAAACTGCTCGCCGGATCGCATTCGACCCAAGGGACCATACGCGCGGGGCAACGTGCATGCGGTCTGCGTCGTTTGCCAGCTCATCAAGAGCGACAGGCCGCTAGAGGTACCAAGAGAAGAGGAAATATTACGACAACACTTATAGTCGCCCAATACTTTCCTCGAAGCTTTTGCCGCACTCTCACGAAAGACAAGTGCTCAAAGCTCCATTAAGGAGCAGCCTTGCCCCGCATCGCATTGCTCGACTTCTCACCTCTATCACGAGCAGCATCATGAAAAGCCATGAAGTGGCGGAAGGATGGCCTCAAGACCACGCGGGCTTATGAGTATAACCCCGTATCAGTGGATAACCTTGACGACTTTTGGATAACCTTGACGACTTCTGCACCGCACCCACGCCTCGTCTCTACAGAAGGAAGGACGGGAAGTAGGAGTGAAGGACTGAGTGGAGTGGGAGCAGGTGGTCGAGGTTGCGTTTGGGTGTGAGCACATGCTGCAGCTACCTCATCAGCTGCCCAGATAGAGAGCAAGCGCCGTAGCTTCTTTTCTTCTGAAGCTACGCAATCACACGCTCGAATTTGCCTTTGCCGCCCACACTTCGTCTGCACTCTTGAGCTACTGAGAGGATATCAAATTTCGGTGCTGCAACACGGACAGCGAGCCAAGCTTAGGCCGTCGGCAACCCTTGCCATCGACGTAGACGTCCGCCAAAGGCAATCAGGCCCCCGAGCATGGCGAGTCCAAGCAGCGAGACGATGAGACCCTGCGCGAGGTAGGAAGACTTGAACGTGCCTTCCTCTCCCTCCTCCCATGCTGGTAGACCCGTCCATGATGGTAGGTAGAACGGTACGCCGAAGCTGAAGACGCATTTGGTGAAGTTGAAGACAGACACTGAGCTCATGGAGCGAGAAATGTCGTTCTCGGCGATGTACGTCTGCACAATGGAGGATACGGCGACGTTGCCAATGTAGTAGAGACCGGCGCCGAAGACGATGGAGACCCCTGCAGCGCGAAGGAGGTGAGGAGTCAGCAGCTCCTCTTGACGATGTCCTCCTGCCCTGTTTATACTCACACCACGCCATCCTATCAGCCCACCCGTAACCAAACAGGATCATCGCCGGGAGGAGAATCAGCGTCGGCAACAGCAAAGCCCACAGCCGGTATTCTGGCCGCCTGACGCCGTCTGCCCCATTCCTCGTTGCGAGGAAAGTGACAGTCCGGTCAGAGATGATACCCCCGCAGATCTTGCCGATGACCGACCCGACGAGGATGGCCAGGAAAGCGCAGCCGATGAGGATGGGTCCAAAGTCGTATGCGGGGGCGTGCAGCACTTGAGGAAGGATCTGGAACGAGAAGGTGGGCATGCGGTCAGCGTCCGGACATTCAGGGCGATTCCCTCGACGTACTCACGATGGTGGTGCCGACACTCCAGCCGAAGGCAACGGCAGCCCACAAGCAAGGCAAGAGCACCGACACGTAGCAGGCCATGGCTAGGGGTTGAGCAGCCGCCTTCAGAAATCGCATCGGGTCGCGCAGTGGATTGTAAAGGTAGCCTACATGACCCTGCTGCTGCCCTCCCCTTGCACCCTCAAGATCGTCCCTTGTGCTGGTGTGCACGGCGTCCTCCTTCTCCTTGTCGCCCTTGTGGTCCTCGTCGGATGCTTCCTCCGCGGTCGAAGTGGCAGCGATACTGATGGGCGTGGCGTGTTGCGGAGGAGTGTAGAGGGTCTCTCCACAGAAGGCAAAGACGAGGAACCATTCGACGCCTACGAAGATGATGACTACGTAGTAGCAGTACTGCCATTCGTGGGCGAGGGTGACGGCGCTGGTGATGAGCGGAGCGGCGGGTGGGCCCTGGGAGCGCGGATGCGCATGTCAGTCAAGCCTGCATTTGGAGGACGGTCGCGCCCACTCACCATGATGAGAAGAAGGGCCCACACGGAGACGGCGGTGCCTCGCCACTCTGGCTTGTACAGCGCAGCGATGCTCGTAGCGGGTAGCACTTGAGAAATGCTGCCTGCGAAGCCGGCAAAGAAGCGACCGGCAGCGAAGGTGGAGTAATCCTTGGCGAACGCCATCCAAAATGCACATGGTACGAAGAAAGTCCAGCTGCGAACGCAAGGTGATCAGCAACGGCGTTGAGAGTGCTCGTGACGGTAGTATACTCACGCAATGAGGTAGACCGGCCGGTGCCCGATGGCTTGGGCTAGCGGACACCATAGAAGGGACCCAACGCCGAGACCGAGAATGCTGATGCCGATGGAGTTAGCGATGGCCTCGATTGAGACTCCAAAGTACTCGGACATCTGCGGGAAGATGGTCAAGTGGCTGCGCGAGAGTGAGGAGCAAGCAGTTACGGTCAGTCAGCTCGCACGCTACGGCATACGGACGCTATGCACAAGATACGAACGCGCCGGCTGCATAGTTTGCGCTGAAGGCTTGAAAAGCCAAAGTGGCGAGCATAGCGTGACGCCTCCATGCTGGCCAGGCGTTTGTAGGATGCGCCGGGTCTGAGTAAGGGTCGAAGAGAGGCGACGCGTGCGATTTAGTGGCGGCCATGACGGGCAGGCAGGCAGGCAGGCAGGCGGCAGTGGTGACGAGAAGACGAGATGAAGGAGCCAGAAAAGAAGAATGTATCCTCTTCTGTACGGTACATGTAGCTTTCCAATCCACTGGATTCGCCTTCAAAGCAAGGTGCGGGGCCCCCTCAGCCCCAATCAGCTAGCGCGTCACGAGGCATCCCAGCCGTCATGCTTTCGAGGCGATCGATCAGAACGCTCGACGCTCTGAAGGTGAGATGCAGGTACGAAGAAGATCAGGCGACACTCAGACTTAGAATGACAGGCATGATGACTAGACCAAAGAACCCGAGTTGGGGCAGGGACCTGAGCGAGAAGCAGGAGAGAGCAGTGCGCGCTCGGCCTCTCGAGCTTGTCGCGAGCCGGACCCCGCATCTCAGGGCGCCAGAGGAGGCGAGGAAAAGCGATCGACTCGGCGTTCCCACGCTGCCAAAGTCAAGGGTCTCGCGGCCGGGACGACGGATATTGCGGAGGCGTTGGCAACGGCCGTAGGTTGAAGAATAGGTGGACGAGCCCGCAGCATAAGGACGAACTAGAAGAGGATTACAAGGTTGCGCGAGTAGAGCGTCGCGCGACGCTCAAGTCAGAGGGGCGAGAGGGTGGATGCGGCCCGGCGGGAGGCAGCATGCAATGTTGCGTTCATTTAGGGCTCGCGACTGACGCAGCGCTACGTTGATCACCCGCAGTGGGTCCAGTAGCCTCGGGTGCTGAAACGACGTCGATGGTGTCTGGCGGCTTGCTCTTGTGTCCACGCGCGAGGCTGCCGGATCCTCTATTTCACGCCCTGATGGCATCGTGCGGTCGACCTAGCATGCCGCGTCAATAGCTGCTCGAAGCTCTGCTCCGTCAAGCCGCAAGCAAAGCGATGCTATTGTGTCGCACGACATCACGAAGCAAAGGCTCCGCCGGCTGCGATTGGGATTGAGTGCTCATTGCAGCGGCTGAGCGCCCGTCCCGCCACGCCCTCTCGTCATCCCATACGTCGCCCAACCTCGTGGCTCCCGTCGCCATCCTCGTGCTTGTCGGTCAGAGCGGACAAGCGGCTGTGGCGGGCTGAGTGAGCCTGAGACTAGCAAGGCGTGGCGTGGCAGGGCTGGCAGACTTTCTGGGTGGGTGAGGCCGAGGTGAGAGCAAAAGGCATCCGTCAATCAAGTGGAGCACCATACGCCGCCCGTCGTTGCCGACGGCAACGCTCTGCTGCAGGCTTGCATCGGCTCGTCGTCCGGTCTATTTTTTGGGAGGGGAGCGCTCGAGCCCTACGTTCCCGAATTCCATGACGACGACTGCCCACGACATAGAAGACAGCTCGGTGACAAGGTGTGGCAGAGAGACTGACAGGGCGCCCAGAACACCCAGAGCTCAGCCTGCGCCAAATTCATCATTCGACGCCCTGCAACAGCGGCATCGACGCGGCAGCCGGCAGCCGCGAGGGCGGTCAAGGATGTCTAATGATGGCGGTATGGTCGCCGCCACTCCACCTGTCGAGGTCATTGATGAAGGTCGAGAGGGAGAGAGCGTCACGTTGAAGGCATGAGCGTCGGCGTGAAGCCAGGCCAGATTGCTATATAAGCAGCAGCGAGCAGTCACATCGCACCATCCTTCGCTCATCACCATCCACCCAGCCACGATGCTCTTCAAAATCTCCCAGGCCCTCGCAGCCGCAGCTCTCCTTTTCACGGCGGCCAGCGCAGCTCCTGCCCCTTCCAAAGAGCGTGAGGTACCACGCTCTCCCTCCTTCGAAGCCAAGCTAGAAGCAATGCGTCGCTGGCAATCTCATATCGACCGCCGCGCCGCCGAGCAAGCCTCCAAGTACCCCGTGGACTTCATCAACGAGGTGCCCAACTACTCGCTGTTCGACCAATTCCAAGACACCGGCAAGATGCCCGAGCCCATCAATGGCAAGACAGGGTCGAAGATCTACGGGCCTACAGACGAACAGCTCGACAGATCCAACCCCGACAGCTTTGCTCCGCCATCGACAGATAGCGGGAACGTGCCGCAGGCCAAATGGCCCTTTGCTCTATCTCACGTCAGTCAGGAGGCGTAGCGGGATGACAGCGTGGGCTTGGCGCTGACCGTTGCGACTCTATGCTCCCTTTTCGTTGACAGAATCGATTGCAGAACGGCGGATGGGCAAGGCAGCAGAATCAGGTGAGTGCGATGAGGGACGTCGCGTGGAGGGTGCCACAGATATGTGACGGTCGTGAGGAGCGAGCCTGGAAAGCGGCCTCGATGCTCCTTCAGCTGCTCCACACGCCGTCGCCCTTTCCGCGTCAGCCACGCGGGATTCTGGCCGAAGTCCGTGCACGATCCTTGAGCTGACCTTGCCTGCTTTCCTTCTTTACCTCCTCGCCATCACCTCATTTCGCCTCTTCTCGATACCAGGATGTGCTTCCCGTCGCAACAGAGCTTGCTGGAGTCCAGATGCATCTGGACAAGGGCGCTCTGAGGGAGTTGCATTGGCATACAGCGAGCGAATGGGCGTGAGTGTCCGAATGCTGCGGAGGCCTGGAAATCCGCCGTCATGCTACGCTGAGGCCAGATGCACGCCTAGGGCTGCGTGGATGGGGCACTGAGCACTCGCATGACGCCTTTGAACCTTCATCCTGCCATCTCTGTACTTACGTCTTGCCCTTCGTCCCCCCATCCGCCACGCAGCTACGTCCTTAATGGAACTCTCCGCGTCGCCATCTCAGACGAGACTGGCGCCAACTACCTCGATCAACTCTCCCACGGCGACCTCTGGTTCTTCCCCTCCGGTCTCGCCCACTCGATCCAATGTGTCTCCGACGGCGGTTGCGAATTCCTCCTCGTCTTCGACGACGGCGGTTTCGACGAAAATGAGACGTTCCTCCTCTCCGACTTTATGGCTCACATCCCTCGCGAGGTCCTGAACAAGAACTTCCCGAACTTCAACAACAGCGACTTTGACAAGGTGCCAAAGGATGAGCTATACATCTTCCCTGCGCCTGATGGTATCGAGTCCTTCGCGCAAGACTCGATCGATAACCCGCAGGGCAACACCGCAAAGGCATATACGTACAATGCGTCGAGCCACCCTGCAACGCAGCTTCCCGGTGGGACGGTGAAGATTGTCGACAGCCGCAACTTCAGTGTGAGCGATATTGCTCTGGCCGAGGTGACGATCAACCCTGGCGCCATTCGAGAGCTTCACTGGCATCCGCAAAGCGGTGAGTGCATCGCGCGAGCTCTCCACCTCGACCCACGCTCATCCTGTGCCTTGTCCCGCTAGATGAATGGTCGTACTTCATGTCAGGCCACGCCCGTCTCACCATCTTTGCCGGCACAAATAATGCCCGCACCTTTGACTTCCAAGGAGGCGACGTAGCCTACATTCCCAAGTCGCAAGGCCACTACATCGAGGCCCTCGGTAGCGAGCCAGTCAAGTACCTCGAGCTCTTCAAGTCCCCCATCTATTCGGACATCTCACTGAGCCAGTGGCTCTCTGTCATGCCGCCTAGCGTCGTGCAGGGTCATCTCGGCTTTAGCAATTCGACGATGAAAAAGTTGCAAGACCGTAGGAAGCATGATCATCCAGTTGTGCAGGGGGCCGGTCACAAGAACAAGAGGAGCGTGGGGTCAGGACTGTACGGCGATAAGCAGACGTGGGCGTAATGCGAACGAGTGAGCAAGCATGCTCTCGATGATGATTGGAATGGGTATAGATGATATGAAATACACAGCTTGACGATCCGCCGCGCTCAAATGTCCTTCGCGCCGCCTTCCTTGCTACCACGCGCCTACGCATCCGTGTTGCGCCACTCCGGTGGCATCCACCTCAATCCGAGCAATCTGAACACGTCCTCCTCGGTAGGTGTCTCGACCAACTCGCCCGTTTCCCTCACTCTCAACCCTGTCGAGTGGAATTTGTACCCCTTCAGCTTCGCCCACCGTCGAATGTCCTTCTCAAAGGTCTTCGCCCCCGTCCACCCAATCACGGCTGCTCCATAGATCTGCGGCGGGCACATCACCAAGTCCACCCGTCGATGCTTTGGATGCGGTACGATCACTGAGCGAGGGGGCAGCACCACGATCTCCGCCACATTGAGGTGGAGCGCCGCGTCCAGCCGAGCCTCATCGCTGTGCGTGAGCACGTTGACGTTGTACGACATGATGCCCTTGCGCTTCAGCCGGTCCAGTATGTCGTGGATCCTCGCTCCGTTTCCCTCGTGCGAAATGACCACGTCCACGTCGTTACTTCTTGGCTTTCCCCTCCTGTATCCGCCGCAGATGGTGTACCGACACCCGGGGAGTACGACTCTGGCCTCCTCGTAGAGCAAGCTCGCAATCTCCTCCACCTCCGCTCTTGGGATTGGCAACTTCAGGTCGGGTAAGATCCCTAGGCAGTCGGCCACGTCCAGGTGAGTGGCGAGCGACTTGCCCCTCGCAACGACGTCCGCATTTGAGCGACATCCATCCTCGTACAGCTCTCGCGCTGCGACCGGTCCAACGCCGTAGAGCTCCATGAAGGAGAACATAATCGGGTTGGCCGGATCGGACAGGATCTGCTGGGCCTCGACAATCTGACCAGACGAGCAGAATTGCTCGATAATACCCTGTGGCGAGGGCGGATACGGTTCAGAGATTAGCATACAGGGAGGGGACCTGGCTGTATGCAGGTATCGACGGCCCTTACACAGCTCTCCGCTGGTCTCGCGATGCTCACGATCATCTTTGGCCCCACGCCCTTCAAGCTCTTGACTTCCTTGAGGCTCTGCGAGCAGACCTTGCGAGGGTAGGCCTTAATGGCGCTCAAGCACATCGAGTAGGAGCGTTCTGACCACCTCTGCGAAGTGAGGTCGCGCTGTTTTCGGATGACCTCGAGCTCATCGACCAGCGGCTGATTGTGAGCGGAGCGCAGCGGTGAAGGACGTTGGCATGAGTATTCTGAATTCGTCCATGCCGGGGGCGGAGGTGATGTGGGGATCACAGGAGTGGACGACGGTGGGGACGACAATGAGGGGCTTTCCTTCTTGATGCACGACGGCGAGGCGACTTCCTTCTTGATGCTCGACGACGATGCGGAAGGTGATGCTTTTTGAGCAGATTCAGCGGTGTCTCTGGGCAGCACGATGCGGTAGGCATCGTAGGCTTGCATGATGCCCTTCTTCTCTGTATCCGCTAGCCAGTCGACGTGCAGGACGTTGAGGCTGCGCAACCATTCATCGCTCAGATTACTGCCCGTCGCCTCCCTCCTGAGCGCCAGCCATACCCGCTTTGGTGCCTTGACCGCAGTAAGGACGAGATTGGCGAATTTGATATCACTCGAGCGCAGCGCTCCCAGTTCCTGCGCTAGCCTATAAGCCGTTTCAATTTCGCTAGTCTCCAATTTATCCGCGAGAACCCAAAGCCTGACCGCCTGGGAGAGGACTCGTCGTTGAGCCTGCGGCTGCGAGCGATCCCCAGAGATTTCTTCGTGGAGACGCCGTCGCTTGCCTGGTGAAGGCGTCGGCGCCATTGATCAAGCGTATCGCAAGGACACAGATGGATGAGGACAAGCCCCCCTCGTCAGCCCGCCTCGTTAGCCCGCCTCTCGGGCTTCGCAAATCGCTTCCGCTTCCAAGATGGACATGCAGCGGGGTCGACAGCCGGCGACTGGCCATCTGCGCCCTTCAGCGTCGGACCCTGATTTGTGCGACAGAGGCGGTCTCGGCCCTCAGGTGGACTTCGACTTGGACTTCAAGCCGTGCATCGATAATCGGGCCCTTCGCCTGCTTCCTTCAATCCTCAACACCATCCCTCGTATACCTCTCTGGCCGAAGACGATCGCCGGTCGCAGTCATGGCCGGCGCAGGAGAGTCACCGCCACTATCATCGTCATCCTTGTCATCTTCGCCCTTGCCCCCGCCCTTGGCGACTTCCCGCCGGTCGCGTCTTCAATCAAGCCGCTCATCCCTCACATGGTCCTCTCGCAACACTACTGGCCAATCGCCGGCAGATGATGCTATCAATGACTGGATTCATGGCTCCGAAGTCGTCTTGTCGCCGAGCGAGTTCGATTCGACTCATTTCGCGCAGGAAACTCCATTCCTTGTACCCTCAGACGAAAGTGTTGCTCGTCGGGGCAAAGCAAAGGCGCACAGCCACAAAGATGGCGTGAGCAGCTGGGGCAGCAGCGGAGGTGACGGTCGCGATGGCATGACCCGCATCCGTACGGCTCCAGACGTCGACGACAGACCGCATATAGCGATTCATCGATTTGGCCTCGATGCAGACGACGTCGTGGATGCAGTCGCCGACATCGATATCGAACTGTTCAGCGATTTGATGCCTTCTTCGCCCCTGGGCTACACGGCAGTGTATCTCGTTGCGGCCGATCTTTTCAAGACTCTGCTCTCGACGCCTCAAGACTACGCCAACATTCCTTCAGAGATCATCGTTCGCCGCATAGTAGAGGCATCAGCGCAAGGCAAGGGCGGCGATACTCGTCGCCCAGCACTCTATTGTGACGATATGCCAGCTTTCTTCCACCAGCGCGGTGTGTCGGCGGATCAGCTGCCCCGCAATGTGACGTGCTTTGCCGCCAGCCCCATTCGGCTGCCTTGCAGCGGCGGCAAGGGTGGACACAACGATGACGACGACTCACTGGTCACTGTAGGTGCTGCCGTCTCATTCCGTTGTGCGACGGATGACAACGCTCAGGTCGAGCGCTTTGTTCGGAGTCTCGCTCGCTCCTCGCAGACGGTGTTGTCCAATCGCTTTTTGATGCGCCGTCGCGCAAAGGAGCAAGCCCAACAGCTTTCAGTTGTGAAGCTTATGCGTCTCACACAGGCAGAGTTCGGCCTGCTGCCAACGCTCAAGGAGCCGAAGGGGGAAGACACGCAACCGGTCAGTGATTTCGACCCCGATCTCGAGAATCACTTCTTCCAGGAAGCTGTGGAAAGTATCAAGACCACCCTCGACGCAGATAGCGTCGCATTACTCGATCTCTCGGGCTTCAAAGTCGATCAAGCAGCGTACGCCGCCGAGCGAGAATCGCGAAAGGAACAGCGCGCCTTGGCACGGCACTCTGCAGCTGCTCCGACTGGGCGCTCGCCTGCGTCCTTGGGCGGTAATCATACCTCGAGCGACACCGCCGAGGATCGCGATTCGCGCGTCGAATCTTCGGGCTTGCCCTTGGACAAGGTCCCCTCTTCACTCCTCAGCAGCAGCGGCCCAGGTTCTGGAAGCGATGGCAGACAGTCTACGAAGTCGTCTGTCATTATTGACGACGACAAGGCCGGCGAGAGCGACGCCGGATCCATCCCAGCCTTGACATCTTCCGATCAGCCCTATGATGCCGTCGTTTGCTCCTACTCCTCTAGCAGCAAGCCGATTCCCCTCCTCGCCAGCTCGGGCTTGACGACGGAGCATTTTGAGAAGCTTAGCGGTAGCATCTCTCGCCCTCTAGTGGCGCGTTTCTTAGCTTTGGTCGCCTCGATGTATCTTAGGAAACGTCCACAGAAGAAGGGCAATGCCTTCGCCGCCATCTCTCCCGATCCGACACCTACCCAGACGTCCTTCATACGCGACTTGCTCCCGGCTGGATTTCCAACAGCGCTGACACTACCATTGCTGGAGAGTTCAGGCCAGCCTTCATATCTCATCGTCTGCGCTTTCTCGCGCCGTCCCACCCCCTTTGAAGACTCAGACCGCACCTTCCTCGAGATGATCGGCAGCGTTCTCATTGCGAGCTCTCTCCGCATTCACAGCGAAGCGGTAGATCGAGCCCAGGTACAGATCACACAGCGCATGCAGCACTCTCTTCGCACTCCGTTGCATTCAATTGTCGGCATCTGCGAGTCGGCAGGAGCTCAACTTGAGCCGACAGATGACAATCGTAGGCGTGAGTGCGCGCACGAACCCACGAGGCCAATCTTCGCATATGCTGACGTTCACTTGCTCCTTGCACACAGTCATCTCTTCAATTGGACTCAGCGCCGAAGCCCTCGATGCCACGATCAGCGATGTGCTCGATTACAACGTCCTCGCCGGCATCAAGGAGCCCAGCCTCGCCTCTTCTTCCACCTGGCCCCTCGTGAGCTTCCGTGGCTTGTACGATACGGTCAATCGCGTCTCCGTCTCCGCCTGGCGCCTTCATTGCCTGTCAAAAACTTGGTTGCAGGAGGACCCGAGAAAGATTCCTCCACCCCCGGAGCTTTTCTGCTCCACTGGCCCTGATAGCTGGGTAGAAACGGACGAGAAGTGCAGATTCGATGCAGAGGCGCTGACGAGGATCACGAGCAAAGTTGTCAGTAACGCATTGCAAGCAACGACCAACGGCATTGTGGCTGTCAGTCTCTGTGTCAAGGCGGCAAGGGAGGATGCTTCAAAGGCTACGAACGGGGTAGTCGGAGCCATCAACACCCTGCACCTCTCTGTGCGTGACACTGGTTGCGGCATGTCAGAAGAGTGAGCATCAGCGTATACACGGCATTGATCACCTTGGTTTGAGGCGCTGCTGACATATCTTCTGCCCTTCACCCGAGCTCTCAGGTTCCTCAGGAGCGGCGTGTTTCGCACCTTTACTCAAGGCCTCTCGGGCATCGACCAAGCCAATGGTGGGCCTGGTCTGAGCTTGTCAATCTGCTCTGCGCTCATGCTCCGACTGGGCGGGCGTATCCACGTCTCGAGCGAGGAGGGCAAAGGCACGAAGATCGACCTCACATTCCCCTTCCGCGGGAGCGCCTCTGCCCCGACCAAGCCGTCAAACCTCAAAGTGGCAGTCATTCGAGACAAGTCCGAGCAGAGCAAGTGCTTCCTCGCCTTTTGCGACGAGCTTTGCCGGCAATTTGGTGCAAAGATGCTCGGCGACGCGACGGAGTTGCCACGACTTCTGGACGAAGCGCAATTGGTCCTGATAGCAGGGGAGGCTACCTCCGAGCCATCCAAGCAACGCGAGGTGGCTCAGCTCCTCAAGTCGCAGCCGGCGAAGGCATCGGACACGAACGGTGGTGCAGTGGACAAGGGCAAGCAGCGGCTACACCTCGAGCTCCCGAATCGAGCTTATAGCGACATGCCTTCGTCGTTGCAGCCGGAGCGCAAGCAGGTCATGATCGACGACGTGCCCGCCATCTCTATCCACCGTCCATTCACGCTCCCGGACCTGGAGGTGCTCGAAGAGATCTTCGATGGCACTTTTGCCGAGCAAAGGAAGCGAGGATGTGCATTGCACAAGGTCAGCAGAGGCTCTCAGCGTGGGAGCCCTGCCAGTAGTCCAGAAGGGTCGGATGAGAAGCTGCCTTTCGCTCCTGGCGCGGGTGGGCCCGAGAGCGGGCCGTTTCAAGCAGAGTCGCGACGATCTTCGGAGTCGACCACTAGGTCGGTTTCAGAGCCGCAGGCTAGCGGCGTATCGCGCACCGACACCGAGCACCAAGGAACGCCGCACCCTCCGGGAACGAAAAGTGCGGGCCAGTCGCAGCCGCAGCCAAAGGTGTCCGACGCTCCCCCTTCATCAGACAAGCTCACCGGTCACCAGAAGCGGCCATTCCAATGCCTCGTAGTGGAGGACAACGATCTCAATCTCCGCAGTACGTCTCTCGCGATGCATTGCCCACGACGAAAAGGCCGGCAGCTGATTTGTTCCGCTCTCTACTCTCTCACTCAGTTCTGACTCAAGCGCTTAAGCGTGCTGGTATACAGTACCTTCAGGCGCGTGACGGAGTCGAGGCGGTCGAAGCGTTTACGTCATCGCTCCCTCAGGTCGTCCTTCTAGACATCAACATGCCTCGCATGGACGGCTTCGAGGCAGCTAGGCGCATGCGTGAGGTACCCTGTCCCGACTACTACCCGCGAATAGTAGCTGTCACTGCCCTGAGTCAAGAGAGCGACAAGCTCAAGGGCTTCGACTGCGGCATTGATGATTGGATGACGAAGCCCGTGCGGCTCGCTCAACTAGCTAGTGACGTCAGGCAGTGGAAAGAAGAGCTGAAGAAGGCAGATTAAGGGGAGAAGTAGGGCCAACAGAGCGATACCCGGGTGCCTTCCTCGGGCACCGTAGACGCGCAGCAACGGCTAGAGTAGAACGTGGGCAGGGTGGTCGAGCAGGGTCGTGAGAGGCCACTTGAAGCGTACATCAGTCTCAGCAGGAACATCGCAAGTCAGTCGAAGGCTTCGATCATCGTCACCATACCGAACAGAAGCAAATGGAACCGTCGCAAGGGCCTAGACAGCACCCTCTTCCCCTTCTCCTTCCGACTCTCTGCACCATGTACGATAGGAAGGGGGTACACTCACAGATTATCGAGGGAGCAGCAGTAGCAGAATAACATCTCCAGCATCTCGCCGCGTATATACACGTCGCGATTACCATCATAGTTTCGTGTCTTATTCGTCCCGTCCTGTGTGGTGGTATCCTCGTAGCTGACTAGCTGGCCGTGGCACGCCTCACCCTCATCCGTGCCCCGCCGAGTTCGGACCGGGACTACCACGCCACGTGGTACGCTCCCCTCTCAGCTCGGCGTCGCGCGGGCTCAATTGACGCCTCCGCTCTTGTGCCTGCCTCGGGGGAGGGTCGACCAGGTGGCAAGGGGGGCAAGCGACACAAGCCCGCTGCTGCTCTGGCTGCCGCCCGCTCGAGCGAAAAAGTTCAAATCAAACGATCCAGGCGCAGCGAGGAGGCGGCGAACACGAACGAGCAAGAGGCAACGAGGAAAGCGCACGCTCGACGTTCACCTTTCTTCTCCTCACTACCAGCAGTCCTCGTGACTTAGCAAAACTCCCTCCTTTCATCTTTCATATCCTCCACGTCTCTGCATTCGTGCTCGGACGAATACCAGTAGCCCTTCGGCATCCCCCGTTAGAGCTACCCCTTCCTCACTTCTTCTTCTCGAGAGTCTTGGCCGTTGATTGGTCAATTACCCACGCGTAGTTGAAGCTACAAAAGGCGATTGCACGCCACTCCCAGCTTTAGAAGCTGTTTTTCCTCATTCTCGTAGACTACTAGATCATATACAACAGTGAGTCTTGAGTGGCGAGCGGTAGGGGACGAAGCTGCGCAGCATATACTCACCGCCACTGTCTCGCCACCCCTTCGCTTCTATCCTCGCACCCCGCTCGCAGTGCCGCCCAAGGCTGCTGATGTTGGCGTTCCCGCCGCCGTCCCCGCCGACGCTGCTGGCCTCAAGAACTCGGCCGGTGCTCAGGCTGCTGCGTCGCAGAACACAGCTCAGGAGAAGCGTGCCGTCAAGATCGAGGGTGCCAGGCTCCTCGAGTCAGGCGACCAGCAGGCTGCTCAGGAGCTCGTCAACCTCGTCAAGGTCGACGGTCCCGGTGCATTTGGTGACTGCGACCTGGAGGAGGTCATCATCAAGGGTCTCGGCGAGAAGAAGAACGTAGCTGCTCGCGAGGGAGCATGCACTCTCATTCGCAAGCTCTGCGACCAGGGCGTTGGCCACGACCTCGAGCCTTACATGATCGGCCGCGTCTTCAACGCCGTCGTCGAGGCAATGGGCGACAAGGAGAAGGCCGTCCAGACTGCCGCCCGTGACGCCCTCACTGCCTTCTGCAAGTCGATGAGCGGATGGATCGTGCCCCAGGTCCTCAAGGTCATCCTCGAGCAGGCTCGCACCGCCGGCAAGTGGCAGGTCAAGACTGGCTGTGTCCACCTCCTCGAGACTCTCGTCACCTCTGCACCCGACCGCATGGCTGCTCTGATGCCCGAGATCATCCCCACGATGTCTGAGGTCATTTGGGACACCAAGACGGATGTCCAGAAGGCGTCGCGCGCTGCTCTCACCAAGCTCTGCCAGCTCGTCTCCAACAAGGACATTGAGAAGTTCATCCCTGCTCTCATCCAGTCGCTCATTCACCCCGTCGAGGAGGTGCCCAAGACGATCCAGCTCCTTGCTGCCACCACCTTCGTCCAGGAGGTCGACTCGCCCACCCTCGCCCTCATTGCTCCCCTCCTCATCCGTGGTATCAACGAGCGCCCCACCGCCACCAAGCGCAAGGTCGCCGTCATTGCCGACAACATGACCAAGCTCGTCGACAACGAGCGTACCGTCCGCCCCTTCCTGCCCAAGCTCCTCCCCGGTCTCCTCAAGATGGAGTCGGCCATGGCTGACCCCGAGGCTCGCGGTGTCGTTCAGCGTGCCATTGCCACGCTCCGCTCCGTCGGTCAGGTCGAGGGTGACGGCTCCAATGTCAAGCCTCTCGAGGACGTTGACCTCAAGCAGACTACCGAGCTCGTCCAAAAGGAGATTGCCGCTCAGAAGCTCACTGGCCCCACTGCCCTCATCGACTACATCGGCCAGCTCTCGACCAACTTGGCCAACGCCCGTAACTTCGAGGCTACCGAATGGGACTCGACCCTCATCCCCTTCATCACTCTGCTCCGTGGTGCCGACGCCGAGAAGGCCAACAAGGTCACTCGCGCTCTCCTCGCCGCCCTTGCTCGCTCGACTGGTGAGGAGGCTGAGGTCTTCGAGGACGAGGAGGAGGGAGAGGACCTGTGCAACTGTCAGTTCTCGCTCGCTTACGGTGCCAAGATTCTCCTCAACACCGCCACCCTCCGCCTCAAGCGTGGTCACCGCTACGGTCTCTGTGGCCGCAACGGTTCAGGCAAGTCGACTCTCATGCGTGCTATTCAAAACGGTCAGGTCGAGGGCTTCCCGTCTCCCGAGGAGGTCAAGACTTGGTACGTCGAGCACGACCTCGACGGATCCGAGGGTGACATCTCTATCCTCGACTTCATCGTCGCTGACAAGCGCCTCAACACCGAGAAGGCCGAGGCCTCCAAGACGCTCGCTGAGATGGGCTTCGACGAGGTCAAGCAGGCTGGTCCCATTGCCGCCCTCTCTGGTGGTTGGAAGATGAAGCTCGCCCTGGCCCGTGCCGTCCTCTACAAGGCCGACATTCTCCTCCTCGACGAGCCTACCAACCACTTGGACGTCGTCAACGTCGCCTGGATCACCAACTACCTCCAGACGCAGACCAACACCACGTCGATCATCGTCTCGCACGATTCCAACTTCCTCAACAACGTCTGCACGGACATTCTCCACCTCAACCGCTTCAAGATCAAACGTTATCCCGGCAACCTCGACGCTTTCGTCAAGCGTGTCCCCGAGGCCAAGGCTTACGCCGAGCTCAACACGGGCGAGGACTACTCGTTCAAGCTCCCCGACCCGCCTCTCCTCGACGGTGTCAAGACCAAGGAGAAGTCGCTCGCCAAGATGCGTGACGTCCACTTCCAATACCCTGGCTCGCCCGCTCCCCAGCTCAACGGTGTCACTATGCAGCTCTCGCTCTCTTCGCGTGTGGCTGTCCTCGGTCCCAACGGTGCCGGCAAGTCGACGCTCATCAAGCTCGTCGTCGGTGACACGGAGCCCAACTCCGGTGAGGTGTGGAAGCACCCCAACTTGGTCATTGGTTACGTCGCCCAGCACGCCTTCCACCACATCGACCAGCACCTGGACAAGACTCCCCTCGACTACATGCTCTGGCGTTACCAGACCGGAGAGGACCTCGAGGAGCACCTCAAGTCCTCGCGTGAGCTCTCCGAGGCCGAGAAGGAGGCCATGAAGAACGGCTCCATCTTTGTCGACGAGTCCGGCGTCAAGCGCATCATCGACGAGCTCGTGGGCCGCAAGAAGCTCAAGAACTCGTTCCAGTACGAGGTCAGCTTCAAGAACTACTCGTCGGCAGACAACATCTGGCTGTCGCGTGACGAGCTCATTAAGCGTGGTTTCGAGAAGAAGGTCCTCGCCCTCGACTCTCGTGAGGCCCAGCGTCTCGGTATGAACCGCCCCCTCGTCCGCAAGGAGATCGAGAAGCACTTCAACGACTTCGGTCTCGAGGCCGAGTTCACCTCGCACAACACCATGCGCGGTCTCTCTGGTGGTCAGAAGGTCAAGGTCGTCCTCGCCGCGGCCACATGGCGTCGCCCGCACATCATCATCTTGGACGAGCCCACCAACTTCTTGGACCGTGAGTCCCTCGCTGCCCTCATCGCCGCCCTCAAGACCTACGAGGGCGGTGTGGCCATCATCACCCATTCGCAGGAGTTCTCGGAGAACGTCTGCTCGGAGATCTGGCGCATGGAGGGCGGTCGTCTCCACGCCTCGGGCCACAACTGGGTCGAGGGCCAGGGCTCCGGTGAGCGCCTCAAAGAGAAGGACGACGATGAGGTCAAGCTCGACGCCATGGGCAACAAGATCGAGGAGGTCAAGAAGGAGAAGAAGCTCAACAAGCGTGAGGAGCGTAAGGCGAGGATGGCAAAAAAGAAGGCCGGCAAGGGCGACGACGATGACGACCTTGACCTCTAAGTGCACGCGGACCGTGGTGTGCGAGGATGCGTTGCACGATCGCTACTCTGTCTTCTCTCTAGACGTCTCTGTCTCTTTCAAAATCCGATGATTCCGTATCGTTATCTCAGTGCTTGTGGGATGATATTAGCTATGCGTGGACGTGATACAGTGGCTCAAATCGAGCATATCGTGAGGTGTCGTCGCGTGTCATCAAGTGGTCGTCCTGCCCTCCGCTGCCTGCACAACGATCAAAGTCGTTCCCATCCCTCTCATGCCCCTCCTCGTAAGGAGTACACCCTCCGCAGCCGCCCCGAGGGTCCTGCCCATCCCCCTCGCTGCAGCAGTGATCGCCACGGCGGACCCGTCTTCATTACCGATGTCCTTTGCCAGTCGGCGAGCCGCCTCGACTACCACGTCCCGCCTGAAGCTCGCAGGACGCGAGGCGTGCTTGCCTCTCCCGACGAGGACTAGGTCGGAGGCTGAGCTGGCCAGGAGGAGGGAAGTGCTGATCACGCCTAGTGAGGGTGTGCCGGAGGGCAGAGTGGCGTAGAGGAGGCGCTCAGAGCCCACCTCGGCCACCACGCCCGCTGACGCGGCTGCATTTGTCGCGCTCCGCTTGGCCTCTTCGCTAACAGCGAAGGAGATCCTCAACGTAGGGTCAGCCGGCGCTGCTGCTGCCACCTCGCCCCCTTCCTCTGCAATAGGCCCAAAGAGGAACCTCGCATCCCTCTGCCTCTGCTCAGCCTGGTCCGCCGCCCTGATATCAACAGTCATGTCCGCCGAGGTATCCGCCAAGGCCACGGCCTCCAGTGCCGCGGTGATGGAGCCAGAGCTGGCTTGTCTGCGTGCTGATGCAGAGAGTGGGGCGAGGTGCGCTTGTGCTGGTGCTGATGCCGAGGCTGGTGACTCCTCATCCTGCTGCTCCGCGTCACTGGAGGTGGAAAGCTCCGGGTCAACGAGGACAACAATGACATCTACGTCCCCTCCCTGTGGGCCTGCCGCATGTTTGGCGAAATCTACGGCAGCACGATCGTCTGCTCCGCCGAAGAAGGGGACAATCAGGCGAGGGCGACGACCTCGTTGTCGGTTGCGGGTGCGCAGGCGCTGCTCAACCTGTGAGGCAAGCGCAAGCGCTATATCGGTCGGATCGTCTTCCGTGGACGCACCGCGACGATGAGGGGCCGAGCTACTGCTGCAGCCGAGTACTCCAGCATCCACCAGAACTCCCGCAGTGATGCTGCGCTCGGCAAAGAGACGGGAGCTGAGGGCTCCACTGCTTGACCAGGCATCTTCCTCCTCGCTTTCAGCAGCTGGCTTGCTCCCGAACGCGCTCGCTGCCAATCCGCGCAGCCATCCCGTACTTTCCTGATGAGGCAGGACCCCTCCGCTACGATCACCGCTGCCGCTCCCACCACCAGAACCTGTACTACCTCCCACAGCTACGGCGCCATTTCCCTCCCAAGGGCAAAGGACGATCCCCTCAGCCCTCTTACACGCCGTCCTCAGCTGGGCCCTCCGATGCGCAGCCAGTACCTCCGGTAGGACGCGCGAGGCTTCTACAGCGAGGAAGCCGTCATCCCTCTCCCCTTCCTCAGCGGCGTCGCGCCCAGAGGAGTTGGGTACGTTGCACAGCTGAGCTTGAGCGCGCAGCGCATCGAGCAGGGCGTCGTGCGGGTTCCTGTGCGGAGCGGTTGGGTGTGCTGGTGGGAAGACAGCACGGATGACTTCGGTGAAGTTGAACTCGGTGGGGATGGCGCGGATGATGTCCAGGGAGAGGCCCCGAGGCGTCGTTGGTGAGGCAATGGACGAGGAGGAGATGGCGTTGATGAGCGTCATAAGAGACTCGACGCTTGGATTGACCGATGCTACTGCTGCCGTAATGGGAAAGCGGTGGACGTGAGTAGGGCCTTTCTGACCTCCCTCGTCGCCTGCTGCGATGGTGTGATCCAAGTCTGAGGCAGTGTGGCGTGTAGCCTTCTCGTTGTCCTCCTCTTCCTCCTCCATCCCTTCTCTTCCGCCCTTCTCCGCACCATTCTGCAACCCCTTCTCGGCGTGCCCAAGGTAGATTATCCTAGCCAACGGTCTCACCAAGCTCGTGGTGGCCAAGAAGACAAGGAACAAGGCGGAGAAGACCTGCACATCGATGACACCCGCTTCGAGTGCGATGGCGCCAATGACGACTTCGATAACACCCTTTGACTGCATCAGCGCGCCTACACACATGGCTTGGCGCCAGGACAGGCCAGAGAGACGGGCGCAGATTGTCGTAGAGGAGCCTTTGGTGAGGAAGATGACGAAGATGAGGAGGATGATGAGACCCCAGACTAGGCCTGTGTTGAGGCTGTGAAGTAACGGGGTGCGAAAGAGGTCAGCTTAAGAGGATGGAAAAGCATAGTTGCGGTATCGGCACCCGACTGACGTCTTGAAATCGATCTTGAGTCCGACAGTACCAAAGTAGAGTGGTAGCAGTAGCAACGTGACGGGCGTCTCGACGGCCTCTGTGATGGCCACAGCGTATCGTCCATGGGGAATAGCGACACCGTAGAAGAAGGCCCCCACGAGCGTGTGTAGCCCGACCATATCGCTGACGCAGCTACTGATGAGTCCTCCGAGCACTCCGGCAACGATGAGCAAGCGAGGGACATGGTCGTGACTGTTTGCCTCCATGTTATTGACTCCCGCAGCCTTGAGCCAGCGGAACAGGAGGGGACGCCAGAGGAAGACGAGAATGAGTAGCCAGGCAGTGAAGGCCAGGAGTTGGTAGAGGGCGTAGATCTGTTGACCGCCTCCAGCCAGAGCGGATGCGATTGCCAGGAGGCAGTAACCTGGTGCCATCGCCGCGAAGAGGAGCCCAGTATGGCCTGTCAGCGTGAACCAGAATACGCCTCGTGCTCTTCTCGTGCGCGCCTCACCTAGCGTATCATTCCCCGCCCCTGCTGCAATACTCATCGCCCCCATCTTAGTGCTTAACAGCCCCATCTCGGATAGGATGCGACTCAGCACGCTCAAGCTCGTGACAGCCATGACGGTGCCCACAAAGACGAAGAAGGTAGTGAAGGGTTGGGTACCATCGGTGAGCTCTTGCCAGAAGAGGTGAGCAATCCCCACCGAGACGCCGAAAGTGAGGGCAAAGGGAGGCACAGTGATCAGCAGCACGCTATGCCAGTGTGCGAGCATCAGGTCCGTATCCGTCTCGAGGCCAACGAGGAAGAGGAAGACGACTAGCCCGATCTGAGCGACAAGATTCAGCTCGGGTCGCTGTACGGAAGGGAAGACCGTGCTAGTGAAGAGAGGTACATTTCCCAGCGCGGTGGGACCTATCACCACTCCGGCAAGCAAGTCGCCCACGACTCGTGGTTGACCGAGCAAGCGTTGGAAGGCGTATCCGAATACATTGCAGAAGACGAGGATGACGACTGCTTGGAGGAGGAAGAGAGCGAAACCATTCTCTTCGAAGCGGGCATTTGTTGGTGAGTAGAGGAGAGGGTTGACGTTGGAGATGTAGCCGTACGGTGAGTCGGAGAAGGGGACGTTGGCCCATTCGGTGGAGTTGGTCGACTCCATGCTGGAGGAAGGGGGAGCGGAGAGCGCTCAGAGGGAGGAGCGTGAGGAAGAGAAGCAAGAAGGGAGAGGAGGGGACGAAGCCATGACAGGTCCGGTCCAATCGCGGGGTAAGGTGAGCAAAGTAACGATTGGGACGGAGAGGAGAGGCGAGCCGAGGCGAGTGGACTCGACTGAATTGAGGTGGTGTTGCTTTCCTCGCACACTCGTGTGCCAGGCACTTTGCCAGAGAAATTGAACGCAGCGGAAGCGGCGGAAGGGCGGCCTTCAATCGGGTGCACGACTACGCCCCGCCGCTGCCTGAGCGTGAGATGGGAGCGGGGGCGGCTCACGGGCCTCCTCGCAGCGAGACAGGGGGCCGCTCGACGTAGGCGAGAAGATCACCAACACCAAAGCTAAAAGACGCTGAGCTGCGACGGTGGAAAGTTCGCGGAGTCGTGGTTCGTTGTCGAGTGGCATGAGCATTGCAAGCAAAGCAGAGCGTGACATACTCATCTCTTCCTAAGCCCCTACCCTACCCAACCCTCTTCCTGCCCTGTCAACCCAACGCCAACTCATTGGTAGAACTTCAGCAGATCATTGACATCGTCCTTCGATCCCAAGAAGACTGGGCATCGCTCATGAATGCTCTCAGGCTGAACATCCAGAATCCTCCCCTTGCCCGTTGTGGCAACACCACCGGCCTGCTCGGTCAGGAAGGCCATGGGGAAGGCCTCGTAGAGGAGACGAAGCTTTCCCTTCTTGCTCTTCTTGTCGTCAGGGTACCCGAAGATACCGCCGTAGAGGAGAGTGCGGTGAACGTCTGCCACCATTGAGCCTGAGCGAGAGCGAGCAAAGCGTGAGAAGTAGAGGGGGTCAATGTCTGGTCAGGCGTGTGCTGAAAGGCTCGGCCACTCACCGATGTATCGCGCCGAGTAAGGCTTCTTGCCGCTCCCTTCCGCTGGGTACTTGATGCTCTCGAGGTACTTGAGCACAGGCTCGTGGTAGTAGGCGCTGTTTCCCTCGTTGATCGAGTAGATCTTGCCGCGGTTGGGGAGCGTGATGTTCGGGTGGGTAAGGATGAATTCGCCGATGGCGTTGTCAAGCGTGTACCCATTGACGCCATTGCCCGTCGTGAGCACCAGATTGGCGCTCGAACCGTACATGCAGTAACCTGCAGCAACCATCTCGCTGCCCGGGCGAAGCACGTCGGCCACCTCGCCCTTGGAGCCATCACGGACGGTGTAAATGCCGAAGATGGTGCCGATGTTCACACCAGCGTCGATGTTCGAAGAGCCGTCCAGGGGGTCGAAGACGACGCAGTATTTACCCCTGCGCGGCGAGAGAAGAGAGGGGAAGGGGGAAGGGGGAAAAGGCAGGTCAGCGAGGAGGTCCCTGATGAAGCAAGGACACCGGGCAAGGGTAGGCGCGGCACTCACTTCTCCGTCTCGAATGTGGTGCCAGGCTGGCGCTCCCCAACAATGATGGCTTCATCGTCCTCCTCTGATACAAGGACAGCGACTTTGCCTGACGCCTTGAGGGCGTTGATCATGATCTCGTTGGAGAGGACATCGAGCTTCTTTTGGTCTTCGCCCTGCACGTTCTGGTTGCCAGCTGCGCCGATGCTGAGAGCGCATTGATGAGGGACAGAGCGGGTCAAGGGAGGGGAGTCAGCTGTACGAAGCTTCGTGGGTGCATATATGCAGCTTCCGGTCTGCTCACAGGTTGATCAGGCTGGCCTTTCGCACATTGGACTCGATGAATTTGCTGCGCGGGGCCGAGGGGGAAGAAGGTGTGAGCCTGCTCTTCTTCGCGACCTCCTTGGTCCCTGGCCTCGATCTCGCTCACCAGGTAGTCTGCAGCGACGACAGCAGGATGGTCAAGTCACCTGACGCAGCGCCCTTCTTCTGGCGTTGAAAGCCCTCCTGCAAGACATGGCGAGTGAGGGTGATGATGTCCGTCGCTGGAGGCTGGTATTCGTCTGCGCCCATGGTTGCTATGCTTGAGTGTGTGAGAAGCTCGATGGGATGGGATGGTTGTTAAGGAGAGAAATTGCGTTGTGTGCGGCCGGCAACGCAACGACGCCTTCACGGGCGCTTGGTATTCGCCTGTCTCGAGGTGTGTGCCTCTCCACCGGCTCTACCATCGGCAAAGTCGGCCTTATCCAGGACCGACGCAGCCAAGGTCGGGGAGGGCCGGGGCAGGGTGCGGGGGCGTGGGGGCAAGGCATCTGCACCTGTCTTCACGTGGCATGAGAGATGATGGCTCGTGCACGAGACGACGTCGTCAGATTTGAAATGTCACAACTCCACCTCGAGTTGAGCGGGAGAGCAGGAAGCAACACATATCACGAGGAGAGGTAGCAAGCATCCGAAGTTCTGGCAAGCATGGTCGAGACGAGGTACTGGGACAGCTATGATGCTGCAAGCCCGCCCTCGAGGACGAGCGCAAGCCATGTGCGCTTCGTGGTCATCTCAGACACTCACTCCGAGGAGATGAACGATGTTCCAGATGGTGTAAGGCTGGTCTTGTTGTGCTCGGGGAACGGAGCAGAGCTGAACAATGCTTACGTCTTTCACAGGATGTACTGCTACACAGTGGCGACCTCACTAAGCTCGGAAGCGACGCCGAAGTCCGCAAGCAGATCGACTGGCTGGTGTGCGTACGCCACGGCTGACACGGCTGTCCGTGATACGATCCCACTCCAGCTAGCTCACCTCCTGCTCCAACCCCTTTCCTGACCTACACACGCAGCTCTCTTCCGCACCCACACAAGGTCATCATAGCAGGCAACCACGACTTCGCCCTCGACAACAGCACAGGCTTCTACGATCGCCGTGGCGTCAAGATTCACGCCAAGTACGGCTACCCTCGCTCAGACACGACGGCTGCGTTACGCTACGTGAGGGGAAAGAAAGAGCATGGCAGAGGGACGCTGCACTACCTGGAGAATGAAGGCGTGGAGATCGAGGTGAAGGGAACGATGTGGAAGTGTTGGGGAAGCCCCGCCACGCCCGTGTTTGGGCATTGGTGAGCAACTGCGAGACGGTGGCGGATGAGCCAAAGTGACTTCTCTGACCTTGAAGCACATCACGGTTCACAGGGCTTGGAACTACGAGCGAGGTGAAGAAGCAAAGTGTACGTTGCGATGTGACATTGCCGGCCGCTCCAACCCTCTCGCGCAAAAGCGTTGCTGACCCTTTCGCCGCACGCCGCAGCCACTTACTCGTCCATACCCAGCGACATTGACATCTTCCTCACGCACGGCCCGCCACACGCACTCGGCGGCCTGGACAAGATCCACAACGGCGTCTCCGTAGGCTGCGAAGAGCTGGCGCGTCTCGCTCACGAGGGGCATCTCAGACCTGCCTTGTGGGCTTGCGGTCACATCCACGAGGCAAGGGGGGTGCACGAGCAGCAATGGCCTGCCACTGAGGGGAATGGGGAAGGCGGATCGACGCTGATCGTCAACTCGGCCATGGTTGAGTTCGATCTCAAAGCCGCGGATGGGGACCATGCCGAGGACAGTGAGCTGACTGTGGCACCGAGAAGAGGGTGATCGCGATCGCTGACTGTTTCATCTGACGCGACTCATGCTGCTCACAGTCCAATATCGCATCGTCCATCAGTGAGCTCGGTGCGCCACACCTAGCTGGTGAGGGTGCAGTATGCTGATCGACTCGACGCCCTCGCACCCAGGCCTGTCATAGTAGACATCTCTGTAGACTCTTCCGCTGTCCCACGCCATGGATCTGCGCTTTGAATGGACCTCTACGCCGACACTAGCGGCGCCACACTTAGACGAAACGCCATTTGAAGCTCATCTCAATGTCCAGACATCGAAGCGTTCAGACCAGTCTTCTCTTAGTCATTGATCTCCTCGGACCGCTCGCTAGCGCAGCTTGACAATGCTACAAGCAAGATCGAGTCGCTTCGGCCTCCTTTGCCATCGAATCGGAGCACTCGATACCGTCGATCCTCGCGATCGGACCTCTTCCGTCAGCATGTGGCCATGGTCGCGCCCTCCACCATGACATGTACAGATCGGAACGCTCGGACCTCACCATCTCACCTCATCTCATCTCGCCGGTTCTCATCGCTCACCACGCTAGCGTCCTTCTCGCCACGTCACTCCAGGAGCGTAGCCGCTCTCTGGGCTGTGGCGTCAGGAACGAGGCGAGAGGAGCACAACCGTGACATTGGGGCGCTCGGACCCGCATCGTCTCAGCGTGACGAAATGGGGATCAGACCTCATGACGTTGGCAAGACCCCTGAAGACGAGTGGGCGCAAGGTGATTCGACAGCCCCTCTGTCGTCACCGCCCAGGGGCCGAGCGCCTAGCGTCGGCGATGGCTGTGCGGCGGTGGGAAGAAGTGGAGATATTGCAATTGGCCCCTCACACCGGCTCCTCCGCCCACCATGGCCCCTGTGGCCCTGTCCCCACATCTCATCATTGCCGCCCTTGCTCCTGACTGGTGGTCATCGTGTCCCTTGTTTATATTGAGCGAGGCAAGGTGCGAATCTCGCGAGGCGAGACCTCTTTGCGTCGAAGTCGACTTCTCACTACCGATCTTACATCGGATCTCTGACCCACCCGTGAACGCTGTTCTCCGCGACATCTTCCTCAATCTACGCGCGAGCTCTACCTCCTTGCTTGCGTACCAGTGTCTCCCGTACAGCGAGACCCTCAACGACCCTGATTATCAAGGGCGCCCACCGCATCGTTTACGCGGGCCTCCCACGCGGATCTCACGCAGTCATCATCTCCTTGCGTGAACGCGACGCTTGCGGCCAAGATCTTCTCACCACCATCATCAACGGCGTGTGCTCACCGCTGCACGCAGGGACCCAAGACCTCGGGTGAGCTCTGCTTGCGCATGACGTTGCCGTGGTAGCGAGCTCGGCCCCCCCCCCCCACTCACTGGTCCTCTATTCGCCGTTCCGTACAGCCAGACGCTGCTGCTGCTGCTGCTCAACGCGCTCCCGTCGGCTGCTGCCTCTGAATTGGCCTTCCGCCCGAACGTCAGAGCGCGTCAACTTAGCACACCGTGAGTGAACTCTACCCGCATCTCCGCGTCTTGCGGCTGTCGCTGACTCTCCGCTGCTTCACGACCCCTTGCATCTTAAATTCCCACCTCAAACCTCGACCTCCTTACCGTTCCCGCCACTCCCACACCACTCGCCCACGACCGCCGACGTCGCTGCCCCGTCTCACTCCCTCACTCCCTCGTCGTCGTCGTACGTCGTCCCTCTGCTGCTGCTGCGTGTTGCGAATAATCGGCTGGCTCGATCGCACACCATCTCTCTCAACGCCCGCCCGCGTCAAACGACAACCGTAACGCGTCCTCACGCTCGTACACGCTCGCACACGCACGCACACACGCACGGACGACCGACCACGCTACGCCCAATCCGTCGTTGATCGATTGATTGGCTCCTGGTCGCTGCCCCTGGTCGAACGCCCACTCGCCCACGCTCTACGACGACGCACGCGAAATCACCCCCACCTGCCCCCTGCACGCGCCTACCTCTTCATTGACTTTTGTCGCGGTACAGCACAGGCGGCTGTACACCAACACAAACGCACAAGCCCGCCCTTTTGCTAGCAGCTGGCCTGCCCGTTCGTTCGCCCTACTCTACCTCGCCCCTCAACTCCACGTCGGTACAATCGATCGCTGGCTTTGCCCGTGTTTCAGTGGACCCTTGACACAAAGACGAAAGCTTAGGTGAGTAGACGAGACAAGAAGCCGAAAATCAGGCACAAACATCGTCGTTCACACGCTGACATTCAGCACCGCCTGCACCGGCTGTCTTGCCATGTCAGCCAATCTCAGCTTCACGCGCAACCCCGCCTTGCTCGTTCGAGAAAGAAAATGTGAGTGGTAGCGATTTGCGGTGTTCAAGACGATGACGCCGCGAGACGAGCGAGGGTGATAACGATAGTATCGTCCCAAGATTGCTCTCGCTTTTGAAGAGGAGGAAGGAGAGTCGGCGCGGAGGGGTAGGGCTCGTTTTAGGGGTGGCCTTGGCTGCAGGCAACGAGCCTGTACACTGCCTTCGGCACGCCCCACGCGTACGGGAGAGCTTTGTAACTTTAATTTCCTCCTCGCTCGTTGAATCGCGCGTCATTGCTGGCTCCTTGCTAATCGTCACCCACGCCTTCCCTGCGCAGAGGTGTCTATCGAAACACCCGAAGTCTTGGACAGCAAAGACCGTGAAGCCGAGCTTTTCTCACCCCTCGGTAACGACCTATACGAGTGTGAGTAGCAGCCAGCAGCAGTAGCAGTTTCGACGTTCCCGTGTCTCCGTTTCTCCTAGCGTCGAAGCGATGCCTGGTTCCAGTGATCGAGAAAGAGAGAGCTTTGAGCCAATTCTATAGCGCCAGTCGATCGACCGACCGAGCGACCGGCCTTCACACGCTGTTGTTCGTCATTGGCGCCGGCAGCAGCCGCAAAGCTAGGCCGGGCGCTGCGACGATGGCGGCGATGATTGCACATTACGTTGCCTTCGAGTTGCGCACCGCCAACCATCTTCGCCGCCACCCTACCTCGGTGTCCGAGAGCACGACAATGGCCCTTCATTGGCCGTGCGATCGATCGGGCGGGGTGAGCGAGCGGATGAGCGGGTCCAGTCGGCCGTAGTGGGAGCTGTCATTCTATGTCAAGCGCTCTCCCAATGCCTCGTCCGAAGATGGCTGGCGCACTGCTACACTACCCCTCGTCCGGCTTGACGTCCGATCGCATCAATTCGACGACTAGTCAACTTGATTGATTGGGCGACGCCACCAGGGGTAGGCTGAGCTAGCTAGCTAGCTTAGCTTTGGCCGTGCGCCGCCTCCTTCGTTCCTCAATTAGGCAGTCGCACAGGATGTTTAGTGATGCAAAGGAACGTAATGCCAAACGACAAGAGAGTCGCGACGCTTTCTGCGAAGCTTCTCATGGCTGTCGCATTGGCCGCTGCAGTCGCCGTCGCCGCTTCCTTACTCTGTTGGGAAGGTCCGTCGTCGGGTGGCGCAGCGCCGGCCTTGAGCTTCGTCGTGTCTCGTCTTGGCCTCGCTCGCTCGACACGCCCGAGGCTGGCCCGGGGCTCGCCTGGAAAATTGGGACGTGTCGACGCGTCGTTGCCGGGCGGGGTTGGTCTGGGCTTGAAGCACAAGCACAGGAAGCCAGGGAAAAACCTTGCTTGGAAAGGAGGGGAGGGGGGCGCGGATGAGGCTCGCAGGCAGACTGGCAGCCAGTTGCAGTCGGTCGGCTGATGCGAGTCTGTGTTGTGCCTTGCCTCCGCCCGCCACTTTCTTGTCATCGCTACGCCTACGCAAACGCAGTCGACCCTTACTCTCTGTGCCATCGACGAGGGCGACGTCCGAGCGCACCCACGCACGCATGCACGCACTCACTCGGCTGGATCCAAGTCGTGCTCACGCCCACGCCCACTCCCACCCTTCGCCTCTACTTCTTCCTATTCGCAGCCTCGCCTCTGGCGTTTTCCCTCCTTGCCTAGGTCTGCTCCATCGACCTCCCCCCCACCTCGTCTCGCCTGGCCTCACCTCGCCTGGCCTCGCCTCTGCTGCTCTCCCCCGATCACCACCCTCACCCACCCCCTGCTTGCGCCACGCCAATCTCGCAACTCACCGCTGCCTCCGCCAATCAACAACAACCCTCAACTCAGGGTCAGGACTCAGACTAGAAGGACGATTAGCCGCCACTCAGTCGCCGCGGCCGCCAAACCCAACTTAGCCTCGAGGGCAAAGACGCACCACCGATCCATCATCTCTCGTCTCGACTGGAGAGGCGACCCCTTCCTTCCTCGCAGTCATCCCTCGCCGCCGACGCAGCAGACCTCCCTACACGTCCTACCAAAGGCAAGGTAGCAGCTCTGTTTGCTTGCTTCCCCTCCATTCTCTCTCTCTTTTACATCACAGCACCCTGCTTCTCGCTACCCACCCCTTCCCTCCTCGCTACGAACTATCTCTCCTCTCTCTCTACATTGCGACTCCGACCTGCCAAGGCACCCTCCGCCCACTGTCGCCATCGGCTTAGGTTTCTCCCTCCTTAAGAGTCCCAAACAACGTCGATCTTGACGTCGCATCCCCACCTACTCTAGCAGCACCTCCTCCTCCTCCTCCTTCTCTATACCTCTACCACCATGTCGTCCTCATACGGTATGGCCTCGTCCTCCTCGTCCTCTTCGTCGGGCTTCTCTTCCTCGTCGATGAGGAGACATCCGGCCTCGCTCATCCCCAAGGTCGTCCATGACCCGGCTCTCTTGGACCTCGTCAAGTGCCCCGTGACTCGCGAGATGGTCGGTGAGTAGATGCGGCGTGACCACAGCATCATCATCATAGCAGCATAGCTCACGCAGCATCCTGTCCCCTTTTCACAGTCTACCTCGCACAGCAGGCTGCTCACGTCATCCAGTGCGGGCCTCCTCAACCATTGGCCACCCCTCCGACAACACCCACCCGATCAGTAGCAGACGCAGAGCAGGACCCGGCTGGCAAAGTCGAGGTCAATGGCCTGCCCAGCCTCGAGACCTTCATCGCCATCCTCGTCGAGAAGAGCAACGTCCAAGTGCCCACTCTCCTCTGCACCCTCGTCTACCTCGAGCGACTCAAGCACCGGCTCCCTCGCGTAGCCAAGGGCATGCACTGCACTCGTCATCGCGTCATCCTCGCCACGCTCATCGTCGCAGCAAAGTACCTCAACGACTCGTCGCCAAAGAACAAGCACTGGACACGGTACGGCGCCCTCTTCGCTCAGGCCGAGGTCAACTTGATGGAGAAGCAGCTCCTCTACCTCCTCGACTACGACCTCCGCATCGACGAGGAGGAGCTCGTCTTCCACTTCTCGCCCTTCTTCCGTATCGCAGAGGACCGAGCACAGCACGGCCGACGCGAGATGCACCTCCGAGGCTGTGACGCCGGTCGAGAGCGTGAACGCTACGTCCGCGCATCAGAGCGACGCGTCTACCTTCGCTCTTTGCCCGGCGACCAAGTCCCTTGCTGGAACCAACAGGCCTCGCAGTACGCACCAGCATCCTCCGGCGCGTCACCGACGCGTTCCTCGACATCAGTCTCGGCGCCACCGTCACCAGAGTCGCCGCAGCGTCACATGGCCAAGTACTCGCACCGTGGCCACAGCGACTCGGTCAGCTCCGTGGCATCTACGAGCAGCAGTGTCGGCTCTATGCCAGCACCCTCTCGCAGCGTCGTGATGGTCCGCCAGCAGTCCAGCGCAAGCACCTCGGCCTCGTCCTCCGTCTCTACATCGGACATGGGAGACTACACCGACGACAACGGTGGCGGCTCCTCCTCTGCCAGCTCGACGGACTACGACTCCGAGGACTACGTCGAGGAGATGGACGATGACGAGCCGCACGAGTATTACCAGCAGCATCAGCAGGTCGACGTGGCGCCTATTCCCGTTCACCCGGCCGCAGCTGCTCAGGCGGCTGGCATGGGCAAGCACACAACCACACACGGTGGCATGCAGCGCTACCTCTCCTCGCAGGGTCTCGCACGCAAAGAGCAACACCTCGCCTCTACCATCGACGCACCACAGCCGGCAGCAATGAGGTCGAGGAGCAGCAGCAATCTGCTCTCTCGCATGCTCGGTGGCAGCCATTAAGGGAAGGAAAAAGAAGACGTCACTGTTCTTCGCCGGTCGAAGACGAGTCACGGTACACGGTTCGAAGTAGGCAGTCGGTTAATCATTCGCTCGAGGGGGTTCCTCTTAACACCATCATCATTGGCTGGATCGCATTGTAACATTATCACGAACAACACACACACAGCTTGGGCGCGGCTCTTTTTCATCTCTCCTTTGCTCATCATCATCAACATCATCACTACACTACAATCATCTATCGAGGAGTCGTTGATTACAATCAAAGTTGCTCGCTTGATTATCTTCGAATGTCTGACTGAGTGCGTCCGAGCCTGCGGCTTGAAGGGAGGTTGATCGTGTGTGTTCGGTAGCTTTGAAGAACGTGTCTGGAGATAGAGTTGAATGCAGAAAGAGGTAAACCGTAACGGTCTCCAGCGATGGAAGAGCTGACGGGCATCACCGTTGACAATTGCCTGGCAAGTACGGCGGAGAGCCACGCTTGCACGATCAAACTGGGTGTGAGGTGCGAGAGCGAGGGGCACAATCAAGGGCAGGGCAGGCAAGGAGCATGTCAAGGAAGACAGGCAGTCACGCCGTCTCCGGATAGGTCTCCCCAATCGCAGGCCCACCGTGACACGGCATAGGGAAGCGGCAAGAAGGGAGTTTGGGAAGGGGGAGCAGGAGGCGATTTGACCGCCACAGACAATGTCAGCGGGGACGACAGTGACAGAAGCAGTGAGATGCCGTGATGAGCTGCCTCCATCTACTGCGGGGGAGTAACGAAGGAGGCCCGAGGGAAGGCCGGGGAGAAAAGCAGCGCCCGATAGTCCGTAGAGCAGGGCGAAACTCAGAAGAGGGTCATCTCGGATGACCTTGGCCATATTGCGACACGGTGCGACGACCCCTCATATACCACCTGCGTGAGGGCGCTGGAGCATTGAGAGCCTCATTCCCATCATGTCCGCGCCAGCTTCTCGTCTCTTGTTTCTCCGCTAGGCGTCGTCCCATCATTCGCACGCAGCTGCATATATGCTATCGTAGACTTGCGCTGCATTGATCTCAGGTCTGTCTCTGATGCCTCGCCCTTCGCTACAAGTCGCCTGCCGTGCCATCTCTTCCTCAAACCTCCCTGGCCTTTACCTCTCCCTCCCTGAACTGTCTCGCCCACAGCATGCTCGGGATCCACCTAGTTGGTTGGCGATGGCGCCACTATGCGTCGAGGAGAAGGATGGTGGTGATGACGAGGATCGACGGGGAACAGAAAGGGGTTGACAAGGGGCCGAAGAGCATCAGGTCACGAAGAAGAGGAGGAAAGTAGTACCCTGATCAGCTCCGCGATCCTCAATTCATCGGACGGGCCGTTCGCCCACTCACCTCCCTCTCAGCAGAGACGTTCCAGATCAAGTACGAGCAGCCAATGATGCCCAAACCTGCTACCACGGTGTTGGTCTTCCAGTTTGCTGGGCTGCCGAGGGGGAGAGAGTGCGCATACGAAGAGGCAGACTAGTCAGCATACTGTCGTCCAATCTCCTCAGTGGGTCGAGGAGCGCTCGACGTACTCACCGAGTCCACCAACCACCGGCGGGCGACCAGACGTATTTCGGGTAGGCAAAGCGCGGTCCTGCTCCCATTATTGCGGGGTCGATGTCGAGGAGGAATGCGATTGGTAACAGTAGAGACGAGGGATTGTCGACTACTCGACGCTCTCCCCGCTTTGGCTTGGAACGAAAGCGATTTGCCACGTGGTTTGAGATCCACTCGACGATCTCGGCGGGCGGCCGTGGCCCATGCGCTAGAAGGTCGGGCTCAAGGCACGCCGCTTCTCGGCCTCCTTTCTTCCCGAGTCGCTCTAGGATCCTTGCAATGGCTTCCTCATCCTCATCGTCATCGTCATCGTCACGCAGCCCGAAGGAGATCATTGTGTGGTTGCAAGAGCAGAGGAGGTGAGTCTCGCCCCGTCTAGCCGCGAGCCCAAGCCCTAGCCTAAAGGCAGGCGCTGACCGCCCTGGTCCTCCTACTTTGTCTCCCCAGGCGTCCCGATCGCCAATCAGCGCAGACTGTGGAATATGGCACCTTCCTGCTAGAGAAAGGCTATCTCTCCAAGCTTGGAGATGATCTGTGGGCCACCCTCGAGCAGATCGGCATCGCTGCGCTCGATGTTGGCGACTGGGAGCTGGCCGAGGTGCGTGAGGCCTGCCCTATGATATGCTTGCGCCTCTGACCATCCATGTTCTTCCTGGTCGCTACTGCAGCTCTGCCTCGCAAGACTGAATACCCGCTTCCCCAAGTCAACTCGCGTGGCCGCATTGCAAGGAATGCTCTACGAAGCGAGGGGCCAGCTGACGAGGGCGCTGCATTACTACGAGGAGCTCATCGCAAAGAGCCAGGGAGCTGATATTGTGAGGCTGCAAGAGCGCACAACAAGCCTTGATTCCATGCTCTGACTCCGAGACAAACCCTCTCGTGCCGCACACAGATGCTCTCCAAGCGCCGTATTGCCGTCCTCAAATCCCTCGACTCTCCCTCTGCCTACGCCCAGACACTCCCTGCTCTCGAGACCCACCTCGAGACTTACTACTCGGACCCGGAAGCATGGCAAGAGCTCGCCTCTCTTTACGCTGAGCTGGGCCAATACGCCAAGTCTGCTGCAGCGCTCGAGGAACTGATGCTACTGGTCCCGCAGAACGGGTTCTTTGTGCTCAGGTACGCCGAGACGCAGTATACTGCAGGGGAGTATGCGACTGCGTACAAGGGGTTCTTGAGGGTGCTCGACATGGGTGGTATGCTGGAGAAGGGGCAACGAGGCGAGGGAGAGGCGGATAGAGGACCAGAAGTGAGGGCTGCGTGGGGGCTGAAGGCGGTGAGTAGGCGTGCGGGGCAAGAGTGTATGCAGGGCCATCATCATCTGACTGACGTGCCTTCTTCCCCTGCGCTCGCAGACGATCAAGAAGCTGAGGGAAAATCCCAAGAAGCAAACGTCGTCTTCGGACACGATCAAGGCAGAGTCACTGGATGACGTTGAGCAGATGGTTGCGGACGTGCTACTCAATCGCGTCTATCCGTCCAGGGACAAGGCGACTGTAGCTGCTGCGCGTGCGGTAATCGCTGCTGATGCGTAGGCGTGGCTCTAAGCAATCTAGAACTACTCTTGCCTGCTATCATTGAGCTCTCTAAATCGTCCCCATCAGGCCCGCCGTGACGCCGTATGCTGTGCCCGCGATGCTGTCGAGTCGCGCCCCCGGCCTCTCCGTCCGTCTTCGTGTCGCTCGTGTCGCTCGAGTCGCTCGAGTCGTTGGTGCCTGCTCGCTGGCCTAGCTAGCTAGCTCAGGGCCCAGCGGTCGCCCTTGTCCGGGCCACGCGCGCGTTTGCGTTGCATTTTGGCCTCTGGCGTCCGCCCTGCCGCCCTGCCGCCCCGTCGCGGCCCTGCCTGGGCCGAGGCTGAAGCTGACTGCAAGCCAAGTTCGACTTCAACTCTCTCCCTTCGTTACCACCAGCCTCAGCCACGTACCGCACGCACGCACGACTCGTGTAGAGTCAATCAAAGACCTCCTACCTCCGCGGCCATCACGGCTGATCCTCTTCCTCTTTCTTCTCCTTTTGACGACGACGACTACGACCCACGACCGACGATCGGCACGAGGATCATCATCGCTTCGTCTCTTGGCTCACGCGACGAATCGACGAGCCAACGAGCCGCCGACACTTCGCGAACACCTCTACGTCAATATAGGTACGCCGCACAAATCTACCAAGCAGTGCACTGCGTAAAAGGATAAAGACGACTTCGCCGCCTATAGATCAGCGTCCTCGTCCATCCACCGCAAGCAAGCACGCTCATACGTCGCCTCGCGCCATTGCACAGCAGCTAGCTAGCTTGGCATACATCGACGTTTCCCCAGACCCATTTCCCGCCCTTTCCTCGCCTTTAGCCCACCATGGCAGACCAACATACACCCGAGGTGGACCTCGACAATGTCATTGACCGTCTTCTTGAAGGTGAGTTCGCGGCGCGACATCTGCAATGCCTCTGCAGCATCCACTCACCTTAGCCACTGGGCCCCCTCTCACCCACCTCCTTCACACTCGCAGTTCGCGGCTCGAGACCGGGCAAGCCAGTGCACCTCGAAGAGTACGAGATCAAGTACCTCTGCCTCAAAGCGCGCGACATCTTCATCAACCAACCCATCCTTCTCGAGCTCGAGGCACCCATCAAGATTTGCGGCGACATTCACGGGCAGTACTACGATCTGCTGCGCTTGTTCGAGTACGGTGGTTTCCCTCCAGAGGCGAATTATCTGTTCCTGGGAGACTACGTTGACAGAGGAAAGCAGTCACTAGAGACTATTTGCCTGTGAGTGCGCGAGGGACATGAGCCATGCGGTCGCCAGTCTATGAACCACAGCAGCGACGATGATGCTGACTGCCTTCTCTTCATTCGCTCACAGCCTCCTCGCGTACAAGATCAAGTACCCCGAAAACTTCTTCATCCTCCGCGGCAACCACGAGTGCGCGTCCATCAACCGCATCTACGGCTTCTACGACGAGTGCAAGCGCAGATTCAACATCAAGCTGTGGAAAACGTTCACAGACTGCTTTAACTGCCTGCCCATCGCAGCCATCATCGACGAGAAGATCTTCACGATGCACGGAGGATTGAGTCCGGATTTGCAGAGCATGGAGCAGATTAGGAGGGTAATGAGGCCGACGGATGTGCCGGATACTGGTGTGTAGCGGCGTGCAACGAGCGAGAAGTAGTACTGATGGACGGTGCTGACTCTGTGCTCTGCTCCCCCCCGGCAGGCCTGCTCTGCGACCTCCTCTGGTCAGACCCGGACAAGGACATCTCCGGATGGTCCGAAAACGACCGCGGCGTCTCCTTCACCTTTGGCCCGGACGTCGTTTCCCGCTTCCTCCAGAAACACGACATGGACCTCATCTGCCGCGCACACCAAGTCGTAGAAGACGGCTACGAGTTCTTTGCAAAGCGACAGCTCGTCACCCTTTTCTCTGCGCCGAATTACTGCGGAGAGTTCGACAATGCCGGAGCGATGATGAGCGTGGATGATAGCTTGCTGTGCAGCTTCCAGATCTTGAAGCCGGCGGAGAAGAAGAACAAGTACGTGTATGGGGGCATGAATAGTGGGAGACCGGTGACGCCGCCGAGGAAGCAAAAGAAGGGGAAGGAGGGCAAGTAAGCGGGCGAGGGGCGTGAAGATAGGAATGAGGCGTAGGAGAGGATGGCGTGGCAGCAAAGGGGTACTGTGAGAGCATCTGGGTTGCTCACGCGAGAGCGGGCGCGCGGACGACGAGTCGGCATCACGCGACAAGAAGGAGCTAGGATGTCGCTCAGTACCTCCGCTTACCGGCGGTGGCGTTTCCCAAGGGCACGCATGGTCGCATTCGGCCACAGTGCGAGGTAGCTGATCATGGGGGTTGCGAGACGTTGGGGAGGCAGGGAAGGCTGCAGAGGGCACGAGACGACACAATTGGACGAGGAGACTGCGATCACGACCACAACGGCACGGATTCGGACGAGGAACACGCGAAGGACAACCACGTGATGGTGAGGTGGCATGTCATCGCTACTCAGAATCGGCGAGGGCGGCAAGTTGATGATCGGCGACCTCGAAGTTGAGAGCGGCACCGCAAGCTCATCCTCGCAAATGGGGCAGCACTGCGTCAACATGGCGAGGCTCCGTAGGCTATGGATCAGAGTCGCTTGACATGCTCTCACCAGCCCGACCTGTCATCGTGGATGCAGGCTATCAACATCGACCGTCTACAGTCAACGTCTCTCATTCAGCCTCATCGCTACGCTAAGTCGCCGCCATGCGGCTGCCGTGTCGCTCTTTCTCTCACGCCCCCACGCTAGAACCACTCCGACCTTCCATCTTTCCTCCAAGTCAGACACCACCCCGACCCTGGCTCTCCCTTCTCTCTCCTGCGCCCCCACCCTCCGCCTTCCACACCTCTCGACTCTTTGCTGCTGTCGATCTGTCCATCTCTCATCACATCCATGCCCTCTCATCTCACCTCTCTCTCACTGTGCGACGTTACGTGTAAAACTTTTCTCCTTTTTTTTCCACTCGACGATGAACACTCTGCGCCGCTACGAAAGCTTGATCGAGTGCAAGTGCTCGATTGGCCCCTTTTGTCTCGGAGCGGCTGCGAAGGAAGGACGACAACCCTGACTCGTTGGCGACCCTGATCAGTGAGGCCTTAGGAGCGAGGGGGCGTTGGCGCTGGATCAACTGGACGGCCGGTGAGCAACCGGCGGCAGCGCGTGTACGAACAGGCTCCGGCGGCGGCCGTGCGCTCACTCTTTGCTACTCTCGAGTCGCTGCTGCTTGTTATCTTTCTACTACTATCTGAATTATCCGTTCACAGCTCGACTTGCCTGGCAAGCTCTTTCGCCTTGTTCAAAAGCTACCACCAGTCTCACGAGCTCCCCGTCACCTCCAGCATACACCCACGGACATAAGCCCAACCCACCTGTACTTCTCCTCCCCAAGTCCCCACCATGCCCCTCACCGCGCACGACTCCATCTCCTTCCCCTCTTCCCTCCCCTCGAGCATCACTTCTCGCTCCGCTCCACTCTACCTCATTTTCCACTCCTCCCCCTGGTCATCCGTCACCTCAACCTGGTGCCCAGACTGCCGCAACGCCCGTCCGGCTTTCACTGACTCCTTCGAGGGGGAGGAGAAGCCCGAGGCATGGGCCATGAGTACGGACTTTGGCCCGTGGAGGGCGAACAAGGGTGAGAAGGGGAAGCAGCACCCTTGGAGGGAGGAGAGGGGAGCTGGCGGGTGGGGAGTTTGGAGCGTGCCTACTATCATTAGGTGGGAGGGGGTGAGTAGTGCGATCCGACGTGACGATGGTGTGGAATCCAGACTGGGCTGACAATGCACTGCTACGCTTTCACTGCATTCGCACAGGGCAAGGAGACGGGACGAGTTGAGGACACGGACTGCCAGGATGTGAAGAAGGTCAGGGCGCTTGTTGCGGGCAAGTGAGGGCAAAGAGAGAAGTGGACAGCCGATCGTGATCCTGAATGCCAATATTGTGGTCACGGCCATGCTCGAGCCAATGAAGCCGCTTGCGACCGTATACGCTGTCGCAGCTTGATGCGAAGATCTGGGGCACCGTAGACTTGGATTGAGCTCTATCTGCCACGTGCCTTAGTCCCCGGGTCTGGGCTCGGAGGTGGAGGTCGAAGCGCATGATGGACAGCGAATCGCAGCGTCCAGCGTTGTATCTTCCTGCCCTCCTCACCACAACCAGCAACCACCGAGTCCATCCCACTCCATTCACATTTGTCCAACATGTCTGCGCCCAAGTGGAGAATCGTCATGGCCTGCGATGGTGAGCTCAACAGACGCGCGCAGACTCATCCTTGAGAAGCATATACTGACGTCTGCACCGCTGCAACCCCATTCACGCATAGACGCCGGTATCGAGTACAAGAACACCTTGATGCAGGACCTCAAGAACGACCCTCGTGTCGCCTCAGTCGAGGATGTAGGAGTCAACGAGAAGACTGACAAGACTGGTGGGTGCTGCGTGACCCCCTCATCGTCGTTGCCCCTCCCACCCCCACTAACCCCTTCCTTGCTCCCACCACCGCGCGCTCAGCCTACCCCCACCTCTCGGTCATTGCAGCCCGCAAGATCCAAGCCGGCGAGGCTGACCGTGGTCTCTTCGTCTGCGGCACCGGCATCGGTATCGCCATTGCCGCTAACAAGGTCAAGGGCATCCGTGCCGCCGCTTGCATGGACCCCTTCTCCGTCGAGAGGTCAGTCCTCAGCAACAACTGCCAGGTCCTCTGCTTCGGACAGCGTGTCGTCGGTATCGAGCTCGCTAGGAACCTCACCAAGCAGTGGCTCGGCCACGTCTTCGACTCTTCCAGTCCTAGCGCAGCTAAGGTTCAGTGCATCTGCGACTATGAGGAGGAGGAGGCTAAGAAGTAGGCGGGTAGCAGCCCACGGAAGAGGCTTCAGGCTGCCCTTGTCGTCGAATGAAATCGAGCCATTATCTCTCCTGACCCTGTCTTTGTCGTCCGAGTGTGAGAATGTGAGAGAAGAAAATAGAGCGTCAATGAGGAATGAGAAAGGGTGAGATCGATCCGGCGATGCGTACGGCTTCCTGTCGGACCACGGACGGCTCTTGCGTCCCAGCGTATACAATGCGAGCGTCGCTTTGATGGACTCTGAGAAGGGCCTCTCAGTCCAGATTGCGGCGGCTCGTTGCTATCACCTGATTCAAGTTGTAGGCGTGAGAACGTGAAGTTGACTGCCGCCAGATCTCGGCCGAAGACGGCTGAGTACCACGACCTCAACGAACCCAGAACGATGAAAGGAACAGTCTCGCTGCTATCGGCGACCGCCCTCCCCGCTGTCCGTCACCCATCGTCACGTCACGGGACCGCAAGAACTGTACAGCTAGGCGGCAATTCCGTGGTCGCCTCGATCGACAGCGACGGCACGCACGCTCCTTCGGCCCTCATCAGTCTCTCGTAGAAGGCAAAGTTGCGGGCGTGAGAAGCTTCTAATCATGCTCGCTGATTTCTGAACTCAATCACCGAGATAGCCGGTCGTGACGCCCTGCATGACATGATGGCCATCGACGACGATAGCCTTCGTACGATGGCCCACCCGCTCGCCGTCTGAGACCTCTCTCTCAGATGTCTGAAAGCAAATCAACGTCTCGCCTCTATCGTTCAGGGCAACCGGAGTCCGGCTACACACACACACGCACAGAGTGCTCTTTGATGCCGTTGTGACCTTGTACCGACAGCGTCACGACTGTGTAGCCACTGCTGTCTCTCGTACGACATAAATTGGAAGGTAGGTGCTTGCTTGCTTGCTCACTTGCCGCCTGTCAAAACTCTCTTTCCTGCGGCCCCACATCTGCGCCCGTCGGCGCCTGAGCTCCGCAAGCGCAACGTGCTGTCTCGAGAGTGGATCCGAATTAGACTGTGGGACGGCTAGCGCTCCCCACGAGTGCCTCTCGGCACGCTTTGTTCCCCTCAGCCCTCTCGCGCTCAACCCCTGACCGGCGGAGACCAGGCCCTTTTGGCAGTCAGACCCAGGATGAGAGCGAGGCAGTCGGCATTTGCGCAAGCATAAGGCACAGTAGGCACGAGATGATACAGTCGAGGTGATAAACAGCTATCGGTGTTGCCGAAGGCGGAGACGACAGGCGGAATCGTGAGCGTTGGTATAAGACCTTGGATGCCGAGGAGGCCTGCCAATATCTGCTTTCCCCTCATCCTCTTCATCACTCATCGTGCAGTGTGACCTCCTTCCCCTCTCCTTTCCGCCACGATGCGTCTCCTCTCCTCTTCCCTCACGCTCATTGCCACCACACTCCTCTCCACCTCGTCCCTTGCGGCTCCCACAGCCACAACAGCCAAGAACATCGGCGACACCCCGTCAAAGAGCAACGACTTCTCATCCACTGCCCCTCCAACCTCTCAGCTGCCCTTCCCCATCTCCGTCTACTCCCAAGCAGCAGGCCTAGCTCAGCAGACTTACTGCAACAACAGCAAGGCAGGCCTCACCATCGGCGACGCCAAGCTGCTTTGGACCTACGGCGACGGAGATGCGCAGCAGCGTGTGAACATCTACAACTCGTCTTCGCTGGGCCTGAGCGTAGCGTGGGAGGGGACCAACACCAGCTCGGTCCACTCGATCGCCTACGACGTCGAGTTCGTTCCCGTGCCTGGAGACACGGTCCTCGACCTCCCATTCGGCTCACTCGTGGACGCTGGCTTCCAGGGAGCCTTCCTGAGCTCCTGGAAGCAGGTCAAAGAGCAACTCGCTGCTCGCGGGGCAGGGAACAGCTCTACGAGCAACAAGGTGACCATCATCGGCCACTCGCTCGGTGCTTCGCAGGCATCCCTCGGCGCTCTGGCCGTAGAGCATGCCTTTGGATCTGGGTCCGTCTCCCGTGCCGTCCTGTACGGCCTGCCGCGCGTAGGCAACAAGGTCTACGCCGACCACGTCGACAAGGTGTTCGCGCCTACCGAGGAGAAGAGGCGATGGAGCTACGTCGTCTCTGGAAAGGACTTTGTGCCTCACGTCCCGCCTAGGCTGATCGGGTATCAGCATCCCGCTGGTCAAGTGTGGATCAACCCGGCTAACACCACGAGCTGGATGTACTACCCTGGCCAGGAGAATGTGAAGGGAGCGAACACCGTACTGGCGCCGCCGTTGAGCTTCGAGTGAGTAGCAGTAGCGTGCGTGAGGATGCTTCGAGCGCGCACAGAGCTGACCACGCACTTGACCTCTTACAGCGACCACGAGGGCGTCTACATGCACACGCAGATCGGTGCTAGTCTGGGTCATTGCCCGGCTACAGTAGGCCAAGATTGAGCTGAGTGTGCACTCACGATGCGTCGCCTCAGGCGAAACGCGAGCTGTCAGGCGTTTATGTCGGTCAGGATTGCTCAGGCATGAATAGAGATGCTGCTGTCCTGCCCTGTACAACAATGTGGCCTATCAATTATAATTTGCTATCAAGAGGACCCGAGTCTACGAGGAGCTGGCACGTCAATTCTGAGGTGACGCCTGGCGTTGTCAATGCGGTGGAGATCCAGGATAGGACTTGATTTTTGCGAGCTCGAGGGCGCTGCTGAACGGCGAGTATGGAGTGCTAATGGTGGGGGACGAGATGGTGCTGCTGCCACGCTCGAAGGCGATTGGAGTGAGGGGGAGGTGAAGAGGTCGCGATAGAGAGCAGAGAAGCAAGCATCGCCCTTGCCCGGAGTGCGTCTTCCTGAATTGGGTTCGTTGGCTGAGCATCGACGCGATTGCCCTTGCGTCGCCTTTCGATGCGGCTTGGCTCGTCGAGGCGGGCCGAGAAGTCGTGATGCCATGATGTGATGAGCCGAGTGGTGCGGCCGTAGACGGGTTGTGCCTGAGAGCCATTGCGAGATAAGTGCTCGTTCGCAGCCCTGAATGGAAGCTGAGAATGGGTGTCGCATCCGCATAATCAGACTGGTCACCGCTTCGTCCACCTTGTTGTTCTTGTCTCCTCACCATCCATCCAAGGTTGCCATTCTCAGCAGCGTTGAAGTGCTTGCTCCTACTTCGGAGTCCATCATGACAGGCCGCATGGACGTCGACAGGTCCAACACACCGACCATCTTCAAGGCCAGCGCTACTCATTCGGATGCAATGGGCCAGAGGGACACCATATCCTCCACTCTCAGCCCATCAACCACGCGCCAGCAGTCCGTGGCCAGTGACGCCAGGACCGTTCTTGGCAGCGAGAGCGATGCAAGTGAGTCCGCAGCGCCGCCCAGATATCGGGCGAGCGGGCTTACTCACTCATTCATCCACAGCTAGTGTTCCTGCCTCACACGCCCGCCCGTCCAAGGCAATGAAGCTTGACTCCAAAACGCCCTATGTCACCACCGAAATCGACCCAGAGGCAGCCCAGTCAGGCCAGCGCGGGACGTCAACGGTCCAGGCCTCTTCTTGCTCTTCCTCTTCGCCTCGTCCAGCCCCACCTCCCCGTGCGAGGCACTAGTCTCCAGCACAAATCGTCGCTGAGATGCGTCGTCGCGAGCTCGTTGGTTTCTCTCCAAAGTGGCAAGGACCCCTTTCTGCGCTGGACCACGCGAGGGTAATGTCGGCTTTGCAGGCCGAGAAGGAGGAGGACGACAGTAGCTCCGAGTGCACCGATACGGATGATGAGATTACGAGTGAGCCGAAGTTCGCAGTGGAGGGGTGTGAGCCGCAGTAGCTCCCCAGCGACTGGGCTCGGTTTGGGACCGTCTAAGCCGCGACTGCCTGTTTCGATGGCGCCGACAGGAGCGGCGTCAACTCAGACCCTCATGTCACCCGCTCTGGCCCTCATTCAATACCATCCGTCTATTCCTCTTCTCCCTGTCAGGAGCCTTTGAGGCGTTGATCGCACTGTTAGCGTGGACAGCGCTGCTATAGGCCAGCGCTAGTGAGAAGCTCGGACTGTTGTTGAGTGGTAAAGATGGAGAGCAAGAAGTCGAGCGCACCATCGGACCCTTTTTGGCCGTCCGCCGCTGCACTACCGCCGCGGCTGCGTTGCGGCCTCCACTCCACTCGCCGCCGGGGTCTGGACGAGGTGATGTCGTGTGCCCCGCCGGCCTACTTCAATGCCTCGCCCCTTTACTTCTTCCTCGCTCGATCGACCTTCATCACATCCACATCGACGCCACCATGCCATCCGCAGACATCCCTCCCAAAATGCGCGGCCTCCTCTTGGAGCGCTTCGTCGAGGGCAAAGGCGAAGACGACCCCTACACGCTGCGCTCCGACATCCCCTTCGACGCATCCTCCCTCAAGCCAACGGACGTGGTCATCCGAGCCGCCGTGGCGGGCGTATGCCACACAGACATCATGACCGTCCGCGGAGAGATGAAGCGCTTCCTCAAAGAGGGACTCCCCATCGTCCCCTCACACGAGCCGACGGGCGTCATCGTTGCGCTGGGTAGTGAAGCCGCCTCGGAGAAGAGCGCTCCAGCTACGGGGGGTAAGCGACCGCTCAAGGAGGGTGACCGTGTAGGCTCACTAGCGCACAAGGAGCCTTGCGGCCAATGCGAGGAGTGCAAAGCCAATCGCCCAAAGTTCTGCGGAAACGTCTCCTTCTTGGGCATCAGCGACAAGCACGGCGGACTCGCGGAGTACCTCATTGCGGACTATCGCTTTGTGGCCCAGCTGCCCGACGAGGTGTCGTTTGAGACTGGTGCGCCACTGATGTGTGCAGGCTTGACAATCTACACGGCCATCAAGGCGCTCCAACTCGAGAAGGGTAAGCACGTCTGTATCGTCGGCGCTGGAGCTCTGGGTCATATTGGCTCGCAGATTGCCAAATCCAAGAGGCTGAGAGTGAGCGTCCTCGACGCCCGCGACGCACCGCTCGAGCTTTGCAATTCGCTTCGCCTCAAGCCGGACGCAACGTACAATTGCGGCAAGGTAGATGCCGATGATGAGCAGGCGGTGGCCGCTGTGGTGAAGGCGATTGGAGGCGAGCCGGATGCGACGATTGTTACTACGGACGCCATTCCAGCTTTCAAGCTTGCGATCAACATCACGAGGAAGCATGGCCAGATGCAGGTGGTAGGCCAGCCCGCGGACCCAATTCCAAGTGAGTGGCAGTGCGATCCTGAGAAGACATGGTCGATTGCTCATCCTCCGCCCTCCTCGCACCCGCAGTCCCCTTTTACCCTCTCATCTTCCGTGACCTCCGCGTGACCGGCTCCTTGCTAGGCAACCAGCAAGACCTAAAAGAGTTGGTCGATCTCGTCGGCCGCGAGGGAATCGAGGTGAAGACGAAGACGTTCAAGCTGGACGAGCTGCCCAAGCTGCTCGGGGAGCTGCATAGTCCGACATTTGCGGGGAAGGCAGTCGTGCGGGTGGGGGAGGATCAATAGGCAGGCGCGTGGACGTGAAGGGGCAAGCGTCACAGTGACATCTTTTCGAATTCAATGCACTCGAATTCGATTCGCCTGCCAAGCGTGCTTGCTTTGTGATCTGCAGCGCTGTGGGGCCGTCGTCGCTACCACGCGGGTGGCGGTTCGCCCGACGTCCAATCTATCGCTCCACCTGCTTTCGTCTCGGCCTCCGACAGCTCTATTTCACGCCACTGATTGAAGTCGCCGTGCAGCCCGATGCGAGGGAGAAGTGACGCAGGGCCCCACGACCAAGGAGAATAGAGCTCGGTCAGCGCGAAGGGCTCAGAAGGCGAAGGGCCTCACCTGTTGATGGTAGTGGGGCTATTGTGTTAATGTTCGAAGGCAGGACCGATCCCCCTCGCTGTCACCTGCTTTCAGAGCCCTCATCCTGTCACACCCGGTAGCCGGGGCTCCTTTGTGCGTGCTTTGCGCAGGGGAGGAAGATCCTTGACGCTCGCGGGCCAGTCAGTCACTCTGCTTGCGCCCGGTGTCATGTCGCCACTCGCGCTACACAGCCTGTAGCTGCTGGGAAAGTTTGAGCTGCCCGTCCACGCACAGCTTCTCGCCCAATTCGCTCGCCCGCCCGCTCGCCCGCCGTGAACTGAACTCGCACTGACCCCTTGGATACGGCAAACGAAAACGCAGCATCGCCTGCGTGTGCTTTCACGGCTGCTGTCGAATCACTCAACACCCAATGAGAGAAACGACGAGAAGGAGTGCGAGCACGAACAGCTAACGGGCGACAATGGCCGGGGCGAATTCCGACGAGGGGTTTGGAGAACCCCAAACGCCCCCTTGCCGCCGCTGGTCTTGCAGACTTGGTGCCTTGAATAGCGTGAGCGGGCTCGTGAATCCAACACGCTCGCTCGCGGCCACATGGACTGGCTTGGCTAGCCGGCCTCGCTATCGCTGCAGAGGCAGCCTCTGTTTTCAACCAGCCCTCGTCGTGGCGCCCAACGGGAATATATTTGCCTTGCCTTCTTGACAAAGTTCCAAAGTCGCACGTTATCGCCACCAGACTTCCTTCTTCCATACCACTACCTTCATCACTACCAACAACAAGAAGCTAACAGGTGAGCATCGCAAAGTACCGCACCGCACCGCACACTAGACTAGCGTCTGCGAACGAGGGCCCAAAAAGTCTATCTGTCCCAGGGCACATGCCTGCATGCGCGCTCCGCCCGCGAGACACACACTCCACAAGCTCTGCCTGCGACTTCCTACCTCGTCCTCCCCGCCCGGGCCCTTCTTATCGCTCAGACTGGATTGCGTCGAGGGGTCGAGCGGTCTTGGCTAGCCAGCGAGACGGTGGGAACGAGAGTCGGACGAATTTCCACAAGAATGACGAGAGGCAGTGCCATCTTGCTGGGGAGGATCTCGTGTTGTCCTGCGACGCCGCCCGCCGCCGGCCGTGCGCTTTAATGACGCCAAGGGGCTCATTCGAGGGAGTTGGCGGGGCCTTCTTGCCCGACTGTCTCGCCCTTCTTGCCTTTCTACCTCGTACTCCTTCGCTCACACGCAAACTACCTCCCTCTTTTTCAACGCACTCAGGATGGCCGCTACTGCCTCTGCTCCCTCTACCAATGGCACGCCCCTGGGCAATGTCGCCATTCACTCAAACGCTCTCAACAAGATCGTCAATGTTCCCCTTGTCCACGGGCCGCTCAGCTTCGCCTACTCGACTATCGAGGCACACCCGCTCATTTCCCGCCCCTACCACCTGGGCGAGGACATCCTGAACCAGTCGATCAAGATGGCCGAGCCAATCACCTCTCGCCTCAACGGCCAGCTCACCTTCATCGACACGCAAGCAGTCAAGGCCCTCGAGTTTGCCGAGTCCAAGTGGTCCTACCCTTTCAAGGCGACGCCCACCGACGTGGCCAACCTGCCCCGCTCCGTCATCAACGCCTACGTGGACGCCCTTCAGAAGGCGTGGGACGCTCGTGTCGCTCCTCAGGTGAACCAGGCGCACGCCAAGTTCGAGGAGCTCAAGACTCAGAACCCCCTCGTTGCGCGTGCAGCTGACGCCGTTCAGCAATTGCAAGCCAACCTCACTCAGACGATCCAGTCTCTCAAGAACACCAACGCCCCCAATGGCGAGAAGGCCACGCAACAAGCGCAGAACATCGTCTCTTCCTTCCTTGCTGAGCTCGAGAAGGTGCGCGGCTTCGCTGCTACCCTCCCCGTTGACGCCCGCAAACGCTTCGAGCCCGTCGTCGAGTCGATCAACACTACGTATGGTCACTTGAACAAGGAGGTGCGCGAGGGCAAGGGTCCGCTCGTACCCCGCCTCCAGAAGGTCCTCGAGTACGTGCAGAGGGAGGCCATCCCTGACCTGCGCAAGGCGGTCATGACTGGTGTCCACCAGCCTGCGCCCACCCCGGCCACCACGACCAACGGTGCACACTAAGCAAGCGACGCGAAAAGACGTGGCGACGAGTGTCGAGTCAAGGGCTGCATCTGCTTGGCCCGTTATACCATGAACCTCCCTCGTCGCCGCCTACCATTTCGTCAAGCTCCCTCACCTCTTCTTCTCTTCTATCATGACTCTGTTCACTCGGCGATACGTTTGCTTCACGCCTCTTTGTCTCTCATGAATATATACACTCTACGACTGCAGTCTTCGCTTGATGTCATGCTCTGTTCTCATCGTGGTGATGATGATCGCCATCTTGCCTTCCTCGAGGTGTGGGTGTAGCCGTCGCACGCTCGCTCGCGACTCCCGTTGAAGCAACACTTTCGATTGGTTCAAACTCCGAAGCAGACGGCAAGAGTGAGCTGGTCTGGTCTGGCAGGGCGGGGGCGGAGGACGACGGCGGCGAGGGCGGGCGAGGTGAGCGGGCGAGCATTAGACCGGGCAGGCAGGCGGGCACACACTGGCAGGCACACTTGTGTTTCATTCACGCCTTCCCTCTCCCCTCCCCTCCAGAATCGACACGACGGCCCGTGTTGCCATCAGCAGCATACATCCCATCATCACCAGCAACAAAGAGACACCTTCTCTACCCGCGACGCTCTGACGACCAGCCACGCGATACCCCCTCTCTTCCTGCCCCTCAGTAGCTGCTGCCATCTCGCTCAGCCTCGTGCCCCGCTGCCTCCCGTCCCACCTTCCAGCAAGTCACGAATCTCATCAATCGACCGCATACACCCACCAATACCCAACCCAGCTCAACATCAATATGTCCAACCAGTCGCAGCGTCAACCCCCCAAGATGCCCGCGGGCACCTCCTCCCTCTCAGACAGAATAGCCGCCCTGCAACGCAAGGCGTCGGATTCCACGCCCTCACCCTCGTCCTCCTCCTCATCATCATACGGCCCGGGCGCGGGGGCGAGCTCGATGCGTCGCACTCCATCTGCTAGCACCTCTCCGCCCAACGCGGCGGATACTTCGAGTAGCTCAGTGCTGAGCAATGGCTCGTCCTACTCGTCCCGCTCTGGCACCCCGCAGGCAGTCAGGGATCGAATCGCCCGATTTCAACTCTCCCCCTCTTCCGCCAACGGTGAAGCCGAACGACCCCTCCTTCCCCGCTCCTCGTTCGGGTTCGGAGCTCCAGCTCCTAATCCGGATAATGTAGGAGGGAGGGTATTGCGACCCTACCCTGTGGGAGCGGGTGGGAGCGGGAATTGGGGTGAGGGAGTGCTACGCCCGCAGATGACTGGTGGGGCTTGGGTGGGGACGGGACAGAGTGGCAGTAGTGCGAGGGGGAGCACACCGGGGCTGATGCCGCAGTTGACCGGGCCTACATGGAACAGGAGGCAGGGTGAGTAGCTGGCTAGAGGCGTCGTATTAACGAGGGTGAGCTGGCCAGGCTGACCTCCTCGCTCTCGCCCTCCTTCGCTCACAGCCTCGACACCCGAAAGCACCCTGGCCCCGCGCCAGACAATCGGAGGTAGAGACGCATTCGCTGACCTCGACGCCAACTCTGATGGCCCCTCGTCACCCACCGAGTCGCGTGCACTGGGATCTCACGGCTTCGACGTTGCATCGCAGGCGGCAGCCATGAAGGGTTTGACACTGCAGCGGACTGGAAGCTCAACGGGGAGGTACAGGAGTGTCAGCCCGCTGCCGACTCTGCCTGATGTGCCGGTCAAGGGGCCGGAGAGGAGGGGGTCCGCCTTGAGTGGTGAGGGGATCAAGGTTGGGGTCATGAACGGGAATGGGGCGGGGGAGGGTAGGAAGGAGGAAAAGGTGAGTTCTGCCATGACGAGCTCGTGTGAAAGGGCGAGAGCTGACTACTCAGCCTTTGATTCTCGTTGTCGCCACAGCATCTCCCCTCACCTCCGCAGCACAACCCTCAAGCATCTCCGCGTATCGGCTCGTCATCAAATGCGGCAGCGGATACGTCCATTGAGATTGGCGTCGGAGGAGCGTCACCGGAGGAGATGGAGAAGTTGAGGCTGAAGGCGCAGCAGGACGAGGCGAAGGAGAAGCAGGGGCGCGCAGGTGTAGCGGAGGGAAGTGATGCGGGCGAGATGAGCAGCAGCAGCATTATCGTCTCAGCTCCTGATGAGGTGGGCAGTACGAGCATGACAAGCGCACCCGTTGGAGCCTCAGCAACGAACGGGCCCTCACGCGCAGTTCAGCAGGCGCAGCCCGCTACCCCACAGAAGCAGCCTTCGGCTTCCGCAGCAGCCGACATCAGCATCTCAGAGACGTCGACCTCTTCATCTTCGTCTTCCTCCCTTCAGCCGCACACGCCCGTGGCTCCGCTCTCAGCAGCGAACAGCAAAGGAGCTGCGGACATGTCAGCGGCAGCCCCGCCCTCCCCTACTGGCGCCCGCAATCATCTCCCATTGGGGCCAAGCACAGTCAGCAACGTGACGCCGCGCTCATCTGCGGTCCTCCTCCCAACCAGTAGTGACAGCAGCGAAGAAGCAGCAGTCGCCACCCCTGCACCGGCTCCCGTCCAATCAACAGCCCCTCCCACTAGCAGCAGCACCGCCAGCTCGGCCCTCTCGCCCAGCTCAACCTCCTCCTCTCGAGCAGCCGGTGGGGTGGTCCGCAATAAGAGCATGCAGCGCTCTCGTCCTCCACCGCCTGGTCAACCGATCAGCCTGGCCGATCTGGACGCGAGTGACGACGAATATGAGCCTGGGTGGGCGAGTGTTATCTCTAGTAGTAGGGGCGCGTGAGGCGATGTGTGAAGGTAGGGGGAGAAGGGAGAGGGTCAGAGGGAGGGCGAAGGTGCAAAGGGCAAGAGAATAGAGGTGACATAATGCGACGCGATGTGGGCACAATGCTTGATCTAATGTTACGATGCGTTTACGAGGAGCGAGACAGGGTGGATGAGGAGTAGTGTCAAGCAGGCGGGGTAGAGGCTCTCAGAGGCCTGGCCACGCGAGCGCCACTTGGACCCGCCGGGGCGACGGCGGTCAAGCCACCCTCTTGAGCTGAGCGGGGCAGTGCGTGCGTGCGTGCGTGGGTGATGCGTGATGCGTGACAACGAAGTAATCTACTCCTCTTTCACTTCCCTTCCTATCTTACGACACACGGCATCACCTTGTCTCCGTCGACTGGGCGTGCATCGACACCAATCCCCAGTCATAGCGCAGCATCAGCTCAGCTGCCCCGCTATCTCCCAGTAGAGTACGCTCCCTCCCTCCTCGTCCTCCTCGTCCTCCTCCTCTCACGCCCCGCCTCTCTCACCATGGCCATCTCAAAGAAGGCCGGCGGAGGCAAGAAAGGGGCACTCGGCGCCCTCACGGGCGGTGGTGGAGGCAACAAGAGCAAATCCGCTCCACCCAAGAAGGGGGCGCCACCCGGTGGGATCCAGAAGGCCGACTGGTCGGATGTCATGAAGAAGCCTCAGGCGGGAGTGTCCGACATGACGCTGCTCAGTAAAGTGTCCAACGAGGCCATCGTGGAGAATTTGCAGAAGAGATTCAAGAATGGGGAGATTTATGTGAGCATCACCGTGCCGCTCCGCAAACCTCGTCATCATCATCGCAGAGAAATGCTAACTCTTCTTTCCTGGGCTCGGGCGGGCGCTGCGCAGACGTACATCGGCAACGTACTTATCTCTGTTAACCCTTTTCGCGATCTGGGCATCTACACCGAGGACGTGCTGCGCTCTTACCAGGGCAAGAACCGACTGGAGATGACCCCGCATGTGTATGCGATTGCAGAGGGGGCGTGGAAGAATATGACTGACTATGGACAGAACCAGTGTGTCATCATCTCGGGAGAGAGTGGTGCGGGCAAGACAGAGAATGCCAAGAAGTGAGCATGCGCAGCACGATATGATAGCCGTATTGGGGTAGTAATGCGAAGGGTCAAGCTGACTTGCTTATCGGCGTCATGCCCAGGATCATGCAATTCGTCGCAGCAGTCTCCGGATCGACGGGATCAGCGCAGGCAGTAAACGACATGGTCCTGGCTACGAACCCGCTCCTTGAGTCCTTCGGAAACGCAAAGACGATCCGAAACAACAACTCGTCGCGATTCGGCAAGTACCTCGAGATCGCCTTCGACGCACATGGCCAACCTGTAGGCTGCACGATCACCAGCTTTCTGCTCGAGAAGAACCGCGTCGCAGCACAGGGGAGGGACGAGCGCAACTTCCACATCTTCTACCAACTGGCAAAGGGCGCGAGTCCCGAGCAGAGGGATACACTGGGAGTGCAGGGACCGGAAGCGTATGCTTACACCAATCAGTGCTTGGACGTGGCCGGGATCAACGATGTCGCCGACTTCAAGGAGACGTGCGACGCAATGAACGTCATTGGGTTGTCTGCCGCAGAGCAGGATAACATTTGGCGCATGGTCGCTGCGATCCTCTGGTGCGGCAACATCACCTTTGCGCTGGACAAGGACGAGAACGCAGCCATTGCCGATGAAGGAGTGACCGACTTCCTCGCCTACCTCTTGGAAGTCGACTCCGACTCGATCAAGAAGGCTCTCACTCAGCGCGTAATGGAGACGCAGCGAGGTGGTCGTCGAGGATCCGTCTACGAGGTCCCGCTCAACGTCGCTCAAGCCTCTTCCGTACGAGACGCCCTTGCAAAGGCCATCTACAACAACCTCTTCGAGTGGATCATCCAGCGCGTCAACATCTCCATGCAAGCGAAGGCCGCGGCGAGTAATACGCTTGGGGTGCTGGATATCTACGGCTTCGAGATCTTTGACCACAACAGCTTCGAGCAGCTCTGCATCAATTTTGTGAACGAGAAGCTTCAGCAGATCTTTATTCGCCTCACCCTCCAGCAGGAGCAGCAGGAGTACGAGGATGAGGGGATCAAGTGGACCCCGATCCAGTACTTCAACAACAAGGTTGTCTGCGACTTGATCGAGGAGAAGCGGCCACCGGGCGTCTTTGCGGCTTTGAATGATGCTTGTGCGACGGCACACGCCGATCCCAGTGCCGCGGACAACTCCTTTGTTCAACGACTGGGCTCGCTCAGCTCCAATCCGCATTTCGACTCGCGAGGCTCCAAGTTCCTCGTCAAGCACTACGCCGGTGATGTCATGTACACGGTAGCCGGAATGACGGAGAAGAACAAGGACGCCCTTCTGAAGGACATCCTCAATCTCGTTGACTCGTCCTCCAACCAGTTCCTCCATACTCTTTTCCCGGACCGACCAGACCCCGACAGTAAGAAGCGCCCGCCCACTGCGGGTGATCGCATCAAGACGAGTGCCAATGCGCTGGTGGACACGCTCATGAAGGCGCAACCCTCGTACATTCGCTGCATCAAGCCCAACGAGAACAAGAGCAGCACAGAGTACGACAATTCCGCCTGCACGCATCAGGTCAAGTACCTCGGCTTGCAGGAGAACGTGCGAGTGCGTCGCGCCGGATTTGCGTACCGAAATACCTTCGATCGAGTGGTACAGCGCTTCTACCTGTTGAGCCCGCACACCAGCTATGCCGGCGAATACACCTGGCAGGGTGACAGCCGCTCAGCGTGCGAGCGCATCTTCACCGACACTGGCATCCCAAAGGAGGAGTGGCAGCTAGGGGCAACAAAAGCCTTCGTCAAGGCGCCGGAAACCATCTTCGCTCTCGAGACAATGCGCGATCGCTACTGGCACAATATGGCTACGCGAATTCAGCGGGCGTATAGGGCTTACCTGAGGTACAAGGATGAGAGCGCGCGCCGCATTCAGGGGATGTGGATGAGGGAGAAGAAGGGAATCGCCTACGCACAGCTGCGTCAGTATGGCCACGACGTCCTGGCGGGACGCAAGGAGCGAAGGCGCTACTCTTTGCTTGGGTCGCGCCGCTTCCTAGGTGACTACCTCGACGTCAACGGGCAGAGCGGCTCAGCGGAAGGGGAGATGCTCCGTCGAGTGGCTCAGTTGGGTCCGGGTGAGAGCGTGGCGTTCAGCTCTCGCATCGAACTACTCGTTTCGCGGTTGGGTCGCTCCAGCAAGCCCAGTCCGCGCTTCCTCATTCTAAGCGACAAGGCCGTGTACATCATCGTGACGCAGATGGTCAACAAGCAGGTCCAGACGATGGTAGAGAGGAAAATGCCCCTCGCCTCCATCCAGACGGTCGGCTTATCGGCGCTGCGTGACGATTGGGTCATCCTGAACGTCGGGGGAAGCTCAGAGGAGGGGGACCCCGTCTTCCACTGCTACTTCAAGACGGAGTTGGTCGTTCATCTCCTGCAGCGCTCGAACGGGGCTATCAGCTTGCGCGTGGATAATGCGCTGCAGTACAAAAAGAAGAAGGACAAGATGGCCACGATCACTTTCAAGAAGGACGAGGCCATTCCGCGGGATGATGTGTACAAGTCCTCGACTGTTAGCGTGCCTAGCGGGGAGGCGCCCACCAGCCAGTCAAGGCCAGCACCGAAGAAGAAGCCCGGTTTGGTGCGACCGATCACGCAGGGCAAGCTGCTCAGGCCTGGTGGGCCGGGCAAGCAGGCCCCTAAGAGGGCGCCCGTGGGGAATAGGACGACGAAGGCTGCCGCGTTGCCCGGGGCGACCACGACGAAGCCCGCCCCTGCACCGGTTGCAGCTTCAACGAACGGAGCGGCCAAGCCCATTGCCGCGCCCTCCTCGGCAGCCAAGCGCACATCCGCAGCCCCACCACCGCCACGTCCAGCCGCACCGCCTGCCGCGCCTGAGAAGCCAATGTACAAGGCCCTCTACGACTTTGCGACTTCCAACGAGGGTGAGATGGCTCTCACGGCCGGCGAGCAGGTTGAGGTGACGGAGAAGGACGAGGGTGGTGGGTGGTGGATGGTCAGCAAGAATGGGACGTTGGGCTGGGCCCCATCCACGTATTTGGAGCTGGTTCCGCCCAAGCCTAAGCCCGCAGCAGCTGCCCCTCCCCCGCCGGCGGCCAAGAGGACACCGCCTGCCCCGCCAAAAGTAGGCGGAGGGGGAGCCGCAACCCCACCATCCGCAACAGCGAAGCCGAAGCCCGCGCCTGCCATTGGAGGAGGAGCAGGGGCGAGCGCAGGGTTCGGCGCCCCCAAACCCAAGCCGGCTGTGGCACCCAAGCCCTCCTCTGCATCCACGAAACCCTCTGAACGGCCCACCAGCGTCATGGCGGACAGTGGAGCAGCGCCCGTTGCCGTGATGCCAGGGATGGCTACGGAGGGTGGATTGGCGGCTATTTTGGCTAGGAAGAAGGCGGAGAGGGAGGCCAGCGAGGGAGGGGGAGGAAGTGGGAACGGCACGCCAGCAAGAGGGACCCCGCCGCCTGTTGCGCCTAAGCCGGGAGCTGGGGCCGCGAATGGGAAGCCGCCTCCACCGCCAAGAAGGTGAGAAGAGGTTGAGCGCTAGACGTGGAAGATGCAGGATCGTGTCTTGAATGGAATGACCATGTAAATACGAGAGTGTGATGGAGAGGCGTGAGCTTAGAGCGTAGGCTCGTGCGCATGCTTTGGATTGGCCCGCGGCCCGCGCACCGGTCTCGTCGGGGGTCAGGGCACGAAGTCGAGGTCAGGCCAACCTCGGCCGCTCAGTCCGGCGTCGTCGGCGGCGGCCAAGTGCGAGTCGAGAAGCGCAGTTGCGGTGCGGTGCGGTGCGGTGTACCCTCATTCCTGGTTCCTGGTCCCTTCTATCCTCGTCATCTCTCTGTTCTCCATCAACGTCTGACCTCCTCATCTCTCCGTCCACCGCGATGCCACCTTGGCAGCAACAGTCTATGCTCCACCACCTGCCCAGCTCAACGAGCGCAGGTGTGGCGGGCCTGCCCATGCTCGCCGGCCTGCGAAGAGCTGAGCAGCGTAGCCTCGTGCGCCTCTTGTCGAGCAGCGCAGCAGCCGCTGTGGCTAGGCCGGCCAGCTCGTCGCCACAGACTCGTAAGAGATGGACTGCTGCGGCGTCTGCCTCACCGATGCATCCTGGCGCCCTGATTGCTCGTCGACTGCATACGGAACAGCAGCAACAGCAGCATAGCTCGAGTGAGGGGATGCCACCCCCTTCATCATCTAGCGGCAAGGCCTCGTCCTCCTCGCCTTCCCCTCCAGTCTACCAATCAGCCCGCCCCACACCCTCATCATCCTCCACCTCGTCACCACCGGCCACGTCGGACATTACCCGCGTCACGCCCGTCTCCCTCACTCCAGGTGGAGAGCGTGGAGCAGCCCATAACCAGGAGAGCGTGGCATTGTCCCAGCTGGCGGAGAAGCAAGCTATTGAAAAGGCAAAGCAGGAGGCTGAGGAGAAGAGGCTGAGAGAGATGGGCGTCGTTAAGAGGGTGTGGGAGAAGGTGAAGTGAGTGGCAGTGGCGCGGCGAGAGATCGAGCGTGGCGTGAAGCTGACCATGATTTTGCTCTGCTCACAGAGAGGAAGCCCAACACTACTGGCACGGCACCAAGTTGCTAGGCAAGGAGATCCGCATCAGTTCAAGACTGCTTCGCCGCCTCCTTCTCGGATACAGCCTCACCCGCCGAGAGCATCGCCAACTGAAGCGCACTTTTGCAGACCTTCTCCGCCTCATCCCCTTTGCACCCTTCATCATCGTCCCCTTTGGTGAGCTCCTCCTCCCCGTAGCGATCAAGATCTTCCCCAACATGCTACCCTCGACCTTCGAGTCCAAATTCGCCGTCGAGACGAAGCGTCGCGGCCTCATTAAGGTGCGACTGGAGATGGCCAAGTTCCTCCAGGGCACCATCAGGGAGGGCGGCATACAGGCGACGGAGCAGGTAAAGACGAGCGATGAGTTCAAAGAGTTCTTTCGCAAGGTCCGAGCAACGGGAGAACAACCTAGCGACTCGGACATTGTGAAAGTGGCAAAGCTCTTCGACGATGACTTGACGCTGGACAACCTGACGCGCCCTCAGCTGGTCAGCATGTGTCGCTACATGCAGATCAATGCCTTTGGCACGGACAACTACCTCCGCTACCAGATCAGAACGAAGCTGGGAAGGATCAGGCGCGACGATATCGTCATTCAGCACGAGGGGCTCGACAAGCTCACCCAGCACGAGCTGCAGAGCGCCTGTGGCTCCCGAGGTATTCAGACGCTCAACCTCGGCGAGGACAGGCTGCGCGACGAGCTTCGCCAATGGATCGAGCTGCACATCACTCAGCGTATCAGCGGCACTCTGCTGATCTTGAGTAAAGCATTCAACTACGTTCCCTCCGGAGAGGAGAATGCCGCTTCGCAGATGAAGAGTTTGGAGCTCACCCTTTCCTCGCTACCGGACAACTTGATCAATGAGGCGGAGCTGAATGTCAGCAAGGATAGTGCGACGAATAAGCAGAGGTTGGAGGTGCTGCAGCAGCAGGAGGAGTTGATTGAGGATGAGGCAGAGCAGGAGGCCGCGGAGGAGGAAGCGCGACGTGTGGAGAGGCAGAGGAAGAAGGAGGTCGAGGAAGCGCGATTGGCCCGCGAGGAGGAGGATGCGCGGGTACTTCTGCCCAAGGGTGAGGTAAGCGCGGGAGAGAAGGCGACCAAGCCTGAACAGCAGGAAGGGTCCGCTGCTGATGGGGAGAAGAAGGCCGAAAAGAGTGCAGAGTCGGAGGAGCTGAGGATGACCAACGAGCAGCTGACTGAGCTTGGAGAGGCTCTCAGCCTGCTAAGTGCCAAATCCTCCGTAGAGAAGGAGCGCGAGGAGCTCGCCGCCCTGATCAAGGAAGTATCCGCCACTCCCGGCGAGGAGGAGCCGCAGCAGGTGAGCGCCGAGACTGCCAGCCAGGTCGCGGCCGAAGACGGCAAGCAGCAGCAGCAGCAGCAGCAGCAGCAACAACAACAGCAGCAGCAAGCGTCTTCGCCGGAGGACGGCGAGGCGCAACAACAGCAGCCCGTCAACCAATCGGCCGTCTCCCGCTCCCTGGCAAAAAGGGTTCGCGGCATGCTGGAGAAGATCGACTCTCAGCTCCTCGCGTACGAGGAGGAGGTCGGCTCCAAGATGCACATCATCGAGGCCTCTGCCTCTGGCAAGATCAGCGTCGAAGACGTCGAAGCGGCCCTGCGTTTGATCAAGCACAGGCCGGACGAGGAGGTTCTGGAGCGATTGGTCGACTCGATGGATAAGGACAAGGATGGGCTGATCCCATTGCAGGAGGTTGTTGCTCTTGCGAAGCAGGAGAGTGGATTGGGCATCGTGAGGGAGGACTCGATTAGGGATATTGCTGGGCAGGGGAGGAAGTTGGGCAAGGAGATGCGCGGGGAGCGAAGGGAAGGGGGTGGTGGTGAGGCGTCGAAGGAGGTGGGGAGTACGAAGTCAGAGGGGGAGAAGAAGGGGGAAGATGGTGAGAAGAAGTTGAGGAGGGAGGATATTGTCAAGGAAGAGTGAAGACGGGGTAGGGGCGAGGACGTAGATGTGGGATTCATTAGACGCCTACGAAGGCAGACAGACAAATAGCTGTATCACACCTCTCCCACACTCATTTCAATGCAACGAAAGCATCACAAGCACGCGCAGCCTCGCAGCGTAAACGCAAGAATTGCATGGTATGATTGCTCTCATCTCCAATACGGCCTGCTTTCTCTTTCCTCCCCATCACTTGGAGAGCTCCCCCTCCGCTCTCTTCGGTCGGCATGTCCCACGCATCATCAGCACCGTACACGTCCCTCTTCGTTCGGACGGCCAGCTTCCTATATCAGCGTGAAGATATCACATCCTTCTCCCCAACCACGGCCCCGCACCCCTTTTGAGGGGAGGAGGCCTTGGCACGTTCCTGCCGTGGAGTATGGCGGTAGGAAGGTGTGGCTGGTCGCTGCGAGGGAGAAAGGGGAGCAGGTAGGATGATCGAGGTCAGCAGGCTGGATTGAGGGAGTCGTGCGGTGAAGGGTGAGGGTAGGGGGGTACTCACGGTTTACTTTTTTTGATCAAAGGAAAAAAAGGGAAGTAAGACGGGGCGCAGTGACGAGGTGGACTTTTGAGCGAGCGAGCGGGCGGGCGGGCTGGCTGAGTGAAGAAACGGAGCGGAGCCAGAGAGGAGGAGGAAGCGGGCTCGTCGGGTGAGCCGCGCAAGTCGGGCCAAGGGCGAGGGCGGACAGAGAGATGAGAGAGAGGGAGAGTGAGTCGTTGAGGCCAAATGACGAAGCTTCCTCGTTACCAAGTTGTCACTCCTTCCGACCAAGAGCGAGCAACAAAGTCAAGGTTGAAGACAGCATGGCATTCGTAGCCCTCGGCAGACGGGCGGTCACTCCCACCGCTCGCGCAGGAACAGTCGTCGAGTCTCTCTGCCTTACTCTGGCATCTTCCTCCCTCTCATCCTCCGTCGCCTCCTCCTCCTCCTCTTCTTCCTCCTCCTGCCCCATCCCCTCCTCCTCTTCTCACAGCTACGCAACCCAAGCGCAAGCTCGCACTCGCAAAGCCCCGGCACAACATTTCACCAAGGCGCAAAAACGCGCAGGAGAGCAGCGAAAGAAGCTCAACCTGGAGAAACGTGCCTTGCGCCGTCAGCTGGCGGAAGAGACTCGTCCGGACCCGGTACTGGGTTATAGGGTGGGGAATAGCAGAGAGGCAGGAGTGAATGATGAGGCGTTGTGGGAGGGATGTGAGCTCAAGGTGGGTAGGCGCAGTGCTCCATCTGGCTCGAAGCAGAGTAAGACTAAACGCCCAAACCCCCATCTTCCTGCCTCTCTTCTCGCACCAACAGTCCATCCTCCTGAGCAAATCCGATGCCTGGGGTCTGACAGAGGACCGTCGTGGCAATTTGACCCCGTCGACCACGGCTGGCGCGCTCGGTACCCCCGAGGAGCAACAGAGACAGCTCAGCCTTGGCGGGCCATTGCGCCTCAACTTCGGCATGGGCGACGACGAGCGCGAGGTCCTCTTCAAGGACCTCCCCGACGTAGTGGCAAAAGATCGCGTCCTCGACACATTGGCCGACGCTGAGGCGGGCAGTGGGCCGAGGAGTGGCAGTGCGAAATACAGAGCGGGAGAAGAAGAGATGGACAGCCTTCCTCTGGCGGAACAGGTGCAGAGAGAGTTTGAGGCCCTCCAACAACAAGAGGCACAGAGCGCTTCTGTCCTCTCGCGTGTCCTCGACCTACGAAACGCCTCTGCAAAGGGCATCGACCTGGAGAACAAGCGTCGCATCATCTCGCACTTTGGTGGCGGGAACAACACGGGTAGCGTTGAGACTCAAGTGGCTATCCTGACTTATCGGCTGCACATGTTGCACGAGCATCTCTCGCAACCGCAATTCAGAAAAGACGAGGTGACGCGACGTAGTATGGGACTATTGACTTTCAAGCGGGCGAGGTTGCTCAAGTATTGGAGGAGGGAGAAGGGCGAGGAAGGGTATTTGGGTTTGTTGAAGAGGGTGGGAGTGAATAGGAGGGCAGTTGAAGGGGAGATTATGCTGGGGGGTAGGCCGAAGATGTTGGCTGGATGATGAGCGTCGGGAGGGCAGGGGAGTAATACGAATTCACTGATCAGCAATGCGAAGTGGTGCGGGCGTGCTCGTGGTAGTGATTGTGAGGAGCTCAAGTGTCTCTATCGGAGCAACGAGGATGGGCAAAGCGCGCTATCGCGGCCTTTGAGATGAAGGAAGGAGATGTGCCGATTGCACCATTTCAGGCTCATTGTCATCGTCGTGTTGCTCGCTCACTCATTCAGGTACCCGCCCGCTCGCTCATCGCGAACCGACGACGACAGCATGAGCATCTCACCTCACCGCAGCTCACTCACTCTTATCTTCATCTTCAACCTATCCCATCACATCCAGCAACCAGATCCCTCGTTGCCTCGTAGTCGATGAGCAGTGACGAGCACACCGAGCAGCAGCAGCAGCAGCAGCAGCAGCAGCAGAAGCAGCAGCAGTGCCCCCCACCTCTGCCTTAGCCACAGCTTCAGCTGCTGTTGCTGCTGCTGCTGCTCGGGGCGAGGTCCGTCTTCCCGCATCCTCCCCTCAGCAGCCACCAGTCGCACGATCCATCTTCGACGTCAACGATGGCCAAGTCGGCGACACATCGAGCGACATGGGCCCAACGAAATGGGCCGACTGGGCGTGCACGCCTGCCAGTATGCGCAAATTTGGTGAGTGAAGCGCCTTTATTCATCTGCTCTCCTTTTCTGGCGTCGAAGACGAGAGCTGACACTGTGATCTGATCAATCGGCTACCCCGCAGTGGCCGAAGTGACGCGACCTCGCGCCGAGTCGCAGAAGGCGATGCGGGACAGCATGTCCGCGGAGCAACCGCAGGAGGACATTGGATCCAGCCTTCGCGAGAAGGCAGCGAGCCAGGAAGACATGGCTAATTTGGGGGCGGGTAAGCAAGAGGCGAGCCGAAAAGCTTATCAGGGAGGGTCACGGCTGCCCATCGACGACGACGATGATGTCGACAAAGAAGAAGATGAAGCAGCCGCAAGTCCGTGGCCCAAATCTATCTCGGAACACGGCGAGAGTGTTAGGAACAGTATTGAGGAATTTCAGGCTGAGTGGGTGCAAGGGAGCTCGCAGCAGGATCGTGTGGCGGGGAAGACAGGCAAGGACTACGAGGGAGATGTAGATGAGGAGGAAAGGGAGAGACGGAAGAAGCGGGTGAGGCGTGATGTTAACAGCGAGGGAGGAAGTGGACGATGATGGTAGCTGAGCTTCTCAAGCGCGCCTGGATTTATTGTCTTCTGTGTTCACCTCAACATTTCACATCTTGTCGCTCACAACGAATTCACATCCCCACCTCGTAAAGTCGTCGAAGAGCAGGAGGCATTGCAAGGCCTTCTCGGCTCTCTCGACCCTCGATTCAAATCGCGTGGCGCTCATGCAGCTTGGCTCGTGCATCGGAGTCCCCCAACCAACACAGCCGCTCTCGTCCTCGCCTCGCCTCGCCTCGCTGGACCCTTTGCGGTTGGCGTCCCCGTTCTTCCCTCCCTTTCCTCTCAAACCCCCTTGCCCTCTTCGCTCGTAATCATGGCGCACGCAGCCGACAAGCACTCAGCCCTTGATGATCAGGAACGCAATTGTACGATGTTGCAGGCTTTCGAGTGGTGTGAGTACGGCGGCGAAGACCCACGAGAGCTTTAACTATGCAGAGTTGCGCGCTCATCTTCTTATCTCCCTCCCTCCTGCTTCTCATTACCAACCACTCCCTATTCGCCTCTTCCTCCCACCCGCGCACGCACACAGACACTCCCGGCGGCGGTACACACTGGGAATGGCTCGCCTCTCAAGCGCCCCGCTTCGCCTCGCTAGGCATAACGGCCGTCTGGCTCCCTCCCGCAACCAAGGGCTCAGGACCAGACGACGTAGGCTACGGTATCAGCGATCTGTGGGACATTGGCGAGTTCTCCCGCGTAGAAGGCGAAGACCCTCGCACCAAGTACGGCACTCGCGCTCAGCTTGAGGCAGCCATGCGGGAATTGCGCAAGAATGGCATCGCATGCTACATGGACGCTGTGCTCAACCACAAGCTTGGGGCGAATCGCACAGAGACGTTTCGCGTACAGCAGGTGGACGACAATGATCGTACCAAGCCCATTGGAGAGGAGAGGGACATCGAAGGTTGGACGGGTTTCGATTTCCCTGGTCGTGGTGGAAAGTACTCGGACTTCAAGTACAACTTCAACCATTTCACTGGAGTCGACTATGATCAGAAGACGGGGGACAAGGGCGTATTCCGCATCTTGGGCAAGAACAAGAGCTTTGCGGATGATGTGGATCAGGAGAAGGGAGGGTACGATTATTTGATGGGAGCGGATGTGGATCATGCCCATCCCGATGTTGCCAAGGATATCATTGATTGGGGAAAGTGGATGATCCGCACATTCCCTATGTCAGGCTGGCGATTCGACGCCGTAAAACACATCAGCCGGTGCGTTCCGCGACCTCACGCTCAGCGTCCTCGCCTCTCACTCTCTCCAACGCCCTGCCCCTTCTCGCTGCCGCAGAGAATTTATCCACGACTTCGTCTCGGCCATCCGCGATGAAGCCCGCAAGTTGCGCGAGGAGCAAGGCAAGCCCAAGCTCGACGAGAGCGAAGGCCCCATCATGTTTGGCGTTGGCGAGTTCTGGGCAGACAAGACGGAAGCTTGCCTCGAGTACCTGGAGAAGTTTGGCGACGAGCAGTGCGTGCAGCGGAGCCAATTCATTCAGGTGATAGCGACTGACGAGCAAGCGTGCCCCTCTCTCGCTCGCACACCAGATTCTCCCTATTCGACGCCCCTCTGCACTACAACCTCGTCGAAGCGGGCAACGCCGGCAAGGATTACGACCTGCGCAAGGTCTTCGACGGTACAATCGTCCAAGCCCGTCCAATCGACGCCGTCACTCTCGTAACGAACCACGACACCCAAAAGGGCCAGGCACTCGAGTCCGTCGTTGCTCCCGACTTCATGCCTCTGGCGTACAGCATCATCCTGTTCCGCCAATCCGGTTACCCTTGCATCTTCCTCGGTGACCTCGACGGGTGCCATTCCGAGGACGGGGCCTCCATCTCCACTCCACCCATGTCCGATCTCGCGAAATTCCTGCAAGTCCGCAGGTACTTTGCCTTTGGGGAGCAGCGCGATTATTGGGATCACCCAAGCTGTGTAGGTTGGACGCGCGGTGGGAGCGAGCAGCACGATGGGATGGCGGTGGTGCTGTGTGTCGGGGAGGAGGAGGGCAAGAAGTGGATGGAGGTGGGGCAGAGATATAAGGGGACGGAGTGGGTTGATGCGATTGGGTGGCTCGGGGAGGGGGCGAGCGTCAAGGTGAATGACGAGGGGTGGGCCGAGTTTCGTAGCCCCGCGCATAGCGTTGGAGTGTGGGTGCCGAAGGACGCCAAGCTGAGGAGTGAGATTGGGAAGTGAGCTTGGCAGGCGGCGGCGAGGTGTGTAGAATAGAGTAGTTGGCCATCTGGAGCCGCAATAGAGAGCGGATTTGGATCAGAGACGGCTCGGCCCGTCAGTGGTGCGGTCGCAGACTTGTGTCCGTCACTGTTGATGATCAGCTAGGGAATTTAGTCATACGTTCGCTCTGAAGACTCGTGACATCCGACCACACATATCATCTTGCTACCACAGCCCAGAGTCGAGCTCAAGTTGATCCAGCAGTGAGCGCCTGCACTCAAGTGCATCCCTTTGAGACGAATGCTGACACGATCCACGATCAGCGCCGGACAGCAAAGTCATGACTGACAACAAGCTGGCCATCGAACTCGTACGTCTTCTTCATGCAGCCCTGAATGGTGGCGAACAGCATCCGGGTCAGAAGGTGAAGGTGGAAAACCTCGAGACCAAAGTAGCGTCGCTTGAGGCCGCGATTCAAGGACTCAAGGGCAAAGAAGCTGCAGGGCAAAGAAGCTCCAGCTGGAACCTACATGGGCGAGCGCACTAGATGGGTCGACGACGCGAATATCAGAGTTGCCGGTATCCAAGGGAGGCTCAAGACTCTGGAGGGGAAGTAGAGGTTTCGCTTCGCTCCATGCTCCATGCTCTGTGCTCTTTACCATCCTGCCATTCCCAATTTTTCTCCAATCTCCATCGACAGCGCCTTTCATGGCCATCATGAAGCTCTCGTGTCCAGAACGTGCTAAATTTGAATCGATCCCTCTCCGAGTAGATTGCTGCAGACCTCCAGCGGTCGGCAAAGGGTGAAGGGCAATCGCAATTGACGGTGCCTGACGCTACATGCATAGTCTGCCTGCGGCCCAAGGCAAGTCGATCCGCAGCCGCCCATCTTCATCCTCATCTCCATCTCCTTTTCCTTTCGTCTCCTTCTGCCCAGCCCCCTCACCATTATCCACTGCGTGTATCCTCCTGCTACGTTACGCGCTATGCGCTGCAAACTGTAAAGGCGCAGCAGAATGAGCCCGCACACACCGAGACGTTCCCCAGTATGACAACTGCGGCCCAGTCCGAAGTCTCCTCCCTCCTCCCCCAAGTCGAGTCACTCGAGACGTCTATGAAGCATAGCGTTCAAGCGCTGCCACCACCCGCCGTCACTGTCCAACCTTCAGACTCGGAAAGCGGGGAGAAGAGCAATCAGCTGTCCTCTGCCGCTATAGACAGCGACAAAGATCATCACATCGCATCCCTAGTGAAGATGGTCGACAGACTCAAGGGCCAAGTCATGGGATTCAGCTGTCGTGTGCAAGTGCTGGAACGGATGATCGTCGACCTCAAGCGTGAAGGGATGGGGATGAAGGATCGCCTTAACGCGGTGGAGCAACTTGATGCGCGAATGGGAGAGGTCGAGAGGATAGTCCAAGATTTATCCCGAGGGCAGGCCACTAGAGATGTTCAGCAATTGGAAGAGCAGCGGAGGACCATCGAGCAAAACGGTTCGAGAAATGGGCAAGGTTCCTCCCCCCCTTCCAGCACGCGATGCCCCTCCACCATCACCCATCTACCCAAGGAAGCGGCAGCAGGTCTGACGGCTTTCTATTCGCGGCTGGAGGAGACACGAAGGAAGGATGCGGAGGAGCAGAGCGCGGCGCGTAGTGAAAGGTCGAGCGACTCGAGCTCGGATACCATTGTTGTACGCGATGCGGGAAGGAGAAATGGTCGGGAGGTTGGATGCGCAGGCGCAGGGGAGTGAAGGATGGGGATGAGGGTTGAGGCCTCTGCATGAGATGGGGAGGGTCGCCATGAGCTCGCGAGGGAAAGCGTGAGAAGGTGTTCACCATCCATGAATGCATAGAAGAGGGAGCCTCTTTACCAGTAATTACGAGGAGGATGCACGCGATGTGATAGGCTGGGCAGCTTGAAGCGAGGCGAGCCCACAGCCGGCCTCGACGCTGGGTGGACCCCTTCGTTTGCCTGCCTGCTTTTGTGCTCCCGTTCCGCTCCACCCGAGTCGAGCTCCACTGCGACGCTCTCGCTGACAATTCTTTGCCCTCGCATCCAACACTTCCTTTGCACGCTCTTGGACCAGCATCGCAACGCGAAATCAGCTCTACGCTGCCTAAGGCCCCAACATCATTACTCATCTCGCTCTTCCGCGCGCCAATGGTCCTCGCCCGCTTGCTCCGCAGTGTAGGCTCCTACCTAGCCGGCGGGCCCAATCGCTTCCTCGCTGGACGCGATCTAGCCGGGAATGCCTACTACGAGTATCCTCCCTCTCACCAGCCCACCAGCTCATCACGACATGCAACTCGCTCCCGCCGCGTAGTCAAATACGCAGTTGAGCGACCCATCGAGGAATATGCCGGCTCGGGAGGGGATGCGGAACAGTTGCCTGTTCAGTGGAAGATGTGGCTTCGTCATACCCGGGCGGATGCGCCTAGTTTGGGGGAGTTGCAGGAGGATATGGGGAGGATGGAGAGGTTGAAGGTGCTTGTGGAGGAGATTGCGGAGAGGGATAGGAAGGAGAAGATTGAGGCCGGTCAGAGGAGGGAAAGGGCGTTGGAGGGGCAGCAGAGGGGCCAGATTGAGCATCCACATGAGGAGGTGATGCAGCAGCGAGGAGAGGAGCCACAGCCAGCAGCGCCGTCACAAGAGCAAGCGCAGCCTAACTCAACATCAGCTTCAACGCCAGAGCAACCTCGCACTCGTACTCGCTCCCGCCGCGGCATCTCTGCGGTCCCGACCTCGGAAGTGTCCGACTCAGACGTCCAGAAACAACGTTCCCGTCGAGTCCCCATCTCCGTGACCACGAGCAACAATCAGTCATCTTCCTCCCCTGCCACGCAGGACCCAAATGTTTCGCAACAGGAGAGCTCCTTGCTTGAGCAGAGAGAGGCGGATAATGAGGTGTGGAAGGCGAGCAGGGAGAGGATAAGGGTGCAAGACAAGGGTGGCAAAGTGGACAGTTCGGGGGGAAGGAGGAGCTTCGCTACATTGGGAGCGAGGGGGAGACCGACGGTCAGCGAGATGCTGCGAAATAGGCCATCGCCATGGAGCGCGAGAGAGTACAGCACCAACAGTTCAGGTCCAATCAGACCTGGCCGCTCCACCCCGCCTGCTTCTCCTTCCTCCTACACCCCTCCGCCACGTGCGCCCCTCTCCGCTCAGCCCGGCTCAAATGCCTCCTCTTCCACTTCTACCACCAGCAGTAGCAGCAGCAGCAGCAGCACCACTCCACCCCCACCCCCACGCCCAGACCTCCCCACCTGGGTCTACATGACCGGAGCAGCTAGCATCGGCCTCGCCCTCATCGCAGTATGGACCGCGCCAAACCCCTGGGCGCTCAAGGAGGAGCAAGCGTCCGAGGGGGGGATCAATCCGCAACGCTGGACTGCGTTGAAACTTGTTGGTAGCGAGTTGGCCACCACCACGCAGCAGCGAGAGGGCGGGGAAGCACCAACGAGCGGGGATGGGCAGCACAAGCTTCTCACCTTGCAACTCCCCACGACCCCGACCAGCAGCAGCAGCAGCTCCGTGGAGCAGGCGAAGCTACGCATCTCCTCTCTCTCCGTTAAACAACCAGACATCATGATCGAACGAGCCTACACGCCCCTCTTTTCCCCCTCTTCCCGCGCGGTTCAAGAGGGAGGGAAGGTACAGCTCCTCGTCAAGCGATACGCCGATGGAGAGATGGGGCGATATCTCCATTCGTTGCGGCCGGGAGTGAAAGGGATGGACGCGCTGGAAGTTAGAGGTTGGTTGGATACGTGGAGTTGGAAGGGGGAAGAGCCGCCAAAGGAGATATTGATGGTGCGTTCCATCGAGGGACTGTTCCGTGCGCTGGCGTAATGTCATTGCCCGTCCCCTTCGAACACAGTCTGATGATAGCCCCACCCCTCCGTCTCCCCTTCGTTTCCACTTCAAATCGCGCACAGATAGTAGGAGGTACAGGGATAGCACCGGCACACCAGCTTCTCGCCTCTTGTCTCAATAATACCCCGCCGTCCTCTTCCTCTTCCTCCCTCTCCCCCACTACCATCACCACCTCCTCCTCGACTCCAGCATCACCACGATCACCACACTTCACCCTCCTCTACGCCTGCCCGCATCCCAGCTCTCTACTGCTCCTCCCTGAACTCCAGTCCCTCGCCAACAGGCATCCGGATCGATTGAGCGTCAAGCTATTCCTTGAGGACATTCAGGAGCAGAAGGCAAGCTGGCGCCATTGGCTCCCTTTCAGCGGAGGAGGGAGGAAGCGTATCGCCGGATTCGAGGCTAGGTCTGGACGGATTGAAGCGCGCGATATCAAGGAGGCTTTACAGAGCCGGGGCAGTGCGGGGCAGGAGATCAAGGGGGATCAGGACAAAAGGAGGAGGAGGAGCAGCAGCAGCAGCAGCAGCAGTAGGGCCATCCTGGTCTGTGGGCCCGAGGGAATGGTGGAGGCTATCGCTGGTCCACGACCCCGGGAGATCATGGATGAGCATGGTCGGATGAGACGTGCGGAACGACGGGAGGGGTTGGGTGGCTTGTTGGGTGCGATTGAAGGCGTGGAGGAGGGAGAGGTTGCGCGTCTGTGATTGCGCTGCGGGATGAGCACACGAGTAGAATTGCATCGCATTTGCTTTTGCTCGCTGACTGACGATCTTGAATTCTCGGTATTCCCAATTTCGCCACTTCTACGCTTCGCCTCGCCTCGCCCTCAAAACCCACCTCCCATACCACCAAAAGCCATCCCTCCCCCCATAGCCCCCAACATCCCACCCCAATGCGGCGTGCCCTTGAGGTAAGGCTCGTTCTGTAACCTCACCTGCCAACCTTGAAGAATCACCGCCATGTGCTTGGTCGCCTCTGTCACCTTGTCACTATCAGCATCACCAGCCTCGTCATCCGTACGAACGAGGAGCTGTACCTCTTGCCCAGCTCCAGCGAGCAACATCGCATCCTCGGCGCTGAGTGCCCCCCTCTTTCGACTGGCTGCCCTCTTCAACTCGGCCATCATGAATTGAGGGAAAAGCCCGATGAGCTGTATAGTGGGCCTCTTCCTCGGGTCGCGTCGAGCAGCCGATGGTCGTGAACTGAACCCCGCGTTGGATAACATGGCTCCCTGTCTCTCTAGACAGGCGATGATACGATCCAAGGTACGTTGTGCGTGACGTGAAGGAGGGGAGAGACGGGCTAATAGCTCTGCAGGCGTCTCGCGATGGGAAGGGTGAAGTGTTGGGTTCTGAGACCAGAAAGCGTCCACTTCCTCTTGTGTAGGGGAGGGGGTATCCTCCCCGCTATGCTGCTCGGCATTGCGACGATCTTCCTCCTCCTCCTGCTGCTCCGTATCGGGGTCATCACCACGATCCACCCACCACGCAGGGGCCGTAAGTGTTACGCTTGCCCAATGCATCCCTACTTTTGCTCCTCCGTCATCTTTTTCGCGAAGGGAGGGATGACAGGAGAGGACGCGGGAGGCAGGGAAGACGGAGAAGTTTTCGCGGAGATCCATGGCTTTGTAGAGGGCGGCGAATATAATTGCGAGGCGGGGACGATTACGGATGCCGGTTACTTCGGCCAGCTGTGCGCGAGCGAGGGAGAGCAGGGTGAGGAGGAGCAGCAGCAGCAGGTTAGCCATGCCGCTCTCTTTGCTCAATTTCTTGTAGCTGTGGCAGAAGTAGACCAGCCGAGACTCGAGCGAGGGAGCAAGGGCATGCACACGCGCACGCAGATACGCACCTGCAACTCCCACAGTGTAGCTATGCGCCTACTGGTGGGGACCTCCTTGATCCTCTGCTCCACCTCGTCGACCGAAGAGGCTTCTGGCGCGTACTGCCAGGCGAATCTAGCGTCTCGCACTGGTATCTGGCATTGGAGTCTCTTGCGCAGGGAGGAGAGGGGGTTGGGCAGTCGTCCTGTCGAGGCTTGACCGCGTGTCTGAGTAGAGGGGAAGCCGACTGCGGGCGGGAGGTGGGGAGCGAGCGAGCCGCGAGGATAAGGAGAGAGAGAGGGGATTTTTCAGTGACGAAGCGCTGGGCGATGAAAAGCACACCACGCGCACGCACCTCTGGTCAGACGCTCAGCGTTGGGTGGGCTTCGGTCGTAGTTACTGTACAGGCTGACGTGGATGGGGCCTACGTCTCCGGCCTGGTAGGAGGAGAGGGACGAATCGAGGACGGGCACGTCGACGAGGGTGTCGGTCGTCGAGTAGAGGGAGGCGCTGTCCGTCATTGTGTGTCAGAAAGGGTGAAGATGCTGATGCTCAAGATGAGATAGATGGGGGAAAGGAGTAACTGGGAGCTGACTGGAGCAGTTGCGATGCGGTGCGGGGTAGATGTGTGTGACTCTGGTTCGCCTTCGCACTAGCGCCTCGTCTTGACGTTGGCCTGCATCTCGCTCCAATCTCGATAGGCTGGCTCAATCTCCCTCAGCCTCCTCAACGTGGGGAGTCGCCGCACCGGCCTCTTCTTTTTGCCTTTGCCGTCGCCCGCCCTGTTTCATCTCCCGCCCTGCGTCCGGCCGTAGGCGCCGTCGTGTGGGTGCTGAGAAATCGCGAAGGCCGTGCGAGCGGCAAGCGGCAAGAAAGTGGGTCCATGGAGAGAGGAGAGCCATTGGATGACCAAAGACGACGAGGTAGACGATCACAAGGGCAACGAAGACGACGTAAGTAGGCGGCAAGTATTCGTCAGCTCGTGTCTTCCTCTCCTTCTCATCACCACCACGCACGCACGCACCTACCCACCCACGCAGCCATGCCCTCCTCTCACGACGAAGCATCGCAGCCACTCCTCCCCTCCTCCTCCTCGCCAGACCAGCCACAAGCAGACGACACCTCGTCAAGCATGGTAGCTTACAAACGCCACGCCCTCCTCTCCCCACCTGCCCTCCTCGCCCAAGCCTCCTCGCTCGTATTCCTTGTCCTAGTCTGGACCCTAGTCTTCGAAAAATTGCCCGGCTCTTTGTTCAATGGCCTGCCACTCTTTGGTTACCACCCTTTACTGCAGAGCCTGACCCTCCTACTATTAGCGCAAAGCGTTCTAGGCCTCCAACCTACAAGCCAGGCCCGCCCGCAGGAGAAACGCGCTGCATTCCAAGTGCATCAGCTGGTGAACATCTTAGTCCTCGTAGCCATTACGGTCGGGTCGGCTATCATGTTTTACCTGCATCATCCGGCTGGCCACTGGCAGAGCTGGCACGGAGTACTAGGCGCCGCCTTGACCGTGTGGCTTTGGCTTCAGGCGGTGCTGGGTGCTGCGAGCGTGTGGGGTGGGGGTAAAGCGCTTGGTGGTGAGGCCAAGGCTAAGGGGTGGTGGAAGTGGCATCGACTGAGCGGGTATGTGCTGTTGCCGCTCTTCATCTTGTGAGTTTGTGCGGGCGTGCGTGGCGCTCAGTTGATACGCGGAGAGCTGACAGCAATTGATCCTCTCGCACAAAGCAACCTGTTCCTCGGCGCAACGCAGACTACTTGGGCGCAGGGTAATGCCTCTCAGGCGCATCATGTAGCCGTGGGTGTGGCATTGGTGGGCGTGGCCGTCTTTGGGGCTGTGAGGGTGCAGGCGGGCAAGTTGCCTAAGCTCACGAGTGGGTAGAAGGGAGTGGTGCGAAACACGCTGGTGTGTATATATATGATTCACGATGCGATGCCACGATCTTTGCAATGCTCTATACGATCACGACGATGAGGCTCAGGCTGAGGCTGAGTGCACAGGCTGAGAGATGCTGATCTGAGCGCCGCCACCTCGAGCGCCCGTCGGACTGAGGCCACTTTCTGTCAGAGGCGGACTGAGAAGCCAAGCGGGCGCGAGCAGCCAAGGCGAGTCGTTTGGACCTTTTGCCTCGAAATTCTTGACTTTCGACCATCATCGACTGGATCCGCCTAGCATGGCCACCTATACACCGGGCATCGCCCCCATCAAGGCCGAGTACATTATACACAACCATCGAGAGGCAGCCCAAAGAGCTGCACCAATCGACGATGATGCCGCCGAGTCGCATACAGGGCCGGACCCCGCCGCCGGTCCATCCAATGGGGCAAAGAGGCCCGCTTCTCCCTCATCCCCTACGCCAGCAGATGGGAGCGTAGCTCTCGAGGAGAATGGGCATCTCAACGGCGGCGAAGCACCCGCCAAGCTCAAGGGCGGAGCGAGAAAGAAGGCAAAGAAGGCTGAAATGGCTGCCGCCAAGGCTGCAGGCAAGTCGGGGGGCGGTGGAGGGCAGAACAAGAATCGCAAATTCAATACTATGAGGGACGAATTCGCCGTCTGTAACGCCTTTGCTGAGAGGCGCGCATGTCCCAATGGAGAAAGGTGAGCACACGCGGCGCGATGCAACGAGAGGCGCAGTCTGTTCTGACCCACGATCATCTTGACACCCGCCCCCAGCTGCAAGTGGTCGCACGACATCGATGCGTACCTCGCGTCCAAGGAGGGCGACGTATTCCTTCCTTCGCCCCCTTCTCTCCCCTCTTCCTCCTCAAACCCTGCCCTGTCGTACGGCTCTCTCCACCACCTCAGCGATGCGGAACGCACCGCCTACCTCGATGAGTGGTACAGTACGTCAGCCCCCTTTGTCACTTGGTCGCGACAAGCACCCGCAACGATGACGACCTGCCCACTCTACCACTCCACCTCAACGCGCCAGCTCTGGTCCGCAACAGCGCCCGCGACCCCCTTTTGTCCGTTTGGGTTCCGCTGCCGGTTCCTCTCCTCGCACGTCGTCGCAGGGGAAGGGGAAGAGAATGGCCGTGCGCTGCCGTGGGGGACCGAGGAAGGCGACATGGCTAGAAGGCTAGGCGATGAGAGCAATTATGCTCGCCCGACCCTGTTCAAGGAGTTGAGGCTGGCAAAAAAGAACCAGAACAGGAAGGACGCCTGGCCGCTGACGTGGGCCATCCAGGCTGCGCTGGAGCGGGAGGATAGGGAGTATCAGAGGACGGGAGTGGATGGCAAGGGGAAGTTAGAGCTTGACCCGCCAGCAGCGCCCGCTCACACCGCCGCAGCGGAGGAGGAAGACCTCGACGCCCTAGCCAACGGCTCCACCTCGTCCCGCCTGATGGATGCCGCAACTTCTCAATCCTCCTCCTCGGTGGACCGTGCCCGCACCCGTCGCTCCGAAAAGCGTCGCCTCAACTGGCATCACCACCCTCTCTACCTCGCCCCACTCACCACAGTCGGCAACCTCCCCTTTCGCCGTCTCTGCACGACGTACGGCGCGGATATTACCTGCGGGGAAATGGGCCTCGCTTCCTCCTACCTCGACGGGGTCAAGTCCGAATGGTCCCTCCCGCGGCGTTGGGAGGGCGAAAAGACGTTTGGCGTGCAGCTCTGTGGCTCCAAGCCCGAGTTGCTCGTGCCTACGGCAGAAGTAATGGCGCGAGAGTTTGGAGAAGGGCTAGACTTTGTAGATATCAACTGCGGCTGTCCAATTGACCTCGTCTTCAAGCAGGGAGCAGGTTCCGCTTTGCTGGACCACCCGCGCAAGCTCGGCCGCATCGTACGCGGGATGGATGTGGCCCTCGGCGAGGTACCAGTGACTGTCAAGCTTCGTACGGGGATTACGGAGAAGCGGACCAGCCACGCGAGGATCTTGCCCCGCGTCCAGACCGAGTGGGGCGCTGCGGCTGTCACGATGCACGGGCGATCCCGCAAGCAGCGCTACAGTAAGCGTGCGGACTGGGATTACATCAAGGAGTGTGCGCACGAGTTGAGGGAGAGTGTGAGGGTGTGGAACGAGGAGAGTAGACATGCCGATGAGGAGGAGATGCAGCCTATTCCCGTGAGTGCGCGGGCGCGCGCCGTGCCGTAAGGAGCGATCATCGGGTGCCCCCCCCCCCCCCCCCCTCTTTCTATTTTTTCTCACCCCTTCACTCCACCCAGGTCATCGGCAACGGTGACGTCTACTCTCAATCCGAGTACTACGCCAACCTCTCCTCCACAGGAGTCGACGTCGAGATGCTCGCACGAGGCGCCCTCATCAAACCGTGGCTCTTCACCGAAATCCAAGAACGACGCGACTGGGACATCTCTTCGCGGGAGCGATTGGACATGGTAAGGCAATACTGCCAATACGGTCTGACCCACTGGGGAAGCGATACGCAGGGAGTCAACACGACGCGACGCTTCGTCTGTGAAGCTATGAGCTTTTGGCATCGATACATCCCTCTCGGCTTGTTGGAGTACGGGCCGGGTGGACAGCCTAGTATGAATGATCGACCACCCCCCTACAAGGGGAGGGATGACTTGGAGACTTTGCTTGCGAGTGGGAATGTGGAGGATTGGGTGCGTATTAGTGAGATGTTTCTGGGTAAGGCGCCGGAGGAGTGGAGATTTACGCCTAAGCATAAGAGTAATAGTTATGCGAAGTCGGGCGAGGAGGGGGAGGGGGGGGAGGGGGAGGGGTAGATGCGAAGGGCGTAAAGGGAATGGAAATTTGATTTGGTACAGTGGCGAGCGAGCCAGCGAGAGAGAGAGAAGAGACACGCGGAGCACCCCAGCCTATCGCCAGGGGTACTGGCTCTTGTACGCCACGCGCGGCGTGCTCGCCGAGTGGAGACCGACGTGCGTCCAGTCGCTCCCCTCGCTACTACCACTCGCGGCTTCACCGCCTTGCCAGCCAGGCGCGGGTTCGGGGACACGCATAGACGCGAGAGAGCGACCTTGCTGATACGGTAGAGGCTGCTTGGCTGAGGGACCGAGAGAGGGCGCACCGGCCACGCTCGACCATGTAGGAGGGGGAGTCCCATCCCGTCGGGTAATGGCAGGAAGGGTCGTCGCATTCCTCCCTTCTAGGTCGAGCTCCCCTCGCCTATTAACGGGCGGGCCGACGCTTCCAATTACCCTCACTTGTGGACTCTTTGCCTCCTCATCCAGGTACGCGTGTGGTTCCTCTCCATAATCCCCAATGTTATCATGGTTCCGCTCCCCGGCCAGCTCCGCGCGCCGCAGCTCAGCAGCACCGCGATGTGCTACGAAGAGGAAGTAGAGCGCCACGATGTGATACAGGACGACGGTGCCTAGGAAGAGGGTGATGAAGAGCTTGAAGCTCCCGTGACATTCCTTGTGGACTAGGCCGCGCAGCATGCCGTCGTCCAGCGAGGCTGACGCGGTTCCACTCATGTTGGGGTGTCCCTCTTGGTCCTGGCTCCGGAGAAGACCAATCTGTCGCGTCACACAACGAGCGACACGTTGCTCCGGATGAGAGAGGAGGGATCTCAGTCCGAACCCCAAACCAATAGCAAGTCCCACAACCCAATGAACATGCAACACCGTCGCGTACACCTTCACCAGCACCCCCTTTCTCGTCAAGGCTCCAGCGAACCCAAGAACCGAACAAGAGGCTACGGTGATATGTGCCGCGAGTAGACCACCTAGGGCGGCGCGTAGCCCTGGGGAGGAGGAGGAGAGGAGCAAAGCTGCACTGCGTGGGCGGGTTGTGGTGAGGATGAGGAGGGAGGAGGCGAGGCTGGAGAGGAGGCAGGTGAGGGGGGTGAGGAGGAGAAGACCTGTGCGGGGGGGGATGATGAGAAGGCAGGTCGCGGAGGAGGAGGAGGAGAAGGAGGAGGAGGAGTGGGGGGATTTGCTGGGATAGGAGGACATGCTGCGAGGGTTGGTAAGGGGTGATCGGGTGGGGAGATGGGACGACGACGACGACGAGCCTGCGTCGTGTTTGTTGGAGTGAAGGGACAAGCACACTTGTAGCCAGTACAGTGTTGCTTGGAAGAGGCGGTGGTGATCGAAGTGGTGAAGAGGTGAAGGGATTTCAAGGGGCTGAGGGGTGCCTATTTGTATACGGTCCTGACTCGGCACTTGCTTGTATTTGATCCCCTCCTTCAGCGCCTGAGTTTGACCTCATCGTCGTGTGTGTTGCTGCTTTGCGTGCTTGCGCCCACGCAGCGCAGAGGGCACGAGCTAAAGGCGTCGCGACGACAAAGGCAAGTGGGTGACGGCGAGTCTGCGCACAGCATCAGTAGAAGCGCAGCGCACGAGGTGCAACGTGCGGCGTGCCATAGGCGGCAAGATCGAGAGAGGGTGAAGGGACGAAAGAGGCATAGCCGTAGCTGCGTTTGGGTCGTTGGCAATATTTGGAATCAGCAATAGCATCAGCAGCATCACTCCTTCACTGAGCGTTGCTGTTCGGCCACGAAAAGAGGTACCGGCGCCACGTGTCACTTGTACTACGATGCGATTCTTGCGCGGATAGTTCTATTCCTCCTCCTCATGCCGAACCGGCCTTAACTCTCACCGCGTCACTTCGTTTGCTTTGCTCCTCACTTCCTCGCACCCCTCCTCTCAACCCAATCCCTCACCTTGCGCTCCATCCCCCAAGCCGCCTCCCCTGTCCCTCCTCCTCCCCCAGCACCACCACCATACCTCCCACTACGCCAGCCCTGCAACGTCCCCACGATCTCCTTGACCGCCTCCTCCTTCTCGCCCAAGTCGATCTGGAAGCTGCCCGCAGCAGGGTGCGACCCGTGCAACAGGGCCTCGAGCTCAGCCTCGCTCGGCAGGGGATGGAAGGCATTGAACGCCGGCTCCCAACCAAGGGGACCGATACCGCGGAGCATTTCAGCTTGGGCAGCCTGCGTTTTCCTATCCGTCGGGGCGCGCGGAATAGCAGTCATCTCTGGCGGGCTGAGCGCCAGTCCTGCTTTACTCAAGGGTCCAAAGAACTTCTCGCCAAGCTCTGCGTCGTTTACTTCCCCTACACTTCCGGGAGACCAAGGTGCGCGTCCTTCTCTTCGCTTCTTGGTCGCTGGGTCCTTTGTGAGAACGTGGTGTACCCCTTCGTAGAAATCTCGGCCAAGGGAGAGGTCGCAGAAGGCTGTGGCGAGGCGCATGTCGAAGCGGAAGGACTCGTCTATGCTGAGGTTGCGGGCTTCGTGGCGAATGGCTTGGTAGGAGACTTTCAGGGAGCGCGGGGATTTGCTGTGGAGGGTGGTGAGAGTCTTTTGTGCCCAGGAGATGATGGTGGGAGAATGCGGGATGTTGTAGTGCTCTTGGAGCTCGGTGGAGGCTTGTGAGGTGGGGTTGGACAGCTCTTCGAGCGAGGCGAATATGTCCTCCACTCGCGTCTGACCGAACACGTAGTCTACCACGCCCCTGAGCTGACCGAGGAAGGCAGTCTTGTCTGCGAGGTCCGGCTTGGCATTATTTTCGAATGGGTCGACGGTGAAATCGTCGATCGTCGAGGCGACTTGTCTGCCCGTCGCGCCGGGGCCCAGGGCAGCGAGTGCTTCGGTGAGGCCAGGTAGGGAGGAGGAGGGGACGTAATGCGTTGCGAGGCCGACGAGGTAGGCTTCCTCTCCCGTGATGCGGTCGCCTGTCAGACCGAGGTAGGTACCGATGGCTCCGTCCAGGCGAGAGAGGACGCGCGTGACGCCCACGTCGGGGAAGTAGCCGATGCCTGGCGTGCGGCGTGGAGGGAGAAGCAGGTCAGCCAGATCCACTGCCAGTGCGAATCAGATCCACTGCCAGTGCGAAAGGCGCCGTACGCACCCGTCTCCGGCATAGCGAACATAGTGCGCTCAGTCGCCACCCTGAAAGGTGCATGAACGCTCAAACCAACTCCGCCCCCCATGGTGATCCCATCCATGTAAGCAACAAACGGCCTAGCCTCTCCTTCACTTCCCCCACCCGCCGTCGTAACCTCTTCGCAAAGCTTAGCGATTCGCCAGTCGACCTCAAATTCCTCTTTAAAGAAGCTCAGAGCCCCCTCCCTCTCTTTCGCATCGCTCGCATTGGCCATGTTGACCACTTTGAGCACATCGCCGCCAGAGCAGAGGCCGCGAGCAGTGGGCGTGGGACGTAATAGGATGAGCGAGTAGTTCCGGGCATGAGAGGCCTCATCGAGGGCGCCGGCTATTCCTCGTATCATTTCGCTATCCAGCGCATTGATTGCCTTTTCCCGGTTCAGGACAATCTCGTAGATGGCGCCCTGCTGTCCTATCAGAACCTGCGGGTGCGGGTGCGGGTGCGAGTGCGCGTGCGTGAGAGATGGTCAGCAGAGGGATTGATCAGGCATATATGCTTCCCGCACGCACTTTTGGCTCATCTCCTCCCGCTCCTCCCCCAGTATGGGGCTGCGGCAGACCCGGAGCAGGGCTATTGGAAGTGGCCGATGACATGCTGCGGCGTTGCGGCGGTGGTGGTGCCAAATGAGAAGCAAGCTGTGCTGATCGACGCGCAGGGCCGGATAAGGGAGGCATTGCGGTGCGACACGAAGTGTGACTTGCGGCGGTACAGGGCGCGGCTTTGATACTAGGGCGGAAGCGCAGGGGTAGCGATGGAGCTAGTAGAGTGCGTTGTGTGGCTCGCAAGCTGGTGGCCCTCATTGCCCTGGCTGAATTGTAGTTTGTGCGTTGGTAAACGTTGCAACTTAAGGCGCCGAGTCGAGTCCGTGCGAGCGTCAATTGTGGGGAAGCCCGGTGGGCCGGCCCATGATGCTCGCGTGGCGCTGGGTTCTTCGGCCGAGGCTCCTCTCCTCTCGCCTCGCCTCGTCTCGTCTCGTCGCCGATTCGCCCCGTTGGATGCCCGCGTGGCGGCGTAAGTTACTCTCGACCCGCCCTGAACTCGACTCGACGACTCGATTGCCAATCGGCTCAACGTTGCCGTCAGTCGGCGCGAGCTGCAACACTCAACTGCGACTTCTCCTCCCGTCATCACCGTACCTCATCTTCCCCCGCACATCACACACCACAACAGCAAACACACAACCACCATGGTTCTCGGAACGGACGGCCTCTCTCTTGCGAGGTACATCTCGCAGTCTCCCGTCCTCATGCGCTTCATCCGCCCAGTGGCGAATGCGTACGCTAGGGCGGCGGGTTACAGGCAGTTGGGGTTGAAGTACGATGATTTGATCATCGAGGAGAACAAGACTGTGCAGAAGGTGAGTTGCGTGCGCGTGTGCATGGGCGTGGAGGGGACGTTGAGCGTGGAATCATGCGGGAGGGGGCAGTCATGATGGCAAGGGCTGGAGAGGTGGTAATGATACGGAGAGGGTCGGGTGTGAGTCGAGCGAGAGGCCGGCAAGTGACTATATGCTACGCCTGGCGGCTACGACCAGCAGCGCGAGCCGGCGGGAAGTCATGACGGCATGGCTTGCGAAGTCGTGGAGACTTGCGTCTGGAAAGGATCGCTGCTTGGGACAGACGGTTCCCTCAGCAGGGCAACTTCGACCTACTCCTCTCTCTGTCACCGCGGGCGGATCGCTGACCCTTCCCCCTTCGTCCTCGCACCAGGCAATCTCCCGTATGGGCGAGCGCGAGTCATACGACCGTGCCTTCCGCTTGCGCCAAGCGGTCCAGCAGTCGATCCTGCATCGCGACCTGCCCAAGGACAAGTGGGTCACCAAGGAGGAGGTGAGTCGGCGCGCCATCCACCCAAGCCCTCGTTTCCCCCTCCCTGCTGACTCTTGCGCTTCACCCTCTCGCCTCGCCTCGCCTCGCCTCGACAGGACATCCGCTACCTCACGCCCTACATCAAGGAGATCAGCGACGAGGAGGCGGAGCGATCCGCTTGGGACACGATCAAGGTCAAGAAGGGGGGACACTAGATGGGAGTCAAGAGTAGGTGGTGTGCCGGCATGGAGGTATCGAGGGGAGAGTGTCAATACGATGACGTACTTTACAAGAATCTGACAGGATGACGTAGCCGCGACGCCGCGACTCGCAAAAAGGCGAGGGGAAACATGGCCCAATGCCGGATGGATGGGAATTTGAAGGACACAGAAGGATTGGATAGATTGGCGGGTCGTGCATGCATTTCCTCATCTCAACGTCACGTTCAAACATCCCGTCCCGGTAGTCGTTGAGCAGCCGCGCCCCCCGCCGCCGCCGCCGCCGTACCCGCCGCACGACTACCGATCTCTCCCCACCCCTTTTCCCTGCCTCTCTGATGATGTTGAGTCTTCTGCTCGCCATCCGCTCCTCCCGCATTGGCCTGCCATCGATCGATGAGGCTCGCGACACTACGATAGCGTGCAGCGGCCGTCTGCTCGGGGCTCTGCTCCGCTCCTGCGCCTCCGCCTGGGGTAGGTGTAGGTGTGGGCGAGGAGGAGCTGGAGACGGATTTGATGACGTCGTCGGCGTGGCGCAGCCTTGAGGGTGGAGAGGCGACACTGGGCTGGAGAGGTGGTGGTGAGGGAGAGTCGGATCGACCAGCAGAGACGAATCGGGCAAGAGCGGCTTCACGCTCGAGGGCTTCACGCTCCCATGGTTTGAGCGGAGCAGGGGGCAGCGCTTGTGCTGGCGAGGCTGACAATGCAGGCTCGAGCTTCTCGCCATCGTTGTCATCCGTCCCGTCACGCGCTCCCCATGCAGGCTTGTTCCCCTTCGCCAGTCCGGGCAAAGCGATGGGCGCTTGCAAGCCTGTCCCTGTCCCACTTCTCGCTCCCGTCTGACCCCCTGTCCCCGCTGAACCATACCCATTACGCAGCGCCGTACCACTCCTCTGCGCCTTGGGCTGCGACTGTTGATGTTGAATCGCCCCACCCATCCTCTCCCACCGACTGGCCATATTGCTCGCCGTGCCCTTGGCGTAGGCCGGGTGTCCTCCCACCAGGTGGGTATTCGCGTTCGCATTTTCTTCTAAAGCGGCGGTGAGATGGGCATCGGCGTTTGCATCAGTGGAAGGAGAGGCGACTCGTGGCGTCGGCATCGTTGGAACGCTCTCGTCCGACATAGGAGGGAGAGGAGAGGTGCCCGCCTCCCTGTAGTCGCGGAGGGGTTGGGCGCGAGAGGGAAGCAGATTGGCGGGTGATGGGGCGGGACCGGGGGAGAGCGATTGGGGCGTGGCTCCTAGTGCTGGTCCTGGAGAGGGAGAAAGCCGCGCTATGGGCTCGAGCTTGGGAAGGGAGGCTGTTTCTGTTTGCCCCACGGGCTTCTCCTGCCCCTCTTCGCCGTTGCCCCTACCACCCTCTGCGGTTACCCTTGGCGACAAGACTGCCATGGGACTCCTCGCCCCACTCTCCCTCCCTCCCACGGCCTCCTTACTCGGCGATCCAAGCGGTACCGCCAGCTTGAAGTCGCGCACTTCATCCTCGTCCTCTCCGTCCCACGCCCAGGCAGGGGCTCGTTGTGCGGCCGACGTCGAGATGGACGAGGCACTCTCCTGCGCCGGCGCTGGCGCGGGAGCGTCCGGCGAGCTCGAGGACGCGGGTTGAGAGGACGATGAAAAGTCGATGAGAGGCTTCGTTGGTACGTCTGCTTTGTTGGCGTCATCCAGCGGCGTTGCTGCTGAATTGGCCGTCTCAGCACGGGCGTGGGGTGGACGAGACTCCTCCAACCAGCTGGGAGCGACAATTTTACCGATCTTGCCCTCTTGCGAGGCTGCCGGCTTCGTCGTGGCGGAAGAAGAGGACCCTGGCTCTGACGGCTTTGCTGCTCCTCCTCTCCTCCCCATCTCGTCCCCATCGCCGCGCGAGTACTCAGCCCAGCGTCGACGCACGCTTCCACTCGCTACGGCGTCTTCCGGTCCTTCGTCTTCTTCCTCCTCGTCTTCCTGCTCCCCCTCGTCTTGGCCATTCATCCCACCAGCATTCTTTCCACTTTCAGCGCCGCCGCCAGCCCGCGCTGCGCTGCCATTTCCCATCCCCGCCGCGGCCCCCGGCGCAGGCAAGGAAGGCTTGCGTTGTGCTGAGGGAGGGGAGGGCACCGGCTTGCTCTTGATAGACCCGAAGCGCTGTGCAGCTCCCGGTCCCGCTCGCGGTGCTGTCGCTGCGTCTTCTCTGCCCCCCGAATCGATCGTCGACGCTCGGCTGCTTGCCGTGCTATTGATCGAGACCCAGCCGGCAGGTTTGCGAGGGGGGAGGGTTGGAGTAGGGCGAGAAGAGGACGAGGTCGAGGGGGACAGTGGCCCGTTCTCCTTGGAAGTAGAGGTGGGCCCACTGCTAGTCGATGAAGGGCCACCACAATACCTGCTAGCCATCGATGCCACCACCCCCGTCGGCCCACCAATAGCAGCAGAAGAAGACGAGGGGCGAGACTCGCTCGCGCTGCTCTCCTTTGCTGCCATGACATCTTTCTTCTCGGGAAATCTACGATCCAACTCTTCTAGGCTCGGGTAACGTCCCTCTGCAGACGTGTCCGCCTTCTCTACTGGTGGCTCTGACTCCACCGCTCCTACTGCAACGAGCGTCCCCGTCTTGGGATGCGGCACGGCCACAGGGCCTTGCCTTGTCGCGGAGGCGGGAGGTGGGCTCATGTTGCCCGATGCTGCGGCTACTGCTGCCTGGTCTGCTTCAGAAGGAGGAGAAGAAGAAGCGGGAGGAGCCGGTGGAGGGGAGAAGGAGTCGCCGAAGCCGAACCGGGAGCCGGAGCCGGGAGCTTGGCCTTGCTGCTGCGTAGTCGACGATGAAGGAGGAGGTGGTGAAGGGAATGCAGATGGCGGCTGCGGCGACGTGGTACCGGATCGTGGCTGAGGCGGTGCTTGTAGCTTAGCGAGCGGGCTGCTAGGCACTGGCGCCGGCGTTGGCGTCGGCTTGGCCTTATTATCCTGCCCCGGCCTGCCACGTCGCATGCGCTCTATCCCTTCCAACTTCATTAGACGCTCCGTCTCGTCTGCCTTGCTCGTGGCGTTGGACTTGGGGGCCTCAAAGGAGATGAGGTCTGGGCGCTGACGAGTCGAGGAGCGGACAGCCATGGATGCAGGGCGACTGCGGTTCGATGATTCGCTGCTGCCGAAAGGCGCAGTCTCGGCGCGACGACTTGACGCGATTTTGACCAACACCTCATCATCGAGCGCTCGCGCTGAAGAGGGCGCCGCAGTTTGAGTGGGCAGAGGCTGGACCTGCTGCCCCTTTGCGGCCTGCTGGGCATAGTGCATCGCACTTGCGGGTGGTTTGGTGCCCAATAGCGCATGAACCTTGATGATCAGCTGATCAATGCTGGGTCTCCTGGCCGCCGGGTCGACGAGGAGCGAAGCGATCAATCCTTTGATCCGATCCGAGTAAGGCGGATTGGAAGGGAAACGGTATTTCACGTTGAGGATGGCGAGTGGCCCACCACCATTCTCCTCGAATGGCGTCGTGTAGTAGCAGAGCTTGTAGAGGAGTACGCCCATTGCCCATATGTCGGCCTTTTCATCTATCACGCGGCGTTGATAGACATCGACCATCTCTGGCGGGCGATACGGCAGTGTGGTGCTCTTGTTCAGGTCGGCCTCGAGTCGCTTGAGCTCTTCGATGGAGCGCGGTGCGCGGCGTGAGAGGATGGGCTTTGCGCTTCCAAAATCGCACAACTTGTAGGTGGGCTTGCCCCCCGGGGTGGTAGGGGCTACGATGAGTATATTCTCTATCTTGAGGTCTCGGTGAGCGACGGGCGGGTCGAGATGATGCATCGCTGCGAGGCCTTTGCAGACGTCGAGGAATATGTGCAAGACTTCGTTCTCGCTGAGCCGGTTGCGCAAGCGCGTGTTGAGGAGGTCGAGGAGCCCCCCGCCGGAGCAGTACTCCATGAGAATGTAGACGTCATAGCCCGTCTGGGGTGGGGGTAGGCAGAGGGCTGATGCTTCGAGAAAGTGGACAACGGCTGCGTCTGATCGGAGGAGTTTCTGTGTGTGTGCGCCGTTTGAGGGTGATGAGCTTTCTCCTCTCTGCCTGGCTATATGCAGCCCTCCCTCTCTCACACGCCTAACTCACATGCACATCGACCTCTCTGCGAACATCAGCGAGAGCTTCCTTGTCCGGCACGACGATGCGCTTCAAGACGTGAAGCGTCTCGTTGCGAGACGTACCGTGCAGCGTAGGGATGGGGAGTGGTCGATCCGAGTTGACAAGGTAGACTGTTGCGAAGCCACCCTGCGAAAGGTACCGTTTGACGGATACGGTGTAGGGGCCCACTTGGACCAGCGTTCCGGGCGGGAGGGAGCCTGGTGGGCCTGACGACGGAGGATGGAGAGGGGGACCGGCCTGCCGTGATGACATGGTGACGGCGGGCGGTTGAGGAGGGGCCAGAGGAGGTGGAACGAACAGGAACAGGAACAAGTGGTGCGAGTGCCGCGGATCGCGGGTCGGTGAGCGAATCGACACACTCTCTCCTGTCTAGGCGCAGAGTGGAGTCGAGAGTTGGTTGGCGTGGCGCGGCGTGGCGCGGCCGGGCGGGGCGAGACAAAGGCGGACAGAGACAAGCGTGCGTGTGTGCAGGCAGGCGGGGCGGCGAGTCGACATCGCGTGCACTGAAACGCACGCACGGCCACACACACGCACGACGGCGATCTTAATTCTCCTAACCACCACAGCAACCATTCGCGAGCAAATGGCCGCGCCAGGCCACGGCAACGTTGGCGGCGATGACAACGCAGTGACAGTACCAACGCCCCGCTCCCCACCTTCTCCCTCTCCCTCGTCATCATTCACCCATCGCTCCTCGCCATCCCACATCCGCCTCCATGTGACGCATCGCCAAGACGACGGCGAAGATGGCGAGGATGGCGAGGAGGACCAAGAGGAGGACGGCATCCCAACATACCGAGATGACCCGCAAGATCGTGGCAGCATGAGTGCTGCGAGCGACGAGATTGACGACGATGACAGTGACGCGAGGGACAGCCTCCTGGCTCGCCGCCGCATAACCGTCGCAAAGGACGACGATGACTCGGATACCGACACGGAAGACGAGAATGACGATGCGCACCATCGCCGCCGCCCAGACTCGTATATGCATACACTCCGCCCCTCCCGTGAGCGACGTCGTTCATGGTGGGCATCCCTGACTGCCTCCAAGGTATCGGGCTCCTCCCTCTCCATCCCGCACGTAACCATCAACCTCTTTGCGGCCAGCCTTCACCCGGCCGTACTGCTCAGCACGCCATTCTACTTTTCGCGGACGGACATCGGGCCAGGAATTGCTGGCTTGGTATTGGTGGGAGTTCTGGGCGGAGTAGGGGGAGGACTGTGGGTCGTCCTCTCGCGCTACGTGGGCGGGTCGACACTCGAAGCAATAACGGCCGCCTCCATCGGTGGACGAACCTCACCGCGACGTTCTCAGCTGGGTCGACTGCTGGCTGCGGGCCTTCTCGCCGTCTACTCGACGGGATCGGCTCTCGTGGCACATCTGGCTTTGGTGGATATCCTCCTCCAAGCCTCGCTGCCTTACCTCCCTCGCACGCTCAAGCAGGAAAGTCGCGCCATCCTCACCTTCATCGCCGCCGCAATCGTCACAGCACCGCTCGTGCTGATTCCATTGGCGAAGCGAACCATGATCCGCCTCGCAACGGCGACGGCGCTGTGCGTGTACCCGCTCGTGCTGGCCATCCTCTTCTCGCGCGTCTTTACGGCTATTCCTCCAGCGCCAGCAACAGCTCAGCCAGCAGTGCCGCAACCCGCTCACCTCTCGCCGAGGCACAAGGCCATCTGGGCTCCCCTGTCCCTCCTCCCGCTCCTCACCCTGTCTTCGTCCCCGCTGCAGATCCTCCTGCACAACCGGTCGCTGCGACGCATGCCTTCGCAACGAAGCGCCGGTGCGCAGTCCGGGTCAAACGTAAAGGCCTTCCTTGGCTGTCAGGCGGCGCAGGTGGCCTTGGTGGTAGGGATGTCCATCGGTATTGGCGTAGGGCTGGGACGCAGGGGGATTGAGGAGCACCTCGGCAGGGAGGTGAGGCCGAATTTGTTTTCGAGCTTGTTGGGAGGCGAGGCAGAGGAGGGCGATCGCTGGATCAATGCAGCACGACTACTCTACGTGGGCCTGCTCGCTACACACTTTGCCCTCTGTCTCAGCATGGGCCGGGCCAGCTGGGCGCGTGCTGCGCGAGTCGTCGGGGTCAATCCGTTCAAGTCGCGAGGAGGAGCGCAGAATCAGGGTCAAATCCGACTCCTCGACGACGACAATGACGGCGAGACAGTCCCGCGTCGCACTACTCGCAGCACAAAGCGTTGGACCAAATTGCGTCGCACGACTCTGGGCAACACGTTGCTCTGGCTGCTCGTTTCCCTCCTCTCCTACCTCTCCGGCACAGGCGGACTGCGATTGCGCAAGCACGGGCACGAGCATGACGACGCGGCGGAAGCGCTTCGCTTCATTCGCGTGTCAGAGGTGCTTGGCCTCGTCGGGGGAAGTGTGGGCTTCGTCCTACCTGGGGTGGTGTGGGTTCTCTTGTTCTGGGTCAAGAGGCAGAGGCAGATCTTGGGAGGTGGGCGCACAGTCAAGAGGGGGGAGGGGAGGGGGAGCGCGAGCGATCCGCCCAAGTCGTGGATAGCCAAGTGGGTCAAAGCGCCGCTGAGCGTCTTGGCCAGGCGGGGAGGTACACAGTCAGCGGCAGCGCCATCGTCGTCGTCCTCGTCCTCGGCCAACCCAGTCCCGACGTGGCATCAGGAAAGCGCCCCTCTGAACGCGACCGCGGACGGGGATGCGGATGAGGAAGGGCCCAGCGAGGCGACGCGCATCCTCCTGGCGCGCAAGGAGCGTCAGCTGCAGAAGCGCACTCAGTGGCGACGCAAGTGGCAAGACGTCCTCGTTCTCGCCGCCGTGCTCCCATTCGGGGTGGCCCTCATCGTACTAGGGGCGGGTGAGCTAAGCAAGGGAGGGTACTAGGCGCGCGACGTCGTTTGTAATGACATGACGAGAGAAAATTCGATTTTGCAATGCGCGAAGAGAGAGAGAGTGAGAGAGCCTGAAAGACCTTCGATCGTTCGCGCCTCGCGCCTCGCGCCGCGCACCTCACGCTTCTCGCGCCTACTTGGCCGCAGCCTCGACCGCAGCGGCCGCCTGCTCGACAATGGCCTGTGGCTGCATCAAGTTGCTCGCCGCACTCAAAATCGCCTTGAGTCCCGCAGCGGTCACGTCTGTATCGATTCCCACACCCCAGAATCCCTTTGCCTTTTGCGGCAATCCTGTCGCCTCTCCCTCGCTCGCACCCGCATCGACGAGCTCCACATACGACGCTGCCTGGGAGCGTGTGAGCTTAACGCGCGCGTCTGGTGCACCGGCGGCTCCGATGCCTGGTCGGGTAATGGCGTGCTCCGAGTACTCGCGGATGCTGGCCTGGATGCCAAAGGCAGAGGAGAGGGCGTCACACATAGCACTGAGGGCTCCATTACCCCTTCCCGTGACCTGGGTGGGCGTCTTGCCGTCGAGAGAGACGAGACCTTCCAAACGGCGATAGCGCGGGGTTTCAGATCCGTCGCCATTGGAGGTGGCGGCGGCGGCGACACCGGGCGGGACATCGTCGGCGAGGGAGAAGGATTTGAGGGTCAAACGACCCTCGTTCTTGCCGAGGGTGAGGTGAGGGACGTGATACGTCTGGCAGAAGGCGCGCGTGATGTCCTCGGTGACCCTGTGCGGCGCGCGTGGAAGGATGTCAGCACGTCTCCGCGACAATCAATCAATCCTACATCTCGGGGCGCGCGCGCGCGCGACACGTACATCTCCTTGCTGGTGCGATCGGCCACCTCCTGAATGATGGAATAGAAGGCCATCTGCATCTTTCTCGGCAGGTCCAACCCAAGACTCTGCGCAACGAGGTATGCAATCCCACCCTTACCGCTCTGCGAGTTGACGCGAATGATGGCCTCGTAGCTGCACCCGACATCGGCCGGGTCGATGGGCAGGTAAGGGATATCCCACGTCAAGTCCCCCTTGGCCGCTCGCTCCTCCTGCGCTTTGAAGCCCTTCTTGATGGCGTCCTGATGGCTGCCGGAGAAGGCCGTGAAGACGAGCTCACCAGCATAGGGGTGACGCGGGTGAACAGCGATATCATTGCACCCGCTCACGACGTCGACGATGCCCTGCACATCGCTCAAGTCGAGTGGGCCCGGTGCGATTCCCTGCGAGTAGCAGTTGAGGGCCAGAGTCACAATGTCGACATTGCCCGTTCGCTCGCCGTTTCCAAAGAGGCAGCCTTCCACGCGGTCCGCCCCCGCGAGGAGGCCAAGCTCGACGGCAGCGACTGCGCAACCGCGATCGTTGTGCGGGTGGAGGGAGACGGTAATGTGGTCTCGGTGGGAGATGTGTGTGCAAAAGTATTCGATCATGTCTGCGTAGTGGTTAGGGGGACCAACCTCGACTGTCGCGGGGAGATTGAAGATGATCTTGTTCTGTGGGGAGCTACGCCCGTACGCCTCTCGGACTGCCTCGCAGACGCGGAGAGCAAAGTCGGGTTCGGTTTGAGAGAAGGTCTCCGGGCTATACTCGTAGCGGAACTGGGTACCTCCATTCTCTGGGCGGGAGTACTCGTCCATGAGTTCGGTGACGAGCTTGGTGTGGGTGACGGCGAGGTCGATGGTCTTGTCTTGGGAGTTGCCGAAGACGACGGTGCGGAAGAGGGGGGATGTGGCGTTGTACATGTGCAGAATGACCTGTGAGGGCGAGTGCGTGGAGGGAGCGTCGCATTTCGTCAGTCACCTGGCTATATGCTACCACGCCAGGCTCACGCGCACCTTCTTAGCTCCCTTGATGCACTCGAACGTCTTGCGAATAAGCTCAGGTCGCGCGGGAGTAAGGACCTGAATCCACACATCGTCCGGGATCATCCCCTTCTCGATAATCTCTCGCGTGAAGTTAAAGTCCGTCTCTCCGCTCGAGGGGAAGGACACTTCAATCTCCTTGAATCCCACTTGTACCAATTTCTGGAAGAAGCGCAACTTCTGTGTGCCTGACATTGGGTTGACGAGAGCCTGATTGCCGTCGCGGAGGTCGACGGACGTCCAGATGGGCGATGTCTTCTGGATACGGGAGGGCCATTGTCGGTTGGGCAAGTCGATGGGGGTGAATGGTCGATACTTTTTGCCCGGGTTCATGGCCGTGGCCGGCGTCTGCGTCTGCGTTTGCGACGACATGTGCGAGCGTGGATGCGTGAGAGCAAAGGGGCCGAGGGCTAAGGGCTGAGGGCTTCGTCGGTAGGATGTCTCGATGGATGAAAGGAAGAAAGCGGGGAAGGGCAAAGCGAAGGTGTGCGTGCGAGCGAGTCAGTCGCCCTCGCATCTCTCCCCGCGCTCCATCCAATTTTGAGTGACTCGGCGGCGGCGGCGGCGGCGGCGGCGGGCCACGACGTGGGCTTCCCTGTCTTCCGCCCGTCACCGGCGCGCAATCTCGTCGACAACTCGCACTCGCACCTCGCACGGACGCACGCCGAGCACAACAGATGCTTCTCCTCTTCTTCTCCCTCCTAATCATCGCCGTCCTAGCAGCAATCGCATCGCGCCAGACCAAGATGGCCACGGCAACATCGCTCCTCAAGTCACTCATCGTGCCTCCTGCTTCAGGACAAGCTCCCACGGCCACCCTCATCTTCGCTCACGGGCTAGGCGACTCTGGTGCCGGTTGGCTGGACGTGGCTCAGCTCCTCTCACGTCGCCCTGCGCTTCGTCATGTCCGCTTCGTATTGCCCAACGCGCCCGTTCAGCCTGTCACGCTTAACATGGGGATGAGCATGCCCAGCTGGTTCGATATCCATTCACTGGACGACTTCGAGGAGCACGAGGACGAGGCAGGGTTGAAGAAGAGCGCAGCTGCGATTGGGGCGTTGGTCAAGGCTGAGGTGGATGGGACGGCAGAGGGCTTGAATGGGAGGGGCGTACCCGTGGAGAGGGTTGTGGTGGGGGGTTTTAGTCAGGTGAGCGAGCGGCGGCGACAGGGCGTGTTGCAGAGTGCGGCGGGAGAGGCGTGGCAGGGCGCAGCACGAGAGATCGCATTGCGGTCTTCGCCTCCTGGTCACATTGTTGGCATTGGCGTAGATTTGATACACCTGCCGCGGCTAGCAAAGCTGCTGGCGCGGCGTCCTGGCGGCGAGAAGCGTGTGCACCACTTCGGCAGGCGCATCCTCTGCCGTAGTGAGCAGGATGAGCTGCGCGACATCAGCAACGCCGAGACTGCTCGCCTCCACACCTGGCTAGCGGTACGATGGGCGGCGAAAGAGGCAGCATACAAGGCGCTGTATCCGCATCTGCGTGTGCGGTGGTCAGACTTGCACGTCGACAAGGCGCGAGGCGTTAAGCCAGCGATGCGATTCTCCTCGGAGAGCGAGGTTCCTGTCGCCGCTCGCCCAGGACTAAACCTCAGTGTCAGCCACGACGGCGAGTACGTGGTAGCATTCGTCATTGCGACGCGGGGCGAGGCGAACGACGCGGGCGACGCGGGCGACGCGGGCGAGGCAGGATAGAGCGCGAAGCAGCCATACCATCACACACGACACGCGCGCTCACCTCCTCGCCCTCCGCGACACGCACGCACGCAGGGTGGCGCCATCTCCTACCTATACGGCCTGACTGCCTCCCCTTCACCGGCAGGGATCATTGGCCTCTCCACCTGGCTTCCACTCCACCGCAAGCTGCCACAACTCGTCAGCACGACCGCAAAGGACATCCCTGTCTTCCACGGGCATGGCTCTCGCGATCCCATCGTGCACTACAAGTACGGGCAGCGCAGTGTCGAGTATCTACGCGGCGAGGCGGGCGTGGGGATGGGAGAGCAGAGGAGCGCCTCCGGGGGCGGTAAGATGAGGGGTGTGCGATTCGAGACGTACAAGGGGATGCCTCACTCTGCTTGCCCGGAGGAGATTGAGCATGTGGGTCAGTGGTTGGAGAGGGTCGTGCCTGAGTGAGTCGGCGCGGCGCGTGTTAAGGCGAGGCGAGCATAGCATTAGCATCAGCGAGTAGCGCGGGGCAGCACTGGACATCTCTTTCCGCCGCCTCTTCGACCTCTTCCCATTCCCCGCGCGTCCCCTCTTGCTCTTGGCGGCTTGGCGCATTGAACCCCGAGATAGACGATAGAGAAGCGCGGCGGCGACTTTGCTTGCCATCTTCTAATTTCATTCCATTAGCGCTCGGCGCCAACCACTCTCTTGGCCCTGCAATGTCCGCCCATCTTTCTTGAGCACTCTTGGCCGTGCGATGACAACTCTTCTCGAGCACTCTTGGCTCTGCGGTGACAACCCTTCTTGACTGGTGTGGGCGGTGAACACGCTTGTTGCCAACCACTCTTGGCCCTGCGGCGGCGACCACTTGCCGTGCGGCGTCACGCGGCCTGACAGGCAGCGATGACGATGAGCGCAGCAAGGTACGGACGAGTGGAAGTGAGATGAGCGCCCACCACTCGTACTGCACACCAGACTACACGGTGCATGTGGTTGCTGCGTCGCCCGTGCCCGATGATCTTCTGTCGCGTTTCCGTCCCGCGATCTCGTTGGGTCAGGCCCGGCTTCCTCGCCCCCTCACACACGCTCGCCCGACCCCTCTCTACGGGTGGGACGTGCCGATGAGCCGCCTGACCGTCTAGCTGCTGTGATGCCGTCTCGCCGTGCCGCCTCGCCTCGCCGCGCCGCGCCGCGCCGCGCCGTGCTGCTGCTACCTGCCTGCAGCCAGGCCAGTGAAATTCTACGAGCGGCAGGCTGCATTGTGCGTCGAAGGGGGCAAGGCTGGCGGGACTCGGGCTGCCAAGCCTCGGCGGGCTTAGACGAGCGCGTCGCACCGTCGCACCCTACAGTCGTCTCGTGCTGCGTCGTCGGAAACCCCTCACCCACAGCCCGCGCGGACGGCGAGTGTCGCGCCCCCCCTCGACGAGGTCAACGTCCAACAGCCAGCCCAGTCAGCCACTCAACGTCGTGACCCTCGATGAGCGCAACGCCGGCTGGGCCAACAACCCCTTTTCTTTGTTCCTTTTCATCATTACCAGTGCCATCCGCGAATCCACCACAAACTACCCCAAGGCAGCAGTCGTAATCACTCCAATTGCACTCACGCCCAACGCCCGCCACTCGACGCCGCCATGCTTTCATCCGCGCACTCGTATGCGCACAATGCTGAGCCAGGACCAGGACCCAAGAGTAGAGCAGCAGCAGCAGAGGCGCAGGCGGCCGCCACTACCACATCGCCGCGGCGTATGGGCGGACGCAGCAGCAGATCGAGGAGAGGGGCCACGCTGGCAAAGGCAGGACTGGTAGCGGCCGCTGCGCTAGTAAACGGCGTGGCGGCAGGGCCGCGTAATAATGTGACTTCGTTGGCGGGGACGTGGAGCACGGGGAGCGGGGCGGTCAATACGGGTTTGGTGAGTCCGAGCGAGCGGAGAGTTGGCTGCGTGAGTCGTATGCTGACCCCGCCCGCAATTCTCACGCCAGGGCTTCTACAATCCCGGAAATACGACGTTCAACGCACCAACAAACGCAGGCCAGTCCTACTCGTTCACAGACGACGGCAAGTGGGAGCAGGCCCTCTACCTCTACGAGAGCAATCCAGGCAACCCGGGCTGCGTACAGGCTCAGCTCATCTGGCAGCATGGTGCGTACGCGTGAGAGAGCAGAGTGCGTTGATATCCTGGCTGACTCTCGCCCTCCTGCCCCTCGCCCCCCACGCCCAGGCACATACACGATAGCGGCAAACAACTCGATCATCCTCAAGCCCTACCCCGGTGACGGCCAGCAACAGATCTCCTCACGCTGTGCGCAGACCTCCAACGTGGTTACGTCGTACAACCAGCAGGAGCTCATGCAGGTGCGTGCGCCAGTCCCCACTCGATGATCCTCCTCTTGTCGCGCCTTGCTCACACACACACCTCTTTCGCGCTCGCACGCACGTACACAGGGCTGGGAAATCCACCTCGCAATGCACTACGGTGTCCCCTCGTACTACCTCCAGCTCTACGAATTCGACGGCACCCCCAAGCCAATCATGTGGCAACGATACAACCCACCGTCGATGTTGCCTACGCAGCAGCTTCACTTGGAGATTATCGGTCAGACGGCGGATTGAGGGACGCAAGCAGGACGGACATGATGCACACTCGCTCGCACACACTCACACTCACACACTCACGCATACGGACAACTACCCCCTTTTTCGCGCCCCCCTCCCCCCCTGTTCATACAAAGCCACGCCGCTCTGGATCTCGCCCTCCCCTGCCCTACCCCGCCCCGCCCTCGTGCGGGCTTACGAATGGAATCGGATATCGTTCTGCGTTTAGCGTTCTGCGTGCAGCGTGCAGCGTGGCAGCGATGGGCGTAAAGAGGCGGCAAAGAGTCGACGAGGGTGCGCTGCTGCTTGGGGAGTCCAATCACCTGACGCCGTGAGACACTACTCTATCCTCCCCCATCCCAGGCAGAGTGCCTCACACTGGGTTGCCGTTCGCCTCGCCTTGAGCCACCCCTCGGCCCTATCACTGAGCGCGTGACGTGGGTAACGCTAACGGCTTCGCTCTGCCGAGTCGTATGCAGACCAGATCAGCCAAGAAGGGACGAGAGCGTGAGTGCGAGGACGTGGTATGCATGATTCTCGTGCTCGTACCACGAGTCTCGACGAGGTAGAGGGAGAATGAAGCGCAACGCCTACATTGCAAGCTACGAAGACATTGAGGCAGAAGAACAAGAATGAGAGTGCGAAGAGTGGGAAAGGGTCTGTCATCGTTGGTTCACCGCTCGTGGGACCGAGCGGCTATCCACCCATTGCCGCGAGGAGGCCATGACAGCGTCTTGCTCGAGTGTAGCGTTGACGACGGAGAGGGCATAGGTTGTAAGGAGAGGGGGAAGGGGGGGAAGGGGGAGCGCAGCCTTCACCTCGTCCACTTGTCGTGTTGCTCCGTAAGCTTCCTGTTGATGATGTTCCCTAGGGCTGCCCTGGTCGGGATGACCGCCTCGTCTCCGCGACCCACCCTCGCCAGCCGCTTCTTCTTTAGTCGCAGGCGCGTGATGCAATTTCTAGCCAGTGAATCAATGTAGGCTTTCCTAGTCATCCTCGAGTAGTGAGACTTGTTGAGCGAGCTCCCCTTTCGGCGCCTGATGCGACTTCGCTCCTGTGGCTTGAGCAGCTTGCTCAGCTCTACCTTCAGCGGATAGTCGCCGAAGGCCCAGCGTGCAAAGATGCGAGCGAGGGAGTGCGACCTGAGGTTTGTGTGCGCAGAATCCTTGGCCAGCGCACTCTCCTCGTAGAAGCTGGAGGTTATCGTCGACAGTTGGTAGTGGAGCTCCGGGATTGAGAAGGCCTGCAGCAGTATGCTGACCATTCTTGAGCGACTGTCTTGCCGACGTAGGCGCTTGCGCAGCATGTCGAGCTCGGCGTGTGTCTTCCCCGTCGGCACCTTGAACCTGAGAGCCGGCATGCTTGGAGTGAAGGAGCGATGGAGGTAATGGAGCAGAGAGGAGTGCGGTCCCAATGCCTCCAAGGTGGCGTAGAGATCCTCGGCAGGAAAGCTCTCAGCCTGCTCAAGGATCCAGTCGATCACCTCTCGCATTGCAGAGGGGCGCTCTCCCTGTGACAAAAGGTCGGCAAGGCGGCTCTGCCGTACCAGAACTGGCTGGTAAGCTCAAAAATGGCGGATCAGGTCGAGCAGGATGCGGAGATTGAGGCAGGGCCGTCACGCTTGCTCGATGCGGATAAGAGCGGCGCTGGGGAGAGGATGTTGAGAATGCCAGCATGACGATGAGGAGGGAAGTTGTGACCAGGGCGGGGACGATGGGAGCGAAGGGGGCGAGCGTGGTCCAGGTCCGCACTTACACAATGTGCAAGAAGTAGCACCGCTAGCACCAGCAGCAGCGAGCGCCGCGGACAGCAACAACCGCAGCCGCCGCGCTCAAGACGCTGCAGAGCGCGAGTGACGCGCGAGGGAGGAGGACAACGGCCAGTCGAGATGGCAAGCAGTTCGATAAGAGTACGGATGAGGTATCGAGGGTGTCTCTCCGCCTCAGTCAGCGTCTTCAGGTCGTGTGCATGTATGCTCCTCCCCGACAACCCTTCATGCCCTCTCCGTCGTCTACGCTACCAGTCAAGTCGACGCTGCCGTGGCCTCCTCACAGGGAGAGCCGGACTGAGCTACCGACTCGCTCGCGTGGCCTGCCTAAGACAAGCTCTAATTCCCGTGGGGCACCCGGCCAGTGTCATGCAGCCTCATTGGAACTCCAATCAACTCCGCTCCGCGCGGCGCTCCTCTTCCGTTTTGACACTGCTGCAGTGCCTCGACTGGCCCCAGCGCGGCGCGACGTCATGCCTTGGCGCAGGGAATCCTTCGCAGGCAGCACCTTCCGAAAAAAACGCGTCTACGGCCCCCAAAACGCTACAACTTTGACAAAATATTACGGCGTCCAGAGGACACCAATCGGAGCTACTGTGGACGGGAATCGAACCCGTGGCCTTTGCTTACGTAAGGTGGAAGGCAAAGAGGTTACCATTACCCCACCACAGTGCTTTGAAGGAAGGCAGAGAGACTAAAGCGCCGCAGGCCTCGATGGAGGCGGTTCGCTAAAATTTACCGTATACAATGTGTCAAACGCCCGATCTCTCGTCGTTCTGACCTACTTCCTTGACTCTGCGAACGTCGCAACGCTTCAGGTTCCTCAAAGGATGGTATTGAGGCCAAGGGGGCGAGCTTGGAAGGGACGTAGGCGTGCCGCGCACCGTCCACTTCGCGCCGCAGTCTCCGGCCGAATAGACGTCCTGCAGTCAACGAACTTTGTTCCTGACCTTCTCTCGAATCTGAGCAATCGACCGAAGGTCGTCTGGACGAGCAAGAGACGTGGTGCGGACTAAGTGGTCACGGGCAAATGCGACAATTAGGAGCGACGCGTTGGTTCAGCATCGCGCAGCCGGTCGTGGACCCGAGCTCGGACCGTCCTCGCTCAGTCGCCTCGTCAGCGCTGTCACCTATTTGGAAGCACTGTGGTGCTCGCCGTGGTCCAATCATATGATCCTCGCATTGATATACAGCCTCTGTAACTCGCCCCCGCTTGCCGCCGCGAGTGCCGCAGCACGATGTGTTCCAGTCCCAGACGCGGAGCAGACGGGGGAAGGTCGAGCTGCAGTCGATGCGTGCTCGTCGATGGAGTGCTTCAACAGCGGATCATGCAACGTGTTGCCGCCAGCAGGCTTCCCCACCGCACCGCTAACGGCTATTCTCCCGTAGGTTTTCGCGAAGAGGTCACTGATGGCCCACTGAACGGTAATGCAGTCGTCTCGATGCTCTACAAGGCTGCGCCCACTCAAGCTGGGCACGAGAAAGAGAGGCTACCTTCTTCGTCGGTATCATTCGCAACTCGCAGGTCATGGACATCAGCGGTGCGCGCGCGTCATCGTACTCAATCGTCAAGCGCAGGCACGCCTCGAGGCTCCATTGCAATGCGGCTCACGGAAGGCGGGCGGCAAGAGCCACGTGGCATTCCGCGTCGTGCTTGCTTGCTCAGCGGGGCGGGAGGGGAGGGACGAGGCAGGCCAGTCCGACGGACTCGAGTGTCGATTGGACTTGACGCTTTGACTTTTTGACCAATTGGATTTTGTCACCTCACGCTACTCGTCATCAACCACCATTGCTATCACGACGACGACGACGGCGCGACTCAGCTCCGTCTTGGCTCGCACAGCGCGCGGTGTATACGTATCCGCATCCATGACGCCGTCCATCAGCGCAGCCATGACTTCTCCATCAGCACCAGCATCCGACGCGGGCCCAAGCACCACTCCGCGTCCGCGTCGTCCTTCTCACTCCACGCCCCTCCCTCCTCTTCTTCCCATCTCCTCCTTTCCCACCCCTGCACCCCCACCCCACGCCAAACCCTCCGGCTACACCTTCTACCACACCACGCTCGGCTCCCCGCGCCACATCGTCGCACCCATGGTGGCGGCCTCCGAGCTTCCCTGGCGCAAACTCTCGCGTAGGATAGGCGGGGCAGACCTATGTTACTCGCCCATGATCAGCTCGAGCTCCTTTGTGAACAGCCTCAGGGCAAAGGGCAAGAGCGCACAGAGGAGCGTCCTGAATTGGTGCGTGCAGCGCGGGTGCAGCCTTGACGCAACTCTGCCCCGCTGTATGCTAATCCCCTCCCCCGCCGTGCGCACGACAGGTTCAACACCGCCACCCGTGAAGAGGGCCACGGTCAAGACTCGAAGCTGATCATCCAACTCGCAGGTAACGACCCCACCGTGCTGCTGGAGGCGGCCACGCACCTTCAGTCTCACTGCCTGGGCATCGACCTCAATCTAGGCTGTCCACAACATATAGCCAAACGCGGTCACTACGGCTCCTTTCTCCAAGAAGACTGGCCCTTAATCCACTCGCTCATCTCCACACTCCACACCAACCTCACCGTACCCGTAACGGCGAAGATGCGTGTATTCCCCAGTGTTGAGCACACGATCGCTTATGCGCGCATGTTGGAGCATGCGGGGGCGCAGATCATTACCGTGCATGGGCGCACTCGCGAGCAAAAGGGACACAAGACGGGACTGGCGGATTGGGAGATGATTCGAGCCGTCAAGTCTGCTGTCAGCGTGCCGGTGTTCGCGAATGGGAATGTACTGTACCGCGAGGACGTCGAGGCATGCCTCTCCGCAACGGGGGCGGACGGCGTAATGTCAGCCGAGGGCAATCTGTACAATCCCCTCATCTTTGCAGGGGAACAACTCCTCTCCTCCCTCCCCACCTCCCTCCTACCCTATCGAGACTCCGACGCCTCCCCCGAAGCAGCCTGGCGGTCCTTCCCCTACATCCCGGCCCTCGCCCACGAGTACCTAGACGAGGTGGCAGCCTGTCGTAAACGGGTCGACCATAGTGCCGTCAAGGGGCATATGTTCAAGATTTGTAGGCCGGCCTTGGAGAGGCATAAGGAGTTGAGGGGCGTGCTGGGGAAGGCGCAATTGCGTTACGTCGACGCTGAGGAGCGAGAGGAGGAAGCGGGACAGGGGCAGGGGGAGGCAGTCGTGCGAGAGTATAGGGAGGCAGTTAGCGCCCTGGATGAGAAGTTGACGGTAAGTCCCTCCCCGCGCGCGCGCCACCCCACCTCATCTCACCTTCCCTTTCCCTTCCTCGCTCGCTCCCAGGCGGACAAACAGGACCCGCTCTACCTTCAACCACCAAAGGACTGGGGCTCCTCCTCCCTCTCCGCGTCGGTTACGGAGGAGAAGTACGTCCCGCATTGGCTTGCTCAACCCTACTTCAGGCCGGCGTTGCCCTTGCCTGAGGAGAAGACCAAGGGAGAGAAGAAGGGGGAGGTGGAGAAAGTGGGGGTAGATACGCGAGACGTGCAGGGGAGGGGGGAGAAGAGGGTCGTCGACCTCGAGGAGGCAAATGGCGGAGAAGCCAACGAGAAGGGCAATGCCGAGGACGGTCACAAGAAGGTCCGTCTCTCCGAGCCTACCACTGCCGCACAGAACCCTATACTAGAAGTTTGAGGCTCATACGTCCTCCCTCATCCCGTCACCACGCCACCCTACGCAACGCACCGTACCGCGCGCGCAGCTACAGCTCTTACTCGAGGAGGCGCAGCAATTCAAGCTCGCAGCGAATACCGCATTCGAAAGGGGAGACTACGAGGCGGCTATCAGCGAGTATAGGGACGCACTGGCCAGTCTGCCGCCGCGCGAGCCCATGAGCGAGACAGAAACGCAGCAAGAGAACGAGGCGGAGCGAAGGAACGCCACGCCTGCGCAAGCATCAGCGTCCGTATCCGCATCCGCAAACTCATGCCTCCCTTCATCCTCGCAGCTTCGCGAGCTCACCCCGCTCGAGCAACAAGAGGAAGAACGCCTCGCAGCCCTCACTCCCTCGCAACGTCTCGTAGAGGAGGAGCGCGCTCGGTCAGAACGCGAGGTCCACTCGTTGCGCACCACGCTGTGGAGCAACTTGGCCGCGTGCGAGCTCAAGGCGCGAAGATGGGAGAGGGCCAAAGAGGCGTGTGATGAGGGTGAGTGTCGCGTGTGCGTGCGCCAGGTCCTGGAGGATTAGGGAAGCTGACCAAGAGAGTACGCATCGCATCGCACCGCACCACACCGCGCAGCCCTGACTCTGGAGCCGCTCCACTTGAAATCGCTCCATCGTCGCGCGACGGCCTGCGAGGAGGTGGGCAGCTACTCATCCCTCTGCACCGCCTGCGAGGACCTCACAGCCCTCCTCAAACATCCAGGCGTGCCACCGACTTTTCGTCCCACCCTACGCTCAACCCTCGCGCGCGTGGAGAAGAAGAAGGCGACCGCCGGAGAGAAGGAGCGGGATGAGATGTTGGGGAAACTCAAGGGGCTGGGGGATAAAGTGCTCGGTGGGCTTTTCGGGTTGAGTACGGATAATTTCAAGTTTGAAAAGAATGAGGATGGGGGCTATGGGGTGCAGTTTAGACGATAGAGGGGGGCGTGCGGCGAGGAGTTTGGGCGAAAGAGATGGGATTGGATGCGTGCCGATGGTACATCAAGATGACATAGAGGAATGACGCACGAAGCACGGAGCACGAAGCACGATCCATTGCCCGCCGAGCAAGCCACCAACCAACCGATGCGCGCGCGAGTGACAATCTCCAGCATCACGCCAGCAACACGCCAGCAACGCGGAACCTCGCATCGTCGACGATGGCGCGGCGTGCGTGCCAATTTCTAAGCCCAGTAACCCAGGAGAGACTGTGTAGCGCAAGAGGAAAGGCGGGGTGGTCAGCTCGATCATTCTCACGTCTCACGCCACGCCCCGCGCAAACTCACCATAATGAACAACCCAGCCGTAAAGCTTCCCAGCCCCGCCGCGATTCTGCCCCACCCGCAGGTGAGCATCTCCCTGCTCTCCAACCAGTCCTTTGGCAAAATCTGCGTCAGACTGCTGTACAGCAGGATACCGGCCGAGACGCTGTCCAGAACACCGATGGTGAGGAGCGTATCGCGATCGTTGCCATTGAAGGACTTGCGGACCCCGATTCCGATGGCGATACCAAAGGACGTGCTAAGGATGAAGACGCTGTGCAGCACGATCTTGAGCATTCGGTGAGAGACCTCGGCGTGGGCTCGCTCTAGCACAAAGGCGATACGGCTGGCGAGACCGAGGGCTTCGCAGAATTGGTGGAATGTAATGGCGATCAAGAGGGGGACCCAGCCTTCACCCGAGGAGGCACCGAGTGTGACACCGATGATGATCGAGTGGAAGACGATTCCGGCCTCGAGGGAGACGATGCTCCATTTGTTGAGTCGGAATTCTTCCCGGTCCAGTTGCTCACTCGCGTCATCCCTCGAGAGAGCCTCCTCGCGATGGCCGAGCTTCTCATCGTCCTCCGAACCCGTCCCCGCGCCACCTTGCGGCCCACTACGGGCAAGCAAGGTCTGACGCGCCTGCATCACCCGCTGGCGCACGCTGCGCAGCGCGATGAAGTCGAGGAGGAAGCACACGTACACGGCAGCCATGGCGATTGCGGCCGAGGCTGCCTCGTACTTGAGTTCACCGACGCAAGAGTTGGAGAACCAGACGAACGAGTGGAACAGGAGGTGGATGAACGCCGTGCTCAGTAGGATGCCGGAGCCGAAGTGCTTGAGGATGAAGCGCAACTCCTTGCCTGCGATGGACAGGCCGCTCGAGGCTGAGCTACCCGCGCTACGGCCGCGCATCTTGTAGATGACATTGGCTGCGTGAGGGATAGCGCAGCCGAGGGCCGAGGCGATGAGGAGGACAAAGAGGGCCCCCACGTGCAGGGGGACAGAGTAGTCTCGCAGGGGGGCAAGACCGCACCCGAACTCTTCGGAGGGACCGTGTGAGTGTCCAGCGTGGGAGTGACCTTCGTGCGAATGGCCGTGCGAATGGCCGTGCGAGTGGCCCGCGTGGGAGTGGCCATGTTCCTCCTCTTCTTCCTCCTCCTCTTCGGAGTGCGAGTGACCCTCGTGCGAATGGTCGTGCCCCTCTTCGCCCTCGCAGTGCCAATGGTCTCCGTGCTGGTGGCAGACCTGCCCCACAGGGGAGGGGGCAACGGATGCAGCGGCGGCTACGGAGCTAGCGGGGGATGCGGCGGCCGAGGCGACGCTGGCGGGGGCGGCAGCTACGCTCGAGGCCGGGGCTGCGGCGGCGCCTGTCGCGGCGATCTCGCAGACCCAGTTGCCCGCCTGGAGGACGCAAGCGCCTCGTCCCGTAGGGGAGGGGCTGGCCTGCCGGGCAGCCAGGCGTGCGGGCCCGCTGGAGGCGAGGACGCAGCTGGAGGCCGAGGCGAGGGCGACGAGGAGGAGGGAAGGGGTGAGCGTGAGCCTCATGGCTGGCGCGGCTTGATGGGCGAGGGTTGGGGCGGGGGGGAGGGGGGTACGTTGAAAGGTCGAGATCGGTCGGAGATTTTGTACCCTCCTTTTGAAGGCTCGCAACGACGCGCCTCGCTGCGCTCCTCTCCTCTCTCTCGAAATTTCGCTCCTCGCTCGCTCACTCACTCAGTCCCCTCAATGGACGCACCCCTCGCTGGTAGCCCCTCGTTCGCTCGCAAGCGCAAGGCACCAATTCACCTCAAGGTTGGTAATCCCTGCTCGCGTCGCGAGAACCCTCTGGTCACGGACGCGGGCTTCTTGGCAAAGAAAGAAACCATTCCATCTCGGGGTCCACGCCGCGTGAGAGGTCCGCAGTTTCGGGAAGCTTGCGCACGAAACCGCTGCGCTGTCTTGCGCGAATGCAACGATCGCAAATCTAGCACAGAGGCTTCTGTCGCGCCGCGTCTTGGCGGTCGGTACCCTCGCAACCACGAAGGGGTAGTGCGTTGCATGCGGCGCCAAGCCATCGACCCGCCCGCGCGCACTATGGCGAGGGGTTCCTTCCTTCACTAGACTGGTTCCACGTGGCCTGAGGGGTGCTGAAATAGCAAAGACGTGCTAGCATCATCGACCACGCCATGGTTGCTCCGGAGTCCTGATTGGGAAGAACTCCCGTTGCGTTTGCATCTTGACAGGAGGTCGATTCGCACGGCTCGTTTGATGCGATGCCAGGAACCACGCGCAGGCCCACGACACGACACGACGCTAAATCTCACGTTTGGGCCCCTCGCAAGCCTCGAATAGCAATGCACAAACGGCGCTAGAGCCGCGCCGCGCGCTAGAAGTGCCAAGAACTCGGGATTCGCCCAACTTTTCGCGGGCCCTCTGTTCGATGAGAACTGCGACAATGTCGCGATCTCGCGCGCCAAGACATGCGGGGCAAACAAGCGCTTATCTGGTCACAAATCGTGTCGTCGAGAGACCGGAAAGGTGTCGCAGGATTAGGAATAGCAATGCCCGAGCGTGAAGCGCGTCGAGAAGATGATGGAGCAGGGGACCTGCGCGGTGTGCGCGACGACTTCTTCGTTGCCCATGCTCCTTCTCGTCGGACGTGGGCCGGACATGGGCCGGACGTGAGCCGGACATGCGTATATGAAGGAGCGCGGCGATTGCTCGATCAGATTCCACCCACATCACCTCGTCCACCCCTTCACTACCCTACGCTCTGCCCACCATGCTCGTCCTGCCCTACGCCCTCGCCGCCTTTGGCCTCTCTGCCGCAGCCAACGCCCGCCCTGCCTGGCTCGCTGCCCGCGACTCTGCCCTCGAGACGCCGTCCGTCGACCCTTTCCTCGTCGTCCGCACCGACAATGCCAGCGGTAACGACGGACTCATCTCCAAGTTCGACAAGAGCATCGCCGCCGACTTCCCCATCCACTCGTCGTGCAACGCCAGCAACAAGATGCAGATCGAGCGCGGACTCTTTGACCTGAAGCGCATGCTGCGCGCTTCCATCGACCACCTTCTCCTCTACGGTAATAAGAGCGAGCTCTTTGTGACCTACTTTGGCAAGGAGGCCAACACCGCCACGCCGCTCGGCGTCTACGAGCGCATCCTCAGCGTGAGTTGTACGGGCGCACGTCTCTTCTGATCGAGCGCCTCACTGACTTGAGTCTCCACCGTCACGCTCCACAGGGCGACAAGTCCCACAACCTCATCCGCTGCGATGACCCTGACCACAACTGCAAGATCGACGGCTACGCAGGCCACTGGCGCGGCAACAACGCTACTGGCGAGACGGTCATCTGCGACCTCTCGTACCAGACGCGTCTGGGCATCGAGAAGTTCTGCTCCGGCGGCTTCGAGATGGCCACGGGCAAGCTCAACACCTTCTGGGCCACGGACCTTCTGCACCGCGCCCTCCACCTCCCCTCGCTGACCGACGGACAAGTGGTGCACGAGGCCGACGGGCTCTACGAATCCATCGAGCTCGCCAAGTCGGACGTCGAGTCGAGCGTTCTCAACCAGGCCTCGCTTCAGGCATTCGCCTACGAGGTCTTCGCGCGCACCAACATCGTGCCCGGTGGATGCCGTGGTACGCCCGTGCCCAAGCCCGCCGCCGAGGGGCACGGAGCCACGCCTGCAAAGGACGCCAAGCCCGCGCATGACGACAAGCACGACGACAAGCATGCCGGACACGACCACGCGCACGACCACGCGCACGACCACGCGCACGAGGACAAGCATGATCACGCACACGACGACGCCCACGGAGCACACGCCGGTCACGACCACGACCACGACCACGACCACGCTGGCCACGATCACAGCCACGAGAGCGCCCCCGCCTCGGCGTCGGCGCCCGCTGCTGCCGCCCCTTCTGCCGCCAAGGACTGCCACACGCACGCCGATGGCACCACCCACTGTGTTTGAGCGAGCGAGGAGATAGCGTTGAGATGGTGACCGGAGAGGGGAGGAACTGAGTTGGAGATAGAGGCGAGGAGGGTAATTGGTCGTATTTGTGTCACGCGTTGTCACTTTGTCATTTCATAGAGTCTTCCATGCGCGTCGACGCTCGCGAGATAGGCGCTTGAGCAGAATACGATGACCGCATTGCAAGGAGAACCAAGCGTGCACCATCTGATCCGTGAGTGGTCGAGCAGCCTCTGACCGCGCCTTTGATCGAGACTTTGACAGGTGCCATCATACGAATGGCGTGTGCACGTGTCTCTCGTATTCTTTGGGAGCAGAACGAGCTGCACACTGATTGCAACGAAAA